CAAACCCAAACCCAAACCCAAACCCAAACCCAAACCCAAACCCAAACCCAAACCCAAACCCAAACCCAAACCAAACCCAAACCCAAACCCAAACCCAAACCAAACCCAAACCCAAACCCAAACCCAAACCCAAACCCAAACCCAAACCCAAACCCAAACCAAACCCAAACCCAAACCCAAACCCAAACCCAAACCCAAACCCAAACCCAAACCCAAACCCAAACCCAAACCCAAACCCAAACCCAAACCCAAACCCAAACCCAAACCCAAACCCAAACCCAAACCCAAACCCAAACCCAAACCCAAACCCAAACCCAAACCCAAACCCAAACCCAAACCCAAACCCAAACCCAAACCCAAACCCAAACCCAAACCCAAACCCAAACCCAAACCCAAACCCAAACCCAAAACCCAAACCCAAACCCAAACCCAAACCCAAACCCAAACCCAAACCCAAACCCAAACCCAAACCCAAACCCAAACCCAAACCCAAACCCAAACCCAAACCCAAACCCAAACCCAAACCCAAACCCAAACCCAAACCCAAACCCAAACCCAAACCCAAACCCAAACCCAAAATTTTTTTGAGTGCCGACGCATTTTTCCTACAAGAGAGTTGGAAAGTGTAGAAGACTTGAATAAAGATTACTTTAATTTTTTGAACCCAATAATCGGGCAAAATGTTGGCAGAATAAACCAAACCCAAACCCAACCTAAACCCATAGGCCTAGATAAAACTTGCTGAGCATTCTATCAGACATAAAATAATCGACAACGAGGGTCAATAATGCGAATGGAGGAAATACACTCCAATACGGGTCATAAATACTGCTGTTGTTGTAATATATCGATCCGATAAAGGTTAAAATTGTCAGTAAAAGATCAACTTGCAATACGAGCCAAAACATGGGCTCTCTGACGATTTGAAGATGAGTGGAGAGAATGCCAGCAATTAGTTGTTGAGACATTTTTTTAACAAGCGCAGTACGATAATGTGCGATTGTTGGTCGAATCAACCAAACCTGAATAATTATTATAAAAATTTAGTGCACTCGCAAAATTTACTTTTGTCAAGTAGGGTGACAAGATTGTCTCTAAAGTGTGATCACATTTTCACAGTTCAACAATTTCAGTAGCATCAGGACCACCACAAAAATTATTGGCTCTTCACATATTCAATCGCTCTTAAAATTAGAGAATCTGATTCCCATTCATTTTGACTGCATTGTCTTCTCAAATATTCCAAATACAACATGACTTTTTTCAGTTCAGATGCGTTTAAAGCATTTTCTAAAGATTGTTTCAGTGATGATGAACACTTTGTTGTTTGATTTTCAATGAAGGTTGCCTTCGAAAATAAATCTTCAGCAGGGTCCACCTGTGAGAAGCGATAAGCATTGCAATCTTTTGCTTGTTTTTGCAAAGTTTCCAACACTCCAGTAGCGCCTTTGCAAATAATTAACAAATCGGAATCGTCTTTTACACGAAACAATAAACGATGTGATTTGTTTTGTTCATTGGATGGACTCTTTGTAACATTTGGTGATCCTGCTGGGTCTTGATATTTAACAATCTCAATAATTTGTTCGTTAGGAATTCTTCTCTCAAAGTCTTGATCATCAAAAATGTAAAGAGCCTCATTCGTGATGATGAGGTATCTCAAATTTGATAACCGTTCCGAATCCAGAAGGCTTATACGTGCGGAATGGAGGATTTTATCGGCACCAAAAGCATAAATACTCTTGGCAGGAATTTTCGATTCAATCAATGATTCGTCAGTAGCGTGATCGGATGAGAGAATATAATCTCTTCGTTGTTGTTGAGATGTCGTTTCCTCTTCAAAGGATTTCATAGACACAGATGGGTTGCTCATCTTTGTTCGTCGGGTTGGAGAGTTCGGTTTTGAGTGGTGAGTGTGGTACAATAATGATGGCAATGAAAACGATGGAGGGTTCAAGTGATGAAATCAGCTTGTTGTTGTGATCAAGATGAAAGTCGTGGTGAGAGAGTTGAAAATCAAAAGCTGAGCAGATATTTTTTTGTGTTTTTCGTTGGGGAGCCAAAGATTACAACGGACGGAAGCGTCGTATACAAACCCATTTTGTTAATAGTCCAAATAATGATCATTGCAGTTTTTTAAATGTAAATGAGAGGATTGTGTTTATTCGGCTTGATGCAATTATTACGTTAAAGAAAAAGTATCGCCATGCACTCCACATTCTCTGTTCCAGTCCACCACATTCCAACAACCTCAGATCAAGAAAAAAACAAGGATAAGTTCGAAGAAATCCTCAACCACCTCTGGTTCAAAGGTAAAAAACCAGAGTGGCTTCCCAATAACTTTTATCCTCGAGCTGATTTATTTCAACAGAGGGATGATCTCATTCAACAGGCAGAACACTTGTTCTTTCATTATGATACGAACCGAACGTTTGCCATCTCCAAACAAGAATTCAAAATGGCTTTCCAACAATTCGGTTTGGAACCTACAAAAGCCAAGAATTTGAGTCGTATTGTTCATTCCAGTGAGAATGGCTTGATTTCATTGGAGGAATTTATCAACGCCTACATTTATGTGAACGGAGGAGGAGAGATTTGGGACGTGCAGGAGCCCTCTCAATCCTCTTCGAATGTAGGCCGAGTCACAGCAAGTAACATTTCAGAAATTACTCATGAACATGCCTCGCATCATAACCAGAAGGGTTCTGAAATTACATCAAATCTGTCCCTGCCTCCAAGTGATAACCCATTTAGTCATCATCACCAACAACATCAATTGCAAAATGAAGTGCTTAAGGAACACTTAATTCCCAAAGACTCTGAAAACAATATGGAACAACAATATCCTTATCCACAATACTCGTTTGTTGCAGATCAGCAAGATCAACAACAACCGTCACGAATGTTTAGCAGTGGTCACCCTCAATTAAATCCTCAACTCTCAGAGAAGGATCCAAACGCCAAATAACCAAGCCATACTTTTTAATATTACATGAAGGAAATAGTATAATATATTAAAAGCAAATACTTAATATTCGTTTCAATCAACTTTCATAGGGAATGAGAGGTGTCTGAGCATCAGAGAAACACCTGGTCTGAAAGAAAAATCACACTGGTCCATTCGTTATAAGATGACACGAATCTAACGCTCTCCGAATTAAGTGAATTGCCATTTTGGACAACTTGTTCAAATATTTCAATTTTCTTTAACAAACCATACTCTTCTTTTACCTGAGACTCGATACCATTAAATATCACTCTTGCTCCTCCTCTCTCGTTTTACAAATTCTATTATAAAAAACGTTGAACTGTATCGAGCAACAATTAACCTCTCCCTCTCACGTAGAACATAATGATGAATAAACGAAACCCTGGAACATATCCTTCAACATTTGGTAAAAAGCCCTTACAAGACAAACCACCAACACCTCACTTTACCGATTTTGTAGATGACTTGATGGCAGATCCACCCTTGTGTGCTTCTGATCTTCCCCTAAATAAACATATCAATCAAGGTATGAAGAATATCCAAATTGATAAAACCAGAGAGGAAGATTTCCAATGAAACATTGCACCCTAGAGAGATCGATCTTGTAAATATAATTAAACAATGTAAATAAACACAGCTCAAAGGTTCCGCTCCCGCCAATCAAAGTTCAGAATTTGCAGAAAAAAATTAATGCTTTCATCTTCCGTTGCCATTCCCTCAGGGGAAGCTGAACTTCAATTGAGAGGTTCAGGTGCTCATCTCAGTGCTCGGAAGCACAAGCCATCCAATGTACAAACATCACAACCCTTAAGAAGTAATCAACAAATCTCAACAACAACCCACACGGAGGAAAATTCAAAGGAATACCTTCAATCCAAGCTTGAATCATTCCAATTCGGAAAATCATCAGGCAACACCCAGTCATCAAATGCAACGTCATTGGTTGATACTTCCCCGATCAAGACCGTGGTTAAGCAACGAAGAGGATCCGTATCAGCAGTAACACCTCCAACAATTTTTGACATTCCATCTATTCAAATAGATACAGCAAAATCTCCTCGAATTGAAGAGACAGTGCTAGTGTTTGGGGAGTCTTCAGGTCCACCAACATCAAAATCAATAATCTCAAATCAAATGAGTTCAATAAGTCTTCCAACCACTGCTCCAGCTTTGCCAGGCTCTGACAATACAGATCAAGCTGACAGCAAACGCGTGTCGTCGAGGCATCACAACGCACAACAAATCAACCAAAAAAATGCTCATTCCAATTCTTCGACAAATTTACTCTCGGCACAATCATCAACAAAAAGAAGGGAGTCTGTGTTCAATGAACAGAAAGAAAGAGTTCAAGCTTCTCAAAAATATGAATATGTAGTACCCACACTCCTCCCACATAATCCACAAACAATCAATGACTTGTACATTAAAACATTACACGAGAAAAATTATCGGAGTAGTACTGCTGGATCAAATGAATCAAAATCACACAGTCAAAAAAGAGGAAAATCTCGACCGCATACTGCAACTGGAACATTTTCTCGAAGAGGAGGTATAAAAGATGAAGATGATGATGAAAATGTATTGAACTCATCAAGAATTCACATCACATCAGCAGACTTAATTGTAGATACAGGAATGCCATCAAATTCTAAAACGAAAAAGAGAGAGAATGTACCTGATAGTACAACTTTATTGGGAATTCCAGGAATTATTGCTCCTCCAAAAGGAGATGCAGGAATTCCATACAACTGTTACAAGAATGCTCCAAAATCAAATGCAGAACATTTAATATTGAGGCACTCTAGTGAGCTCTTGGCAGCGGACACTCTATCTGGCCAAATCACCAGTGATTACTATGAAAAATTAGAACAAGATCTATGGAAGTTTGAACATGTTTCACGAGGAAAGAATCGAAATGTCATGATTACTCACGGCAACACAGTCAAATTATTTAATAGAGGAGAACCAGTTGAAGAATTCTACAACAAGTACCTGCTTTATCAGAAGGACCTCATAGAAAAACATGAAGATTTTGAGTCCATGCAACAAACAATGAAGCGAATACGTCTTAGAATGAAACCATCTGGATCCTCTCCAGTGAAAGCAAAAGGTCAACATTCTGAAACTAAATCAGAGAAGAAAGTTCTATTTATTAAGCGTCAATCAGATGAAAATGTTAATAAGGAGCCCTTACTTTGTAATAATTTATGGGAACGAAAGAAAAAGAAGAGACTTAAGCCAATTTCACAGTTCGTTCAAGAACAAGTCGGACACCACCAAAATATTCTTACAAGCGAACAACAAACCAATGCAGGTGGAACATTTATTACAGAGGTCAATACTGCCACTCACAATAGTGCAACTCAAAATAATACGAACAGTGCAAGTGGTATCACAAACAATAGTCCTTCAACACCGTTACGAACCAATTCATCACAATGTCTTCATCTAAACATCAACTCACCTGCAGGAAAGACTTCGTCGTTTAGAGGAAGTTTTTTTTCAAATCAATCAAATTCTCAGCAAAACGTACCACTTAGTGCAAGAAGCGTCACATCTAGTATTGGTACAAACGGGACTGGTACGGGCTATGATTTATTTATTACTGACGAGCAAGCTGATTATGCAGAACGTAATAAGAAAGCCAAAGTTGGTCTCATTGAAACCATTAAACGAGCGAGTGGTTGTCAAGAAAAAACCAAAGGTACTTATATTACGGGGGTTAATCATTCTGCACAAAGTGGAATTGGAGGCATTGTAGCAAGATTTCCAGCTGAGGAGTTAGGAGTAAGCGATGAAAGATTGAAACGCATCAAAGCAAAAGAAATGCCTCTCGACAACACAGGATCATATCACACAATTATTGATGTGGAAGAGGCAGACTTTGATTATGCTCCAGAGGACCTAGAAAAGGTATTTCCTCCCATCAAAATTGCAACATTTTCCACAAATACCACAGCCCCAAATCCAGGTCTTGCTAGTGGCAATTCATCATCAAATTCCAGTACATCTTCTTTACACGCTCTTGTTAACAACCCTTCCAATGCAAATATCACAAATACCAGTGCACATTCTGCAAGTTTCAGAGATAATTCATATACATCATACTCAAATCCATATGGGTCTAATATTGATTATATTATTGAAAATATTAGAGCAAAAATTCAGTACAAAAATATTTCGAATATTAATGTGGATGAGCTTAACACTGAAACGTTACGAAATCAAATTGTGGATGAACAACATGAACAAATGTTAGATGAGAAACTTCAACAATATGATACCGATTTTAAAGTAATTATTGGAGATGTTCATAAAATCACTCAACAAGTGGCTCCTAATTTTGAAACTGCCAACTCTGAAAACTCTCCCTATTCATCATCATACTCTATTAAGAAACAAGTGGTGGAAATTAATGGAGAAACCTTCTACAAGACAAAAGATTTGAGTCCACGAAAAAGCGACTCTTCATCCAATCTCAACGTAAAGAAAAAGAGGGAATTGAAGAAACCAAAAATTCGAAATGTTCCTAGTGGAACCTGGAGGAATTCGTTCATTTCATGCCAGACCAAACAACAATACGAACTTTTAGTCAAGCTTGATGATCGCTCAGAGAATAGAAACGTGGTAGCTGAATCTAATGAGCATTTATCACGAGTGAGTAAGAAGGTTATGCATGGCGCTGAGCGAATGGCTCTCTATGGTGTAACTGGAAATAAGAAATTTCACTCTAATGACTCACTGTGGGACAAAGCAAAGAAGAGGCTGGACATTCAAACTACCAAATTTTATCAATCTGTACTTTTCTACAAGAGGTTACTCGTCTTTTTAGAAGTTATACAAGCACCTTCACAATCAAATCGATTATTACTAAGTTTTTTGAATAGAATCCGTACCAAGCTCATCAATAATCCTACATGCAAACAAAGTAAGGAGAATTTTTTCTTTTCCATCATGAATCAAGTGGTGGAAGAGGCTCGAACCATGAGCGTCAATAACATGACTCTTGAAAAATCTGAAGTAGAAGAAACACCTTTAGATTTATTCTTTTCCAATCGTGAAACCATTAAGGTCATTCAATTCTTTAATGCTGAATATGGAATTACTCATGACGATCTTTTCAATTATTTGAATCGACTATTTATCAAACAGAACAAACTTTTACTTGAATTGAAGGTAAAAATGAAACAAAAAGAAGAACAAGAAAAGTAAAATGCGAAGCATGCAATTCTATCACCCATATTACGACTTGGTAGTTTTCAAATTGGATGAATGGAAGATACGCACTCCATGTGCGCAAGTAAGGATCACGAAATCAATTGCAAAGTCAAAAAAAAACTCCTCCACGCAAAAATTACCTTCCGTATGTCGGCAGACAAGTCCTACACGAATAACCACTCTCATGCTTTCATTCCACAACAAGAACCCACTCTATCTACCGCATTAATGTTGGCAGATTTGGATGATTTTCTGCCCATTACACGACAAGAATGTATTAAACCTTTCCTTCTGAATAACAACACTCATACCAACAACAACAACAACAACACGAAAAAGTTGGGAATATCGGAGCTGCAACCTAATCCAATTTCAGATTCCCGAACCACGTCTTCCATGAACAACAATGAAGGAGGAGTTGCTTTGGTAGGAGTTGTTGGTACATCATCATCCAAATCAACCAACAACAACGCCCGAAGGACCAACCGATTGAAATTTCAACAAGCCAACAACAACAACACCCTATCGGAAACATCAGAACCAAAGAAAATAGCTAAAATCGAACTTGCCGATTGTTTGGCATGTTCAGGATGTGTTACTACAGCCGAAAGTGTCCTCGTGAATCAGCAAAGTGTCGAACAATTTTTGAATACGTTACGGGAAATGAATTTATTTTCTCCCTATTTTTTACATCATGAAAGCAATAATGGAGGAGCTGTGAACAACCCATCATCAAGTCATTTGAAAATCCACAGCAATGGCACTGATATTGGATTTGCGGAAATGGATTCCACAACAGAGCTCAAAGATGCTTTATTGGATGACATTCTCTCATCGTCGTCATCCTTCTTGAAGCAACGAAACAAAACCAACAACACTGCCAAAAAACAAACGATGTTTTTTGTGACCATTTCACAACAAAGTGCAGCTTCATTGGCATCCTATTACCAATGTGAATCAGTGCGAGATTGTCTCAATAGACTTTCATACCTTTTCAAAACTAAGCTTGGTGCTATTGCTGTTTTTGAGAGCGCTTCTTTGGCAAGAATGGCCTCTCATTTGGAAATTTGTGAAGATTTTGTGAGGCGTTACAGAGAGGGAAATTCCAAGATACCACTATTTGCGAGTTCATGTCCTGGTTGGATTTGTTATGCAGAGAAGACTCATCCTGAAATTTTGCCATACATTTCAACTGTGAAATCTCCTCAACAAATTATGGGAACATTTGTCAAGAAGTTTATTAAGCACCACATTTCTGCAAAGTATCATATTGATGATTTTAACATTTATCACACAACAGTCATGCCATGTTTTGATAAGAAACTTGAGGCAAGTCGGCCAGATTTTACCAATGATCCTTTCGACAAGGTCGACATGGTATTGACGAGTAGTGAAATTACTGAGCTTTTAAAAAAACAATTTCAAATTGATACTCCACAAGATTTTCACTCCCTTACCCATTTTGACTTGAATGACCTTACATTGGATAATGTGTTTGACGTTTTACAAAATTCACAAAGTAATAACATGTTAAACGAGACTAATTTTATGGAGAATACTAATGACATGTTAGATCTATCCCTACTCGAATGGCTGAGCGATGGAAGTGATGCTACGGGTTCAGGAGGATATTGTGAAATTGTATTTAAATATGCGGCAAAAAAACTGTTCAATATTGACATTAGAAACACGACACTCCAATTCGAAAGTAAGAGAAATAGTGACTATCGAGAAGTGGTTCTCTATGACCCAAACACGACAGATCAAAAAGTTCTCTTAAAATTTGTCATTGCTAATGGATTTAGAAATATTCAAAATTTGGTGAGAAGAATGAAACAAAGTACAGAGTTATCGGATGCATTCCACTTTGTAGAAGTTATGGCATGTCCAATTGGTTGTCTCAATGGAGGTGGACAGGTCAAAGCAAAAACACCTCAATTGTTGTCTGCACAATCATCTATGAACGATGAAACAGAAGCTCAACCCAAACATCAAGATTTGTCACTCACTACAACTCTCACACCCAAACAGCATTTGTCTCAAACAGAGAGACTTTATCGAGAGTATTTATCTCATTTGAAGAATTTGTCTCAAAACGACCCACAATCTAAAATGTATTTATCATGGTTGTATAACACCTGGATTCAAGGAGCTGTTGGCTCACCTCAAGCTCAGAAATATCTCCATACCACGTATCATGCAGTGGAAAAGATGGGTATGATCTCAGCCAGTGCTTTGAAATGGTAATAATTGTTGTAGCTCAAGATCCATGCGAGGCCTTCCTTATAAGCATGCAGCAAAGTTAGAATTTTTTGGTTACTCGTTGTTGGGTTTCAATTCTTGTGTCACCATTAGGAGGAGACTACTGAAATGCTCAAAGCCTTCGAGAATCCTAGCTCACAACTTGAAACATCAGCAACCTGAAACACAAATTGTTGACTTCATCCTGTTCGCACACGCTGCTTTTCATGACTCTGAGAAACCAAACAGAATGCTATCACACCCTTCATGAAAAGAAAATCCTCATCCATAAAAAGAATTAAAATTTTAGCATCACCTCTAAATAGTTTGTGAGTCCCAATTAAAATTTTGGGCCTTACTGCGGATGTCTCTCTGGAGCTTGAGACAAATTGTTGTGTGCATCTCTTAGTGGCTCTTGTAAAGGAATCGTGATACGAAATTAATTAATACTTCAAAAACAAGTTAATCATCAGATTACGAGTGTTGCTTGGCGTGTGTGTTGTATGATCATTGATTCCGTTCAACGAAGCATCCTCTAGAGTTGGTTATTTGAACTAGCATTTGATATTACAATTTTACATTGATCATTCAATACAGTATTACACAAGAATTAAATTTTGAGTCAATAATGGCCTCCTTTTACGGTTCATCAACAAACAGTACACCACTTGGTAACAACAACGTTATCCGAAAGGATGACTCACTTCAATGGTCCATCAATTCCTTCACTCTCTCCACACTTTTGAGTCAAATGAATGTGACGTGTGGGAACCCAAACGCCACTAACACTTCTTCAACCACCCAAACACCCACTCCCTATCATCAACCTTCAAGTTCTATTTTCAATAGTTACATCAACAAACATTCCTCTCACTCCGTTTCTCTTTCTTCGTTTACAAGTGTGATGGACGCAGATGCCTTTGCGTTTTCATTCCACACCACTCATCATTTGCACAACAACAATAATACGCTTCAAAAATCACCCATAGCACACTCCTCCAACCATCATCAACAACAACAACATCACCGAAGTAGTAGCAGTGGATCTCTCCTCCTGCCCGAAATTAAATATCCCACTCCGCTCTCACAATTATCACTTTCCTTTACCATTCTATTAATTGTCATTCAAGATATTCAAAATGATGAAGATGACAATGCTCGAGATTCACAAACATCTTCCAATCAATATAATACACACATCAAATTGTTAGAGATGATTACTGAAAGGCAGAAATCATTACGGCAGCTCGGCGTTCTGCCTGTGGTTGTGTTTTCTGATAAATCAAGTGAAGAAGAGTTTGTCAGCAAATTGAAATCATCCTCGAGTCACTTGTTGAGAATCATAGATGAACAGTATGAATTGACCAAGCAATTAATGGAACTTGTGTGGGAAGAGCAAAATCTCATCTCGAATTCAAATCTTCATCAACTACAACAACTGAATCAATTTCTACATCCACAGCAGGCAGCTCAGAATTCATACCGATCAACAACAAGCCCTCGAAAAGGTCATCAATCATTTTCCAAATCACAAATATCATCATTGGAATCACCAAACAAAACAGCAAACAGCATGAATTTGTGCTCCAATAGTCACACGAATATCGGAAAACATTCAAAATTATTACCTAAAATGTTTCTCATACGTGAGAACAAACTTGTTTTCCATTGGGATGAAAGTACCATCATGGAACAAGATAATGTTATGGGAAGTGTACTCTCAACCATTGTGTTAAAATTGCCACAGTGTACCATGTCGACAGAAGATATTGTTGCAGATGAAAATGCATGTTCGACAGGTATGAACGGTCATCACCTTAATTCCAGATCGTCGAGTGCGAGTTCAGAAAAGATGAGTCCTTCGACGTCCTCTTCTTCACATATTGTTGTACCTACTGGAATGTCACTTCAAGATGCATTTGGGGTATTGACCGGAAGATGCAGTGCTCGTTCGTATTCCAATGGATCGGCAAGTGGAGGTCATCTCAGCGGTGATGGAGGTGAGAATAATCTTCTTCGAGCCATTGTTGGAAGTGGTGACAAGGGAAATGTATTCACTGATATGGATGATCGTCATCATCACGAGGATGTTGAGCCATTTCATGAAGAGGATTCATTTGTTGCCACAGTGACACAAACAGAAAATGCTTCCGAGACCATGACCAATCCTGTCACAACTTCACACTTTGCAATGTTCAACCAAAGTGATCTGCCACATCCATCACAAGAGAAATCTCCCAACAAACATCAAGAATCTTCCTTAACCTGTTCTGAAGGAACAAATTTCCTTACCTCGCCTCAATCTAACACGATTCAATCGCCATCTCACATCAACACTGACATGAAATCCCATTCCAATTCTTCCATAGTGTCGTCGTCTTTAACTCATGGCACTCCCTTACTTGGAAATTCAACAACCACAGACAAGTCCTCTCAACTTCACAACTTGTCAACAAGCACCCTTTCAGTTGTTATTGTGGATTCAAATTCTTCTTCTTCAACGCTCATTTCTGGAACTCAAACCAGTGACATGACATCCTCGCAACAACACTGCATTCCAAACACGAGCTCTCTTTCTCTCAACACAGATCATACTGCCACTTCTCCTACTGGTACTACTCCCACCGTGACCTCTGCTGAACATTTAATGCAACGAAAACGATTTTCACTTTTCAGAAAATTAAGGGAAAAGTTTGAAATTGAAAAAATTGCATTGGAGCAGCAGAGACTTGAACGTGAAATGCAAATTCAAAAGAGTGAGAAAAAGAAACAAGAACGAAACAAAGAGAGAACAAGCAGCAATAGTGTTACCTCAAAAAGATCCATCTTTGCCCTTTGTTTTGGCTTCACCAAAGAAAATATTGATGAAGAAACCTCTCCACTTTCACGTCCAACTCAACACGATGAGAAATCATTAGGAAATGTCGATTCCTACGATCAATCCATTTCTGAAATGTTTCAAATTATGCATGATGACATGAAACGACAATATTTCAAGTTGTACAGTTTGAAACAGTTCAATGCAGAGAATTTGCTCTTCTACGAGGATGTCAAATTGTTCTACAAGAAGATTGTCTCAGAGTTGAAACGACCATACATGATTCCAACAACAAATGTGTCCATGTCCACACCTCATGACACTCCTCCAAATACAGCAACTAGTGGACAATCTTCGCCTACAATGACCTCACTACTGTATGGCTCCACTTCAACAGCTCCATCTTCAAACAAGTCCAAGCTTTCAAGTATTGGATTCTCTTCAAAATCCAAACAACAACCATCCACTCATTCCTCTCCATCTCATCATTCCAAATCACTTTCAAGTACTTCCATTATTGAAACCTCTTCAAAATCTCGTTCCCATCGACGTGATGCATCACCTCCTTCTTTGGAAACATCTCTCCATAGTTCCACTAACCCATTACAAACATTCACCCTTCCCAAAAACTCTGAACTCGTTCAAGACCTCTATGAGAAGATATTTCGAATGGCCGAATACATTTCTCTCAAATATTTACTCGATCCCGAGAGTGTCTATTGCCTTAATACCAGTAACAAATTAGTCGAACAAGTGAAACAGAACATGCAATTATCATGTTGGGATTTCATTGATCAAGCCGATCACTTGTTTGATGAGGTCGTCAGTGAATTGGTGAAGAGTGTATTACCCGACATGTTCTTTCGTTTTGTTGTTTCATCTGAATATTGGGAAATGCAACAAGCTTTGGAAATGTCCTCTCTGAATGATCCATCATCATCAACAGCAACAACATATGGCATGGGAGCACAGGCCCATTCTCCATTGAGAACGAATGGAGGCCACTTGTCCAAATTGAACATCAGTGGTTTGAATATCAATAATAATAATCTTAGTGAAGAGTTCAATAACAATTTAGCAGCCAATTGCTACTACTCTCCACGAGGAAGAATATCTCCGAGGCCAAGTATTTCAGGCTACTTTCAGTGAATTGGCTGAAGCACCAGCAACTGAATATCTCCGAGGCCAAGTATTTCAGCAACTCTCTCGAGATCATCATCTGCAATAAACAATTCTTGAAGAAAATACTTTTTTATTTATTGGAAGGTCGTAACGGTTTTGAGCGCCTTCCCAAAAAACCGTTACATCTGTAAATTTTAAATTTTTCAATTATTTAAAAAAATTCATCATTCAACATTCGGAACGCCTTCTTCTGCTGTTTCCGTTCAATACAACAACAAAAACGCCGATCCTCCACATCTCTCAAACACACATACTGACCCTTCCCGTTTCATCATGAGCACATTCCTCCCACCAAATACCATTCAACGAATTTCGAAAGAAATTATGGACTTGCAAAAGAACAAGATTGATGGCATTGAAATTCTCACGTACGATCCTGTTCGAAATGTTGACTTGTTGAGCGATCTCAGTGAGATTTATGCTTGTATCGATGGTCCACAAGGCACTCCTTTCGAATCTGGTAAATTTGTCGTCAAATTGGTCATGGATCAAGAATTTCCAAGTAAACCTCCAAAAGGTTACTTTGTCACCAAAATCTTCCATCCCAATGTTTCTCCAAGAGAAGGTGAGATTTGCGTGAATACATTAAAGCGAGATTGGAAGAGTACTTTGGGATTTAAGCACGTTCTCATGGTTATTCGATGTCTCATGATTGAACCAAATCCAGATAGTGCTTTGAACGCAGAAGCTGGACGTTTAATTCAAGATAACTATGAAGCATTTGCGAATAAGGCTAAAATGTTCACTGATATTTATGCCAAACAACAAGGTTTATCTTCGCCATCTGCTGAAAGCAGCAATGTTGATACTCAATCTCTGAATAAGACCTCTGCATTCACTCCAACCACCCCTAGTGACGAGAATTCTGATGTCAAGGAAAATCTCTGTAACAACAACACACCACAATCACAGTCAGTTCAAAAGAAACCACTGCTCCTCAAAAAACCAACATCCTCAACATCTTCGACCACCACTGCAAAACCAACAAGCCTAAAGAGACTCTAAATGGTGATTCAGCAATGTTGTGTAAATGTCGCAATCAACGGTCATGAAAGAGCTACGCTTGAGTGCATCGTAGTCTGATCTTACGAGAATGTACTGCCTTTTGTCACAGTGAAAAGATCAGAACCTTGTGGATATTACGACATTTTGTGTAAAAGTGTCATTGTCCAAGCTCTTTGACCTTGGTTTTGGGCCTCACTAACGACAATAAATCTCACGTAAGTCTTTTCAGTAATAACAAGCTATGAGTTCACCTTCTCTAAATAACAGAGACAGGAGTTTGTGAGAATACGGCAACTGGATCGACTTTCAAGGCGTTTTAAATAAGACCATGATTTCCAATCGAAATGACTCATTTCAAACTCCTTGTCATCTGTTTACACATCAACAATTATCAGGACCAGATTGCAATTTTTTTGTTGACTTGGTTTTGGATGTACTTGCCTTTCCAAAACCAGTGTTGACATATCAAAACCATTGACTTTTTTTCTAACACTCAAAATCCTCTACAGGAACTACTTTGCTGATAAAAAGTGTCAGCACCCTTCGAAGTTTGACACAGACGTGCGCTCGATCGATTGATCATTTCCCTCGTCCGTCCAACACAAAACTTGCGCAAAAAATGTCTCAAGTGGTTATTGAGCCAATGAGCGATGCACATTCAACACCAACAACCAAACCTAATACCCACCCAATGGATCTCACAACTGTGCAGAGTAGTAGTAGTGACAAGCAAGGATCAACAACAACTTCTGATCATCAGCGATCATCTTCCACTACGACAACAACACCACCGCAACAAGAAGAAACAATTCTTCAAGTCATTCTTCTCGGTGATAGAAATCACAACATCAAACCAGCAATTTTAAGCACGCAGCTCTTGCCTCAAGAGACTTCAATGATGACAATTTCTGAAAATGGAAATAATACTTCTTCTTGCAGTAATGACTGTATAGAATCCAATGGTGTTGGTGAACAACAACAGCAATTGCGATCAAAAACCGATTCACCAAATTCAACACGACACTATCATCATCATAGAGGATCCTTTCAAGTGTTGGGATCAGCAGGAGAACCAAATCGAGCAAATTCCAGCACGTCACTGGACTCAAATTGTTCATCAGCTTCATCAACCACAGATAGTGTGGAAGCGTTTTCACCACCCAGCAATGGTTTACCACAAGTGGGATCACCAAAATCGCTTCCAACCATGATGACTCAGCAACACAATAATCCATACAATTCAAGCAAATTCATTTCAACGTTGACCATGAATTTCAACCCTAATGCACCTTCGGGAAATGCTGTCTTGCTTCTTTCACAAAAACAAAATCTTTTTGATTCCGTCATTTCTAAAAAGAGTACGAGCTTACCCGAATTTTCGTCACACTTGCACAGTGACAATAGCTCAACGGGAACGGACTATGACGAATTGAGCGGAAGTGAACTCAGTGGTTATAATGACTTGTATATTGTTCGAAATGTGAATACTGTAAATATTGAAGATTTAATTCAATGCAAGGAGGGAAATGCCAACATGTTGGACTCGGATCTTGTCTTTTTAGAACATTTGAAAAAAGTAAGAACCAGATATCAATCGCTATCGGACCGTCTCATTGAATCTGAGAATTTTTACGGTGGAAGTGATGAGATGGGTGGATCACTCTCCAATTCTCCTCAACTCTTGACACCACAAATGGTTCGTACACCTCCAACAATGAATGCACAAGATGAAGCATCTTCTCAGCAAGCAACAGCTCAAACTTTCACATTTTCGTCACTTGAAGCATTCACACAATCTTTCAATGCAACATGTATTGAATATTGTCAAGAAGAATTGAAATTTCTGTATTCCATCATGTCACCATCATTGGAAAGCGTCAAGAATGAAACAACGACTGCAAATCACTCACCTTCTTCGACTATCCCATCCAACTCAACACCTCTTCAATCCCTTCCAATTTACATTTCTTGGAATTCATTGAATATCGATGAACTCAAATGTAGCTGTAACGTTTTGAAAAAGATTTCTGTTCTTCAACACGACTTTACCCTCACTGAAAAGATGTTCATTGCACAAAATTTGGCACTTCCAGATTGTTTCAATTACATGTTATTCGATAACCCAACGAGATCTCTCATTGAGCAAAATAAGGCAATTGGTAGATACAAGATGAATTATAGTATTGACAGTGATGCAAGTTCACCAGAAACATCGCCATCAACGAATGAAAAGAAAAAGAAACGTTTTAATTGGTTTGGAGGATCAAAGAAGAAACAACAACAACAACTTTCGAATGCTGTCGGACGTGGAGGTGGAAATCCAATCACAGACAAGTCCATGTATTTACAGGTCTATATTGTCTTGTTGGAAGTTGCAGATTCTCGTCTCATTCAAATTCCATCAGGTTTTGAACATAATGTATTTAGGTAAGTGTCAGAGCTGTCATTGTGTTCCAATTTCTAAAATTGATTCTATTGATTTCATACACAGATCTGCCATTGCCATTGGTAATTGGTTATTAGAATGGAATGAATATTCTCTCATTGTTCCTTCTCGAAAGTCTCCTCATGGCACTCGTCTCAATCACAACTATCATTACATTCCTCTTCGTAAAATTGAAGGTGAAAATGTAGAAAAGGCACTCATCAAACTCTCCAATTTATGTTGCTTATGGAATGGCAATTTTGTGTACGATTTAAAGAATTGTAATCATCAACATTTTGTGAGGGATGTTTTGGAATTGTTGGAATCTGAAAATTTGTTTTCACCATTACCTGTCACTGCCACTCAAGCATCATTTGTACCTCCATTGCCACCAGTGGGAATTACCAATCCAACTGGAAATTTGGCATCTTCGAGCCCCATTCATATAGGAAATTCACATCGTGATCATGGCAACACTCCTGAAATTCCAATAAGACTTTTCGGAACGAGTGTTGAAATGTTTTTGCATCGAATCCAACGAGATGGTTATTCCTCAATTGCCTTTTATACCAACGAAGAAGTGAAAGAAGTATTATATGGAAAGAAGAAAAAGACAACATCCTCGTCGACTCCAACCAAAACGAATAACCATGGCATGGGATCATCTCCTACAAAATCTACGATGGCTGGAATTGTTGCCTCTCCTCCTCAATCAGCGACCTCAACACGTGCATCTATTATTTCCACAGCTACTACTTTTTCGAATACTACTGTCACTTCGACTTCTTCTTCGCCTGGAGTCATGACTGCAGGTTCTTCGATGGTGTGTGACATGCCTCCATCTCCACAACTTTCATACATCAATAAGAATGGTACAAATGCAACAATTTTCAATTGGAATGAAAAAGATTTTATTACATTTAAAGAACATCGAGATGTGGATAATTTATATTTTCAAATTAAGAGTGCTTTTGGTCAAGGTAATGATTACTTTAACAGCTTTGAAGGTCAATGGGATCGTTGGTTGTTACAATTATTTGACCGAAGTTTCTGGGTTCGTGTCACACAATCTAAAAAACCAGTGGATAGAAATAGCAAAGATTATCCACTGACCAAACAAAATGCAAGATTGACTCTCCATAAAGAGTCATTAGAACAGCTTAGTCAATCTAAGCATGTTGTCACACAAAAAGGAAACGTACTCGTTCATTGTAAGGAAGAAATTAATTGCCCATTTAACCCAGAAGCTTTGAGTACCATTGAGATTGATATGATGAGCAAACTGGCAGATAGTTCATCCTTGGGCGATTATGAACCTTCGGTGCCCTATCGACGAAATTGGATTTCCACGTTCAATTTAACAACAAATAATCAACAACAATAAAAACTTGTACAATTTTTGACATGTGAACACAGATCCATGAGTATTTCCATTGGGGATAGATTTGGAAACTCAAGTTATATGTGCGAAATCCAATTCAAAAAAACTTGTGGTGAACTTGGCCAGTTCTACCGGCTTTCCAATGTGTCCATAAATCCTGTAACATCATAACTCAATGAAACAAGGTTTGTACGAAAAAAAAAGGCGGTGTTTTAGCTGAAATTCATTCAATAACTCCGTAATTTCTGCATTTCCAACTCGTTTCCAACTCAAACTCACACAACCAAATGCATTTCAGCATTTCACTAAAATTTCACCAAGGAAAAAACTCAACTTCATGAATTCATCTACTACAGGACTGACCACCTTTGCCTTTGCCGGAATGATTGGAAAAGAACAAATTATTGCCATTCGTAATTTGATTCGCAAGGATCCCTTACGTTTCATCTTGATTGTTATTCTCGTTATTTCCATTGCTTCGTTTTTTATCATCTTGAACTCATTCTTGGCAGATCAATTCGAATTGAATCATGTCCATGTTCAAACCTGTCACGTGTTGAATGGAAATTTGAATGCACATGTTTGTACCGATTACGATTGCAACGTTGTTACCAACAAAAAGATTCAGTTCCACGCTCCCTTATCCATCCAAACTCAATACTATCCCTCAAGTACAATTTTCACACCAGTCTTCTCTCGTGAGTTGCAAGATCAAGTCTATTCCAAATCAGGAGATTGGATTGAAAAACCATTGAATGAAGCATGTACGAGTGGTGTCAGTACATGTTATGCTCCGTCATGGCAGGTTCAATTGATGCATGAAACCATTCCTTCTCAATTGTTGTCTGGTTTTATAACCACTAATCTCGAAAAAGCACAACAAGTGTTGAATCAACCTTTACTTCATGTCAAATACTTTTGTTTTTTGAATTATTTCAATGATTTGACATGGTTTCCTAGCTCGACGAGTTATATTCCAACCTTGACGTTTGCATTGTTGATGACAAGTGTTGGCATGGGACTCTTTAGTGTGGTGGCATTGAGAATTTTGAGATGTTATCGAAGATGTACAGAACAGAGAAACGAGAAGAAGGTGGAAGAAGGAGAGCATGCAAGCTTGGTTGTGAAAATTAATGAATGATAATTTGGTAGCAATAATAATAAAAGGAGCTCATTCAATGTGGAACATTCAACAATTAAAAAATAGAAAAACGGATGGATGATTTGTAAAATATTGTAATAGGTATCAATACAAAGGAAAAGAGTGTTACTTCAAACCCGTATTCGAAGATCATTTTCCAATATGAGGAAGGTTCCACCTCGCGATATTTAATGTTCTCATCGTTCAATTTATTATTATTATTATAAACAAAATTTAATGAATACTTACTAAAGGCTGATGATGATTACTGAATTTTTGCACAATAACAACAACACCATGAATCATCCTTGTGTTCAAATAATATTGATGGATTTTTCTTCTCACCATGATGATTCCGTCCGATTTGAAAACCCAAATTCTTCTCACTTTACGATTTGCAGTTTGGAGAATTTGCTTAAAATTAAATTTCAACGACAACAATCGGGAAAGAAGAAATGGTTAAAGAACATTGAATTAGAACATAGATCCTTCATTCCAATCGAGTTCATGAACGACAAAGTATTTATCTTGGATCATTTGAAAAAGTGTCGGGATCAAAATTTTCTTTATTTACCCAGAGTATCATTGGAATTACAAAAAGACAAAGAGGTTCTATGGGAAGCAATTCAGCGGTGTGGCTTAGAATTGCATTATGCTCCTTCCGAATTACGAAATGAGAAATTATTCGTGCTCACGGCTATTAAGCAAGCTTACGAAACCATCATGTTGGCCTCTCAAGAATTACAGAACGATCGAGAGTTTGTGTTGGAAGCAGTTCAACATAATGGAAAATCACTCCGTTATGTGAAGGACCAATTTAAGGGTGATCGTGAAATTGTACTTGCTGCTGTGAAACATGACGCCTTTATTTAAATCAACAATTTGAACAAAACAAACAAATCGAACAAAGTGCTGATCTTGCAAGCAAACACTCAAAGAGTGAAAGCCAGGGGAAAGGACCCAACGCACACAAGGTGGGGAAGACCCAACACACAAGGTGCTCAAAAACTAATTCCATGAGTAGTAAGGAATCGAAGAAGAATATTTCTGGCTCCATTGATATCTCTGTCAAAAATTGAGCCACATGATGGACAACGAAACACTTCCGATGATCCAACTGTATAAACATGTCCACAACATGAGCAAGTTTTGGATGTGTACGCTTCGTTGACAATATAAATGTGTGTCCACGGATGCTCTCTAGCTTTGTGAAGCAATCTTTGTGTCTATCATTACCTACCAACAACATGGATCCATCACATAGTAGTAAACCAACCGCCAGTAAGAGTACTGATCAAGGTCACCATAGCAATAGACCTATAGCTAGCTCTAGTTCTGAAGGGATCATGAACTTGTCAATCGTTCCAGCCTTCTTCTTTTCAAAATTAGTGTTGAAAGCAGTCAACAATTCAATAGCGGCAGCATCTCTTACGTCATAAGGAGTATTCACAACCCACTGATTTTCTGTCTGATAATTATCGTTGTTCACCACAAACGTTCTGAAATTCTTCTTATTTTTCTTGACATCTTTGAAGTTGTGTGTAAATTCTAAACACCTGTTGTAGATCCAACGAGCAGTTCCCATCCACTGATTCAATGTTGTCCTTTCTTGTTCATTGGGGTAGAGTCGGATTTTCAATGATTTGTCTGCTTGAAATTTTTGGGCCACCTTTTGATTCTTTTTTGCTTTCTTGAGCTGAGGTGGCTTTTTAGAGTTATCAAAAGCCACATTCTCTGTTATAGAGTGATGGACATTGAGTGGAACATCAAACACTGGCTTTGATTCAATCACACTGAATTGAGAAAAGTTGAACCATCCGTCAGTGCATCCCTTGTTGTTGTACTGATTAAACTCATGAAAGGAATCTCTAGCACATGCCCAAAGCTTATCCGATACTTGTTGTGAGTACTCATCCCAGAATGGAATGATGCTGTGTGCAAGAGATGGATTAGTAGGAGGATGAGTAGGTTCATCCTCTCTACTTCTCTTCATTCGTTGAGATTAAGGTTGTTGTTGAGTTTTTTTTTTGATAACCTCAACAAGAGTTGAAACTCTATCAGTATTGAATGACTCATTGAATTGAAACTCTATCAATTTGAATAACTTGATTCATTCTTTTCGTCCGAACTGATCATGGAAAAGTGAACGCCTTGACAATTCCTTATCCACCTCCAAAACAACACTTTTGATTCAAAGAATGAATAAATGGTTCGTCAGGAACTGACAGTTGATGATAAAAATGACTTGTTGTGTTTGTAATAAATTCTCTTTTATTTTAGTGCTGAGTAATTTAAAACCGATTAAAAAAACAAAACCTCCAAAACAAACAAGGTTATTAATAAACCCTTGCGTCATCAGGACTGTGTTTTACTGATGGTTTTTGAAAGAAATTGCTGTAATTGTTCTTTTGGCTTCAACGGCAACATACTTGAATTTGCATCCGATGACTTGAGAAATGACAAGGAAATTGCATTGTTGGCGATCGAACAAGACCACGAGCTTATTGCTATGTATCTGAAGAACTGCAGGATGACAAAGAAGTTACTTTGTGTGCAGTGTCAAGGGAAGGTTATTTCATACATCATGCGTCTGCACGAATGAAAGCTGACAGAGAGGTTGTATTGACTGCTATCAAACATAGCGGTTTTGCTTTTGCCTTTGTTTCAGACGAGCTTAGAGGAGATCTAGAAATTGTATGGACAGCTATCCAAAGTTACAACGGTGCTATTGAATATGCCTCACCAGAGTTATTAAGAGACAAAGAAGTCATACGGAATGCCATTATCGAGTTTGGACATTTCCCACTTCTCCGATATGCAGTTCCAGAATTACGCTCAGACAAATCATTTGTAATGGAAATGGTCAAGCTAAATGGTATTCAAATCTGTGGTGTTCGTGAGCATTTGAACGACAAGGAAATATTGTTGGAGGCTGTGAAAAACAATGGCTTTGCTCTTTATTATGCAGAAGATGCTTTGAAGAACGATCCAGAATTAGTTATGGAAGCTCTTAAATGTAATGGTTTTGCTCTACAGTATAGCGACGCATTATTTCAAGCAAGAATGGAACATGGTTATTTTGGAGCATTTTTTAGGAAACCTAATTATAATAACTGAACGCAGTTGCTAATACATGAATATCCATTCTGATTCCACAAATCGAATGGTAATAGTTTGGTTGATCGATTTTGCTGAAAGTTTATAAACAAACTGCTTTTCTTAAAGGTAATTTGGAGTTTTGATGAATTCTAAAGAATCATGTTCAATCCCTACTACTTCGAGGAGCAGTATTGTTCTCATTGGTGACAGTGGAGTCGCCGTCCTTATTAAAGTTCAGTTGTGCATCACTGACCTTGTGGCATTCAGTGTCTTGCTTCTTCACCAAATACATTTCATATTCAATTAATTTCCAAACAAAGTCATCAATTTCATCCTTAAAGACTTGTGCTCGTTGAAGTTCCTTTTCAGCATCTTCCCACATTCTACATCTTCTGAAGAGATCAGTTAAAATCATTTCTTCTGTTCCGTTTTGTTGGACAAAAGGTACTGATAATGAACGACACTTTTCAAACCAATAAATTGCCTTCTTTCTACATTTCACAGCATTGTCCAAATGTTTCTCTTCATTGAACTTGTCATGGATGACTCCATCGTCACAGACCCAAGCAGCACGAAGAGATGCCCATCCACTTGCTGCATAATTTCTAAATCCCTTATCTTGCAAAATGGCATAACACAAGAAAGTATTAGCCAAAGGAGACAATGAACTATTATGTAATTGTTCGACATAATCTTCGGATTCAATAATTTCTTTCACCTTCTCCAATGATACTCCTTCATGACCTTCTTCATTCTCAGGTAAGACACTAATATCATAGGAAACGTATCCACAATGAGCACATCGTTGTAACCAACAATTCATGGTATCTCGTTTCATGGGAGGAGGACGTAAATCAAGATCGGAACCTCCCATCGTATTGGTAGAGATTAAAACATCTTGTTTTGATTTTTTAGAGCAAACCGCACAAGTAACTTGTTCCGAAGTAATATTGGTCATGATGAATGAGGGTGTGTAATGATGAGGCAACAAAGGCTGTAATATTTTTTTTTAAGATGATCTTTTTGTTAATCTCGAGTTCTCTTTTCTGATTCTATTGGAATGAATTTGATCCTTTGGATTGACTCAATGATTCTGACCTTGATCTTCTGAAATTAACATCCCACAAACTGAGACTACGATCTTAGTGAAACTACTAAACAGGCCTTGAATTGTCAAAAGGTCCTAATTTGAATTTCAAAAAAAAATTGTCTTTTCAAGAAAATCATACAGTCGTCATCATCATTAAAAAATTCAATGTCTCCGAATGTTGTGTTAGAAGAAGTGGTCCGTGATGATGATGATCATCATCATGAGGAAATTTCTCATCCTTCCCGAACAAGACATTCTCATCAGCATCATCCGATGATCCCTTCCTCCCATCATCATCAAACCACCATCCCATCGGATCATGAGGCTCCTTCTTCCTTCACGTTGGCACTTATAAAATCTCATCCGAGAAAATTAATGCTTTATTGGTTGAGTTGTGTTGTAAAATTTACGTTTGCAATCATTGTGTTTGCAGTGGCCATTAATACATTTGTGGCTTTAGGAGATGTGGATGAATTGGAAAAATATGATAAAACAATGACAAGTAAATTGACGGCATTTATGGTGGGAGTTTCATTGTTACATTTGTTTACGGGAACGGTGATGGTGGTAGGATCGGTGTGTGGAATTGTGGCAAGTCTGTATCCGGGTAGTAAGCCAAGTAATGTCGTGAGCGACAGTATGGGTGTGTCCATTCATGGCTCCGGAGCTGCAGTTGGAGATTTTGGACAAAGTTTGGGAAGTGCTGTCGATCAGGCGAATAGAAACATGTGGAATCCAATTTTTATTTCTAGAGCTTTGAAAACTGCAAATATACGTTATTATTGTAGTATTATTTGGTTGGTGTGTTCAGTGTTGACAATATTATTTCAGGTATGTGTTGATGAGAAGAGTTGGCAAATCATGAATGGTGACGAAATACTTTTTTACACACATAATATGATATTGAATATTCCCAATTGGTGAAATATGTGTTACATCTTGAATTTTGGAATTTCATTCGACTTTTTCAGGTTGGACGAATGATTTTAGCAGGTGTAGGCGTGAGTGTCATGCATTTAATGATTGAGAGATTCAAGTCCATGCCAGAATTAGATGTACAGACAGATGTAATTATTTTAATTTTAACATCGGTGGTTGCACTAGCTGCATGCTCTCCATTTATCGTATTGAGTTTTATTGCCACTAGAAGAATTCGCAACTATAAAAAGGAACTGGAAAAACAACAGGAATTGATTAAAGACTCCGTCATGGATGACATGGATTCCACAGACCTCGAGTTGAATCGATCCAACACATCTGTATAGGCCAAATAGACGATTTTACAATGATTGAAAATGAATATTTTAACTTATTGGTATGTAACTCACACTTTTTGCAACCATAACACCAATAATGATTATTACAATTTATCTCACTACATGTCTAAAAGTTACATTCAATCTTACTCCTTGAACATTTTTTCTTTTTGGAAGTGCATGTTGATAATTACGTTGTGTCTGATAATTCATGACAACCATTGAACCATTTTCAAGAGCCTTAGTGATAATTGGGCTCTTTTTTCGTTTCTTCCCATCCTTATTAGATGATTCATTCTCACCTTCTTCATTGTCACGTTTGTCAGGAATTGGTCTAAATTGAAAGTCTCGTACTTCTCCCAATGAAATAGACACAATGGATGAATGTTGAGCCAAGTCTTTTTCTTGATCAGAATGCCACATGATGGAATCTTGACCACTGTCATATCTATTAATTAAGGCGAATGTGAATTGTTCACCTGTGAATTTTTCAACCTTTTCCTTAAGAGCAATTAATTCTTCAGGCCACTCACTATGTGTTGGTCTTCTATGGCGCTGTGAATAATTACCTTTTAGTTTTGAGACATAGTTTGTTTCTCCAAATGCTGAAATTTTTCTAGGTGATAATATTTTCTTTCCAAAAATGTTATACTCATCTCGTTCCCATGTACACACTTGCATGAGTTTGTCAAACAATTGTTTTGACTCTGTTTTGGAGAGAAAATTTGGAACATATTTTACTTGAGATCCATTAGTATCAATGTCATTGATGAGATAGGTAAAATTTTTTGTTGAATCAGTTTGTGAGGAGGAAGTTGCTGATGTGGATGATGTATTTGTGACATTGGTATTAACAGGCTTAATTGGAGTAGTATTTTCAACTTTTTTCTTCTTGGATTCCGATTTAATGATATCAAGAATGGTTGTTTGTTCTTTAGTTCTCTTCATTTTGGATTAACTGAGGTAGTATACTTTAATTTTTTTGTTTCTTGCTTTGACTATTAATATCTTTTGGAAAATTTCATCTATTTATTCAACAGTAACGTGTGAAGTTGGTGATGTTCTAGCCACTACTCGAACTTCAACAATTTTCATTCCGTGACATAAATCAAGATGATGAATTCAAATTCGGTTCTTCAGCACAGAACACTGTCACCACTGACACACCAATTGTATCATTCTCCAACTACTCATGCCAAAACACCTGTTGACCAAAACAAAAAATGTCATCATCCGATTTAATGTTGACAGTATCATCATGCAATCCACCGAGTGATTCATCATCATCGGAGCCTCTCATTTCCACTCGTTGGCGAGATCTACTCCTCGAGAGTGCTAATGGTTCTCTCTTCATTCATGAAATCATTCCGTACTTGAATGTTCCCTTTCTTCTCAATACGTTGTATCTTGTTTCAAAACCGATCGCAAGGCTCATTCAACAACAAGATCATCATACAATTGTCGTGAATCTTTCAACAAGCAGTAGTACTACGGATCATCCACCACAACCACAACAACAAATCAACAAGACGGTTTTTAAATCCATGATTTATTTCGTGAAAGGTTTGAGAGTGGGTTATTGGCCCTATCCATCGAGTCAAAAACAGCAAGAATTGAATCATAACACGAGAATGAATGTAGCAAAGATGGTATTGGAACATTTGGCCTGCCATTCGAATCGGAAGGAGGTCGTGATGATCGTGGATGAACTGCACTACTACAAAGATTTATCAGTTGTTGCCAATACTTGTAAATCATTGTTTTTAGATATTGCTCAACTCGTTTGCAGCAATATTCTATTGATGGCCCAATTTTCAAATCTTGTCATCAAACATGTGAAGATTTGTAACGGCACCATGAAAGCACTAACGAATGCACTGGAACAAGGTCTTCAAATTGATCGATTGACTGTTGGTGGAGTCTTTTTAGTTCAAGAAATGATTGACATTTCACAAATGTTTGGAAAAAACACAACGGTACTCGTTGAAAAAGTGGTTCTTACAAGTGAAGAGGCTATTCAATTGTTACCAATTATGGATCAACTTGCGTTTTCATCATTGGAGGTGCTGGTAGATGGAGGATCATCTACTGAGCTGATGAGCTCATTCAAAGTGAAAACAAAATCGTTAACAATAAGGGGCCCGAACAACACCAATTCAAAGATTTTTCTTCCCCAAGTAGTATCGAATACTTGTGAAAAATTAGAATTTGCTAATATTAGAGACAACTATTTAGCTCAAAGTTTTACAACTTTGAACTTGTTACCAAATTTACTGTATTTGAAACAACTAGGGTTGGATAATTGCAAAATTTCTATTGCACAACAAGAAAATGACAACAACAATTCAGAAAGACAATTTTACATGCCCAATCTCAATGTGTTGACATTACAAAGTTGTACATTTTCATTTGAAAAGACTACAGATAGCGATGAGGTTATTTGGAGAGAAGATAATTCTCGCTTTATTCACATGCTTCAAATACCCAATGCCACAGATATCAGTTTGATCAAAATGAATTTGAAACAGGTTCCAACATGGAGCAGTGAGAACATTCCAAATTTGACTTCCCTTAATTTAGAGGGCAATCGAATCAACGATCATACTTTCAACGTCTCCTACATTTTACAACATACCAAACTTAAGCATCTCGTATTACGTAACAATGATATTCGGCTTGTAACTACTTTGGAACCTCTTTTCAAAAAATTTCAACGTCTTGACATTCGAGACCTTTCTATTAAGGGCAAACTAATGAGAGTGAATGGATCTATTCAATCATACTCAGAAGATATTCTAAAAGAGACAGAACGAAACAAGTACTATGACAGTCCCAGCGGTTGTAGTTTTGTATTAGGAAGCGACGCAGACATTTATAGGCGCCTTAAAAGCTTATTCTCTCGAGACGAGTTTGAGAAAAATCCTTACATTCCAGAGCCTCATTATTACCTTATTCGATATTTAAAGAAGAGTGTGTTAGGTCCACCTCAAAATATTATATTCTGGAACGTGTTATGTTCGGCACAAATTGATTCTTCGACAAACATGGACTTGGTGCGAGAAATTACTCAATTTGCCGTTTACAAGATGAGAGAGAAAAAGTGGTGCTTTTTTGCGAAAATTTATTTTACCAAATCACGATCTCAATTATGCAATATGGCGAGCAAAGATATGGAATCTAGCATTCCATACATTATTACGAACTGGAGTTATTTTGCATCTCATCTATCTTTTGTGCGTCAATTAAGAGATCAATATGGCGTAAGATAATGATGTCCTTATTATGAATTGGAATGATGGAAATTAATATTGGACTAATCGTTATTAATCTTGCAATGTTGTTACAGTGTTTTTTCATTCAATGAATTTCCCAGAAGATACGATTTTATCAGGTCATGTATCTTCCAAAACGTCACTTTTCAAATACAGCCAAAATTAAATGAACAACGGACAAATTAATGAAACTGTCTCATCAAACCCTCATTATAACTATCATCAACAACAAACAAAAAATTCCAATCTCAGTACTCTCTCTCTCTTCATCACCCTCTCCTAAAAACACATCATTGACTTTCCGAGTAATTGACAACAAGCATTCTCATTCGTTCTTTCAAACACAAAGTTTGTTCTTTCAAAAATAACAAGAACCATCACACACAACCTAAATTCATCATTCCCATCTGTCGTCGACGTGTTTCCACATCATGAATTATCAAATTGTAAAATATTTAACTTCCTCTTCGGATGGTTTCATCAGTAGTAGTAGTAGCGGAGGCACCTCTGGAATTCATTCTTCAAATTCTTCTTCACTCGATGAGGATTCTGGTCTAGATTTCAACATGTCTTCACAACAATTAGTAGCCATGATTGTTACGAAAGAACGAATTACAAAAGTTTTGAAAAAAGTATTGTGTCATTCTGAAAAGGAATTGAATTTGAGAATTTCGGAAGGATGGAAATTGAGACATTTGAAGTGTCCGTATTTGTTGGAAATTGAGGATGTGTTTTTTGAAAAGTTTAACATGTCGTCGGTGTTGTTGTTGAATCAACAAGGTTCTACTCGTGTGACTTTTGACAGCAATCATAGTGTCAATTCTGTCACAGGTCTCCAGTCAGAATCTTCGTCATCCTCTCAGCAAATACAACAACAACAGAATCATACGTCCGATGAGTCCTCTTCTTCTTCATTGAATGATTCTCTCACGTCACATTCTCAAAAATATTGGATTTGTTTTTTAATGGAATACTTTAAGAATGGAGATTTAAATCAATATATCAAACGAAAATTTAAACAAAAAGAACAATCGAATTCATTGAATGCATCTTCTCCAACAAGTCAACATTTAGGTTCTGTATTTGAAGTCATTAGTCGAGACCAACTTTTACATTTCATGTTGCAAATTGCAGAAGGAGTTCAGTATTTACATCACGAAGGATTTGTGCATTTGGATTTGAAACCGCAAAACATTTTTGTTACCAATGACGAACAATCGATCAAAATTGGAGATTTTGAAACATTGCGAAAACTTGATTTCAAAGTACAAGATGAAGCAAAAGAAATTCAAAAGATGAAAGAATCTGGAACGAGTATCCATGATCCCTATGCTTTTGTTGAATCTCTGTCTTTCCATCACGCATCATCCTATAATTCAGATCAAAAACTTTATGGAACTGTGAAATATTGTTCTCCTGAAATGATGTCACAAGAACCATTTGGTTACTCGACAGACATGTGGTCTCTCGGATGTGTATTCTTTGAAATGATTTTTCAAGTATTGAATCGACAATTTTACATTGAGGTCTTTCAGAATAATCATTTTTTTGCTCAATTGACTCAACAAATTACAGAGTGTGTTCCAAACGGCGAGGAGTTGGCAAAACTCATTTGTCGATTACTGGATCCAGTTCCTTCCAATCGGCCAACTGCTTCTCAAACTGTTGAAATTTTAAAGACAATTATTGGATCGAAAGCAACACTTCCAAATTCCAGAGCTCGTCACAGTATGGCCAACGCGAGAAGAAACACTGCTATTCCATCCAAAACAATAACTCAAAACTTTTACCAGAAATTTTTATTACGTTCTCAATCGAACAAGACAAGCTTGAAACCTTCGTATTGGGAAGAATTTTCAATTATTCCAAAAATTGCATACGAATCTCTCACGTCCAACGATGTCAAACAAATCAAACAATTTTTAGAGAGGAAACAAACCGTGACACCTCCAGAGCTTTCTTTATTTGATCAATTCTCGAATTTTTATGTCATGAAACAAGATAAGAAGCAATTGCTGTTTGGAATTTCTCTCAACAAGCTCATTGAGATGATTACCGTCACTGAACATCGACTCTATGATGCAATCAAAGATGTTCGTTTTAGAGAATATTCAGATGTCGCTAATGATTATTTTGAAGTTTTTGGTGAAGATTGTATTCGACCTGAAGCAAATATTGAAAACAAGGAGTTATTCAGAAAGACATTCTTTGTCGGCTATTTACATTTACTCTCTCCAGATGGTCTTTTATTGAAAATATTTGAAAGATTAAGCTTGCCATTAATGCTCCTTCTGAAAAGTTACAATTTAGACAAGGTGACCACTGCAACTGGCGGTACGAGTATTTTGGAAGAATCCATCGGTGAACACATTGAAAGAATTACAAGAACCATGTCTCAATTATTGAATCATATTGAATGTTTGGAAATTATAATTTGCTGTTTTGACATGCTTCGATTTTGGATTTCCAATTATCAATATCAATGGAATTCAAACATGTTAGAATTTCTGAGCAAGATTGTGGAACAAGTCTCTGTGATTGGAAAATTGAAGAAAACCGATCATTCCAAATTGCCAGAACCAACCGTCTTCCTCAGCAAGATTAACAACATTTTAGAATTGAGTCATGTCTTGCTCGATCATGTCCACAAGAAGCAAAAACTAGCCAATTACAAAAAATCTCTCAAAAAGAAAGTTGGAATTAAGGAATATATGGAATTTGCATCGCTCGAAGTGGAAGCCAGTCAAAACAACAAGGTGAGCTCGTTTGTTAAAAACAAATTATCGAATTTTGTGACATCTACGGACTCTAGCGGTGGCTATCGAAAGAAATCTCACTTTGATATGGACGATGATGAATTTAGCTCTCCACACGACAAGGAAGATGAAGAAACTTCAAGTGGATCAACAGGAGAATTCTTTTACTTTTACAAAACCATTTATACAGATTCTTCCAAATGTCCAAGACCTGTCATTCCACAAAATGTATTTTCAGCATCTCTCAGATGGGTCGACGTGTCACCTCTCGAACTTGCAAGACAAATCACAATTGTGGATCACTTTTTCTTTAATGAAATTTCAAGTGTGGAATTTTTAGATTATACTTCATTCACACTCAATAATTGCAAGAAAACTCAAGGACATTTAGATTTCAATTTACTCAATACTGGTTTTAGAACTCAATTTTTCAAAATGAGTTGTCCGAAATTGTGTAAATTTTTAGAACTTGTTCATGATCGTGTGAATTGGCTCATTTTAGATATTTTGGACAAACCCCATATCAAAGATCGAGTTGAAATGATGAACAAGGTGAAACACATCATTGTTGAATTATATACACTTCAAAACTATGCCAGTGCTCATGCCATGGCCACCATGTTCACACATCCTGCCATTAAGAATCATTTACAATTTACACTCTTGGATGCTAAAAAGAAAGAAAAAGGAAATTTCAATCACATGTTTAAACATGTCATGAGAGTGTTGGGAAATCCAAAACATCATCATGCAATTTTGTGGGCACAACAACAACAACAACAACAGAAACAACGAGATGAATTAGTCACTTATCATTCGAATGAGAATTCTAGAGAAAGTTCGATATCGAGACCCAATTCCACAAATTCCACAAATTCACATGATTCAAAGATTATTCCCATCAAGATTGGACAAACTCGATTCAGTACTTGTTCGACATTTAGCACCTTACATGTGCTGTCACATGCCAATCATCACAACGCTTCTCAGAATATTTCATTATTGTCAACAACCTCGAACAGTCCTTCCAAACGTCCTCAAATTCGAAAAAGCAATGCTGCAGACAGTGACCATATGAATGATCATTCCGACGATGAAGACGGCGATGAGAATAATAATCAATTAGATTCTGAATATTCTGTATTTATTGAAAATCAATACGAACGAAATTCCATTTCAACTCAAAATGATGACAAGTTGTCAAATTCGAATGCTGCATTTTCACACATGCCAACTCCACCTCTTCTCCATTTCAAGTCCAAATACGATTCCTTTTATGGATTTGACATTCGAACAAAATTTCACTATGCTGACGTTTTATTTGTCGAAGACGAAAGATATCAAAATTATAATGACATTTTTGATGGATGTCGATTACCAGCCATTCCAGTGGTTGAAGCTCATTTGCGAGAAATTATGTATATTCAAAATCATTATTCTGATTGTTTACATCAAGAGGAATTGAATTATTGTTACTCGACAGAAATTACTGAAAATGTCAAACATCAAAATAATATGGTTCGTTGGGGAAAATTCGAACAAGTCGCAGTTGCTTTGAATCGATTGGAAAAATGTCGAGTAGATTATGCATTGCAACCAGTTTTCCAAATTCAAATGTTAATTCAAAAGCAACAACGAGATACTGCCTTACTTTATGGATCCACGAGTATGATGAGTGTTGAACATTATATCAAGCTTGCGAGAACAAGAGAACCAGTTGGAAGTTCACGAAAAGATATTTTGTAATTTTAAATCAATTTTAAAATCAATTTGATAAATTTCAATTTAATTTTATATACACAGAAAGTGTGAAAAAGAATTTTTCAAAATTCTACATTAAGAACATTTTTAAATCATTTTGACAATCATGACTGTCAGAAACGGATGCCATTTTAGTCAAAAACAATGAATTTCGTTTTCTACTTGTTGACGAATTTGCTTGATGTGAAGAGGTTACTTCTTGAGGAGGCAATTCCACCTTTGAAAAGGCTCTCATTTCTCGTACGATCGTTTCGAAACATTCCACAACATTCCAAGCCGTTTTGGCACTTGTAAAAATTAAAGGTGTGTTTTCCGAAAGTAGTAATTCCGTTTTCATAAATTCCTTAATTTCCTTTTCTGTCAATTCTCGATTTTCATAATCTTCAGGTATCAAATCAAACTTATTTGCCACTACCACACAAGGATACAAATTTCCTTTCCACTTCTTTTCATGTTCTTCTTCGTCATGAACTTCTTCCTTTTTAAGACGTTCCAATTGTTTTGTAAATTCTTTCAACTCTTCCAAAGAAGATTTTAAAGTACAATCAAAAACCAAAACAAATCCAAAAGCAGATCTCATATAGACATCTCGTAATGTTTTGTATTCATCTTGTCCAGCAGTGTCAATGATGGTGAGATGAGTCTCCTTGTTGTCAATAATTTTATGAACCGAAAAGGTGGATTCAATGGTTGGATCATAGTATTTCATAAAGTGGTTTTGTGTCCATTGAACAGTGAGAGAGGATTTTCCCTGTTGATGAAATATTATTTGATATCCAAGATGTGAAGTTGTTGGTTACATTGTGATGATTTAGAAAAATTATTGACAAGTGACAGCAAGAGTGATCGAATTCATCATAGAAATACTTACAACTCCACCACAAACAGCTAGTGTAAATTCATCAGAAACTGGTTGGGACATTTTTTTCTCAATATGAGACAACAAAAATGACAATTATTGACATTTCATGTTCATCCAAAAACCTAATTCCAAGTTTCAAAAGGTAATGAGAGATATTAAATCAAAAGTTAATATAATTCATCAATGATTCAATAATGATTATTAATTTATTTTAATAATTTGAATATTCAATATTCAATATTTAATTTTTTTTACAAAATCTAGAGTTTGATATTTTACAATTTCAATAATTGTTCATTCTCTCCAAATCACTTTGTGTATCACCCTTATCCGACACGGATGACAACATTCCCTTTCTTGGCGACTTGGGTGGTTTCAATGGATTAGTGACAGGTTTTTGACCTTTTTCAAATTCTCTCATTTCTCGAACAATGTTTTCCAATGCTTCTTTCATATTCAAACCATTCTTTGCACTCGCAAATAAAAATGGAGTTTTTTCAGAAAGTCCTAATTGAGTTTTGATAAACTCCTTAATTTCCTTTTCTGTTAAATATTTTCCTTTTGGATTTTCTTGAATGAGATCATATTTGTTTCCAACGAAAATGACAGGATAATCTTTTCCATCGACTTGTTTGAATTCTTCGGATTTGATTCTGTAAATTCTTTCCGTGTATTTTTGTAATTCTTCGAGAGTGGTTTTGGAAGTGCAATCAAAGACGAGAACAAAGCCGTAAGCGTTTCTCATGTAGACGTCTTGAAGAGCAGAGAATTCGTCTGTGTGGATTTTTTGACATTTGACACGAGTTGAAATATAATCAATGATGTGTATGTGATTCATGATCCAAAGTAAAGTTTGACATTACAAGAATTGATGATTATGAAAATTTCATCAATAAGTTACACTCACCTTGTCCAGCAGTATCAATAATTGTTAAAAACGAAGTTTGATTGTCAACTTTTCGAGCAATGTTAAAAGTTGCTTCGATGGTTGGATCGTAAAGTTCAATAAATGTATCTTGAGTCCATCGAATCGTAATGGATGATTTTCCCTGTTGGGTTGGATGATATATAGTTTCAAAATGATGATCAAGAAAATTTAATTTTGAAATTTCCTGAAAATACTTACCACTGCACCACCTCCGCAGACGGCAAAGGTGAATGTTTCTTCATTCTTGTCGTTTCTTGGCATTGTTGATGAGATTAGTTGATGCTCTAGTGAATTTTTTTTATTGTTGTTGGGTAGAAGTGATGGCAGATTTGACATTTGACAGCAGAGATGAACTTGGAAGTTTGTTCGAGAGCACAGAGTTCAAGAGAAGAGATGGTCTTAATTCCTCAGTTCCTCATCAACCTCGTTACTAATCCCAAACACAAACAATGTTTACCTTTTCAATTTAATGGACTCATATAAACACTCCAACTCATTGGAAATTCTCCAACTTGTTGATGAATCATTGTAAATCCCAATTGTTCACATAATCGCATCATGCCATACTGCACAGAGGGAACTCGAATCAATACAAATCCACAATTCTTAAACATGACTTCTTTTCGGGCCATTGCAAGTGCAATTAAGAGAAATTCTTGAGCGATGGAAAAATTGGAAGCATGATATTCATGGGGTTTGGAAAAGGTTGGAATTTGTTCTTTCAATAAGAAATGTTCAATTTCTATGATGGCAGGTTGTAATAGAGGAATAGAATTTGAAGTTGTGATGGATGCATCTACAGAGGAAGAAGGAGACGATGATGATGATGAATTGTGTGAATCAATCATGGATTTCATCATGTGCTCTAGCACGAAATTAGAAATGGCTAATTCTTGTGAAGAGGATGACGACTGGATGGTTGTCTTTTGAGAAAGAATTGAGGAATTACTATTGGTGACTATCAATCGTTTGGATAATTGAATGTATCCATAAACAGCTTGTGATATTTTCTCTTCAGAAGTGCCATTGTAATTGTCGTCATAGAGAACCAAATCGAGCTTCTCTCGAGGAGGAGGCACTTCCAAGTTGAAAGCCTTCTTGGTTTTTGCGAATTTTTGTAACACTCTTCTCCTTATAAAAATTAATATCAATCGCATCACATAAATTGATGTGATGAGAATGATCAAAATTGTTGCTATTAGAAATAGCGTTAAATAAATGATAGTTTTGATTGCTGGAGCAGTCTTCAAAATGGATGTGACGCTTGCTGAATGGTTCACTTTCAATGCTTCAGTCCTCACGGTTTCAAATAATACATTCTCGATATGCTTTCCAAGTGAAGACACTTTCACAAGACTCACCATGCAGATGGTTGTGAAAATAAGAATTACCATAAATAATAAAAACACTTTGAAAGGTCCATAATAATATTGCATCATTGAAAAGACACTTTGTGTATGATCTGCTTTTGAATTCCAATTCCAGCTCAATAAACTTTGATGAGAAAATTGTTCAAACAAATATTGATTCATGGATGGATCTGAGAACGACAAGTCATGCGGCACAACAAACGTCACTCCAATTTGATTCTCCAATAAATTATTTCCATCGTTATTTGGTTTTACAATGGTTTGTGTTGATCTCTGTCCCAACAATTCATCATTGTGGTGATTCTCATTATTTTCTATCAGTGCTTGATGTTGTTGCACTCTCTCAAAATTGTCATTCTCTCTATTTTCGATACGGTGATTACTAAAAAGTAATTTTGAAATTAATTGACGAATACCAGAAGAGCCTTTCATCAAAATATCCACTGGAAATTTACAATGATACGCAAAATTCATATCCGATAATTCCAGTTCCAATTCTTGTTTTTTCAATTTCTTCAACAAGGGATTCGGAATTTGTGGTGTCGTTGTTGCTTCATTTCCTTCATCAATTCCTCCATCAAGATGTTGATTTTCCAGAAGGATCACTGAATTGGGATGTTCTATCAATTCATCACTACGAGCCACCTCTAACCCAAAGCCAATAAAGGACGGAGAAGAAGAGCCTTCTGTTTGTTGCATTTTTTTAATTTCTCAGCATTTCTACCAGCGACACACTTTGAAGTTTGGTAGGATTACAAAAAAATATAGAAAGACTCTTCCAATACGACTCTCTGACATTGTCTGACTCTTACGGATCAAAATATTCAAAAATTTATTTCAATTCATTGATTCATATCTTGTACTCTTTTAATTTATTGGACTTGATATTTCATCATCATGAGTTTTCTAACGAATTTCATTCGGACACTGGTATCGGGTGATAAAATCCGATGTCAGGAACAAGTAGGCTCTACTTATTTTGATTTAGATTTAACCTACATTACGAATAGAATTATTGCAATGGCCATTCCTGGAGAAGGCTTTAGCTCGGTCTATAGAAATCATATTGAGAGTGTTGCTGAATTTTTCAAACAGAAACATGCAGGACACTTTATGATTGTTAATTTATCGGAAATACCCTATGATTATGAATTGTTTGAAAAGGGAGTTGGAGGTGGTAAAGTCATTGAGAAGGGTTTTCCGGATCATCATAATCCGCCTGTGGAATATTTAATTGAAATTTGTGAGGAGATGGATCGATTTTTGAAGGATAATCCAAATAATGTGGTCTCCGTGCATTGTTTAGCAGGAAGAGGAAGAACTGTACGTGATTTTGCAATTTTATTAATGCATTTGATTCATATTTTGAAATGATCATTCTATGAAATGCATCATTACTATCTCACAATCAACAACCATTGACTTATTCAACATTCAATTTCATTCATCATTTTCTCTGGCCACGTACTTGATTATAATGACCCCATTTTACAGGGAACTGTCATTGCTTGTTACATGACTTACAGTGGAATGTTTGAATCAGGAACAGAAGCTTTAGATTATTTTGCATCGAAACGATCGACTCGAGAGCGTGGTGTTGCTCAACCCAGTCAACGTCGTTATGTACAATACGTGAGCGAATTGGTCTCCATGTTTGGCCAAGACACCCTCAATCTCAAATCTCTCATCAGCAACTACTTTAGAAAACGAGGAAAACAAATTTTAAAAAGCATCACCATGTATACTGTTCCCAAATTTTCAAAAGATGGTTGTTGTCCAGTCATTGAAATTTACACAGCACCTACTCAATTCAATCCTAAACAATTACTCTTTTCAAGTACTGATAGAAACCCATTACGATATTACAGAGAAGAAGATGGAGTGATTGAGTTTGATATTGACACGATATTGAGTGGTGACGTTTACATTCGAGGTTATCATCATAGAGACAATAAGAAACCCAAATACATGTTTCGTATTTCATTCCATGTAGGCATGATGCCTAACAATGGTATTTTACGATTAACCAAGATGGAAATTGATGATGCTTTAAAATCAAGTGCTTTTGATAATGATTTCTTTATGGACTTAACATGGGAGAAGATACAAGGAAGTGAAGAAGATGAGCTCGATGAGGACATTGCTCTACAAGAAGAAGTGTTAAATGAAAACTTTACACTCGACGATTAAACCACCACAACTGTGTCACTGTGAACGAACTCCAAACATCTATGAAGGGACTTCTTGTTGCTGAGAGGGTTCATTCACTCCTTTCTGCCCATTCCAATTGATCAAATTTCCAGTCAATTTGACCTGAACGCCCTCAACATTAATAAGGCGTTTTTCCTTCATCGTTCTTTAGAAACAGTTTGGAACTCGTTTCGGGGCGATGACTTTTGGAGTCACACACAAAAAAAATTATTCAACACAAACTCCTTCTTCTTCGCTCCATTGATTTTGCCGTCTGTGACTCAACAAGAATTGAGATCCATTCATTTCACTGTCACTACATAACCGTTCGTGCGCTCTTAAAAGTCACAACAACCACAACAAGACTCGATCTAATCCGATCACATCATCACCATTGAATCATCACCATCAATTATTTTCACAAACAATGAATCCATTAGATCCGAACTGGGTTGAAGTCCAACATCGATCCTTCTTAAACTGGGTCAACTCCAAATTGAAAAACCGAAACATTCAATTGACCAATCTTGCCGAAGATTTCAAAACTGGTGAAAACTTGTTACTCTTATTGTCTGAATTAACCAAAACAGAATATCCATTGGCTTCTCTTCGTCCTCAATATAGAATTCAAATGATGAATAATATTGCAGAAGCTTTGAACATTATTACCAAAGATTTGGGTATTCAATTGGTGAATATTGACAGCAATGACATTGTGGATGGAAATTTGAAACTCATTCTTGCAGTGGTCTATGCATTGATTTACAAATTCCAAATTTGTCAAGTATTGGATCAAGCTGATCTTGCAGGAAAGGAAAATTTAACCAAACAAAATCCAGAAGCTCTTCTCTATATTGAACAATTGCTATTACAATGGTTAAATTCCACACTTTACAATAATCAACCAGTATTGACCAATTTAACAACAGACTGGACCGATGGTGAAAATTTGAAAAAACTCATCTTGCATTTAACCAATGGTCAATCCAGTACTCTCAATGATCCTGAATGGTCTTCGTTCGATCCTGTCAAGAAACTTTCTCTTTGCATCGATCAAGCTGAAAATGAATTGCACATTCCACGAATTCAGGATGCACAAGATTTAGCGCAATCTCCTGATCGATTCAGTATGATTGCTTATCTTTCATATTTTAGAATGGTGAAAAAGAAGAATGAAGAACAACAGATTGTTCCTCCAACTGTCCAAATTCCACCCGTTCAGATGGTACAAGAGCCAAAGAAAGTTGAAGAACATGTTGTGGTTCAACCTCCAGTGGACATGGATCGGGAATTGAGTGCTTCTTCAGCACCTCCATTGGAAGAAGTGTCAAATGTCAATCCAATTTCACAACCTCCAACGTCTGCAGTTGTTCACGTACAACCTCCTAAATTACCTCAACAAATGCCTCAATATCAACATCATCAACCCAAACCCCAACAACCCATTCTCGTGAACCAACCACCTCCATCTTCTCAACCTGAAGCGGGTATGATGAATCTTCCAAGCAGTCACTTGTCACAACAAGTTTATTTACCTCAACAAAAAAGCATGTACCCCAATATCCAAATTTCAAGTCCTCAAAGTCCAGTCACAGCTCAATTACAACAACAATGGTTACCTTCGAGCACTACTAGTATTAGTACGAGTGGATCTTATCCAAATAACATGTCACATCCATCTTCAGCTTATTTACCAAATTCTACAACTTCTCAAAATGCATTTAGTTCAACATCAACCTCTCAGCAACCACAACAACAACCAACAATTTATCCAATGAACATGACCATGAACACCATGCAGTATCAACAACAACAACAACAAATCATGCCAATGATGGGAATTCCACAACCAAACATGATGGGAATTCCACCTCAGAATTCTCCTCAAATTGTAACCACAACGACCACCACCACTCATAATGTATTTCACACAGATATGTTTGGAAATGTCTATTCACCTCAACTACCACCCCAAGGTCCATACTTTTATTGAGAACCAATATAAATAAAAATTATATTCACACATTTTCTTAATGGATCACCAATTAATACAAACAAATTCACAAAAGATTTTTTTTCTCAACTGACGAGCTCAGTTCCATCCAATCTCCAATTACTAACCGTTTGATATCAAAAATGGTTTTTTGAAGGTTGCACAATTTTGAAAAAAAGCAGGCACCTCAATTCTCATCCAAAAGAGCGCACAACTGTCCTACATCAACGTTCTGTCACCAGCTGAGGACTGGTAGATCTGAATATAACACAACGTCAAAAAAAACACCACCATGTCTCTGCTCGATATTCGAAAATTTGATTCCCTCTCACTCAAAAGTCACTTGTCAAGTGCTTGTCTTGTTTTGCTTCTTGTCTTATTTTGTATTAAAGCTAAATCCATAACTCTTCATTCTGCTTCCTCCTCCTCTGATTTCACTCCCGTTGAAGTCCATTTAGCTTTTACACAAATTCCCAATCAAATCGTTGTTTCCTTTCATACATTAAATTACGATGAAAAATTATTGGGATTTCCAATGATTAAATTTTCACACAAAGATCGAACATTGAAAGGAGAGTTTCAGACAGCAACACTTGGAAATGTCGTGACACAATACGGAGAAGTCTCGCATACTGGATATGATTTTAATGTCTTGTTGAGTAATTTGGAATTTGACAAGTTGTATTATTATCAATGCACGTTTACAAGAAATGAAAATGTGTCAAGTGACATTTATCATTTTCATACAAGAACTGATCCACAAAGTCCGGAGAGTTATGAAACCACTGTCATTTCGTATGGTGATCAAGGAATTTTAAACAGTTATTACGTCATGGAACGTGTCAAGGACTACATTTCAAAGTTTTACAATTCCAGTCAAAAGAATTTGTTTGTTTATCATTTAGGTGACATTTCAGTAAGTTTTTTCAAAAATTCTCAACAACTCGCTTTGAATGATCATGTCTCAAAAGTACGCCGATGATTATCCTGGATTAATTTATCAAGCTGTTTGGTCTTGGTATATGAACAAAATGACATCCATCATGCCCTATGTGTCTTATATGGTTCTTCCAGGAAATCATGAAGTAAGTATTAAATGAATGAATTGGTATGAATATGAATGAATCATTTCAAAGATGGGTCCTTTACATCATCCTTATTATTCCTTTGAATTGGGATTTCAAGCATTGAATCATCGATTTTTCATGCCTCTTCGAAACAACTCTAATTTTGGACATAATATGTGGTATTCATTTGAATACGGTCCAATTACGTTTGTTTCCATCTCTACTGAAACCAATTATCCTGGTAGGTTGTTTCTTACTATTTTTGGTAAAATTAATTTCGCAACATGATTTAACATTCATGATTACAACACACTTCTCGACGTTTCATAAAGAAAACTTCTTTCCTGAATATGTGTTTAAGGGTGATCAATTAGCATGGCTAGAACAAACTTTGGCAAAAATTGATCGAAAACGAACTCCATGGGTGATTGTCACTGGTCACAGACCAATTTATTCGAGTGCTGTTGGTTATAGCAATTCTCACGGAATTCCAGATGGACAAAGCGTGCCTGTACAACAAGCATTTGAGGATTTACTTGTGAAATATCATGTTGATATCATGTTAGTGGGTCATGTACATGTATGTATTTTGTTTGTTGAAATGTTCTCGAAACATTTTCCCATTTGACATTTGACAGTCCTATGAAAGAACCTATCCAGTCTACAAGACACTAGTCGAAAGAAAAGATAATTTCCACAATTTAAGATATCCTATTCATATTGTCAATGGAGCCGGTGGTTGCATTGAAGGTAAGCACATCTCTTTAACATTTCACACCTTTCACACTTTACAACAAAACACACCAATCATTCCAAAAGGTCTCACATGGAGCTTTATGTATCATTGGGGCATCAATTGGAGTGCACACATTTACAACAAGGACGAAGGTTATGGCATTTTGAAAACTTCCTTCAATCCTCAATCGAAAATTCATTCCTTAACCTTCTCCTTCTATTCTGCTGGAGAAAATCAATTAATTGATTCAGTCACCATTACCAAAGATGATCTTTGATAATCTTCTTTCCAACCTTCACATTCAACATGTGTTGACAGTGGTTTTCAAGTACGTGCATTGTAAAAAACAATTCCAAGTTGAGTAAATTCCACATTTCCGGTCATTCAATCTGCTGACCAAACTCCAGTCTATCAATAACTTGTTCGTCGCATGTTCCAATCGACCAAAAATTTATGTGTTGTACACTCGCTCCACGAATTGATAGAAGTTTCATTTTCCAATTTCTTTTTCAAATTTGAAAAAAAAAACAATTTTCCTATCTCTCATCAAATCATCATCCATTTTCATATTATTATTCAAAAAAAAATGTCCTTCTCTGAATCAAATACTACTCTCTCAAATTCTAGTAGTAACAGTAGCGATGGAGGTGGAGGCTCATCATCTTTTAATTCTTCATTGAGTCCGGGATTGATCTCATTGACAAATCTTTCTCAAATACAAGGATCTTCGGGTTGGGATAAATTTCCAAGAAAATCTCTCGTTCTCTCGTCTGGTTCGGGTGTGTCATCCAAAAAGAAGTTGTTGGCATTGAATATTCCAAAATTGGAAATTTTATTGGAGAAGGGAGAGGGATTGTCGATAAGAAAATCATCCAAAGCAACAAGTTCGCCCTTTGTAGTGTTGAATTTGTGTCATGATGCGTTTCTTTCACAACGAAGATTGGAATCATCGAGCGTGAAAAATCAATTAGATCCAGTTTGGAATGAAGTGTTTGAATTTGAGGTTTCTCCGAGTGTGAAAGAAAAGGGCCAGATTGAAGAGATTGTTGCCATACAGGTGTGGCATAAGGGAGTGTTTAATTCTGGAGTTGAAAGTTTCATGTAAGTCGTCAATTATTTGTTTTTTCATTCTTTATATATTCTTTATATCTGTCTTGTTGACCTGAATTCATGAAATATTAACAATATTTTCACAATGAAGGGGAGCTGCCAACATTCCATTAAAATCACTTGTCGAAGATCACATCCATCATTACACACTGGATTTAATTGGTGTGGAAAGAGGAAAAATTCATTTACAAGTCATTCCTCGAAATTTTGGATTCAAATCACAAACGGAACGTGACACATACTTGAATACAGGCAAGCAACAAAACAGTGTATTCCAACTCACCAAATCAGACATTTTGAAAATCAAAGATGCCTCCAGTACTGCTGAAGTTTCAGTTGATACTCGAAAGAGAATGAAAAAGATGCAACAATACAAAATTGTAGAAAAACTTCAAAAAGGAGGATTTGGAGTTGTCTACAAGGTGATCGATCTCGAAGATAAGCAATCTACCACAGATAAGCCAAATTACAAGGCAATGAAAAAAATCAAATGTGACACGGATCAAGAAGCCAATCAAGCCATTCAAGAAGTTTGGTACATTCGAAATTTGAAACATGAAAATTTGGCATCCTACGATGACATGTTTCTTGAATTTGTCGAAGATGAAAACACCAAAGAAGTTTCTTTCAATGTTTGTTTTGTCATGCCTTATTATAAGGATGGAGATTTAGATTCATTGATTATGAAGAGAAGACAACAACGAAAATTCTTTTCTGTTCATCGATGTATTGGATACATGCTTCAAATTGCAAAGGGAATTGAATTTTTGCATTCCAAGAGAATTATTCACAGAGATTTGAAACATAAGGTGAGTTTTATGGGACAATATTGAATCGAGTATAACACATTGAATTTCACAAATGACCATTTTCACAAACAATATTTATACGTTTTTGTGAAAAATTTTTCAACATTTTGATTCATGGGGTCACAACCTTATGAAAAACACTTGTTTGTTCAAATCATTTCACGATCATCTTAAAAAGAATGTCTTTTTAACGGACAGTTACAACACGTTAAAATTGGGTGATTTTGGCTTTTCTCGTTCCCTCAATGAAAAATCTCTCGCATACACTGTTTTAGGAACCACCAATTACATGGCTCCAGAAATTGCCATCAAATCCTCCGGTCAACAAATCAATGGATACACCTTCTCTGCAGATATTTGGAGTTTTGGTGTCATGTGTTACGAATTATTGACCTTAAATTGTGGAGTTAAAGGTTTTTCACACTACACCAAAGCACTTCAGAACAATGAAAAATACATTGAGAAAATTTTGGATGATATGAAAAAGATTTATGGAAAACAAGAAGATGTAGTGCAATTCGTCGTGTCTTTGTTAAAGTTAAATCCAGCAGAGAGACCTTCCGCAGATGAATGTGTTGAAAAATTGGAAGAATTTTACAAAAAGTATGCCGAAGCTTCACCAGCAGCAACAAGTGATTCTTCTTCGACGACGACATCATGCTCCACGCCAACCTCTGAAATTCAATAATTTTGCCAGAGAGATTGATAATAATATTTTTTAAGCAACTTTTGTGATGACGACAATAATAATGTGAACTTTTATTTCTAAACCATATTACCTCAAGTGTAAAATTTAACATTTGCACGATGTCTCAAAAATTCCTACTGCAATCTTTGGTGGAGATTTCTTTACAGAGTGGATGGTACTTGTAGTATCTACTTTCTGGAACCCTTAGCAACATCAGGCGCGAAAAAACTTGCCAAAAATTGCGCGAAAATTCCAACACCCCAGCTGGTTGCAACCCCAAACCAAAAAAATTTACAAGTTAAATTTCGCCCAACAGCAAGAACAACGGCGCATGATAGTTGCTAAGGGGTGACCAAGCAACATGTTGCTAAAGTCCGCAAGTCAGAGACATGCGGAAGGGTAAAGAGGTCTCTGCTTTTTAAGATCGCATGTCTTCTTGTTTTGTGCTACCAAAGACCTTGACCTGCCAGTGGTAAATAGATTAATTACACCCTTTAAACCCTTACCATTCATCATTCGATTCTATCTTTGGTTATTTATTTTTTTAGAAATGCTACATATAAGACATGTCCATTCAAATGCATTCGTTTGTTAATATTAACGCAATGTGATCATTACCAGCAAGCCTTCACCTCATCGACGATGAGCATTCACACAAAAAATGAAATCTCTTTTTCATCCAAAACTCAAATTTTCCTTTCCATCCTCCAATGCTTCATCTTTAAAACGTTCCAATTCACATATTCCTTTCATCAGTAGCAATAGTAGTAGCCAATCCGTCCTTCGATCGTTTCACACCTCCTCCTCGACTTGTCACTCTTCATTGCTCACATTTTACAATTATTCCGTTCGCACTGCCAATGGTGAATGGTTTCATTTGAAAAACTTGAAAGGAAAAGTCACTCTTGTCACTGTCTGCAACATTTCCAATGAAAATTATAGAAAATACTTGTATGATTTGGCTGATTTTAAATACTCGATGAATTCTCGAGATTTTGAAATTATGGTCATTCCCAAATTAGATTCCATTCTTAATGCTCGTGTTATTGAGAAGGCTTTGGAGAATCAACAATCTCCCATTCAACAATTTCTTTCAGATGAAGCAAAAACCTCTTCGACATTGTCATCCTCTCTCAAATTAAAAGATATTATCGTGTGTCGAGGAATTCCCAATTCCTACATCTCGGAAGACTCTTCTCAAACATTTGACACAGATTTGGAATTGTACAATAATGTCTCTTCAGAAATTGGAGATGCCTTAAATTATTTGTGTAATTATGCAGAGGGTTCAGCCAAGACCATTCTCGAAGATTTTGAAAAGTTTGTGGTCAGCAGGAATGGAAGAGTGGTCTTTCGAAGTGGAAATAATTACTCGTTGGAGGCATTGAGGGATATCATTCAGAGAGAATTGCAGAAAGGAACAGAGAATTTAGGAGTGGGTGCAACTGTAGAAAAGGTCACATCCAGTAAGAAGGATGAGACGAGTGTTGGAATGCAGGATCAGAACGTCAAGTGGTAAATGGAACGTTGGGTAGGAAATCATCATACAATGATGATGATGATACATGCACCATATGGACATGTTCTCCAGTGTGTGTGAAATTCATCATGATGAGAAACGAAACCATCATCCTCTTTAGAGATTTTCATCCATTGTAAATATATAAATATGTAAGTGAATGAATAAATAGTATGAATACTGTAATGTTCATTGAACATGAGTCATCATTTACACCAATTCATCGTCTGTTCCATATTCACTACTGTCATCGTCGTCATCATCTCTCGTTGATGAATATCGAGAGGAGTGATGAGCTTTGGAATGAGGTCCCCTCGAAGATCGAGCAAGTTCTCTCGAATCTGGAAGAACATGTGTGAAGGTTTCTTTTTGCATTTCAATAATCTTTTCGTAGGGAAGAATGGTTGGATATCGATATCCGTCAGTTCCTAAATCATCTGGTATTGGCAAAAACCATTTCCACACGTTTTGACCTAATACTTGTTTGATATTGGTCAAATACGAGACATTGTAAAAGTTCAAATACTTTAAATGTTCTGGATTCAAGTTCTTCATTTGTGAACGAGCTCTCTTCTCGGAAAGTTGAAAATTCTCAATGGAAGTTTGATTGAGTAACAATAAATAAGTGTTCCATCCCCAAAACAGATAAATCATGCAAGACATGGGAACTAAAAAGACATTAAATACCAAGGTCAATAAAAATACAGTCACATCAATATTACTTGAATCCTTAATAAAAGCCAACACGACAAAAATTGTGACAAAGAAAAAGTGTGTCACAGCCATAACTGGAGTTGTTGTTGTGGTTCAACAAGAAGTAATAAAATTTCATAGAGTACACAAGCCAACAATTAAATGAGCAGTTAAAGAGCATAACTCTTGATTTCAAATACAAACCTAAATATGTCAAAAACAAATAGAAATACTTGTGATTGTACAATCCAACGCACTGCGAAATGTGATTCCATTGAAATTGTCAATTAAACATGACATGTCCAGTAAATGTTACACAGCCACCACGCGACATGTCAACAAACATAAACAACAACATTAATGTGTGAAAAATTAATGATCATACCATATTCATGAAACATTGCTCTAATTGCAACACACTTACATTATTCACCCAAATACAATAATGATCCATTCTCAAAATCACCTTCTTCTGTACCGATGAAAAGTGAGCTCTCGGAGGAATATTCATTCCAGTCTTGGAGCAATACCTTGGTTCTCCATGTTTTTGAGGCTCCAAAGCTAACAATGTTTTAACCTCTTCCTCTGAGAATGAATCTTGCCAATTGGTTGAAACCACTCCAGGACTTGTTTTCATGCATCGGAAATAACTCCACAAGAGCATACAGAGTTCAAAAAGACCCCAAATTTGATTGAGAAAATGTAAAAACCACATCATGGATGTACTTCTTTCGGGATGAAATAATGGAAAGGCAAATGGTACAATAAACAAGGCACCGACAAGATAGGCTCCGCAAGAGAGGGCAACAACAACACCTGGAAGAAGAGAATTTTGGCAAACTTTGACACAATTGGAACAGCAGGCATCTTGTGAGGATTTTCTATGAAGAGTGGGTGATGGAGATCTATGATGATGATGATGTGAGCAAGTGCCATCATTTTTACATGGAACAGAGGATGATGATGATTGAGTGTTTTCATGATGATTTGTTATTGTCATGGATGGATCGGAATTTATGCTCGAGCTCGGAACAAAAGTATTGTTACTTGTTGAACTGGTGTTTGTGATGGTCAGTGTTGAAAAACCTCCCAATGGAATGGTTTGGTTCGTGTTGAGAAGTGATTTATCTATCGAAAATTGAAGCATTTTTTAAATTTGGCTTCCAAATTACGTTTCCAACGAGTTCGCACAGGATGGATAACGAAAGTAGGATCCTGTGTGTGGCCTAGTGAAATTTCTGATGTACAAGACAAAGAAAACACCAGTACAGGTGAAATAAAAAAGATTGTTTAATTGCCAAAAAAGTTTACAACTTCATTTCGACGATTTTCTCAACACCCATTGCACTCATGACAATGACGTTGAATTCTGCACCTTCATCGAATGCAGCCTTGATCTTTTCAGCAAGAGTCTTATCTTCTTCAGTTTCGTTTGGCAACTTGAGGTCATCTCTGGTGGAACCATCTTCCAACATGATGGAAACATATTCACCTGAAATATCGATAACTTGATATTCATTTCTGGTAACGTTTGGAACTGGCATGTTGTGAGAAGTTGGGCAAACGTCTTCATACTTCTTTCCGGTGAAGATATCAATACCAGTAATGTTGGCCTTGGCGTGACCGTGCTTACCAGTCTTTGAGGTGGTAACTTCAGTGATCTTGCATGGCTTGTCCTTGATGACGACATATCCTCCCTTCTTCAAGTTACCACTGTGTAAAACGAAGGAGAGCCAAACAAAATCATTTTGTTTCGATAGTAGAGCAACCATTGTTGTGTGAGTTTGATGATGATGAGAGAGGGTATTCAATGAATGTTATGATGAATATATTTGAAACGGTATCGTGCATCAATACAGGTTGTTTGGAATTCCATCCAATTTTGAAGAATAAATAGCAGAATGATCATCCAAAGAATCGTTTTCGATTCAAAAACTTACGCTTGCATTGGATAGGTGTGGGATGCACCAGAGGATGCGGATTCGAATGTTTGGTCTTCGTCTGTTTATTCATGATGATCATCAAATATGTCAAATTAGAATAGCATGTTCATGTAAATTCAGGTAAGCTTGGAAGCCGTGTTCATTGAAAACGTACCAGACATGGTGTATTGTTGGTGTTAGGGTATTTTTTTTCAAAGAGAAACGGCACCTCAGTTGACGGGTTGTTTACAATGCCAGCGAAATTTTTGCTCGGGCTTTTATGGCAATGGATCCAATTTGACAAATGCAACATGGAATTTACATTCAAACAATATCTTCGAATGATCGTGTTACATGGATATTTGTGGAGGTCGAATAATACACAGAGTCACTGTGTTCGGTACTTGTATTAACCTGCTCGTTTCCAGTCGTCTTCTTCTCTTCTTCTTCGACTTGTTCATGGAATGTATGATTCAATGGTTCTTGGTTGTTATGACTTATTACAGGAACCAGTGTACGATCACTATTTTCACCATTGACATTGTGATTGCTGCTACTACCCTCAACACATGGGAAAAACATGGCAGCATTGGCCGAGCGAGGAGTCATTTGTAAACACTTCTCCACTTGTTCTTGTTCTTCAATTGTGAGCTGAGTCTTTGGAGGAGATGATACATCTTTGAATGCAGCTGTTTTCTGGATTAGTAAATGCAAAATAAAATTGTACACCTCGTTACGGGCTTCTCTTCCCCATACGAAATCATTGTGTTTGAAACCTTCAATTTTCTTGTGATAGACCAGTGAATACTGTAAATGTTCCATCAGAAAACCTTCAACGTCTTTGGGATTTGCCAAGTAATCTTGTGTTCCGTAAAATATGGCGATTGGAACTTCTGTAATCTTTTTAAGGTCATACTGTTCAACTTTGGGAGCTTCTTTCTTACTGTTGGCAGGAAAAGTAAAGGATTGAAACGTCTCGGATTTGATTAATTGTCCCCAGTGAATGAGATTTTGAAGAGAGGTTGGGGATGGTTCATATCGTGAGAGAATGGGAAGAATATCATGGTCAATGTTGCAATCGGTTAAAATTGACCAAGCTTCATTGAAGAGACTTTGAGTGAGCTTGGGAAGAAAGGTTCGACTCACTAAATGTTCATCCAATATTGTGTGAGGTGTGAGTAGTATATGGTACAGTAAATATTGAGTAGCATATGGTACAGTAAATATTCACAATTGCGAGTAAGCACAATATATTTAACACGAATCAGAAAATCATCAACATAAACTTACATTGAGTGGCACCAATTTCTCCAATCCCAATCACGTCAAGCGTCGAAAATAAAATATCAGTATTCAATCGAGTAACCATGGAAAGGAGCTTGCTTGTTTGATGTTTCAAGGAACATACGGGAGCAAGGGCAACGAACAAATCAAGCTTCTTTTGTAATTCTGGAAAGAGAGACAAGGCAACAAACGCTTGTGTAGTTCCCTGAGAATGACCAATATAGCTAATTTTCTCACTCTTCGTATATTTGAGTACGTATTTGATTTGAGCTGGAAAGTCAAACTTGGCCATTTCGCTAAAAGAAAATCTCCAAAATTCCTTGTCTGTGAAACTATTCCATGTAATATGTTTTCGACTAAATTGGACACCTCGATTATTTCCAAGCCAAACATCGAACCCAGCATTGGCTAGCATGAGTGCAAGACTGTGCTTTTTTCCTCCAATAAGCCACGCTGAACTCGAGTTTAACACGCCGTGCTGTATGAAAACAACTGGTCTCTTTTGATTTTTTCTTCTTTCAAGCTCATCATCGAGAAGAATTTCATCGGGAAAGTATTTCAGAGAGTCGAGGTCGCCATGAGGAACTCGGTGAATTTGCAAAACGTAGCCATCACTCGTCACTGTTTCATGCTTCTCGATGGGAAAACCTTGTTCTCTCACAAAATCAAAGATGGATTCTTGTTCTTCGTCGTGGTAGGTGAGCTTGACTTTTGAGCTTTTCTTGTGATAGTGCAATTCGTTTTGTTCTTTAAATTTGTGTGGAGCGCTCATAATATTTTCGTTGACAGTAAATACAAGAGATGACTTGGATGGAGGTGATTGATCAGATGATGAGGCCGTAGCAACTTGGGAAATGACTTCCCATTCACCCAAGTTGCTTCGTTCATGTTCCATAGTTGCCAATGAGGACGATAAAGGCATATCTTGTAATGTTTTCGAAATTTGCTCCATTGAATTTTTCTCAATTTCATAATATTTGATTCGTTCATCAACTTCCAATAAGAGAGCTGTTGGCATGTGTTGATGAATTAGTTTGGCCATACTATTATTGTTCTTAGTTTGAATAGAATCTCCAAGCTCTTCAATAGCGACTTGATAGGCCACTCTACCATAAGAATCTTTAGCCTTCAAAACTTGATCCAAAATTTCTAAACTTCGATATTCCTCAATTAATATTTTACAAACTTCTAAATTTCCCGATTGAGCACAAATGTGGAATGGAGTTCTTCCTATTTTGTCACCCTCAAGGAGGAGTGTTTTTAGCTTCTTTTCATCAACAAGTAAAAGAATATGTTTCAAAATTTCCTCAACACCACTCTTTGCTGCTACATGGACAACATTTTCATGCATTGCTGTTATATTGTACAAGTCACATCCCATGTCAAAAAGAGTTTGAATGGTTTCTAGAGGTGATTTAGATAAAATTGCACAAAATAGTGCATTATACTTCTCGTCATTCACATCATTAATTCCTATCATACTCATAGAATCTGAATTTTTGTGTGATGAATCTTTGGATGAAAATAACGAGAGAAAGGAGGATTTGTCTGGGCTCTGTGAAACAACGGCTTTTTTGATATTATCAGTCCAGTCTGCAACCTTGCTGTAATAGTATGCTAAATATTCAGATGAGATGGAACGTCTAGCTGGATTATTGGAATTGTTGCTGTCATTGGCCATGTTTTGTCCATCATAATGATGAAGAGGTGGAGATTTTTCACCATGTTGAGGGCTTGCCGGTCTTGATTTAGGTTTTGTCACATCTTTCAAAATATGAAAATCATCTCTCAAAATTGAAAGTACAGTCTGTACCACTTCATGATTTCCAGTTTGACATGCGACGTGAAGAATATTGTCTCCATTTCTTGAGGCTTTCATGAGGAGCAGTTTTCGAATTGTAGAATCCGATATGTATGGATTCTTATAGACCAAATAATTGATCATTGGTAAATCTGCTCTTCGAACGGCAATTTGCAAAATCGAACATTTTCCTAAATTCAAATAACTGGTTTTTTTCCCAATCAAAATTGTGTCGAGTAATATTTCAAAAGCTCCGGAGAGAGTTGTATTCGTTTCCTTGTAATTCATTGCATTCTTGTTTGATGAGTTATTACTACTACTCATGTTATTGACCGATGATTTTTCTATAAGAAGCCGTTTTCTATTCAGAATATTATCCAACCATTCCACTTGTCCTTGCTTCACTGCATTATTAACAGCTAATGCAAACCGACTATCATCAAGAAGAACAAGATCCGAAATTTCCTGTGGTTGTTTCATACTACTCATACTACTTGTTTCGGAATGATAATCGTCATTAACGTTAGTACTCGTAAGAAGAGGCTCACCATGATTTGGATGCTCTTGTTGGGTCTTGGAATTCATGATACGATCCACGTGATGCATCGTTGATGATCAACAGCAACAGCAGCAGCAAGCAGTAGTTGTAGCAATTGCGCGGTGATGTTGTTCTATTTTTTAAAAATGGCTTTGAACCTTCACGCAAGCAAAATATTTTCCAATTCGATTTCCAAGTTTGTATATCTTTGAGATTTTTCAGAAAGACTAGCGTGGTGATTGATTTTTGATGCAGCTTTGAAGAGAGTGATGAGCTGTTATCAGGAATGAAAGAATCCATTTACACGTGTTCTTGATAGAACATGAACGATCTGACGACTCTGACACATGAGGTCTCAACAATCGAATTAAGGAAGAAAGTAATGGAAGAACCAAACAAGATACGAATGGTACAATCACCCAAAGTACTACTTGTCCCTCTCCTGCATCTGTCAGAGTTGGATGTGTTTCATTTCTTTTTGGAGTGTTTGACATTGAGAAATTGTCTTCATGGTCATTCGAAATATCTTGTGAGTTGAAAGCACTATTGGAATGTATCATCATCATGGTTTTGACCAACTGACTCTTAGGTGAGCCAAGTCCAGCCGAGACTTGATTCAGTTGGTCATTGGGAATGCTCTGTTTTCTCAGGTGCAACTTTTCACTCATAACTCAAAATTTGTTTTTTTTAAGGTTGTCCATTCTATCAGGTTTCAATCAGGTTTCATAGGTTCTTTATTTTCAAGAATGGATTTTTGCATGATGAATACTTGTCACCAAGTGTCATTCATTTAAGGTCTGATTCATTTCCAACACCAGAGAGAGATTTCGTACAATCATCCATTCTTGATACATTTCCATGACGAACAACGATCCATCTCTACACCCAATCAATTTATCAATGACCTCTGCCAAATATATTAACATCAATTTTACTCCGTGTTATTGTCATTGTTTCATGCTTCTTCTTCCTTATTATCATTCACATTCCCTTGTGCTCAAACAATTATTTTCTCATCCAAAAAAATGCCTCCTCGTAAGAACAGCAAGAGAAAGAAAGTGGTTCAGCAGCAGGCTTCGTCCTCATCATCATCATCAGAGGACGAGAGGGAGCAACCACAACCTTCCTCTTCCGCATCATCAGCGGTATCGGGTATGGAGGATGAGAAGGATCAAAAACAACAACAGCAAGTATCAAGTACTCCGGAAGTGCCAATCATAACAACTCAAGACACATCATCATCATCGATACAAATGAATACAATGAATGGAGAAACGGAAAATCATCGTGATGAGAATGGTAGGAATCAATCTGAAATGATCACTGAGGAGAAGGAACAACATATCGGATTGAATGGCACTTGTGATGGAAACCATAGTAATTTATTGAACAACAGTGGTAACAATGGCACATTATCGCCATCAGAATATATGAGGCTTATCAAAGACCATTTTATCACTTCGTGGAACAAGAATTACTCTCCCTTCAAATGGGCTTTTCATCTAAAATCAAAAAACAAGAATAATCCAAATTTTGAAAGTCAAGTTATTGGTAGGTAGTTGTTAAAATCTCTTACTGTCAACAATTGTGTGTGGACGACCTGTCTATTAACTACTCGGATTACATGGCAATTCGGCAATACAGAATGCTTTTTAAATGTTACTCTAAGAAATGTTTCACCAAGCGAAATATTCTTCAAATATTTAAATCATGCGCTAATGACAGAATTAATTTCTTTTGATGCTTTCACCAAGTCATTGTATGACTTGATGATTGAAAACGAGTCGGAATTAAGAAAAAGCCATGAAACAAGCAATACCAAGCGCATTGCAAACGTATGGAACAAGCCAACATCATGGTTTGAGCTGCTTAAACTTTTTGACTATCATTTACCACTAGTCTTGGAAAAATTCAGCTCTTTAAACGTTTCTAACAGCAGCACATCTCAAGATGATTTGGGAGGATCATCATCTGTGGACAATCAAGGCATATCACCAAACCATGACGATGACGAAGACAATTTTTTGGAAATGGACAACAAGAAACGAAAACGAGAAGATACTCTTAACAATGTGACTATCGATTTTATTGATAACGATGAAATGAATAACCCTAAGCGCAGAAAATTCATCATTTCAAGCACGAAAGAGGATGTTTCTTCTTTATACTATACAGCACGAGTTGTCATCAGATGCTTAATCATTATTTTACGACATTTAACGTACTCTCTCTCTCAAACCAAACTCTTTCCCGAGACTTCAATGACCAACATGTTCGGAAATATGACGACCAAGGATCCCCATGTCATACTGAATTGTGAAAGGTCTATTCAAATTCTAGTTACACAATTGGGAAATACAAACTTTAGGACCTTTCTTTTACTGAATAAGTATGAAGAAAAACATTTGTGGTCAATATTTACGCAAGTAATGCACAAAGAAGTTATTCCAGTTTTATCCCATGTTAAAGGAAAAAAGAATGAAAACACCAAGCTAGAAAATCTCTTGATGCATTTATGGGGAGCTATTAATCAATTCCTTATATTTTTATTGTCCGTAGAGAAATCAGTACCGTATCAGGCGATTGAATTTAAAGAGTTGCAACATTCGAGGCCATCCAAATCCCTTCAGTCCACTCTCAACGAAAAAACATGTTTTGTAACATCTCTCCTGATTGAAGATGAGATTTCAACCAAAATAATCACACGCACCAATATTTATCAAACATTCGCTAGATTTGAAAACTCAAGAACTTTGAAGGAGAGAAGTTTTGTAAATTACTTTCTTGACATTTTGTACACTGCTTTGGACAAGATTTATGACTTTTCTCAAGTTCCCATGTCAGACCACAAACCTGGATTTATTGTGGCTGAGAAATCACATAAGATGCTTATCAGAAAGAGCTTCATAACCTCAAAATTTCCTCTCCTACTCAAAATTTGGAATGATACCTATTGTGATGAAAAAGATTTTTATGATCAATTTTTTGCGTGTGCAAGTACCAGGAATTTACACGCCAATTATTCTTCGAACGACATTGACCGATTAAGCGACATCAAATACAACAACATAGAGAAGGCTTTATTTATGATTTCTAAATTTCCCTGGCTAAATGACAAGACCAACCAATATGTACTGACAGAACTAATCAACTCATGCCTCTACCTAAAGCTGGTCTCTCGGCAGAACATCAATGAGCTTATATCGCAGTATACAAGTGATGTGGTGTTAGATTTAGAGAACAATGCGTTAGAAATTCAGCAAAACAAGTTTTCCAACTTTCTTGACATGAGATACATTGCAACAATGTTCAAATATCCTAGATTACAAGCACCTCTAATTATTAACGATTTTGTTGAAAATTCATCAAAGGATTTTATTTCGGAAATTGACTTTCTGATTAGCCACACACATTTCCTAGATTTTATTCAATTACATGGTTACATGCCACAAGTGATGGAAAAGGTATTTCAATCTATGAGAAATATTTGGAGCAATACAGAAGAAAATGATATGGACGAAAGTAATAGAGATGAAAAAATTCAAGCGAACTTTTCACTTGGATTTTCCGCACTCTACATCATATTAGAAAGATTTGAGTTTAAGAAAATCAAAGAAAACAAGGACGTCTTTTTCGAAATGATGGACCGCTATTTCGTGGAAGATTCACCTCTGATACACGTGAAAGAATGGTTTAAAAACTGGTTCGAGGATAGGATCGACTCTGATAATCATCTAGACATTCAAGAAACAGGAGATAGGATTTTTCAAGAGTTGTTGAATTTAGACTTGCAAGCTCAAACAGAACAAGCTAGTTATGACATGGCTGGTTTAGCCAAAATTCGAAAGGAGTACTCTCCGGCACATTTACTTCGAGTGTCGTCCTATATCGCTCAACAATGTTTTCTTTGGTACATGGCTCAACCAGAAGAGCTAGGAAAGAGGATTATACCAATAATTTCTACATTTATTGAACAATTTGGGTACCATACAGAAATTGGATTTGCTTCAGGAATTCTCTTCACAGTTAATCAAGTATTCTCCTCTATGGAAAAAGCCAGTGATTCTGTTTTCACCTTTATAGACGTTCTATTTACTACCTTTAAAGATTTGGAAAAGGTGAAAGAAAGTACCATTGGTTTCAATATTTCCAGTGTCATCCTGCACAACATCTTTGTCGATTCTGTTCATACCTACTATCAAAATAATAAGGAACCAGGAAAAAAGAAAGTACCAGCAGTGATCTTTAACTACAACAATCCATCTCTTCAATCCTTGCTCACCGAGTGTTACTTGATTACGGGTCAAAACGTGGAATGGCAAGTTGCAATGACACCGCTTTTACTCATGGACACAATTCCAGCCAATAGCAACTCGCTCGAGTATAGGAAAGGTGAACAGGAAACTGTGCTACTGCCAAAGGCAAAATCTTTTGGCAGTTCCAGTGTTGGTGTGACTTCTTCATCGTCGTCTGCTGTGGTGCAGACTTGGGTACAACAAGAATTCGAAAATATTTACCGAAGTTTAACCATTGGTGGAAGCTTGACGTCACTTAACACTATTGGACTCATGAAACCATCCATGTTTGATTCATTCTTCACACTTCGACGCGCGTATCGATCGATGGGATGTCTCAATTTTCTTAAATTCATGATTGATCAAATCTATGAATGTCTGTTAAAAGAGGAGCAAGAGCCATTTGACGGATTTAGAGTGGCAGAGGCAGCTGCAATCATGTTCTATATTAGCGCTGGAGAAGATGGAGTTGAAACTCTACTTCAGAAGGCATCGACATCTCCTGAAGGATTATTTGAATTTATCTTGTCACATCACGCAGAACAAACAAAACAATTCTTGGAGAATGGAACATTTATTTATTCGAGACAACGAAGTGGGTCTTCCATTCAGGCCATTTCAAATGTAGAATATTTGCCCATGTTGAGTTCATTGTTGGCATATTTTTCAGTATTTGTTTTGAGCTTGCGAGAGAAAGTTCCAACTTCATTGAACTCGTCTACGATCGACTCTAGGAAGAGTGACAAACTCGTGCAAAAATTCATACTACATCTCGTTGAGGAACATGCTGAGAAGGTTGTGCATGAAGATAAGCATTACATGACACATTTTACGCTTTGCTTTATGGAGCAAATTTCGAAAATTCCCGAGTTGATCCACCAAACTCAACAAGTTCTGATAGAGAGACCAAGTTGCTTCCCTAAATTTTGTAAAATCATCAATAGGACAAGGAAAGAAGCGTCGCAATCGTTCTTTTTTAGTTTTGGAAGGAGAGCTGGCTTTTCAGATGAATTGGTTGTTAGTTTTTTGAAAGAAATAACGAACTAGATGCAAACACCATCTCACATTAAATCAATCAAATAATAATTTATTATTGGAAATGGTGTTTGTAAAGGGTACATTGCATTCATTTGACCACATCAGTATTATTGTTGGTCAAAGTTTAAATTTTTCAATTGTTCCAAATCTCCAGCGTCGAGTGCTTGTGGACGATGGTTTCGAGAAACAGGTCGTGCATTGTCATTACCGCTTGGGCTTGACGTAAATAACTGGTCATAATAGCCAATCATAATTTCTGTGGCATATGTCAGAGGTCCGTTATCTTGCAGCGCCAACAAAGGATTAGGACTATTAGATCTAATAATATTTGGGCCAAAAACAATTGCCAAATTGTGTGCATTCATCATGTTTTCTTCAGAAAGCGTTTGGAGATAATACAAGAGAGAAAATAATTCCTTTGCTAACTCTAAATGATATTGAGGTAATTTGGCAATAATAGTCTTTAAACTTTCAATAATGGTTGAGGTAGAACTTCCAGCCTCTGTCATGTGTCAGATCAAGAGTTATTATTATTACATAGTGGGTGAGGGTGAAGATGAGGAATGTCACAATAACACACCATGTTCAAATCAATTAAGAGTGAATTTGTAAAAAAGTGAACAACTAACCTTTCACAGACTTAATAATTTCATCATACATGGAATATTTGAAAAGAGGATCAGGTAATTCACGGAAGAAGAGCTTAATCAGACTTGAAAGAACATGGCAATCCACATGATGTAAATCTACATTCGTACCATGATTCAATAAAATCTTGAGTTGATTCACAGTGGCTTGATTTCCGCTAATTCTGAAAATACCTCGTGTGTCTGCATGATGTTCTCTCATAAAGTCCATGCAATTCTTGATTGGAGTTGGAACAAGACATCCAATACAATCCTTTCTATTGGTCATGATATCTTCCAGAGGAGCTCCAAACAGAGCATATTGATTACTCTTGATATTATTTTGCATGATATCGTATGCAATGGTGGTTGGTGGCAATGGAAGAGTTTCTTCTGGAATGTCTTTGTAAATGTCTTGAATAGAGTCAACGAGGTGGAGTTTTTTCCAGAATTTTTCACTCACAAATGGAGAGAAACATTTCATAATGACCTTAATCATCATGGTTGGATGAAGAATGTACAAGGATTTGAGATTCTTCTTATATTTTCTAGTAATGGTTCTATAAACGTTTAACATCCATGAAAATCCAGGGCGAGCTTGTGACGTCGAATTACTCACGCACCATATCATGACATAGTCATTTTCTACGACCTTGTCCAACTTGGCAATCATGTAAAGGAGAGTTCTGTCCAAATCTTCTTTTCTAATCTTTTCTTCAGAGAAGATGACTACTGGTCGTCCTTGTGGATCAGTGTGTCTGCATGTGAGAACGTTCATGGCTTCTAAATCTCTGACATCTTCTTGTTTGGCCTTCTCAAGCAATTCCAAATATCGCTCAGAGTCTTGATACTTTTTGTCTTCTTTTGATGTGACAGATGAAGATGTGAGTGAATGACTGCTGTTGTTGTTGCTTGATGATGAGTGTTGAAGCATTTCGGTTTTGATAGCCTCTTCAATTTTTGGCAATCTACTCAAAACATTGATCAAGTCCTTACAGTTTTGATTGTTCTTTTCAAGAATGGTCTTTTCGTGAGCCTTGATCAACATTTGAACATTCATTGCATCTTGAATGAGTTGGTCATCGTTTGAAATGACCTTACTCTTCACTTTTTCAGGCACTTGTTTTTCCATGGCTTCCAATTTCTTTTCACAGTCAAGGGTTGCACATTCGACAAGGAATTTCTTGGCCTTCTCAATATACTCATTGATGAGAGGATTAAGAGGAATCATGAAGGTTTCTTTTGCTCCAAATTCGAAACCATTTGCAATTTGCTGGACCACTTTTGATATTAAAACCAAATTTCTTCGTTGTTTGGAATGAATCTTGACTTCTGTAGGCAAAATTTCTCTTGACTCTGGATAAACAATGGTTGGATTAAACAATCTTAGGAAAACAAAGCTAGCAATGAGAGTTTCCGCATTTTCGACTCGGTACTTGTCGCGACACATTTCATAAATGATCTTGCAAATGTATCGAATATTGAAAGGCATTGTGTCCAAAGCTTCACGAGACAACATTCTATCCAAAAAGTATCTACAAAACAGATTGAGATTTTCCAAATTTTCTTCAACTCGAATCTCGTGATTGGGCTTTCCTTCAAAGTTTGTATCTTCCAAGGAAGGTAAATCAGTTTCTGACTCCATTCTGGAACTGGCCTCAAATTTGCTTGGATCAATTTCTAAATCGAGAGCTTCATCGAGGAGAACTTTTTTCATTGGTTCTAAAAGAATGCTCTTTAAATAATTGACACCTTCCGATTTCACAACATTGTCCATGATTTTAGTAGCGATTGTATTTCCTCTCATAATGACTAATCCGCTTCCAGTTGGAGTAGTAGATGTATCTGTTCCTCTTTCAAATTCAATTCCAATTAATACCTTGTTCATAAAACACAAGGTAGAGAGTGCGCTTGCCAGTTGATACAACGCAGAGGCCATCTCGTCCACTTCTGAAGAAGTCAATAATCGTTGTGAATGGAGAGCAGAAAGAAGGCTGTTGTGGGAGTGATGATGAAGTGTTAATGAGTGTTGGCATGTACATAACAGTGTTTCCGATGACAGTGCACCATAACGGAAAATGACACATGAAAAGTCGTTGTTAAAAGTGACACGAAAATTAGTTCACACAAAATGTTGTCCATTATTTCATAATATTGTCACCACAAGTTCAAGAAGATATCATCATCATCATAAAATATTTTGTGTGGACGTATTTCCAATTCGAAAATTATGTCATTCAATAGTTATCAGTTCGTATAACAACAAAAATTTTACCAACCTTGGGCTCGTCGTAATGATCTGAGCAAATTGATCGTAATCCAAACTAGTCTTCACTGTGGATACCAACCGATGGGTATGAGCACCCAAATTATCTTGAGAAGGTAACACTGGTAATGATGGTCTTCCTCCACTCGTGGAAGAGGGACTGTTATTGTTGTTCGGATGATGATGACCAACCGATCCTCCTCCACTACTTCCTGGCAATGGTCTTATGGTGGTTCTTGATCTGGTCTGAGCTCCACTACTCGTGCTGCTGTTGTTATTGGGAGGAGTGGTTGGGAGTACCTTGTACGAAGAAGCCTTTGCAGGTGGTGAGGATGAAGGGTTGTTTTGGCTCATTTTTTTTTAATTTTAAATTTTTGATGGACAAGAAACGAAATCAGTCCAAAAAGAATGTGTTCGACAAAGTATCAAGTTGCCAAGGATCTGAGACAATTGTCGACTCCTCCAATATATTTAAAATAAATTATCTGCTTTTAAATTTCCTTTGCTCGACGAAAGAGAAACAAAAACTTGCATCAACCTTAACAAAAACTACAAATAGGCTCGGTAAATGTGGTGACTTCATTAACAAGACATTCCATGTTTCATCGTTCCTCCAATACGCCACTCCTTACCAATGATGTTATCTGCATTTCACGGAAAACCACAAAAAGCATGATCCTCATAACGGAATGAAGTGATTGGCAGATTCTGAGTTTTTGAAATTAAAGAAAGCATATGTGTTAAAGTTCACAACTTTTTTAACACAATCTTTCACGTTGCTTAATATTTTGCCAAGTTGTTGTTTATTATGTCTGTCTGTACAAAGAACATCTAGGTTTCAGGTTGGTACTGTTGAATTTTGATATTGATAAGTTCAAAATCCTTGCTTGCTAAAAGAATTGGTCGTGTCTTACATCATGAGAGGGACTTTCCATTCAAAAACGTCATTCAACATCACCTGCCATTTATATCTCTTTCCTGCATCCAATCAAAAAGCAGCAAATTTAAAAATAAAATGCCAAGTTCCCACGCCTATTTTTGTATTTCGTGAGTCACGGTTCGGAAAGCCGCATCCAAATTAATTTGGAGGTGTAGGATTTTGAGTCAGCCGTTTGCAACAGGCTCACACTAAACAATGACTTCATCCTTACTCATCACACATGTGGTGAGTGAGTAGATTTATGAATCAATGTTGCCGTTGGTGTTGTTGGAAAATAACGAAAAAATGAGCAAGTCAAACAGGCCACAACAACACGGACGCGCCACATTTTGCTCATCACAACAATCATCACAACAAAATGAACCTAGTACTTTACCACAATCATCACAACAACTACCTTCGGGTGAAACTCAACAAACAAAATCATCGGAACAACAAATCATCAAAATGTCACAAGATGAGCTACAACAACTCACAAACAAGAATTTAAAAGAATTATGTAAACAATATCATGTTAGGACATCAGGAAACAAACAACAATTAGTCCAAACTATAATGAACTTCTACGCATCACTTAATCCAAACGCATCTCAAAATGAGTTTGAAGGGAATCTACGGAGCATTAAAAAATTGAAAAAATCTACAAACAATAATTCATCAGCCGAAACCAAGGAAACTAAGAAAAGAAAGAAATCAATGACATCAAGTAGATTAATTGAGAAATCAAAAAAAAAGAAAAAATCAAGTATTGTTTGCGAAGAATGTAATAAGAAATTTGCAAGCAAAAAAGCTCTCCTCTCCCACAACAAAGACAAGCATGGTTATATTCCTGAAGGCTGGAAAAAAGCACCGGAATTCTGTAATCCATACATCACCAAAGAATGTGGCAAACCGTCAAACAAAGTTACAAACGGAAATAGTTTTGAATTATTCAAACAATTATACACTGCTGAGGTGGAAAAGCATATTTTAGAAAAAACTAATTTAAAATGTGCTGAATTGAAAAAACCTGAGGTTACCTTGCAGGAATTGAACTATTATTTTGCGATTACTTTTACAATGGGGCTTATCAAAATGCCGGAGTTGGCACATTATTGGACAAAGGAAGAGGAATATTTATTTGGGAACGGATTAATTCGCAACATAATGACCAAGAAACGTTTTCGAGAAATTCATCAATGCATATCATACGATATTGATTGGATATTAGACACGTTTTGCAACCTGCTTCATGAGTGTTGGATCCCAAGTAATATTGGGGTTGTTGATGAATGTATTATATTGTTCAAAGGACGGTTTAAGGGAAGACAACACGTCCGTGGTAAACCACATGCCACAGGTTTAAAATTATTTATTCTATGTGACAGTTTCGGGATGCCGGTTTGGTTTTGGTTATACAGAGGGAAAAATAATGAGCATAACCTTAGTACTACCGTAGTTGATTATGTTATGGATTTGGCCAAGAAACTTCCAGATTACAACACAAGAAAGTACGCAATAATTACTGATCAATTTTACGGAAGTTTGACATTAGCTGAGCAATTGAAACAAAATAACTTTGAATTTGTATTGAGTTGCCAAAGTAATCGGCCTTCCGAAATATTTTCCAATTATTTGCAACCGGATCTCAAACAGAAAGGAGATCAAAGCTTTATTGTTAGAAATGATAACGCTTTTGCAGCACTCTCAGTGTTTGATTCTGGTAAATGTAATTTTATGGCGTCTGTTGGGTCCACTTCAATTCCAAGAGAAGAATTAGAACGTGTCAAAGCCAAAAGGTCTAACAAAACACCAAGATGTGACATTTTACGATTTTATAACATGAACATGGGAAGTGTTGATTCATTTGACGCTGCATTGAATTTGTACCATTTTCGAAGTAGACATAGAAGTTGGAAACGATGCATGTTTTTTGCAATGATGAAGACACTTGTGGTTGGTTCTCACAAATTATATCAATATTTCCATATGGGACCCAATAACCGAAAGCCTCAACAATTAGGCCATTTGGTTGCCATTATTTACAGCCTTAGTGATCGACAACCTCGGTATAAGGAAATTTCAACGTTGCAACATTTTCCAATGTTGACCCAACAACCCAAACCATGTGAATTTTGTAAGAGAAAAGGAATTCGTTCCAACACCACTTTCAAATGCAGCGCATGCGCTAAACATGCCCACTCACATTGTTGGTTTCAATACCATACGTGTGGAATATAAAGTGAGATGCATATATTCTGTGACGTGTGTCAGATTCCCTCAAGCTAGTGCTCTCATTGGTTTCCTGCGGTCAAGTGCTAACGCGCTTCTTCAGGTTCAGCCCCGAGTCTAAAAGACTGGCTTCGATAATCTGACACAAGTCACACCCAAAAACTTTTGTTAATGCCAACCATGTCTCCAACACCATGCTCTCATCCGCTTCCTGCAGTTCAGTGCTAACGCGCGTCTTCAGGTTCAGCCCGAGTTTAAAAGCTTGGTGAATTTGTAATGAATTGAAATGGAGCTGGAAGGAAGTAGTTGCTTTACTGTAGGTGCGGCTAACACCAAACCAAGGTACCAACTGCGTTTGTTTTATGTTGACAACAAACATTAAATTTGGGAAGTGGGAAATCATCTTTCACACTTCCCTAGTTCGACACAGTCGGACCGTGAGGGACCTTTTTCAATTTTTTGAATTTTGCAAGTTCATCCACCAGTTTACAAAACATAGGTGGTACGGCTGAGTAATGAAAGGGATATGAGCCGTAAGATGCGCAGGGTAGTTTTCACAGGAAAAGCTGTATCAACAAAAAAATGAAATTTGGATCTGCTGACCCTCAACCATGGACACATGAGTTGACCAAGAATCCAAAGAAACATCTACTTTTCTTGTCTTCATGTAAGTTGGCTATATTATTTGAACCATGTATCCAACGATATTGCTTAGTGGTTGGAATTATTCTCATTCTATCTTCGCTTGCCATCTCATTTATATATTTTGACAACAAGAGAAATCATCCAATTACAAAAACATTCGACGGTTATCGTGAACTTGGTCTTGGCTTTAACACACGACCTGTTGGAACTGAACAAAGAGCAAACATTCACACAATCGATGATCAAGTACCACAAGGTGCTATTAAACTCAGCGATGGTGGGTTTGTCATCTATTGGATCAGTTACAACCAAGCCGCTGCTTCAAGTGGATCTGATGTTTACTATCGCCGCTACAATGCTCAAAATGAGGCTGAGAATACCGAACAGCTTGTGAATACGGTGGTGGCCGAGCATCAATTCCTTCCTGTAGTCACTCGTTTAACCAATGGCAACTATGTTTTTGTTTGGACCATGTCTCTAATAGCTACTCCTAATATTTACAAAACTGTGAGCATGAGATTATTCGATGCGAACATGAATCCCATTAGCACAGAAATGGTAGTGAATACGAATGGAGATGGTGGTTTTCCAGGAGTGGCTGCTCTTCCTGATGGTTTTGTGGTTATTTGGGCCAGTGGTGCCTATCAAACTTATGATGTTGTGTTACAACGTTATGATTTGAATGGCAACAAAATTGGAGGTGTTCGAACCGTGAATACGTACACAACAGGAGAACAATCCGATTTGTATACTTGTTTTTGTGGTCCCAAGATTGTGTCGTTGACAGATGGTGGATTTGTTGTGGTTTGGCAAAGTGACGGTCAAGATGGAAGCAGTTGGGGAGTCTATTTCCAAAGATTTGATTCTCAAGCGAACACTGTTGATACTGAAACTAGAGTAAATACATACACGAACAATGCACAACGTCAACCATCAGTAGCAGCATTAAGTAATGGTGGATGGGTCATTGCTTGGGCAAGTCATGATGGTACTAGTTATGATATTTACGGCAGAGTATATGCCAGCAATGGAAATGCTAACTCACCGTTCCTTGTGAATACTGGTTATACTGAAAATGATCAACTGGATCCAAATTGCATAGTCGTGCGACCTGGAGAATTCCTTGTTAGCTGGAGAGGATCATTGGATGGTATTAATACTCAACGATTTCTCAATGATGGAACTCCTGTGGAGGCACATTTTAGTTTCCATGGAATGCATGTTCTTGATTCTGACAAACTCATTCAATTATATGCTGTACAGGACAGAGATGGTAGTGGTGCAGGAGCTTACTTCCAATTATTTGCCAAGAATACTGTTCCCGTTTTGGTGAGAAACCAGCTCTCTATTAAGGCAAGACAATCGGTAACACTATCTCCATCACAGTTACTTGGATACGACGCTGAGAATGATGAAATAAGCTTTTCAGTCATCGATGTTCAAAATGGAAGATTTGAAATGAGTTCACAACCTGGAATAGCAGTCTCATCCTTCACACAAGCTCAAATTAATGCGTCACAAGTGGTGTTTGTATCTATCTCAAATGTTGCACCAAGTTTTTCGGTGAGAGTTGGTGATGTGCAGTTGGTGTCTTCATACCAATCAGCCTCTATCGAATTCACTATCTCATGTTATGGATATTCTGGAGAAGCCGCTTGTGGAGGACCTCTAAAAGGTTCATGTATCGATCATGACACTTGCAGTTGCAACTCTCTGTGGGGAGGATCAGATTGTTCATTGCCAACGTGCTTCTCCAAACTATCCAATGAAACGTCCTCAGTATGCAATGGAAGAGGTACTTGTGTAGCCCCAAACAACTGCTCTTGTGTTGAGGGATATGAAGGCGCTCAGTGTGAAACTGCATGTGGTTGGGATGCCAGCTCAGTTGGTGCTCCAGATCCTCAGATTTCCTCACAAATAGTGGGACAAGGAATTCAGTTTACATTCAACTTCTCTAACGATCCAAATGTTGAATTCTCACATTTAGCATTCATTGGAGAAGATTCTGCTTTCAATACTGACAGCTGTTTCATCTATGGTGGTCAAAGAGTCAACCTGACATTAATTTCAAACGGACCATGTAGCAATTCATACTCTACTCCAGTATTCACTTTGGATGATTTAATACAGAATGCACGAGTTAAAAAGGAAATGCAAGGAGACGTCTTGACATTATCCATCCCTTTAGCTCTATATTATTATGACGAGATTGGTGCCAGCAATGGTGGTTTTTGTAGGGCGTACCAATTCACGACTGCACAAATAATCCATGTCAAGCTCACTTCTACAGTAGCTTCTTCATTTGATGAGTTCTCTCCATTGTTGCCATTTTCAGTGAGTTTGTACCCTCAGGAATTTGCCACAAATACTTCAACGGGAGTGTTAAATGTCAAAATGGTATTGAAATCCACAAATGCCACACTTAATGGTTTCAGCTTTTACAACTCTACTAATTCCAATTACATTTACCAAGTCACTGAGAGCTCATTCTGGTACAGTAATGGACCAAGTATGTTTTATCGCATCCAAATGCGGTCCAATGTCAAAGTGAATGATTTCAGAGCTCTCACTTACTTTAGGGCTGTATTTAAGAGAAATGGAGTTCTGGATGAAGCTATTGTTTTCATTCCTCTCAAAATTGATTACACCATTGTGAGCGCTCCTTCTGACAAGAATTTCACCCTTAAAGCAACCATGTACTTGGCTTCCAGCGATTGGTCACCAAAAACAACATTCAAGTCAGGTGAGAAGGTCTATGCTCAGGTTCAAACCTCCTCCGCACTTGGTGTGAATTATGATTTAGTGGTGCGGGATGCCTACTTGTGTTGCTTTAAAGAATTTAGAGCAACGATAACATACGATCCTGAACACAATGAGTATGGATGCTCTCAATTCAATTCTGCAACTATGGATGTTTGGAAACAGATCATTACGAATCAAATTGGAAACTCAGAGCTTGACACGGTCTTGTATCCATATCCTGGAGCAAATTCATTGTACGGTTTTTCATTCACGCTCATTCCGTCCATGTTCCCACTCAAATACTCCAACACTTCATCTTCATGTTTTGTTCAGTCGAATACAGCATTGCAATCTGTAACAAGATCTCTAGCTGCCAGTAGTGAGGAATCCAGTACTCCAAGCAGTATGTTTGTTGTTCAAGTGTTGCCTGGCTCAAGAGGAGAAGCAAGTACAAGAGTTTCCGAGGCCGCATTTTCTGTTTTCAAGATCCCAATGTTCGCCATTGTTGCTTGTGTGTTGGTATTGCTGCAATGGCTCGCATAGAATTAATATAATTGTATCATCAGCAACGAACAAGAAAATAATCCACGGAATAACTAAACACGCAGAATTGTTGCCCAAAAAGTTTGCATCTTTAATTCGGATTTGTCTAGACACCCGTCGATTGTAAATCAGTGTTGAAGTTAATTAATTACAATTTTTTTGTTTGTTTCCTAGCACAAGTTTTTAACTCAAAATTTGCAGTGGAAAGACTTACTTAAAAACTTGTACAACTCGATGATACGAATCACAGACATACAATTCATAGCATGGATCTCTCCTCTCATTCAAACAAATTCCACTGAGAGATGAATTCCCTACGGAGCATCCAATATTCAATTTCTTCACTTCTCTTCCTTCCTTATTGAAATAAGTAACTCCTTCCTTAGAACCTACAAGATAACACTGAGCCAAACGATCGTAAAGGATGGAATGTACGTTTAGTCTTCTTTGTTTATCTTTTTGGAGGTTTCCAAATTGAAGCACACACTTCCATTCTCCTCCGTTAAAAGAAAACTCTTCATCCGATTCATAAAACGATTCCTCAACCTCATCATCATTCTCAATGGAATCTAATTTCACTGGTTTAGGAGAAGAACTATTCTCCTCATTCTTCTGTCTTACAATCACGTACACTTTGGCACTTGTGGACGACAATAAAGCCAAAGCAAGCTCACCATCATCATAATCGTTATGAATAGCAACTGCTTGAGGTATGAATGGAACTTCCAATCGTTCCAATAAGGTACCGTTCGAACAGTTCACAATTTTAATGGAAGGTCCTAAAAAGTTGGCCTCACATACATACAAACGATTCGATGAGGTTATTACTTGATCATTCCCTTTCTTAAAAAGACGAGATTCTGACGAAGAATACTGAATGGCCATTCCCTGAGGAGATTCAAATTGATCACTCTTCCACACGTACGAAGTCTGTAAATAATAACCATGCGAGGTCATGGGTTCGGTCTTGGCAACCCCTTGAGAAAGTAAATGTTTTAAATCATATTTCAAGACGCATAATTTGGAATAATAATCGTACAATGGAGAGTTGTCCATGAGGTAGGTATCGAAAATAATGGCGTCTTGTTTCAATTTGTAATTCTCTTCGACGACGAGAGACCGAATCAACTGGTCAGGGAAAGGTAAGAAACATTTAAATTGTTTCGTAATGAGATCAAATACTTGAATTCGATCATTGTAAGGTTCTTGTGAACTTTTACTACTTTCACACACTAAAATGACCTGATGATTGTGTGAGATTTGAATGGCTGAAGGGTTGGAGAAGAAATTGGGAGCACTGGAAGCAACTCCCCATGTGCCAAGAGTTTGTTGGAGTTTTGGACTTGTGAGTTGTGTGGTCAACTGTTGAATTAAACAATCAGCAGAATCCCTGTTAAAGGACGGCAGTTGAAAATCAATGAGAGAAATATGAGCTGGGAAAGTTGTGGCGTTTTCACACATATTATATCTTGTTTGAAAAGCAAATAGAATAGATGAATACTTTTTTCGAATGTTTCAGCGAGAGGACTATTTGAGAGAATCTCAATGACAAGGAAAATTTGCAATTCTCAAAGAAAATTCTCAGATTGAAAACATGAATGGAACTGAGAAGGAAATTGAGCCTTCCAATCATTGGTTCAGATAAAAAAGTGACCATCCACCCTTCGTTTGTAACATTCGAGACACTGATAAAAGTTTACCTTGTGTAAAGCAATAATCTTGAATATGAATTCATAACTCTAAAAATTAATTTTAGTTATTATATTTATGAATCTAAATTATGAAATAAAAAAAAAGAAAAATTGATAATTTACAAAAAAATAAGACAACTCCATCACCTATCAGTTACCAATTAATTTGTGAAAAAAGAATTTTTATATCACCTTTCTTTTTTACAACAAGTACACGATCCACCTAGGAATAACAATATCATCATCATCATCGGAAAAGATGAATATTCTGTTTTTAATGGATACATCCTCGTCGATGAATCAATTAACAACCAATGGCATGAAATTAATAGATATTGCCAAATATTGCGTTGAACACTTTATCAAAACCCGACAAAAACATCTTCATCAGCACCAAAAGAAGGACAATTATTTGTTAGTAACTTCGGGACAAAAAGTTGTGGTAGGATGGAAAGACAGTGCTGATAGTTCCATCTTCTTACAACGATTAAAATCACTCAAAGCCAATGATCTCACCGAAATTGGTCCCTCTTTGAAAAAGTGTTTTGATGTGTTGAATCAATATCGTCTTCAGAAATCAGTGGACCATTACGGAATGGGACGATATGCGAGTGCTGCAGAAAACTCGGCAATCATTCTCATTACGGATGGAGAACGATTAACACATTCCTATAATCCGTACTTGAGTGCTGCTGATCAGAGGCAGGTAGCCATTGATTCAAAGACAAGTTTTGATGTAAACAAGTTGACCTTGCCCAACCCACATACATATTCGACCAAGTTGACGGAGGAACCATTTCGATGGGACCAACGAGTGTTCAGCATTATTTTACAATTTCAAGCAGTTGGTACAACTTTGACAACCATTTCTCCCTCTGCCTCAATACAGCCCTCAGCACTCAATCAACAACAACAGCAAGACAAGCAACAAAATCCTTTGACTGCAGGACAAACACCAACCATCACTGACAATCCAATTGCACCCATAAGTGAAGTGACAGGAGGTCTCTCACGAACTTTTTCGAACATGACAGCCCTTTTAAAGTTTATGGAAGATTTATCCGCTGTACAATTAGCTCGACCATCTGTAATTGTAAATTTTGAAATTGTCAAAACCTTGAGCTTGAAACAACTAAGTCTATTCCCTCCGTCCAACAATGAAGGTCTAGGAAAAACACTTCTTCAACTACTATCACAACCACAACCAAACAAGGAAACATTTTGGCCAATTCCAGAGAACTATTTGCCAAGCGCAAATATGACAGAGCTTCCAACACGAAGGGCTCAACCATCCATTTCCCTTCTTTACACTGAAAAGAATGACATTTTATGGACCATGGCTTTTAACAAATTCCCAATTTATGACATTTTTGACATTAATGTCAATAGCCCAATCGGAAAATATGTGATACAACATTCTAGTCGAGAGGGTTGCTATAAGGCATTTGTGACAAACAGTACTCCAAGTAATTATGGATTTGGAGAGAGTTTTGGATTTTTAAAGCGCATCACCATACCGCTACCAACAGGAGACTATGAAAACAAAATCCATTTTTATTTATTGCCCTATAATTACATGAGACTGTTCTATCTAATGAATGAATATGTCAATACTCACAAGTCACAGCCATCCTCAGCATGGATTCAACAATTTCACAAATTTGTGCAGAATCTGCCTCCATACTATATCAAACCCTTGAAAATAGCCATGAACAAGTGGTTTAATGGAAGTTTTAATCATTTTCCAGATGTTCCATCAGAACTACCAATCTCGTTACAGACCTATTACAAGCAATTAGTGGAAGAAGAAAAACGGTTTAACAAAGAACTAGATGCAGAAAATGAAAATGCAGGAGGCACTCCTTTTAGTAGCAGCACTGACGTTGAATTTACTGATGCAACATCTGGAGCAGCCCAACGAGACACATCTGTAGCTACATCCAACAAAAAGCTTATTATACGAAATCCATTCGATATTGACCGATCTAATCTATTGAAACAATTCAAGACCATGAGTTCCCATCTCTTTAACATGGAATTACACGAGATGGAGGATGAAATTGACAAATCAAAGTCTCTCGATGAACACTTACGACAACTATCCAAAGAAGAAATTATCAAGCACTCCATTCCTGTTTCTCAAATGGGCAATTTCGACAAGGTTCTCACGTCGAAAGAAACATTGCGAGATCCATTCGATACCCAGAAACAAAAACAACTTACTTTTGGAAGTCCATATCAAAAGAAGAAGGTTAAAAAGATGAGATCTATTCTCATTCATGCACCCTTGCTGTTGGACAAGCTGGTAGATGAGTCTGAAATGGATATTCAACGAAAGGAAGAAGAAGAATTAAACGAACGTGAAGCGCAAACCCCAATCATTATTGATGGCTCGTCATTGAAACCAGAGTCAGATATTGTTCCTCCATTGGCAAGAACGGATACCATACCCAATGACGAAATCACAACTCCATCAGAGCAAGTTGAAGCCATGCTCTCCTTCACACCAGAGAAGGAAAACAAAGTTGCAGAAGAAGCTATCAGCAATGGTGGAATTGTGAGTGGTGAAGATGAATCGCTACTACCGACACCTGTCATGGAGAATACATTCACTTCTGCATACTCCATGGATACCGATACATTTTTGACTCTTAACAAGTCACCACCAAATGTCACCAGTGCATCATCCTCCACAGTCGCAGGTGCTGGAAAGGCAGCCAACTTTAGACCACCCTCAACAACTCGAAAAACCAAAGTTAATCCGCAAAAAGAGCAAGCTCAAATATTGATTGATAGCTTCCAAGGTGCAACTGAAGCTCTCAAACTCATTTCCCAGTCCAATGACCACTTATTGAATGCTATCGTGGTACGATCACTTCAAGTGGATCAAATAGACGGTAAACGGAGGCAACAATTAGACAACATTCGAGCAAGTGTAAAGAAACGAAAACGCGGGCAACGAAAAGACAATGAAGATACCATGATGCTGGAAGAACGAGAAATTGTCACTGAAGTGAAAAAGGTTCATTTTCCCAACAAGGAAACGAAAATTGCATTCATTAAGGAAATTATTTGCATGGCAGCCCAATTTAAAAAGCTAAAGTTGGCTCAAATGCTAACAGAGGAATTAGCCCCACAAATGGTGGTGAATAATAATTCTTCTACATTGTAGAACAGTTGAAATTTGACTCGACGTCTCTGCGTCACTACCAAGTACTTGTTACGACTGAAATAATTGACCTTCGCAATTAAGTGCTTACTAAGCCGTCCTTGGTAAACGAAATACCAAGTACTCATGGTCAACAAATATGTTAATTTTAACCTAATGAAGGTTCACAGCAACAATGATTATCATCTTTATACATTTTCTAAAAATAAGAATGGATATTGTGCAGCCACCGGTGATCATAGTATTGAATCTTCCACAATAATAATTGAATAATGTATTGAATAATTATATTAATACTATCACACTGTCACAGCAAAAGCAGAATTTGAAAAAATGATCACCTATTTAACAGTGCAAGCATGGATGCGTATTCTCATCTGTTTCTTTTCCATTTACCGAAAATCATTTGGAAGATTAATCTTTCAAGCAAAATTCATGAATCGAAAACAATCATCTGCATCCATGGTTTGGAATTATTTGGTACGGAGAGGTTTAGAAAACAATTTTAAAAAAGTTTCCGAATTACGAGAATATACAAGGAAGAGCAAATCAACGTTTTATCCTCCTCTGAAATCTCCCTTGCTGGGTTGTGTGAGCAAAATGGAAGAAGTGAATGAATTGAGAAAATCTTTCTGGTTTACCATGAAAGGTTGTGAATTCAAGGAAAATCAACATTCTCAGCCAAATGGGCGTCACAATCCAAAAGTCATGATGTTTATTCATGGAGGAGGATATGTGAGTGGTGGTGCTCTGGGAATGGAAGCTCAAGCTATGCTGTTTGCCGTACGCGATTATAACATGATGGCACAAAAATCATCAAATCCTATCTGTAGTCATGTCTTGTCCGTGGAGCATCGTTTGTTGGCAGATCCTGACGAATATAGTACAATGGATCGAAATTTACTAACCAACTCGATGGCAGATCAAATTGAAGATTGTTTACAATGTTTGAAGTGGTTGGTCTATGACAAGCACATTCCTCCAAGAGATATTGTTTTAGTTGGAAATTCATCTGGAGCTGCCTTAATTGTGAACATGATTTTACTAAGGTTGATTGGCTCCAATGATACATCTGGAAGAAGAGATCATCACGTTGAAGACCAACAAACATCATTGTCAAAACATGAAGAATTATGGCCTGTTCATTCAGTGGCTCTCTTTTCAACTTCATGTGACATTTCAAGAACGATTATTCATAAAGATTTGGTGAAGGAGAATCTAATTGTAGCCATTCCAACCAATCTTCAGCAAATGTTTGAAAAATGTCTACCTCCCGAAGACAAGAGGCGATACTCGGTTTTGAAAAATTTACTGGAAATGGAAAAGACAGATCAACAATTGTATCAAAAACTCTTCCAATCCAAATGGGTCATTAATTACAGCAAGCATGAAGAATTGTCACCTGGCAATGATTATTTTGTGAATTTATTGAAACAACATGTCGATAGCCAAAGCGAGGACAAGTTGAAAGTGATCACCAAAGATTATCAAATGCATTGTTACTCTATTGGGTATAGTATAGTTCCTGAAGCAAGAATTGGAGTTCAACAAAGTTTGGAAGCATGCATTCCATAAAATCATATTCTCTCGCCTGGCATGCGCACTATGTGTTTTCACAATTTTTTCAACTTTATTGACCAACTCCAGTACCAACATGATTCATTCCCATATAAGCACCATAATAATAATAATCCATTCGTGCCTTGTACAAGTCGTCACGATACTCACGTGTATAACCTGTGCGTTTCACAAGTTCCAAAACCATATCTGGTTCCAATTCAAACCTTTGGAAGGAGGGAAAACAATCCCATTCGAAACTTTCCAATTGCATAGCTTCCATCACTACTTGTCTGTCATTTCTCAACTCTGGAGGAACAAAATTAAGAACCCCTGCCAAACGTTCTTGTCTTATCAATTGCAAGACAAATGACTTGTCACTCAACAGACTCTGAGATACATTACTAAACGCTTCCTTTTCATTGGCAATTGCTGTCCACACAATTTCGAGATCTTTTTTCAATGCTTCAGAGGCAAACATCAAAGCTCTTCCATTTTGTTGGACAGCTTGTAATACAATTTCTCTGTCATTTCTGAAATTCTGTGACGTTGTCATTCCAAGATACATTCCACATGATGTCACAACTCGTAAAAAAAAGTTCCGGTCATCTTTTACAAGCTTTGAAAATGATTCAAGAGCAATGGAGGATGTTGGACACAAGGCAGAGTCTAACGTAGCACCAACTTGTCTTGGATTTGAGAAAATAATATCGAGATCAGTTCTAAGTTCCGTCGATGCAAATTCCAATGCTAAACCAGTAACATTGATCGCTTGTAAGATGAATTCTCGATCGGATTTGATTTCGTTGGAAGCAAACTCAAACGACTTCCAATTTCGTTCTAGTGCTTTAAAAACAAATTCCTTATCGCTTCTCAACTCTTGTGAAGCATGTTGAAAAGCTTTTCCATTTTGTGAAACGCATGCTAGTATGAACTCGGCGTCATTCTTGAGCTCTTCGGATAGAAATTGTAAAGCTTCTGGATGGCGTTTGACAGCACCTATCAGGAATTCCTTGTCATCCTTCAATTGGGAAAATAACGACAAGAGGTCATTATTCCATTGAATGTGTGAATAGTTGTGAGCATGATTGGGACATACGGAACACAAGAACACATCACTGTCATTCTTCCATTCCTCTGGAAGCTCGTCAAACAAATATGGTGTGTTTTTGACAGCTGCCAAAATAATTTCCTTATCATTTCTGAGTGGGTCCGATAAACGACGGTAAGCAAGACCATCTTGTTTGACAGCTGTCATAGCTACCTCCTTATCGTTTCGAATCGCATCAACTGCTCGATGCACATAACCTCCATGAATTTTTACCATTTCAAGAATCACTTCTCGATCATGATAATAAAGTCTTGCAGCGTGTTCCAACAACCACGGGAATGATTCACTTGTTTTGCGATGATAATTTCGAAGCGCATTCAAGAGATAGGACTTGTCGTTTGTAAATTCAATGGGAATGAAATACTTTTCATAACCGTGTTCCCATCGATGCAAGAACTTTTTTCGTCCGTTCTGTTGAAGTGAAAATTTTTGAATCAATCCAAGAAGGGGTAATTGAGTGTCATTGTTGAATGTATGGTTTGAAGAGAGAGAGGAGGGTAGATCATAATCTGTCAACAGCAATCGCACATTGTTGTTGTCATTGTTATGGTTGGTTGATGTGCCATCATTCGTCGTAGGATTCATTGTCATTGTTTTTTTGTTACAGTGTCAGACTCTGGAAACAGAGTGACAGATTTGTTCTTCTTGAAAAAAGTTATCCAATGGAAGTTAATGTGTTGCACGTCGAAAATATTCTTTTTTTTTATCCATTCCAAAATCACATGCAACACGGGAATGACGTAGTTTCGAGAACACTCCATGGAAACTTCCATTCCTTTGAATGTTCTCAGAAATAAAAGGTGTTGCAATGAATATCCACGTGTATATTCGTGCTACCATTGAACCTTTGAAGAACATTTATGAACAAGCCAATCTTTTTAGATTTCGTTCAAATCATTCATTTTCGTTACGATGTTGTTTCTCAAAATTTTTGTGATGCAAACATCGTTCCTTTCATTTCTGACATGAACTCAATTCGTTTCTCTATGTGTTTAGATGTTCGCAAACACCTGATATTATTAATGAAAGCTTTGAATAGTGACATCTTGAAATGACCATGCTATAGGTGTTGACTTGTTGTGAAATAACAGTTCTTCTAATCTTTTCAATAAATCGTTACGCTCATCATTCGTTCTTTCTACGTTTGTAATTTTGGCAAAACTAACCACCTCTCTATCATCGTTTAACAATAAAATTCGTGACAGCTTTGTTTCGTTTTTTGGATCATTAGCTAGCATTTTTGCTTGAGGAATGAATTTAAATATTACAACAGCTCCTTTCTCAAGCACTATGGTATGCAAACTGTTGTTCGAGCATGATTGACCATTTTTAGTTATCACGCGAAATACTTTCTCAACTCGGCACGGAATTCGAGAGAATCCATAATAAACTAGAAATACACGTCCTATTTTACGAATTTCTATGGACTTGACAATTTTAGCATGTGCTTCAAAACTCTTAATAAAACAACATGGCTCAAAATTTGGATCACTAATGATAAATCCTGATTTTGTCGCCACATTTTTGTGTTCCACTATAGTGAGATGATTGTCTTCTAATATCGGTGAGCTCAAACAAATTCCCACAATGTCATTGGTGTATGCCTTTTGGCAGTCCTTATTAAAAATTTGAATACTCCTAATAGTTTGATTTTGATATTGTCCATTGAGGAGTGGAATTCGAAATGTCATTCCCACTCGAATCATTCCACTCACAATAAATCCCAAAATGATAGTTTCTTTGGTATTTTTAGTGGAGAATGGATTGTTGAAATGTTTGTAAATTTGTAATCGTCAAACAATGGTTGAGTCGCACAATGTTTTTGCAACGCTTTTTCAGATTGAAATTTCATGCCTTGTTCATTCAATACTTCAAGCAAACATTTTCCCGAATACCAACTCAGAAATTGCGCCACTGAGCGTTCTGTCACATTATATCCATACATTGCACTAATTGGAATGATTATCGTCTCTTCAAATCCTATTTTTTTCAAATCCTTTGAAATTCGTGTGTGAATTTCATGAAATTTTTCTTCCGAATATTTCGTTTGTTGGAAGATATCCATTCGATTCACACAAACGATCAATTGTTTCATTCCATACCATTTGGCCATCATTACTTGCATGATAGGATTGAGTGTCGCCGATACTTGCCATTCAAAATCAAACGATTCTGCATTCACCACGAGTATTCCAATCGATCCCATGAAAATTCCTCGATGACATTCATTCATGGAATAGCATCGACTCGGAATGTCAATGATTCTAAATTGAACGTTTGTATTGGTTTGAATTACATGTTTTGCATTGACATGAATGGTATAATCGCTTTGAAATTCATCACTCGATTGATACATCAGAAGAGAATAGGAATAATAAGGACCGAGTTGATTTTTCCGACACGTGCTTTCCATTGAACATTCATTTGGGCAATGACTAGAGGAAGGAAATGAATATCGAGTTAACCACATGGATGGAGTGTAACATTGAAAGCGAGGAATCAATCTCGGAAGAATATTTCGTTGAATTTTCTCAAACAATTCATTTCCACGAGATGGATTGAAATGATAAAAACAAGATCCTGCAAGAGTGGATTTTCCTGAAGATGAATATCCCAAAAAGACTCAGAGTGGGATCGGGCATCATCATCAATGGGTTATTTTTTTTGTAAATTCTCGGTTCCTTAAGATTTTCTGTAAATTCTTGATTTTTCTGACAAAAGCTTCAATCACTTCACTTACTCCAAACTGAAACCTCATTCACACCACAACAAGTATTTGAGAAATTGTGGACCATTGAACATTTCAATGACAAGAGTACAAGTGATGTCCGCATCAAACTCTCCCACAAGAAAAACAATTCATTTATATTTGCCAACACAGAACCATCTTGGCTTCCCGTGGAAAACTTTTTGAAGCATTGTTTAAGAGTGGCTCGCTCGCAGTCACAAGATCTTAATTACGACACATAGGAACGTATTATCATACTTCTACCTCCCACACCTAAGGTTGCAATTAGTTTGGAATATATTGTCAAATATTGTTATAATTAATGGGAGCAAATTGAACCAGAACATGCCATTTCACTCATCTTGACAGCATCCTTGAATGAAAAGCCAGAATTGGTTTCCCTCGCATTGGCAGCAAATTGATTGCGATAAGTATTTAGAAATTGCAAAATCATTGGATTTTGAAAATGATTTATTTTCAGATGTAATTCAAAACATGATTGATATTGGAGTGAATCACAGGCATGAGTTATTCAAGGAAACTGCAACTGTTCACCAATTACCTCTTCCTCTATTGCTCAAACTTTTTGTCAAGTTTGCAAACATGTTGTTTTAATATGTATTCTTGGAGAGTTATTCGAATATCTATTTTGGTATTTGGCAACTGACACAGAGAATACATTTTGGCCCATCCACAACGCAATCACCAAAGCTAAACAGGGACAATTTTAGAATATTTTTGGCAACCACCACTTCTAATCATGATGTCAAAGTATGGATCTTCTACTTCCGTGAACTGAAAAATCAAAAAATGTTTCGAGACGTTCCACAAACACTCGGCTCTACAACCTGCATTCAAGCAACTCGATTGCTCACGTTGCTGCTGTCGACGACTCTCATCACGTTGCTGCTGCTGCTGTCCGCTCATTTCGTCCACTGCTCAACAATCTCTGCCACGATTGACACATTTGTGGAACGAGTGAAAATCTCACAACAACAACAACAATGGACAACTCCTCCTTCATCATGGACCACAGCAGAGGCCTCTATTACAAGCTCAAACTCATCCATTGTCGTCCTTTCTATGAGAAATCCTTCTCTCATCCAACCTCTGTCCTCAATTCTTCGAGAATATTTCAATAACCGCACGCTTCACATGTTCTCCTTTGATTTCGAGTCGGATGTGGTGTCGAGAGCATCATTTAAAGCCAGTGTGGAGATGGCTCTTTCCATGCATCAGATCAAACCATTGAAACTGATCGAAGTGAGCAACATGTTGTGTGATTGTATTTTGGGAAATCCTTTTGTGGATTCCAATCAAATTGAGTTTTTAATCACGACCGATAAGGATGTTCCAAAATTGATTCGACAAATTCGAGAGAATTCGAAATATGCTCCTTCTCGATATTTGGAGTTGAGTGATTTTAATATTGTCATCCTTTCACCCTATGAAATTCAATATGTTTGGACGAATTCATCATTCTCCGAATCATTCTCAAAAAGTTTGATTCAAAATTTGAAAGATGACATGATTTCTTGTTTGTACGAGATGAAATATTGCAGAATGAATGTTTCGTCAACAGGTATTTCGTCTTGTTATGAAAAACATGATTATTGTTGGTTGAGGAGAGCTCAAAACTTTTTTCAAGTTGCACATTCTGAATTGTTTGTGAATTTTATCAATCAACAGATTTTAACACAAACACATCAGCCCGCTATTGTGGAGTATCAATTCAAAGTTCAGGAAATTGCTCTTGCATCTATTTTAGAAGACAATAATCTCAACTCAACATTTTCACACCAGTTACTTTCCACCAATTCCTCTGATTTTATGAACCTCACTCTCTCACAACGACTGGATTATGTCATGCAAAATGAAATGATGAACAGCTATCAATATTCATGTCATACCAGTATTTGTTTGTTTGAACCATTGTTAGCAAGTGAATACTTTCAATTTGCCTCCATTTTATGTTGCTTGATATATTACATATTCCTCTTTTGTATGTGTCAAAAGAATTCAATCAAAATCCGATTATTACTTCCTTGGTGTGGCCCATTACTGGTAATGATTCGAATATTGAGTAGTAGCGAGTTTATATACAGTACCTGTCCAGTTTTATATTCCATGATTTCCATTATCACTGTGACCATGACCATAGTTATTTATATTATCACAATTTTGAGAGTTCTCTATTTGAGAAATTTATATGAAATTATTTCAAAACGCAATAATATTGGATTGTACAAGAGATTGGCTTCAAAGAAGTTTGGTATTTTCATCACTCTTTTGGCATGTTTTTTGACCTTTTTAATCATGCTTGTTTTCATTCCAATGTTTTCCAGAATTTACTTGACAAATTCATTAAGCATCTCTCGAAATGTGATCGCTGGATGCATTATTTCATTGGCAGTTTTATCAGCAATAATATACAGCATTATTGACTTTATATTTCACAGAAAAGACATTAAGAAAAAGGGTTTAATTTATTTCCTCTTTTTCGACGATCCCTTTTACATCCGAATTGATTTGATTTGTTTGATTTTCATTCTAATTTTACTCATTCCATTCCTTACTCCAACGCGAATCTCGGTATTGAGTGGTTTATTTCGGATGTTGATTTCTCTAACAGCATACATGATCATGGGAGGAAATACTCTCTTCATTGAATGGGTGAAAATGTTAAAGTATCGTAAAAGTGAAATTGTGAAAAAGCTTGAAACGGTAACACCTGCAGCTGGATCTAAATCCACTTTGTCCATGATCAAAGAGAATGACCATTCTTTGGAGCATTTGTTGAAAGACTCGAATTTGTTTGAAATGTTGAAAACCTATTCTGAAAAAGAATTTTCCTTAGAGAATATTTTACTCTTTGAACACATTCAAGAATTTGTTAGAACTCAAAAATTAACACTTTCACAGGTTTCTCAAATTGAAGAAAATTTTTTGAAACCCTATTCGAAATATGAAGTCAATATTTCATCAACAACCAAAAAGGCCTTCCATGAATGGCATGAACATGTGAAAAGGAATCAAGATATGATACAAGAGAATTCTGTCATGGACATGAAAGAAATTGAAACACTCAAACATATTCTCTATTCTGATCTGTTAAATAATTTAAACGATACTTTTCATCGAATGCAAGCCACTGAGGAATTTATGAAATGGGAAAAAGTGGTCGATCTTCAACGTAAACATAGTATTACACGATAACTAACTACGATCAAGGATAATGTAATTCTCTTTGTACTAATAAAATTCAACAACAAAAAATGAATAAATTGGAAGTACAACTTTCCGAGCTGATCAAGACAACCATTTCTGAAGAATATAAATCTTCCTCATCATCCATATCATTGAACAGGATTCAATACTTGTCTATACTTGATCATTTAGAAACAATCATTAAAAAACAAAAACAAGAATATTTATGGGAATTGATTCAACACGTTCCGATGGAAGTGATGGTAGGAAATATTTGTCCATATTTACCTCTCGGATTTTTATTGAATGGATCTATGTTTTTAGTGTGTAAGAGATGGTATGAAGGAATTTATGAAAGTGAAGGCTTTTGGAGATTGGTTTTTACTCGGTTATGGAATGGATTTATAAAAACTCGAACACGTTGGAATGAAATTTCCCAAAATGATCACCCACAAGAGGATGAATATATTCGTGACCTGAATGAAGTTTCTTCTGATCCATCAGATTTCAATCATGAGACTGAAAAGTTTACAAGTAAGATGGATTGGAAATATTTAAGAAAATATTGCATGATGAGGAGAAGACGATTTTTGGAAGCCGATCAGCCATTTATTTCCTACAAAATTGACTGTTACAGAACGAGTATAAACCTGGACATGATGAAAAATTATAGCAAGTTTTTTGACTGTTTTTACTTGAAATCATTGCGATCGGATCAACAGGTACATCATTTTGGAAGTTGTTCCAATTCCGATGAAGATGGCTATTGTTATAATGTGGCAATGCGACTGGATTGCTTTAATTCGTTATCTCCTACATGCATTGCAGTTTATGTGTTTTGTAATGTGAGTTCGTTAGGTCATAATCGAGCCAGAGTTGCAGTTGATATTGATGCAGAAAAGATCATGACATTGAGTGACGATGATGACAATGATGACTCAACAATGAACAATGATTATACTCATCATTCACACAGGCTTCAACTTTATTCATTTCACATCCTGTCGTACGAAGTAGATCGCTTTTCGAGAGAAACAGTCAATTATCTTAATGAAGAGAATATGTCAAAGGTGAGAGCTTGGTTTGGTAGTGACAAACAAACAGCTGCATTGAAAAACCATGAGTGGTTGTATGTTCTTTTTGCTTCCAGTTCACTAGAAATATTAAAAGAGATGTTGAGAAGCCATTTTGTGCCCCTAAATGATATGAATACTGTACTGCTTGACAAGATGGTCACTGGCTTATCCAGTAATGAGCTTTCAATTTGAGTGAATCTAAATTGGTGAAAATTTCCACCACCTCCTTGAGATTAAATTACCAATGTACAAGTAATAAATTATTGAAAATGTATGAACATGGTGTTGGCACACTGAGAAACTTGAAAAAAGCTGTTGAACAACATTATGAATTATGGTCTCACACTTGCTCGGATGCAACCGAGTTCATCGGACGGGTCTATGAATTTGGACTTCAACAAATTGGTATTTCCATCGATGAAACCGTGCATTGAGTTTTACAAAAGAGCAAGTAGTTTGAATGAGGAAATTATGTAATTTGAACACTCAGTCGAATCAAGGAGGCCACACGTCACTCTCTCTTCTGTATCATTTGATCGATTTGGCAGACTTGAGTGGAATTGTTACAAATCTACAAGATGAAGAGTTTAACACGAACTATTCCTGTGGTTCAAATATTCGTCATGTGAAACTGAATTTTAAAAGAGGAGGCCAACATTGTGACTTAATTATTGAATTCAATGATTCTCAGGCTTCTACTGTAGAATGCAATGATTCTAATTTGCACAACAACAATAACTCGTATTTTACCATGATTGTCAAGTCTTTAAACCACGAATTGTTAGATCAATTAGAATATCAGATTCACAAGTGTGTGAAGCATTTAATTTCAATCATCAAAAAACCTCATGCGTCATCATTGTCATCCACAAGTATTGGACTTTTAACATGTGTCATTCGCGGAGGATGTTTTGAAACACAATTTTCAAAATTCTTACAACAGTATATACAGTCGTCAAGGTTTGGAAAATTCAAATGGGAATGTTGAAAGCAAGACAATCCTGTCTACAAATATGAAGAGGAAAGGAACAATTTAGTTCAAACATCCCTATAGAATCATGGGAAATGACACATTGTCCTCTCTGCGATTAACGTTGCAGTGAACATTTTACGACTCGATAATCTTTGACTGATATTTATCAATGATTTAAACTTTTTGATTATAAAATTCTAGTCGCTTACTTATTATTACTTGTTCTCATTGTGTGAGAAAGAAGATTGAGGACTATTTGCCAATGGATCAAATTCACCTCCCATCGAAAGTTTGGTATTATTTCGTTTTCTCAAGAGTTCTGCATTATTCAAGAATAGAGCTCATTGTGTTGCTTATGGATATGAGAATTAAGGGTTGCATGCAATCATAATTCTTAATTTTTTGAACCTTCATCAAACTTTTCTCTAAATTTAAAAAAATTCCATTACAAAAAAAATGGACAATCCCAACACACCCCGTCAGAAAAACACCACATACGACAATGAAGATGATCAGATGGAAGATGAAGACACGTTTGTGCCAGAGAAGCGTGAAAATCCACCAACATGGGACGAATTGACAAAAGGTCGCCTTGATCTAAAACATAAAGTCAATCAATGGTTAAAGGAGGCCTATGAAGAAATGTTATTTGACGAATTAAAGTAATTTTTGGCTTCTTTGTGAGCATTTATTATCAAAGCCCAATCCTCTAACTGATCGCTCAGAACAGGTCGAAATTGATACAACTCAAGGAATAAACTTGTCAGGAGTTAGCACACAAAGAATGCTCTCTAGAAATTCCGATCCCAACAATTTACAAATTCCGAAACTTTTTAAATTTCAATTACGGAAATCCTCCATGCAGAATCAAAAAAAAACGAAAACCATGGAATCATTTTGTCCTTTTTGCAACACCAACATTGATACTTTCACGTTCGAACGCCACCTGATCAAATGCTATCATCAGTCATGTATTGCCAACAATGAGGTTCCATTATGTACATGTTTGTCATGTAAAGGAATCAAGATACATGATGGGGATACTCTTCACAACACACAAGCACAACAAAAGCTCCAGTAATGTTGGAGTTAATATTTCTCTCAATAATAAACTGATTTAAACCACAGTGAATACTTTCAAGTATTGACATTCAGCACGTTATGAATGAACAGTCAATAGTGATTTGAAATAACTCCTCTTTACATGTTGACTCGATATTCAAAATAAATTTGGCACTTTCAAAATGAATTGTCACACAAGTTAAATTCTTCAAAATTTGGTTTGACTGTAGTTGTTCACATTGAAAAGCAAGTAGAATTAAAATTCACATCAAGCCAACAAGGAAGAATTAAATCTTGAGGAGTAGCTGGACAATATCAATATTTATTCCATTGTTTGGTGAACCTTTTGGAAGACCTTGTAAGTGAGATTAGTTTTATTTTCTAAACATATCGAGAATTTTTTGGTCTAAAAGAACTCTCAATGAATTTCCATAATCGTGCTCTTCGTTTTCATAATGTTTCTCAATATTGAATATTACCATCAAGAGTTGTGGTATGGATTCATGCCATTCTCAAAACGAATATCATTCAATAAAAAACGTTCAGAAAAAATGTGTGGTATTGGAGCTCGTTTTTTATTTCCTTCATCATCATCGGATGAGGGCTACAATCAGTCGGCATCATCAAGCTCTTCTTCCGAACATCATATTTCTCGGTGCAATGATCATCAGAACATGCCATTAGAAAAATTACACTTTTTACTGCAATATGGAAAATTACAAGACAATGAGAACAGTGATAGAACAACCAATGAATTGGTTGATTCAATCAACGAAGAACAACATCAAGATTTAAATAATGATGATGCTGATGATGGAAGAAATGAAAGTATTAATGAAAAGATGGAAAAGATACGTAGTATAGGATTTCAATCCTTGTGCTGCAAAATTTCAGAGCCAAGTACTCGTGAACCAATCATGGTAGATGCATCATCCACAACAACAACAAACACGACTTTGGAACTACAATCTCTTGTGGAGAGTATTTCAAAAGCAATTTCATCTCGAGGTCCGGATGCCACAAATGATAAAACCCTTTCGTTCCGAAACGATTCTCAAGAACAAATTCAAGTAACTCTTATTGCCAGTTTATTGGCATTGAGAGGAGATCGTCCATTTCCACAACCGGTTTCAATGAATCATGGTAATGATACACACTGGTTAATTTGGAATGGCGAAATATTTGGTAATGAATATTTCAGAGAATGTGTCATTGAACATGGAAATGATACTATATGTTTATTGAATCATTTAGTGAATTGTAGTAATGAAACTGAAGTTTTGAATACTTTTGCAAATATTGAGGGACCTTTTGGATTTGTTTATGTAAATACGACTGATAATTATTTATTATTCGGAAGGGACATTTTGGGACGAAGAAGTTTATTGTACTGCGTGAACGAAAGCGGAAATGAACTGGTTCTTTCTAGTGTAGCATGTCACATTCCTGGATTTTCACAATGGAGATCTATTGGAGTGAATGGAATTTTCAAACTTTCTCTCAAGCCAAATCAATCATTGCAAGACTCGTTAGAACTCATCGAATGGAACGACGTTTACACTAGAACTCTCAAAAAACCTCTAATTTCAGATCGCCACCTGATTAAGCCACCAACTAGTTCAGAACAAGAATCTTTGCTTGTGATTGACTCTGACACGTATGAGCATGTCGTTGATGAATTTATTGAACATCTCTCGAAAGCAGTGCAAAAACGAGTGACAAATATTTATGACAATACTCTAGAGCATGATGAAACAACGCCAAAAGTGTGTGTTCTTTTTTCAGGCGGTATTGACTCTGTCATTCTCACAGCATTGACCCATTTGAATTTACTAGACAATGAGAAAATGTCGATTGATTTACTCAATGTTTCATTTGGTACCAATCACCAACAACAAAGTCAATCTGCAGACAGAAAACAAGCCATTGAAGCTTGGGAGGAATTAAGCAAATTGTATCCAAGTAGAAATTTTCGACTCGTACTCATTGATGTGGACTCTACTGAGCTCGATCTTCATCGTAAAACTATTGAAAAACTGATATATCCTCAAAATACTGTAATTGATTTTAACATTGGATCAGCGTTGTGGTTTGCATCGAGAGGTCATGGATATATTTACAACCCATTATCATCCAGAGATTCCAAAGTTTCTTACACATCACCAGCTCGTGTCATTTTATGTGGAATAGGTAAGTGATATTTGTACACACACGTTTCGTTTGAAATTCAATGTTGTATCATTTATTCTACGACAAATTTGGGATTAATTCATGTTGAATCTATCATGACCAATATTTTGTGGATTTCATTGAAAATGGAGATAGGCTCTGATGAACAGTTAGGTGGCTACAAACGACATTTCAAGAAATTCAAAAGAGAAGGTTGGATTGGTCTTAATAATGAAATGGATATGGATGTTAAGAGATTATGGATTCGAAATTTGGGGCGTGATGATCGAGTTATTAGCGATCATGGAAGAGAGTCGAGAAATCCTTTCCTAGATGAACCTTTCATTAATTTTGTGAGAGAGCAACCACTGTGGTATTTGGCAGACTTTACAACGAATAATGTTGAAGTATCTTCAGAGTTATTGCCTGGTGACAAGAAATTACTAAGGAGAGCTGCTCAAAAATTGGGCTTGAAACGATCATGTATGTATGTGAAACGTGCCATGCAATTTGGTTCCAATGTGGCAAAGATATCCTATCGAAAACAACATGCAGATACCAAGATCGATATTGATTACTGAGCTAGTTACGATTGTCTTCATCAAAGAAAATTAATTGGCACTGAGTAAAGCAAATCGATCATGTCTAACACAATAAATCCACTATTCACTTCTTTAATTATCTTACCAAAAGTCGTCATCCTTAATTCCATCAACGTCATGATCGTGTGCCAAAGATTCTTCATCAGCCATGGAGAGAAGAGGAACAAAAGCTTGCTCCAGTGTTGGTTGTTCCTGTGGTTCGGTACCAAGAGATGGCTCGTTTCCTCTTCCCTGCTCTGGTCTCGTATAGCTACGGCCCGTCACTACAACCTTTGCACGAGAATCATCCACGATTTCAAAGTGATTATAAATGATTGTGTTTCCAGCTTGAATGGGGTTAGGATTCACATATGCATTAGAAATATCAGAATTCAAGACTCCGTCTTTATCCACCTTCACCTTGTATTCCATTCTGAATTGAATATAGGGATCCTCCTTCACTCCCATGCTCTCTTTGAAAGCTTTACGTTTCCCTTTAAGGTATTCATCTAAGGCGTTACTCGTCATGTTCGTCACTTGATCTCGAAATTTCTTTGTCAATTTTTTGCTTGGTGATGCGTCCATAAATGTTCGATTCGCTTCAATGGCGTACGAAATTTTCGTACAAAGTTCATCATTTAGCTCGACCACGTTATTCTCATCAAATATACCTCCTTCAAAGTTATATGGTAGAATATTCGTTGTAGTTTTCGAAATGGTCTGCACTGCGAGTGAAAGTGTGTCTATAATACTATTGCATGTGTCCTTATAAATTTGATCATTGAATGTCATGTGTCCTGTCTCTGTTTTACAAGTATATGCAGAGAGTTTGAGCATATTTTGTCGTAATTTTTTGATAATAATTCTCAATACTGATTCTGTAAACTCAAGAAAGCTCGCTTTCGTTGCATCATGAAATACTAATTCGTTCAATCCAGAAAATGTGCTTTGTGACTCTCCAACAAATACATACTCCTCGTGCTTCTCTCTCAAATGTTGATCATGAATAAGTGTGGCATCCACAAAACAATCCAAAATAATATGAGCAAATTTAAATTCATCATTCATAAGAGCAGAAGCTATGGCAAGAGGAGCGATTTTAGATAGACATTCAATATTGTTTTTTCGTGTCATGGCGACCACTCTCATAAACTCAATTGGAGAATTCTCGCTACACAAGACGGAGGTAGGTGAAGCTTTCTTTGGTTTGTGCATCATGGCATGAGCTTGTATGTGACGTAATTGCTCGGGATGATTCTTGTAGTATCTCCCAAAGTAGAGAGTGAGAGACTTTAAGGTTTGAATGTCTGAGCATTTTCCGATGTTGGTTTTCAAAAATTTTGTGAATATTACAAATTAGTAAATTTACAAATTTGTGCCATGCATCATTCAACAGACCGAGATGATCATTCGGGTGTAAATATAATCATATTATTTTTCAAAAGGTGAATAATTTCATCGTTAAACACCAACCAACCACTTACCCATTAAATAAAAGTATGGTTTGGCGACTTCCATAATTTTCCGAACGTCATCAATTTTGTCTTCTTTCATGGCCATATCTAAAGCGATCGAATATAAAGCAATCTGAGAAGATTTTGATTGGTTAGGATGTTGCAAAGCAAATTGTTCAAGAGAGGAAATACACGTGTGCATCTCCTTCATGTTCTTGGCTTGTCGGAATTGTTTGGCTAATTCTCGGAGTGATGATGAAGAAGTTGAAGATGATGAGTGTAACATGGAAGAGTGATAATTCCTTCTTCGTCCTCCTCCTCCTCCTCCTCCTGTACAATGATGAAATTTCAACGTTGATGCATCATAATGATCACCCCAAAACGTTTCTTGAATATTCGGATACATTGTAACATTTGTTTTATGTACAGCAAGATTTCTTTGATTCTTATAAGTACGTGCACAATAACGCAACTGAGAGCACGTGTTTCTCATCATTGCCATAATAGTAGCGGTGTGAGTATTCTGTTGTTGTGGTTGTGAGAATGCGTCCCACCACTTGCAAGAAAGAATCTTTTTAGAGCCGAGTCTTTGGACCATTTTTTTCTTCTTGAAAAATTCTTTAGCCACGCGTTGTATTAAGGTCAAGTGACAGGTTCCCAAAGCCCTTTTCAAGAAAGTGGTAGTAGTGAAAGGAGTTGCGATCACATCAAATCACCCTCCCACGGTGAGGTGAAAGAACATTTCGGAAAATAATTAATACTCGAGTTGTTGAATCTTGTCAATTTGAGTGAGTGGCCAATGATCACCTCTCTTCTCCTCCAGACACAAGTCGTGGTAAATACAAAGCATTATTGGAGGTACTTGAACTCCCTGTGGCAATTCTCTGGGATGAAGACAAAGTGGTCGAGGTCGTATAATACTCTGAGCTTGCATAGGGAGAGTAATTCTTGAGCTCATTCATAATTCTCTCTCGTTCTTCTGCTGAAGGTGGCACACGTACTTTTCTGAATGGTGATCCTAATGGTTCCCACTGATGGATAATATTGACATTAACGAATGAACTAGTTGGAGGAATGTTAGGTCGAGAAAAACTCTCCAACAATCTCGAGTAGGATCTTTTTGGTTGGTTCTCCTTCTCGATGCGCTGCTTTGGCTTCTCAAGAAGAACTTCTCTAGAATTGATACGAACACCCTTGCTGAGACCTGCCTTAAACTGTTGCTCTGCAATAAACTTGGCAGCATGGATGACTCCCCATTTCTTTAGAGCTTCCTTTGGAATTTGTACATATTGATTGGTCTTTTCGTCGAAAATTATAATATTCTTAAAGACGTCTTGTGGTTGCTCTGGCTTAATAGGAGTTGAAGGAATATCTTCAACAACACTCTTGCTGACGCCTTGAATGAAAGAATCCCAATTCAGATCCTTACTGTCACTCGATGAACCGATTGCTTCTTGGATTGCATCTTTGAGAATTTGTGTGATTTCACCAATCGAGGACGGAACTATTGGAGGTGGTTGTTGTGTCATAGAAGGTGCCGAGGAACGAGAAAGACCAAACGTCTGCCTATATGGAACGTAATTTCTTGAGGAAGCTGCAGAAGAAATTATGGGTCGAATACCTTGATACTTGTGTTGAGTGGAGCTTGGTAATGACTGAGAGAGCACGTTGGGAGCGTTCAACTTTGCCTTCATCAAGTTTTTCATCTTTTGGGAGGAAATGTCCTTCTTATTACTGGCTGATGATGGTTTTGAGTTGTCTTTGATAGGGCTCTTGGATTGAATTGGGTCTTCAGTCTTTGGAGTTTGTGTAGAGGGCAGAGGTTCATGTTTGTGCTTAAGGGAGTTCGAGTCGTCCATTGCATTAGGATCCTTTTTCTTAGTGGCATTGACTCGGTTTTTGGAAAGATTTCTTCGATCACCATTTCTCTTTGTCGAAGGAGATTTGTATCGTCGTTCACGCAATCTTTGTAATGCTTTTAGAGTTTTCTTGAGGTCCAAAATTCGTCGTTCTCGCTGCTTGATCAAGTTTTGCACTTGTTCCAGTTCGTTTTCGTACTTGGTTTTCCGTAGTGACCATGATGAATCTGATTCCGTAGTCAAGGGCACGATATGTTTCATTTCAGTTACTTCATTGAACATTTCTTCGAGCTGGTTGTCATCTTCAAAAATGTCATACGCGTCATCATAGGACTGTTTCATTTCCAAGTACTCTGCCTTAATTTCGTCGTATCTTTTCATAACTTCATCAATTTCTTCGAGAGCAATTCCAGTTGGATTATCAATCTTGGCTTTCAAGAACTGTATGACACTATCTTTTTCCATTAAACTTTTCTCCAGAGCTTGCATTCGAATTTTGAATTGAATCTTTCCTTTAACAGCCTCTTTCATTTGTGTGAGACCGTTGTGTTGTGCTTTCAACAGTCGAAGCTGATTTTGTAGCTGCTTAATGGAAGGTTCTTCTTGCTTTTCCTCTAGCTCTTTTAAACCTGTTTGCTCATTAATAATAACCTTAACCTCTGGAAACTTTCTGTTTCTAAGTTGATAGGGGAGAATGGTTCGAATGTTCTCTGCTTCATCCATTCCCTTTAAACTCACAACACCCATATACTTGGACCAAATTTGAGTTGAAAATGTGTCCAACTTGTCCTTAATTTTCTCCCATACAGCGTTCGATATTACAATCTGACCGCCCGCAGCTTGGCCCTCAACTCTAGCTGCTCTGTTTACAACAGGTCCAAAGTAATCGTACCGACCTGTCACTGGATCTCGCTCCACGATCGGTTTTCCCACGTGCACACCCATTCTAACTCGAAGACCTCTATATACTATGTTTTTGATGTCTTCTGGATCCATTTCGATTCGACCTGGATCAAAGTCGTACAAATGATCAGGCCATTCAGCTTCCAGTAATCTTATTTGAGCCCTTAGAGCGAACTCGATGGCATCCTCTGTTGTGTGGAATGCACACATGAACTGATTCATTACATGGTTTGTAAACACGGTAAGATCGATCTAAATGAAAGGAAATAATCAACTTACTGCATCACCTTCCGTTTTCACTTCAAATCCCTCTGTCTCATCCAATACTTGCCGCATGACGTCATTATGAACTTTGATTGATTGCTGCATTATGTCCATGTCGAGCTCCCATAACCTGGTAGAGTCTTGTACATCGGTGAATACCAGTGTCACATCGCCCTTAGGTCCCTCGGCATTGGGTTTTAAATTCTGTTCCTTGTCTTGTTTGTAAAACATCAACCTCGCCCGTACTGTATTCATCTTGGACTTTAAGTCATTGTACTTGCTTTGAAAATCGACAACCTCTGATTGAAGATGTTCCAACTCTTTTTGCTCTTGTTCCTTTTTTTCTACTGGATCTTGCTTCAAAAACGATGGTATCTCAATTTCTGGTTTTGGTGGCTCGTTGCTCTTGACAATTTCTACTTTGGAATCTTCGAACCGCGTTTCATCAGAACTATCTCTATTTAAATCCATCTCGAATAGCTTGGGTGTCACTTGTTGTAGTTCCACTGATGAAATCTCTTCCTTTTCTTCTGATTGCGTTTCTTCTTCATCGTCACTTAAAACTAAAACCTCCAATGGCTTTTTAGGTGTAGCAGCTCTCTTTTCAGGCTCTTGCTTGGGTGTTTCCTCCTTTGGTACCTCTTCCTCTGCTTTTTGAGCAGTTTCTTGAGAAACTTCGTTCGATAATTCATGTTCGTCAACAGACGCAAACAAGTCTTCGGAAGGATCGTGCACTTCACCAACTACCGCGTCAATTTGTTTGACAATAGCCTCTTTATCCTTTGCTGCACTCTTTCGTAACTCCTTAGCTTTTTTTGCAAGCTTCTTCTTGAGCTTTTCTGTTTCTTCTCTTTCTTTTTGAAGTCTTTCTAGCTCTTGTTTTCTCTTGTATTCAAGATTTTTCAAGTTTGTTAAAGTATCTTGCACTTTTTTAGATTGTTCTTTCAGAGCAAAATATGACGCAGTGTCAATTGAACTTGTACGATGCTCCGTGTCAATGATGTCCTCTGTGCGAGAATAGCTGTCCTTCTCCATTTCATCCTCATATCTATTCTTTTTTGTCCAATTAAATAGAGAAAAGTCTGTGGGCACATAGTTTGAGTTTCCGTTTTTCTTGAACAGTTCCTCCCTTAATAATAGCAATTCCTTATAGAATGACTCTCTTTGATTATCTAGTAATTCATTCCTTCTCTTTAATTGGCCCTTCATTAATTCTACCTCAATTTCGTGTCTCCTCAGTTTTTCCATTAAGTTTCGATTTGCCATTAATAATTCTTCTTCCTTTCGAGCTCTTAACATTCGCTCTCGTTCCAGCTGTTGTTCTTTAACCAAAGTTTGTACCTTAAAATCTTCCATGTTGCTCATGATTAAATCCAGCTTACTTCCAGACCTTGATCCAACCTGATCATCCTCTGAAGAGATTGTCAATTGTCCAGATTTTGGTCTTTTAGAGGTTCCTCTTTTCCGAGAAGAGGGTCTTGATGCCACTCGTTGCTCGCTTATATTGGGTGTTGCTGCACCACTTCTATCCGAGATCTGAGATGCTTCGGAGCCAGGTCTTGGAACCTCCAATGTTGTTATACCCAAGTCCAACGTTTCTCCATCACTTGCTGATGATGCCGCTCTGTCTGACAGATGCTCTACATTTAATAATTTCGGAAATTGGCCAAACATTCCATAATGATGTCCGATTGCTTGTATCCGAAATATTATTTCAATGTAATTAATACTACAACAAAACTCCCTCTACTGATGATCTGATGATGAAACAATGAATCCGCTCAGTATTATTTATTTGCAAAAGAAAATCGATAGTGCTGCCAATGAAATTGTAAATTTTTTCTGTAAATTTTCTAATTTTGTTGCCGTTATTAAAAAAGTTTGGATATCACAAGGTTTCAACAACAACAAAAGTATGTCAAGTGCTAAGGCATGAACAAGTCCAACGAAGAGATGAAAATCATGAAGTTTTTGATAATTTATTGTTGTTGTTTGAGAGAAAACTGGAAGAGAGGTGTAAATTGTGAGAAAAATGGGACAAGTAAGGAGGAGAAGGATTTCAAAAGAGAGAGTAATTCAAAACTACACATGGAGTAATGTGTTGGACCAATTGAATGTTTGATGCAACAATTAGAATGAGAGTGGCTTATCCGTAAACAAATGCCACTCGAGAATGATGGAGTGATAACTACATTCAAGCCATAAGAGGGGAAGCAATGATGAGTTTGTTTCCAGAGAGTTGGAGCACAAATAACTGTCAACATTGTCCTCATTATGGGTTGATAAGCATTTCTACTCATCACCTGCGTGCGGAGAGGATATCTTGCTGTTCGAGGAAGTAATAGTTGAAACAATATTGTCCATCTTTTGCTTGATTGACATGTATTCCTCATAATCACTCTGCATGTCTGCCCAATCACTTAAATACTTCATCTTTCTGTTGTGGTCTTTTTCAAATTTCTTTTCATATTCTAATAGTTTTGTTTGAAGCTCCTTCTTTTTCTTTTTCAACTCGCAATAATGCTTGTTTTTAAGCAATAATTGTTTGAATTCTGGTGATTTGATTTGAGTGGATGTTCCTCGTATCGAAAAAGAAATTGACCTCCTTCCTCCCAAGTAAGGATTGCTCTGTCGATTTTGGTTGGTATTCATGGATAAGTTATTGTTCGATCGATAAATGACAACTTGATGCAGCGGAGATTCGGTGCTCATTTGTGACGAATAGGCGTGTCGATTCGAAACAAAAATTTCGTAAATGTCTTTTGCTTGATTATATCTTTCAAACAGCGGCCTGATCAGTTCCTTGACCTCTTTTGGTAGTTTGCTTGCCGAAGGGTTAGTCTTAAAGTAACACTCTTCAAAGTGCTTGATTTCCTCTCGTATGATTGATTTTTCAAGATAGAGCTGTTGTGAGTTCCATTTCTCATCAATTTTCGTCAAATCTATGCCATTGTAAATGTCACGTGAGGCATTTCGTCTTATCTCAATTCTCTTATTCAAACTTTCAAGTGGTTTGTTCACAATATCTACAGGAACGCTTTCCAGTTGCTTTTTAGTTTCTTCTGTTAGATTATTTTTCAAGCAGGCGTTTTCTTGTTTTTGGAGAGCGCTATTGTTTGGATCGTTGGTCAAGTCTGCAAGCTTAGAGCCAGTTGTAATATCGGATGCATGATCCAAATCCTTTGTGTATTCCTCGACAGCAGATGATCTTCTATTTCGACCAGAAGTGGGACTCAATGATTGAATATCTTCAGGTGTCTCGCTCTTCCATGCCGATTTCTTTGGAGCTCTCAACATGGAACTACCATCACTGAGCGATCTCTTAAACGATCGATGGGCGGACTCTTCCAAATTTTCTCCGATAATACTCTTCACAATTTGAGTGATGTCATCGGTTGTGTATGTCACTTGCTTGGATTTGTCCTCAGTAAATATAATTCGAGTGCTTTCTGGTCTGAATAATCCTCTTCCAGCTTGTACTGGTGACTCTTGATCAGAGAGCTTTAATTCTATCAAGGAGAGTCCTTTTCTCTTGTCTTGAGCTTGATGACCACCAATTGAGAAAAATCTCTTGGAATGTCTATTTGAGGCATTGGCTGTAGTTGCAGCTCCACCGTTCATGGCATTATCCTCCTCACGTTTTGATTGCTCAAAAGTAGGAGAGACAGCATTGGAAGCTGGTGACACACTCAATGGATCATCCAGCACAGCCACTTGCTTATTATTCACAATAATTGAGTTAAAGATTGTGTCGGCTTCTCGAATCAATAAATCCACACAGTAACCTTGGTGAGAGACATCTCCCAGCATCACAGTAGGACTTGTATTGGTGGATCTGAATAGAGTAGGACCAAACACAATGGACAAGTTGGTAATACTCATCTTGTTTTCGTCATGATGTTGAGCCACAGCATGCAAATGCTTAACCACAAAATAAAGAACATAACGAGAGTTGTCGGGAAGCTTTTCAATCAAGGCTCTCATAATCTCGGCCGACTCTTCACGAGTCTTATTCTTTCTCGTTCTTCCCAATTCCATGAATGAATTATATAACTCATAGGTCGTGAGAGGATCAGGAAGCTTTTTCAAGTACTCCTTCACGACACAACAAATCGTGTAGGGATCTTCATTTTGTAATTCTGGATCTTTGCCCGAGTCAAACAATTTAACGAGAGCCTCAATAGCGTTCTTGGCTCCAGCTCTTCGATAGATACCCTCTTCGTGGAGAGCAAAACGTTCAACGGCATCGACACATTTCGTGAGAGGGAATGGAAGTCCGTTGAAAATGGGTGAAGCCTTGATGGCTTGGTCGAGGGGTAAACCAAAGACCTTTTTCTTTTCTGTAGTCGTTTGTTTGTTGTTGTTGTTGATTAATTCAAACGGTTCATGAAGAAGACATTCACGTGCAAATTGGATGGATATAAAGTAGGATGTGAGTTGCGGTTGAGAGAAGAGTGTTAGAAGTCGAATCATGGTCGTTCGTTTGTGGTTGATGTAAGAGAAAGAGGGTGATAATTTGTTGTTAATAAATCGTTATTGAAAAGAGTCAAAGGATATCCAAGAAGTGAGGATGAAGTTGTTGTTATTGGTTGGTTCAACGTCGTGATGATGAAGAAGACGAGGAACATGGAACAAAGAGCACAGAAGATGAAAACAGACGATGATGAGTTTCATTCCAACGAAGATGTGAAACGTATGGTGTTTCATACGACAAGGATGGTTTTCCAATGAATAATGAATACGTATTCATGTTTGATTCAAGCGATTTCGTGGGAAGAGTCATCATGAGGTTGATGTCAAAATGGTATTTTACGATTTGATTACGATGCCGTCATTTCTGAATCTAAAAACAACCACGTAACGTTTTTCAATACTTACTTCCAAAAAGGCCTTCGAACACCATACTACAAGGATGGTTATGTGATTATAAACAACTCGTGAATGGATGATTTTCTTGATGGTCTCACAATCTCGGTGTTTACTTGCCGGATCAACAGCAACAATTTAAACAAATATTTAGAGTGTCAATTGTGTTCGTTGATGATGAATGTTTTCAAACTCAATGTTTTTGAAATTGTATCACCAACAAATTGTTGGAATAAACTTGTTGATGACAAGTGAGTGATGAAGAAGCGTTAAATTTTTTTAATTTTTTGCAATCATGTCAGGTGTCAGTTTTTTTATATGGTGCATTTTGGCGACTTTGAGGCCTGACACAAACTTTGTTAAAAAACACCATCAGACTGAAATAAGGAAGAGAATATGTTGAGAAAGAACATTGATTTAGTGTCAAGGGTCGTTTCTTTCATTTAGAAACGAGTTATTGCCTTATAGAGACCGAAGTTGAGAGTTAACAACGAGAATCACTCCATCTCCACGAACAAACAGCATTCCTATTTTCCTTTTGGTAGTCTGTTTGGATTTTGATGTAGTATTTAAAAGATTAGATGTGTGAGTAATTGATCCATTTGTCAATTGGTTTGGTTTTGATCATGGACACAAACGACAATTTCATGATTTACAATTTTAGAATTGTTCAAAACACGAACATTTGATTGTTGAAATCAATTGTATGGCCATCGCTGGCAACAAACCATTTCCACATAATGATGAGCTCTACTTACCTTGATGTGTTGTTCTTCAGTTTCCTTACTCACTTCAATTTCATGAATAGTTTCTTCCACGTTTCCAAGAACCATGTTTAAATGTTGGTCATATGCCTATGTTTGTTTCGAAGTTGTTGTCAGCATGTCAAAGAAAATTCCAAGCCATCATTGGACATCATGAGTTGTAGTATGTAGGCGCGTGGTAATTTACGTTTCCGAAAATGACATGGGTTCGTTCCAAATTCGTCCGAGATACAGGTTCAATGTAAATATCCGTTCATAATAAATTCAGAAATAATTTCGTCATCATTGAAGCCATTCCGATAAACGAAAATATTATTTGTTAAAATTATAGATTCATAATTTTCGTTTGATTGAATATCCGAAATAATATTTAAATTATTATTATCATCATCATATCTCACCATTCACACATACATGTAAAACTCCTCTCAATTCACGATCTCCTTTCAATTTAATGTACACTTGTTCATCAAGCGATAATCGGATTAAATCAAGTGGTTCCAAAACAGTTGTGGGTTTTGCTTGTGGCAATCCTTCTTTTTGCATTTTTTAATAAAGGCTTTTCAAAAAGAACATTCCAACAAAAAATTGCCAAATCAATTATTTGAACAGAGTGCTTGGACTAGTGTTGAAGAGAGGACCCTTCATCGGAAATACACACAATCTACAAAAAACAATTCCATGAATATCCTGTTCTTTACAATTGTTGTACTCGTGTAAATTACTTGAGAATTCCCAACGCACTCCCGACAGTCGAGTTTAAACTTTCAACCAACACAAATTTTGAAAAGGCTTGTAAAAAACAAAAAACGTCTCCTGTTTCACTGTGCACTCATGAAGCCTCGGAATTATCAAATAGAATTGGCCAACGAGGCCGTCAAGAGAAATATCGTCTGTATTTGTCCAACAGGAAGTGGAAAGACGTTGATTGCTGCTCTCGTCATTGACCAACTTTATCATCAAGATTCTGCCAATTTTTGTGCTCAAAGTGATCTTTGTGCTTGTGGAAGTTCTTCAAGCAAGCACTCATCGTCAGCTGAGCGCTTGGACCCACAAAAAACATTTTTCATAGTTCCAACAAATGCCCTCAAGAAACAGCAACAAGAGTCTTTGACAGAGTTCTTTTCTGCTCGAAAGTGTTCGCGTGTAAAGGTGAAAAAAGATTTCGTGATTGATAATGGAAAAACATGGAATGTCTTAGTATGCACGGCACAATCTCTTCTAAATGCTCTTGATACAGATACCATTTCGATGAACGATATCAAACTACTTGTATTCGATGAAGCTCATCATGCTGTTGGAGAACATCCCTACACAGTGATCATGAGAAAATATTACCATTCCCGCAAAAACAGAATTGAGAATGCAGAGATGCACGAACAATTCTTGTTTATGCAAGAAGAAATTGTGACGTCTGTTACTCTGCCCAGGATTTTGGGTTTGACGGCCACTCCAACCTCTCATTCCCTCCATAAGAATGTTGTTGACATACATGCTCAAAATTTGAAAAAGACCAAGTTAGAATTTTACCTCGACTCGTGTGTTATTGCCCCAAGACAGCACATGGAAGAGATGCTTGCTCACAGTACAAACCCATTTCAACACATTATCACTTACAAGAAAAGTGAAAATATTGAAACTATTCAAATTATGAAGCAATTTTGTGTATCCTATAGTGCATTAATGAGCTATGAAAGCATTATTGAAGAAGAGTACACTTGTTTGGGAGAAATAGGACTATTGTTTTCCTTCCAGTACTTATACGGTAAAGATGAAATTGTAGATTGGTATCGACTTTTCGAGCAGAAACAGTGTAGCTTAGAAAATCTAAGAGATTCATCGTTTAGATTTGAAACTATAGAACAAATTAGAACCTCACCTTTCCTATCTTCGAAAGTTAAACGCCTTTTTGAGCTGTTGCATGTTTACAAGAACACTGTTGGAGAGAAGAATGCAAAATGTATCATCTTTGTGGAAAAGATTGTGCATGTAAAAACACTTACCAAAATTCTGAGATGTTTCACAGAATTCGATTCTCTCAACTGCACTGAACTTGTTGGTGTCAGTAATATGAGTAGGAAAAATCAACAGGATGTTGTGAAAGATTTTTCGAGAAGAAAAGTCAAGCTGTTGGTTGCTACAAAAACAGGTGAAGAGGGTATTAATGTTTCCAAATGTTCCCTTGTGATACAATACGATTTATGTAACACCACCAAAGAGCATCTTCAATCTAAAGGTCGTGCTCGTTTCCAAAATTCTCATTACATTATATTTTCAGAAGAAGGAAACTTTGAACATAACAATGTCATTAGAAATTTGGAAAAGACCCTCGATGAACCATTAGATTATTGCACCGTTGAACAATTTCGAGAAATACTCACATCAAACCCCATACCACTTGTTGACAATGATGAAGAAAATGATAAGGACGACGGAAACAATGCAACCGATGATGATACTTTCTCAAGTGATGAAGAAGAAATGGAGCCTTTCTATGTTCCCTCTTGCATAAGAAATGAAAATTCTCAAGCACATAAACTTCAAACGGAGGGAGTGACATTGTTCTTCAGCCACCTGACTGGGTGCTTGAATAGTTTTTCAAACGTTTCATTTGGTATTTTAACCTATCATCCAATGAAGCCCATAAGGTCCATGAAAATTAAGAATGTTTATGGAGAATTGAACGTCAATCCAAAGAGCTTTTTTACATGTAGTGAAGAAGAGTTTTTCCTTCTTCAACGATTTCACATGCTATTTTTCAAAATATTGTGCAAACTCAAGTCGGGTGACAAGTACAACACAGAGGATGGTAGATTTTATCTAATTACTCCTACGATAGCGTCGGAATCATCTAATTATCATAGTTGGATTGATTGGAACTTTATGAGACAATTTATGTCGGATTTCAGTAAGGATCATACAAATGTTCAAGATATATCACAGGCTGAACCCTCAATTTTGGATATTTGGAAGAATGGCCAATCGATCCCAACAGATAAGATCGTCATCACTACCTATAACAAATCCCCTTACTTTATACTAGGAGTTGATTCAAGTAGAAATCCTCTCTCAAGTTTCAACAACACAAAGAAATCAGAAACCTTTAAACAATATTGTGAACAAAAGTACAAAGTGGTTGTGACAGATTGTTCACAGCCATTACTAACATGTTCAGCCGAGCGAAAAGGAACCAATACTGTTTGCCTAATACCTGAGCTCTGCAGAAGTACATGCTTTTCCATTGAGTATTATGATCTTTCCAGGTTGGTTTTCGCTACCAGTAACGAATTAAGCTTTTTATCTCTGTTAGAACAGCTGCTCATTGTTGAGGATTTGAGAGAAGTTATCAAACTTCCTGCCTCTGTTGATAGTGACATAATACGAAAAGCAATCACTCATAGATCGTCCCAAAATTTGGACTTTAACTATGAAAGATTGGAATTCATGGGGGACAGCATCCTTAAATTTGCTGCTACAATGGACATTGTTCTCAAATATCCATTCGAAGCAATGAAATTTTACAATGATGAACGCCAAGGCAAAGTCAGCAACGCCTACCTTAAAATAGTTGCCAAGAAATTTGGGTTACAACAATTTTACATTGAGACACAATATTATCACCACAAAGCTGCAGGATTTTCTTACACCAAATCAAAACAAATCGCTGCCATGCGTTGTAAAAAACTTTTAGCCAACATGATGGAAAGCTTAACAGGAGCGCTTAGTGAAAATGATATGCAATATGGTGTGACATTCCTAAAGGATGTGGGCATTATTGAACGAGACTGCTTTACATGGGACGGCTTTTTATTCTCGCACAACCCTGCAGAATTGAAGAAAAAAATTGAGACCTTTGTTGGTGACATGAAAGATCGAGTGAATATCTTGCAACAAAAGCTCTCGTACCAATTTAAAGAGCCTCTGTATGCTTATTTGTCCCTGTTACACCCTTCAGCTAACATGGGAGGCAATGCCAATAATGATACACTCGAGTTTGTGGGAGACGCTGTCTTGGATTTATACATTGTCCGCACACTCTATGAAAACTTTAATTTTAACGAAAGTGAAATGACAGATTTCAAGTCACAATTTGTGAAAAACACTTCTCTTGAAGAGATTGCAGATTCATCAGGACTAGCCTCTCTTCTCTACATTCCTTTCAAAAAATTGAAAGGCAAAATTGTGAGCGATATGGTTGAAGCAATTATTGGTGCAGTTGCATTAGATTGTGGAATGAACTGGGAAGTAATTTGTAAAGTTATTGAGAGTGGATTTTTACAGAGGCCTCTTCAAACGTGGCTAGAGAAGGTTCAACAATATGCAAAAGAATGCGAAAAGGAAATATCATCCTTGCAAGAACCTTCCTCGTTCGTGGATGTGCATCCATCAATTCAAACACACCTTCCTATTGAAAAGAGCATGATCAAAGAAAATGATATCAGCTCAACTTTTATAGAGAGCATTCTCAGTCATGACATTCAAGTGAACATGTTGATTAAGGTATTTTTTAACAACACCACAGAATCAGAAACATATTCGAGGAAGTTTTCACTTCAACAAATTGCACATTACTCAAGTTTATTTACATTGAGCGAAATGCCACAAGTCATACTTTCAAATTCTCCCACTTGCATGAAATGGTATTATCTTGATCAAGACAACGATTGGATTTTATTTGATACCCAACACGAATGGGAATATTTACTGACAAATATGTTACATCTTGTTGGGAATCCTCATTTCTCCCAGCAGCAACCAAATCTCAATGCAACTTTACATCTGACACTTGGTGTTCAATTGTCATAACAAGGACTTTCCTTTAATGATTTTATTTTGGAAATTTCTAGCCGTTACGAATTTGTTTTTCAGAAAATTAAAAAAAAAGTCTCAATGTCCAATCTCATCCATCTAATCGTTACTACTCCATTGTTATTATAATAACAAACACACATTGAAATCACAAAAATGTATTCTCCCAATACTCCTCAATATTTACATGATCTCTCGATGCAACATCATGATGACCCAAAGCTCCACTACTGTATGAATTCACCCATCCGATCCTCTTCATCCTCGCTCCGTACTTCTTTTCATCCTTCTCTTCATCATCCGATGAAAACTCCTCCAAGAACACCCTCTTCCTCCTTAAAACAACCTTCCCGTTCTACTACATCTCGTGCTCGAGAGATGATAGCTTCTACCTTAACGACCATGTTATTATTCTCTCCTTCTCAACTTCATGATGATGATAATAAATTCGGAAACACTTCATTATACGATGAAAACACCACCAAGAACACCACTCCCATCCAACGATCATTGTTTGAAGAATTCAATGAATGTATTGTAGATCCAATGATGCCTCATTCCTCATTCACTAGTCCAATGAAAACCACACAACCATCATCTACTCTGATGGATGTAAGTAAGGAATCCTCTCTAATTGAAAAGAAGAGAATGTTGAGGCTCTTCTTTGAGAGAACTCTTCTGGTATTGGTTGCTGTATTGCTCTTTCCCCTTAAAATGGTGGCTCATCTCAAAAACAAGATCTCCAGTCAGGAGAATCGAAGCATGGACCATGAGATGGCACAACATGGTGAAGATTCATTGAATTTCAACAACCTTGTGCAAGAATGTAACTGGAATGAAAGTAAATTACAACAAGAAGATTCCATATTACTAAATTCCGAAAGGGATGATCTAAGGAGTAATAAGGATATGAATGAACAACAGAAACGACTCGAGGCTCTTGAATGTACAGTGAAAACGCTTACAACTCAATTGGAAAATGTCATGCATGAAAAGAAACTGGTTGAGGAACAGTTGGATGCTCTCTTGACGTCCTTAAAACAATTGGATTTGAATTGCAAGAAAGAGTCTCATACAAACTCTACTGAAATATTCACAACCCAATTGATCGACAATTGTCACGAGTTCTCGTCAGGAAAAGAAAACGTGCACGATGAGAGCGAGTTTGCAGCGCCTGACAATTCTCAATCAGCTACCTCTTCCACGGACTCCATCATTCCTAACCTCACAAACACAACATTCCCAAATCGTTCTCAAATCCAGTTCGATATGATATTCACACTTTTCATTTGTCCCATCATTCTAGTGTTATTTTTCTCATTCATCCTTGATTGATCTTGGATGTTCAACAATTGATAAATTTATTGACCCTCAATAAAAAGTCATTTTCCAAGGGAAGAACGAGATCTTCAACGGAAAACAAATCATTACTCTTCTGATGTTGACAGCACCGATCTCATGGTGATGGAAATTCTACGATACAATTCCTCATTGGCATCGGCACCAAGTACTTCCTTCGCTGAAAATCCATGCTTTTCATAATCCTTCAAACTAATCACTTCATGCTTCCATCTGTAACGAGCAAGTCCACTCAAAATCAGCAATGAGTTTGGTTCCAACACAATACTCGATCGGTTTCCTGTTGTCTTTAACTCTTTAATTGGAATGCTGACATCCAGTAGTGAGGTTCTTGTTGTCTCATTCTTTTCATTAACATCCTCATTTGAACTGTAATCTTGATTGGGCAAGCCATCTTGGGAAGCCTCATATAAAATCATGACACAAGGTTGTAATAAACTCACAATGGAAACAACAGGACCAAAATGAAGAGAATCCACATGCTTCTTAATATATTGATAAGGTCCACAATATTCATTAAGAATAATTTGTGAAATTGGTAATTCAAGAGTTTTCTCATATTGTTGCTGATGTACAATATTGCTCGTTGTTCGTTGAACCATATTCAACTTTTCATGCTCTTGTTGTACTCGTTCCACAAGTGATTGTAAATAGAACGGAATTCCCAATGCATTCGTAACCACCTCACTGTCAGAATTCATTTTCTTCAACCCTCCAGAAAAGTAATCGAAATGATATCCAAATTGTTGGGTACGTCGTGACATGATCTCTGTTTGCCACAGCGAGGATGATTCCAATTTAGTATCATCATTGAAATTCATAAATTCATCATCTTCTTCCGCATGATCATCTTGCTTCTCATGTAATCTGCAACTGGAACCATCCATGTTCGAAACAAGTTCTTGACCTTGCTCGTTGGAAATAAAATTTCGAATGTAAAACAGTCCCGAAAGTTGTTGATATGGAACGTCACGAAAGCGTGATGATGAATGAGAGGTCTGATGATTCATGTTGCTGCAATTTTTTGGTTGTTTCAAGACGAGTGTTTGGAAATGGTTTGTGAAATTTTGAAATTGCACAACCTAATGTCAAAATTTTAAAAAATTGTTTCTTCATGGAAAACAATGTAATGGTAATTAATACAAGGTTGTATTGGGTTTTTTCTTCTTTTCAAGAATATGAGACTGTTCCAAAATCTCTTGTAATAATTGTTTCACTGTCATCTTTTTCAAATACACTCGACGATAATAATCGTCACCATACGAGTTCTCCTTGCAATAGATCGTTTCATTTCCAATGGCTACAGGTTGTGGATACAAACAGTCGTACAAATATGGTACTGTCACTGTTGAATTCCAAAACTGAGTAAAGAATGCATGATTCAATGCTTTCTGTAAGGCGTCAGCGTCGTGCTTCTTTACTACTCGAAGACTGAGTAAGAGTAAACCCACAGGGTTAGACTGAAATAAACAATCGTGTCCTACTCGTTTAAATTCTATGGATTTTTGGTTCAGTATGGATTTGGGAAATTTTTCCGCAGATTCTTTTAATTCCCAATAATCGAAATGAAGTTCCGTCAAGTAATTGCATGGAATTTTGATCTGTTCTAAGGAATTGTTCGTGCAGGTTGTTTCTTCATGAAAGTTGTACTCAGAGAGCATGGTTTGTGTTTGTTGCAATATGGTTGTTAATGTGTGATCAAAATCAGAAATTGTGTCTCGATTCCAATTAGAATATAACATGTCCTTGATATAATTGTCTCTGAAGGAGTTGGAAATTATTCGCAACTTGAATAATTTCATTATTATATCGTTACTGAAACATAAATCGTTGACTCTTCGTTCAAAATCTTTCTCAAAACGTTTCATTTTTCCAAATTTTTCGTACACCTTACGACACTCCAAGACTGTCCGAATTATATCATCTACATCCGTAATCCTTGAGTATTTGATAAAGTCACATGTTGGTTTTGCATTTGGACTTGCATAATATAAAAATCCTATTTTGGCAAATGCTGCTCCATTCTTCCGAGTTAGAGTGAATTTGAGAAGGAACTCTGTCGAAAATGAAAGTGAATTTAAGAAATATTCCAACAATAATAATTGGTTGTCGGTATTGATGGTAGGAACAGGAAAGGAAGTAATCCAGTTGCTTCTAACTTGTATATATTTGTGCAATGGTTGTTGAAAGAGATCACTGTAACTGGGTTGAAAATATTGTTTAAATTGTTTAAAAATAGATATTGCCATGCAGCTGGTGGAGTTGTTAAAACTACCCTGAATTAAATGAAAGATCAGATTTTTCATGAAGTTGGTTCTTCTTTCAACTGAAAGTTTGCATTTCAAATAATCAGTAATACCATCAAAAATAGAATTCAAAGCTACTTGTAGTGATACTGTCTCAGCTTCTCCACGGTCCATAAAATTTGCAAGCATGTCCGAAGTGGATTGCAAAAAGTTGAGAATGACAGTATATGGATCATTTTTGTACGGTCTGAGAATGGCCCAATCAAAAACCATTCGTTGTAGTGATATTATGTCGCTCTTGTTTGTCAATGTTCTTAATGTTAAAATATACTCCCAACATGGAATAGAGTTATCTATTTGTGGTTTAGTAAAAACACGAAGACCTGTGTAAATGTACTCTCTATAATAATCGAAATCAGTAAAGTATTTGAAATATTCACAGCTGGTAATAAGGTCGCTCACAAAAGCCCAAGATGCTATTTGCTTATCCATTCGAGTTGTGAAAAAATTTGAAGACAATCCTTTCTCCTTAATTCGTGCAAATGCTGAGATAAACATTGATTGAATGGATACTTGTCTTTTAGATTTCATAGACCTCAAATCATTTTCCATCCGGTGGCCCATTGGTGGTGTCGTATGAGTCCCAAAACAACCTTCATTCATTCTTGATTTTTCTTCCATCCAACCATCTATATCATGATTCAATTTTCCAAAAACTTTCACAAACACTGGATGTGTCTGTATCATACTCAACGATCGTTTAGAACCTGCATGTTCTTTGAAAAAGTATGTTCGTCTAAACTCGTCCAAAGTGAGCCTTTTAGAGTTAAGGTGTAGCAAGTAGCGACGATTACGATGACGATTAGTATGATGTGATGATTCAGTTTCCTGTTTTAAGTTCCTCCAAGAATCATCCAACAGATACATCATGGCACCTAATTGCCTCTCCCAAAATTCATCATTAAATTCCGTACATTCTCTCCAATGGCGGTTTAATGAAAAAACATGCACAAAGTCTCTCGGAGGAATGATTAGAAAATCAAAAAGGTAGAGAATTAAATCCCTATGAAGTTGGTTCATCATCATGATCCACGTGAATTCTCTCGAGAGTGCCAAGATTTCGATTTGAAATGGATCAATTTCTTTGAATCATCTCTTGTACACAACGAAATTAGAGTTGGATCATGAGCTCATGAGGTTAACTTCAATCCCAAAATTTAATGAAAAGTTTTGAGGAGTGTTGTTATTCGGGATGTTTCATGTTGCAACTGTTCCGATTGTGTTCTTCCACAAAAACGATTGTCTTACAATGGCTTTGATATTTTTTGTTTTAACTTCCCTGCGATGAGTGTTGAAGTGAATGGTTTATTGTTGGGATCCTTCTAATATTGCGGAATCATTTCTGAATTGTTTGAAAAAGTTTAAATAACCTTCGAAACAATAAAACTGTAACTTTTAGATAATACTGTAAATTGGTTGACAGTGAGAAATTGAAGTGTCAGGTTCACTTAATAATAGTGTCAAGTTCTCCATTCCATCATGTTTCAATTATATTAAAGTGCATTCATAATACCGCGAATATAAATATTTATCAAGACGACATCTACAATAAATTCATTGTCAGGTCATTGAATTCCAAGATAGAAGTATTTGGTATTAAATGGTAGACCTGCGTTTTATCTTCTCAAAGATTACTGTTTCACATCCAGTGCACTCTTTCCTTTTAAAGTTGTGGACTATTTTTGATTTTGAAAAATGGAAATTGACAGCTGACTTGAATTCTCCAAGCTCGAAAAATACAAGACTTTTTTATGAACGTGCAATTTTTTTTTGTCTTCGAAGGCCGTTAAGGATAAATTGCAACAGCGCTGCCCTTCGATTTTGTGTGTGAATTTGTAACAACGAGCCTGCGAAGCTGTGAACAGCAATTTCACTCAACTGCCAACAATCACATCTAAAAAAAACACTCTAAATAGTAAAGATGAAGCAACAACAACTCGTCGTTGCTCTCGCAGCCTTCCTCCTCGCCTCAACAGCTGCTCTCGTTCTCTCCACTCCCATCACTCTCCGTTCATTACGTAAACTCTCTCGTCCCATCTACTCGAATTGTTATGGATCCAATTACGATGGCGTTGGTGTCAATGAGAAACATCCAACGTGGGGAATGACCAGTGAACCATTAGTAAGAGTCTCTAAAGCTGCCTATTTGGATGGAGTGAAGGAGCCTCCAAGATTGGCCACAAGTGCTCGTGTCATTTCCAATGCGTTCAATAAGCAAGGACAATGCGATGAAAGTAATGATCATGATTTGTCGGCCATGTTTTATGCGTTTGGACAATTTGTGGATCATGATATTAGTTTTGAAGGTAAGTCATCATTTCGTAGTGGTGTGTGTGTGTGTGAAATTTTGTAAAATTATATATAATTATATAACATTCAATTTATATTGATGATGATAATATTGATATTATCGTTGGCCATGATAATGATGATGAAATTGATAATGATGATATCCATTGAAATCTCTGACCTCTGGTCTCCTTCCAAATATATCCACTCCATCACGCATGCCAATCTCATATGACACCCAAATGAAATCTTTCATTTTATACCAACCAATAACAATACCAACAATAACAACAACAAAAACGACTCTATCAAACCACTTCTTCATAATCTAGGTACTGGTTTGAAATTCACTGAAACTCTCAATATTGAAGTCCCTCCTGGTGATGTCTGGACCACTCCCTTACCATTCACTCGCGCCGTTTTTGCCTCCAATAAGCCAACGTTCACTAACGAACCCGTTGGTCCCGTGAATTTCGTTACCGGTTATATGGACTGTTCTCAAGTGTACGGTAGTGATTTACAACGTGCACGTGAGTTGAGAGAATTCAATGGCGGTTTGTTGAGACATCAATTGGCTCATGGACAAGAATTCTTGCCAAAGACTCGAGTGGATCCAACCACTGGATTGTTCTATCTTGGTGCAGGAAACAACACTGTCATTGCTGTAAGTAATATTATTTTTTTTATATTCCCATTTATGGTAAATCATCTTAATATTCTTAAAACACCAATAGGGAGATACCAGAGCCACTGAAGCTCTTCCAATTTCCATCATGCAAACATTGTGGTTGAGAGAACACAATCGAGTGGCTCGTCTCGTTGCTCAACGTTTCGGAGTTGCTCATTCCGAGGAGTTGTTGGCTCAGTCCGAAGTCGATGAATGGATTTTCCAAACTGCTCGTTCAATTGTTTGTGCTGAAATTCAACACATTACATATCATGAATACTTGCCAAGATTGTTGGGTTCTCAATCACCAAATCCATGTGAAATGGATTACGATGAAGATGTTCGAGTGACTGCCAAGTAAGTTTTTCAAAACAATGTTATCCAATTGAACTTGCTTTGAAATCAAAATCTTGACATTTAACACTTTTCATGAAATCATTACAGCGTTGAATTTTCCACTGCTGCCTATCGTTTCGGACACAGCATGGTCGGTTGCAGTATTCACAAATTCACAGCCAACGGTACTGAAGTTCCTCAATTACCATTCGATTTGGCCTTCAACGCCTATCCACTCTTAATGGCTGGTCCAGAGGAATATGACATGTTCTTGAGAGGTATCATCAAGCATCACTCATTCAACTTGGATGAAAAAGTCGTCGATGGTTTAAGACAAGTCATTCGTGGAAGACTTGACTTACCAGCTCGTAACATGCAACGTGGACGTGATTTGGGTTTGCCAGATTACAATACCATTCGTAAGGCTGTGGGTTTGCAACCTCAAAATGCCACTCAAATTACTGATAATGAAGAATTGCAAAACAAATTGATTCAATTCTTTGGTCCTAATTTGGTGAATTTGGAACCATGGTTGGGAATTTTGATTGAAAAGAAGACCAATGGAGGTGATTCCTTGTTGGGTGAATTGGGAACTTTGTTGATTAAGGATCAATTTGCCAAGTATGTGAAGGCAGATAAGTGTTTCTATAGCCATAATCCTCAACGATGGGCTCGTGCTGAATTGAAATGGGATATTGAAAGAGTTACTTTGGCTGATATTATTGCTGAAAATACTGGAATTCCAAAAAGTGATAAGGCTATGGGAACTTCTCCATGGACTGCCAAGTATGGTCCTTTGGTGTAAAAATTGTGTGTGTGAATATTGTATTCGAATTGTATGATCAATAAACCTGTTGTATTTGAATTGTAAAATTCCATTTGGATTATTTTTTAGTGGAATTAATGTTCACAACAAATTTCACAAAAAACAGAGTGTGGTGTTCATTTCAATTTTGATTAAAATTAACAAGTCAATCAAGTCAATCACTCAAGCTCAAACTCTCTAAATACTTGTTCAAAAAATTATCCACATCATAGGTCACAACATCGTCATCTTGTTGAACCTTATCTTTGACAGCTTCTTTCAGAGCAGTCATGCTCCTCTCCAAAAATTGTTCCTTTTTCTCTTTTGGAGTTTCACTTCCATGACTTGATTTGAAATAAACTTCAAAAAGTAAAACATTCAATCTCACTCTCCAATCTTTCATTTCTTTTTTCATGAAGAGAGAACTTCCCAAATCTAAACATGTTCTTGCTTCTTCTAAATAAGTATGGAGATTTTCATTTCCTTCTTTCATAGCTTCAGAATTTTCTAAACAACACCAACGATCACACACATATAGAGACATGTAACATTCTGCCAAATATAAATTCAATTTGGGAAATGATTCAGATCCCATATGACGAACTTTTTGAAGTATCGAATCCTTTTCGTGAACATCTGGTTTGATGACTTCCAGAGCTGTTTTTAACACAACAATTCCATTCTCTGCACTTGTTTTTGCCTTCTTAATTGTTTCACTCAAATTCTTCTTTTGTGTATTTTTGGTTTTCAAAAGCAATTCATAATTGGAAATGATTTGCATGTACAATTTAGTCTTGAGAAGATGTGCATATCCCAAATTAATACTCACGAGACCAATGTATTGATCTTGTGTTGAGAGTTCCTTCTTTTCATGAGAAGGTGGTTTTTTGAGTTGTTTAAAACCATGTTCACTCTTTCCAAACCATTCAATAGCACAATCGATGGATTTTAGCCATTCTTTGGACACTTGTTCAAATTTTTCACATTGTTCTTGACACGTTGTTAAATTCGAAGTGTGTAACAAGACGCTCTCTTTCAAAATAATGGAATATTCTTTAAATAATTTAACAACAATATCGTCCTTGTGAGATGAATATTCTTCTTTGAATCGAGTAAATGCTTCTTCTTCTTTTGCAAGATATGTGTTTGCAATGTTCATACATAATGAAGCATATTTAGTTGGATCCGAATCGGTGACTTTTCTCACTTCCAATACTTTCTGGAATGCCTTAATCGCTTCATCATACTTCTTTTTTTGTTTGAGAAGATGTGCCATTTGTGAATAAGCTACGGCATAATCATCTGGTGAATTTTGTGGAGTAATGACATTGAGAGCACTTTTTAAATAATATAATGCAATGTCATCATTACTGGATCGATAGAATTTGTCATGATTATGGGTATACAATGGAGGAAATTGTTGTTGTTGTTGTTGTTGTTGTTCAGATAAATGATTCATATCTTTGAGAACTTCAAAAGGATGATACAATCGTTGTAAATACAGAGAAGCTAATTGAATTTCAATTTTTGGTGCCATTAATGAAAATCTCACGTCATTGAGAATATGAGGAGGAATTTTGGTCTTGTTGTTGGAATGATTGGCTTCTCGATAATCGGCAGTTTGAATGGGTGATCGATTCGATTGTAACAAACATTCCAAAGTGGCAATGGAAATTTCTTGAAAATGATGAAAATCATATTGCTTGACAAGTGGTGCTCCCTCCAATTTAAATTCTACTTTTCGTTGTTCTTCAGGTGTCAATACAGGAGACATGAAAGGTAAGATGGCAGGCAATCGAACGTTTTGTAAAAAAGTGGCCAAGTTAAAAAGTTGAACCACGATTTGATATTTGGCTTGAAAATTGTTGAGAGCATTGTTGGAGTGTTCCTTGTCGGCCTCTTCGAATTTGTTTTCAATGTATCGAGTCATGTATTTGGGAAATTCTTCGGATTGTAACAACAAGACAGATCCTGTTTGTGCGAGAAGTTGATAAATCTCGGAAGGTGATTGAGGATTCTTGGCCATGAAATCAATGACTGCATTTAAAAAACGAATGGCTACACTCTCTTGAGATTGTGAAGATGACTTGTCAGAACTGGCTGATGATGATTTGGGTGATTGACTAGAAGACATTTTTTTGTGTGTCTGATGATAAAGTTTTAATTTGGATGTCTTCCTGATGTGTGTTTGTTGCCTTGGATATCCAAAGAATGACCCTATCACAATTCCGAGAGTGTCTTGTTGTACAGGTAAAAAACGATTGTAAATAATATTGTGAGCAGTTTAATGACAATCCTATTCGAAAATGTGTTGAAATTTGGTTTAACAAAATGTTCATCCCTATCTGGATTTGTTGACAATTCCAATCAAGAGTTACAATCCGATAAATATTTCCAAATCGTTCCATGTAATCCTTGATGATGAATTAATGTCATAGTGGTAATTACTTGTTTGCAGAGAAGACGCCGAAAATCTTCTTTCTAACTGGTGGGCAGATGAAAGCATAAGCAACCATAAAACCTCCACCAACAACACCGCATTTGACCAATGAACCCAAGAAAGACGATCCGAATGGTCTAGTGGTAAGACCTAAAGTAGTGATTATTTTGAACAAAGCCGTGATGAAGCGGTCCAACAACAAATAAAATCCGAAAAACGAGAATCATAAATTCGGTATTCATATTAGATGTTGAATGAATAGCAATGTCATGGTATGATGACGACCGAGTACTTTCAGACCAACGAACACAAGCAGAAAAATTTACGCACCTGCACGCATTTGACTCATTTTTAGAATATTTTTTTTTCTTTTTACAAAAGCTTTCCATCAACAACCGCGTCAACAACGATTTGTTGTTTTATTTGATGCTTTCATTGATTCCAAGAACGTTTTAACCCCTGTTTCATGGTGGACCTTATTTTCATGTCTAAGAAAAGGAGGTCAACAATTATTGGATTCGAACGAACCTCTTCTTGTTTCGTCTGAGGAGGGGTTGCCTGGAATGAAGGAGTTGTGCCAAGGTTTGCAGATGTGGATTCCTTCAGATCTAAATGATTATCTTCAGCTTCTTTCGTTAAGATTGGTTCCTTTGGTTTTGTTTCTTTTCTTTCTTTGATGTCTTCTTTGAGGGTTGTCATTAACGTTGCCTCAGTTTGAACTTCTTTAGAGCATAATTCATATAAAGACCTCCTGATATGTTCATGTTCCATCCTCAAATTCCTTTCAGACATAAATGTTTCAAACAACCCCATAAACGAGTCTACTTGATGAGAGAGCTCAAGTGTAGTTTCAAATAACTGGTTCCGAAGATTTAAATCTTCTTCAACGATACGAGCAAACTCTAATTCATTTGACATCATCTATTGACCATATAGTATCAACGATTCATGTTTTATGCTCCCAACTCATCAGAAACGAAGTGGAAAGGCTTACCTCTTTCTGTACGTGCCCCAGCTCCACTAAGGCTTTCAACGGATTTAACGGATTGCTCTTTGTCAAAGAAATGATGGGAACGTTCATGTTCCTTTTCAATGGCTCTTCCTCTATTCGATTGGGCGCATTCAGAGCCTGATTTCCTTCAAGGTCTGCAGAATTTACAACAGAATCGTTGGTAAGATTCGACATTTCTGTAACACAAATTTTTTTCGAGATGTTCATTCAAAAAGGAAATAACAGCCTCAGCTGCCTGTTGTTGCCTCGCCAACACAACCAGAAAAAATGTATGAAAGTATCAGCGGGTTGGGATCAGTTTCATCACGGTTGTTTATCAACATTGCGATGATTCTTCTGATGATTCATGTGGTTGCTTGTGCATCATCAACATTCGGAAATATTAAAATTGATGATCGGACCATACGAGAACCCAATGTCATTACTTCTCGACCTGAAAATAATATTCATCACGACCAAACAGTGAAAAGAAATGATCCATATAAATTCTCTTGGGCTATTCCCACTTCCCAATATATTGTCATGACTAGATCTGATACATCATCGGGAATGAGTGGAATTTTGCAATTGAAGAATGGTACTGGAGGACCTTATGGAAATGATATCTCACAATTGCTATTTACTGTCACATACATGACTGATTCGATTGTTCATATTAAAATCACTGACAAGGATCAGAAGAGATGGCAGGCAGATAAATATGTATTGAATGAAAACTTGACAAATTTGAAAAAGTCAGCTGTTGGAAATAAGTATCAAGTGACAATCGCCAAGGTTGGAGAACCATTCTATTTGACCATACGTCGAAGTGTTGGACAATCGGCACCAATTTTTGACACCACAAATAGACCTTTCATTTTCAGTGATCAGTACATTAGTATTGGTACAGCTCTTGCACCAGATTATTATGGCGGAGAGCCAAATATTTATGGATTGGGAGAACGCATTGATTCTTTCCGTTTGAATATCACTGATAATGAATTTATCATTTGGAACAATGAGTAAGTAATAGAATGAATGATTGCAGTAGCACGGATGAACTTGTTAACCATGTTGTGGTGTTGTTTGTTCAAAACCCGATTTTTACTAATTTTTCAAACTCTCCTCCTTGATCGATCTGTTAATTGTTAACCCTCACCTAGCAATGGAAATTCAGAGAAAATGAACTTGTATGGAAGTCATCCATTCTATCTCTATGCCACCCCAAATTCTGAAGCTCATGGAGTTTTTCTTTTGAACTCGAATGCTATGAGCATCAGAACAGAGTATCACTCTTCTGCCAAATATTTGCAATATCAAACGATTGGTGGAGTTTTGGATTTCTACTTTTTCCTTGGTCCATCCTCTGAGAATGTTATTCAACAATACCACAGCATTATAGGAAAACCACATTTTCCACCAATGTGGGCTTTTGGTTTCCATCAATGCAGGTAGGTTGTTTTTAAGCATGTTCAAATTAATTTCTCATCATATTTGGCCAATGCGTGACTCGTTCTGGATAATAATGGGATTTTGACCAACCCCTATTCCCTTAAATGATTCAATTTGTAGATGGGGTTATCGAACTTTGGATGAAGTGAAGGCTGTTGTTCAAGGTTATGACAACAATCAATTGCCACTCGATGCCATGTGGACTGACATTGATTACATGTATCAATATTGGGATTTCACATTCGATCCAACACGTTTTCCAATTAATGACGTTCGAAACTTTGTCACCAATGATTTGAAGCAAAAAGGAAGGAAATATGTGGTCATTGTAGATCCTGGTATTCCTATTGTGGATTTAACAAAGAACAGTTACGAGCCATATGAATTGGGTCTTTCTCTTGGTATTTTCATCAAGCAAGGCTCCTCAAATAGTTATGTGAATCACACTGTATGGCCAGGTAATTGCTATTTCCCTGACTTTTCCAATCCAATTTGTAAAGATCAATATTGGAAGCCACTCATTCATGGATTTTTGTCACTTGCAGGAGTTGGAGGTCTTTGGATTGATATGTAAGTAGTCGTCATATTGGATTGACATTGAATTTGATGGTGTAAAATTGTTAAAACTGTAATTTGCAATAACTCTCTTTCACATGAATGATGGTTTACATTACTCACACCCTTACATGCCAACAGGAACGAACCAGCAACCTTAGACTTCTTTATTCCAAATCAAAATAGTCTTAATTATCCACCATTTGTTCCAGGAGCAAGCAATGAACCACTCTTCCACAAAACCATTGATTTGGATTCGAGAATGAGTGCCACTACACACTACAATGCTCACAATTTGTATGGGTTTTTAGAAGCCAAAGCAACAGCAGAAGCTCTAAAAACCTATTACAACAAGAGACCTTTTGTGTTAACAAGAAGTAGCTTTGCTGGAAGTGGTCACTATGTATCTCATTGGACTGGAGACAATGACAGCACATTCGAAAGTATGAAAACGTCCATTGCGTCCATTCTTTTGAATAGTATGTTTGGTTTTGCACATGTCGGTTCAGATATTGGCGGTTTCAATGGTGATACCACAAAAGAGCTCTTAATTCGATGGATGCAATTAGGATCACTCTATCCATTCAGTCGCAATCACAATGCCATTGGTAACATACCTCAAGAACCTTTTGCATTTGATCAACAAACAACTGACATTTCAAGAAAATACTTATTGAACAGGTATTCATTACTTCCTTACATTTATACCACTCATGCATTGGTTCACATGAATGGTGGTGTAGCCGCTAAACCACTCTTCTTTGCATTCCCATATGATAAGCAAGGGAGGAGCCACTAATTACAGAACATGGGGGGGAGGGGGGTTTGGCTTTTGGAATTAAATTCAAATTTAAAATTTTTTTTTTCAAAATAATTTTTATTTATTTTTAATTTAATTAATTAAAAATGAATCACTTGTTCAAAAAGCGTCTCTTTGCCCGAGCTCGCAAAGGTTGCTCTTGTGCCCTTCTTTCGATGCTGTTTATCTGAGCAGACAATGACCTTCCTTCCAACTGCGTTTTCTCGACTTGATTTACTCGTGCATCCTTGTCAAGACTACCATCAAGCTGATTTTGGGTTTTGTTCGGGTGCACCACTTTCATGTGAATCGTTAAATCAATGTCGGAGTGGACTCTACGATCGCAAAGGGAACAAGTTTTGACATCATCCTTAACGCTCGGAAACCCTTCATCCATTCTAACTCCTTCCACATTGTTTCGTTTTTCAAACGACAAATAATGACCAGGATTACTTTCATCGAGGATTGGAGATGGAATGAAACCATCAAACTTTTCCATCAATTCCCAATATTTAGTTGCTCTTTTTGGTGGACAGCAACTTGGATCATTGCACTTGCGGAGACAAAAGATGTTCAACCCATTACCATGCTCTGAGTGTGTGTGGAGTTTAAAAAGTATTGCCTTCACCTTCTTCTCTTCTTCCAAATCAGTAATATCTTTTCCTTCCAAAAAAGCATCAATGCTAGCAAAAGATGGCCATCCAGGTAAATCTCGAATACGGTCTTGTTGGAATACACTAGCATAGTACGCCTGTACATCCTTGCCACCCTTTTGGTTGAAGATATTTGTGAGTTTGATTAAAGCTGAATGATGATTCTGTTGCTTGCTTGCAAAACTTTCATCATCCAAATCAATAACACCCACCAAGCCTTTTGAAAGCGGAGCCATACATCGCTCAACACGATTGTACTTACTACCTCCTGCGGCAAAGGATGTGTGGATGAGAGCGTCAAGGTCGAAGCAAATGAATACGTAGAACATCCTCACCTGCACCTTCCGGTTCTGGGGAGCAACGTTTACACAGTTGTCAGTGTTACAAAAAAATAACGGAAGAAGCTTTCCGGTTTCCTTCAGCTTCTCGAGGAAGAAAACCAGATCACACAACATCTTGTCCTTATCTCGACTAGTGGTCTTCAAAAACTCGGCGTTAGAACTACTTCTCACATACACTTTTTCCACCATCCAACGAAGACTGTTATTACCACCAACAACCGCACGTAACAATGCAGCAACATTTGGAGTGATTGAATTCTCTTTACCTTTTGGAAAATCATGGTCTGGTAGTGAAACTTTGCTACTGGAAGTCATTGCTATTTGTGTTGATGTCGATACAGCCGCTCCTTTTGTTGGTATTTTCGCTTTTTCATCCAAAGAAATAGCTGTACTTTCTTCAGGCAATAGACAACACAACTGCTTGATGTATTTGTTGAGAGAATGGGTAGCATGTAGATCAACATGTTCCTCAGTCAGGTCGTTTGACGGTTTGGTAAGTTTAACAGTAGCTTCAGAGTCATGTCGTTTACCCTCTCGACTACTTTTGCACCTTGGAACGACATACCGTAACATTCCAGACCTGCTGTAAGGACGAAATCCTTCTTCTGATAATTTAGCGTTTGCTTCTTTAACCAAATCAACACCGTTCATAGGAGTGTGAACAAATGAATCTCTTCTTCTCTCTGATGCAGAGGCAATACCAGTTCCTTCAACTACTGCTTGAAGTCTTTGAGCCATTCCTGATGCTTTCCGTGGACGTCCTCTCTTCTTTTCAATTTTGTTCGTGCTGCTGTTGTGTCTACGGATCCTTTGTTCAGCTGCTTTCCTTTCGAGATATGCAATCGCTTGCTTTTTGTCAAGTGTTTTGAAGTCCAGTTCTTGCAATTGTTTGTCATATTCTGCCAACAACACCTCATCCTGAGTTGAGGATTTCAATTCAAGTATGTTACTTCTTTGTAACTGAAGGTCTTGTATTGATTTACGCAGTTGGTCTTGCTTTGTAACTCGACCTCTCTTGCTAGTCCTTTGCTCCAGCCATTCACGACCAGATTTAGATAGGACTGTGAATTCTTCATGTGATGTTGTGAATAGGTTTGAGTGAACATCAGTAATTGCATCGAGAAGTTCTGAGTGGTTTTTGATTTGTTGATACAAACGTGCTCCAGCTGAATGAATTGCTTGCTTTTGAGATGGAATTATTTGAAGCCTTGTCATTGTGAGAAAGCAATACCTATTCATGAAGAGTTGATATTGGTCAAGATTTTCTTCACTTGTGTAAAAATCTACTGGAATCTGTTTCTTGATTGGAGCGAGTAAGGTTTGACGTTTCACCATTTGTTTTGTTCTTGTTATTAAAGCCATACATGAGGTAAATATTTATTCACTTTATTAATAATAATTATTATTTTAAATTAATTAAATTTGAACGTTTAGTTTTGGTGGGAACTGAAGGCGGGATGCAATTTCATCGGTTTCACCGATGAAATTGCCTCCACCCCCTCCAGCAACTAAAAAGTGTAATTAGTGGCACTTCCCCAAGTATATAGTATTAGTGAACAATTCTTGTTTGGAGATGCTTTGCTCGTGTCACCTGTCTTGTATTACCAGCAGACCATGGTTCATGCTTATTTCCCTTCTTCGTCGATTTGGTATGATTACTATGGAGGTCAACAAGTGTCTCCTGGAACGGATGGATATGCTGATGTTAATGCTCCATTGGATACCATGCCAATTCATATTCGAGGTGGATACATTATTCCAAAACAAACACCAGGTTTGAGTACTGCCCAACAGAAATTCAATCCTTATAATTTAGTAGTTGCTTTGGATTCGAATCAAAAAGCTCAAGGTTATCTCTTCTTAGACGATGGAGAATCCATTGATTCCATTGTGAGTGGAAATTATGCAATGATATCATTCAACTCCACGCGTGCCTCTTCCTCCCAATATGTGATTCAAGCAACACCTGTTGTGAATGGTTACACTGAATCGAGCAAGCTTTCAATGACTTCAATTATGACCCTTGGTGTTCAGGGTCGCAGTATTTGTTCATTGAGTGTGAATGGCCAGCCATGGTCATGGTATGGATTTGAGTCAAATATTGGCCGATTATTCATTCAAAATTTATCATTGAGCTTGTCTACATCATGGAAGATTGTTTTCGAGACTTGTTAATGAGACACGTAGTGACCTTGTTGCATGCCTATTCCTTTTATTTATTAACTTTCATTTGAATGTTGCTTTGTGACGCACATCACAATAAATAGATAATAACTTGTTGGAGATTTTAGTTGTTGTATTAAGGCTATCACTCGTGCCTTATTCTACCTATTTCTTGTTGTAAAAAAGAAAAAACTATTTGAATTGAACTCTTCGATTTGACTTTAACTTTTGTTAGACAGTTTGAAAACTAAAATTTCATTCTTTAATTTTTTCATCCGCTGTTAGGAAGAAAGGTCAGCGAAAAGAAAAAATAAGCCCACCATGAAACGCCATTTATTCCGTTGGAGCCGCACTACTTCATCAGCAGTTAAAGGCTCGCTTTGCGGATCACCAATCTCAACTTGTTTCTCCAAATTGTTTTCAGATAAATTAGTTTTTGGTGGTGCTGGGCCCGCATACGTGAAGAACAATAATTCTACCAATCCAACATGTTCCCAATCCACTGTATTTGATGATAACAATACATCACGTTCCTTCCACATGTTGGCACGGTTGTTGAAGGATCAGAGCAGTGGTGTTTCGGTCAGTCCACCACAACAACCAACTGTTAACGATTCTTCCAATCAACTATCCGTGGTGCTTGCGTTTAACAATTACGAGGAATGGACAGCACAACAAGTTGCTTCTCTGCTTTGTATGAAGAAATTTGATGGCGGAGCATCACTGACCGTTGAAGATGTGAAGCCTTTATATGATGCCAGTTTCAAAGGGACCTCTCTTGCTAATATTGTTGAAGATATCAAGAGAGACAATTACAATTATGCTCTTGAAAAACTTCAAAGCAGATTCAAAGACAATACTGGCATGATTAATCCTCGTCTTTCTGATGCTTGTGAAACTGTTGTGAATTGGGTCAACAATACATTAATGTCCAAGCTTTTTGGTTTGTGGGACAAGAACCAAGTACAATCTGCACTACAAGGCGGTGCTGGTTTAACCATGGATCAAGTTGAACCATTGTACAAGAAAGGATTTGATGGCTCATCTCTATCAAAGATTGTATATGAATTGTGTAAAAGTGAACAAGATGGGAGTGCATTAACTGATGCCGATTTAGTGAAAAAAGTTCTCGGAATGGAAATTGACTCATCTACTGGCAAACATTTAGTGGATTGGGTAAAATCTGTCTTGATAGCACAAGATAAGATACAGGTACCATTATTGACAACCACTTTGAAACGTATGTAATTTGGATAATTATAACAATATTAATGTACAAACTGAAAATCGAAAACAGTGCAATCAAAACAAAAGAAGATACAACAATTTATTCAACAATTTACAACATCACCACCAAAAGCTATCTCTAACATTGAATCTATTTCGAATATTTTACTCAGCAGTTTTGGAACAAATTTTACGTTTGTGGATAGAGAACAAAGTACCAAGATTATTGTTGACAATTATAAGCAATATTCGTCACTAATTGATCAAAAAGGGTTAGATTTGGACAAAAAGAACATTATAATTCCATTCATTGCAGCAGCTCCAGGTGTAGGTAAATCAAGGCTACTGAAAGAGATTGGATTCAATTTATATCGTAAACATTTTAGAGAACAGGTTACTTGTTATCCTTTATTCGTTTCTTTTGGAAATGGTACTGCCATCACTGCAACAGAAAAAGATAGACAATTAGACATTACTCAATCATTTATTATTAGAATTGTATTTTCATTCATATGTCACATCAATGGAAAAAAAGAGAATTTCTTAGGTATTGTAAGCAATTGGGTTGCTACTTTTGAAAATCAAATACTAGATCTGAATGAGGTATTGGGTGCTATTACCAGTTTGTTGGAGAAGGATAATATTGATTTCTTTGTTGCGATTGATGAGGCTCATCAAATAGATACTAATCATACTGAAAAACAACACAACCCCTTGCGTGCATTTATGTCATATTTGGGCAGTTTATTACAAAACCCACAACCCGACTATTGGAGATTATTTCCGTTATTAGCCGGCACATATCACAACGTTTTACATAGAAACCTGCTTGGTAGTACTTACACTCCACTTTTTGTTCCAGTTAATGCATTGCTGTCTTCTCTGAACGTTGCTACGGTTATTGATGATTTATCGAACACTCATCCTAAACTGAGGAATTGGAGGACCGATGTTGAGTTTAGACATTACTTGCGACTCTTTTCTGGATTTCCAAGAGGTTTAGAATATTATCTTGAGCAATATGTAACTCAAACAGAACCTACAGCACGGACTGCCTATGAAACTTCAGCATCTAATCTGAGACAAAAATACTCATTCACCATGAATAACAATATTGCTCAAAATTTGGTGGCCTATATTTTAACTCGACAAACGGTACTCAAAAAGGACAATATTATCCGCTCTATTAATTTCACTTTCTCTGACGCTGAAAATTTGGGCTTTATCATGTTAGACCTCGCCCATAATTCGTCAAATTTTACCTGTACCTATCCTCCAGTATTGATGTACTCGATGATTGATCAGCAATTACGACCGATTTTTGAAAAGTTATTTTTATCTACTGAAAGAAAAGTGTGTGGATTTTCTTGGGAAGACCATGTCCATGATTATCTTTATTTATTTTTTAATTTGCTTTCAAATAGATCAAACTTATCATTGAACGAGCTGTTTCCATTTGCTAACATGTCAGAGAAAACTGCTAAACTCACATTGAAACAAATACAAAACTGTAAACAATGCACCGCTAAACATCAAATTCAAGGTACCTTGAATGAGAAAATTGATACCACTAATGGTCTGTTGGATTTAACAAAGGTTACAGATTGTACAATCATCAAAAACGCAGCCTCTGCTCAAGCTGGGGATGTGTTAATAATTGGTTTAAAATTACAAGACTCACCTAACGATATTCTAGTTTTTCATATTCAATGCAAATGGGCTGACTCTAAAAAATCTAGTGAAACATTTGAAAACATTTCTATTGAAATAGAAATGAATAAGAAATTGTACTTTAATACGAAATCAAAGACTACAAATATTACGGTCATAATGAGTGGAAAACCTATTACAGACCTTCCTAAGAACATTCCAGACAATGTAATTATCGTTGACAAGACTAACTTTGCAAAATATTTTGGTATTTTTGCAGATAGCATGAAGTTCTTTTGTAGCAAACAAATTCTTCACATTAATGAGGTGAATGCGTCAGAGTTACAAAGTTTTCCTAGACTAGATGAACAAATGGCAAAATATGTGATGAAATCACGACCATCCACAGGTTTTAAAAACAAGAAAGATATGCAGAGAATAATACGAACTGAGATTTCAAATAGAGGAATTGCAACAAAATTGATCAACATTCTTAACGAAACTGAAATAATTTTCTAGAACGACAACAAAGACATTCAAGAAGCGAGTTGAAAAAATTTGAAGAAATGATTGGGATAATTATTCCACTCCCTTTCATATGTTCCAAGATGTGGCTTTTGGGTTGATATTTTTAGAACTGATGGTAAACCATTTACTCAGGATATTAATGTGCTGGAATTCTGATTTTTTTGAAAGTCCATAAAGTTATAAATGATTGCATCTGTTACAGATACATTGAAGCACAAGTCAGAATTTCTATTACAGATACAATCATCTACAACTTTATGGGCTTTCAAAAATATATCAAGAAAGAATTCCTTAAACGAGGGGCAGAAGAAATCTCTCATCCTAGCACATAGTGAAAATTTGATTGCAATTGGCTAGCAATTTCTAGAGCATTTTGGAAATATGGCTGACAAAAGGCCTCTCGAGACTTCTATTTTAAAATGTGCTTTTGTCAGCCATATTTCCGTACCAATTTTGATGAAGATTCACATTAATATCTTCTCACAGCGTTGAATGATGACAATATTCTTCCTCCACTGCATCGAGCAAGCTTTCAATGACTTCAATTGTGATCATTATTCCTTTTATTTATTAACTTTCATTTGAATGTTGCTTTGTGACACACATCACAATAAATAAATAATAACTTGTATTTTAGTTGTTGTATTAAGTGCCGTTAAGGTGAAGTAATGGCAACTCTCCGCAGAACATCAAAATTTAAAACACCTAGTCCACTAATGGGATCAAATCCTTGCACAGCAGAAAAGCCAGGGCAAGGACTCACTGCATTGTTGCCGTGAGTAATGTCAAACAGAGCTCCCGGTACAGTGATGACATCCTTGTAAAGCCAAGGATTCAAGAATCCAAGTGGTGCTTTACCCACTGCAAATGGTTCAAGAATAGAATAACTCCAAAAAGCACTTACGTTTGAAACGAAGATCATTCAACAATGAAATTATTCCTGCAGTGCATGGTGTGCTACAACTAGTTCCAGAAACATTTTTCAACTGTCCCGAAAGGATTATTTGATAATTTACACCAACAGCACTAATGTCAGGGTATGCTATCATGTTCATCCATTGATTGTGACACACTGTTTAAAGTTAAACACACCTTCAACAACCTACCTCGACCCTTGTCATTAAAATAGCTTCTTGGAGGAACGCTTGGTTGCCTTAAATAAGCATTCACAACATCTTGTTGATATTCAGGCATTGAATATGACTCGGAAAAACCACCTCCACTCCATTTCACTGAATTTACGAAAATATTCATGAATTGTTGAAAAGTTTCACGCATTCACTTACCACTCACTTCCTTTGCTGCTTCATCGGGTTCTGTAGCTCCAATACTTGTTGCAAAAGGAGACGAGGTTGGCCACTCTGCTTGAAACTTGGAACCGTCAGAACTACATCTCGCTCCAAAATCTCCACTGGCCACGAGAATGCTTCTACCACTCAAACCAATTTTCATAAATTCTGTATCAATAATTCTTTGATAAGACTTGGAGACGTATTTTTCGACTTGTCCATATGAAATGGAATGAACCCAAGCAGCTTGGTCACCCTCAGATTGTATTTGATGTACCCAATCAATGAACGGCTCATCGTCGTCATCGCTGTATTTGATGGAATTAATCGAGGTGTTCACTAAATAACCCACAGCCATGATCTACAAGTGTCAATTGTCAAAAGCATTTAAATCATTCATTCGCAAATAACAATGTTCTTAATAAAGCAAAAGAACGTACATATTGAATATCCAGAGTAGCCTCAAACCCTGGTTCTTTAGGATCATTAGGTCCAATAATCGTCGGTGTCATTTGAGGTAATTTAAACAATTGTTGAAATTGTTGTAAATCTTGAGGCAACACATATTGTTCCAAAAAGGAAGCCACTGATTGCTTGTTTTTAGGACTTGTTACCATTGGCAGTGTAATATTATATCTTTTCCAAATCGATGGAGGATTCGTAATATAGGGCGACGAAGAAGATGCATCCAACTTTTTGAGTGCAGCTTGTTGAGGCAAGATTGGAAATTGATGAATGCCAATAATTTCATCAAGTACCTCTCTCAACACTTGAGGAATGGAATAACCATTCACGGAACGATACACCACTCGTTTCGTTGTTTCATGAATAAACGGCATCATGTTCGCTTGAAAACATTCATTCACGACTCGGATCGGAAGTTGCACCTGAATGAAATTCTCATGATGAGAAATTCGTTGAAGAATGATATCCTCAGAAGGTAACACTTCTCGAATGTATTTCAAAACGAGTTGAACATGAGCATTTCGAGGCTTGGTGTATTGTTCAATTTCCTTCATGGAATAATAGTGTCGGAATTGAGGGGAGGAAGGATCACTGACTTGATGAAAGGCTTTGCGTAGCCATTCTTCATGATTGGGTTTTAATGCAAATATGATGGAAACTCGCTTTGAGGTATCGATGAAAGGCTTTACATGAGGATGTAATGAAAAAAGGTCTAGAGCAGATTTCCATTCGGGAGGAAGGATTGTAAAATGATCGTTTTGATCATGTACCATTGAGAATTCAACTTGAGAACATTTATAGAGGGGTGTGGGTTCCGTCCCAGGTTTCAATGGTATGGCATGAATCAAGGCGAAATTGTTTATTGCCAAGTGCAATAACCACAACACAGGAAGCATCACAAAGAGCGAGCCTGATGAACAGTGCATTTTTTGTCGCTAGCTTGAAATTCACACATCCACATGGCGTGTCCAAATTATTTTCGGATAGCGGTCGTGGACATGGAAGAAACTATGCACTTTTCGACATCCATAGATTTTCGTCTCACAAAATGTTTTACAATCATCAACCATTTACCTCAATTTAATACTGATACACAGGTTTACTTCTTTCTGAAAACAGGGAGTGGAATCTTGACATCTTCGACTTCATAATCTTTACCAACAATGGTGTTGTTAACTTCTGAACCAATACTGGCATTGAAAGGACACAAAACATCTCCGTTCTCTGCAGTCCATGCGTGAACATCAGGATTGTTTGCCTCTTTTGAGGATTGGCTACGAAGCCAGAAAGCTCTGTCAAATGATTTGAGTAACATGTAGTCATACTTTCCTGCAGCATCGAAATAGAGTGGCTTGTGTTTTTGAATAGTGGCCACAAATTCGTCCAACATTTTATGTGTCTTGAAAGTGACAGACTTTCCACTGGCAAACTTTTTCAATTCCTCGCTACAATCACTGTTCACGATCACGTCCTTAATGGTTGGTTCAAGGTGGTATCTCATGTCACAGACACCGTCGTTTTTCAGACGATCCATATAAACACGCATTGGTCCCTTAATATTATTTTCAAAGTCTTGTCTAAGACCAAGATATTCCAAAACAGCAGTTGCAAAGTGTTGGCAGTTACAGGACTTGTTGTCATAGGTCTTGTGTGCATTCCAGTGAGCGCAAATGGAAGCAGTTTTATCGATGGCCTTTGCAACATTTTCCAATCCAACAATTTTAGTAACGTCAACTGCAAAAACAGCCTTAGAACTAGATTTGCTTCTTACAACGGCAATTGATGAATCTCCCCACTATGGTAAAGTAGGAAGTAGGCAAGTGCAACATGTCAAAGAATTCAAATAGTTGTTAGGTGTGATAGATATATTTCAATAATGTTCATTAAAAAAATAGGTGGTACAGTTTTCAATTAACTTACCTCGATATACCATGGGCCAATAATTAAAGCAGTGTGGAACTATGTATTATTGGAATAAGCAATATTAACCGTGTCACAAATTGAAAATTCTGAGCTCAACTTACCATTCCGTATTCCATTTGTTGAATAGTTGAGTTCTTAAACATTGAACCAAATCTTCGTACAAATCTGTGAGCAGCACCGTCACCCATTTCCGTCACCACCATCTTGACTTTCATGAATGATTCATTCTTCTTTTTGTTTTCATAAATTGGTAAACGTTGTGGGTTGAGGTACTTGTAACGGAATCTCTCAGGGAAAACCAAGTTTTGGCAAATTGTGTTAATAATATTAGTATCATATTGTGCACGTAGATTGTCCAATTTTTGAAGGCAAAAATCAAAGTCTGTTCTCGTCAGGTAGCATTTGTGAGTTTCCAAATCAGGAAAATAAATTAGTCAGTGACACGTGAATTTTGATAAACACTTACTTTGTCTTTGGTTGAAGGAGAAATCGTCAAGGTTCCACATTGGTGCTTCTGGTACTTGATTGAAAGATTGTACTGAAGTAGAGCTGCTCTTACTGGCCGTTGGAAGATAAGACCCTGATGATGTTGTAGTTGGTAAAGATGAAGTAGGACGATTTTCCAAATCACGAGCCAATTCCTTGTCATCCTCCTCTTCCTCTTCAGTCTTCTTGTTTGGATTGCTCAAAATTTCTTTATATTTACCGGCATAGTCAGAGGAATAGTCATCCCTTTCATCATCGTCACCACCTTGATTTGTTGTTGTGGTGTTGTTTGTTGTTGTGGTTGAAGGAGTGACAGGTGTTTGTTGAGGAATGGACGTTCTTTGTGGTGTGGTTGTAGTGTTCGAAGTAGTGGCACTTGTTGGTAATTGTACAATGGAAGCACCTGAAGTGTCAGCCAAGAGACCTGTTTGAATTTGTTTCTTCTTCAGCTCTTCAATTTTGTTAAAGATTGAAAGAGCGCTTCCTTTGGCAATACCAGCTTCAGTGAGATCTTCAACCTTGAAGTTAATGATTGAACCTCCATCAAATTGTTGTTTTACGAGAGCTGTCGTGAGTGCAAAAACCATGACCAGTGAATGATGTGTTATTGTTGTTATTGTTGACATTATCGACAACAATTAGAATTTTAGCATAATTCCACAACAATCGTATACCATCAACCATTGTATGCAGGGAATCAAAGATTATTTGTGTTCAAAAACACAGTTCAATTCATTGTTTAAACAAGAGATCAATATTTGTTATCCGATGTTTAAAAACCAAATTACATCATCAAACACCATTGCCATCATCATCAACGGTTCAAATCAAACTCAATCATCATAAACAAATACCTACGTGCAATAACTGACTTTTTATCATAGGCTTGATCAGTGAGCCATTGTTTAAAATTCTCACTGGTCCAATCCTTGATAGCAATCTCTTCCAAATTGACCTTGGTAGTAGTCTTGCTCTTGAATAAATTCTTCATGGTGATGATGATGATGATAAAATTGTGAGTATACTCTCGGGCACGACGAAACGGAAATTGTGTTTTTGGATGGAACGAGAGAGAGAACGGCTCAGCAAGTCAAAATTTTTTCTTCTGTCAAATCACCCAATTCCTTGTGATAACGAGAAATAACGTTTCTCTCATTGTTATGGTTAGAGTTTGAATAGAGAGAGGGGATATTAGTTCAGTATACATTGGTTCGTTTTGGTGGATCTCGTTTCAGATTTTACATATCAGTGATGATCTGTTGGTAACATGTTCGTGAAAGCTGCAACTTGCAATTGGTTACATGTTTGAATTTGTTAACCACTTGTGTCATTACTTAAAAAAAAGTGATTCGACGATTTGAATACCATTCACTGCACTTCACAGGGAGGGTGAGCCAGATAGAAAAAGCTTCGTAGGCAACCAGCCTATACCCAACCATTCTTGGCGACGTTGACGAACTCAAGTGTCATCACGAAAATAAACATCTCCAACCAAAAAAAATGCCTACAGCAAACAAAACGTTCTGGCAGAAGCTGAGTGATCAACACAACCACATCAGCAAGTTTCTTCACTTCAACAAAACAACACGCAAACCAGAGTAGGAAACAGAGAAAACAATTCATCGAACTGAACAAACCATCAGTGGAATTCCTAGTCGTCTATTGTTGTACATTCTGCTTTTCCGATGGCCTTCACAATTTCTTGATCGTTCCCAAACTTCGACAACAGCAAATCATACAACATAAGCACATCCACAACGGCATTATGTGCTATTCCGGGAAGAGAGCCACATACTTTTTCTCTAAAGTGGTTTTCTAATCCCTTTTTTCCAAGCAAGTTTTTTTGCATAGTAGAACAATAGTAAATTGTTGATCGGAGTTTAAGTGGTGCAATTGCTCCAATTCACTACATTGACGACACTGATTTTGAAAAATACTACAATATTTTGAACAACATGCTGATTCTAAGGTGAGTTCGTCTCGAATAACGCCAATTATGTCATAATCGCAATTATAAATTTGTTTTCCTGTTAATAATTTAGAATAATTGTTCCGATTTATACCTCTGCAAACGTATTTCAGTTCGGAATAGCACTCTTCATAACTAACATTAGTAGCTGGTGTAATATTTTCAACCATGAACGGTTGATCTTCAAAATAAACTCTTTTCTTTACTGACGGCATTATTGAAGCAGTTGAACGAATATCGGGAGCATTGTGGTTGTGTTGATCACTCAGCTTCTGCCAGAACGTTTTGTTTGCTGTAGGCATTTTTTTTGGTTGGAGATGTTTATTTTCGTGATGACACTTGAGTTCGTCAACGTCGCCAAGAATGGTTGGGTATAGGCTGGTTGCCTACGCTTTGGCTCACCCTCCCTGGCACTTCAATAACCACACCTTCAGATTATAATTTTGGACGAATCATTCAAGTCCTCGCATTATCAACATGAATGGGCCTCAAAATGAGACGCCACGAAACCCCAAATTTCAATATGGCGGCGCATCCGACGTTGAAGCGCACTAAAAACCTGTCAGATATTCGTCAAGTCAAAAATGAATATGAAAGCATAAAAAAATTTATTCGTTGAATGTCATGCAGTAGAATTGGTAATAGTTCTGGTTTAGGGTGCTAGCAAGGATCTGTCTTCCGTGAGCTGTTCGTTGGCACGCTGTTGTTTTTCAAGCTTCAGCTGAAGCGAATAATGGTGCAACGTCCTATGGCCTCAAAATTTCGTTTCAGTTTGTCTGTTGTTGCAGTAAGAACCCAAGTTGCTTGGGTTCTTCAAACCCTTGCAAACCAATCAGGAAGAGACTCACTCATTTTATTTTTGATTCCTTTGTAGTTTACTCAAATCAGCTGACGTGGGATTGACGAATATCTGACAGGTTTCTAGTACCAATTGCGCCGCCATAAAATGGTGAGATCATTCAACTCTTCGTTTGCTTGTCTATTGGCTCTTCTTCTGGCCGTAACTTGTCTATTCTTAACAAGCTCAACCCAAGGTCTCTCGATTGCAAAGCCACCTGGTCGTCCTTGTCCAGTATTCCGATGTATGAGAGCCTGTGAATATGGTTACAAAGTCAATGAATATGGATGTCCAACCTGTACCTGTTTGAAGCAAAGAAAATGTCCAACTTTCTACTGTTTCGTGCCGTGCAAGCATGGTTATGCCAAAGACAAGTATGGTTGTCAGAAAGGATGTACCTGTAATCCTCCTCCAGTGCAAAAACCTTGTCCAGTGTACAAGTGTTTGATCGCTTGTAAATATGGCTACAAACGAGATCGAAATACTGGATGTCAAACATGTTCCTGTAATCCAGAGCCAATCTTTTAACACACACATAATCTTCTTTACTTCATGCACTTGGCATTCAATAATTGTTGATCAAAGATTGTGTTGCTATCCATGAAACAACATGTTGTATTGGTCCAATTGTTGAGTACTCAGAATAGATTTTCAAATAAACACAAAATTCGAAAAAATGGCCAAAGTGGTAAAGGGAATGGCTGATTTTCTGCCATCATCCTTTTCTACGAATTGCTATCAGAAAATAGTTCGTGTAGGAGAGAAAATTTGTAAGACTTTTGATTATCAATTTATGCAAACTCCGATAGTGGAAGAGCGAAGGCTTTTTGAGAGAACACTCGGAACTGACACAGACATTATTTCGAAAGAAATGTTTTTATTGGCAGCAAGGGATCCGTCGGAAGGAAATAAGTTATGCTTGAGACCTGAAAATACAGCCTCCATTATGAGAAGTATTATTGAGAATAGTTTGTCGTATAAACAGCGTATTTATTATTATGGACCAATGTTTAGATATGAAAGGCCACAGAAGGGTAGACAACGACAATTCCATCAATTTGGAGTGGAATGTTTAGGGTCGGACCATTACCAGTCAGATTTGGAGTCATTGGAATTGGCTTTTCAATTTTTGAGTGGAGTTTTGGATGGTAGAACTGATTTATTCACATTAGAAATTAATAGTATTGGAACTTTAGAGGAGAGAGAGGCTTATCAAATCGAATTATTGAAATTTATTCGTAATCATTTGGATTTGTTTTTTAGACAAGTCGAAAAATCAAATACTGAACAAGAGAAACATGCTTTTGTCTTCTCTCAAGATACACGGGATCGTATTGATATGGCCATCAAAGAAAATAACCCAAGAAGAGTGTGGAGAATTCTGGACTCAAAACAAGATGAGGCTCTCATTGAGGACGCCATTAAAAATCACGGAATGCCTCAATTACAACAGTTTCAAAGCGAACAAAACAGAATAAGATTTGAAAATGTTCTGAAAGGGCTATCGTGGTTAAATATTCCTTACGTGATTAATCCTTCTCTGATACGAGGTCTAGATTACTATACTCACACTACCTTTGAATTTAAAAGTACAAATATTGGAGCCAAGTCAACAATTTTAGCTGGAGGGCGATATGACACCCTTGCAAAGCAGTTGGGCTCACCAAACATGATTCCAGCAGTAGGGTAAGTGATATTTCCTTCGAAAGAACACGAAATTTGACAAGTCGAATGAAATCATTTAATGCACATACTTATTATTTTTTAAACCCCATCGGATCAGATGGGCAAGTGGTATTGAAAGACTCACCATTCTCATGGAAGAACTCGAAAAAAACAAAACACAACCATTCTCTCAATTCTTGCCAAAAGTTTTTGTTGCTGTTATTCGAGGAACAGAAAGTACCCATGGAGTGAGCGAAGATGATTTGGCACGATTTGCATTGAATATTTCTCAACAACTTCGTTCCCAAGGCTTTACTGTGAACTATTTGGAGAAGGGAAACTTATCAAAACAATTGAAGCACGCTCAATCAAACAAGTGTTTGCTGAGCTGCATCATTGGAGACGAGGAGTATGTGAAACAGCAAGTTCTTTTGAAAAATCTGGACACTGGAGCACAACAGCATGTCTCTCTTGAAAACCTAGGAAATGCCATTCATTCGATTTTTAACTCTTAAGGCTCTATTTTAGAAGTTTGGACTCATAATAGATGGAGAATTTAGTTGGATATTTAACAAATACACACAACATTCAATCACTGTTGAACAGTTGCAGAATTAATTTCCTTTAACTTTTGAACCAAGTGATCAGAAATGAATTCGCTCAAGTTATCCACATTTTTCACATTGTAATCAATGAGATCATTCAACGGAGTTTGTTTGGAGGTTCTTCCTTCTAAGGCCAATCTCACTAATTGTAGTTGAGCTTCTTGGTTATTCCACTTCTCATTCAATAAGTATGATATCGGCATCTTGACACCCACTACATCTTTGTGAACCTTAACAATCAATTCCAAGCTTTTCACATTCTGAATTTTCAACTTGTCATAGTCCAATCTCCGAATGATATCTTTCCATTTAAGCTTCAATTTTTTCTCCTTGAGCACTTCAGAAAAACAGGACAAGTTCCATGTGGTTGGAGCTGGCATGTCCTCCAAAGATGAACAGGTAACAGCAACGTCCTCTCCTTTGGAACCCTCTGTCATACTTTTCATTTTGGTAATTCCATGATCCAATTGTTCCAACAGATCAAGAGAGGGAGTATTCAAGCCTGTTTTGAACATGGCCATCATGCCCAACAATTGAGCCATTTGATGATCAGAGATGGCTCCGTGCTTTTGAAGCAAGACTCTTACAGCATTGCTATTGCACGTAGAGTAATAACCATATTGTTTGAATAATTGGCTTAAAGCAGCACCATTGTTGGTACTAGGCTGCTGTTTGTTGGAGCTCGTTGTAGTAGATGTACTCTTTCCAGAGGAATGGGAAGTGGATGATGATGGCAAATGATTCTTCATCGTTAATATTATTTATATATTATTTAATAGTTTGATCAATTCAAGATGAGATCAGATTGGAATCAAAGATGGACTCTATTCCCAGTTGGTTACGTTGGTTGAATGAAACAATACACAAGGAGATTGGATCGGCAGTAATAGCTCAGTATTTGTTCTGCAGCAAGATCTTATTTCGAAGAGAACGGAACTCTGCCCCACAATGAACATAATCAAATTTTTTTTAATGCAAAATCTATTTGGTGGTTAAAAAAGTTAACACGACCTAAAACGTCTGAATTACAATTTACAACCACAAAGACAAATTCATCTATTGGATGCTCGCAGTTGGAACTTCCTTGTACATACTGAACAAGCAATGTTGGAATCGTTTGTTCACAATGACGAAGAAATAGACGAATGGAAAAACAAATGATAGGGGTTTTTTGATGTGAGCATCAGTTAGTGTGATCTCGTTTGTTCTGATAAGGAATTCATGTTTTGGCATTGAAGAACAATGAATATATATATCTTTCAATTGAAGTGAAGAATTGAGAAAAGAAGTTGTGAGGGTTTGTTTTAATGTTCACCGAGAGCCAAGACTAATTGATTCAAAATTATAATGTGAAAAAGGATTTCGGTTAAAGAGAAAGTAAGGGCTTGTAGTTCACATGGTAGAATATTTCCTTAGCATGGAAGGGGTACCGGGATCGATACCCGGCAAGTCCAAATTTTATATTTTGCATTTTATTACGGATTTACCATGAACAAATTAGATTTTATTACTTCTTTCTGAGGAAAGTAACACCGTCAGCAATAGTTTCCATGGCCACGTCCCACCGTTGATCGTCTCGACACATGTTATTGGTTTGACGAATTGCTAGGATGTCTTCAGACTGATCTTGTTCATTAATCACTGTACATTTCAATAATTGTGAGTGTGAAAAACAATGTTCAAATTATTGCGAGCCCACACAAAATTAACTTACCATTTCCATGTCTCAAAGTATTGTCAATCACAACTTATCCATTTTGTCTCACCAAATCATAGGCATATTCCAAATACTTTGGATAATTCAATCTATTACCAATATTTTCAATATTGAAATCCATTCTCATGAATTTTCATGTCAAATCATCTCAACACTTGTCAGCATCCACATAAATAAAATCAAATTCCTTCTTTTCCTTCTTCAATTCCTCCAAAGATTCCAAAGCTGGTTGAATCACTACCTCAATTCGATCCTCCACTCCAGCTTGTTTCCAATATTTTCTTCCAATTTGAACAAATTCTTCACTCACATCCAAAGTTGTAATTTTTGCTCCCGTGTCTTGAGTGGCCAATGCAAAACATAAAGAACCATAACCTGTGAAACATCCAATTTCCAAAATATTCTTGGCTCCGATGAGTTTGAGAAGGATTTGCAAGAGTTGCATTTGTTCTGGAGCACTGACCATGACATATCGGCTATGACAAGTGACAGGACCATAGAATCAATGAAAATCACAACACACGCATCAACCCAATCAATAAATCACCTATGAATTGTCTTTAAATACTTACCTTCCCATCTTTTCACGAGTTTCCTCTCTCAAATCAATCTGTTCTTTCGTTTCTCTAACACATATTTGACGAACATATTCCAACACTGCAGGATCACACACAAACGAAGGTTTCATTGATGATTGTTATTTCAGTATTATTAATGAATGGTTCTTGATTTTTTTTCTGATTGAACAAAAACAACGAATCAAAAACATGGTGTTAAATTCAAGTACTTTTCACACGCAGCAACTTGCAAGTCCGACTAGCAATGGCGCAGTTTTCAAACAGGGTTCACCAAACGATGTCGTACGTCATTCATCATACGAGTTTACTCGCTTAATAATTTCAATGTCCAAACATGTTGAACATAAAGTGTCAAAAAATTAATGATCTGACGATGTGTCACTTTCAAGTAATTCATCCAAATCATCATCCTCATACATATCATATTCCTCAAAAGATCTTCGTTCCTGTACATGAAATCCCTTCAAATTCACACATTGCTCTCGAATAATTTTTTCACCTTCCACTCCAATACAATTTCCAGAAATTTCCAAACGTTCCAAATTCACTTTCAACAATGGACTCGTGGCAATGGCATTGGCTCCATAAAATCCAACATGATTATGAGAAATTTCGAGTTGTTTCAAACGTGTCAATACATGACTCGAAGCCAATGACATGGCACCTTCTGTTCCAATGTCATTGAAAGAAATATTAAGACAAGTTAAGGTTGTTAAATTCTCACTCAATGAAATGCATTCAATTCCTGCATCTCCAATCATGCATCCACTCACATGGAGACTTGTCAAGTGTTTCATGTGTTCACACAAGACTTGTATGCCTTCCAATCGAATAAAATTCTCAGATACATTTAGTATTTGAACTTGTTGAGACAAGTGCACATTGTGTGCTATGGCAGCAATTCCATGAGCGAGAATGTAATTCTTTTCCAAAAAGAGAGCTGTCAAATTTTTCATACGCGACGTTTCTTGATTGGCCAAAGAAATGATACCTCGATCGTCCAAATTATTTTCACTCAAATCAAGCCACGTCAAATGTTGCATCTTTTCAGAAAGGTATTGAACTCCTTCATTTTGAATGTTATTCATGCTCAATTTTAAGGTTTGTAAATTCTGAAAACAAGTTCCTTGTGCAATGAATTGAGCACCATCGGAGACCAAAAAATTATCACCAATGTCAAGTGTTCGTAAATTCTTTAGAATTGGACTAGAAGCAATGAATTTCACATGCTGGGAATAGATTCGATTTCCACTCAAATTCAATTCTGTTAAATGTGAAAAAATGGAACTGTTGGACAAGCGTTGAATGTCAATTTCACTGCCAATGGAATTGTAACTCAAATCCAGGGAGGTTAAATGTTTCAAAACACTGCTGTCACATATTGCCATTAATCCTTCACTTTCAATGTTATTATGACCTAAATGAAGAGTTTGTAATTGTTTCAAATTCTCACTTGTTGCAATGGCTGAAATTCCACTATACCCAAAATGATTCTGAGTTAAAACGAGACCTGTCAAATGTTTCGAATTTTCACTGTTGACAATGAGACGAATTCCTTCATTTCCCAAATCGTTATTTTGTAAATTTAAAAATGTTAAATTTCTCATAAAAGGACTCGATGCAATACAAGCAGCACCTTCATACGCCACTCGACATGCTTTCAAATTTAATTCCGTCCATCGATTTCTACATTTCAATGTCAAATGTCTCAACAAATCCAAAACAGAATTCGAAAAATATTTCAAAGTAAATGGTTCTTTGCATTCGCTCAAATCCAAGGCAATAGGAATTTCTAAAGATTTCAAATACCATCTTTTCGAAACTTTCGAACACACGGAAATTATAAATTTCCAATCGAGAAATTGATACATGTGAAAAATCATGTCACTCGGAATGATGATCGAACCTTCTCGAACGTGTTCCGAACACAATGTATCTTGTTGAAGCATGAAAGGATCATGATTGTTTTCAACCGCATGCTGCAAACGATTGTGATGAAAGAGTTGAGTGACAAATATGGACAACTTTTTGAACATTTTTTTTGTAACGGAACAAGTTCATAACTTTGGAATGTCATGATGAATGTTTTCATGCTTTAAGAATACAAGTCACATTCAATCCAATAATAATCTTTCAATGAATCAAAATTTAATATTTATTTAATTCAATGAAATGTTATTTCAAAAAAATGAAAAAACGAAATTTATCAACTGTAAGGAAATCTTTCATTCCCGATCAAGATCATTCCGATCACGACCAGAACACTCTCAACAACAAGGATTCAAAATCTTCAAGACTAACACACATTCATTCATGTACAGAACGAGATTCAAATCATCCTTCTCATCATCATCATTCCAAGATTAAAAAATTTAAATTAGCCGATGATATTCTCTATCAAAATAAGCCTCAAGTGATTTGTCCAATGTGTAGAATTTTTATGAATTCATTTCCAGATTCATTAAATTCAGAAGATTATGAACCATCCATGTTAGAAGAAATTGCGAATATTCTCACTCATGGATTACCATTTCCTGGTTTTGTTTATTTATTTTACAAATTATTTGTGCAAGTTGTAAATACGAGAGATGAATGGATAGCAGCTTGTTTATATTGTATTTCTTTACTTGCATTGTTTATGGTTTCAACATTATATCATGTCATGTGTTTAATTTATGGAAAATTCTCAACACAGACGTATTGGTTCCGAATTGTAGATTACGCAACCATTTATTTATTTATTGCTGCATGTTATACACCTTTTTTGATGGTCATTCAACTTGGAGTGTGGAATTTTTGGGGAAGGTTGTTAACCATCGCTGTTTGGATGTTAGCGTGTTGTGGATTAATTAAGGCATTTTCAGAAGGACGATATTTACAACAGATTAGTAATGCAACATTGTTTAATATTATGGGATGGATTGCATTGCTTGGAATTCCTCAATCCATGTTCATTCATGTGCCATTAGAAGCGTATATTGGTCTCTTTTTTGGAGCAGCTTGTTTTTCATTTGGATTTGTGTTTTTAAATGGAGACGGTGTGATACCCTTTTCACATGCTTGGTGGCATTTAATTTCTGTATTTGGAATATTATCACACTTTTTATGTATTTATTGCTACATGTTTCAATTGGACGACATGTTCCATCCAGAGCAGTGTTCTTTCAATTCTAAAGTCGTTTGGATGCAAATCATGGATACTGTGAAGGGAGAACGAAAATTATTTGGTCATGTAACTCCATTCCTATAGAATTGTTGAGTGCTCTCTGAAATTTGTTAAGGTTTGTTTCAAGGCCAATGTGTGAGAACGTCTTGAAAGGATATGATGAACATTCCTGAATGGTCACTGTTCAGGCAATCTAAAGCACAAGTCCAAAATGAATCGAAATACCTTTAATTTTGTGTTCCATTATATCCATGAGCTCTTTTATGATATATACATCACTCCTCAAAGCACCCAATGGATACGACCTTACACTTGATGACAGTAATAGGCATTGTTAAAACCAGTTGTTTTAGTACTTCTAATAAGGTCAGTGGAGTACTGCAAACGTCAACTGTCAACAACACATCAAAAAAAAAATGTCATCCACACCTCCTTCGTCATCTGCTTCCAACAACACCAACTTACCCACTCCATCTCCCACAACAACCACCCGAAAGAAAATTCTTCAAAAAACTCAAACTCTTGATGACGATGATCTTGTCAGTCGTGAAACCAATTCTCTCCGTGAACGATCCAAAGCTCATCCCATTTTCAAAACTGCTTCTTCCTCTCAATCAACAACGATTGGATCCAATACTACATTGACTAAATCCTCAGTGTCATCATCATCAAAACAAAATCTCTTTTCTCAACTCATCACGGAACAAGAATTTAGTAAAAATCATGTTTGGGTTGAAAAGAGTCAAATTCCTCCAAACAAGTTATCCAAATCATCATTTGCAAAATCAAAGGATGGAGATTCACTTTATGTCATTGGAAAATTATTGGAACGAAATGGAAATTTGGTAAATGTTGAAATTTTACCAAATCAAATTCCACAAGGATTAAAGAACACATCAAGTGGTAGTAGTAGTTCATCATCTTTGGTGATTCAATTACCAGTGATGGATGTCATGTTTATGAATCCTCCGAGTATGAACAAGTTACAAGATTTGACACAATTGACCAATGTCAGTGAACCATGTTTGATTTATTATTTAAAAAGTCGTTTAGGAGAAGAGAGAAGAAATTCCAACCATAAGGATCAGAATCGAGGAAATGATGGATTGATTTTCACAGATTGTGGAGGAGTTGCCATGTTGTCTACTCTTTCATGGAATCATCATTCTTCGTCACACCATGGTGTCACTCGTCGAGAACATGACGAGAATTCCTCATCGACAAAATTCAAGAGTGCGTATTTATTGAATCATTTAGTAACCACACAACAGAATCAATCCATTGTTGTGCTAGGAGACAGTGCGAGTGGAAAGTCAACCACTTTGGTTCAAATGTTGGAAGATTTTGCAGAATTGACCAATAGTAAGATGATGAGTCGAGTCTTGGATGTCATTCGAGTGTTAGAAGCATTTACCAATTCTAGTACTGAGCAAAGTAAATGTAGTAGTCGAGTGACAAGGAATATTCATTTACAATTATTGAATAATGATAAGGAAGGCCATTCATTTCCAATTAAGGTGTGTGGAGCGTATGTGGAATGTGTGAATTTACAAGTCACTCGTTCCCTAGTGAGAGTCATGGAAAAATTGGTGGATTCAAGTTCGACCTATGTGGAAAAGATGAATCCAGATCAATTCATTCACAATTTTCATGTGTTTTATCAATTAATGGCAGATGCAACTTTAAAAGAAAAGTACAAGTTGACACAATTACTTGATAAGGATCATCATCAGGCTGGAAAATTAACATTTTCAATTATTCAAAATTCAATGAAGAATATTGGATTTACAGAGAAGGAAATTGGAGATGTCACAAAAATTTTGTGTGCCCTTCTTCATTTACTCAATTGTGATTTTATTGAAAATGAGAATCGAAAGGACGAGAATGATCGTTTGGCGATTCTCTCCGATTCTTCGAAATCTTCCTTTAATAGAACGATCAAATTATTGGGCGTCGATGAACTAGAATTGTTCAACACGATTGTGAAACCAAAAGTCAGCGTCAACTCGAACTTGATGGAAACCTTTGCAGATGCTGTACAAGCAAATCACAATAAGGATTTAATCATTATGACTCTCTATGAAGGATTGGTACAATGGATTGTGTCACGCATGAATGAAATTTTGAAATCTCCTGAGAACAAAGAAGAACCATTACTTGAAATTTCACTTTTCGACATTGGAGTTGGTTTTGAAAGTCTTGCAACAGGTGTCGATGCTGCCAGAGGTGTGAAATTTAACTCTCTCGAACAACTAGTTCAAAATTATTCGAATGAAAAATTGAGAGATTTGGTGAATGAACAACTCTTCAAGAATGCACAAGATGTGTACCAGAAAGAAGAAATTGGATGGAAATGGATGGAATTTTCAGCCACTTGTTCTGTTCCATCCAAACTTGTAAAATTTTTAGAAGATGAAAAGGATGGAGTGTTTAGTGTCATTAAGAATCAAGCACTCAGCATGTTTAGAGGATCTGATGAAGGAATGATCATTAGTGAACTCTCGAAATTATCCTTGGCAGATCAACAACAGCAACATCAACAACAACAACAATCGAATCAGACCTCTGACAATAATAATGCCTCCAAACAAGAGGCACAACTATTCAAACCCAATCTTGCTGATATGGAAATGTCACTCACTCATTTCAATGGAAAAGTCACTTACAAAGTCACGAATTGGTTCCAAAAAGCATTGTTACCTTCAGATTCCATGTCCACACATACCAAAGAATTTCTCTCAAAATCTTCCAAGAATTCCATTGTTCAAAGCATTTACACCACTCTCTTAACTAGTCAGCATCATGATACCAAGTCTACTGGCGTTCAATTTGTCATGGATGTCCATCGAGAAAATTTAGAGAAACAATTGGAGCAATTGAAGCACACGGAAATGCATGTCATTTATTGCTTACGAACATCAGCATCGTCCTTGAACGAAAAATTAATTTTGAAACAATTAAGAAATTATTCCATTAATGACATGATTCGATTGGCAAGAAAGAGTTTTGCTTCCAAAATTCCATATTCACAATTTGTGAAAAGATTTTGCGCACCAAGTGGTATGAGTGGTGACTTGAAACAAGCTGCTAAAAAGTTATTGGAAGAGCACAAATGGTCTGAAAATACTGATTTCAAACTTGGAAAGACCATGGTTTTTCTCAAACCAGCACATGAGTCATTGTTGTATTCACACTTTTCGAATTTACGTCAATAAACCTTCTTGCTTAACAAAGGGTTAAAATTTAACCTATGTTGTGAAGCTGTATGCGTTTTTATCATTTCAGCTGAACAGTGCCATTTGGCATTGGATACCCACGCGGGGTTTCTTGTGCACACATTCCTCCTCACTCGCTGTCATGAATCACTTGAAATTTGTGAAGATTGTGAAAATAGATCACAACACACAAAAAAATGTCTTATAGTTATTCTCCCACAACACCATACTACCTCCCAAGTTCTCCTCCATACGGTCCTCCACACTCTCCACCTTATCAGATCGAGTCCCTAAAAACCTGTATCACGTATTCACTTCCATGTGAGTTGAAACAACAATTGGATGAACAAGTTCGAAATTCGGGACATGTTTGTCAACGACCGAATCATCTTGGAGAAGCGAATTGGGGTCATGTGTTCGTTTCCATACCGTCGAAGCCACTCAAATCCATCTTTCAAAATTCTGAGAATAGAAACTTGCTGTTAAAACCTCTTTTTCAGAATTACAATTATTTTGGCGATGGCTACACACTCGGTACAGATTGTCGATTCTTTTCATTGCCTACACATATCACAGTGATCAGTCATCTCGAGTGGCAGAGAGGATTCTTTGAATTGGACAAGAAGGTCAATTATTTAAGTCGTAACAGTTCACCAACAACCAAATTGTCTCCTCTGGATATCATCTATAAATATAGCAATTTAAGCTATTTGGAATATACCAAGGATATGACTGAACAAGTGCGAGAGAACAAACTTCAACACTTGTTAATGTTCACCTATTTCAAGAGATCTCAATTTGCAACCTTGTTACCTGATGAACTCGTGCAATATATTGGTAGTTTTCTAATGTTTGAATTACAACCTCAAGACAAGCTCAGAAAAATTAATTTCAAATTCTCAGGTTTGGTCACTTTTGCTCCTCATTATGTTGATTATGAAAAGTGTTTTTTCTTGCATATTGAGAGTGAAGAATTGGATGAATTGAGAAAAAAGTATGGCTTTCACAACAAGATGGATTTTGTACTATGTGTAGGAAAGTTAGAACATGCTTACCCGTGTCGCTATTCACCTTGTGAGATGGACGAGGAGATTTCATTTGTTGACATTTCAAACTCATCGGATAAGAAGAGAAAATTGATGCATGACGATCCACAAACAGCACCCTCAAAAGAAATTTGTAAATAGTAAGCAAAATTTGTAAATAAATGGACAATGTGGACTTCTTATTGACCACATCTTCCTTCTTTGAAAAAGTTTAAAAATTGAACCATTGTTGCAAGGCATCGAAGCCGACTTGAAAGGTGTTGCTTTACATCGGCGACGGTATGCCAGGCAGATCATGTTCTATCATCCTATATAGTAACATGACTCCGATTCCGTGGTCAGGAGCCAGCGTCGCAGAAATGAATAACTTAAAGTGATGATCGGAGGGATGATGTTACCATCAACAACTGGACGCAAATGCTTCCGCGGCAGGAATTGTGGTTTTGGTCATTTTTTACATTTTTTCTTTTCCGGATCTTGACAGACTCTCCAAGAAGAAATCTCATGTCTACAAGAAGAAAACTCAGCTCTCAAGGAAGAAATCTCAGCTCTAACAGTTAGAGTGGACAAATTTGAATAAACGTTGGGGATAAGGTTGATTAGAAAATTAGCCAAGTCCAAAAATTATTGAATAGACATTCCTCACCGTTATTATCAATGAGATATCTTTGGTTAAGCAAAGAGTCAGTGCACCTGACGCTCCGACCTCATAAGTTATCAACAGCAGTTAACGAATCCTTAAAGCATTATATCTAAAGGAGCTGAAGTTCTATTCTTAAGAAAAAGCACCGATTCAAAAGGTGATCGTTCACCACTTGTTTTATTGATAAACGCCAACCACGACAATCTGTATCCTTTGCGTCCAACATTTTATCAACAAACAGATTAAAAGAAGGACAATTAGATTTTGAATGGCTACGGCCATATCACGATGAATGCACCTCATCCCGTCCGATTTGAGAAGTTAAGCATCGTCGAGCGGCACCAGTACTGAGGTTGGAGACTACTTGGGAACCTGCAGTGCTGTAGCCTTTTTTCTCCTTTGAGCTTGCGAAAGGTGATTTTGAAAACAGTGGAGCGTTCCTTTTTATCAGACCCACAGGAGAACCCGTCAAAAGGTGCCTTGAGTTTCACTACAAAGTAATAGACAATCTTTTGCTTCAGCCCTGAAAAAAGATTGGACCAAGTTGATTTAGGCATAAAAGAGCAGCCTATTTATTGGCTGGAGTTTCAGTGGTTGAGGATGATGAAGAGGAAGGGGTGGGTTGGGTAGGTTGAGGTTGTTGTGAAGTGGTCGAAGAGTTGTTTGTTTCTGTTGTTGAAGTGGCAACATCATCTTTAGCTTTTTGATAAACGTAGAGTGGAATGTGTAATTCTTCCTCTTGCACAACTTCCATTTTCTTCTCTGGTAATTTGAATTGGCAGTTGCCATCGAATTTGAGTAATTCTAGATATCGTTGTGGACTTTTCACTTTTCTCAATTCATCAGACACTAAATCGACAATGTTACTATCCAAAGTGAAATGAATATTGGCAATGAGCTTGTCGAGAGCAAGGTCTGTCTCTTCTTCCTCTTCTTCCAAATCGTGGATCGATGCATAGGAGGCTGTCTTTTTAGGATCGGTCACAACAGTCACATTATTTTGCATTGGCATGACTCCTGCTTGTTTTTCTTTTTCAATTTCTTGTGAGACTTGAGTTTCAAAATTCTTGAGTGCATTTGCAATGGCTGCCTGTTTGAATTTGATAATTACTTGGCAAATCTCAACTCCTGCAGCGAGTAAGAACACTTCAGCGTGTGTCTCGCGCTTACTGCTGAAGAAATCATTCATAAATAAACCAAATCTCTTATTGAAACCTTGCTCTCTGTAGAATTTCTCAAATCTGCTAACCATTTTCTTGTGAATGAGAGAATGTAATGAGTCTACTTGATAGTGTGTCACAAGTTTAGCAATTAAAGCAACAAGTCGAGACTTGGCCTTTTCAAATTTTGTCAATGATACGTCCTTACAGTGTTCCAAAATAATGTTCTTTGCTGCCACCTCTTTTCCTAAGGTCGAAGATTGTTGTGCATTGACAAAAACGCTCTTAACAAGATCTGGCAAAACTGTCATGGTTGACCGCGATAACTGCTCGATACCCATTGTTTTTTCGAGCGTGACGGTATAATTGCATTCTTTGCACATGATTGTACATGTACCAGCCTTAAGTCTCTTTCTAATCTTTGGAGAATTACAGCTAGGACACTCTTTAGCATCAAAATTTTTGCAGCAAGCAACTGTTGGGTAAATTCCGATACAGTTTGGTAAATTGAAGTTAGCAATCGTTTCAATCATGATATCTCGGACGTTATCCTTGACAGCATCTGCTTTGTTTAAAACAAAAATAATTGGAATTCCTTTCAGCTCTTCTTTACAGAATTCTGCCTCAAAAGGTTGGAATCTTGCCTGTGTCAAGTCAATGACATACCACACCACATGAACATGTTTTGCCAAGCTTTCTTCTTGTCTAATTTTCTTGAAAAATCGTCTTGTATCGGCAACAAACCCATCTTGAATGTAGCCATGTTCAATACCTCTGCTGTCGTAAATGACTACAGGACTGTGCTCACCAGTATATTTAGTATACCGTTGTGTGATTGGTTTACCTTCACCAATTTCCGCCAAGCTTTTTCCAAACACTGCATTCACAAGAGAGCTTTTACCACTTCCGCTTCCTCCCAACAATAAAATGTTTGGTTTTTGTGTTTGTTGCGTCACGGTGGAACAATTTTGCTCCAATTTCTGTTTCAATTCGTTAAACTCCTGATAAATTATTTTTGAGGTTTCGTCCTTTTCAATAATTGACGATAATTCTCCATGTTCTTTCACTAATTTTTCTGCCTCAGATTGTTCTACGTGCTTAACTCGTGCTTTGGTCCACTTTTTTCTTCTCACAAAATCAAAAGGGCCAAAAGCATGAGACCAATGTTTTTGGTCATCATGCCATTCATTCGCATATTCCCATGAATCTTCTCCTTCATTAATCCAGTCTTTTGTTAAATACTTCCAACCGTCATTAAGAGCCTTCTTTTCAATAGCATCTTTAGACAGGGGACTTGAATTTGAGCTTCTCCAATTACCTTCGGAAGGAATAGTAAATTCACCGAACATCTTTCGTGTTTGTACTTCATAAATTACGTCCACCACTTTTACTTTAACTTTATCGGACATATTTGATGATGATGATGTGGTATTATTATTGGTTGTGGGTGAGGACTTGTTGGTTGGAGTAGAATTTGCTTCTACTCCTCCTCCGGTGGATCCTTGCAACGAACCCGATGAGTTACTGCTATTCATATCACTCATTTTAATGTTGTTGTTGTTGTGGTTCAAAGAGCAGAAACGTGTTGAAGATTTCGAGCAATTCAGCTTTGGATTTTAATGAGTGCTGTTGCGTCTATTTTTTTTGTCTGGACAACTTCCCCAACGGATTTGTTGTTCGAACAATCAAAATAATGTTCAAATTGAAGTCAGAATTGCTGCAAAAATCCATTAGATGTTGCTTATCTATGATCATTCAAGTATGAACGAAACATTGTTTTGAACTTCTCTCTCTAATGGCCTTCGGAAGCAAATTTAGCACAAAAAAATGATTTCATTGTTGGAAGAAGAAAAGGAAAAGAAATTTTCATCTTCGGAAGAGAGCAACAATAACAACGGAACAGTTCCAATGGCCTCTTCATCTACACAAACAACAAATCAGAGTAGTGGAGATGATAACAACAACGGATCATCCACAATTGATCTCATCAATAATAATAATAACAACGTTGTTGGTGATGTCAGTAGCAACGACACCACTGATGATGGATCATCAGTCGCTATCCTCGGTGATCTGTTTGGTAACACTTTGAATGGTACGAGCACAACCATCAAGAAAAAGAAGAAGAGAGGACAACATTCCAATTTGTATGCTTTGACTGTAGCTCCAAATTATGACAAGTCTTTGGAAAAGTACAAACCACTGATCCAAGTAGATCCATCATTGGAACTCTTTTCTAAATACAAAACACAGCCAACAACTGACGATTTGGCCAATAGCACCACTACTGATTCTACAACTACATCCACTGACATCACCAACACTGCACCTAAAAACATGGTTCCTTTGGAGGTGTTGGAGCAGGCAAAAGTAATTCCAGGATTGTTTTTGGACGGATTTTTAGAGTATTATCAATCGGGACTGTTTACTGATGCAACAGTGATTTGTCGTTCCAAAGAGTATCGTGTTCACAAATTGATCATTTGTTATCGATCTGGATACTTTAGACAAGTTTTCTCGAACGACCCCACAATGCAAGTTCACGTCATTGATGACAAGACACCTAGCATGGAATTGTGCAATTTGGATGAAGTATTTCCATTTGTGATTGGTAAGTGTGTCATATATATTACAGCAAATCAATTAATTTGACAACATATGTCAATGTACCATGTCACATATTTTCAATTTTGTGGGTTATTCAAAATAGAATTTCTTTACACTGGAAAGATCGAAATAACACAATTCAATGTGGTGTCCCTAAAGTTGATAGCTAACCTGCTAGACATTTCTCCACTCAAATGTGAGGTTGAAAACTTTTTGGTAGCCTACGTGAACGAGGATAATGTTTTTGATATTTTGAATTCTGCCATTCAGTCCAATGACAGTGCTATCAAGAGCATTTGTGTTGATTCCATTGCATTTCACTTTGACACTTTACATGGAAAATTTGTAGACAAGGTGTTCAAAACCTCGAGCGATGACACTTCCCAAAAAATTCCCCTTGATATTTTCTTCTCCGTTATTGGAAACAAAAACATGAAGAGCAATGTAAATGAGTTAAGAGTTAAGATTGTTTCTAACATTGTAGAACAATTTATCAAGGAATTTAACGCTATGGAAAACATTGAATTATTTAAACAAATGATTAATGCAGCAACAGAGTCTAAATCTCTTGACTTGAATTTGGCCATCAAATATTTGAAGCATTGCGACGCTCGAGGCGAAGAGTTACGTGAACAATCGATACGATGTTCCCAAGCACTTGCATTTAACTTTCATTTCCTTCTGACTTCCACATCTTCCAATATTATTTTTGATATTTTACCTTCCTCTTTTGTAGAGTTGTTGAAATACGATGAGCTTTATATTAGGGACGAGGATCAAGTCTATGATATTGCATGCAAATATGTTGAACACAACAAGGACACGCTCACAGAGGAGCAAAAGAAGGAAATTTTCAAATGTGTCCGTTATACTTATTTGAGTGTTCAACTTTTAACAAAACTCAAACAAGACCCACTATTCATTTCTAAAGAAGATATTTTGGAGGCTCTATGGGCCAGAGTCGGAAGACTTGAGGGAAAGAAAGTCGATGAAAGTGTTTACAGTCTCAGACCAAGAAAGAATCGTGTATTTATTTATGAGAAAGATTTTGATACGAATGGAATTTTGTACTGGCTGGGAACCAATTACAGCCAAGAGACGTATGTGAATCCTATTGATAGAGGGTATGTTTTGAAAGTTAACTGAATTCCATCTTGTTCATACTTCACATGTTCATTTTCTCACATTATTGTTAATCAAATAGATTAATGACGGTGAGCGCGTCTGCAAGTTACGAAGTCGGCAAAGCACAAGATTTAATTAGTCATGAACCAGCAAAGTGCAATCTTGTGGGAAAGGCCAACACCCAAATTAACCTCAAGTTTGAAACTCTCAAAATTATGCCAACAAAATATACGTTGAGACATACCATGTCTAGAGATGGAGAGGCTTTAAGATACTGGACTCTCAGTGCAAGTGTGGACGGTGTCACATATGTGGACCTTCTGGTGCATAGTAATGACACTACATTAAATCTAAAAGGGTCTACTGGATCTTGGGACATTGAAGCAAATGGCAACTATTACCAATATTTCAGAATTACACAAACAGGAAATAACTCATCAAATAACAATTATCTATCGATGGCAGGATTGGAACTCTATGGGCTCGTTAACCGAATTTGTGACGAATAAATACATAACTTGGTGACACAAAGTTTATTAATTAACAAAACTACTACAGTGCATTCGGAAGGTTAGTTTCTCAAATTGGGGTCAGCCTCTTCCTTTTCATCACCAGCTGTTGTTGTGACATCCTTGTCGCCTTGCTTGTCTTCACCAGAGGTTACATTGGGTTTAGTGATTTTTGTCACCTTGTCCTCATCGTCATCTCCTCTCATGAGCAAACAGAATGGAATTGTAGAAAGTAAAATAACCACAATAGTACCTGCAATGACTGGAATAGGATAATCCTTAACAAGTTCCTGTGCTTTTTCAATCACTTGTTGAGTGATACCGCTCCATGACGAGCTTGACTCAGTGTTTTCTACAAGTTTCGACTTTTTCTCCTTTTCAATTTCAAACTTCTTCTTCCATGTTTTTGTGGCATATTCCTGAGCCACATTTTCATTATGTGTCATTAAGAAGTTGTCAAAGAAGGTATTTTGTTGCATGGTCCAAATTTCAATAAAAACTGCTCCAATCTTTTGAGATAAATTCGATGGTTGTTTGTCTTCAAAGTAGTTTGGATTAGGGATCTTTCTTGGACTCCATGGACCCTTGTAGAGAGGATTTTTAACCTTTGGAGGAACCCATTTACCTTTGTAGTTTGGATTCTTAATGAGACGAGGTTCCCATTTTCCACAGCCGTGTTGCTCACACTTGGGGTTTCTAATGGTTGGTGCTTCCCACTTGCCGTCCTCGTCTTCATCCCATTCTGATGGTTTTCTTGCCTCTGGATCTGGAATGTATTCTGGTTCATTTGGTAACCAATCTTTTGGCATCTTATCCTCAGGATCTGGAATAAATTCTGGAAGTGTTTCATCCCAATCTTCTGGCTTTTTGGCTTCAGGATCATCCATGAACTCTTCATCGACCCAATCTTTTGGTTTTGAATCAGTAGGGTCATCAATTTCTTTTGGTGGCACAATGGATGGGTCAAATTCTTCGAACAAGGAACCCTTTCTTGCAGTCTCACCGTCAATCTTGATTTCAAAAGTATTATCCTTCCTGACAATAAGTGTGTAGAGATGAGACAACTCGTCATTCTTAATAGCTGGAGCATCCTTCAAATGTTTCTCCTCCCAAGTATTACTCTTTGGATTAAAATGTCTTAAAATGAAATGAACCTTATTATTGGCACCACACAAATCAGGCCCAAACATGATAATATATGGAGAGTCATTGTTTAATTGTTCCAAACTTGTAATCTTGGAATCATCCAATAATTTAATATAAGCACCTCCACACGACAATTTGCTATCAAATTTAACTTCATATTGAACAATTAAATCCTTATTCTCATTATCAATAGGAGGAGTAATTCTTGATGCAACACCATAGTGTTGTCCAGCTTGCTTCATTAACAAGCCTTTATCTCCAGCAAAAGCAACAACCTTTCCGGTTGCTCCAGTCCACTCGACTGGTTGATTGACGTATTTGGAATCTTTACTCTTCACCCATCGGCCTGATCCAAAAGGCTCTTCATTAAAATTATCAAAAAACAATACATCATGATTTGGAACGGATGGAGCTGTATATGTTGTTACTTCCTCTTGTAATTTTCCAAATGAGGAAGAAGAGGATGAGGTTTCATCAAAAGTTGGTTCCTCATCTGCAGAGGTTGTTACTGTAACATCTTCCGCCTTGCTTGAGGCTTTAACAAGGAAATTACTCCTTGATGATGATTCGGATCCGAATTCTAAAGATGAAATCACAAGGAAGATTCCGATGAACACAAGCAGAAATATAGTCAACGAGAGGGAAGAAGGCTTATTGCGAAACATTTTTTTTGATTCCGATTTTTTCAAATTCCGATGTGAGATCTTTGAAAACAAAATCTTTGTTACTTGATCACAGCTGTGGTCGAAGAGGGAATGACAAATTGTGGATTGACTTGTCGTTGTGGATAGCCCAAATAGCACATCACTTTAATTGTTGCTGCCTAATTTAAATGAACACATTTCTTTTGGAGTTTATTCTTGGAATTCCCATCTGTCAGATTTCAACAAAGAGTGAGAGATCAATAAAACTCAACCACAACTTGACAACTCCAATTAGTGTTGGAGGAACTCAAAGACATACTCATTCTATTCGTTAATGAGCAAGAATGAGTGATCGTACTGCAATCAAATCAAAGAAAAGAGGTTACTGGCTTCCTGCTCGGTGTTCAATTTTTTGGATTTTTACAGCCAGCCAATCAAAACGCACCAACAACAGAGTGATATTAAAATACTCTTCCACCAATTCCACCAAGTATGTTTCTCGCACTTATTGGTTTGTAGTAAGTTCGAGATCAAGTCCAATATTTTACAAACCAGAAGAAAGAGAATGCTGATCCAATAAACTTCTACATCTACCGAGTAAATATTGTGCTGGCTTATCCGCTGCAGTGGTTCCAGAACTGCTGTGCTTGTGAAGAAAGGCTTCAAAATGAGAAATTGCTTCTCCATACTCTCCTTGAAAATAATAATCACAGGCCTTATTGTACAAAGCCCATCGACCTTTCTTTTCTTGGTCTGCTAGTTCATACATCCACTCGTCTAATTATTGTGGGATGTATGAATTACAATGAAAATAGTTTGAGAAATGTTTTGAAAAAATCTCAATATTAAAAAACAAAAACATACCTTCTTTGACAGCTGTACTTTCTCCTAGTTCATAAATTTTGGTGGAAACCTTGGAACTGGCATGAGTTTGCTCATCCATGAATAGTGGAGATGTGTATGCAGAGTCATCAATCATTTCTTGAGTGTCAACATATCGCATCATGAATTGGTCGATCTGAATGCTCACTCTCTCTGACATTACAATTTCTAAATCCAATCTCTTTGCAGTTTCAAGCATTAACTCGTTGTTGTGTTTTAAGCTGCTCATTATTGTAAAGTGCTTCATCTCAGAATTACCAATATTACCACAATGGCTTAATTGAGAGCAAACAGCAACTCTAAATTTGAGAGCATCCATCAAGTGTGAATATCGTCTCCAACAATCAAGATTTTTCCATTTCAGTGCTTTAAATTTTGTCAACTTTTCGATCGTAACTTGAGCTGTAGACACAGCTACTTTTTCATGACGAGGTAAGTTTGTGACAGCATTATATGCCAAATTGATAACATCATTCTCGGTTCCAATGAGAGAACCACCTCGTGTTTTTATGATAGCATTCAGCTGATCAAACACGTCAGAAAGTAATTGAAGAACATCTCGTGCTGGTGCTTCTTGAATAAGTTCGTTAAGCCCTTCCATGAAAATTGAAACCATAGTGATCATCTTGTGCTCCAAGTGTAGAGCAAATAAATTACGTGTTGATGAAAATTTCTTTTTTCTGTCAGTCATTGTCATGGTTCGATTGAGGACTGGCTTTGAAGGTTTTTGCGGAACAACATCATGTATACTGTTTGTGGAGGTGTTAGAACCTTTTGTGACACTACCTTCAGTTGCTGAATCCATTTGTTGAAGCTCTTGCTCCTCACCTGATCCTTCAATTTGAGCAATGAGGTGAGGTGGAATAAAACATCTGTACTGCTTCATTCGATGTACCATGAAGAGGAACGTATGTTGCAAATGTCTGACTTCCGCAAATCTGCTAAAGTTGATTTCAATTTTATCCAGATCCATATCTGAAACAGTGTCAAAAAGATAGATCAAATCGTAAAATGGTGAAACAACTTTGTGAGAGAGAAATATTCCAATTGAGGTGCTGATGATCACAATAATGATAGAGGCAGCCATTGCAGAGCAAACTCCGATTGCAGCTGAGGATATAAAGCTCCAATTTGGAACAGCGTATACAATAAACCAGTCAATGTTGTAATCCGTACAGAGTCTTTGAATACTGATAAACATGCCTTTGGACCCTGAAAAAGATACTTTTTGATTGCATCGAATCTCTTTCAAGACAGGATACTTGTTCTTAATGTTTTGAACAACACCGGTCATGACTGGATCTTCTAGTGAGGAAAGGTCTAATCGCTTCGAGTTTCCAGTGGCATCCCATGTCACAAAAGGTACGTCCCTATCAAACGCAACAATATAATTGGAGTCAGCCTCAACGACCATACTCCTTGACCCTAGTTCATCAGATTCCGAGAACTTTTTCAAATAATTAGAAATGGATCCAACAGAAAGGTCATATCCAAAGTAATATTTAAAATTATTCCCATTCACTGGTGTAGGAAGTTTCCAACTGTTGATAAGACTCAAGAAAGCATATTGAGGCAATGTTTTGTCAGTATAGGATGGTGTGAATGCTGGTCTTCCTGCAAACTTGTTTCCAATTTCAACAATGATGCTCAAATCAAACGGCGAAAGTATAGCGTCTGGTGTTGAATTTCGATGACAATAATCGTCATGGGTCTCAAAGTCTTTACAATAATATAATTTCTGATCGACGAGATTTGCATCAATCAATGCAGGCATGCCATTCCAAGAAAATATTCCATAACATGTACCTATATTTGAAAAGATTAAGGTAAGTAAATGTGAGACTCGAATAGTGAATGACTCATTCCCATTACTTACCAATATCATCTCCAATAAAAGTCGTAGTTGTTAAACCAGCCTGAAATTGCATTTCTGATTTGAAAATTGCATACATTTGTTTTTCAACCCAGGTCTTATTCGAATAGTCGAGTGTTGCCGTCAATTGACTTTTTGCAGCAGCAGATATCCGCACAACATTTCCTATTGTTTGTTGAATATACGAAGCCAGCTTGTCAGATTCCAAAGCTTTGACACTTGTACTAAAACCATAAATCGAAGGCAATAGTGAACCCAACCACACTGCAGATAACACCAAGACGCTAATAACGACACTTCCACAAAGCAGCAATATCAGGAAAAACTTGATCGAAGAAAACATTCTCCATAAACAATTTAAAATCATATATCCTCCGTATTCCAACATGGTAGATTCTTCACTCGAGCTGATCGATTCCTTATCATTGATTACATCCTTAGTTCCACCTCCAACGCCACCACCTCCCTCTCGATAACTACTCAGTACAGCTGCTGAATGAATACTTCGATCGGAAGGAGTGGTTTTTAAAAAGTGAGGATGAGAAGGTGCATTGATGGACGACCTTATTGGAACAAACAATGGAGGAGGTGGTTGATTGAGGTTGATAATTCCATTGGCTGGTATAGGTGCAGAGAAGGAGCTTCTTCTGGCTCGCGATGGTACCGTAGTGCTTGTTGTTGTGCTGGTGTTGTTATTATTGAGAGATGGAGAAAGAGAAGATGAAGAAGATCGTTGTGAGGATGAAGTACTGGAAGGAAAAAGACCCTGTGAGGATGGTACTCTCCGTGAGGATGAAAGCGGTGGTTGTAATTGTTGTGAGGATGATTCTTCGGGTTGGAATAATTGAACGGTGAGGCTCGGAAGCACTCGATTGTTTTTCGTTCCTATATTGTTGTTGTTGTGGTGGTGGTTGGGATTTGATGATGTTGTCATCTTTTGATGATCCGTTGTTAGCGACTCTGATGTAACTTTAAAGGTCAGATGATGATGTTGATGTTTGCATGAGAGGCTTTTGTACTAGATCTCTCGTGTGTTCTCAATGTTCAACAACGGCCTGGTGATGAAGATGATGATGATCGTTTTGTTTTGACTTTGACCTGTAATGACAATCATAATTAGCAACAGCAACGTTTTGGATTGCCATTTACACTTGCGGGAACATGAACAGAGATATCAAAATCTCTCTAACCGTGCTGATGATTTTTATAAACAGAACTGAGAGAAGATGAACTGTTGGAATTATTCAAATCACGATGATGATGGATTCATTGAGTGTGTTATTGGATGGTTAAACCTTCATTTTGGCTTTTGGGAATTTGTTGTGTAACGGTTTGTTTTTGGCGGCAACAGGTCCAACAACACAAAAAATAATTATGATCGATTGGGAAAATTGATTGATTCATCATCAGCATCGCAGTGTATCGTTAACAGTTGCATCATCAATTTTTGTTTATATTGGATCATCATTTGCCAATTTATAAAACCACTTCAGATTGGATCGGAGAGAAAGAGGTTTTAGATTGTGAAAATATATAGAATAACCTATTTTCAACAAATTAAACACAAACATACTAGTAGATCCGATCATCTTCATCTCAGTGATTTCTAATCATTGACAATGTATTTTAATAATCAATCTCCGACAAGAAACAGCAATTATTATGGAAAGAAGTATAACAATTCTCCCAGCCGATCGGCTACTCAAGGCGGATCGTATGGATCCTACTATTCACAACAAGCATCATCGTATCCTTATATGATGACTTATCAACAAGGATACTCATCAAATCCATATTCTGCAAGAACGACCTCATCAAATGGTATGGATTGGATTCAACTCAGTTCAGTTGAGACATCAGAAGACAACCGAGTGGTCGTGGCTGACAATTATGATGAATGCATTTGGACTGGATCATCTAATGGTAGAATCACTGGATATCATTACCCTTCAATGGACAAGTATTGCTCTTTTCGTGCTTTTGAGCCAAATTACGATATCAAACAAATGATTATTCAAAAAGAACGAATTTATTCACTCTCATCCAATGGATTTTCTGTTCATTCTAGAGGTGGCCTCCATAGATATAGTTATGACGATTCTGAACTTTTTGGAGATCAATTATTGACATTTACGTTTCACTCTGAATACACACCTGGTGGAAATTCACAGGGTAGTCGATCACAATACTCATTGATCATGGGAGGAAACTTTACAAAATTATTTAGCTTTGATCTAAATGCTCAAAAAATAGCTATGCAAGTGGAAACAAACCAAGGAATATGTGTCATGAAAACTGGAGGCAGATATGTTTGCTGTGGAGGAACATTGGGCGAGTTGTCATTACGAGATCCGAGAAGTTTGAAAAGCGAACACTCGTTTGAGGTTCATACTGGTACCATTAGTGACATTGCTATTAAGGATAATGTCTTGGTCACATGTGGATTCAATAACAGATATGGAGAATTGACTGTCGACAACATGGTCAAAGCATACGATTTAAGAACGTTGAGAATGTTAGGACAAGTACATTTTCCATTAGATCCTACGTTTTTAGGATTTCATCCGCGTGTCAGTTCCATGTTGCTCATAGTGTCACAAACAGGCTGTTTCCAATTTAAGGACTTACAAGCTGCCTTTAACCATCAATACCAAAACAGCGATAGTCAACTTTATCAAATAAGTCTCGATCAAAATGACAGCAATCCATCAAGTATACAATCATTTGACATTAGCTCTACAGGAAATATCATTACATTTGGAGATCAAAACGGATTACTACATTTCTGGTCAAGCCAAAGCGCCTTGGATACGTACAACCAAGAGGAATACAAACCTCTCAATGCTCATCGATTAATTGACGACGAAGAGATATCTAATGATGGTACTACACTTCTCTCTGATTGGCCCAACTATTCATACCTAGTGGGTCAACATCCCCTCGAAATTCACCCACAAATATTAGAAAATTTAGAATACAAGAAATCATCACTGCCTGCTAAAATGACCTATGGAATCAGTATTAATCCTGGATTAAAACGTGTCATTGATGGATATTTGGAGCGAAAGACTTTCAGAGATTTCATTGTTACCGAGGAGAGTGGGGAAAAAAAGAAAAAAAAGACTTCCAGAGTCCTGAAGGTTATTCCAAAAGAATTTTCTCTCAATGTCGTTAAGAACAACAATCGATTACGTTTTCAGGAATTTGATTTTTCCAAGTACAACGACACCAAATTTGTGGGACTGGAAAACGGATTGGAAATTGCTTCCATACTCAACGCCTATATTCAAGTGCTCTATCATATTGTTCCACAATTGAGAACATGTATCATGAACTTTCTCTCTGAAAAGCCCAATTGCATTTCGTCTGAGCTTGGTTTTCTCTTTACCATGATTGAGCAGGCAGAAAAAGCAGAAAAGAAAACTGTGGAAGCCACCAATTTTTGTCGATTGATACAAAATTTAGATTTATCCTTCTTGTGTGAAAAAAGTAACAAGCAAAAGTTGTCACCTGTGGATGCCATTCAGAAATTCAATTCATTTATGATGAAACAACTTCAGAAAGAAATGTCGGCTATAACATTTAGTTATTCCATGACATATCCATATATCTTTGCATCTCCAAACTACAACTTGAAAGGACCCAATAGCAAGAAGCAGGTTATTGCTACCAACAATAGCAATATTCAATTACTGAAGAAGCAAAATAAGAGAAGACAAAGAACCATGATTGACATTCTATTTGGGGCCGAGATTCAATCATACAAGTACATCGATACCTCTTTTGATAACAAATTGAAAAGCATTAATCCTCAATATCCATATGACACTTTTGAAGACATGCTCAAAGACTATTTGAACAATCCCTCAAATAATTTACTTACTCTTCCCAACATTTTCAATTTTACTGTACCAACAAGAGACGAAGATATTAGATGGTTAAGATCTCAACACAACAATAATGAACTCACCAATACGACCATTCCATTACACTTCACAATTATTCAAACTTCTGACAAGTCGCAATGGGAGCCCTTTATCTTTAATGACGAAAAACAAAAGCAACAACAAGAATTGTATCACAACATTCAACCAGCTGAATACTATCTGAAACAGAAAAGACGACCCCCAATGTCAATTACCTATAATTTAACAGCTGTCATTATTCAAGTAAGACATCCATTTCAAGAAAAGGCTGTTAACACTAAATCTCAAGCATCCACAAAGGCCACTGATGACAATGGAAAAGATGTGTATGACACCATTGAAAATGCATGTGAAAATGGTGCTGAACTCTCTGATGAAGATGAAACTGAAGATGAGAACGACAATTTATCCAAGAACTTTGATGGTCATTGTGTAGCCTTGATCAAAATTGCAAATGAGTGGATTTTGTTTAACGATTTTTCTATAAGTACGCAAAAAGAAAAAGACGTCACCATTTACAGCCAAACTTGGAAAACTCCAGCTCTGTTGTTCTATGTTCGACAGGATATTCAAAACGTCCTTCCTACTGTGCTGTATTCCAATCCAATTACTTCAAATTTAGAATTATTTAACTCTCCAGAGTTTAAGAGTGTTGTCAATTTTAATGGTGACATTGTGTCCATCGATGCTGAATTTGTATTATCCAAGAAAGAACATCAAATTGATGACGGGCAGAGATTTGCATTAGGCAGAGTGAGTGTAATCTCTATGGATGAACAAGTTATTTTTGATGACTATATTGCTACATCGGAAAAATATATTGAAGACTACATGACTCGATTCTCTGGACTAAAACCTGGAGATTTGGATATTCACAATACCTCAAATTTACACCACGTCACTGAGCTCAAATACACATATCTCAAACTAAGATATCTTCTAGATGTGAAGAAGGTGAAATTTATTGGACATGGCTTACCGAATGATTTCAAAATTATTAATATTTTTGTTCCAAAAGAGCAAATTATTGATACTGTAGAATTATTTAGACTACCCAATCAACGAAAAATATCTCTACGGTTCCTATGTAAATATTTATTGAACCAAGACATCCAACAAGACACACATGACAGCGTTGAAGATGCTAGAACTGCTCTCCGTCTCTATAAGAAATATATAGAGCTTAAGGAAAAACATTCCTTTACTTCCACTCTTCAAGATATTTATAACATTGGACGCCAAACCAATTGGCAATAACGAATTGTATGTGTGACCACAGCATGTGTTGCCTTTATAAATTTTAAAAAAAAACAAATAAAAGTAAAAAACTTCAAGAAAACGAAATTGAGGACGGAATTTATGGTTAGTACTGGTAAGGAGGGTTTAAAATGGCTGCCTCAGAAATGTCATCAAAGTTAACTGGAAAGTTCTTAAAATTACGTCCTGTCACAGGATGAATGTTGATAGAGTGCTTGTTTACGCATTTAAAGTGTACATAGGATAAATCAGGCAAAACCACAAACACAGAGCAAGCGTCAATGCTTTTTCCACAGCTTGCGCACTTGTTGCCTTGTTCCTCTCCAATTAATACCCTTCTTGCATTTCCCTTTGCTAATTCTACCTTGGTCTGTACATGCCTGATTTTGCTCATATTATAGATCACTTGTACATTTCTTGCTACATCAAGAGACGATTGCATTGCTTGGCGAAGGAAATCTGCCACTTTGCTCACTAGTAGATCTGTAGGTAAAATTTCTAAAGCTTTCATGGGGTCAATACTTTTTGCATGAGTCGTAAGGATATGAATTGCAAAACTTTCATTCTTTGGAAAGCCACTGTCAGGATACCAACAAATATTAAGCAACGTCAGCAGTAATGGATTGTAAATTTGTAAACTAATGTCTTTTTTGAGCATATTTTTCTTGTCATCCTTATCGTTATGGATATTGTCGGCCGCTATTCCAGCTGCTTGTAAATGCCTCTGACGAATGACCTCTTTCAATTCTGCTTCTTCTTTGAGATGCATCTCTTCGAGCATTTGCAAGTAACAATCGACACAGTACCGTTCTGCCCATTCAAGATCTTGAATTTTGTGAACAAGCAATTTGAGAGCAGCATTATGGTTTTGAACCTTTCTGTACAGTATAAGAGTCTCCTCATAGAGATTTGTTTTTTGTAGCTTGCTCAGTACTCTATACTTGTTAAAGAAATTTGTGTGCTTGAGCAAATGAATAAGTCTAGCTCTAATTTGTCCTAATAATCCTGTTTCTTTTCCTGCTTCCAACCTCACTCCAAACGGTAAATATTTGGCTGGTTTTAAAACAATTATTGCATCAATATAATTCAAAATAAGAGCAGTATGGAATTTTTCTTCACAATTCCTTTCAATGACAATGACATATTCAAGATAACTTCTTTCTAAATCTTTGGGATACTGTGCTAAAAACGACAACACACGGTGTGGATTAATCTTTTTCTTTCGCATTCTAGAAGTGAAAATCTTACAACGGATGTTATCTTGCAATATTGCACTTTAAAGGCTGAGCACCTACCTGTATTGCTGAACTTTCATCAGCCTCAAAAACCCATGCTGCATATTCCATAACAAGGTCCTCGTCTTCATTTTCTGAAAGAAGCTCAATGGACTCCTCAACGCCATTAGTAACTGTTGTGGTTTCCATGCGTGTTCCTTCTCCAAGCCTGAAGGAGTAGTGTTCACATGAAATAAAAAGGAAATTATAACTTACTCTTTTAAAATTTGCAAAGCTTTTCGGTACTCGTTCTTGGAATAGTACAAGAACGCGAGATATCTTGCATTGTGTTTAAAAAGAATCTCTCCATTTTCGAGTCTTAAATGATTTTCAGAGCGGAGTAATGTCTTCAATTGGCCATACTTTTTAAATTCATTCAAATACAAGTTTGCCAGAGCATAGTCGATGGCTGCCAATTGATCCAGACCGAACTCGTCCACTCTCATTTTTCTGCATTTTTCCAAAAATTCTTGCAATGCTTTTTTAGCATTCTTAATTCTAACATCAATCTTTAAGGGTGTTGTCTCCTCTCCCTCTTGCTCCATAGCATTTTTAACTATTGAGGAAAATTGTGTGATGTAAATGAGAACAAAATTGTACTTACTCTTGTCTCTCAAGTCGCCTCTTGCTTTTTGAGGAACAAAGTTGGTTTGAGGCTCTATCAAATCCTTGAAATAAAATAAAATCTCTCTTGGATCTATTCTACTCTTGTTAAAATGAGCAAAGGCTTCCTTAAATCTTGTTCTAAAAAAACATGCAAATCCTGCTTGCTGCTCATACATAAACAGCTTTCTCTCCTTTTCTTTTTTAGTGCCCTGGAAGGTCTTTTCAAATAATCCAAAAGCTTCCAGCAACCGCATCTTATCAATGAGATCTGTAATATGCTGATCAATTGGTTTTGGAGTCAAAAGTGACACCGTTTTCTTATTGGAAATAAACACTTTCTGCATATGATCGGAAGAGATGGTGGCCTTGTCATTTACAATGGTCTCATCAAACTTCTTTTCGTACATGTTGTACACTTCAATGCTTCCTTTGGAGATACCAAGTAGAAAGGGGAAACAAATGCTGACTACTGTTGGGGTTTCTTTCCACTGTATTCCAGAAGTAGTTCCAATAATCTTGACAAAGCATCCATACATGCTATACTCATCGGAAATAATGTTTGTTAATTGCAACTTTTGCAAATCTTCATCTATCTCTCCAGTTTGATAATTCATCATGATATGTCTATTCTTGAACCCTAAACATATGGTCTTCTTCATCCATTCAATTCCTATTACATTGTCGTTGCCAGGTACCTTAATTTCTCTAACTAGCTCCATTTGCTCTCTATAGTCATAGACAATCAATTTCCTTTTAACAACTGCTACCAATTCATGAGAGTAGTTTTTGTTGATGGCATAGCTTTGGGTTCCTTTCGTAGCTTCCAAAGTCTTGGTTCAATAAATGCATGAAAATGATCATGTACTCCAATCAATGATCCAATAACCTACCTCTAAGTGAAGTAGTGTTGTCATGTCATACACACAAACAGTGTTATCCACAAGTGCAAAGAGTTTTTTGTGTGGAGGGTCTACTTGAAGACTGGTAATTGCTTTCTTTGTGGTAACAAGCTTCTTTTTAAAGAGAGCGACTGAATATTTAATTCCGGTCGTGTCCATTTGCTCATTAATCGTAAACATGTATAAACGACCATCGTGCCCTCCAATCCACAGATATTTGTCTTACATATTCCAAGTATGTTTGTTGATCCGATGCGTAGTGTAATTTGTATTAATACATTGAACAAAGTCCTCGTCATGAGTCTAACTTCTACTCTCATTTACATACCCGCACTCACCATGGAGGCAACCTTTGTTTCATAGGATCCGAAATCCTCAATCAGTATTGCCTTTTCCATCTCACCTTAAATCGGTTGTTATTTTTGATGAATTTTTTTTGTCTAGCCTTGATTGCATCGTTCTCTGTTTATAATACGGCTCAAGTGATTTCGTCTTTTGTTGTATTATTTAATTTGGAAATGGATTCAAATTGAAATCATTCATTGGGATGTGTTACAATGCAACATTTATTATGAATACATACCATGTTAAAGAATGAATAAATAAATGAGCAATGTCATGAGGAAAGCGAGACCAAACTGGAATCCTTTGAAAAGTTGTCCCATTCTTGTCGTTCTCACTACCATACCAATAGGTTTTCCACCATCGATAAGTTTAAGAATGGTATGCTTCTTAATTTCTTTTTGTGTGGATGGTGATGGAGTAGTTGCTGTTGTTGAGTTTGCTGGTGTGCCCACATCTGTCGATGCAGAAGACTCACTTGGTACAGATATCTTATCAACATAACAATACTTGTACCTCCATGTGTAGGTGTGAAGAGCTCTGGAAATGTCATCTGAAGTCTTGATGTCATGCAAGTAAATGTAAAAAGGATCTTTGAGTTGAAGGAATGAATAAGGATGAACCATGATTTTCAGGACGGCTTGAATAGAGACGCCATCAAATTTATCCAAATCGGTCACTTCTTTTTTAACTTTAGTCCATCCAGCAAGTTGCTTTTCAAAATTCTTTTCATCAATTTCGAAAAACTTGATACAATCCTTGTTGTGCTGTATTGATAAACCTGTTGCCACAAGTTCTTTTAATTCCTATTCAATGTTGTGATTTGAATTTTATGAATAACCATTTCATGTTCCACCAATCCCATCGTATTCCCCGAAATGAGTACAATTATTCCAACAAGAAAACAAACCTCAATATTCTTTGGTTTTTCTGCAAAAGGAATTGTTAATCCTCCAAAATGAAGTAAAAACTTGGCTTCAAATTCCTCCTCATCTTCCGATGGTTCGTTTTTCTTGGTTGCTGCAGCTTTACATTTCGTGTTGCAGTGATACGATCGGCCCTGCAAGTTGTTGCTATTGATATTGATTAACCCGACGTTATTATTGCAACTTGTTCTTTCAGCACAATATAAATCTCTCAAGTTTCCATTCCGAACCTTCAAAATAGCAGAGGAGAAGGCGAATGTTGGGCACAATGATGATGATAGAGTTTTGTTGAGCCCGTGAGAGGACAAAATCAAGCGTTTCATTTTTTGAACGAATAGAAAAAATGAGAAAACATCGATTCTTGCGGCATACCTCCTCAGAAACCAATCCACCCAAAGATGATCATTCATCTTCTCCTAATACTCATCAAGTAAACTCTACGACCCATGATAACGCCTCTCATGGCTCCGACAAGAGTAATAATGAACACTCCGCGAAAGAAAATACAAATCATCACCGCAGTAATGAAGCACCGACATTACTTTTTGATGAGAATTGGTTTAACAACTGGGAAAAGCATAAATTACAAGCGTAAGTTGTAAATGGCAAAGAAATTATTTTGAGCGAAATGATTCCCAATATTCACATCAAGTAGTGAAAAATACCTCTCCGAAATATTACTTTATCAAGACGCAAATTTTCCTAAACATTCATTGATATCTCAATTCTTTTTTGTTTTACTCAATCAAAAACAAAAATTAGAGGAAAGCCAAATAGTGAATTTTGTAAACACTGCAGTATCCAATCATTCTAAAGAGCGTTACACACTAGTAATTCCGATGGTTTTGGCCTTTGAATTGCAGTGGAACAGAATCAACGAAGAGGATGAAGAACAATATACATATCTTGCTAATATCCTAACCACCTTGTTGGAGAAAGAAATTCTATCGAGTGATATTTTAAAACAGTTAATGAATTTTTCGGCATTAAAAAGATGTGGATTAGAAATCAAGAACATGTATATTAAAAGTAGAACGAGAGAGCTTTACACCCAAGATAGATTTAACTTGCTTCATGAGGAAAATGAAGGCTTCTCTAAACTTATTTCAATCATTATCGACAACGAAAATATGGAAATTTCTAAAATTGATCGTATAACAAAAGAAATCGTGGAATTGATTGGATTTTTCAACTTAGAACCGAATCGATGCCTTGATATTTTACTAGACGCGTACGAACATAACACTGAGAATGAGTGCTATTCATCTATAATTTCACATCTATTCAATTCTCAACATTTAAGACATGCTATAGGATTCAAGTTACTTGGCTATCATTCAAGCAAATCTACTCCAAAATCACTTTTTACAATGATTGTTAAGCTCATGAGAAAGAAATTACTTAAATTTGAAGACATTTTAGATTATCTAGGACCAAATTCGTTTGATGATTTGACGTTCAAGCACTTGGACTATGAAGGAGAAAGAAAAAAAGAATCAAGAGAATACTCTGTCGTTTCACTTGATGGAAGTAGTACAGAGAAGTCAGAACCAAGATTCGAAAAGTCATCTCCAGAGTTTCAAAAGGATCAAAAATTTGGCTTTCTAATAGAATTATTGAATTTAGATCTTATTTCAGAGGCAATAACACTATTGGACATCTTATCCAAGTTTGATCCTCATTGGAACTATGACATTGCTTTTGCATGTTGTTCTTCGATAGAAAAGCTAATTAACCCAATATATATTAAGCGATCTAGAACCATCAATAGCACATCTAATAATTTACCTCCTCTGACTCGAGAAGAGATTCAAACGCTTGAAGATCTTGTCTTTCCATTGATTTATCACACGAAATACGAACTTTATCGAGATGTAAAAATACTTACAAAGATAATACGGGTATTGAAAATGTATTTGGTTGCACCAGCTCAGATCAATCACAATACTTTAATGGGAGTACTCACCTCCGTACTTTCTTCTCTTTGCTTTTTAGGTATGAACACTGTTGTAGTTTCAGAATTTTGGGATGTATTCAGAAATCTTCCGTTTACGACTAGATATCAGGTTTATGGTCTGCTAAGACAAGTTGGTTATGAACGCCAACCCAAACTGATGGCTCAACAGAACTTGGTTTCCAAGAACGTTAGACTTATTTTCAACAGAATCTCGTTTGCCAACATCAAAACAAAGGCAAGAGAAATTCTCCAATATTCCCTTACAAACCCAATAGTAGTGTGTGACGAATTCATTAGAAAATGTGAAAACTACGATAATTTAATCCCTCTTTGTGTTGATTCTGCACAGTATACTCCAGAGATTTTCCACGATACAATGATTTACTGTATATTGGACCGATTTCTATCGAACGAGAGAAGCGCAATTAAGGATGATGGCATCTCCATTGCTACGTGGCTGTCTAATTTGGCAACTTTATGTGGACTGTTCTTTAGAACATATCCATTTACTGATATTACTCCAATGTTGAACTATTTAACACAACGGCTCAAGGAAGGACAGTGGGAATATCTAATTATTCTTACCGAAATTATCAAACAGACGTCGGGATTGGAATACTCGGAAGAAATTTCTGAAAGTCAGTTGGATGCTTTGGCAGGTGGCAAGTTGATATTGACTTTGGCAGGAGGTTTCTCACCCATGGTAAAAGGTAGTGCTGTTGAATCAGTTGCCAAACTTAAAGATACTCTTCTGAAAACAGGAAAGGGCGTCTCTCTTTTACTTTTACTTTCCAAGCTTAGCAATTATGGAATATTTCTTCATGACGATCTCCAAGAATGGAAGCATATTGCCGACTCAAAAGACGTTTCTCATGCAACTTATTTACTTCTCCTAAAATTCTTGCTGAGCGAAGCCAAATTTGTATTTGAAGAGGATGTTACAGGAAGCGAAAATTACTGCATCTTACCTCTACCAAGTATTGAAACTTTACAGAAAGGATACAAACTTAGCCCATCGTTTGTTTTCTCGATTGTAAGATTAACAATGTCATCCATACCTTCCAACGATATCGAGCCCTTCCTTCCCAACGAGATTTGGACACATTTCTCACCTGAATTCTATCAATTTTTCTGGATGAAAGAATTATCTGACATCTTTGTTCCAAGTGCCTTATACAGAGATGTCGTTGCAGAAAATCCTCATTATAGGAATGCTCTTCAAAAAGAAAAAGACGAGCAGCAGCAAAAGTATGACTCGACTCTTAAGATCATGAAAGACTCCTGTCAGCACTTTTTTATCGGTAACGGAGAATTTGTAGATATGGGTATTTTGCTTCAACACTGCTTCCTGCCACGTGCTTTATTCTCTGCTGCTGATTCTTTGTATTGTGCTAAATTGGTTCACGTCTTGCACAGCATTGAAGCTCCAAAATTTTCTTTGAACCTATTCCTTCAAATGTTAATGAGTATGGCACCCGGAATCTTGTTGGCATGTACAGAATTTGAAGCAAGAAGACTTGGTAGATTCACTCAATATCTTCTCTCGTTGAGCAATAGATGGTGTGAAAGCATTAGCGAGTTCAACAAGGATATCAAAAACAAACCTGGGTCATTTGTAGCTATTGAGGGACTTCCTCAACTCGCGTCTCTTAACGATAATGATGAAAGCCCTTTTATCAAACTGGACCATGACGCCTATCAACGTTTCCATTTCTTACTCATGGAAAACTTATTGAATAACTGTGTGACTTTACTCAGAAGTGGTGACCATGTTAAAATCAGAATTGTTCTATTGTTCTTGACTCCGTTAGCAAAATTGAACGTTTTCCCATACTATAAGCGTCATTGTGACTCTCTCATTGAAATCACTGACCTCTTCAGGGATCACCGAGTTGAAAATATCAAGGTACTTGCGAACACATACACCCCTCTTGTCAGAAACATTAGAAAGAAGAGTCAAGATCCAAGTTTTGTGAATTCTTTATTGAGAAGCACAGTCAAACCTACCAATATCAACATTCCTCGATCAAAGAAGGATCTCTCAAACATTACCCCATTGTTAGAAACACCTAATACTGCTGTTTCTGAAGAACCACTCTCATCCATAACTCCTCCTACAGTAGCTGTTGTAGAAGATGCTATGGTTGGTGAATTTTCTGATTCCACAAGTAATAACACTGCCTCTCCACCTTCTCTGACGACTCCTTCGCTTGAAGAAAAACAGGGTGAAGAGGAATCCCTCAAAGAACAACGAACGGAAGTCAAACAAGAAGAAGAAGAAGAAGACGAAATGCAAGTGGATGAGGAACGAGTTAGTGGCACAACGGTGGCCACAACTCCTTCAGAGATGCAAGCTGGTGTTGAAACATCTGAACCCAAAACAGAACCTGTGGTGGAAGAAAAGGCAATGGAAACTCCTCCGAGTGTTGCTGCTGAAACTGTGGAAGAAGTGAGCTCAACAGTTGCTGAATCGGTAAAGACTGAAATTAATCAGGTCAGTGCTGATGCTGGTGGTGAGGTCAAGTCGACCTCAGAAGAATTAACGGTTGTCACCACAACGACTCCAAGTACCATTGCAGAATTTGTTCAAGTGACAGCTGAAATTTCTAGTAAGGGATCAACCATTGCTGAGAGTCCAACCACGATGAATAGCAAATTGCAAATCAAATTGCAAAACCTTAGTAAGAGCACACCAAGTTTGAGCAAACAAGATAAGGTTTCAGAATATTCAAAAGAGGTTGTGAGTTTACTTATCCTTCCAAAGCAAAATCCTTTAAAGTTTTACAACGAGCTGAAACAAAGACTTGCTAAGGAAGGTAGCAGGGTTGCTGATGAGAGCAAGTCCGGAGCAAAGAGCGAAAGCAAAGCATCTTCGAGTCGATCAGACACGTCACCTTCCTCATCGAAAGACTCGCAATCATCGAGACGAATTGATTCCGAGTCCAATAGAAAATACTCTGCATCGCCATCTTCTCAACACGAAAGAAGGCTTACCACAACTCCATCATCTAAGGACGCTAAGAAGGAAAGCGATCAAACACACGGCAAATCAGAAAGCTCAGACACTAGAAGAACATCCAGCAGTAGATCATCAGATAGTGGAAGCAGAAGTGGTCAACTAAGCCCGTATGACAGTCGTGACTCGTACAGAAGTGAGAGTAGAAGTTATAGTGATAGCTACAGCAGCAGAAGTGAGAGTAGATATGAAAGCAGCAGATATAGCAGCAGTAGCGACAGTGGAAGAAGAACTTCTTCCTCTTCTTCTTCTGTAACTCAAAGCAGTAGCAGCGACAACAGAAGGACCAGCAGTGGTGACAGCAGAAGCGACTCCAAGCGGTCTGGAAATGCATCATCGGCTTCGTCCGACAAAAACGATCTAAAACGAGCGTCCAATGAAAGAGAAAGCAAATCCGAGCATGAAACAGACTCCAAAAAGAAGCGTTTCAATAGATAATAAACCTAAGGACTTAATCCCGTTGTTGCTTGTATTGTAATGTTAAATTATAATTAGTGGAGCTTCTTGTAGGCTTCACGGATTTTAGTTCCATCTTTTTCTCCATTAAAAGTCGTGTTCATTATTGGGAAATTGCTTCCGTTCTTTGCTTGTCTATTCATCTGTTTTTGATAGAATTAATAAGAAAAATTCGTTTGTTGTTTGGAGATAAATCATTTCATATCCGCAACACGGTTACATTGTAATCATTAATAATATTTAGCAAGTCCATAAGTGTCGGTATTAAATTCGTTTCATATTTGAAATAGTAGTTCCGAAAAGGTAATTGTTGTTAACATTTGAATCTCCACACAATTTTAAATTACATACAGCATCTTGTTTGAGTTTAGTCAAGAACCAGTATGGAAGAACGCCCACGAAAAAGATGCAATAAAATGTATTCTTTGGTGTAAACTTGAAATTTCTGTGCAAGTTATCACGATAATTAGCAAAAGCTTCAATCTTGGGGTCTGGATGAACTCCGGATTCTCTTGGTCTGTCCCACATCGTTCTAATTCATTCATTATTATTTTGTTATATTTAATTGATGTATTTGTAATTAATTGGTAATAATATGATGATGTTTTATAATATCGGTATTATTGATGATCATCATTTGATATATAAAAACGAAAACGCCTGTCAAAACGTACGTAAAATTTTTTTTTTGAATTTCCTTCTTGTTGAAAGCCACCCGAAGTATTTTGATAAAGACACAGCCAGTACAGCCAACCAACACAATTATTGAATTTTATAGACACACTCTTTTAGGTTAGATAGATCACTCAACTCTGGACAATTCCATTGCAAATTTTCAACTGAAGTCTGTGTCTCTTGATAAGACATTTGGAAAGCAGAACTTGAGATTTTTGACACAAGCCAAAATCGTTTCATTTGCTGACAAATGAATGCAAACTCTTCTCGACTCTCCTTTTCATACTTGGACTCTTTCATAAACTCATAAATCAGCTCAAAATATTTCTGTTCAATTCTTGAATGTTTCAAAATTTGTTTTACACATTTTTCATCGATGGATTGTTGACTTTCTTTCATGTGTCTTTCAAAATGTTTTTTAAACATGGATGATATATAAATATATTCTGTCTTGTTGGCAATGAGAAAGGTCCTATCAAAAGCCTCTAATAATTTGTGATCAGAATTTGACTTCTTTCCACTGCATGTTAGCATATAATACAAACAATCGAGTTCTAATCGATTGAACAGTTCAATCGTTGTTTTGGTTGTTGATGTGAAAAAGTTCACAATTCTCTGTAGAGACTCTCCAATGCTGTCTTTTGATCCCAAAGGTACACTATCATAGGAAAGATCTGTTTTTGAACTCTGAAAAAGTTGTGTCAAATAATCATGAAAATATTTGTCAACATCTGTTTTTGGAATGGCATCGAAACTCCTTCTAAAGATAATTCTTCGATCATAGAGTCGTAATCGTTTCAATTGTTCTTGTATGCTATTCTCTTGTTGATAATTAATTCCACATGCCTTAAGCAGCTCCACTATAAAATGTTGACACGAGCAAAAGAACATGGAATAGGTTTTTTCTCTATTCCATTTGGTGGACAAGTCAGCCACAATATCAATAATTCTGTTGATTTCTTTGGCATCACTTGTTTTGTAACACGTATATTGAAATACAATCTTGTCTGAAAGGAGATTATTCATGTGCGTTGCAACCACTAGACTTCCGTCACACCATTCAATTTTCGTGCTTCCAATGACGAGTGATAAGTGATAATGTCCAAACTTGCTGCTATAGAAAATTGATGAAATTCTTCGAAATGTAGCATCTGTAGTATCGTTTTCGGAGATTTTTGTGACCAGAATTTTCATCTTCAATACATGGTTGTTGTGTTGAGCTTTTCGTGTCATGCTTGTGAACAATCGATGAAATTTGAAGCGATGTGGAAAGTAATGATTGCACGTTTCAAAGTTAATGAAATTATTGTTTTCCATTAATTTCTTACATCGGCGAGCTTCCTTTTCTTTTCCTCTCAATTTGAAATAGTTCATATTCGATTGCCATCGTTTGAGAACCTTGTTTCGTAATTGGAGAAAATCTTTTCTCGATTCCAATAATAATTGGGCCATTGGGGACGAAGAAGAAGATTCAATTTGAGAGTTGGAAATGGAGAGTTTGGTTGGCATGGACACATACGAATGAATGATGGGAAGAATGGTCTCCATTTCATCATGGCTTAATTTCTCCATCCATCCAAACAAACTATATGCTTTTCGGAGATATTCCTTGTAGAGATCATCATCATGTTCGTGTGGTTCTTGTTGTTGTTGCTGTTGTTGTGGACCGAGAATTTTCTCAACCACCTCCAAGATGGGATCCGACGGAAGAGTCGAGAGTGATTCCTTTGGATGGTTCAATAATAAGGTGGAATTCGATACGACAATAGTCGTACTCAAAGTAGTCGTGGCGAGATTTTGAGGCTCTTCTTCTTCGGTGGTGCTTTTCATGGTCTCGGTCCTTGTTGTTGATGAATGGTTGTGTGCATCCACTTGAGTTGCAACATGGTTGGTGATTGTTGATGTGGTAGTTGTGGTTGTAGTAGTTGTGGTTGGTCGAGTCGAGTAGGAATTCTCCTCATGTTGGATTAATTCAGCGGGTTGCTTTGATGCTGCTGCTGTATAATCCTGAGGTGCCATCATGAGGACCAATTGTTGTTGTAATTCTTCCTCCGTCATCATGTATGAAAATTCTCCAGAAACTCGTTGTGGAGTTCGGGGCATGATGAGTTCCCTCAATGCATTCAGTAAATGCTCATCCAGATATGAAGTTGGTTCCAAATGGGAATGATCATTCATTATTGCTCCATATTCCATGGAAGTGTTGTTGTTGTTTTCAATAGCATCTAGGTTCATGAGAATAGTTGTTGATTCTTCATTATTTTTGTGAATCGAATGAGAATTCGTCGTGTCATGCATGTCATCATGATTAGATGGCATTTGAGAGTAGGTCCATAATGAGTGTGTGTCTTCATCATTGGTAGGATGATTTTGGATGGAAGGATGAAGGTTGTTTGGATGTTCGGAAAAGTCCAACGTGCCATGAACGAGAAATTCATTAAATTTCACACCATCCACACCCAATTCTCGAATTTTTGAAATCAATTCTAAAAACACTTCATCTACACTTCTTTCGAGAGCAAATTTAAATGTATAAAACACTAGAAAACAAACTTCAGGAGTTGAAATGTTGAGTAAATTATTTCGTTCTCGAATTTCTGACATTTTGACCATTGCTCGAATTTCCATCAAGACACTGATGAGAATTTTCTCCAAATTGAATTTTGAAATGTTTTCAATCAAATCTTGTCGTTGAAGATCGGTAATATCGACCTGAAGTAATTGATGGTCAATGAATGGAAGCCACTTTTTACCATGCAACTCCATCATTCCTCTTGTTTGTTCGATTGCTATACATGCATCTTCTTTTGATATGCCATATTTCATCAAGGCATCATCCGATTCCAGTTGTGAAATAATATTTTGAATATAGATTTCATAATTTTCAAAATTGTTCAGTGATGTGACAATTGTAGAATTGCCGCTTGAGAGATGAGAGTTGTTGTTGTGATTGTTTTGACGATTTACAGTTTCCGTCGGGATGTTGTTGTTGTTAGTGTTCAATGAAGAGGTTTGTTGGTTTGGCTCCGATGCTTCCTCTTCCTGTAACACGTCTCGAGAACCACGTGAGATTCCTCTCGAATTGAAATGTTTGTTTCCCATGAGATCGTGGTGATTCGATAGCTCTCAATTTCTTAGAAGGATCGTAATAACATTGGCTGGCTGCAAAAAAAGCGTTGATTTTTTTTGAAATGTGACACTTTATTGTGAGATTGTTTGCGTAAACAATTATCGTCGGCAATTTAAGGCATTTGTTTCCAATTTGTATTTTCGCAAGTGAGAATTCACAGATTATGAAATTAATTTCATAACTTTCAGAGGCTTCCCTCTTTTACAATGACTCTGCTGTGTGGAATGAGCAAAATATTTATCCATTAAGGCTGATATGATAGGTGAACACTTCCGATAAAACTTGCATTTAAACTGATTTCTTTTCCGAAAGAAACTCTACTGGAATTCTCTTCAACGTTTCTAATTGTCAATCATTAAGTTTGAGTATCCTTCTTGGGTTGCTCAATAATTACTGGTGTAAAAGAAGGAGGAGTAAATGCTTTTGCGTTGGCATTCAACTTGAATGAGAGAATACTGTCAGGTATCTTTTGATTCTTCGCAGCTTGACTATGTGAATAGAATGATGATGAAATTGCAGGTTGTTGCAAAGCCTGATTTCCCGAGTAATTCTGTTGAGAGTATCTCTTGGGAGTTGGTGAAACCACTCTTGGAGGATGGGTACTGTGCTCCTTTTGCTTTTGTTGAGAGCCGCTGCCACTTGATTCCGAATTCATTGGCTTGTTATGAGGAGCCTTATTCTGTTTGTTCTTTTGAGCGGGTGGCTGGTTCGTTCTGGTACCAACTTCGGAGATTGGAACTTCCTTATTGTTCTTATCAGAGCTAGGGACAACAGAGGATGCAGAATCTGCGTTGTTGTTGTTGCTACTCACTTTTACATAGAGAACACGTCCCTTTCTTGCATTGGACTTGGGTTGTGGAGAAGTTTTGCTCGCAGCAGCGTCTTCTTTGGAAGGCTTTTCGCCGTAAGAGTCTTGTGTTGTTGGTTTCTTTTTCTTCTTTTTCTTCTTTTTTGTGCCCGAGGATGGAGCGTTGTTAGTATTTTCTGGTTCCACTTCTACATACTGAATGTCATCTTCATCATCGTCCTCATGAGGAATTGAGGTTTCAGTTGCCTTCTTGGGGGTTTTGTTGCTTGGGCGAGTATGAGCCGTTGATGGCTTCTTGTTGGAACGAGAGGATGAGGATGGATGCTTTTGTTTGGAAATGTTGTTGTTCTTTTGATGATTAGCATCTTCATTCACATCCTCATCAGGATCAAAACTTTGGTCACTCGCGTATTCCACATCGTTGGAATTTTCATAATCATCAGTGCTGAGAATGTTTTTTCTTCTTTCCATGTTTCACGTTAAAATTGACTGGGAGAAAATTAATAATTAAATATTGTGTGCAATAACAAGAATTGATGGCTGGAATGGGAAGCAATTCAATAGGTGCATGCAATGATGATTATCCATGGATCGGACAGAGATAGCCGTTACAATAATTTTTTAACGCAAACCAAACACCTCTAAGTGCCTGGCGGTAAGCTACTCTGTCTAGAATAATGAATAAAATAAAATGAATTAACAAATATCAACAAGCATTAGTAGTGTAACGGTATCATACCAGCCTTCCAAGCTGGTGACCCGGGTTCGACTCCCGGCTAATGCAAAATATTTTTATTTCTGTACTTCAAGCCAAAACACAAGTTTGCTTATTTACTTTCCTCCTTGCGTTTTGTGTCTTCTCCATTTCATTCCAATCTTCCACAAACGAAAATAGTAATGATGGAAAATTGGAGTCCATCATGGCCAAATTGTTTTTGGACATCATATCACTTCCCAAGCTTAATTTCTCATCAATATTAGCAATCACTAATTCTCTCAATTTTGGTGCTTTCAGTTGACTCAATGATTCAATGCTCAACTGTTTCACGTTCACAATATTGAAAATAATTAAATGTAAAAATTCAAAACTCTCAATATTCAACAAGAGTTTCAATCCCCTATTCACAACAAACCGACTCAAGAGAGGAAAAGAGTTCAACCTCAATTCAATTTTTGAAACATCTGTCAACATTAACGCTCTCAAGTTCGAAAACACAATACTCTGTGAGGGTTGGAAAATATGCAATTTGGAAATATTCAAATCAGACGATTTTGCAATTAGTGACCAATCAAACTTCTCAACGGCTTGCAATACTGATGCTTTCGTGTCATCCCAATACTTGAGATGCGAAACATTCAATCTTTTGACCATACATGAATCCAATTTAAAACTGGCGCTTCCAATAGAAATATTCAAATTGTCCAAATCATATTGTGGAGCCACAATTTCTGTTTTAATAAGATAATCTTCATGATCATTGTAAAATTCTCGAGTTGTTTCTTCAACTTGTGAAATTGGTTGTGAGAGGAATGGAATAATCTTATTGTTGAGTTCGTCCAAAGTGAAGTTTGAAAATACTTTTGAAATTGCTTTTTCGTACGAATCACTTTTGTTGGTCACCAATAATTGAATACTTTCCAAATTGGCACTCCAAGTCGATAAATAATTACGTAAATGTTGTCGATTTTGGTTATTCTGACAATAAAGCTTTAAATTCTTCACCTGTTGAACTTGGAGTAGATTTGTCATGGTATCGTTCAATGTATGAATTGTGTTGATGTTGAGAGAGAAATTTTGTCCTGCAACATGATATTGCATACCTCTCAATACAACAGTTTCACATTCATCTACTTGGACTTGTAAAAAGGATTCAATAGAGTCCAAGCTTAAATAGCTTAATTTAGAATTTGAAAGTTGAATGGATACGTGGGATGTTTTGGAAATTGAAATCTTTTTCAATGCTCTACAATTTTCAATGGAAATCCAATTCATTCCATTCACCATGACACTCTTCAAGTGTTTGTGAGATTGAAAGGAATATCGATTAATATTCTGATCAATACTAAAAGAGTAATACTTTTGATAGGTCGCAAAGAATGTTGAAAGATTGGGCAAAGAGGTCCAATAATCACTTTCCATGCAATGAACGTTTGTAAAATGCAACTTGTTCAAGCAAGGAATATAACAAGTATTGTTGTGTTGCGCTGTGACATTATTGATGCTGCTGTCGACGGTTAGAATGCAATGACTCGTTGTAAAAGATTTCAATTTGGGAGCTTTGAAGTTTTTCACATTCAAGATGGGTATGAACTGTTCGGTTGCAAATCGAAGGGAAATTTCTTCTAAATGGTTCCATGTTCCAGATAATTCAATTGTATTTTTCATTTCTGAGTTCGATGAAAGAGAAGGAAACGAAATGCTCAATGATTGCAAATATTCAAATTTTGTGAAAATTTCTTGAAATACATTCGAACTTGTCAAATGGAGTCGATTCGTTTCAGAGATTTTCAATACTGTCATTTTGTCATGGAGTGGTAACAAGTTTTTTGCTTGCTCGATAGAGATGAGTGATAGAATTTCAATATTTTTCATGTGTTGTGAATGACATACATGTTCCACTAGTAATTGAATCATTTCTTGTTTTTTTGTGACACAAAATATTGAAATATTTTCCAATGAAAGATCTTGCATCATTTGCGACACTAATTTCAAAGTATCAAAATCGCACACTCTGATTTTCTTTAAATTTCTAAAAATCTTTACCAACCATATCGAATCCTGTCGAGTACGAGTTCCAATATTTTCCAATAATAAATGTCGATAAATAGTTCGATCGTATTTCACTGAAAGAGTTAATTCCTCAACATTTGGAAATAAATTCAATACTTTCTCCAGGAACGAGTGACTTGCCCATACTTTGGAAATCATCACTTTCCGAATCAAATTCAAATCACAAAATGTCAATAATGCTCGATGAAAGAGAGTGATCAAGACTGAGGAATGGTTTTCATAATTACATGGTGTTTCGAGTTTTTCCAAAATATTGAAATCTCCCAATTCCAACTCTTCTGTCAAACATTGAAAGAGAATGCGTGATTGAAGGAAATCGGGAAAGGGAATGGCAAGTTGAGTCCAAATCAGCTCGTTATGATAAATATTGTCATGGAGTTGAGGATGGGTATGCATGAGTGAACGGAGTGGAATTAAATCATCAAGTCGAGTCGAAGTAGTTGTAGTTCCGAACGAACGATTTCGGGAGAGTTGTGTGGAATTTTCATGTTGATCATTTGAATCCGTTGCGGTAGATGATGATGACTCGTAATAGCTGTACGAGCCCAATAGGAAGGAGCAAATGACTGCCAAACAATCTTTGGGAAGATGTTCCAGCATTTTGTTTTGATATGGGGTTGTAAAAGCTCACAATTCATTGACAAGTGACTTTGACCAAACGTCAATGATTGAGGGTCAAATCATGTGTTTCTATGCATACGCACCAATACAGAGAAGGTTTATTTTCTTCTTCTTGGAGCACTGCTTCTTGAAGAACTGCTTCTTGAGGATGAACGAGCAGGACTACTTCTTCGTTGTGGAGATGAGCTTCTTCCAGCTGGTTTTCTCACAGCACCACCACTACCGCCTCTCTTGGCAACCTTTTTACCACCGCTAGCTGCTGATGCTCTGGATGGCTTTCTTGCTGCACCTCTTTGTGGTCGTTGTTTCTTTCCAGCAGCAGCTCCTTGTGCACCTCTCTTCTTCTTTCCAGCAGCTCCCTTCTTGCCAGCAGCACCTTTCTTACCAGCTGCGCCCTTCTTACCTGCCTTTCTGGCACCCTTCTTACCTGCAGCACCTTTCTTCTTACCTTTTCCTTGATCTTGGCCAGCAGCAGATTGATCATCACCGGATGCAGCACCTTCCTGAGATGGTTCTCCTCCACCTTGAGCAGCTTGTTCAGCTGGTTGTTGCTCTCCACCTTGTGGTTGCTCTCCGCCTTGAGCAGCTTGTTCAGCTGGTTGTTGTTGAGCTTGCTCAGCTGGTTGTTGAGCTTGTTCAGGAGTTTGTTGCTGAGCTGCTTGTTGTTCTTGAGGTGAGGATGATGCTTGTTGTTGCTGTTGTGGTTGAGTATTACCAGAGGCAGCAGCTTGTTCCTGAGGTGAGGATGATGAAGCACCACCATTGTTGTTGTTGTTATTATTACTATTACCACCATTATTATCGGACGATGATGCAGAACCGCCATTGTTATTAGACTCAGCTGGTCCATTCACTGCAGCAGAAGCACCACCTCCACGAATTCTTGGTACCACATTGATTCCAGGAGATGCACCGTTAGCTCCTCCTCTTCTTCTTCCTCTTCCTTCAATCTTCAATTCCAACTCGACATTGACTTGCATGGGTTGTTGTGGTTTAGGTTCCTCTGGTTTTGCTGGGGGAGGAGGAGGTGGAGGTGGTGGAGTCTGTACCACAATTCGTTGTGTTGGAGGATTGATCGTTACATAGATGGGCTTCAAACGAGGAGCAGGTGGAGGAGGAAGAGGCTTTTTCTTCTTCTTCTTCTTTTCTACATTTACAACAATGGTTGAAACGGAACGACGAGCAGGACGTCTTTTACGACGAGCAACGGCAATGTATTGTGTGGTGTTGTTATCATCGTCATTGTCATCCTCTTCATTTCGAGAGTTTTGATGATCCAAATGAATGACTATGGTTTTTGTTTTTCTACCTTCCGCTGGTGTGTATGAAAGTAACACAACACATGCCAGAAGTATCATCATCAATAAGCATGAGACCATCCATGCTCGGTTGGAGCGTGTTGATGGCATTGACATTTTTCTGTTTGTGAGAGTGTCAAAATGCTGGACTATTTTTGAGTTGACCGGTAATGAAACAAGAGCGAGTTCATGGTGTAGACGAGGCATCATTGAAGCCATCAGGTCACTGATGTTTTCATCATTGATGACGGATAATGATGGAGCTGTTGTTGTATGGCGGAGATTTTATTCAGAGACAAAATGTTTTCTTTATTATTGAAGACACTTCATCAACGCAACATTCATTTCACAGATGCTGCGTCAAACACACATTTCTACCATGGTTCCATCATGTACAACAAACTTTTTGTGACCCTCAATGAACTTAATCTTTAAGATTAAATCCATAAAACTCTCTTGCCTCCCTAACGAGTCGCTCTCGATGTTTTGGATGTGCTTTTGTTTCCAATACAAACATGTTACAGTAAGGATCGTTAGGATTGAAACACTTCAAGAAGACTTACCCACTCGAATCAGTTCTTGTGCTCGATCCTTCATACTTTTGCCATACAGTTCTGCAATTCCATATTCTGTACACACATAATGCACGTGAGCTCGAGTTGTCACCACTCCAGAACCTTGTTTCAAAGTAGAAACAATCTTTGAATCTCCCTTTTTCGTACAGGAATGAATGGCAATGATGGGTTTTCCTCCTTCTGATTTGGCAGAACTGGACATGAAATCCAACTGCCCACCCACACCACTTTTTAATCAAGAATTCATAGTTTCCAAAAAATATTGTCCATTTTCATTGAACATGAAGAACACCTGATTCCCATACGTACCTATACATGTGAGTTCCAATCGAATCAGCACAGACTTGACCTGTAATATCAATTTCAATTGCGCTGTTTATGGCCACCACATTACTGTTCATCCTTATATGAGTTCCATCTGAAAGTATGATTTCATACATGAATAAGAATACAAGTTTCCTTAATCTGTGGTTTCTCCCACACACGCTCACTCACTTACCATTCACATAATCTGCGGTTCGAAATATCACTTCCGGATTATCATCAATAAAATCATACAATTTACGAGAGCCCATAACAAATGAACAAACCGAATGTCCTGGATGTATGGTCTTGTACTTGTTCGTTACAGCCCCACTCTCAATTATTTGTAGAATGCCATCGGAAAAGGTTTCTGAATGAATTCCCAAATCTTGATGATGAATCAATGAGGAACAAATAGCATTTGGTAAGGCTCCAATACCTAATTGTAAACAAGCACGATTGGGAGTTAATTTGGCAACAAATTCTCCAATATTCTTATTCGCTTCTTGTTCTTCTTTTGAAAGAGAAGCTTCCTCAGGTAGCAGTAATTCAGAAATCTCTTCCGAATGTTCTACAAAGGCATCAATATGATTCACATGAACAAAACCATCTCCATGAGTTCGAGGACATTGAGGATTGATTTGAGCCACAACTCGACGAGCACTTTGCACAGCAGCAACACTCACATCCACTGAAGGACCTAATGAGCAATAACCATGAGAATCGGGAGGGCTTACCTGAATCAACGCAACATCAATGGGATATTTCGATGATTTGAAAAGCATGGGAGCTTCAGAGAGGAAGATGGGAATATAATCGACCGGAGCATTTTCCTCACTGGCATGGAGATGGCACTCTTGGAGAGCTCTCCTTTCATGAGGACCCATAAAGATGGACGACGTATGAAAGTAAGGCAGGTATTCGAATTGAAGATGAGGAGGTTGGTCATTGGGATAGTAATTGAGATGGAGACCAACGATTTCAATTTTCTTTTGAAAGGGTTTGGAAGGGGTAATGAGGCATTTCAAATGTTTCACCAGATATTTGGGAACTCCACAACCTATGATAAGTGTGTGATTGGGAATCGAGAATTGATTTGGAGAATGTAACACGGGCTTAATACTTACCTGTCTGAAGAAACACTCGATCTCCTTCATGAATATTTCGATGGAGGGCTTCCTCGACGGAAAGAAGCTTTTGCTGGAAAGGAATGTTCGTCTCTTTGGTTGTGTTTTGAGAACTTAATAAAAGACTTCGAATCTGTGAAGTGGTGGTGATCACGCTATTTAAAAAACCATTAGCATTATGGGCAAGGTTGTTGCGTGTGACTCGTTTGTGATGGGATTTTATGGATGTAATCGAGCGTTTCATGAATTCTTTTGAAGAATGGAGCCAAATTCAGAAGAGCGTTGGGTATTTTCATAATGTTAATTTGGAAAATTTCCAAAAAGAAAATTAATTAAGGACTTATTTCAATCAAATTCAAGTCTCAAACTTTTCAAATATTGAAATAACCTTTCTACCTTGTCGAAAGAAATAGAATTTGCATGTTGAGAACCAAACCATGCCTCTAAGAATTTGTAAAATAATCTTTGGTTAACACATCCCCATCTTTTGGAACATTCTAAAACCATTTCAGAATTCCAAGTGAAAGTATCGTTGTTACATAAATATAAAGACACTTCTTCATCTTGCTTCACACAGTCCAAAATAAAAGATGCATCTTGTATTAATTCTTTTGGTGCAAATTCTAGCGCTTTTAGCCATCTTTGATCGTAATCCTTATAAATTCTGGTAATTTGTAGAGCATTTTCAATAATTGTTTGGCCGATGTTGGTGTAAGATGAGTAATCTTTGCATCTTTGAGGAATAATTGTAGATAAATCTTCATCTTGACTTCCATGGATATCTCTTCCCACACTGTACCTGGAAGACTATATAATGCTTGTGGACAGCATTTTTGAATTGAATCTTCTTGAATTTTTCCATCAACTATGGTAATGTTTGAATTGTTGAGTACTTCAAGAAAAATTTCATCGTCACCTGATTCATACCCACAGGGAAGGTATGAATCATCAATCGGCATTGAACAATATTTTCTATACCATTCCTGTCGTTTAGAAGTCCTTACCAGCTTCAAAAACTCTTCATTGTTGCGAAGTCTTTCTGAAAGCTGAGTTATGACACATCTTTTCTCAGTAAGTGCTTTGATTGCTTGATCAGCATCATCAAGATCGAAAAAAAAGGTAAATTCATATTGTTGCTCGAATAGTTTGGACAAGTCTTCTTCCCATTCGAATAAAATGTTTTGGAAAAAAATCAAAGATATCCAATTCTTCTGCCATAATGAGTGACAAAATTTCCTTTTTGAAAGGATGCCAAAATTCGACTCGGTCGATCAACTCTTGAGTGTTGTGGTACAATTCTTCAATGTCCACGGGTTGTAGCATCATCATTTTGTGGATATACCCTGAAGAATTCGAATCTGGAGTCCACGGGTTAAAGCCTTTCCATTTCAGCACACTATCACGATCGTGCATGAATTCAAGTTTCATGTGAGTTTGATCTTGTTGCAACCATTCGTCCTTTGCTTTTAACCATTTGCAAAATCCTTTGGCTTGATGTTCAAATTTCCTTTTCAAGAGTTGAAAGATCTGACAAACATGAGAATCAAGAGGTGTTTCACTCCATGATGATGAGTGGTGATGAAAATTAATTAAAATAATTTTAACGGAATCGGTCATGGTAGAGTTCGATTTTGAGAGCTTCATTTTTTAAAGACTGACAAATTTGGATACTGGGAGCTAACAAGCCCTGTTTTTTGTAAGCCTTTATTGCACTTGTTGCTACATTTCTTGATTTGCACATTGATTCGGTTACCGGATGAGTTTTTGAATATACCTTTTCGCCCGCGTTGATAATAACTGTGTTCTTTCATTACAGTTTCGCTTGGAATTTCATTGAGAATCGTTAAAGCAGAAATTCCTTAATCATCTTTTTGGGGTTTCGGAAACTTATTGAGACTGTTTTGGTAAACTTCCAAAATGATTGGCTCAACTATTTTCCTAATGTCGCACTCAATGGTCAAGGCCTTGATACCTTTGTACTTGGAGAAAGAGGTGAGGAGGCGGTAGAAGAGGACGTGGATCTTCTTCTACTGCTTGAAGAAACAGCGTTTGTTTCTTCCACTACTTGAATAAATCTATTGCTAGAAGTGTTTGATTTTTTTTCTTTGGTGGTGTTCAGTTCCATTCTGAATTCCATCTTCTTCTGATTTGTGTAATTTTCTGATTTTGCTTTTTTTGTCTTGGGTGCCTTTTTCTTCTCGTATTCGTTTTCATGGATGACAAAAGCTCTTGTTGTTTGCTCACCGTGCTGCTGTGGTACATTTTGTGTGGAGGTGTGTGTGATGGGAATGTTAGAAGATGACGAGGAAACTTCAGTTTCGAGATGTGACCATGTACTAAGCGAAGAGGAAATGACTGTACAGCTGGACGAAGAGGAAGGAGAAGTGAAGGTAATGTTGGGAATGGATGATTGGGGAGGTTGTTGTGGCGTGGTGGTTGGTGTTGGAGGAGGAAAAAGATTTGGTTGGATTTGATGTGAGGCCGGCGGTATAGGTTGAACAGGTGACGACGAGGAAGAATGTTTGAGGAGTTCATTTCTCAAGTTGGAAGATAATGATGAAGACGTCGAGAACGGTCGCATGTCCATTGTATGTGGTTGCAATGGAGAATAGTTCTCTGGATGTGAAACATCTTTTTTGATATTGGTAGGATTAAAGATGTCGCCTGAATGATGCGGCTGGTGAAACTGTTGTTGACGTTGCTCATTTGTGTCCACTGAGTATCCTTCTTGGTGCAATGTATGAAGAACATCCATTAAATCTAACCTTAACATGGGAGTATAGTTTTGAACAATTGTCGTGGTTGTCGTCGTATTCTTTTCATAATTGCTAGAATTGACTGTACTGCCTGATGTCGAATACGAGTTGAACATGTTAGATGGATGTACATTTTGATTTTGCAAGGAAGATGTAACATTTGGTTGTGACGTCTCATTCAAAGATGTCGACGCATTCAACAATGAGAATTGGTTCGTCGTCATCCAGGTCGTATTATTATTTTGGCGCTGTTGAAGAATATATTGAGAAGAAGAGATGCCTTGTTGTTGTGGTGGTGGTGTTGCAAAACTCGTTGAAGGGAATGGAATTGGCAGAATCACGGTAGGAGCAGTTCCTGAGGTTGTCATTGTCGTATTTGGATGAGAAATTTGTACTGTGGTTATTGATTGATTTCCACCATTATTGTTGTTATTTCCACCACTCAAAGAAGATGTGAATGCAGTTGTTGATGATCTTTCAGTGGGTTGGGAAGAAAAAGAATTAGGAGTAGGACGATGCATGTATGATTAGAGAGGAAAACTTTTTGTAAATTTTCTCTGTGTTGAAATTATTCAAATAAGATACTAGGATTGTGGTTAAACAGCAAATATCAAGTTGAAAATGGTTACTACGCTCACTCGAGTGGTCATCATACTAGCATGCTTGCATTTGGAAATCATCAACATACAAAAACGAGTGGAGTGCTGTTTTGGATGGACTTGCAAAATGAAGGCAACACGGGTGTCTCTGTATGGAAGCTTACTATTGCTGATGAAAGCACACGGCTGTGCAAGTCTACTTCTAAACTGTGAGAGAGACACAACAGTTTTAAAACGGACAAGGAAGTTTTTGAGAGCTTCTCTCGTGAGGCCTGATGCTACTGTTGTTGTTGTTGGTGTCAATCAATTGGTTGATGAATGGGTTTCAGGCAAACTCTTGTTCAGTTAGAAGCAGTAGGGTATTTTTGTTTCTCAAATTAATCCATCGACCCGTGTGGTTAATTCTGTCGTGTTGAGAGACAGAGCAGGAATTTTCTGTCAGCGCTGAAACCAAGTTCAATTTGGATTTTTGGTGTAAAACGGGGTCTCTCTACCTAATTTCTTGACAATGACATATTGATGCTTCGAATGTTTGGTTTAAAAGTTCCCACAGGGGAATAACGACCAATCAACGAAAGAATCAATGTCTGCACCATCGTGTTCACATGCGATCCCATTTACAAAGACTGTTGGCTACGCCATTTCCTGTCATCTTTTCCAAAGTTATTGAGGGTTGTTTGAGAATATGGTCAGCCAGAACTGATTATATGTTGTAGAGAGAATTGAATCAAAACTATGGATGGTTTTGCTTTTCATCATACGTCCATGAAATTGAAAAACCGTGAAGGGATAGGCTTGCGTGATCGTAGCTTGAATATTCACAACAATTTGGCAAGTGAGAACTAGCATGTCCCGATTTTAAATTTCAAAAAGAAACTGCTTCTATTGTTGCCAGTAAATAGTGCCTTCCGCGACCAACACATGTGGGCAGTGGCAAATTTGTCGCAGCGATTGGGACTTGGCGCCAAACAGAGTACGACTTTCAAATAAAATTAAAAAAATTAACGCTGTACGCTTGAGGATTAACTTCATCATGAAAAAATCAAAAGGAATAACCCCCAATGCAGCTGTACAATCATTAAAAGAGACTTTGAAAAAGGAACATTATTCGCGAGTTCAATGGCAAAATCAGTATGGAGGAAAGTTTCAAAAGCTGCCCGAAGAAGCAGATTTAGAACACTCCTCTCGGAGAGAATATGTCACTAGCAGAATGAAAGAGGCCTCAAAGCAACCTCGAAGATTGCATGTGGAGATTGATGAGGACGAGTTGGACCATGATTCTTCGGAGGAATATGACACAAATGATCCAAATTTGTTCAGTGGATACAGTTCCAGGTTTTGTGGGTTTCATTCTCCATGTGAATCGAATTTTGCCACCACGACTAGTTTAGAGCAGTCCAAAAAACCAATAGAGCTTGACAATAAGGATAACTTTAGAAAGAAGCACTGGTTAAAACACTACTTTGAGGAGAGTGCTAAAATGCAAAATCTATTCAAGAGCGCGTCTGGTCCAGGAGATAAAGCTGCCTCTAATGTCAAGAAATAGCTTGTAAATAATTTCACCATCATTGTGTATTTCCGTAGAAAAAAAGCCTTAATTATTATCATTCATTATTCCATGGTGAATTAAATGTTGTACATCCATGTTACTCTTCTTGTTTTATATGAGAAGTTTTTTGATTGAAAATGTTGATGTGATATTCCGTGGAGAGCTTGGCACTCTTGGCGTAAATAGCTTGCACCAACTTTTCTCGATCATCAGGAGACATTTTTCTGATGGTTTCTTCCATTAAACGTTTCCTTTGGGGAGGAATTAACAATATATTCTTCACCGGAGAATCCTTTGTGCTGTTCATTCTCGTTGGTGGAGACAAGGTTGCCTTGTGTGCTGCAAAGTGAGAAGCTTTTGGAGGCGTGTTCTCCATTTTTTATGTTTTCCTCGCAAAACAAAAACAAAATGCTCTCAACCAAAGATGCCGGTTCAAGCACTCAAGCAAGTGAAGTTACCGAGTTGCGAGAGTATTATACTCGGTCGTTTGCCATTCTGCATGAGGCTCTCACAAGTCCACCTTCTAATTTTCCATGGGTACGTGTTTTGGCTCATCGCCGATACGGAATAGATTTCTTATTTCGTATAATCATCATTGAAAATTGATAATTAATTAATTCAATCTGTGGATGTTTAGGTGGAAGTATTAGATACTATAAAACCAGCATTAAAAGAAGGAATGAAATGTTTTGAAAATCGTGAGCCAAAAGAGGATGTTAAACTCTATGCCAAGCAAAAAGATTTGGTGAATGAATTATCAAAACGAACCGTATGTATCCGATATCGTGAAGCAAATTTCTTATTATTATACTTGTTCGGAACAACATCATCACGGATACATTGATTATTATTAATCTGTTGGATGATGATGACCATTTCCATGTCATTTACAGAATTTAAACCAAAAAAGCTGCTATAGAATCCTTGAAGATTTTCTGTTGTGCGAAGCACATGATAATCTGGTTCTGGATGCTAGGGATCCATTTGTTGTTGACAAGGTAAGGAGCTTTTTTCATGACCATCATTTTTCTGCTCATCATTTCACTGTGCTTCTTTACTTGTTTGATATATAGATCACCAATTTCTATTATTCGGAAAGATTACTTTTACTTGAATGCATCTCAACAATATTCCGTATTGACTCGAACTATGATGAAGAAGAAGATGCGGATGATATTGGAAGAAAAGCATGTCATGACGTGGTTACTTGGTTGTTAAGCCAAGATATCGAAGGGGCTGCCCAAGAATGGATTAAGGACGCGTCAAATATCGAACAACATTTAAAAAATTTAAAATTACAATCACTAAGCGAAATAGAGATTACAAAAAGACGAATAGAATTGATTGAACAAAAATTGAATGAACAGGCTGCTGCACTGAATGTTTTATTTATGATTTACTACGAGTACAGATACATGTGTGATACAAAAAGATTTCCTAAATTTTTCAATGAACATTATATTGTACGTATATCGTTGGATGATTGGAATAATTTAACAAATTTTTTAGGGCCGTGATTTTGGTAATAGTCACAGAAACTTGGAAAATATTTCTACAAAAGGTTTTCAAATCATTAGAAGAATTGTTTGCCTTTCTTTTCTTGTTATTGTGGAAATTTTGGATACAGGAAATATTGTGGAATGCATCAACAAACAAAAATCGTATCAAAATAGACTTCCAGAGAATATTATTTCAAAGCTTACAGACGAGATACGACAAGAAATAGGAAATGATCCTCATTGTGCTGCTCTTCGTTTGTTATGGGCTTCCTATCTTCAACTCACAACCAACAACGTACCTTTGAATCATATCTACAATTTAATCCAACAAGGTATCAAATTTGAAGGATTGGAATTCATTAGACGAATGTTTGACAAAGATGATTATGCTTTCCATGGTCATGACGCAAATTATGAAGGGTACCGAAGTGTCATCAAAACTGGTATCGAAAGCGTCTATTTCTTATTCCAATTTCACAAGGTACCTTTTTCACTGATCGAACAAATCTTCTCGGTAACAGAGGCAGCCATTCAAACAAAATCTGGCATGTTACGAGAAAATCCGTTGGCACAAGATTTATCTGATTATGGCATTGAACAGCAGCCATACAAAGACCTGTTAAATTACTTCAAGTTGGTCTTTCCTGCAAAGAAGGAAATTCTTCGACTTTTCACTCTCATATGCAATGACCATTCATCTACTTTAAAAGTGTTGAACATTATGGAATCACAGGAAACATATTGTGTTGAGCTTACTCATTCCGAGCTTAAAACGCTTTGTGGCATTGACCCATTAAACCCCAATGATTGGGATGCAAAAGAAACACCCCTACAAACGATTATGACCTATAAGGACGAAACTACCAATGTCATCATTCCTTCAGGAATTCCTTGTCTAGTGGTAAACCAAACAGCAGAAAAGTGCTTGGTAACGTTTCAGGTAGGTGTTTCACAATTACTTATTTTTACTATTAATTTCATGGCCTAAAGTTCTCGAGCTATATTTGGAAAGTATTGCTTTGCCAAATAATTGAAGTCCTTCAAAACTCAATTTCTATTCAAACTAAAGATGTAAGAAGCATGATTCATCATTTCCTGAATCTACTCCACAAATTGATATACTATAGAGGAGTTAGCGTGGAGAAGCTGGATAAGTACATTATTGAATTATTGATATCAAAGCAAATGTACTCCCACAGATCTGAGAAAAAAGGAATAATTCAATTATTATCACGAATCATCAAGTACTTTTCGAACTTTCCTATCGGTAGCATTCCTATGGAGATATTGATTTCATGTTGTAATTGCTTAAACGCAATAGCCACCGTTGCTCCTGTTGAAACAGCCTCACAAGTTTGCTATTTAATCCAAAAGTATCACTTCTCCAATATACTGAGAGAAGAATGTATGAATGGAAGATATGGTGCCACTCTTAGCCTTCTCGACACTATTTTAGAACTAGCTAAAAATGTAAGTACTCACCGAACAAGAATTGTGAAATATTCTATTTTGTCACTACAGCACCCAGGACCAATGACTACTGTAATGGATATACTTCCATTTATTTGCTCAAGTATATTTTCTCTTCATGACTCATGGCGATACCAAAAGCTTGAGGAAAGATGGCTCATTGCTTTGAAATGTATTCAGATATTTAATCAAGTTGCCACAGATTCGATATGGATCGAACACAAAACAGAAGATTCAAAAGTCAGCACAGGGTATGTAATAATTACCACCAAGATTGATATTCTTATTAATTACAATTATTATTGTCTGTATTGCATCTTTCATCAGTGGGCGACAACTGTTAACCGCATTCTTGCGTGATAGCAGTCTTTATCAAGTTTTATTTTTGTTGGTTGGTTTGGGCGGAGCGTTCTTAGAAACAGTTACGCGACATGAAAAAACAGAAGAGGCTGTCACTGTGCAATCTCTCATCAAAGAGTCATTAACATTGCTGGATTCACTTCTAAGGTTTAGACAAATCACTAAAACAAGCAATTCCATTAGCGGCTTTGAAGATGTGCTCTTCTCTAAGCTGTTAGGAAAACAGCAAATACCACTCATTACTTCTATTTTTGAATTCACAGACCCCCGCCATTATACCTCAGAGGTTAGAGTTCTGGCTTGTAAGGTGATCACTCTGATTGCACAACTGACCGAAGATTACAATTCAAGACCTCCGTCATTGGTTGGATATTTAGGAAGTCACTCTACATCTCTTGTTGGACGATGTCTTGATACTTTGCAAAGTAGAAGCGAACCAGACGAATTGAAAATTGCAATATTTGATCTAATTTCTGTCACTGTAGAAATTCAAAGAGGACTTGGAGAGCTTTTTGTGAATAGTTCTCCGCCTCACATCAAGAAAAAAGTGGAAGAGGATGATGAATTGACCTTGCCTCCAGGAGGCTGTATCGAAACCATAATGAATATTGTTAGGGACATTGAGCTGAAAAAGAGTAAGCCAGCCGTTGTGAGAAGCGCCATTGGAGTCATACAATCCATATTCCAAAGCGGGGAAAGTAGATCCAGAATTACCAAAATTTTACGAAATCAAGTCAATTTCTGGAAAGACATGGTTAAAGTGCTGTCCTACTTTACAAGCGCAACTTCATTACTGGACATTGATGTTGTGCGTTCAGTAACGTCAGTTTTGTCAATATTTGCTGTGGACATGTACAACATGATGATTCTCAAGAACGACGAAGATGTTGCTTTCAATCAAGTACAATCTCCACTTTTCGAAAAGGACTCTAAGATACAACAAATACTAAAGAAGAGTATTGAACGTGTCATTGAATTTACTAATCAGAATAGACGACTCATACTCAATATTGACGAAATGTTAAAGAACGAATCTAAGAAGCTAGGTCGACAAATTCATTTATCGGATTACATTCAAGAAAGAAACACTAAAATTGATGTGCTTTACGATACTGATAGACTTAAAAGATGGGAACATGACATTAGCAACGAATTATTAATTTCACTCGCGACTTTGAATGCCAGTATTGCACAAGAGGAAGCGTACATTTCACTTTTAAGATCTATGAATGCCCTCTTTTCTGTTAGGTTTGAATCTCCACTTCTTGCCAAGGACCAACCTAACGAAGACTATTTTCAATCGAACATACGGCTGTTGCTTGATGGCCTTAAAGTGAAAGAAAAAACCAATCCGTATGAAGTTAGTACCAGCGCCATTCACATGACTTCTGAAATTCATTTACCTCTACCAATCATATTGGACAAACTTGTTACCACGTTCCACACAGAAGTTGCTTCCATGCTAGAGACGTTCATTCACAAGTACATTGTTCTCTTTCCTCCTTCATACAGCATTGAAGTTAAAGATAACCACAGTGATGACTCTATTAAGAAATTAACAGATTTACTTATTGTTCAGGTGCAAAGAAATAAGTTGACAGTATCAAAGGAGATTTTAGGATGTTTATTGATGTATTATGTTGATTTAGGTTCCAATGTTGGTATTAGAAACTTCACATCCATCATGCCAACGCTATTTTACATTGTTAAAACATTCGACAAGTATGACGATTGCACGAATCTTGCCCTCTCTATTTTATCCATTTGTGTGGAGAATATATTTGATTCTGAGCAAGGAAATTATATTTGCAGAGAACTTGCAGATTGTCTTTCCAATTTTGATGGTGTCGACGAGCATCACTCAAAATATACTCTCAATATCTTGAATTTATTACTATCCCTCTCGTCCACTCAAGCAGGAAGTACCTTAATGGTAGCCAATAATGTTATTCCTCGACTCACCAATTGTTCTATTCTAAGTACAGGCTCAGGAAAATATGCAGGACAATCTTATTACGAAGGAGAACGCACATGGTGGCACACTGCTTGGAAATATAGTTTGAAAATTGTGACTTCTTTATTGAATAGCTTTGACTTTGCAAATCATCCACAAAGATATGTGTCCGGGTCTGCATTGATGTTCGACGAAAGCTCTGGACAAGCTCAATACTTTTTCTATCAAGTATTTGATTTCTGTAATGCTCATAGAAATCGGCTCATTCTTGGATTGAACGAATTGTGGGATAAGAGACCACTCACTTTTGCAATCATTGAGGAGGTTGAACTCATCAGTATGCTTGTGAACGCTTTGGCCCGATTGAAGTTACTGCCACAATTAGTGTATTTGATTGATGCTTCATTGGTGGCTATGTTAAAATGTATTGATGCTGTGAAACATTTTCACTCTGTCCTTGGAAAGGTGACTCCTATCACTGCACATGAAAGAAAACTCCACGAAGCTGACAAACATTACCGAGAAGAATATTTACAGGGTCACCATTCAACACTCAAAACACGAAATTTACTTCGAGATTTACACAAGAGTTACGAAAATACATACATGCCAAATCCAGAAGAATCTCCTTTCATTAGCTCTTCGGTGGAAGCTATCAAAAATCTGTATCAAGGAAGAGAAACGTTGAACTGGAACACACAAATTGATTTGATTGTGTATGGAACTTTACAAAGTATATTGGCTTCAATTCGTTGCCTCACAGTGCTTCCAAAGGATGATGGAATTGAAATGCCTGTGGATCCTGTCTATGTCCTTTCCATGCAATCTCATAGCCCTAATATTCGTGATATTTTCAAATGCATTGAAAGTTGTGTCGATGCTCTGGAATACATACCGTCTCGAAAATACACAGACGAAGCAAAAGTAACTGCTTTAGAGTCTGGTGCAATTACGCCAACGACGCTTTCTCCATCGTACAGTTGCACAGCCACTGAACGCGTAGGTAGGGAACAAGAAACCATGTTGAAGAGTAGAATTTTGGTGTCTCGAGTGGTCATTGGAACTATGTACGAAGCATTGCATGTGGCCATCACACACCTTTTAATTTACGAATTTCTGAGCGAAGGAGATCCTCAAAAACAGTCACAAGTTAAAGAATTGAAAGAAGAGCTCAACAAGCTATTCGGTCTTTACAAAAAACTTGAAAAGCCTTTGAAGAGCTGGTTCTTCCTCAAGTATGGAGATCAGCTGAAGGAACTCATCAAATTTTTGAAAGAATTACAAGTTTAATAAATCACAAGTTAATTTATTATGACAACTTAGTGTTAATTATGGAATAAATTACGAAAAATGCAATGAAATTATTTACAAGTTATCTAGGGCATTTCTTAGTCTTGAAAAGTTGTTTGTTTTCCTAGTCTCGAGTTGTTTCAGGTTTGCATGACCGTTGTTGTTGATGAAATTCTTGTAGAATTGTCGCTCATCCAGTAAATATTGCTCAATATCCTCCAAATCATATTTCACGCTTTGAGGCATCGACAAATATTCGGCAACAGATGCTTGATTCATGCAAGTGTAAAAATTACTCGTGGATATTAATCCATTCTCGTTCAATGCATACGCTAAATGTTGCTGTGTCGGGCGTTTCTGTTTTTTGCACATGTAGGTGAGCGTAGGTTGTTTTTCAATGTCGTACTTTTTAGTTTCCTTCGTGAACACAAACTCCAAATTTGACTGATAATGCTGTGTTGATATTGGAACTCCAATGATATTATACACTTTCTCAAGACCTAAAGTGTCATTGACTTCTTTCTCACCTACTTTGTTGGGAATTATTGGAAGAGGTGAAAAATTGACACAAGCACTCCATTGAGGAGAATGAACCAGAGTGTTGTCATCCGTAGAGTGAGTAGTAGTAGCAGTAGAAGTACTTGTTTCGTTCTTTGTTTCTTTGAGAATAGGATACGGTAATGCGTTACAACCTTCAACAGCTAAACGAAGATCGATATGGAAAGCCAACACCTTTGTCATGGTGAATGCATTTCCCCAAGCACCAGATGTCATGCCTGCATAAATAAATCGTACCAAATCTCGATCCCAATGTCTTCGTCCAGATTTCACATATTCTTGTGTGAGAATGTATTCTCCACGCGAGGGTCTGTAATGATTTTTGGGAGTGAAATGCGGACGCTTGACCTTACTCATGGGTGGTTGACCTTCTAATCGAATCATTCGATATCTGTAAACAAGAGCTCCAAAATGGCCACTTTTCAGTCTCTGAGGTTCTCTCCAATAATCAGTCACCCAATACAATCCATCGTATCGATAACCTTTTGCTGGAGCGTAGGCAGAATCTAATTGATAGCCACGAACAAGTCGAACAGGAATTTTTCTTTTCAAACTCTCCACTAAACTAATGTTATATTTGTTGAGAGTTTGATCCTCATAATCTGTTCCTCCTTGTCCTGTATAAATGAAAACATCTCCATAATCTTCGTCACCGTAACCACCCATGGCCATTGCTACAATCGAGTCCGCTGGCACTCCAAAATGGCCACTAATACCTGGCTGTGTTGGAGTGTGAGAACCTCTCTTGGAGCATTCTATTCTTGATTCGTACGCTTTGAAAACATCGTCTCTGTGTCCATAAACTCGAGAGCCAATCTTAATAGGTGGTTTCAATAAGGAATCTTTTTTTCCATCTCTGCGACGAATGGTGTTGACCCACTCCTCAGCATTACCCATATGTTTTCTGTCTTTTTCTGTAACGGTGGGACTTCTTTTTAGTTTCATGTCTCTTTCTATTTGGTCATCTGTTCTGTGTCTAATTTGATCATCGTGTTGTTGGCATTTATGATTCTTGAGATAGTATGCGTTCAGAGTTATCATTCCACTTTCAGTGTCTACAATAAAATCAGAATGGCCACTCTCAATACTTTCACGAGTAATTGTCACATATTTCTTATCTGATAATTTCATGGTCATGGTACTATTTGAGCTATTTGCATAATCCTCGTCGAGTGGTATTGATAACAGTTCATTCTCATCATCGGTATCGAGCGTTTCCTCTTGAAAATCAACAAGAAATCTATTACCACTTGCATTTGTTCCAAAATGAAGTTGTGAAGATGAAGGTTGACTTTGCGTGAGTTTATCATCGTTTGACCTTTCGGAAATCGCTGGTTTCATAAATAACGGTTGAGAAACTTGATCAATCACAGAACTAGTGGTATTATCATGCTTATTCAAAAATTCATTTAAATTCTTTTGTTTGGAATTTGATGATGATTTCTTACTCGTTTTTGTTCCGTTGTTTGTTGAAACATGTTGATTGCCGCAAGCTCCATTTTGACTAGTCCTTCTTTTTTCTTTTTTACTAGTATTTTGTTTGTTATTGTTGTTATTATTGATTTTATAGTGTTGATTCCGAGAGTTGTTGCGAGTCAAGACATCATCACTGCTGCTTGAATCATCCGACAAGGCAATTTTGCGTTTTTGCATTTTTTCCCCGCGCAAAACCGTTGAAGCCAAAAGAACAATTCCAGCAAATTCTTTCAAAAACCATCACTAAAACACAGTCCTAATGACGCGGCTTTATTACTAACCTTGTTTGTTTTGGAGGTTTTAATTGCTCTGCTCAAAAATAAAAGAACATACAAACTCAGCAAGTCAATACAATCATCAACAGTCAGTTCCTGACGAACCATTTATTCATTCTTTGAATCAAAAGTGTTGTTTTGGAGGTGGATAAGGAATTGTCAAGGCGTTCACTTTTCCATGATCAGTTCCGACGAAAAGAATGAATCAAGTTATTCAAATTGATAGAGTTTCAATTCAATGAGTCATGCAATACTGATAAAGTTTCAACTCTTGTTGAGGTTTTCAAAAAAAAACTCAACAACAACCTTAATCTCAAACAATGAAGAGAAGTAGAGAGGATGAGCCCACTCATCCTCCTACTAATCCATCTCTTGCACACGGCATCATTCCATTCTGGGATGAGTACTCACAACAAGTATCGGATAAACTTTGGGCATGTTCAAGAGATTCCTTTCATGAGTTTAATCAGTACAACAACAAGGGATGCACAGACGGATGGTTCAACTTTTCTCAATTCACTGTGATTGAATCCAAGCCAGTGTTTGATGTTCCACTCAATGTCCATCACTCTATAACAGAGAATGTGGCTTTTGATAACTCTAAAAAGCCACCTCAGCTCAAGAAAGCAAAAAAGAATCAAAAGGTGGCCCAAAAATTTCAAGCAGACAAATCCTTGAAAATCCGACTCTACCCCAATGAACAAGAAAGGACAACATTGAATCAGTGGATGGGAACTGCTCGTTGGATCTATAACAAGTGTTTAGAATTCACTAACAAATCCAAAGGTGTCAAGAAAAATAAGAAGAATTTCAGAACGTTTGTGGTGAACAACGATAATTATCAGACAGAAAATCAGTGGGTTGTGAATACTCCTTATGACGTAAGAGATGCTGCCGCTATTGAATTGTTGACTGCGTTCAACACTAATTTTGAAAAGAAGAAGGCTGGAACGATTGACAAGTTCATGATCCGTTTTAGGCGAAAGAAAGACAGAAAAGATCATTTCGTTCTACATTGCAAGCACTGGAAGAAAAAGAGTGGACTGTATTCTTTTATAAGGAACATCAAGAGTTCCGAACCTTTGCCTGAGGAGCTTCAGTACGATTCCATCATTATTAAGAACAAGTTGAACCATTATTATTTATGTATTCCACAAGTACTGGATATTAGGGGTGAGAACCAAGCCCCTCAACATTCAGGACAAGTTGTAGCATTGGATCCAGGAGTAAGAACATTTCAGACCACCTTTGATTTGAATGGTTATTCAACCAAATGGGGCTCAGGAGGTGCCGAAAGAATTGGTAGATTGTGTTGCGCGTATGACAAGTTACAATCGAAGTGGTCTCAACCAGAAGTCAGACATTGCAAAAGATACAAGTACAAGAGAGCAGGAAGAAGAATTCAACAAAAGATTAGAAATATTGTGGATGATTTACACAAGAAACTGTGTTTGTGGTTGTGTCGAAACTACCAAGTGATTTTACTTCCTTCGTTTGAGACTCAGAAAATGGTAAAGAAACTCCACAGGAGAATTAATAGCAAGACAGCAAGAAAAATGTTGACTTGGTCACATTACAGATTCAAGCAAAGATTGCTTCACAAAGCTAGAGAGCATCCGTGGACACACATTTATATTGTCAACGAAGCGTATACATCCAAAACTTGCTCATGTTGTGGACATATTTATACGGTTGGATCATCCGAAGTGTTTCGTTGTCCATCATGTGGCTCAATTTTTGACAGAGATATCAATGCAGCAAGAAATATTCTTCTTCGATTCCTTACTACTCATAGAATTAGTTTTTGAGCACCTTGTGTGCGTTGGGTCCTTTCCCCTGGCTTTCACTCTTTGAGTGTTTGCTTGCAAGATCAGCACTTTGTTCGATTTGTTTGTTTTGTTCAAATTGTTGATTTAAATAAAGGCGTTAACAATTAAATATTTAACATGAATACCTAGATCTGGATCATGAATACTCTTGTTTATAATTTTATTCATGTGAAGCACGTGTCGTTGGCATGAGAGAGGAAACTTTGCTCTTGTCCTTTCTTTTGGTCTTTTTGAGATACTTGTTCATCTTGCCTGACTTTTTGAGAGTATCCATTTTTCGTTGCTTGAGAATCTTTTTCACATCCGAGTCTTTTAAGAAGAAGGCTTTCTTTCCCTTCTCTGCTATTAATTTCTTTTCTCGTTGATAGAATTGGTCTCTCACTTCTGAAGCTGCTTTTTGTGATTCAATCTTTTTGTTACGAGTTTGTAATTTGGAAATTTCTCTTTGAATTTCGAGTTTTTCTTGTTGTGACAGAGTCTTGTCTCTCAGCTGCTCCTTTAATTCTTCAATGTCGTCTTTTAATTTCTCAAAAACATGTGCATAGTTTCTTGAAAATTGTTTAAATCCTTCATGGTCAATATTACTAGATGCTTTAGGGTCAAATCTAGGATCATGACTCTTCTTTTTCACAAATCCCAATCGAGAAGCAATGTCTGGTATAGTACTTGGTTTGATTTTTGCACTCACTTCTTTTGGAGCATTCTTATTCTTTTTCTCAATGATTGGAGGATCTTTTGTGATTTTTTCTTTTCGTTTTCTTCTCTTAAATTGTTGTTCATCTTCCGAAGAGTTCAAAAAATTTGATGATTTTCTTGTACTATGAATATTATTCTGTTGTTTGCTGTTATTATTAGCTTTCAATTTACTTAGAGCCAATCTTTCGGCAAAAGATAATGTTTTTTCATCCTCTTCATCTTCCGAAGACAAATTGGCATGATTATTATGGTCTTCCGAGTTGCTGCTCTCTTGATCATTCTCATCCGTCAATGGATCATCTTCTCCGTACATTTCCGATTCAAAATCCTCTTCTTCCTCTCCACTAGTATTTTCGGTTTGTTCAATAATAACATCATCTTCCTTCTCGTCTTCGTCGGAAAGGTATGATTCTTGTGGTTGAACGGAAGCTGGTTGTTGTCTTCGTTTCAAAAACATTTTTTTTGAAGTGAATTCACTAACTCATTGAAAACAAAGAATTGCAACGAGAGTATTGAACTGCAGTGCTTGGTACAATTACAATCAAAGAATATTTTTCACAATATTGGTTTTTTATTGCAAGAGCTCAAAACGTCACAACAATTTCACAATTGTGTTGTTGTCATGGGTACAAACTCAATACCAAATCTAGAAGAGTGTTTACGAATGCCACACTTGCGCATGTTCTCACCTCATTCAATCTCATTCACTTAACACCAGAATCCACGTCCCCATAATCCACCATATCCAAATCCATAGAATGGCATTCCGAATCCACCCCATCCTCCAAAGAAAGGCATTGAATAAGCACTACCATAATTACTACTGTAAGCGGTTGGACCTCTATAGGCAGATCCATAGGCAGCATAAGGTTGATAATTTGTGGAAGCGACTTGATTACTATAGGCATTGGTGTTTTGTCCATAACTGTTGTAATTACCACCTGCTACACCGTAATTGTTACCAGCACCACCTTGATAACCATAAGCACCATTATACATGTTACTGAATTGAGCCTTTGTGAAAGAAACTGTGAGGCACAAGACCAATAAGGCGCAGAGAGCGAATTTCAATGATTGCATGTTGTGAGTTGTTATAATATGTTCACAATTTTGATTTTTGTTTTGGTTGTTGGATTTGGATGTCACGAGGTGTTCTTGGATTTTATAGTTTTTTCAAATGGTAGGATGAATTTGGAAATTCACTGTTTTTTAACACAAGTGTACACTCGATGTTGTTCAATCAAGTGAATATAAAAGTAAATATGATAAAGATAACAAGTGAATGGATGGTGAGTGAGAATAATCATGATCAGCTCCCAAAATTGATAAATACCAGTTTAGGAGAGAGGCGCCTTCACAACCAATCTACCAAACACTGTAAATTGATGTTGTGTGAAAAATTGAAATTTTTAACGGCAAGGATCAAATTTCTAACCGTTACACAATTTATTTTAAAAAAAATTGAAAATGTCTTCCAACAACATGGTCTTTATTGACTACATTCCAAATTCACCCAAAGTCAAGAAGACTTCATCATTGGCCGCACGATCCACCTCCACACCACTGGTCTCTCCTTCCAAGTCTGGTTCAACATTAAAAGCGAGCAAAGGAAATATTATGCAATTTTTCAGCAAGAAGCCTTCTTCCATAACGGAAAAGCAAGATCTCGAGATATCATCATCATCCTCCAATGTTTTGATTAACAATAGCAACACCAATCCAATGGATGCCATTTCAATATCCTCCTCCTCGAGCCAGGAATTGGATCAAGTACCAATTTCTTCTTCCATGCTGATGATGGTGGATGATGAAAGAACCAACACCCTTCCTACAGCTAGCAATGATATTCTCTCCTGTGGTAGCACTGGTAGCGAACAATCAGAGGGTACTCTGATGATGCTGATGGTCTCTTCATCCATGATTTCCGAACCATTGGAATCAGACAACAAGAAGAAGAGAAAGATGGTTGAATTGTCATCGAGTGATGATGACGATAATGAACAAGAAACAGAATCCAGAAAGGAAAACATTCCTCCCATCTCCTCTCCACAACACAACAACGTCCTCTCAGTATCTTCTCCAAAAAAGAAGAAGAAGAAGAAACAAGAAGTAACTGTTAACAAGTCTTCATCAGCCAGTAGTACTCCAATGAATCATGGTGATCTTGTTCCATCGACGACTAGCTCCTCTCCAACCACAGTCGAGGAATGCCAACAACTCATTCAACAATTAGAACAAGAGATTAAACAATTAAAGCCAACATTGGAAGATTCTAAAAAGATTAGAAAGGATGAGAAGATTCGAAAGTATTTAAAGAAATTCATTGAATTTTGCACATCCAATCAAGAATTCCAGAGCAATAAGAATGTATTTCCTGTCAAACTCACTTATATTAATCTACTTGTTGGATATTGTCAAGGATCATTACTCGATATGGACCATCTCATTAATGACATTAGAAGTACTTGGATCAAAGTTGCAAACAAGAAGAAGTATGTTTCAACACCACTCACTGAGGATTCACTTCCATCGGTCGATGCCTTTAAGAATGCCATTAACCTTCATATGGAACGAAAATCATATGGTGTGAAAGACATTTGTGAAATGAATGTTTGGGAAGCAAGAAAACTCTCATCACTCACTTCAAAGCTTGGATCCAATGCCAAGGACTCAACCACTCTTGCCAAGCAAATGAGAGGAAATTTCAAAAAAGTTGTCGATTCTAAAATTAAGGAAATTACAAAATTGAACAAATTGAAAGCAAAGCTTGAGAAGGCAAGTACAAAGAAGCCAACGAAGAAGGACCAAGTCAATACTGGCTCTTCCTCTCTATTAACTTCACCAAAGAAGAATTCCACACCAGCCGTGAAATGTAAGAGCATCACACTTTTCACACAAAAGTGCAAGATTTTACAACAAGATCAGATTGTATCTGCTCCTGTATGTAGAACTCAACATGTCACGTCCTTGGAAGAAATGGATTCTGTAATTGCTGCCCAAAATCATTCACTCTCTCTAAAGACTGTTCTCTCTGAAATGAAAGAACGTGCTTCTGGCAAGAAAAAGCCAAAACGTATTGTGCTCAAATGCTTATCTTTTTATGGTAAAGCTCAAGTCATGAAAAAGACAGAAGAAGGTCTTGTATCAAAAATCGTCACTGGAAGAAAACCATTCGCAAAAGATCCATCTGTGACCTATCCTGAGGAAGACGATGAGGACATGATGGAAGAAGATACTGAAGAGCTAGTTCTTGGTGAATTAGATCCTGTCGATGGTGAAACTCTCGAAGGAGAAGATGAAGATGAATCGGACGAAATGGACTTTGATGACGAAGATGAAAACATGGGAGACAATACCATTTGTGCCGATGACATTATTGAATACGAGGATGGTAAGATTGAGCACGTTGAAACTTTGGATGTCTCTAAAAAGAAGAAGAAACTTTCTGACTTGGATCCAATCTATGAATATTCGAATCAACTCCAAGAGAGTTCATTTGTCGTGGATGAAGATTTCACATTTGATATTTCTGAGATGCATTGTAATCATGTTTATTGGTGGGTGCCAAATGAAAAGAAGACTAAGGAAGGAGAATCGTCGACAGCAATAGTTACATCCACTCCAACTGGTGACACTGTCATGACATTACCAAAGAAAAAAGACAAATCTTTGGAACTAACATCACCAAAAAAAGAAGATGTGTGGTCAGAAGACGTTCTTTCTCATTTCAAAAACGTGCTAGGAACAAGCTCTTCACAAACAGAGATCGTGAAGGCCATGGTTGAAAAATTCCCAGACCTCTCTAAGAACCGAATTCATAAAAAGATTAAGGAGGTTGTAGTGAAGGAGAAACGAGAAGGCGATTCGAAAGGAAGGTTCTACTTGAAACAATAGAAAATATTATTTCTAATGAATTTATTAAAATTTACAAAGTATTCTTCTTAATCTCCAAGTGTTGGCTGCGAGAAAACCTCTCGATAATTTCATAAAATTCAAATTTGGAAGCGGTTGCAAAAGCACGTAGCCCCAAAAGTACTAGTTTGGGCAGGAATTAAATCGCCATGTACCACTCTTAATTTTGTAAACCTTTGAGACAAATCGCATCGAAAGGTGGATCTGCCACCGTAACACTGAAAAACTGTTGGCAAAAAATGTTAAAAAAACGCTGTACTGGTGCTTCTCACGAACCAGAAGAAAAAAAGAAAAAGTTAAATACAAGTAGTAACCATCATTACACAATGGTGATCCATCAAATTCCTTCAGAGCTTCTCATTCACATATTCGAGTTTTTGAATGGATGCGAATTGTTATTAAACGTTTCGCCTGTTTCCAAGGCTTGGCATGGTTTGATCTCAAACCAATTGGATTGGAAGTTACTGGTTTCGAGAAGATTGGGGTTTTCACCAATGGCACCTCCTGTCATTCTGAAACAGATCAATAGTAGTAACGAATTTTGGAAACTCTATTTCATTGAGAAAATTGCCAAGCATAAATATAATCCTGTGGCCAAATTCCTTCAGGAGAATCCAAATCTATCAAGAGAACAAGTGTTCGGAGAAGGAACGACTGACAACAAGAACATTAAGAGATTCATATCTTTTGAAGTCGAATACATTTCTCAAGAGTATGTGAATGCCTTGTTTCATCATTCCGAGCAGAAACAAGATTCAGCATTGGATCGAGTGCAAATGATTTCAGATCCATTTCAATTCTTTTGGAAATCTCTTCCGCTCTTCACTGGATTTTCTCTCAAAAACGGAGATGAATACATGGCCATTGGAGAATCCAAGATTGGAGGATGTCCAGACTTTCCACGCAACTTTGAATGGCCAAAATCCAATGGAAAGGAATGGCGTTTTGTCGCTCAAGTCAATCTTCAACAATTAGAATACTTTGATTTGACAAATCGAGTGGTTCCAAAAGGAGGAGGCATGTTGTACTTTTTCGCTCCCTCAGAAGCCTCTCATGGTGGTAGTTATTGGGGTGTGAGAAAGAGTGACCCTCAACCCATCACTCACTTCAGTGCACAACAAATCAAAGAAATGGGTGGACTGGAGAGAAGAAATCCCTCCTCATTATCCATGGATACTACTCCTCTTGAGAGGGACGAGGAGGACGAGAAACAAGACGCAGAACAGAGTCTCTTGTACTATCCACCCGTAAGAATGAATATCTCTTCGCACATTGGATCTTCAAGTAGATGTGTTGTCAAAAAACTATTTTCAGCAGAGAAATTTCAAGGAAATCCACCCGCTGAGGAGGTTCATTTGGTGCATTTCATTAAGGACATTCACTCATCATTGAATAATAACGATCATACACAAGACCAAAATCAAATGTCCTACTTGCATGTACAGATAGCAGGATTTGGTTCACTTCATGGAGATCTCTCAGAGCTTGAACAAGCCTTGGGAGTACCAATTTCCTCCCTGGACATGCGTCGTCTATTTATTTCAAGAAGTGCTTTTGATGCTTTCACTGACAACGAAATGGAACTCATCCCCAGCAATACCAAAGTTGTGTTAAATCCAAAGACAATGTTTGGGGGAGGAAATGAGGCCAAATTCCAAGTAGGAACCATGGAACAAGTCAAACCACTCTTGAAGAGTAATCAATATGATGTGTATTTACCTTATTCTTTCGTTTCAGAACAACAGTGGCATGATAAGGCAAATAGGCAATTCATTTATCAAATGGACAGTGAAGAAGAAAAGAAGCTAATTATGGACTCGAGTGATTATTTAGATGCTAAAGAAAGGTATTCAAAATTTTTAGAAGTGTTGTCCGTTGGCGATGAGACAATGAATTTGGAGAATTGGGACAGTTATTGTTGGATGTATTGTTTACCCTCCTACTGCTTTGAGAAGGGTGTTATTGAAAAATCATTTTGCGAAAGTTATGATCCTTAATAAAATTACCACCAGTCAAGCCTGTGTGGATCTTTCTAATCTTTTCACAATTCTTGAATCATAATATGTAAACAGAATCCCCTTGCGCTTCTAGCTAAGAACACATTGAATTTGGTATTCATTCTTGTCAAAGTGTTTGTGCCAACAAAAAAATTCGAGAACCCGCAACCAAAAAAAATGTCTGAAGAAACATTCTATCGGAATATTGATAATTGGATCCGAATGCCTGATTTGCAACAAAAACAACAGGAACTGGAGAATAAATTATTCACATTGGAAACTTTGTTAGATTATGAAATCAAAGGAGACGAGAAAACTCTCTATTTACAAAAGAGTAATGTATTCTTTCTGCAGAAAGCTTCCGATGTGATCCAAGAAAAGAAGCAAGAAAAAGAGAATGTTGAAAAGGAAGTTGAAACCATCAACTCGGAACTAGATTCTCTCACCTCTTCTTTCCACAGCTTTAAACAAAACGTTACCAAAAAGATATAACTTTTTAAATAAGTTTACTGTGATGATGACTTGTCATACAATTCATACATGCAATAATTTATTGTTTTCGCATTCCTGGTGGAGGTGGAGGAATGACTTTTGCATTTAGAGGAGGTGGAGGTGGAGGAATCATGGGCTTTCGAGCACCGAGGCCAGCAGGAGCATTGGTTGGTGGTGGAGGAGGAATCATCTTGCCAGCTGTTGCCGCTGATGGAATTGTGACATTAGGTGGAGGAGGAGGTAATACTTTTTCTTCTTTCTGAAAGTGTAACTTGAGTGTAAATGTAAACTTTTCCTTATCCCAATCTGTAATAAACTTTCCTTCGCTTCTATCAATTGGTTTGTTTGGTATTTTGAATGCAATCGTCTCGTATGGATCTGCTGCAAAAACTAAATATTGATATTTTGGATTGGGCGGATCTTTCTTTTGCTCGTAAGAGCTCATAATACGATATCTAGGTTGAATTTCCTTCTCAATTTCTGGATAATGTATCATGAAAACGAGAGACTTTTGTTTTGTTTCGGGATTAATTTTCTTTGACACGGTATATCCAGGTCTTCCAATTTTTAATGTTTTCTTGAAAATTGGCTGCTTTTGTGTGGTAGATTTTGAGAGATTGGAGTCCTTTTGTTCTTTAGCAATTCTTTTGTGTAGATTATATTTATGTCTTCTACCTTGAGTGTGTGCCATGTAATTTCCGATAGTATTGTGCAGCGTTAAACATAATTTACATTCATATTTTCCGAGATGGTTTTTGATAATATATGGATCCTTTTCTAAATCAATATTTTCAAGTGCAAGTTGTGTTTGTCGTTCTCTTCGTTCCACGTTGGAGAGGGTGGCACTTTGCACACCTCCCGATCCAGCTTTTGATCCGAAATCACGATAACCGGTACTCATTTATGTTGATGATGATTTTGTATTATATCAATTAAACTTTGTGTGCAATCAATAACGATGGTGATGATTTAGAAAGGCTGTCCTCAATTTGGATTTAGAAAATGAGTAGAGGTATTTTTTTTGTTAAATTGAACCTGAACACTTTCACTTTTTATTGTTCGATGGTGGCTTGGAACTCGAAAACATGGGAGGTGGTGGAGAGAATTGAAGAAAGTCCACCTCTCCTTCGTCGTGGTCCAGTCCTTCAAGTAAGGGGCTTGTTGGAACGAGTGCAGTTGTTTTTCGTTTGGCTTTGTTGTGTGAGTTAGTAGTGGTTGTTGAGGATTTCTTTTTTGTTTCCTCTTTCGTGGTTGTACTTGTCACGGATGTTGGTTTTTTCATTTGAGTATTTGAGGAGGATGTGGACGGAGTTGGTACGTTCGATTTTGATTTCGATCGATCTGTAGATTGTGCTGGTGGTGGCGGAGCTTGTTGATGGTTGATCAAATCAGCTTCCTTGTGAATTCCCTTTTCCTTTTCAATTTCTTGTTTAAGCTTAAAGGCTGCGAGTGCTTCATCTCGTTTCCTCCACTTTTCAGCCTCCTTTCGTTTCCGTTCTTCTTCCAATTCCTTCTCTCTTTCTAACTCTTTCTTCTTTTTTTCTTTGGCTCGAAGAATTGCTTTTTTTCGTGCCTCACTGATTTTCTCTTCTTCCATTTTCCTCTTTTCAATTTCCTCAATTTGTTTCATTTGTTCTTCTTCGTCTGAATCGAAGGAGAGTATTTCTTCAAGATACTTTTTCGTGTTTGCCGACTTTTGTTCTCTCAGAATTAAAGCTTGCTGTTTTTGGCAAATTTCCTCAAGCTTTTTGATTTTCTCCGCTCTTTCTTGTTGTTCCTTTTCTTTTTGCTCTTTCTCTCGTTGCTTCTTCTCTTTTAATCTCTCTGCTGCTAATTTTCTTGCAGTTTCTGGAGATACTGCTCGCACTTTCTTTTCATTTTGAGATTTTGAATCGATGGAATCGAGTGTGTCATGACCAGATGTAACGTTGACACGTTTCGTTTCAATAGGTGGTTTTGCAGCCTCTTTCTCTACTTTGGGAGTACGTGACAAACTTGCTTCTAATCTATTGTACATATTTTGCAATGCCTTATTTTCTTGAATTTCCTTAATTTGGGAAGGAGTCAGAACCCTTGGCTCTTTGGTCGATCTAGGGGTAATAATTGATGACGTATCTAGAGGCTCAATTTTCTCAATCTTTAGCTTTTCAGGGGTGGAAATTTTGTGTTTTCTGAATGGTCTTTTCGTGTTTCGAGCGATTTCTTTTGCTTCAGTTATTAGCCGTTCGCAGTTCTTGTTAAGTTGGTCAAGCTCATTCTCGTAATTTCTAATCAGCTGCTGTACAAGTGTCAAAGCTTCGTGCTTAAAATTTTCTTTGTATGAGAGTTCACATAAATGGTAGTTTAGCAGAGCTTTTTCTCGCCTCCCTCTCTCCTCAATAAGATTGAAGCTTTTTTTGATACACAATTCTTGTAAATTTTCCAGATAGCTTATTTCTGGTAGATTTAGGTCGAGTATGCTTGAATACTCATCACTTCCATCCACATCTGCCTCAGGATCAACACTTGGATGATACTCTTCTTCTTCACTTCCTTCGCTTCCTTCGTCGCTAATGGGCTGTTCATTTTCATCTGAGCTGAAACTGCGGTCTTCCTCTTGTAGTAATTCTTGTTCACCATGCTCTGAATTCTCTTCCAGATGTGTATTTGAGGTTTCAAGCTGCACAAATGGTTTGGAGTAGTTTCTCTGTTGTGATTGGAAATATTTGCGAATATCATCCTTCAACAATCTCACTAAGGGTATTATGGATGAGGAGCACGTGTTTTCGTTATTGACATATTGTTCAATTTTTCTCTCTACTTGTACAACTTGACACACCAGGTCAACAATACTCTCCATTTCTGATTTCAGTATTTCTACTTGTTCTCTCGACTCATCCGATTCGTCCAATGATCGTTTGATAATATCTATCCTTAAAGCTAGCTTATTAATTTCAGAAACTTTTGAAATGAGCTCCTCTTCTGAAAACCTTGGTTCTTGTTCCGAGAGAGCATTGTTCTCCGTTTCGGCATGCTCGTTTCTATATCCGTTTTGCTCCGAGAAGCCTAGCATCTCTTCTCTTAACAACTTTTCATCCTCTTCATCCAATTCGTATTCTTCATATTGAGGATATTTATATTTGCTGGTTTTGCCATAATTATTCGTATTTTCATAATTTTGCTCATCATGATCGGAATGATATTCATCTGCTTCAGTGTTATATTCTCCGTTCTCGTCATAATCATATTCTTGCTCATATTCATCGTCCTCATCATCCAAAGAGTTGTTTTCTGTTTTCAATTTCATTTCTTTGGATCAGCAGCGCTACAGTTGTAGATTGTTTTGATGATTTATTTTCTGCAAAAGTTCGCGCTGCTTTGTTCGCGCCAAATCTTCAAAACTCAAGCCGTTAATAATTTTAACAACAAAAAAATGGAACGATTCAACTCATCGTTTACTACATCATCTTCTCATCATCACCCTTTCCATCATTCACAACACTCAACGTTGAATACCATGCCACAACCATCTCTCACATCATCAACAGGACTCAATCACAGCTTTAACTCTTCCGGGATGACCGTCATTGTGAAGCCAAATCCATCTGCAACGATAGGTTCCAATCTTTCCCATAGAACTTCCTTGTTCAATAAGCAATATATTGTCGAGAGAAGTGCTGATCGTAGTTTGTTATTAGAATCCAGATCAAGCGTTGGTCCCAATTCTTTCATGATGGACGATGATGATAAAGAAAATATTTCCCAAACTTGTCATTTAAATGAACTCAATACATCAACGGCCATTGTAGATGCTCAAATTCCTCTTAAACAAAGCCTTACTACCACCTCCTCTAAACCCAATCATCCATTGAACAACATTACTACTACTAATACCACCTCGGAACACCATGAAATGAATAGATCCAACAACATGAACTCTCATGATCATCAGAACACGACGAGTTCTACCGCATTGAATCATGGTCCCACACTAGTTCTCAAACAATTTGCAAACAAAGTTTTCCTAGATTTTGGTAAGGTGAAAATGAATAGTGGTGTTGGTCGTGTATGCAATTTGTTGGTTGCAAATCCAACTTCTAAAGAACAAGAAATTGCAGTAGAAAAACTTCCTGTTCAATATGGATTTACGTTGAGAGAAGTGATTTATACAATTCCTCCATTGTGTAATGATTTTGTCATTCCTATTCAATGGACACCCACAAGTCTCGGAAAAGTGAATGGTCAATTAATCTTTTTATGGAATACTCGTTTTAGATTTTGTGTGAATTTAATTGGAGAAGCAATACCTGATGCTAAGAGTACAGCTGTATCTAGGAAACAACCACCTTTATCAACAAATTCTAGAATGATGAAGGGAACTCTAACGGCCACAACAAGATCTGAGCAAATCAAAAACAATACTTTTGGTGTGAATGATACTTTTAACATGTCTACATGCAATATTTCTGCCATTCTCCCTTCTCAAAACAGTCATGCTGTAGCAGATCACTCCATGCTCTCCACAGTTCCGATCGTACCAAACACCACAGTTCCCTCAACACCAGTCACAACGAGTTCAGCTGCAACTGCTCCTCTCATGCCAACTCAACGAAGAACACAACCATCAACCATTCAAAGAACATCAGTTTTGGAACGTACTGCTCGTACAGCAGCAGCACAACCACCATCCACCAATACCTTACCACCTCGAGTATCCACAAAGATTACCAAACCTGAAAAGATGAAACGAGAAAATCAATCCATGTTGAGTCATTCCAAGACACTGACAGCCGTAGCTGCTCAAAACAATACTTCTTCCCTCGCACGAGACAGCAATACGAGTAGTGTTGTGTCCACCACTCAAAAACGAATCATTCAAAGCACAGCTCGATCTGAAATTCAAAAGATTCTCGAAAGACAACGTGAATTGGAACGAGCACTCCCTGTCAGCATGCCTCAACTCGTTCACGAATTGAAGAATTTTGGAATTGGAATTCATCAAATTTCTCTTATTCAAGGATATAAGGATATTCGTGTGGCCATGTTACTTCAATGGGTTCATGCAGTTCTTGAAAAGTATGAAAATTTACCTTCAAAATATAAGGTGTGGAATTTTTCATCTCCATCTTTAAAAACAGAAGAAGAATTAGTTTTTGCGTTGATTAGCAATCAATATAGGTTGCCTTCTCCTCTTCCTCTCGCAGAAATTTTACCAAAAGATGATGAAGAGCGTGAATATCTTCATCATTATCAATATTCTGACAATGGTTGTTGGAGTGCATCCTTTTCACCCACAAAACTCAAAACAAAACCTGAAACTTCCAATAAGGAATACAATGAGCATGAGATGGTTTGTAAAATTGGTCATCTCTTTAATACATTGTATCAACAGAAGGAACAACTGGTTCGAACAAAGGCATTGGTGGTTATTCAAAATTGGATGCTTACCATCTATTGGAAACGAAGATTGCAATGGTTGAGAGAGAGCTCTTTGATTGTACAAGCTCGAGTGAAAGCTGTGTTAGAGCAGCGAAAACTTGATCGAATGAAAGAAGAACGAAAGCAGCGTATTCTTATGGAACTCACTGCTCGTTTACAAGGAATGGCAAGAGGATATCTTGCTCGAAAAGTTCACACAGAAGAGAAATCGAGAATTTGTGTTCAACAAGCTCTTATTCGATCCTTCTTGAATCAGAGAAGCAAATTTGAATGTACGCAGTCAGCACTGTCCATTCAAGCAGTGATGAGAATGTTTTTGACTCGAGAATTCCATCTTGATGACAAGTATGATTTGTTGATGTGCCAAGCAGTCATTAGAGCATTCTTGACAAGAAAGCAATTTTATATCGATTATGCCGAAGTTCTTGAATATAATAACATGTTAGAAATGGAAGCATTCGAGAAGTATATTAATGAATCGATTGAGGACTATGATGAAAATGTCACCTTGCATCAAGCCCTTGCAAAAGGTTCACTCTCTCGATTACAATTTAACAAGTCTCTACAAGCAATTACATTTATCCAATCTTGTGTGAGACAACACAAATCAAGAATTACATTCAAGAATATGAAGCAAGACATTATTTCCATTCAAGCGCTCGCAAGAAGAGTCCTTGAAAGAAGAAAGTATGCCCATGAAAAAGAACGAATCCATACTCAACAAGCACTTGTGAGAGGATTCTTGTCAAGAGAATGCAAACAAGTTGGAGAGAACCGAGTGGTCACCATGCAATCTCTGATTCGAAGAAGACAACATGAAATTATGCTCAACACATCAATGAAGCAAACCATAATCATGCAATCTCTTATTAGAAGATTCTTCAATGAATGTGATTGTCTGATTGATAGATATCGAGCATTCATATTCCAAGCCGCTTCTCAAGGAATTGTAGCAAGACGAAACAAGATGGAATCGATTCAGCATGTTACCACTCTTCAAGCTTTAATTAGAGGTCGTCTTTCCAGAAAGACTCGTGACACTAACATGGAATCTGTTTCCATGATTCAAAGATCGATGAGAGATTGTCTTTTCAGAAAGCATTATTCACAATTTGTTGAAAATATGAAAATGATTCAATCCAGTATGAGAAGTTATTCTGTACAACAACAAAAACACCAACGTATGAGTGCTATCATTACTATTCAATCAGTCATTCGAGGTTTCACACAACGAAAAACATGCTTTGAAAATACAACCTCCATCATTTCTCTTCAAAGCTCCATCAGAGGCAAAACAGAGCAACAAAAAGCAAAACTCGCCTTTGACAGCATTTTGTCACTCCAAGCAGGTCTCAGAGGCAAGGGTCGTCGAGAATCCATGTTAGACGATATGTATGATATTACTTTGAGCCAAGCTATTGTAAAGGGAGTCCTTTGTCGCTACTCATTCACATTTGAAGTTTTAGAAAGTGTGAAATGTCAATCACTCGTGAGAGGAGAGCTCGAAAGGAAATTATTAGAAAAGCAACGAGAGCGTGTCACTACTCTTCAATCCTTAGCAAGAGCTTATTTACAAAAAGAATCCATTGAAGACGACAAGTATGATGTTTCACTTTGTCAATCGATCATTCGAGGATTTTTACAAAGAAAGAAATTAGAACAAGAACGTCAATCTCTATTGAATTATCAAGCATTGGTGAGAAGTTACTTGTCCAATCGATTCTTCAATCATATTAAGAGTATTTCATCACAAATGCATTCTGCTGCCACTCGAATTCAAAAAGTATTTAGAGGTTTTATGGTGAGAAAATCTAACGCTGATCAAGTGAATATCATTCGACAACGCATTCAACACTTGGCAGAGAATACTGATGAAAGAAAGAAACTCAAGAATCGAACTCAAAAGGCATTGGAAGTGTTATTGAAATCAAATTCTGTGAATCAAGTGATGAGTGCTTGTGCAAGCTTGGCAACCACAACGAAATGGAGTGATAATTGCTGTGAAAGTTTGGTGACGAATGGTGCTGTTCCAATACTCTATACTTTTATTAAGATGTTGAACCGATCGAAGCCACATATGGATTTATTGATTCACATTTTGGACATTTTACTGCACTTGACTCGCATCAAGTATTTGAATTGTTTGGTTCACGAGAAGAATGAATATTTTGATATTTTGTTTGATCAAGCCCAAATTTACAGAGAAAAGGAAGAAATTTTCATGAGAGCAATCACTCTCATCAAGAAGGCAGATCCAAAACGATTGAAGAATGTCAAAGATACTCTCTTGAAACGATGTACAAGTGTCTCTCGTTTGATGGAACGAAAATATACCACCGAGAAGAAATCCATGAAGACGGCACAGAATCACCTCAACTCTTCAGCCCTCAATTCCAGCTCGCTCAATATTTCTCTCAACGACTCGAGTATGCTATCGAATCGAAAGCAAGCAGCATCTTCAAGCAACCACATGAACACATCGGGTGTTGGACGCTCGGTGGCCAGTAGTAGCTTGGTTCTTGCTTATGAGAATATTGCAGAACTTGTGGACGTTCTTAATAAATTAAAATAAATTTATTATTGTCTCAAAAAGCCTTGTTGGTGCTTGACATCAAATGCACGTTTGAGGAATTGTCTTGAATCGTTTCCTAATGGTAGGAATGCAGGATTTGAACGTGCAAAGAAGTTAATCTTTTCTTTCACTCTCTCGTGATCATCAAAGAACGCAACAATGGCTTCATCTGTGACATCTTTGGAACTTGTGAGCTTGACAAAGTGTTGTTGCAGCAAATAAACCTCATCCAACACATTGGTAATGGATTTACACTTGGCTGACACACCAAAATACTCATGTTGAGACATGTATGAAAGAAATTCATACACAAAGAGTCGAATAGGATCGAGAGATCTGAAGGCTATTTTTGCAAGACCTTCCAAGCAACAGGTTCTGATTTGTGGAGTATTGTACATTGTGTTTTGAATAAGTTTCAAAATAATTGATTTCATGGCAGCGTTGTGAATATCAAAAGTGTCAGGTTGCTCGTAAATAATCTTTGGATCAGTGATGTTAACAGTTCCAGAATCTTCAGTACTCTCTTTTTCATGCACACTAGGTTCGTCACAAATCTTGTTTGCATACTCTCCCAAGAATGTCAAAATAGAAAATGCAAGCTCAGAGGACTCCTTGGATCCAGTTAAACATTCGTCTAAAATTGTGAACACCATACTTAAGAATCTTGTGGTAAGCTCAATTTGTCTTTGATCTTTTTGTTTTGTTGGAATGAGTTGTTTGAAGAGGGCAATCAACAAGTCTACATCCACTCTCTCAGATAAATCTATACAAATGTATGAGCACAAGTTTGCAAATTCATCAAAAACAGATGGTCTGTTCTTTGAGAACTCTAAAAGTGTCATCAATAACTCGTGAATGTGGAAAGGCATCCAATTTACATTGCTTTTGATTTCCATTTTGAGTCTTCTTACAACTTGAGAAACCTTGTCCAATCTCCAGATACAAGCTTTAAATGCTTGGAATTTTACAAATGAGCAATCGTGAATCAGTACCGAGTCAATCTTTTTGTATAATTTTTGGAAAATAGCATTTGCTTGTTTCATCTCTGGTGTGTTTTGTGAAAGTGAAGAATATGGATCTGCGTCAAGTATTGCTCTAAATCTCTCATAACAACGCATTAAGTAGTATGTAGCTCGACAGGCAGCATGAATTTGAATTTGTGGTTTGCTCTTATTTAAACTGTTGCAAATTCTGGTCACTACAAATTCAAGAGTGAGAGACTTTTCTTGGTGAATGTCTTTTTCAAGGAAAAATTTAAAGTTTCTAAGAGAAACTTGCTTCACAGTCTCAAAGAATATTGTCAAATCTTCATCATGAAGTAAATGTTTGAGGGTGTCAATATACTTTTGTTCATATGGAGCGTCCTCTGATTCTTCTGCTTCTTCAGAGCTGAAAACCATTGGTTTGATAATACTAGAACAAATTCTTGCCAAATAAAATCTTGAGAAGACATCTTGAGCGTTCATGGTTGGGAAAAGTTCAACTTTTTTGTCATCTTTGAGCTCCTTCAATTTAGAATGAGTGATGGCCTTGGTAGGCTTTTTCTTGTCAGTGTTCACTTCAAATTGAGGAATTGAAGAGCTAAAGGCGAATAACGTTGGACCTGGAGAAATAGTTACCAGACCAGCAATGACAGTAGAAGCATCTCTTGAGCAATGTGGAGATTTGTTTTTAACACACACAATTACATTCTATAAAAATGTCAAATAAACTTAACATGGATAATAACAATAAACATACCTCTAGAATGCCTTTAGTGAGAACAGGATCCGAAATACTATTCTTCACAATTTGTAAAGCTGTTCTTAATAGGAAAAGCTTCTCTTCCTTATCAGTATCTTTGAAGAGCTTTGAAATCAAACCCTTCTTTGTAGAAAAACTGTTTTCTTTTCCTAGATCCTTCACAACCATTTGAATCATTTCATATAAGTCCTTCAAATGACCAGCAGCATCCTTTCGGGAGGGAAATGAACTTCTGCAAATTCTATCGATTGTACGAAGACAATACCCTCTGACACAATTATTCTCTGCAGATTTTGTAAATTCTGATTTTAAAGCAGAGAGTGTCTTTTCACGTAGATCTCGTGGTAAATTGATCTCGGAAAGCATGTAATGAACCAACGCCACAACTCTTCTGTCATCCACTCCGAGCACTAACAATAAGAAATACCATCAACGTAATTAGATGTAAAATTATAGAAGTGTGATCAGCATCATATGATTCAAGTATGTGTGTTATTGTTTTTGTACCATGTCATGACGATGGATGAAAATAAAAGGAAATGATAGAAGTTAGTACTCATCATCAAAAATTGTGGAAAAACGTACATGTCAAAAGTCTATTCACCAAAGTTGTCATGGTCGATGAAATTCTGTCAACATCGATTGCCAATGACACAGAAACATGATAGGGCAGTTTCTCATCTACCATGTTTTCCGTGGCAAAATATAATGTCAATTCATCCAATACTTTTGATATTTTAGATCCGTTCATCTTTTTAGGATCCTGACTTTCGGCCATATATCCATCAAGCTCCTTGATGATTTCAAGAACCTTTCTTTGGGCAAGTTTTGTTTGGATCATTGGAGAAATAACTTTGGCATTATCATTATCCAGCAAATGTTGTTGACTACCACTCGTTAATTCTACAAACTTTTTCAATTGAATAAAGCTTGTGTTTTCGGGTATTGTTGTGGGAGTGGTTGGAGTAAACACATCATTCTTGGTTGCCATTAAATGTTGTTGAGTATTGACTCCGGAGCTATGTTGATTGAACTCATCTGTGCTGTTCATACTTCTCATGGAGTTGTTGTTGGATGATGGAAAGGGCGGAGGGAATACATTGGATTGGGAGGGTGCCACATTAGGCGTGAGCATGTCATCATCATCAAAATCAAGAAGAGTATTTTGATTTTTGGGCATTTTTTTTAATGATCTTTCTTTCATTCGCGTATTGTGGACTCTCAGAAAACTAAAAGAAAAGTATTTCGTCGTCTTCTTCCAAAATGCCATTCATTGCTGAAGAACATGGCAACAATTGTGAAGAAACAGGAATGGATATTTTCAATATTGCAAGATCTCTCGTTGGAGATGACAGGCTGCCAATTTGTGTCGAATTAAAAACAGGTGAATTCCACCTTCGTTGCTTTTTTCGAGAACTGGTAGAGCCAACATCTGAAGGCAGAGAATGTTTAGGGCTAGGAGGAGATGGCAAATACTCTGAATATCGCATATGACTCGGTGTGGATGGCCTGTTGATTGGAGATGGTGCTTCTTCTTCCTTCACTGTCACTTTGGTAGCACAGATGTTAGGTACATCTTGTGGTCTGTGTACCGGTGTTTCTCGTGAAAGTAAGGAGTCGTTACTATGGCTGATGTCATTGGAAGCGTTTCTTTTAATCGAGCTCTTTCCCTGAAGATATTTCGTAATTTTGAGTTGAACATCTTTCCTTAAGGAAGTGGTGGAATGTTGCAAGAGCTCATGACTGGACGACAATCCCGATCCCTGGTCCACAAGACCTCTCAAATACTGATCAAGGATTCTTCTATGTTCCAAAAGCTGACCTTCTACCTTGGCTAATGACTCTCTTGGGAGGAGCATTGATGAAATGTTGCAACTACTGAAATGAAATCAAATCCACCTACCTTAATTTTGCATTTTCCTTCTCAAGTTTCATCTTGTCCATGGTAATTTCTCTACAAGCTCTTTCGAGACTTGCATTACGAACTGCAATTGCTGAATTATTTTCGGAATAGTTAATCGTCTTTTTTTTGTCTGTAGATGCTAGATTGATGGATCCAAAAGTTGATATTGATCAACGTACATGTTTCGATATTAGTTTGCAGCTCTGTAAGCTCCTTATTCTTCCTATCCAGTATTTCTTCATACTTTTTTAATTTAGAATTCAACAGGTCAATTTTCTTTGCCATCTTTTCTTCTGGAGTTTGTGATGAACACTCCGAAGCTTTGAGCAGAGGCATTATTTTCTTATTGTCTGAGACTTTAAAATTTGATTCAAAGTATATAATTTATTTCATATTATGAATTGGAGAGTTGAGTTGATTTAGAGAAAAAAGGAGGGTAGGAGTTTAAGGAATTGTCATCATTGTGATGATTAAAACACTATGGTTAGTGTGTTTAAAACTTTCTTTCTGTCTTTGACCATTCAACGTTCAACAACAAGTGGTTCAAGCTAAATCCATCAAATTGGTCAATGGCCTTTTCACAATCCTCAGGAGTGGTGTAGGTGATGAGAGCAAAACCTCTATTACGAGTTCTATCATTGTTAAATGGAAGATAAACTTTCACAATTCTTCCAATATCACCAAATAATAATCTTAAATCGCTTTCTGTGGCTCTTTGGTCCAAGTTGCCTACTCTGATGGTAGTATTGACATCACTACGTCCAGCAGTTCCAGCTCCGAGTTGTTTGTTCTTCAAGCTGGGAGGAATGTAAGCTCCACTGCTTGGAGCTTTGAGCTTGTCTTCATCTTCTTGTGGTTCATTCTCGGAGGCTTCTTCTTTGGTCTCTGTGGCCTCTTTTGCAAGTTGCATTTGAATTCTGTTGAGTAAAAGTTCTTGTTCATCCATCACGGTTTGTAGTGCTGTTGATTGCTTTTTGTTGTTGGTATATTCGAAATTAATTGGTTCTCCAACAGCGGTAACTTCTGGAAGGTTACCTGATTGAGCAGAACCAAATTTCTTCCACTTGCGTCTTTCTTCAACAAGTGGATTATGCTTCTTTTGAACTTTTACAGTTTTGATTTTTTTAACAATTCTCACTTTCTTTCCATCCTTCATCTTCTCTTCAATGATTGTTTTAATTCCGGTCTTTTTATCATCAATGATTTGAACAATGTTGCCTTCTTCTTCTTGGTCGGCCCATGATTTGCTTGCTGTTGATGATGTTGGTGTTGCGATGGTCATTTTTTTTTAAAACTCAAATTGTTGTATTTATTTTGAATGGAATAATTTATTGAAAGCATTCTGGAATGTATTGATGACGTTAATGCGAGACATGTTCATGGAGTGGTTGAAGTGTTTTTGTTCGATTCTTCCTTGTCAATGGATTTGTAGAGATCTGATGAAGCAAATTTTTGCATTAATTTGTAATCGGATTTCGAGACAGAGCCAATCACGTCGGAAGTGCATGCATTGGAAGCACATTTGCCACTGTTGACTCCTTGAGAGTTAATTTGTTGGATAGCTCGTGCTAAAAATCTGGGAGCACAACAACTCGTTCTAGACATTTTGTTATTTGTTATTGAATGGAAACTTTTCACATCCACTTTAAGATTTGTTGGTCGCAAAGAATTAAATATCGGCGAAACCTTGTAATATGTGTATTTACAAATTATTTTTGTACATGAGAGTAGTGTACATCGTGTAATAACATGATGAGAAATTATTTATCCTTCTTTGATTCTTGATCTTTCTCTTCGTCCTCATTCTTGTCGTCTTTAGCAGTTGATGAGCTTGTTGTCTCGTTCATGGATTCAGCTTTCCCTTGCTTGAATAAGTATCCTTTCCCCATGAAGAGCAAACTTCCACCTAGCATACCTATTCCACTACCAACAGCTGCCGTTGTTGTCACAGCACTAGTGTAATTGTTGTACACAAATAATAACCATTAGTGGTATTTAAATTGCAATAATAATTGCTGAAGGAAACAACACACATGTATGTACTACTTACCCAGCACCAAGCTTTGCACCAACGTAAGCACCAAGAGGTCCACCAATGATACCTCCAGCTAGCAGACCCAAGCTTATCATGGCAGCAGTTCCATAATAAAACTGTTGTTTTTCACTTGGAGCCGATGATGATTCATGAAGTAGTGTGTTTGAATTAATGTTATTATTGGTCACAGATTCAGTATTAGTGTTGGTAGTTGAAGGATTATTATTTGCATTGCTTATTGAATTTGAGTTATTTACAGAGGGAGATGTTGCAAACGTCGATTTCTTCGTTGAATCTTCCAATGTTTCAAACACTGAAACGATTTCAGTCAAATCATTTTTCAATTCATCCAACTTATCCGAGGTCATGTTTTCTTCGTCATTCATACCGTGTTGATTCAACAACTCTTGTTCGAATTCATCTTTTCTGAATATATAGTTCGACAGTTTTTTATAAACAGGTGCAAGGTAGCCACTCTTGGACGTTTCTGGCAAATTAGATTCAGGATATTTTGTTTCTAGCTCTTTGAGACGTTGGAAAAGAGCGTTCAACTCTTGCATTCGTTTCTTGTAACGTAATACATCGAGATTATGATATTCCGAAATGTGAGAGTTGTGTGCGTATAATAATTCATGTAAGTCTTTTGAGAGAGATAAAGCAAATTCTTTTTCATGTTTAATATCCTTTCGGATCAGAAGAGAGTCTTCGTTCGGTTTGCCAATAACGTCCAATAATTTCTTTATATTATTTAAACAATTTTCATACACTTCTAACAGTGACAAAAATTGTTCATATAATTGCTGCTCATCTAACTGATCAAATTCATCTAAATCGGACAAAGTATCTATTTGTTGTTGATCCTCGTGATGAGTTTCATGGTTGTTGTTGCTTATCATTTTTGTTTGAAGATTTTTCGAAAAATATAATTAAAACAAAGGGTTGTTTATTTTGGGACTTCGATCAATCCTGTTCTACTGTACGTTTTGGGAAGATTTGTGTACACATAATGCTAGTCCAGTAATTAAAGAGAAGCAAAAGTTTCTGGTTTCATATAGAATAAATTCAACGGATCTGGTTCTTGAAATGATTACAACACCATAAAATCGTTTGTTGAGTTCAGGGATTATCGCAATTTTCATAGCTCTTGCTTGTTCATTTGTCATTTCTAAGACTTTGATGGAGACAATGTCATTGAGTTTAACTCTTCTTGAAGCACGCTGGCTTGAAGAGCTCTTTTTCTTGGTTTCCGAATCTGACCAAGTGAGCTCTCTTGACTTTGGATCAACAAACGCAAATCGCTTGTGAACTTGTCCTTTAGGAGTGTTTTTAAAAACGTAACTTCCTCGAACAATCTTTTGAAGACATTCTTCTTCCATGGAAAGAAAAGGCAACCATGCTTGGCTCGTTTTGAGACATCTCATAATATTACCGCTAAGGTCGTAACGAAAAGCGAACCGTCTTAAGCCATTTTCTCCAATAATTTCGAATTGGTTGACAAAGAGATCCTCCAAATTCTTAAATTTGAATGGCTTAATCACCTTTGTATAAAGCTCTTGTGACTGATCGGGCATGGTTCTCATGCCAGATTCGACCTGAGGAACAGTCTTATGCGGTGGTATGTAGTTATCATTGTAGCCAATAATCTTTCTTTCAAATTGTTGTGTTGAAATAGGTGTGGAAAAAGAGCCGATACCCTCATTTTGATAAGTGTTATACATATGGTTTCCTAAAGCAAGATGAGCATTGTCCAGCTCTGAATGAAGGGTGTTAAAAACATCATGAATCATAAACGTGGGTGGTGCAGCGAACATCTTCCATCGCTTATCTTGAATTCTCCACCCTAAAACACCGCTGCTGGAAGGGGGATTTACAACACTCTGAAGGGAAGCGATCGAACCGATGGTGATCTCGCCTTTTCCTTGCTTATGCTCTCCACCATCTTCAGGTTGTTGATGTGATGGAACAGAGTCCTCCTTAATAAAGTGTGAGGGCGATAAACTTTCGTCTTTAAGATTGTGACGAGATTCATTCAAGCCTTTAACCTCTACTTCTGTTAATTGTTTTGAAGGAGACAAAGTATACGACTGGGAAACTTCTGTAGACAGGGCAAGTTGCGGTATGACAGGTTTTTTTGGGCTTTCCTTAACGAAGCTGTTATCCTTTGAGTTCAAGTTTGAAGTTGTCAGAAATTCGTTCATAATATCGACATCTGTGCCATTTGATGTAAAGTTAGCAGGATCGTCATTAAAAAACTCTAGCTCGCCAACATCAATGTTATGTACGACAGCTTCCAAAGACTCTTGGTTTTCTCGATTTTTTCTCCTTTCCTTGATCATTTCTACAATATCATCTGTCTCGTCTCTCTTACTTGATTCTGTTTCTTTTAACACCTCTTCTCTTTCTTTTCGTTTATTCAGGATTCGGTCGAGTTGTTCTTGAAGTTCATCCACATCCTCTTGTTTAATATCGTCCTCAGAGTTTGAGGAGGAAATATCAATCACTGGGTCTTGTATTACATGTTGGGTTTGTTCATTTCGATTTGATGATGAATCTATCAGAGAGATTGATCCATCCTGTGGAGAAATTTCCTGTATATCCATCGAAAATGCTTGTTGTTTAATGCTGTCAGTCTGTGATTTCTCCTTTTTGCTGATCATTAGTTCCTTTAAATTTAAGGACAATGGCCTTTGATTTTTGGATGAATTGATTTGAATCAAATGACTGGATGGACTTGATCCTCTTTCTCCAGTTTCCAAATTACTCTTTTCAACAGCGGCTGTTTGAGGTCCGATCGGGGAGAGAGCAGGAGAGGATAAACGAAACTTTTCTCGGAATGAAGGTTTTTGAGATGATACATTTGTTGGTGTTTGTACGACCTCCCCTGCCGTTTTAACAGCAGGACTGCTCTGTACAAAAGATGGGGAGGCTGGATTCATTATTATTGGTCAACGGATTGATAACAAGATATTAAGATAGGGTGTTTTAAAATTTACAAGAGGTCAGCCTCAATATTTTTTTATAGGTGAAAAAACCGTTACCAAGAAGATTGATCTTTTCATCATGTTTGCAAATATAAGGATGTTTCAATAGTACTCCACCAATACAAATCAAATGGAAGAACGTGAAGTCATACAGGACCTATCATGAATTGAACCTCTTGCCGCCAAAAACCGTTTGACAAATTTTCTTAAAAAAAATATTTCCAAGCAGAATGAACGAAGCATATTTTGTTGGCCGTAAAGAATTACTCTCATGGTTGAATGATAGTTTTGGTTTTGGATTAGAGAGAATTGAACAAACATGCACCGGAGCATGTGCATGCCAAGTTTTTGATTGTTTATATCCTGGAGTTGTGCCTCTCGGAAAGGTTAATTTTGAAGCAAGATTTGATTATGAATATATCAAGAATTACAAGATTTTGCAAGGAGTATTTACTAAATTGAACATTCCAAAAGTAATAGAAGTGAACAAACTGATCAAGGGAAAATATCAAGACAATTTAGAATTCTTACAATGGCTTAAACGGTTTTACGACGTTCATCATCAAGAAGGTTCCGAATATGATGCTGTGGCAAAACGAAACGCTGCCATTAAGGAGTACAGAATTTTAAACTCAAAAGGAGGCTCATCAACGTTAAATACGGCTTCTTCCCTCGCCTTGTCGACGACATCATTGTCTTCAACAAATAGCAGTCAGCTCAATAGTACCATAACTTCGTCAATGGGTGCTCCTTCCCAACGAAAACCAAACCTCAATACATCCATGACATCTACTGTTTCTTCAAAGCAAAACGTGAAGAACATCAACACAACAAGAGGTGGAAAGGCTCAACAAGAGAAAAAACAAATTACCAAGCCTTATGCTTCACTGCAGTTGCGTATTGAAAATTTGGAAAGAGAACGAGACTTCTACTTTCAAAAGCTACGAGATATTGAATTGTACACACAAGCTATTGAAGACAATCCATCTGCCACGCAGGAACAATTATCATTCATGAGGGATATTCAGAAAATTTTATATGCCACAGATGAAGATTTTGTTTCGGTAGACGACGATGAAAACATGAGTGACTCTAATAAGGAAAATGTTGCCCTAGAACAATAAAAGAGCAACTTTGATAACTAGATCAGAACGCATTTGAAGTTTTTGCATTTGCAATTTTATAGCATCGGCACACCTGGGATTGAAATATTTCTAGGAGTTTTGCCATCGTTTGCCATGACAGGTAAAAGCAAATCAGGAGCAGAGGGTATGCTCGTTCCAGTTTTGACATTGTAAAACATTTGACCTTTCGCTAATTCCTCTTGCAAAATTCTCATCTTCTTCTCTTCCCATCTTTTCTTGGCTTCTTCTTGATGTTTCAGCATTCGAGTCATGGTTGAGACTTTTGTCAACGTAAGTTTTGGCGTTTCTTTAGGCGGCTTTGGCACTGAAGGAGCTTGTGGTTTGTATGTTTTTTCTTTCTTCTGTACACTGTAGGATGGATTTTCCTGTAAGTCGTTCGTTTTTATCTTTGCCTTATATCTCATTTGTTTCATTGCATTATACAGTTTCATCATGAGAGCCACCATGGACCGAATTAAACGACTTGGATTTCTCTTTGTCTTGGTTTCGTCATCAGCCTCTTCAATCAGAAAATTTAATTGCTCTCTGACTGCTTCTCGGTAGGAAACACCTCCATTCTTTCTCTTAGGAGATATTGGGCTACCCGATGGAGATTCAGTTTGTGATTCTGCACCATTCTTCTTTTTAGATTTAAGCTCCTTATCTATTTTCTTGTTCAAGCCAATCCAATCATTCATAAACTCTTCTTCTGAATATTTGGCATTGTTTGGACCTTTCTGGTTTGTAAAATAATTTAAAAATGTTAAAAACTTTCTCAGTCGTTTGTGTGAAAAGTATACATAGTCAATTAGCTTATCGGCCTCCACTAAAATGATATTAATAATGTATTTCAGTTCGTCCACATCATTAACTTCCTCAATTTCACGCAAAATTTCGCTTGTTGGCTTGAACTCTTCAGTATATCCTTTGTAAAGAGAGATGGAAGACACGTCAAAATGATCACCGTCTTCGTCCTTCATTCCTGTCGTCTCTTCACCTCCATCGGCACCATTGGTAGAATCACCTTTTGTGAATTTTGATTTTGCGAGCCTGAGTCGTTTGAGCTCTGTATTCAACTTTAATATTTCAGACTCAGCCTTTTCTTTTTCTATGAGCCATTTCCTTCTCTCATTGTCCATGTTTCTTTGCTCGAGTAATTCATGTCTTCTATCTGTTTCAGAGGTTGGTTTTCTACCAGCTTGTAATCTTTTCGGGTTCTCATCGAAGTGAGATTGTTTTTCTTGATTTGCTTTGGTTATAACATTGAATTCGTTGAGCGTCTTTCCTAATTCCTTATTTTCTAATTCTTCAGAGTTAACACCCTTTTCAACAAGCATGTTTCTCAGTTTTCTAATTTCTTCTGTCATCTTTTGAATAATATCGTTAGACATGTTAATTTGTTGATTCTGATCCTCTATTTTAACAAAATGCTGCTCTTCCATGTCCATCAATTTCTGTAACTCGTATGCATCAAAATCTTGATTTTTCATCCTGTCGTTCTCCAATCTTTTCACGGTTTTAAATAGAGTTTCTGCTGTCAAGTAAAGTCGTAACTCTGTTGGAGTGAATTTTTCCAAATCAATGGTAGTTGGGAAAAAACCTAACTCAGACTTGTCTACCTCGTAGTTGTAAAAATTGTCCATAATCCATACTGGACTGATATCTGTTCGTTTGTGTTCAGGATCGTGAAATTCCTCATCAGACATGTTTTCAATGTCGTCAAAAGCCAACGAGGACGTTTCTGACTCGTCGTCTGAAAGTTTTTCTAAAGAGTGTTTAGTGTTCTTTTTTGGTTTGCCCCTAGGTTCGTCTTCCTCCGATTCGCTCTCATATTCCTCTTTCTTTTTCTTGGGTTTCTTAATTGAAGATGAGTTTTGTTCAACCTCTGAATAGGAGGAAGGCTTTGTGATATTAGTAGGAATGTTAGATAAATCATATCCATCCAAGTATGTATCTTCTGGAAGAGTCATTCCCATATTCTTTTCAAACTCTTCCAGATCAAATTCTCCATCACTTTTCCCAGTGAGAATGTACTTTAAATCAATAAGCTTGCAAACATCTGGAGATTTTAGCCGGCTTATAATCGCTTTCAATAAATTTTGTTGTTCATAAAATCTGTCCTTAAGCCTGTCATGAAAATCCGCATGTCGTTTATCCCTCTCCACTAAATTCTCTATCAGCTTTTCTTTGTCATGGACTCTCGATTTCAAAGTATTCACCGAGGAACTGGCATCATCTAGCTCTGAAATAGAAGCGCCAATATCAGTCTCTATTTTCTTAAACTTTGCTGTTATCTTTTTCAAAAATTGTTTTCGTTTCTCCTCATCTTTAAATGTTTCAGCATTACAGTCTAATAGACTAAACCTCATATTTTTGTATTCCTCAAAGATTGTTTTAAGCCTGTCTAAAGTTGTGACAATACTCTCTTGTACATCTACCAGTGGTTCTAAAACGCTCTCGTTCTTTACATCTAGCATACCCTCAATTTCCATCACCTCTTCCTTATCTTCTGTCAGATTTTCTGCCTCTTCGTCGTACGATTTTATCCAAGCCATGACGCCTTTCAGTATATTCGCTCTGTTATTCTGACGTTGGTCTAAATCTTTCGTTATATCAGCAATCCTATCTCTGCTTTGATTAATAACTCCTAGCCGATCCACTTGCTCCTTGAACACTAAATCTGAAATCTCATCAACGCTCAAAAATTCAACTTCATTGTTAAGATTTTGTGCTCCTTCATAGTCTTGCAATAACTTGTCAATTCTTCCAAGTCCTTGCATCATTCTTTCAGCTTTAAGTTGTCTGGTTTTAAGTAAATCGTTAATTCTTCTCTTTTTCAATTTTTTAAGCTGGCCGGGTAGCATTCCAGGGGCTAAATGAGCTAACTCCTCATTAACTCTCTTTTCCAACCTGTCAAATTCAGATTTTGTAATCTTATCGGCCATGGGAATGTCAATATCCGTCTGATCCAATATTTCTTGCAACATGTGTGATTTTGGTTGATATTTTGTTGCGTATCTAGAGGCATCATTGACAACTAAAATTTTAACAGAGGTTTTGTCGTCAAAATCTGTAACACTTCCATTCATATTTGACTTTTGTTTGTTGTGATGGAAATGTAATCGAGGAGTCTCAATAAAGTCTTGCTCAAAATCGTCGTCAAACGATCCAAAGCCCCGTTCTCGGGCAGAAGTGGGAGAAATCGTTCCCTTTTGTCGTCTGTGGATATTGTTTCGTAAAATAGGTAATCCTTTCTTGTCATCATAAAAACTGGAGTTACCGGTTCTAAATGAGCTTTCAGTTACGTCATCTTTAAACGAGTGTTCAATTTCTCCAATTATGGACCTATTTTTCATATTTTCAAACTGTTTCCGAATAATAGGTGAAGTATTTTCCTTATACTTGTTTAATTGCTCTCTGAGAACTGCGGGTGAAGGGGATATCGACCGTTCCTCGTTTGCTCTGCCATGATGACTCTTTTTATGCAACATGTATGGAGACAGCCTTCCAGACAAATGATCCGAAGATTGTGGTCGTTGTTTTGGAAAATGAGCTACAGCAGCTGGAGTCCGCACTGAAAGGCCTTTTTGATAGTGTTGAGGCTTGGTTGGATAGTGCTCAGGGAGCATGATACGATCCCTATCCAGCAGCAAGTTTGATCCTGTGTTTGTTGTATTGTTGTTGCCATGATGATGATGATTCAGAAATCCCGACGATGCTTTTTGATGATTGTTTGATGCTGTAGATGTACTCGAAACGAGTGTGGGCGGCAAAGACCTAGCCGTTTGACTCATATTTTTCTATTTCCTTGGCCTTATTTTCTCTGTCAGAGGGTCGAATGAACAGTTTGTCCCAAAACGTGTCATGACAACCTCCATAACGTCCTATGATACCTTTCAATTCATACCGGCCATCTGTCTGTTTATAAATTTAAAACTTCAATGCTGCCTCCATTCCAATAGTGGAGAGCTTAATTGCAATAATGGAAATGAGAGATGTTGGTTGCATTTTCGAAAGCTGTAGTTCTCCGATCTAAAATTTTGGCGGCGAAAGTTCCCTCAAGACAAAATATTAAATTATTTGGGAATTTTAAAGAACTCCTCAACCATGCAAGTGTATTTTGAGTTGAATTAAATACAATGAGTTGAACCTAGTATGGTCGGTGATTGCCATGACAATGTAAAGAGCCCTTATTTAACGTTTCCTTCTTGAAACAGTTGGGGAATTACATGCTTCCTCAATATAACTCTCTAAAATGTCTTGTTGTCGTATGTTGGAGATGAGTTTAAACGCTCCGCCCAGAGGAGGAGAAGTAGCGTCCTTATGGTTGCTACTGTTGTTGTTGCTTGAAGGAGTGTTAGTATTGTTAAGCTTTGCCAATAGTTTGTGATCAATTCGAGGTGAGAATTTCAAAATTTCCGAATTGGATGGAGTGGATGGAGAGGCCTTAGAGCTTTGGAAAATGAGAGGAGACATTCGTGGACTGGCAGATGACGACGTTGTTGCAGTGACAGAAATGCTGGTTGTTGGCGTGGCATTCGAAACGGTGGCACTCCTTCCTTTTGTTGGACTTCCAGGTGTCAAATCTAACTCACTTGATGTGAACGATTTTTCAAAAAGACTGGTAGATCGACGGTGAAGTCTAGGAGGTATTTCCTCTTCTTGCTGCTGTTGAGAAGTATTCTCTATTGTTTCCTCTTCCATTTCTCGTTTCATATCAGAAAGAACGTCATCAAAGTCTTTTGGATAGTTACCACTGATACGAAATTGCTTGTCATCAATTCCAATATGAACATCGTGATGGAAATTTGCTGGATTTGGGGCCTTAATCACAAGGTCGCGCTTATCACGAGGTAGTTTAGGAACTCCTTTTGAAGTTGGAGTGTTAGTATTCGAAGTAGAGCCCGCTCCATTATTGGTTGAAGTATTTTCTCCATAGCCAACCAGTCCTTTAAGGTGACTAATGATGGTCGGTCGCGATATGGATCTCTTTCTGTGTGGAGTTTCTACTTCATCTGAATTATTTACATTCTTATTTACATTGGGTTTGAGATGAGTATTATTATTATCTGTTGGAGAGGACATGTCCTGAAGTTCTGGAGGTGAAGAATGACCACCATGATCGCCCTGTGATTGTGGTCTGATATGATCAAATTCACTACCATCATCCCCACCTACGGTAACTCTGAATTGATTGGAAATGAGCGAGGGTTGGATGGCTGAAGGTAATGAAGAATACATATTTCCATCGCGTGGTGTGATTGGAGTTTTTTTCTTTGGTGTTTGAGTCTTTTCTTCTTTTGTGAACTCTTTGTGTTTAGGTTTTTTTGGTTTCAAGTCAATATTATCTGGTAACTTTTCTCCTAATAATGTATAGGCATTGTGAAGGAGAATTCTTAATTCGTCAGAATCGTAACTGGTTGCTCTGAATTTTTGAATTCTATGCAAAATATCTGATACTTGCTTGAAATTGTCTAGACTCTGAAGTGATTTGTATTGCTCCAGTCTTTCCTTCAATTTTGTGACAATATGTTCACACACTTGCTTCATTTGAGAGAATCGAATCATGTAAGGTTGATTCAAAATTTCCTCAGCAGAAGGCCGATCTTTGTGATGTTTGTTCAGCATTTTTACAATTAGCTCTATCATTGGAATTTCTTGTGGATATCGATTGACCATGTCATTCACAAGAGCGCCTTCTTGCCTAAGTGTGACAATACGTTCTACTTGTTTGCTCTTGAGCGTCATGAGCTCATACATGACACACCCAAGGGACCAAATATCTGTCTCCGACCCGTACTCATCATTATTTACAATTTCAGGAGACCAATAATTCATGGTACCCACTTGGGAAAATAACCCATGAGATTTGGGAATGTTTTTAGCCAATCCAAAATCTCCCAATACTATCTTACACGTGTGCTCTGAGCATTCCTCAAGAAATATATTTTCAGGTTTCAAATCTCTGTGAATAATTTTTCTCTTGTGCATGAAACTTAAACAATCAGCCATTTGTAAAATAAAATCATAGATCCACTAATAAATGTGAAACCGTGGAGCCGAAAATAGTTCTTAATTGCACTCATTCGAAATGTAAAAACATACATGTATCGAAATTTTCAAATCCTTCTTTTCATATTCCTCGATAAATTGTCTCAAATCTCCTTTTTCGTAATATTTCATTGTGAACATGGCACCAGGTTGTAAACTGGTGAGCATTTCATAATAATCATAAACTTTCATGACGCTCTCATGTTCCAACGATTTCATTAATTTATACTCTCCATAGACATTTGGCATTACATTTCCAGAAGGTGAAACAATTTTCAGAGCCATTCGTTCTCCTGTTGGAGATCCATTAATTTCCTCTCTACACAAATAGACACATCCAAAACAACCTCTTCCAAGTATGCTCTCAATATGAAATGATCTCTTTGTGTGTGTCTTCAATAACGTCTCGCTCACAGTTTTTGGTTTGATGAATGGTTTTGGAGGATTTGATGGTGTAGCCACAAGCTGTGATGAATCCACAATGAGAATTCTATTATCATAAATGTCTAGGAAAGCCTTGAGTGGATGATCGGTAGGAGAACAACTCGTGTCATTTGAAGGAATGTTTTTCGTTACATCATTACTTGCTGTATTTGTTAGTTCATGAGAAGATGATGCATCATGAGTATCACTCTCTTGTTGAACAAATGTCTTGTCTTTACTCCCACGGTAATGAATGGAAGGTCTTTTTTGTGGTGTTGCTTGTTGAGTGCTAGCATTGTTTGTCGCAAAAGCAAGTTGTTCACCACCACCACCACTGATTGGAGTGTTGGCTGTAGAGGAGGGTGTGCTCGTCGTGGAGGAAGCCAACAGCAATTGTTGTTGTTGTTCGAGAGTGATTTGACTCTTTAATGGAGGAGAGGGATTCTTCTCAAAAGCTAATCGATGAGGATTGGTGTTGTTCATTGTTGTAGTAGTGCAATGCGGAGTAGTTGTACAACCAGATGAGCTCATCCTCGTTGAATCCGTTACTAATGATTGAATAGAATCAAGTGAAGGTGTGATAGACTCATCACTTGCTGTGGTGGTGGTTGTTGTTGAAGAAGGAGGAGAAGAGGTTTTTACTGGGAGAGGAGGAAGAGGTTGTCGCGGAGAGATTTTAGGTACTATTATAATACCACCACTATTGCTATTACTCGTAGTAGAAGAAAGAGAACAGTCATAATTGTTGTTGTTGCTGCTGCTGATTGTAGTAATGGTGTTATTGTTGTTATTGGAAGAATTGATCGTGGTTGGTAATGGAGGTAATGTTTTAATGGATGAAGAAGTCATATTCCGCGATGATGAGAGAGCTGTAGTACTATTGCTGGGTGGCTCATTGAAAGTCATCATGATGAAAATTCACTCGAGTTTGATGAATTCCTTGATGATGTAATAATTTAATAATTCAAGAAATATGATACAAAGTATGATAGTGATGGTTAATGATGCAAATATTGTTGTACAATTGGATCCGTAACGGTCAAATAACAATTTGAGATTCAGTATGTTGTTGAGCTTTATCACATTGAGCCAATGAGTTTTATTTTCTCATATTTTTGTGTTTGGTTCGTATGACAGTTGAAGGATGCTTTGTTAAATTGGACTTGAAGAGAAATTGGAAAGACTAAGGAATTGTTTTTCTGGTCAAGTCACCGATTAAATTGGAGACGGTATACAAGCGTTTTGATGTGGTGTGATAGATCTACAAAAATTTTGGTTTTTACACCTTGCCTTTATTAAACGCATGCAATCGTGTGTAGAACATGCAAATATCAAAAAGCTGCCATTTGATCCATCGTTAATATTTCACTTTGCACCATGCAAGTCATTCATATATTAGAGGATACGCAGCCTGATTCAGCTTAATAGCTCGTGTTTTGATGCCATATTCAGTGGCTGTTCATGAAAATAAACAGCAACTGCCACCACTGATTTGTTCTGAACGTAGTGAAGGGCAGTGCTCAATAAAGTCTAATGACAAAATATGCAGAAAATCCCTCAAACACCAATCCTTTTCCAAAGGATGGATGTTTGGCGAGTTACAAACCCATTAGTTTTCCTCCAATTAATTCCAAACTCTTGTTGTTGTTTACAATGTAGAAACATCGGTTATCGAAACCTGTCATCCACGAGTCCACTTCTCACAGTCATAAAAGTAGGGGAGTTGGTTGAAAGTTTCTCGTTAGGCTTAATGTTAGAGGTAGAAAATCCAGTGGTATTAGGCGAAGTTCTTGGAGAGGGTGTTTGTGATCCTGTAGATGGTGTAGAACCTCCTCCCAAGCCACAACATCCCCCAGTCTTTGTCACAGCAGGGCTTGTAGATCGAAGAGAATAAGAGCTCGAAGTAGTGGAAAGAAAATCGTCATCAGTCGATCTTGCACCCTTATTTTGAGATGTTTGTGATGAGAATTCATGTCGTTTTCTGTGAGATTCTATCAATTTCTTGGCAATTGTCAAAAACATCTCATCGATTCCTTCATTGTCTTTAGAAGAGGTCTCAACATAAATTGCGTTGATACTTTGGGCATATTGAATCATGTCATAAAAGGGATATGAAGGATCATTATAAATTCCAGTGACTCCAAATGGATTGTCAGCTCCATTAGTAGATTCATTTGCTTCGCTTATCGGCGATTGTGAGTTAGGATCATGCTGATGAGGAGGCGAACCAGTTGACGTTGAAGTTATCGATGTATAGGATCCAGTCCTATCTGCTGATGACGAGTTATCCGATCTGTTAGACTTGTTTAGGTAATTCTTAATAAAAGTTCTCCATTCAGAAGTTTCTCTAAGTAAATCGCATTTTGTGCAATTTATCACAATCAAAATGTCATCATCAGCATGCATTTGTAGCTCTTTCACCCAATTTTTAACATTTTCTGCTGTTTGAGCTCGCATGCTATCAAAACAAATAACAGCACAAGCAGCTCCACGGTAGTACATTGGCAACATTGACTTGAAACGCTCTATACAACCAAGTAAGCTTGATAATATCACTATTCATACACATACCTTGTCCAGCAGTATCCTGAGGGCATATAGAAATATGAAGTTACACAAATATCAATATAATATGATTTGAAACCATCTTTTGGTGTGACGTCAACATACCCATAATTGCAATGCAACAACTTCATCATTGCATAGTAATCTTTTGGTAGAAAAGGTTGCTCCAATAGTTGGTGTTTGAGATCTAAATTTGTTAGTGTTATATCTTGCAAGAAGACATGTTTTACCCTAATTGTTATGTTCAAGCAAATCCATGATGATTGTTGCAAATGATTCTAGCATGACTCAAACATGCATCTGATACATACCACTCCAGAGTCTCCAATTAGCACAACCTTGTGCATTTGTTCATTTCTAGTTTTGTACATGATTCAATCATACACTCCATACGATAACAATAATTCGATCGATTAGAATCTAGGATCCTCCGAATATAGTTATTTTCAAAGCCGATAATCGAAACAATATCAGTTACTCCGAGAATTCAGACGAAATTATATTTTCAACTCCAAGTATGAAAATCAACAATAATCTCACTCTTCGATGATTAAGAGTTTGTTTATCAAAGAAGATGAACGGTTTGCTTGTGTTTATCAACCGCCAATTTTTTTTTGCGTGTTTCTGCACCCCGTACAATTTTCCATAATAAAAGCCGTTAACGTTTGTGTGGCTTGGAAAGAATGCTTTCGGAATGAAAAACGATGGGCACAGTCATCAGATTAGAATTTCATTGGCGCAAAATACCAGAACAAAATTAGCAATTTGGTCATTTAAAGGACCGTGATATTTCAAAATAAGGAAAGAGAATCATTGGGTTCTGTGAAGCACTTTCTGCATTGAAAAGAACAACACGTGGTCAAAAGAAAGGATGAGCCTCCCCTATTGAACAACATAAACTGTAGGAGAAGAACACCCCATCATCAATTCTCCTCCAAGCTAACACGTGTTTTCAATTTTCGGAACCGGTATCAAACACACACAAAAAAAAATGACAAGCTTTTGGGATTTATGGGCTGGTTGGCCTTTCGTAACCAAGCACATTGGTGTTTTTGCTTTTGCCATGACTTGTGCAGTATCCTTTAAATTTATCTCACCCTATTATTTTGTACTGCTATTTGATCGGATATTTAGTACGGATATCGAATTTTGGAGACTGATTACAAGCGCGTTCTTCTTCGGAGGCTTCGGAATGAATTTCTTGTTTGCATTCTTGATCTTTATACAATACAGTGCTCAATTAGAGAAGGATCGATTTGATGGACGTGTTGCTGATTATATATTTTGCATTATTGTGGGAATATTGGCGATGAGCGTTTTTGCATATTTCACGTCAGCAATGCTTTTATCGAGTTCTCTCATGATGTATTTGGTGTATATTTGGTGCAATTTTCATCCTGACAGCAATTTGAGATTAATGTTTGTACCTGTTGAAGTACCAAGCAGGTATTTCCCATTTGCACTTGCTGCTTTGCATATTGTCTTGGGAGGAGGAATGGAGACACTGATCGAAGATGGTATTGGAATATTGTGTGGCCACATTTATTACTTTTTAGATGAGAAGTATCCACAAGAATATGGATCAAGGCTGTTGACGACTCCTTCGCTTTTATATTGGATATTTCCTCCAAACACAATGCCACAAGTGCATGGAGTTCATAACAACGCTCAAAGACAACCTCCACCACAGGAGAGAGGCGGATTTCAAGGAAGAGGCAGAGTTCTGGGACACAACTAAGCTCAAATCTCATGTACACATTCAAAGTATAAAACAACCTTGTTAAGAGTTGAGAATTCATTTTCAAATTTGATTAATGCATTGCAAACGTTGTGGAGCTTTATTAAGTACCGAAACGCTTTCTGTCAATCACAGGTGGCAGCAGTTCCTCCGTATGAATTTTGTAATCAAAGCAAGCCATTAATAATTCATCAGAATTCACACTGGCAAACCCAACCATGTCTTCAGATTTACCTTTTCTGCTCGATAACACATAATCTTTGATTTGATAAGTGTTAGCGTTCATTATGAAGCATCGATTAAGTGATGTAATAAAGAAGTGGTCTGGAGATATTTGATGGATTGAGGTAATGGTGGATTGATTCAATTTTTCTGAGGGAAAATTAAGAGGAGAGACCATGGTTCGACGTCTGTCAGCTTCAAACATGGTGATAGTGTTGGGAGAAGTGAGGGAATAGAAAGTGGAGCATTTAGAGTTGCATCTGTCAAGGAAATCCAACTTGTACAAGAATCCATTATGTGTTGGCAATTCTACTTCAAAGTGTATCTTGTTCTTTTGAGAAGATAGGTCTTCCACTCGATAGGTCATCAAGACATTTCCTTTAGAAACTACTATATACTTTTCGTTGGCAATTAGACCATTAATTGAATTGGAAAATATTGAAAAAGGTGAGTCAGATCTTTCTAAATTTGTATCAATCTTGGTCGAAGGAAGTTGAATCGATGAAACAAGAGTTTCGTTGTCAATATCAAAAATTTGTAGGGTTGAGCAATCTCTTGCAACAACGACCAAGTATTGATTTCCAGCAAAAGCGGCATAATGACCTGGTATAATACCATACTCTGTCTCAGATAAATTGAGCTTCTTTTCTAAAGTGACAGCATGAGAGGAATCTTCATATTTTAGCTTGATTAAATAGGTGGAATCCACAGAGCTCACACAAATATATTTTCCATTTGGTGAAATATCTGACCTGGAGCTGTACCAATTTCCCTTACTTTTCACTTTTAATTGCATAAGAATAGAGGCAGGCTCATCTAAGCTCACACGTCTATGTTCAACTGTTGGTTCTGGTAAATGTAAGAGAGTAAGTGTGTTTGCCATGTTGTCAAAGAGTGCAATTCTTCTTTCATGAGCCACTTTCAAAACATCTCTGTTTGGTTTAATCCTGAGTCTGTCAAAGATTTTGTCTTTCAAGTCTTGTTGTCTGTAAAATATTTCAGTCTTCATTCTCAAAATGGCGCTGTTTAGGCCTCCAAAGTAAAGAGTCTTTTCTTTGTCACAATAAATAATGTCACACAAATCGTGGAGGGATGGTCTCTTTCTAATCACGAAAACATATTTCTTTCCAACTTCCTTATACATGGCAATGCTTCCATCAACTCCTGTCGAATAAATAATTCCAGGTTGTTGAATACAAATCTTCAAAACGTCTCCAGTGTGACCCTTGATCGAGTTCACTATGGCTCCTAGAATATAGTCACAAAAATGAATATTTCCTTCTGAATCTCCAACAACCAACATTCTATCATTGAGAATTTCCATGCACCAGCAAAATGAGTTCTTTAAATTAATCCTATAGAGAAGAGTTCTCTTGTTTAAATCAAAGCAGAACACTCCAGTCATGCCACCAACCAAAACCTTATTTCCATGCTCAATAAACTTTGTTGTCAACATTCTATGACTATTTTCACAATGTGCATACTTTTTTCCACTGGGAGGTTCATTCGTTCGTGCAGGAGCCAAAAAGAACTTGAGACTCAAATCTTCTTCCTGAATAAGTCTAACTGCTCCGTCCTCACAAGCAATAGCAATAAGATTCTTTTCCTCACAATAATCCATGGACCATATTGCACCTCCAAGAACGGCCGTAGATATTCTCTTTGGAATTTGTTTCTCCAAATCCCATTCAGTTATCATACCATGCAAACCAGCCGTAAATAATCTGTTATCCTTGGTCCAAATCATACCTTCAACACTTGTACCAATCTTTCCAGGAATTCTTTTGATGAGAGTGCACTGCTCGCTCGGAGTCATTGCTCTAGTTTTTTCGGTTCTTTTACCTCTATTGAAAACAGAGTTATCAAGAGACCAAATTTCAATTTCGCTATTAAATCGAGCTACAGCTAACATGGTCTGTCCAGGATTCAAACACAATCTCTTGATGGGAGAAATATGAATGTTTTTGGTTACATTCAATTCATCCACCACGAAGGAATGTTTTTGTTGATTCTCTTCCGAAGAGGATGAGACTTTCTTTTTCTTGTTGTTCCGATGGGTGGAAGTTTCTTCTTCATCTTGTTCTTCTTCCGAGGAGAAGGCTGTTTCATTGTTTTCCTCCTCTTGGAATACCTGCTCATCATCATCATTTTCTACATCATGAGAGAATGAGTCTTCTTCCTCTTCTTGGACTTGCTCAAGTTTTCTCTTTTTCAATTGTTCTTCATCTTTTTTCGCTAATGATGAAATTATTGGTTTCTTCATTTTTTTTGATGAATCCAAAATTTTGACACAACTGAAATTTAATCAAAATAACAACCAAAGACTTGCAAAGAATAACACCTAGAGCTCGAGCTCATGTCGAAAAGACTTTAATCAGCATCAGAAACAGATCCACAAATTTTTGAAAATATCAAATTCCCTCGTGCTCGATGGGTGTTTTCTTTTTTTCCCTTTTCTGTCAAATTCTGAATGATGGCTGTTGCGAGATGAGTGAGTGCCATTTTACATTCATCTTTATCTTCAACATCAATCTCAAGATAGGTCACTATTTGTTTTTCTTTCCATTTATCAATTGCACTAATGACTTGTGAAGTATCGACTACACTGGGTTTACGATTCGAGTGACTATATGTTCCTAACACGAGTGAGGGTTTGGTGAAATCAGGAACATTAATGTATTTTTGTGCAATGATTTGTTTGAGCTCATTCCATCCTTCGGTGTGAGTAATGTTAAATAGAAAGAGCATTCCATGACAATCCTTGGCTTCATCTAGAAATAATATTGAAACCAAATTGTGAATGAAAATTCAAGTGAATATGAATAGAAAAAAAAGAATAATAATACAAAGTAATAGTGTAATAGTAACACAAGCAGGTTGATCACATATTAACACTTACCTTTCAAAAAATCCATCAAGTACCAATTAAATTGAGAATAAAAATTGAAAGTAAAAGTCACCTTTTCGCTCGTATTCTTCAAAATAAAGCTCACTTGTCGATTCGTCGTGTACATGTGTCCTCCTACTGTTTTTAACATGTTATTTACAAGACAATGATCCAAATCTCCTATACAAATAATATACAATTCATAGTGTCGAGTAATTTCTGTCGGTGGAGAATATCCATTATCTGAAAGTGAATCATCAATGACTGAATTCTTTCGACATGATTCCACAGTGGATGTTTGTGGATGGTTGAAATAATAATTTCCTTGTTGAGATCCCAATTTTTCAGCTCCATAAAAAGCAGTTCCTCGATTCATTTGTTCCACAGATGTTGTTTTGGGAACTGGAAATGTAATTTCTGAAGCACTGGTTTGAGCACTATTCACTTCCATTCCAAAATCAATGAGCGAATAATCATCATTTTCTAAGGCTTGTCTAAATTTTAAATACGAAGAATCTTGATGGGGTGAATTAGTATTGGAAGATAAATTTAAGATTGAAGTGTTGTTGACAAGAGTGGGTGAACTCGTTGGAGATTTTACATTTGAAGTTGACACCACTCCAACATTTCCATTCGTTACTGGTATCGGTGTTGAAAAATTACAAGACGTATGATGTGAAGAAGGTGACAATGTTGTTGTCAATGCATGCATGGAGGTTACTTTGGTACTCGTCGATGGGCTGTTATTATTATTACAGCTAGTCGTTTCTTGTGGTTGATTCACAGACACTTTTAAATTTGAAAGAGTGGCAATTTTTCGATACGGATTCGTTGGAGGAATTAACTCTGGTAATTCTTGTGAACCTCTCTTATGTACAAAATAAGGTTGAATGCTGAGAGTATTCCTACGTTTGTCCATGAGAGCTTGAGAACGAGGTGTTAGAATTGCATTTGAACTGCTCGAGGAATGCATCATGGTCGTTGGTGCAGTGATTGCAGGAAGTGCTGTGAACGTGTTGGATGCTTGTAAATTATTTGATGATAGAGATGTAACAGAATCTGATGGTTTTTCAAGTGGCTCTGTCGAAGAAGGTTCTTGTTGTTGAAGATTTTCTTGTTTGGACTCATCGTCATGCTGACCAAGATTATTTTCTTCTAACAGTTCTTGTGAGTCTTTTTGTAATGATGATGGTGGTTGATGATCTTGACTAGTTGCATTTTCACGTTTTGTTGGTTCTTGTTGTTGTTGTTTACGGGGTAAATTACATGTACTAGAATTACCATTTATATCCATTGTAGAAATTCTTTGTTCGAGTAATATGAATTCTTGATTTTTTTGTTCATCATTGGTCGTGTCGTTCCTTGTTGATGGTGATGCACATTGAAAAGATTCATTCATACTACTGGAATGCAATGCCACTCCTTCTTGTTGGTTATTATTATTATTTTCTGTGTTTGTTTCCGATGAATCATCTTTGGAATTCACAACACTCATGTCCTTCTCTCCTCCGATGAAGTGTGGATGATGCATCATATGAAATGTTGAAATTTGACAATCAAACAGTCGCAGTTGTTGGATGATGTAAGTTGTTGTTGTTGATGCTGCACCTAGGGGTTGTTGTTATCCACAGAGGTAACGAAAAAGTGAATTTGAAAATTTTTTAGTGTTATTTTTATGTTGTGTCACTTGTCTTTGCTAATTTGATTCCAATTAATAGTGATCATTGTGCATCAGTAATGCCATTCATTGCCTTACCCCAGATCCATTGCATTAATGATCAATCAGTTCTAATTGCTTGGGTGGCAACTTTGTATACGGTGACCAATGATTGACAATCTTGACAGTTTTTTGTTTTGATCTCTTGTAATTTTGCATTCGAATCGATCGAGTAAGATTTGAAAGTTTGGAAATTTCTGTAAGGATGTGTGTTAGTAAATTAGTACCTCCATCGTCATGGTCAATAATGCCCTGAAGTGTTCGTGTGTTAGAGCCTAGTATCGTTGGAGAACCTAAATATCCTGTCTGATTATAAAGTCGTTGTACTTCAACTTGTAAGGAGTTGTGTAATACTTCCTTGACAAGATTGATTTTAAGTTCATCATCGTGTAATGAACCAAAATCTATTAGAAACCATAGCATTTTCAATCCTGCATTGTAACATTTGAAAAGAGTGTCAGCAAGGAGAGGTAATAATGAGGGTTGTGATGAATAATGATCATTGGAAACATTAAATTCAAAATACAAAGAAGGGTCAATATAAATGACACCAAAATGTGAAAAACACGTCAAACTAGAAGTATAAGCTAGATTAAATGTCAAAAACTTCCCATTCGAATGTTTCACGTCGAATACTGTCTTCTTAGCGATGACATTTGTGTAGAATTTTTTGAAAATGTCGACCTGTTGGAAAGAACTGCTATTCGTGTTTTTTTTGAAATAATAGTTGTACAATAGCAGTCCTTCATTTTCACACTTGTCTTTCCAAAGTTGAGGCTGCGACACAATTTCATACAGCATGGAACAACTCAACATGATTGATAAAAGCGTGCGATTATCCACAAATTGAAAAATTAATTGAAGAATTTCATCGCTCAGCTCAGTTAACGAGTTCAACATGCCAGGCTCGCTATCAGAATTATCATTCATTGAAAAAGTCCACAGGTCATCCAATCCGAAAGCATTCATGTCATCAATTATTTCACTGTGAATACCATCATGATCCTCAACACGATAACAATTGGGTTTCATAGTTTCTTCCGAGAGATGTTTTATAAATTTGCTCATACCATCCACTCCGTTCATCAATCGCTCGCAATATGCAATCATTAATTGGTTCAATTCATCCTCGCTCAGAAATTTACAATTCTTCTTTTCATCGTTGCATAAAATCGGAGGTTGAACGATTGAAACCATCACTTGATGATCATGAAGAAGATTCATTTTTTTTGTAACACATCAAATCTTGCAGAATTTCAAATAACATGTTAGATATTTATTTGTACATTAGGACGGATCTTTAGAACATTATATTTAACAGTGAATTATTTACAATAATTATCAAACAGTATTCTTAAATAATCGTGTCTTCTTGTTCCTTCTTTGGCGATTTCGACACATTACTACTGATCGTGCTATTCAAAGTCGTCGACTCATTCGTTGAAGTCGTTATATTCGATGGAGCACTTGCATTCATCATTCGATTTCTTCGTAACTTCTCTTGAAAGAGAGGAGTATCATAGGCGCCACAGGAAATACCAATTCGTCCCGTGCTTGCAAAATCACCAGCGAGTAATACTGGCTTCTTTTTACTGCTAGCATCGATCATTGATGCGTTTGTTGTTGGTGTTGAGGTATTAGTTGTGAGATTAGATTGCATTTCTCGAGAAGTTTTTATGATTTCTTTTTTTTTGTGATGTGTTTATTTTTATTTTCTCGATTTGAACTCTTAAGGTCTCTGAAAATGTACAAAATTCATTTCTAGAGTTGAAGATCAATTGTGCATCGGAACTTGCAAGAGTTCACAGTTACCTGAGTCATCACTAAAACCACTCGCAAGCTAAACTACAAGATATTCAGCTGTGTGAAACATCATGTACTTGTCATCCATGAGAATTAATTTCCCAATAACCGCCATTTACTTCATGAGGGTTCAAAATGATTCATCTCAGAAACATGAATGACCCTTCAAACAGCTGAAAACTCTCGTGAGAACGGTTTCATGAATCAAATGATATTTTCCTGATGCTCTCTCACTGCCATGTCACTTGAAACTCAGTCACACCAAATCCAACAAGATTTCCGCTTTTTTCACAGATTGTTGACATCACTTTATGCCCTCACAAAACGAAAGCCTTGAAAGACTCTCATCACACACACTAAAAAATGTCAACCAGCACACAGCTATCGACTCATTCCTCTCCGAGAGAAAATGTCTCTTCAGCTCATTCTCACACAACCAACACTAGTGGCAATAACAACAATAATACAATTTCACAAGGTACAACAACGACACCTGTGAGAGCAAGAAGATTTGCCAATACCATGAGTCAATCGTTCAATCAACGACCTCTCGTGATTAAATATTCAGCACAAAATAATTCTTCTTCTACTACTACTACTTCTACTACGACTATGGGTATTAGTAACAATAATCAAAGTGGTACTACTAGTAGTGTCAACAACAATGGACAACAAGTGACTTCTCCGATCCATGAAGAAGTGGTTGAAGGATTGTCACCGATCATGACATGGAGTGCTAGTACTACAAATACTACTACTGGTGTGAAATCACCCACAATGACAACGACCAATACGGTAGACTCTCCATTGGTTCTGTCACCAACTCCAAATTTGACATCTCCCACTTTGAATCAAGGATCTTTGAATGAAAATCTTTTCAATACTAGTACGACCACTGGAACTCTCAATACTACGAGTGGGAGTACTACAAATACTACTACTTCTTCTGCCACTGCTACCACTACTACTGGATTGACTCAAACATCACCCTGTCTTGAAGTATCGACCACTTCTTGGAATCATTGCTTTAAATTAAGTGTTCCTTACATTGTAGTGAGTTCCAATAAGGTCAAGTATCAATTGATCTTGTGTGTTCGAGATCGAAACCATATTCCTCCTCTCTCGTGTCAAAAACGATATTCTGATATTTTGAAATTTCATCAACGTCTCTGCAAACTTATGAAAATGTCTCGAGAAGTACAAAATTTATTTCCAAGTAAGAGTATTGGATTTATGGTCGGAATTTCATCGAAAAATTCCAATTCTCGAAAACGAAAATCTTCGTTTGAGAAATATTTTGACAGTCTCGTTGAGGAAATTTTCACACAAGCAATTTCACAACCTCTTCCAAAGGAATGGCTCTATCAAATCATGACCATTGTATTAGAAGAATTATTTAATATTCAATTTATTGAAGATGTTTTGAATACTTTGAGAAAACCAGTATCGAGTGGCACGAGCACTTATAACAACAATACCAACAGCACGGTCACGAATGCGTTTAAGGAACTTGAATCTGATTTGATCAAATCTCTCAATTTATCAATTTCATTGAAACAAATGGTCAAAGGTACTGTTTTCACACATTTAAATCCTCATACTTCACTGATTCATCAACAAATTACAGAAAATTCATCCAATTGTAAGATTAATACCATTTCTGAAATGGTTCTTCAAAATCAAGTGAATGTATTGCATGTGTTTTGTGCCGATCGAGCAAAACAAGAAGAATTTGGAATTAGTCCAGTCATTGTCAATTTAGCCAACGGTGATGAAGATCGAGACATTCAAAACACAGAATATCAAATTTTAAAATTGAATTTGAATCGACAACGTGACACGAGATTGTCACTCGACGGTATACTTCAATCCGTGGTTTCGGCAGCAGATGTACATATTACTCTGAAAAATTATTATTTAAAGTTAGAATTTGAGGAATTGATATCCACAGATCCAACGTTGAAACAATTATTAGAGAAGGGAGAAAAATGTAAAACAGAATTTCTTGAGGATGGTCTAAAACAAGTATTTGTGAATTCAATATTTGATGAAAATTCTGGAAGTAAGATCTCTTTCAACGACGGAGATGTCCAACAAGTGAAAAAGATGTTAGAAACTCTCTCTGCACTCTCCAAACAAGCCAAAGAAATTGACATGAAATATTCAATTTTATTTACTCAATTATTGAAAGCTGTCAATTCTGTAGACAAACAATTGATTCAAAAAACAGTGGAACAAATTAATCTCAAATCTCAAGCCATTTCTTCCATTAATGAGAAAGTCACAGAAGCACTCAAATATTGGTATCAATTTATGGAACAAAAAACGAACAAGATCATTACAGAGCGAGAGGGTTTTCATCAACAATTCATTCTCGTGTTTTTACTTCCATTGTGTTTTAGTGTAGTGAGTTACAAGATTTCATGTGTGCCACAAGTTTTGAAATTATTTTTGGGTCTTTGTTGTGAAAGTATTTGCACGGAAATGGAGTTAATGACTGAGAATGAGTTGTACATGCTTGGAGGTTTAAAGAAAACAGATGAACAGGATCATCAAAATTCCACACCAGGAGGTGCTGCTGGTCATCACACGAGTGGTGCTGGAAGTGGTAACCCTACTCAGTCAGCTGCAACCAACAACAACAACATGTCGTCATTGTCATCGCCCACCTCACCTTCAGAAGGTAAGAAAAAAAAGAAGAATGCATTGAACAATGATGAAGAACAATTGACTCTTCCCAAGTCACTGTTTGGAACCAATCCTATTCATGCTCTTAAGGTCATGACACTGTTATGTGAATCTCAATATTCACCCTTCTCTTATTGTGTCGAGTTTTTGAAAAAGTTATGGAATACCATCATTAGTGAAAGTAGTAAGGCAGTAGACGATTGGCAAAATGTACACTATGTATTGCACGAGGAGGAGCGAAAGCTCACGAGACTCTTCTTGAGCTTGGACGATGACTCGGCTGTGGACGACTTTTTCAATATTCAAGAATTGACCAAACAAAAATTGGAGAGAGTGGCCAAGAAGTTGAAACTCTCTTCGGAATGTTACAATATTTCACATCACGAGTAATTTGTTTTTAAAATCTATCATCTATTAGTAATAGAAATAAATATATTCCCATTGCATAAGGACATTCACTAGAAATGTATATTTACTGTTGCAAAGATTGTTGCTTTTCTCGATGCTTCTCTTTGAGTGCTGTGTAAATGCAATATTCTGTTTGATCCAACATTTCCATACATAGCTCTTCGTTGTTGGCTAATCGACTTGGTAATCGAATGTTCATTCTTGTGAAATATTCTCCTGTGGTGTCTCTATGATCAGGATTTGCTAAAATATTAAGGCCATAATAAGCTGCCTTATCGGGAGAGGTGATCTGTTTAAATCGTCGTAAAAACGTCATGAGATTATTCTTTGCATCTTCTTCGCTGTATCTATGGAAATTAGTATTGAGGGACAAACTTCCGACAGGATCCAAAGCGTTGACATGTATTTGATAGCTCTCTAACCTTTCTGCCATTTCCAGCATGACCAGTATTGCTGCCAATTTAGAATATGCATATTGTTTGTTGGGTTGATATTCTTTTGGGTCGTTCCATAGTCGTTCCAATAAAAATGTCTCGTCTCGTGGATAGTGATGTATTTTCGAAGAGACAAATAATATTTTCGAAGGTTCGCCATAATCTCTAACACCTCTTCTTAATAAAGGTACAAGTTGAGTGGTTAAATAATAAGGGCTTAATAAATTAACCTGATAAGTTTCCTCAAAACCATCGACTGTTTTGTTAAATTCAGGAAGTAGACCTATTCCTGCATTATTCACCAAAGCATGCAAATTGGAATGTTTCGCTTGATATTCTTGTGCAAAATTCCTAACACTATCAAAACTCGTCAATTCCAATTGCATGGTTTCAAATACTCCAGGGTTCTTTGGTTTTGTTTTATCTAAATGTTCCCTAATCGATTCCAAAGTAGGTTTACTTTTTTCTGTACTTCTCACAGTTCCAATGACATGTCCATTCAATTGAGTTAATAATTTTGATAAAGCTAATCCATAACCACTTGAGCTGCCAGTGACTATAAACTTCTTGCGTTGTAAATCAAATTCATTGCTCATCAATTGTCGGAGCGTGAGAGATTGTGGAGGCTTTCGGGTTAGTCTTTTGATGGTGTTTCCCATTTGTTGTTGATGATGTTGTTGTAAATATATAAATTCTTCTTAGAATGATGATGAATTATTAAAAATCAATTCCGAAGCCAAATTATTACTCCAATAAATAGTTAGAAATGTTCAAGCTGGTGTACCAAAAGCAACTTTTTCAATATTTGCACTTTCCAACAAGAATGATGATTTAATAACTCCAATCAAAATTAAGTCGGAATTTTTTTAAACATTTCGAAATTCGGCTTTATTTGTGAATTTTCATGAAACACAAAGGCTAAAAATGTGGTTGGTTCTAATGAAGAAACTTGAACTGTCTTGGCAAGTGTTGATATTTCAAATCGTTTTTGTAACATTTAATAAATATCTGTTTGGTCAACTTAAAAAAATGGCTCCAAACAAAAACGCAATTTTTCCACTCACTGCTTCCGATTCATCATCACCTGCTGTTTCTCCAACGGAAGACGATGAAAACACTTCATTGCTTCAAAAGAAGAAAAATAGAGTTGTGGCAACAGGAATGGAAGAGCCTTCTTCCTCTCGGTCGATTTATCGAATGAAAAAAAACGATCAAGATGTGGTTGAGAAAGTTTCTACATTATCGGTTATTAACCCAATGATTGATACAAGTATTGTTTGCTTGTTTGTGGTGAAATTTGATTTAAAAATTGGTTATCAAGTTGAGCATCAAATGCAGAACTCGTCCAATCCTATTAATTTGAATGGAATTGAATATAAATGTCTTCCTAGTGGTACTCACAAATTGGATACTGATATCGTGCTGTTCAGGCATGTCAATGACAATACTGAATATTTCGGGTTAGGGTGCGTTGACATTTTCAGGTCTAAGGATTTGGACCGAGGATCCAGAATTCGAGCACTCGGAATACTTTCACGTGATTATAGAGGAGTCATGACTCATATGACATTTTTGAGAAATTGCATCCAAGGAATGAACGCTTGTGACAATACCGAGGACGGTCGCAAATATATCCATCATTTAACAGAGTATTTTCAGAATCATGATTCAAATTCAAAAATCAACCAGAGACGACTCTCTGAAATTACAAAAGAAGAAATTGATAATCATCTCAATTTTGGATCCCTAATATCTCTCTTTTATTTCTACAGAGAAAATATATTTACATTATGGAAGGCAATACTGCTGAAAAAGAGAATTTTGATTTCGACTTCTGTTCCCATTGGATCTGGATGCTCAAAAGCGCACGCCATGCACTTTTTAACTTATTTTGCTCCACAACAAGATTATACATATATTGAAAGCCACTTTGGAAAAAACATTAACTTTTGCTATTACATTTCCTTAAATGACTACTCACATTTACTCCAAATGAAAAGTTATTTAGCATGCACATGTGATGAAATTTTAGAATCAAAGCCTGAATGTTACGATGTTCTTTTAAAAGATCGACAAGTTATCATTCCTGACAAGACGCTGAAACAAACCTTAAAGAAATCTGAAAGTGACGAAGAAAAATCGAAAATGTTGGATAATTTGCTCAACCAAATCGCTCATCTTTCAAGAATAGAACAAGAAGCCATATTTCGAAAATACTTTGCATTTATTAACAATCAAACTATTTTATTTCTGGGCAACCAAGACAAGAGAGCTCAAGTGAATAAGCACATCATGTCAACAGAGAGAAAAAACGGAACTCTACCTCTTTGGGGAGATGACATTTACTTTGTTAAGGAGCTCGCAGAATTAATTGGTTTGGATATTGAATTTACAACCTCAAGACCATTTTGCTGTTGTTAGTGAATTACAAGATCGTATACCATCCTTTGAATACCAACGCCCCAGAAAGACCTGATTTGAACATCTTCCACATCTTAAGACTTTGTGAACCTCGAAAACAACTCTTGAGTTTGGTTAATTCAAAATATTGGGTGCAACGGTGTCATATAAGAGAGTGATATGTTTATTTGTGTTATCCACCAACTTCTAGTTAGAATTTGCTTAAGAATTTGTCGGCAGCGTTTTGGAGCTTACTTGTTTTTTTATCCTTGTCCAAACGTTCTCTCTTACCTTGTTTTGCCAATTTTCTCCTGTCTCTACAGCAACAACAGAAAATGCAAAAACCAACAATGACACCAGTGATACACAACAGGAAGAGAACAACAAGTGCAACTACTACTCCAATGACCACAGCGTTTTCTGCAAGAAGCGTCAGCATGTAAAATGGATCAAGGTTGCAGGTTCCAGAATCTTTTTCCGCATAAGGATTGTAGACATAGGATTTGGGATTGGTGCATGCTACTACACACTTGTCACCAGAGCAAGCAAGACGGTATTTCAGAGAACCGTCATCATAAGGTGGGCTAAAAGTCACTCGTTTAAGGGTTGGCTGTTGTTCAAAGGTAAAGCAACTAACTATTCATTATTAATGTACTTACGTAAATGAATGGAACAGGTGTACCGATAGATCCTTTTGCAATATCTGCCTTCAAAGGATCTGTTGTTGGAATGTATTGATTCGTTTTGTGAAGAACTGGATCTAAAAAGTCAAGCATCTTTTGACGAACATCTGTCATTGAATCTCTAAAATGCTCAACAACGTTCGATCTTGCTGCTTTGCACCAACCAGGATTAGCAACATTGCTACAAACACCACTATTGGGATAATTATCAAATTTTGTTCCTGCATCCGTGAAAAATCGCTTACATGTAGTGTCATACACCGAGGGAGCATTTGAGCAATCGCAAGTAGATAACATATCTGTGCAGATATCCAGAGCAACAAAATGCTGATTGCAAGAGGAGAGCTTTGAAAACAGCTTTCCGAGATATGGTGTCATGCATGTGAGGGTGGTAACACTTTCCTTCACCGAAAGAGGTTTTGTGTCGCAGGTGTTTCCAGATTCATCAACCACACACAATCCCGAAGTCTCTGCGCAACAGAATCCTTTACAGGCTTTGCCCATTTCTCCAAGATACGTTAAAAGCTCATTACTGATACATGAAACGTAGCCATACTTTGGGAATGCGTTAGCACAATAGGCAAACTTCATTCTTTCAACGCATTGATCACAAACAGGGCTACCAATACTTGTCAAATAAGCTTTCATTTCATCAAACAAATCTATTGATACCAGTTTTCGAACAATCCTTCATGAAATCGAGTATTACAATGAAACATACTTCGTAAATAGTTGTCCATATACTCGGCATAGGTTGTGGTTGTATTTTGAACAGGCTTGATGAAAAAAGCCTTATCAGTAAACTTTCCGTTCATCATGGAACAAAACGATAATCCTTGTATCTCGACCGTATCGCAAAACATGGTGCTATCTTTACCGCTCAAGACCCCCTGACAATCTGCACGCACCCAATAACTAATTGCCAACAGAGTATAGAGTACCATCATCCAACCAACCACAACTGTAAACCTCGAGAGGCGGGTTGGCCTCGTCATCATCACGGACCTGTGGCTCATCGTTACCAAAGCCTTAAAATATTTTTTTAAAAGAATTCATAGCCATTGAGGAGGTTCATTTCGAAGGTCAGAGGAAGCAGCCTTCCCGTATTTTGAAATGGAACCCAAGAAGAAAAAAATGTTGCAAAGAGAGCACTGTTGTACCATTGAATATGATGGATATCTTGTTCATGGAAGTGAAAATTCCAATGACCGTGATGTGTTGTATTACATTCTAGATCCAAAGCCATTTCCTTCTTTTCAACAGTGTTCGGAATTTTGTCGAACTGTAAAGATTAATATCAACCATGATGATGATGAGGCAAATTCATCCTCTCTCGTTCCGAATGATAATAATCACGGACGAGAAGTAGTGGAAGAAAATAGAAATATTTGTCTCATTAAAGATGGATACATTGTACAAATCTATAAAGGAAATGAGGATGAAGCCAACAATGCTCTCTTGAGAACCTATCCTTTACATTTAAAAGAGCAAGAATATGAAAATCCTGTAAAATATTCAATGGAGAGAGTGTGTATTTTGAAAATTATTCGAACATGCCGAGCATTGTTAACTTGGTTTACGAAAAACAAACATCGTGGTACCATTAAGAAAGCATTACGTTCACATGATTTTAATGAATACTTGGGAGTTTTGAAAAATGTGGTTGACATTTCCAATCAAGAATTTTACAAATTAATTAGCAACAAAGACGCAATTAAGAGCTTGGCTTTTCAATTAGGACAGACCATTGCACTCATTCGTGGAATTGAAGTTTATACAAAGAATGAAATTTCTGAATTATTCCCTGAGCTTTCAGACATGTTAACGAGACGTGAATTCACAACAGAAACCTTTGACATTCTTAACAAGTATAAGAACGAGTTGGTAGCTCATCTAGCTTGCGTTAAAAGTTTTAAGCTCACAAACACTTCGTGGGACATTTTCTTCTGCGACTCCAATGATCCATCATTTGATGACAGATTATTACTTTGTCAGCAGGTAGGTGAAAATATTTCAGCTTCTTTGGTTTAACAACAACAACGAGCTAGCTTAATGGAGTCGTGATTGATATGAAGGTTGGAGTTGAATTTTGTATATTTTTTCCTCACATTCCCAGAACCCCTTTGAATCCCAACGTGTTGTTTGCTTTTTATTCAGTTACCGAGGAACACACTAACAACAAGAAGATACATTACTGGATGTGTAAAGATTACACAAAAAACAACTTCGAGAATCATTTCGAAGTATTTGTACAAACACATTCCAAACAAGACCTACTTGACGCTTTGAGGGAAGAAATTGTCAAGAGTGTTAATTATGATCTTGTTTTTGACATTTCGAACGGTATGCGAGTGATTGGTAAACGACATAAACTGAGTCACAAAACAGTAACGGTGTAAAGCTCAGTATCATCAAAAGCTAAATAATTCAAAATGGTTTATTATTGGGATGTGATAATGAAAAAATTTACATGAAGAGTGAATAGAGTTTTAGAATTTAGATGAGAGCCACTACAATAAATTGTTTAGAATTTTGGAACATATTTGAGAATAACATACCTGGAATCCTTCTCCATAACCCATTTGATTCACTATGCTGCACATGAAAATTTCCAATGGGCGACGACCATCCTTTTCAACTCCATGTTGCTTTCCTGTTAATAATCCGTCAATTCTCAATTGGTAAGCTAATTGAGTATCGTTGACAGCACCTGGCTTGTCGATTTTGTTTCCCAAAACTAAGAATGGGACCTTTTGTAAGTCTTCGAATTGGAGAAGTCCCTATTTTCCGAGCCATCGATGAATTATTAGAAGTTTAAGAAGATGAAAGTACATACGTGTAATTCTTTGCTAGCTTCTGGAAAACGTCCTGCATCAGCTGCGTCTACCAGGAAGACTACAGCACTAACGTCTGATGTAAAGTAATCCTTCCACAATCTTCTAGCTGTGTGTTGTTATGATGATGTTTCATTCAATGAGAGAATAAATTCAATAACGGAAATAATAGCATGATAATTACCTAACTCGTGACCACCAAGATCAATAGTCTTAAAATTAATGCTGCCCATTGTGAGCTCTTCGACGTCTGTTGTTGGTGTGGATGTTGTTAACGGAATTGAAATATTATTGGTTGTTGTTGGTAAAGCACAGGATTAATAAAAACCATTGGAAATTTAAATGCCAGTGATAACGGAGAATTTAAAGAAGATCATCATATTGGAATTACATCAAAGGATACCATTAGGAAGAGTTGATACGTATTTTGATCAACCAATATTTGCAAAGTAGGTATTCACGTGCGTCGACCATGTTGCAAACAACCACAACGGGTACAAGTTTTCATTCATAATAATACAATCATTGAATCCACTTAAATTCTAGCAACTCCGTACGAGATAGATTGAATACTACTTACTTGGATGTTGAGTTGGTGAGTAGGTTCCAAGCTTTTCACTCTTCAACATGTGCAATAACGTTGTCTTACCAGCATTATCCAGACCTAAAAACAAAATCTTTCCAGACTTTTGATACAATCCAAGAGCACTTAAAATTGACCAGAACCAATCGAAAAGAAACATGATGAATATCCGATGTTTGATGCTGTATGATGATGAAAAGGATGAAGGTTCGTATGCAAAAAATAGCTACAATGCGTTTTCGGCTAGCAACAAATTTTTTTTAATGCTGTCGCGGCATTCCGAAAGTGTTTGTTGGCTTACATACGAGAGAGAGGAGCTGCATGTACAAAACCCTCAATATATCATTTCCTATGAAGAAACGATGCATACAACTACTCTCGCTTGAGCCATGAACAGCGTTGAGAAATTAGTTATTTTTCGATCATTCACTTTTTGAAAGAAATTCCTCTTCAGATATTTCTGTTCGTCCCTTTTTAAACACTTGTTGTTATGATGTGCAGTCCCAAAGGTTTCCATCATGAATCAATCGTTGTGGGAAGTATCGACTCATTCAATGTAAAGAGGCACCTTTTCCGAACTTAAAAAATGCTTTCAGAATCACAGACTAATCCTCTCGACCGTGAGCCCTCCGAAACATCCGAAGACACTCGGACGCCAGCAGAAAATCCCAATAAACAAGACACAACATCGTATCAGGTCAATACAAATCGTTTAAAAGAAGAAAATATTAAAGACAGTTCACCAAAGACAGAGACTTTAAATCTTGAGGAGTCGTTGTTGGATGATGAAACTAGAGAGCGAGTGGAAGCAATTTTAGGGGCTACTCCCATTGTTCTACTTATTAAAGGGGATGCCGAAAGACCATTTTGCAAATTTTCAAAGCGGATTGTTTCTTTGCTGATTAGTAGAGGAATTTCATTTTCATCATTTGATGTCAAGTCTTTGGATCAAACCGACGATAAACAAAAAGCATTATACATGGGATTCAAAAAGTATGGAAACTTTCCAACTTTTCCTCAATTATATGTGAACAAGGAGCTTGTTGGAGGCTTAGATGTATGCACAAGTCTAGATGATGAAAATGAATTAATTCATACGATTAATAATTCGCTACTCCAGAGCAATACTAATCTAAAAAATCAATCATGCATCTCTTCGGACGTTTCAGAAATCGAATGGTCGAAAACCAGGAATGCGCAACCAGAATCGTTCGAAAAAGAATTTGTTCAAGTTAATATTAGATATGTTAATGGAAACATCCATCAAATAATTCTCAAAACAACAGATACTGTGGAGAGGCTTTACGAATACGTCCTTAATAATTTTTCGCAATTCGATTCTCAATTTAAGAAACCTTTTTTGATAGCCTATCCAGGATTAGGGAAGAAGGTTTTAGACAAAAATTATTTACATACCACTCTAAGGGAATGCTTTTCAACCGAAGAGTTTGAGCAAGAGTTGAAGAAACGAAAAAGCATGCCACATCTAAAAATTATTCCATTAACAATTTACTATCTCCCTAGCTCTGCCATAGTTCCTCCTAAGACACCAAGAACCAGCATGGACGGTCAAATGTCATTGCTGTTTACTCAGCTATTCAAGTCTATTGTGACTTTGATACTAAAAAAACCGATTGATTTGCTGACAACGGTCTGGGGAAAAGTTAAGTGGTGGTGAGTGCCAAGTGCATATTCTGCAAGCCAATTCAAAGTTTGTTCACAAGTACCAGAACCGCTGCTATGAAAAAACCTTTACTAAAATGTCGTCATGAATCTTAATTTTGCTTGGTCGTCCATAAACTTTCCAGACTTTGTTTAGTAATCCCAAGATGATGGAGAAGTGATATTCTTATATTGCAAGATATTGATATTTGTTGTTTCGAATCATTTCCTTTCCTTCATTGCCAATTTGATTGTGACTAAGGTTCAAAGACGTTATGTTCCTCAAACATGCGCTTGTAGTTATATATTTGGCGCTTTCATCACCAATTTGATTGCAACTCAGGCTCAAAGTAGTCATATTCTTCAAATATTCGCTTGTAGCAATATACTTGACACCTTCATCACCAATTTGATTGCTACTCAGATTCAAGCACGTCAAATTCTTCAGCCATTCACTTGTAGCAATATATTTGGCGCCTTCATCACCAATTTGATTGAGATGTAGATCCAAAAAAGTCATATTCTTCAAACATGCACTTGTGGCAATATATTTGACACCTCCATGGCCAATGTGATTGGAATTCAGATTAAAAGATGTCAAATTCTTCAAACACTCACTAGCAGCAATATGTTTGACGCCTTCATCACCAATTTGATTGCTACTCAAATCCAAATAAACCAAATTCTTCAACCATTCACTTGTAGCAATATATTTGACACCTTCATCACCAATTTGATTGGAGTACAGATGTAAATAAGTCAACTTTTTCAAACATTCACTATCAGCCAAACATCTGACACCTTCATTGTTAATTTGGTTTTCATCCAGATTCAAACAAGTCAAGCTCTTCAAACATCCATTTGTCGCAATATATTTGAAACCTTCATCCCCAATAATTTGATTGCTACTCAGATCCAAAGAAGTTAACTTCTTCATTTGTTCACTTGTTGCAATATATTTGACACCTTCGTCAGTAATTTTGTTGAAATATAGACTCAAACAAGTCAAATTCTTCAAACATGCAACAATAAACTTGATACCTTCATCACCAACTTGATTGAGATGCAGATCCAAACAAGTCAAATTTTTCAAACATTCACTTGTAGCCATTTCAATGACACCTTCATCACCAATATTGTTGAGATATAGACTCAAAGAAGTTAAATTCTTAATATATTCACTATTAGCCAAACAACGAACACCGTCATTTGAAATTTGGTTTCCATCCAGATTCAAACAAGTCAAATTCGTCAAATATTCGCTATCAGCCAAACATCTGACTCCTTCATTCGTAATTTGATTGCCACTCAGATCCAAACAAGTCAAATTCTTGAAACATTTACTTGTAGCAATATATTCTGCACCTTCATGGTCAATTTGACCACTGCATAGTTTTAAACATGTCAAATTATTCAAATATTCACTAGTAGCAATATATTTGACGCATTCATTGCTCAATTCCGTATGAACTTGATAATATTTGCGAGTCATCATAGCGTCACCCAGACTCAGACAAGTCAAATTCTTTAAACATTCACAATGAGCTAAAAGTTTCAAGTTCGATGGACAGAGTAGTTTGGGGAGTTTTGATTCGAATGAGAGTGGAATTTGAAAGGATACTTGTCTCCATTGTTTTGAAATTTTCATACAAATTCGAATAATCAATAATGATTCAAGGAAGGAAAGAATTTCATAAATAATGTCATCAACGAATGGTGCATAATGGATCTTGTTGTTGGAACTTGTCGGAAGAGAGGAATCATCTGTTTCAGCTGCAATATCATGATTGATTTTTGATGAATTTGTTGATTCAACAACAGTCTCAACAGATGAAGAAGAGTTGGTTGTTGTTCTCTTGTTGTGCATCATAAAAAAATTCGCTGTATTGGTTTTTTGTGGTTTTGAAAAAAAAGAGTTCAAGTTGTTCGTTCGAATTTCATTTAGTAAAAGGGAGATTGAAATCATCAAATGTTGTCGAAAGATTTTGTTCTGCACAAAGTGAGCTCAATTTGAAAGCCGTTGTTGAACAAACTGGATATTAAGGTATAGAAAGGGAGTGAAGATTCTTTCTCTTGGCCTTGTTCATTAATTGTCCTCATAGATGTGCACAACAAGCAATCGTTTGAAAGCCAGTGATTGTAAACTTGGTTGAAAAAAATTCATTACTTGCACCCCAATGATATCCCTTTCCGACCTTCCCGATGACATTTTCATTCATCAAATTTATTCATTCATGGTTCATCATCACGGCTATGAATATGACCGTTCCGCAAAATTTTGGTTCTTCATGACTGCGTCTTTAATTTCAAAACGATTTTATATCTTGTCGTTACAATGTGAACAGGCGATGAGGATTTGTTTAAATTCTAACACTGTAGAGTCATTTCTGAAATTTTGCAAAGCAGGAAGAGGCTGTTCATTTAGAAAACTTTCAATTTCCTATGCAACGGACTTTAAACTCACAACAGACATGTTTGAGAACTTATTGAGCTCGAATTTCTGTTCTCTCAAGAATCTTGATCTTGGAGTGGGTGCACAGGGATGGAATTATTGGAGAAATGAATTTGGAGCTGAGCGATGCAGAATTTTGACGAAATATTTTCAAACAAATTTTCCAAAGCTCGAAAAATTAAGTTTAATAAGCAATCAAATTGGACTTCATGGATGTGTAGAGTTAGACCATAGATCTTTGAAACAATTAACTTGTCTTCAATTGGACAACTGTGATATTTATGATGAAGCTTGCATGCATTTAGCACAAGGAAATTTGTCGAATTTGACAAAATTAGGCCTCTATCGAAATTCTATTGGAGACGAAGGATGTAAATATCTATCGAATGGAAAATTGGTAAAACTGAAATATCTTTACTTGTCTCACAATAAGATTGGTACTGAAGGATGTCAACATATTGGAATGAATTCAAGAGAAAATTTACCAGCTCTTGAAGAGTTGACATTACTTCACAACAAGATTGATGATGAAGGATGCAAACATCTTTCTGAAATTTCTACTCTCAAGTATTTATCAGTTGGAGATCATTGTACCGATGATGCATGCACACACCTTGCAAAGTTGCAAAATTTGACACATTTGGACCTATCTACTAGCAGCAATGTTGGATGCTCTGGATTCTCTGTGCTCATGACTCAATTAACACAACTCACAAGTTTGGATCTATCTAAATCTTCACAATTGAATGATGCAGCGATCGAGTCTATTGACCTTGATTGTTTCAAACGAATAAGTACATTGAAATTATCGTCCTGCTCCCAAATCACCAACAAGACAAGTCAATACTTGATCAATCATGCACAATATTTTTCGAGTTTGAAAACATTATACATTCATGGAACTGAAATTAGTGACGATGAAAAGAAAACTCTTCGTTCCAAGTTTCCTGACTTGTATATCGATCGCATGGTTAGGCGTGTGTATCCCTCTACTTTTTTCAATATTTACGAGTAATGAAATTTTTGTGATACTAGTATCCAAACAAATCATTGTGAAATCAGTACTTATTTTGAGAGTATGCATGCATATACTCCACTGTATTTCCCATTATCTCAAGAACCAAAGGTCACATTCTAAATATTCTTGAAATTGATTGTGTCGAAAACAAAAAAAAATGTCTCTCCACAAGAAGGCAACCACAAGCATGATCAAAGGTCCTTTTCAATTTCCAATCATTGGCAGTGCCCCATACATTTGGAGGAGTCACTCGAATGGTTCAAGTGTTCCAATCTCTGTATCGTGATTACGGTCCAGTCGTTCAACTCTCTGCCCTCGGAAAAAAGAGTATCGTCATCTTTGATCCCGATCTTTATTTACAGGTCCATCGAGCGAGTGGTTCATGTCCCTTTGGAGCTACGGATCATTTATGGATGCTTCATGCATATTTTGAGAAGAAGAAGAAGAAGGAGCAACTGCAACAACAGTCATCATCATCCTCCTCCTCATCATCATCAACATGTTTTATTGGCAAGATGGATTATGGAACTGGTGAAGAATGGATTCGAGTGAGGAAAGGAATGCAACATGGACTCTTCTCTCCCGATGCTTCCTCTCAATATTCGAGTCATTTGCATGAAGTGGCACGAGATGCTTCTCAAATGCTTGCCAAACCACAACATTTACCACTTCAACAATTTCTACAACGATTGAGTTTTGAAATGGTGACTTATTCATTGTTGGGAAAACGTTTGGGAACACTTGTCAAGGAAGAACCTTTATTGAAAGCAACCATACGATCGATTGAATGTGCAAGTGCCATGATGATGGGTCCCTTGCAAGAATATTGTATTTCCTTAAATACAAAAGTATGGAGAGATTGGGTCTCTAGTGTGGATTACATGTTAGAGAGAACTGGTGAAATTGTGCATGATGCCATGAAGAGAAGAGCAATCATGCCAAACGACTCGAATCGAAAAAAATCATATATTGACACGTTGTGTGAAGCCAATGAATTGACCATGGAAGAAATTACTGCCAATATTCCTGGATTAATGATGGCTGGATTTGAAACCGTTGCATCGACACTCCATTGGACATTGATTCATCTAGCTCAGAATCCAAACGTTCAAGAGTTGCTCTTTCAAGAAATTTCTTGTGTCCTCTCAACACCTCATGGCGTCAAAGATTTCGAAAGAGATGATATTTCACACATGCCTTATCTGAGATGTGTCTTGAGAGAGACGCATCGATTGACACCTACTGCTTTTGCCATTCTGAGAAAACTGAAAGAACCACTAGTGATTCAAGTTTCAGATGAAGCATCTACCAATGATTATGAATTACCTTCGAATGCTTGGTTATGTTTTAGTCCTGTAGGAATGTCCATGGATCCAAAATTTGTCGAATCTCCACACGAATTCAATCCAGAACGATATTTGAATCGAATCACTCGCAAAGAACGTGAATGGCCACTCTTTGATCATCCCTTAATGAGAGATGGATTTGGTTATGGACCAAGAAAGTGTTTAGGAGCTCGTTTGGCAGAAATGGAATTATGGATTGCCATTTGTACCATTGTAAGAGATTTCAAAATTACCCTTTCACCCAATTCACCGAAATATGAAATTGTGAATCATGCTGCAACGTATCCTTCACCTTCTCCTCATTTAATTTTCACAAAACGAGTGTGAAAAGGTGTTGTTGAGGATTTAAATCATTCTCTTGTGTGCCATCTAGGAGTGGGTTTGGTTCGGACGTATGCACACCGGATGTTTCTAGTGTTTATATTTTCACCAATTTGCCATCTAAATGAAGAAATTTGGAATACTTAAAGGATGAACGATGCAAAGCATCTCAATAGGACACATAATGCAAGTGGGGAATGATTCATACAATTAAATAACCACCGACCAACAGAAAGGGATGATAAAGAGGAGGATGCACAGACGGCGGCTGAATTGACCATAGAGCTTGAATGACCCATGAACGCTGACTGAAACTGAGGTGTTTGATTTGCAGAATTTGGAGAACCTTTCTCGATTTGTAATTGATGACAGGCAAAGAAAAAATTTCTTATTGACATTTGGCACAAGCAGCGACATTTTTCAAAACATCTCGTCATCAACAGTTTCCATCCACAAGCCTCCTTCGATTCCTAAGTATACACACACCTACTGAATATTATTTCTCATCGTATTTCAGTTTTCCGAAACGTGTTGTTGTCATCTTGTTTTTGAAATTGAAATTAATTTCATAAAACCAACACCACAAAATTTCCTTGTATCATCACAACATTTCATCCTAATCGATACACTACTGCTACTACTTGTTGATTGACAACCAATCATGAAAATCTCATCCTTCTTTAAAAAGAAAAAGAAATCTCAAGGCCAATACGAGAACTCGAGTCATGACAACACACCAACCACTCCGACTACGACGACAACAACAACAACAAACACATCCACAGGACTCTCTCGATCATCTCCTCAAAATCAATCCTCTCCATCCATTTTGATGGGATCATCCTCTCGATCATCACGTCGACAACATTCTCGTGATCAACACACATCTTCTTCCACAAGTGTTTCGAATGTGAAATCCACAAGTGAAGCCTATCCCAATTCAAAAATCTTTGGATTTCCTCTTCCTGAAGACGTGAATGATATTCCAAAATTTGTCTATCAATCCATCACGTATTTAACACAATATGGATTAACTGAAGAAGGTTTATTTAGAGTTTCAACTTCAAAAGATTGTTTGGATAAAGTGATTAGTGAATTAGAACATGATATTAACTTGGATGTGAATTTTGATAAATATGGAGTGCATTTGGCAGCTGCATTGTTGAAGATTTATTTTAGAGAGTTGAGTGATCCGTTATTGACATTTGACTGTTATGGAATGTTTATTGCTGCTGAAAGAATTCCTGATGAAGGTGCTCGATTGGAGACTATTAAGAAGGTTGTCAAGTTTTTACCGCCTAATTATTATACTACTTTGAAAATGTTGTGTGAATTTTTACATTTGGTGAGCCAAAATTCCAAGTCAAACAAAATGACAGCTGACAATTTAGCCATTGTCTTTGCACCAAATATTTTGAGAGAACGAGGAGAATTAGATGTCATGGATTTAATGAGACATGCAAAGTGGATCAATCATTTAACCAAAACATTAATTGAAAATACGGATTATATATTTGGAATGGGAAGTCCAAGAAGATCTGTGACATCCACTTCATCAACACCATCCAATAAGAATCCAACAACAAACGCTTCTGTTGATCAATCTTCCTCTCTATTGACTTCAAACAGTACCACGAGCACCACAACCAATAATTCAACCAATGATAACTCCAATGACAATGCAGAAGATAATTCCAAACTCATTATGGAGCTCGCTCAAATCAGACAAACTCTTGAATCCAACGATGAACATGAACGAATGCTTAGAAGAAGACAAACTCTTGAACGAAGAACATTTCTCTCGAGTACAGAACGAAAGAAAACAATTGCCAAAATGACACAACATAATCTTTTAGAAAGTATTTCGAATACGAATAACAATCAAGACAAGGACTCGTCAAATTCTCCAGCAACTCCTGGACCAAACTCTCCATCGACAATTCTCAATCATGAAACCACAAATACTCCATTTGAAGAAATTGTGACATCATCATTACCTGTTGCCTTGTCACCCACAAGAAAACCTCAAATGACTTCAACTACTCATGCTGGTGACACTTCTCCAAGAGTTATTCATGAACAGACCAGCACTGTAGTCACAGCAACAAGTCCAACTACTGCAAAAACAATAGTCACTTCATCGAATTCACAATCTTCAAAGAGTACCAGTAGCCCAACCATTGTCACCACATCAAGTGCCACTACTACGACTCCAACTAAAAAACCACTCACCACAGTTGTGAAAAAGAACAAGGATAGTTCGTTAATTACAGAATTCAAAAAGGCAGTACAAAAATACTTGTGCTCATCTAATTTATTTGGAATTGATGTAGATATTCAACTCTCTCAAGAAACAAACACTGTACTTGTAACATTATCTGGCTTAATTATTGGTGATACATCCTGTGATATTATTGAAACAGTCACAAGACTTGGAAAAGTTTCATATTTTGATCCATTAGATTCCGTGTTTAACGATATTGTTCCTAAACTTGCCAAACATCTCTCTCGTGATTTTAAGGTTAAAGTTCAATTCGATAATCTTCATGAATATGATTTAATGCTCGATGAGTGTCCAGAAATTATGTTAATTACATGTCTGCATTCCATTGCCAAATACTTTTTTGAATATTGTGATGATCCAAAATTGGATGATCAATTCTTTGTCGATTGGATTTTAACCATTTTCCCAACCATGACTTATTACCCTTATTATCACATGATTCTATATTGTCTCCTCATTAGACAATGTTACAAGGAAAAAGATTTTGACAAGTTGTCAAACATTTTGAAAACTTCTGATCAACATCCGTTCAGTAGAGACAAAATTTCACTCATTCATCACCACATAGAAGATGAAAAACCTCTCAACTATGAAAAACGAGCCTTTCTCATCAGCAAATTAATGGGAGGCAAAAATCCATTTTTCACAAATTACAACAAACAATTGGAATTTGCCAAACATTTTGGATTTATAATCACAGAAGTCTTGATGAGAGATTGTGCTTCAGAAAATCCACTCACACTCTTTGAACGATTTACTCTTCAAACAGATATTGCATCCATTGCTCGAGTTCGAACGTTTGATCAAAATAATGAAAGTGTCTTGTTTGATGCTATTCGAGTTCCAGATTTGGCAATTATGGAATTTCTCGTTGAGGAATGTCAAGTCGATGTGAATGCAGTGAATAATGATGGAATTTCTCCACTTACTCTTGTTAGAATTTTATACAATGGAATGGAAAAGGAAGAGCTTGAAGATTATCTCACCTTTGTTGGAGCTAAAGAAATCAAACCACAAAGTATTGACATTTTAACACATGACATGTGGAGACATATTTTCACATTTTTGGAATTGAAAGAAATTGCCACTTGGTGCAGAGTTTCTAAAAACTTTTATGGTCTCAATGTCATTGATAATGAAAAATTATGGATGGATATTTTTCAAAGAATTCAAACGGTAGAAACAGTGGCATTTAATCCGTTTTTAAAATTGACACAAATTTTACAAACTCGTGAATGTCGAATTAGTTTTAGATGTTTAGCAGAATTTAAATTTGAATTTAGATCTGAAGATATCACTTATTTTGTTTTTAATGAAAAAGATAAGAAGCATATGGAGATTCTAAATACCAACACAGTACTCATGGTCAACCCTCCAAAAATAGAAAGTTCACACTTTATTTCATTATTGCAATTTGTGTTTGGTGAATGTAATTTAGATGATTCAATTATTGCCATGTATGATCGAATTAAGGCAACGAAAAAGTCAGAAAAGAGCATGTTAAAATTTATTGAGGAACAAATTCCACACCAACACGTGACACAACTTACCAAATTTGTATATACCATGCAAAATATTGCAGTGAAGAGAGAAATGTTTAAGGATCGAGTTGCGAGCTCATCGATTTTATATTATTCGGTCATGGTTGATAATTATTGGTTTGTGATGGCATATAATACTCGACACAAGTTTATTGGAGTGATTATTGTGGCATCTGACAATCAGATTGAATAAATTGAATTTAGAAAAGGAGCCGAGATTGCAAAAAAAAATCATTCTGTTGAAAATTGTAAAGTGTAAGCCCGAGTTCCGAAATGAACCATTAGTTGTAAGGCGATGAATACTTTTGAAGCAAAAGGTTAATTAGATATCTGTTGTTGTACACATTCGAAGGGTGAAGCGAATAGCAAATGATTTCAGCCATTTCAGTCCGTTTATCGTTACTTCTTTCCATTTCCGATTTTAGTTGCTGCATTTCGAAAAGGGACATGTTTTTGGGAGGCGTCACTTTGGCTGTTTGTTGCGAAGGTGTCTTCTTAGTATTTCCAAATGGCATGGTCTGGGCTATTTTTCTTTGAATGTTGTTGCTGAAGTACATTTTTAAACAACCATCAACTGTTGTTTCAAATTGAATGATCATCTTCAAACATCACAACAAAACCAATTATTACCAAACAAGGAAGGATTTTAAATTCATTTTTATTTATTTGTAAAAGATGTGACAATCCCAAGTTGATCACTTCAAGCATGCTTTTTGTCAAAACGGGATTGTTTATTGTTATTCCGTTTTAGCAAACTCATAGGAGGATAAAACTGTGCTATCAGTCACTTCGTCCAAAACATAAGGACTGAGGAATGATGGAAGTGTAACCTCTTGACCCGCTACAGCTTCAACACTCAAAATAAAGGTTCCTTTTCCTTTACCATTAAGGTAGTGATTCAGTTCAAAGTAGTGATTCTTGTACACAAAACTATAAATCTTCTTTGAAATTGGTATTCTACTCTTATCCGCAGAGGTTGCAAGGTTGACGTAGGTTCTTGCGGAAATTGGTCGAGCAGAAACTGTTTCATAACCATCACCAGTTGTGGTAGTTGAGTGATAAGAGTAGGTAAAGACTCCATTTTGACCTCTTTTTACAATTCTTATAATATCTTTGTCGTTACTTGTTGGAAGGAAAATTTGTTCAAGGTCAATAATTTCATGCCGTAAATCAATGTCTACTTTTTGCATTGGCTTCAATAAGAAACGTCTTCGTGATGATTTAGCTCTTGGAAATCCGAGTTGATGTGAAAGAATGTTAAAAACTTTTTGTAATTTTTCATCAAAACTATTGACAGCATTGTCAACAATATACAATTGAGGATGACCAATGTAGGACGCTCTTAGCTTGTAGTCAAGCTCTCTGGCTTGTTCAATTGTTTCTGTTCTAACATTATTGTTTTCAAGAGTGTAATATTTTTCAGCTCCAATAGCTGTGGTGACAAGATGAATAACACAGTCATATCTCTGGTCACGAAGTTGTGGTATGGACCACCCATTCAAATCCATCAAAGCTTGCCACAAATCATCAGAGACGTATGCTTTTGGATCCAATGTTCCTCGATCACAAAGCAAAATTGTTGGCTTCTTGCTCACCTTAGCAAGTTCCCTAAAATTGTCCTCAATGGCCATCTGAGTCTTGATAATATAAGTCTCAAATGCCAAAACTTCCTCAACTGTTGACTTGTCAGTAACCTTGGCTCCACCTGTCATCAACAAGGTAGCAGCCTCTGGTATAATAAAAACTTGAAAACCAAGATTTTGCAAACGTTCTCTCAACTTGGTCATGGCAGAGCTTTTACCAGCACACGGACCTCCAGTCAAGACAACTCTAAATATTGGAGGAGTATCCTTATTGGGGTGAAAGGAAAGGCCCTTTGAATCCTCGGCTAGCACTTCCATGATTGCATTGAAGGACATTTCCACATTTTGGTTAATTAAGTCGTGTTCAGCAATGTTGGTATCATTGATTTCTTGTGCTACTTGTGGTTCGTTCTTATTGGTTTGGCCTTGCTGTAACATCATGGTAAGAGCACCAACACCTACAGCAGCAGCCACTCCTACAGCACAATAGCTTCCGAATTTTGATGAGGAAGGGTTCTGCTTGAATTCGTTTCCGTTATCATCATTTGATGATGAGGAAGAGGAATACCTCCGTTGTTGAATTTCAGTAAATTTCAAATATTGAGTACCCTTCTTAAAACGATTGTTGGGTTGTGAGAATGCCATCATCATGGGTGCAGCAATGACCGGAGATGATGATGAATACGATGACCTGGGCAATGAAAATAAACTTGTACGGAGACAGTTCATTTTTTTCGTTGCAACGTTTTAAAAGTCGAAAGCCCTGTAGTATTATTCTTGTTTCTTCTAATTAATATATTTATTAACCAACGAGAGATTTATTAAAGTGTATCTTCACTCATACACAATAAATAATACATTCTCTCGTACGGTAGGGTAATATTATAAAATCACAAGTTATGTATCTACATTAGCCACCACAATTAAATGGCATGAATTCATGAACACTCGCTTTTAAACTTGATGAGATGAATTTAATTGCTTTTCTCTCATCGCATAGACACTCAGGAATAATTCTACAATCATTCTCATAAAAGTTACTCCGAACAAAAAGGTCAATCCCGAAACCACTAACGAAATCAACAAGATGAATGTTGCATAGACGGCGTTAAAACCGCTATAATACATGACATTCAAACTCACAACCCAATAAATCAAATAGATGGCCATCAAGACATAACTCAAAATTAAAACGAGTGATGCGAGGGATCCTCCAATAAAACGTTGAAATTTGAAAGGCATGACTAAATCTTTGAGTGATGATTTCAAAGATGGTTGAGATGGAATGTATGAACATTGATCATTGGCAAAATAGGAAGTCGTGTGTGGGTAATTGCCTGCTGTGGGTTGTGGTGGTTGTTGAATGACTGGATAGTGAGAGGCTTGTTGAGTATGAATGTCGTGGTAAGCTTCGGCTTGGTAAGTAGACATGATGAAGAGAGATTTTTTTGATTTCTATCATTCGAACGAAATTGGAAAGGAGCTTTGGGGTTTGAACATCTCTTAAAAGTTGACAAGGCCACTCAACTGTTGCATCGAACAACAAGCTTGTTGTTGCTTGTGCGGTTTCAACAGTACAGCTTCAAAAAACCATTACGTTTTGACCATCGTGTGTAAATTAAATGTTCATTCAATTAATTAATTTAAACATTGTGTGGTGGGTCAATGTCTCCACACCTCATAAAGTATTTGATGTACAACTCAATCAATTGATCGTCATTCATACAAGGGCATATAATTGTTTCATCTGATTGTTGTTTCATTCTTGTTGCATTTGCAATCAATTGTAAAGCTCTTACAACATTAGCACAACTCAAATGTCCGTCGAGTGGTGATGAAGTATGTAAATGTTGAACTGTGTTGGGGAATAAATTAATAATACCAAAGATTGAGTTTTCGTTGGTCATGGTTGGATATCTTTCAGCATGATTCATTTCTTCTTTCAAAATTTCCACAAATGACAAATATGGAACGTCCTTAATATGACAAAATCCCATTCGTTTCATATTTCTTACAATATCATCCAAAGAGATGGAGGCGTTAGGATTTCCTTGATTCGTATTGATTAAATTGAACACATTCATTCTTTGTGTCTTTTCAAGCGAATACAAATATGGGTTCAATTCTGAAGTATTGGCAATTGAAATAATACTCTTTGAAACAAAATCAACAGGCACCATTTCCATAGGTTCGGTTGAGGATTGAGGAGCATACCCCAACTGAATGATACCACAAATAAGACGTGAGATCCATTCTCGAACATTAGAAAATCCATTCAATGAATGTCCAACAACAAGACCAGGTCTATAAATGACAATGGGGGCAATGTTCTTCTCTTCAATGGCCAATCTCAGTACATGTTCAGCAATATATTTAGTTTGTGGATATCCCGAAGAAAGAGCAGAGAAATTTTCAACACTGAGTGGAACAAACTCTTCTGCGATCATGGCTTGTTGTGGATTTGAATATTCACCAAGTAAACGAATTGGAACGACACTAATGGAAGAAATAAAATGCAATGATTTGAGCTTGTTTCCAGCTGTACATAGTTTCAAACATTCGACCACACTTCCGACATTCACACTTCTCAATTGGTCATAATTCATGATGAAATTCACATTCGCTCCGCAATGAATAATAGAATCGAGTTGTGTTGAGAGCTCATTCCATGTTTCTTCATTCAGTCCCAATCTAGGAAGAGCAATATCTCCAAGTAGAATTTTACATCTATTTTCAAAACTGTCTTGAATCAATTGAATATATTCTGTCGAGAGACCATGGCAGTATTGAACGATGTTATCTAAAACTCTTCTCTTGGCATCTTCGGGGTTTGCTCCTCTGGCAATGCAATAGACAGTGCAATTGAGGTTGTGAATCAATTGTTCACACAATAATCCAACACCAATAAAGCCTGTAGCTCCAGTGATCAAGATGTTATTCGGTGTTGAGTGCAGAATTTGAGTATTCATTGAGCTGAAAATCTGTGGCTCTTGTAGAGAAGGTATCGTCTCAAGGAAACTTCTCACTTCAGATTCAATCTCAGGTTGAGTCTTAAACCTTGGCTGATTTGTGAGGGAGAGATCATCATTATTCGCTCTGTCTTCAATCAGCTGCATAATCTTTTCAACAGGATCTGAATAATTCTTTCCTTGTAAAATCTTGTCAGCTGTTATATAAATTCCAAACTTTTCCATGAGAATATTTGAGAGACGAACAGAGCTCAGAGAATCAACGACTCCTCCATTTTGGAAAATAGTATTAAGTGTCGTTCTAAGCTCATCCTTGTTTTGAACAGAATCAATTGAAGAAATATCAGTCTCCTTTTCCACTTGATGATATAAATCTTCTAATGGCTGTTTATAAGCCTTATTCAACGCTGGACGACATGCTTTGAAGGAACTGGTTAGTTTACCATTTTCAGGTGTAAATTTCTCGGGATCAATAATGAATGCTTTTGGAATTTCATAAGATTCCAATTTTCCTTCTTTAGCAGCTACAACAATTTCTTCCATAATGACCTTGTAGGCAATGCTTCCTCTTGAGTAATCTAACACATCTTGAACTGGAAGATTTTGTTGTGTCAAAACATGGTTCACTTTTTCCTTGAGAATGTGAACATTCTTTGGAACGACGACAGCCACCAAGAAGGACTTTAAAGAGTTGCCATAAATAAACATTTGATCAATGTAATTGGTTCGAGAAATGAAGAGATTTTCAAGATTTTCTGGAGCCACAAATTCACCCTGACTCAATTTGAAAATATTCTTTCTTCTGTCAATGACACGCACTTTGCATTGCTTCTTGTCAATTTCTCCACAATCACCTGTACGATAATAACCTTCTTCATCAATTAATTCTTTAGTTTTTTGAGGATCTCTGTAATAGCCGGGAATGCATGTCTTGGATCTCACACAAATTTCACCTCTTGCATATGGCTCATCAGTGATATAGTAATTGAGTTCTGGAACATCTACAAGCTTAATTTCAACATCTTCTAAAATTAATTTATGCTTTGGAAGTTGAGCATTGTCTTGAATAATCTTATCGGTGAGATAGGTTTGCTCGAATTCTCCTCTGTCCACCCTATAATTATTATTGCATGTCAATTAAATTACAAATAGTCAATAATGTTGTTTAAACTTACCATGATATGGAGCCACATTCAGTGCTTGCATAACCATTGAATACTGGAATTTTGAAGCACTCTCTGAGGAATTTGATAACTTCAGGCGAAGTTGAAGCACCACCTGTGACCATACTGGTGAGCCTTCCACCAAGAATATGTCTAAATTCTCTAAATAAAATATGTTCGGGAACTGGTTCTGCACTTTCTGCGTTCTTCTTCTTCCTGTTTTGATATTCCGCAAGAATCATGTTATAGAAACGAGGCGTTGTTGAAAGAGTGACAGGTTGAATGGATGCAAAATCTTCAAATATTCTATCCATTTCTCCACAAAATATTCCCACTCGTCCACCGTTCATTAAACAAATAGTAGTGTTCGTTCTATCAGTGATATGCGAGAGAGGGCTGAAGGAAATACAAACCAAAGGATGATTTTGATACAATTCGTGTTGAAGTTGTGAGTTATAGTGACTATCGGTAATAATTGCTCCTTTTGGTTCGGTAGAGGTCGATCCAGAAGTATACACAATTGTGCAAATATCGTTAACACTCTTGTTGGTTCTAATACTTTGTTTGAGTTCATCTGAAAAGGTAGGGAATGTAGCAAAAGTACTCTCTTCAATGGAAGACATGTCTGTAAGTTCAATATCAAGCTCCTTGGCAAGTAGTTTAGCTTTCCAATCTAATTCAAAATCTTTCTTGTCAATATAATTCAAAAAGACAAAATCATCATCGCTCAAATTCCAATCGCAAAGATCGCCGATTGTAACGTTGAGATTAATAGCATCTTCTTGAGGATATCTATTTTTCAAAAGATAATAATATGGAAAAACACCCTCAGATTGATCCTTGATATAGCCGGTAATCGTTTTCAAACCTTGTTGATAGATTCTTCTCTTGTCTTGCAAGAATTGATCAAAACTTCCATGGTCAGAGAAGTATTGTTTAGAAAATTCTTCAACTTCAAAGTCCTGTATCAACAAGCTATCCATTTGAACGATGGCCTTCACACTTGGTAGCAAACCATTCTTACAGAGTTTCAAGAATTTCACAGTCAACTCTCTACTGCACACCACGACAGGAATTTCTGAATTGTTCATAATTTGAATAATTTCATGAGAGACTGATTTCATGTCATTGACACTCTCCATGTTAAAAATATCATCAGAAATGCATTCTACTTTTGCTTTGGGTAATGGTACAGAAACCATTGCTTGTGTTAATACAGCCCAATCTGCCACAAACCAATCAGGTCTATTGATTGAACAGAGTCCAACAAAACCACGACCCATTTCATCTTGTGATTGACGAGGTTGTAACACCAACTTTTCATTGTTAAATCTCATTCGAAGACCATTTCCAAAACGTAACACTCTTTCATGCAATTGTGAATAAGTGAACCATCGATGATGCGGTTCAAAAACTCCATGATTTAACTTTCTTCTATATCCAAGACCAGGACGATCTGGAAATGCCATCAATGAGTTATTAATGGTCTCTGCCACATAGGCACCTTTTACCAACCAATGCAAATGAGCTGGATGTTTCGTCCTCTTGACAATAAAAGTGTCATGGATGGGATAAGAAAATCGATTGGCCATTTGATTGGCAATCTCTTTCCATTGATCGAGACTCTTCTTGGACCATTCTTCCATACTCACATTAAATTCATCAACGGATTGTCCAACCTCTAAACAATGCATTTTGGGAGTATTCGTAGGAATCTTTTGTTTTGAATAATAACATGTCTCTTGATAGACATCTCTGTAATAGGGTTCATATTTGTAAAAATAGACACCTATTTGTTTCTGATATTGTGCGCCATCTTCTCCCAAGGCTATTCCCAAATCTAAAGGCCGAGTAGGATCAAAGATTTCGGGATCAAACAAAATCGTACTTAAAAAGGCACTCGGAACAAAACCAACGTGTTGCGAGGAATTGGAAGAGGTACTATTATTCATTTGATGATCATACAAACGACATCCACTTTGTTTGACCTTCCTGATATCGACTTTTTGAACAAGAGACCATCCGAGTCCAGTTTCAAATTCTTTCAAAATCAACACCAAATCACCAAGTTTGAGAGAAAGAATATTACTGTCATTGTCGGACGATGATGATTGATCTTTTTGTTCATCGACATAGTCCTGAATGGCAATTGCATAGTGTCGAAAATTGAACATTTTTTTGTGTGTGAAACAGAAACTCGCATGAACCTACAGCGGCCAGTATAACAAGAAAAGGAAATGAGTACCAAGTTCATGATCTTGGTGAAAAAAAAGAACCGTAATGTATGTTAAACATGGTGTGGTTGAGGTAAATTCACGTGGTGAGTTAATATAAACCTTTTGCTCATTCCCGAATATATTGTACCATAAGTCCTTACCACTGTACATTCCAACGAATATTTGAATATTCAAAGTAACAAGAGTGCACTCCAGATGACCCGACAAAACGATCATACGCTAGCACTAATCCCATTCATAGGGCGATGAATCCAATCCATTGGACACTTACAACCACGACTCGTATCATATTCCTTGATGGCCATCGGTGTGAGGATTCCCTTCTTTTGCTAATTTCCGATTCGGGATTTAAGCCAAAACACAAAAAAAAATGTCATTGATGAAAACAACCACCACAACGACTATGAATTCGGGTTCTGAATCCATGAAAACGAACTCGACCACCACAAGTACGACCACACCAAAACCACCCAATGCAAGAACACTCTCACACACTCAGAATTTTTACTTTGGTGGTTTATCGGGAATGATGGCTACGAGTGTGGTTCAACCCATTGATTTGATCAAGGTTGGTAGTTAAAAGGTTTTTGAGGCTTGTTTCATGGTATATGATGATTGTTGCAATGATCATGTCCGATGTAATCTTTGATGTGGATCATCAACCATATTCTGATCTTTGATCATTTGGTTCAATGAAATAGACAAGAATGCAATTGGCAGGGGCAAAACCATCGTTGATTGGAACCTTGTCTAAAATTATTAATGAAGAAGGAGCTAAAAGATTATATAAAGGATTGGATGCTGCATTGTTTAGGCAGGTATAGTATCAGTAGTTATAAACATGCTCTGAGATTTTGAACTTGTGTGACCGACCATTCATGATATCATGATTAGATTACATACACCACCACAAGATTGGGAGTGTTTAATACATTGCAAGATTATCTTACCTCAACAGATGCCAATGGTAAGAAGGTTCAACCAAACTTTGCAATGAAAATTGCTTCTGGAATGGTTGCAGGAGGAGTGGTAAGTTGACATGGTTCCATAATTGGATTGAATTGTCTAATGAAATGGATTTTTAATATGGAGTAGGGAGCTCTGGTTGGTAATCCAGCAGAAGTTTGCTTGATTCGTTTGACAAGTGGAAAGTACAATTACAAACATGTGGGAGAAGCACTTGTTCGTATTGTTAAAGAAGAAGGTATTGCACGTCTATGGAGAGGAACTACACCGACCGTCACAAGGGCTGTCATCTTGAATGCTGCTCAATTGTCATGTTATTCGCAAGCCAAAGAAATGCTTTTGAAGTATAACATGATGAAAGATGGCCTTGGATGTCACATTGTCAGTTCCCTTATTAGTGGTTTTATGTGTACAGTTGTCAGCATACCTGTGGATCTTGCAAAGACAAGATTGCAAAGTATGAAAGTAGATCCAGTAACGCTTAAACCAGAATATTCAGGATCTTTGGATGTTATCACCCGTGTCGTTAAGAACGAAGGATTTTTCAGCCTTTGGAAAGGATTTACACCATACTTCCTGCGTTTAGGACCGCATACCGTTCTCACATTCGTTTTTCTTGAACAATTCAGAATGAATTTCGGACAATAGTGAGAACTGTTAATGATTTTTATATTTGTTTACTTATGGATAAAATTGTGGGAAAAAAAGTAAAAAGAATAAATGTGTGTTAACTCAATTTACATCATGTTGGATCACAAAGAAATCATGTTCACACAGCCTACAAGAATTACAGATTTCGATTTATTTGTTCAAAACTTGCTTGCCAAACCGTACAAAGAGGTCGAGAAGCACTAGTCTTACTTCTCTGTGTTGGGTAAGTAATAATTTAGTGAAGAGAGGATAGAATTTAGGTAAATATCTGGAAAATTGTTCATCAGAGAAAGATGCATAAACTTCCAAAAGGGAAACAATGACAGGTACCAAAGAGGCCATTAATTTTGTGCCACATAACACGACATCCTGTTGGATGCTCAAATCTGCATTGCTATTTGGATAAGGTAAAATTCCAATATGCTGCAAATAGGTAATGATTGTAGTCTGACTAATGTCAATGATTCTTTTTTCTCCAACTTGTTGTCTCTCTGAAATACTGGACGAGCATAGCATGGAGCAAAGGTTGACATAGACAGTGAGTGCTGTCATTTCAATTTCAATTTCGTGTTCGTTTTCAGCATTGCCCTTTTGTCTGCTATTGAACTCTTTTGAGTTGTGGTGACACGTCAATAAAGAATCCAATAATTGTTCAATATGCTCAAGTTTCATATGTTGGTGTTGGGTATTAACAATTTCATTGGTAGTGTGGATAATCTTGAGTCGAATTCTGCTATCAATTGTAGATTTTAGCTTCAAATTCACGCCTAATAAATTATTCAGTTCTGAACATATTCTATCCCATTGTTCAGAAGTAAACATTGAGCCACAAAGTTTAACGAAGAGCTTAAATGACTCGTTACCAATTTCAGCCAATTTCTCATTCTTAACTTTTCTTTCAACAACATGAACACCTCCTTCAGTACTTTGAGATTCTTTGGTATCCTCCACTTTAAAGAAGCAGTAAACAGCAATCATTGTCAATATGTCATTAAACAAGAAACTAATTGAGGAGAAGTATTGTGCAAAGAGTGTAATCATCAAGCTTAAGGATTTGCGGCATGTTGTGTTGATCCAGCTTTCATCCATAATGTTTGGCTGCTTGATTTCATCAAACACAGGGAAAAGAACTCCAGTGAAAACAACCTCCCAAAACTTGGGAGAGAATCTATCTCCAATCTTTCGATTGATAAGAATTTCTTCGAACATGGTCTTTAAAGCAGTAGCTCTAACCTCTTCTCGTCTATCATCACTGATTAAGCTTGCCAATCCAGTCAATATTGGGAACCAAAGTTTGAAATGAACGTCGTCATCATTATACACTTCCACGTTCTTGATTGCGTCAACCTTGTTATTCACAATATGCAATGCACAAAGCTTCAAGAGAGAAATTGCAGAAAGTGAAATGTTCGAATCAGCAATGTTTCTAGCGAATGCAGTCAAGCATAACACGCAATCTACAAACGATTCGTTTTGTTGGATTTGGTTGAAGTAATCAACATCACCATTATCTTTCATCATCGATGTGACATACTTGAATCCTTCATCAGTAACTGGAGATCCACAAGTGGCTGCTTGAGCGAAAATTTGTAGAATAGTCTTCCATCCAGATTTGATGTTGTTGTATCTTCCCAAGATCATTTGCCCAACGCATTCAACGGTCAAGAGTCTAATTTCGGTCTTGTTACTTTGTTGAATAATTTGAAGGAATGGTTTTAAGAAGTCACGTTGGAAATGGTAGTTAGCAAGCTCATCCTGTTCCAAGAACTTCATTGACAATTGACGCAAAGAGTCAATAGCATTCATTGCAATAGTCAAATCGTCATGAGTACCAACAGTAATAAAATGTTTACCCATATGAACCCATAACTTTGACCATACAATTTTGATTCTATTAATGTTATAGTGAGCAACTTCTATCAGCTTTTGTAAGCTGAATGTACGTGGTACAGGATTGATATTAATATTACCCGTACAAGTCATACGGTTGGCTTTTGGATTAATTTCGTCATTAGAAACGCCGCATAGTCCCTTCACAAAGCTTTCAATAGCGTCATCGCTGAGCTCTCCAGATTTCACAAATATCTTATCAATTACCAAATGGTCAATGTTGTTGTTTAAAATAGTGTTTGAATTAATTTGTTCTGGAGTCAATTCAATTGTCATTCTAGCAGCGGATTTGTTGTTTCTATTTTTGTTTTGTGGCACATCTGATTGAAGTCTTTCTAACTGGGATATACACTCCAAAATATTTGCCCAGCTGTCTTTGAGATAATTGCCTTCAGTCTCAGCAATTTTCAACAGCAGTTTGATGGCCTTTACGTGCCTATCTTGCATAATATATCTGTTTTTGAGCGTATCTTGTGTTTGGTGAAGATGATTAGCATCGTTTTGTGATTCATATTCTTTCTCAGAAATTGTCAACTTTGTGAAATGACATAATGTTTGAACAAAAGCCAGTCTTTCGGTTGCCATGTCAAAGTGGGAAGTAACATGAATTGCGGATTCTAGACCTCGCAAGCTGTTGTCGTGCACCTTGCTGTCAATAAATTTATCTTTCTCAAGAGCAACCTTAAGTGCGTCTTTAAACAGCTCCCAAGTTGTCTCCATCATGCTCTTTACGTGAGTGATATGATTTGCAATGAAGAATTGATCATCAGATTCACCTTGAGATTGACTGCTTTTCAGCATATTTCTTGTTTCCTTTTCTAGCTTTTCACTTTCCAGTGTAAACAGCAATCTCTTTTTTCTTGGGTTTTGTTGCGCTGCGAGTATTTGTTGCTTATCTTGCGATTGTTGAACTTCTTGCTCCATCTCATCGTCTTTCAACTTAATTTCATTGTTTTTGATACTGTTGTAAATTATTTCTTGATACTTGTGGTCGATGTCTCCTCCATCGTTAATGCCTCTGTTGTTCGCAATGAAGGCCTCTAAAGACATTCTTTCACGGAAATTGAAGGCAGGGTTGTGTAATTCGGTATTCAACATGATCACTGAATAAGCAAACACATAACAAGCATCAGCATTGGCAAAAACATGGGATTTTCCATTGTCTTTGAAAAACTTTTCTGCAAACTTTTGCACTACTCTGTCAATTTGCTGGCCCTCTCCTGGCAATCTGAAAGTGTTCAAATAGTTTCTGAATGCCTTGTCAAAGGACATACCAACAAATGATTGTAGTTCAGTGAAAGCATGTAAAATGTCAGAATTAACTCCTTCTCCCAAATATTCTCCAATCATCTTCTTTGAGAATCCTTCTGCTGTATACAGTAGTTTGGCTACCGCTTCTGCATATTCAGCCTTATCGGTTTTTTCAGGATCAGGAAGCTTTCCGATATCTACGAGATATTTAATACCTTTTTTAGGACTCCTGTTGAATAATTTAGCACCTTCTTTCATACCAATCTTCATGTTTCTTTGCTTTTCGAAAAACTCTCCTTCTGTCATATCCTCAGCATGGCTGACTGCTTCGTTGTTGGCTGATACTGATTGTTTTTCTGTCATCCACTTAACTAGTGACTCAAGAATTGTAACAAGCGCATTCAAAGAAGCTGTCTTGAGTTTGAGCTCTTGATTTGGTGTCATCCATTCTCCTTCTGCTTGGAGATTTTGAACCACGTTACATAATTCACCAACAATTTGTTCGTAAATGTTGATAGACTCCAAAGCACAATCATAATTTACGAAAATATCGAGAAGGGTTTGAGGGTCTTGAGCAACAAAGTTCAATACTTGAATGACCAGCATTTTGTGATGATAGGTACTATTCTCACTGTGTAAAATACGAAGGAAGTTTGTGAGAAATAGACGAATTTCTCCTTTCAAATATGTTTTAAAATACTTGATAAGGGATTTAAATATAGAAAGGGAAAGAGAAAAAATGGGAGGAATGGGACTTGTACAATTTCTAAGTAGAGATAAACACAAAAACTGTTTGATATCTGCAATAAAAGTCTCAGATGTTCTAAAAACTGGTCCACTGTTTTCCAATACATTGTGAATGAGTTCAAGTGATAATAATCTACTTTTGAGCTCTAAGGAATCGGGTGTTGGACTACACAACAAAACATGTAAATAAAATCCTTGAGTCAAAACTAAATATACTTACTTCTTTGGAAGTTGCTTCATGGCCAATCTACACAATGCTCTGAAAATGAAGAAAGCATCTTTTTGATATTGATTGTCAAAAACTGGAGTGTTTGATTGATCGTCAGATTCTGATCCTGTTCGCTTATGTTTGTGAGGTTTTTCCGATGATTGGTCATCGATTCCATCTTCTTCATCGTCCTCATTTTCTAGATCGTATTGTTGTTGTTCCAAAATTTGTTGGGCTACGTCGTTGATAATGGTATCAACGTATTCGCTGATGAGTTCCTCGGTAGGTTTTTGTTCGTGATTTGCAGCATTAGCACCTTCGTCTTCTTTAACATCTTGTTGTGCTGATTCTTGCTTGACTTTTGGTGGTTTAGATTCCATTCTTTGGAAGATGATATTTAGCATTTGATTAAGAGTTGCTTGAGCTGTCTTTCTGTTAATTTCATTCTTAGATACCAAGTGAATATTGAAACAAGTTTTGACTGTTAACCTGAGGCTCCTTCCATGGATATCACATGATGTTACTGCAGTCAACAGAGCTTTGATGATCTGTAATTGAACATTATCATCCTGTGTTGGGTCAAAACAATTAGAAATTGTAGCAACCACTACATCAACCAAAAGATCGCTCTTCCCTGCATACGGAATTTTGCTGTCAATGTATCCGTATGCCATCATTTTGTGAAGACAATCCAATGCGGGTTCTACAATTGTTGGCTTTTTAGTAGCACAAGCAAGTTCAAGAGGTTTAAAGTATCGGTTTGGATTTTCGGTCATGTCTTTCAGTACATCGGATTCGTTCTTTTCCAACTTTTTCATTACATCTACTCAAAATCGATCGACATGATGATCCGCAAGTTGATAGTAGTTTCATTAATTTCGTACATAACAATTTGTAATGAATTTCATATCAATAAAACAAAGCATCCACAACATTGTTCAACACTTGTGATGAGAATATCTCTGTCATTAAAATTCTAAACACATACCAATAACTTCCTGGCAAGCATTCTTCACATCTGTTTGTTTCTTCACCAAATTCTTCAATATCTTCTCCATTGATAGCATATAAAAGACGTTCATGGCCTGTGTCGTTGTCGTCCCAGCATTCGTCGGGGCCTTTCTCAACTGAAACATATTGTTGATGATGTTCATTTTTTATAAGTCTGTTTGATGATTGAATTCGTGTTGCGGGTGATGATGATGACATGGCTGCCTCTCAACGACTCTCAAAAGTGTTTTGTTAATTAATAGAAACGGATCAATGGAGCATGGGAAAGAACAGCAGATTCGAATGCAGCAACAATCAGCCCAAACGAAAACAAAAATGACGACTCCTCGCACTCCCGTTCAGAGGTCTTCATCGAACCGACAAATGCTTTCACCAGCAATGGCGCATGGAGATGATGACATCGAACCACAGGCCACTCCACTCTCAGACCTAGTTACACCAGACACCGAAAGAGAACGATCTCGGATGCTGCTAGCGCAATTTTATGGCTCCATGATGTCGGATCAGGACGGAGAGTTTGCATCATCAAGTGCTGCCACCCCTGTGAATAACAAGCAAGTTTTTGATACGAGTGATTTAGGTAGGTGAATAATAATAATAATTATTCAAATTCGGATAACAATGTTATTATAATGTAATTCATGATCACACTCGTTTGAATTAAACAACAACAATAGACAGCAGTCATTTCAATCCTGATGATTTTCTGAAGAAGACTATAACAAACAAGTCTGTCGATGAACTATTGGTTCAAGAGGACTCTCTTAAAAAACAAACAAAGAAGCTTGATACGTCACTTCAAATGTTAGTCTATGAGAATTATAACAAATTTATCACAGCTACAGATACTATTAAAAAGATGAAACATCATGTGGAAGGAATGGAGGATGAAATGAAAAGTCTTTTGCAAAATATGGACAAAATCACAGGTTGTTCGGAAACTATTAATTCAAATCTTCAAAACAAGAGAGACAAAATTGAAAGGCTCTCAAGTGTGAACAGAACTTTGAAGAAGATGCAGTTTTTGTTAGAGCTTCCTACGAGATTGAATGAATGTATCGAAATGAAGAAGTACAACGTGGCTGTGAAATATTTCTCTATTGCCAACAAAATATTTACCAAGAATGCCAATCTCTCTGGTTTCAAAAATATTGAAAAAGAATCCAATGACGTAATTCAAAAGATGAAAGATACGATTGAAAAAGATGTAATGAACATTACAGACGATAATGATCCTCGAGTTCAAGATTATTTGAAAATTTTAATCGATTTAGAAGTTCCTATTGACAGAGTGAGAGATGCTTATTTGAAGATTAGAGCCGACTATTTGAAAAATCAAATGGAAAAGGTGATGCAAGAAACAGAGAATAGTAGATATACAACAACGAATGATCGTGTTAAATCTCTGAATACTTGCTTCCTGAAGGCTATCCAGACATACTACTACACTTATCAAATGACTTTCCTTACAAATGATCCAAAGATTAGAAAACAAACTACGGCTGAGCAACTTTCAAAAGACTTTGTTGAATGGACAAAACAACTATTTATCTCATATTTTGAACACATCAGAATTTTACTTCTCAAGTCTCAAACAACCAATGAAGATTTGAAGGCAGCTTTAAAATCGTTTTGCAATGAGTCAGTTGCATATATCAATGAAATTCCAAACAACAAATTGCAAGACAGAGTTTATAACCTTGTTGGAGATACTGTCATGACCTTCTTAATTAAGCAGATGGACACAGTCAAGCAAAACACTGAACAAAATTTACAAAAGCTTGCTGAAACTCCAGAGACAACTAAACCACATCAATTGACAAAGATCATTGAGGAAACCATTCAAAATTTGAAAAAAGATTTGGAACTGGGACTTAATAATTACCAACAGTTTATTCTTGCAGAAGAGGAGGTTGCTAGCCCTTTGGCATGGGTCATGCAATTCAAGGATAAAATATTTAAGAACTGGATCAAGTCCATGTGTGTAGAGTTTATCGATTCATTACTTTTGACGTGCAAAGATTTTGGAACGCCTCACAGTAGAGTTGCCATTTTGACACCAGAGCAATTCAAAGTACGTAAGGTGACGTCTGTAGGAGCACTATTACTTGCCAAACTTTGTACAAAATTACCATTAAGAGATTTTAAGCAATTGCTCCGAGAAAAGTTTACTGCTCTTGACACAAACGCTCGATCTAAAAATCGTGATATTGATGAGGATGATACTCTGTTCAACATTGAGAATATGGAACTCAGAATCAAAGAATGTAGCTCGCATTTGATTGTATATTATGTGGAAATTCAAGCAAGAAATGTTTCAAAGGTCATACGGACAGGAATGGAGACCCATAACTGGTTAGAAACAGATGTACCTAGAGATGTCAGGCATGTGATCAGAGTCACAGTGACCGATCTCATCAGTATTAGAAACCAACTCATTGAAATGTTTCCACCAAGTCAAATTCATGACATTGATCCAGAAAAGAGTGATTCTGGTCGAAGCGGTAGAAGTACACGAAGTGCTGGAGAGTCATCCTTCACATATGGAGCTTTCAATTCAGAATCTTCTTCCATGAAATATAGCCAAAGCTCTGAAGTTGTGAAAGACGTCATGAGAATATTCAACAAGAAGTTAGCTAACTTTACCATCAAAATGCCAAGATATTTCCAAAGAGCTGGTGATTCTAGTTTCAGTGGCAATGAAATCTTGACAGAAATTGTTAAAATTGTGGTCAAGACTTTGGAGGAATGTGTCAGAAGCGTGACCTTTGGTAAGAATGGGTTCCAACAGTTACAAGTGGATATTGCATTCATGCAACAAAAGTCAGTGAACCTCATTGAGGATAAATCCTTCCTACCCTCTCTCATGCAAGAAGTGATGGCAAGTTGTGCAGAAAGATGTATTTCAGCCACACCTCTCGAAAGTACCATTGTTCAATCCATCATTAGCAAATACATGACCGAGGATTCATCAGATTCCATCAGCAGTAAGCAATAAACGAATTTTAACCGCCAAAAAAAAGTTGTACTTTCTCAGCATTAAAAAATGGATCAACGACAACCAACAGAGGAGGAACAACTCAAACAAGAGCAACAAGAGATGAAAGAGATTGAGGCTCAATTATCTCAGCAACAACCATCTCAAAAAGAATATCCGAGTATATGTGTTGTTGATCACTCATTCGGTTTTGAAAGTTTAAAAAGAAACAACATTTGTTTTGTTAAGGAGAATATCCTTGTAACAACTGTAGGAAATACCATTCAATTCTTTGATATTCGAGACAAACGACATAGGTGGATCACTGTGCCAGGAACAGGTGGTCTGGGAGCAGTTGCAGTTCATCCATCAAAAAAATACATTGCAATTGGCGAGAAGAGCCGAGAGAAACCTTTGGTCCGAATTTATGAATTCAAAATAGAATCAGATGATATTGATGGAATTTCATTGGAGCCATTTAAAACATTACGGAATGGTACTTTGAAGGCTTTTTCTTCTATATCTTTTAATGCTAAAGGTGACAGGTTAGCTACTGTTGGATCCGATCCAGATTATTTACTGACAATTTGGAACTGGCAACAAGAAAAGATTGCTCTACGATACAAAGCTTTTGGCCAAGAAGTGTTTTCAGTATCTTTTTCTTCATCAAATGATGGTCAATTAACTACAAGCGGAACAGGACACATTAAATTTTGGAAAATGGCGAAAACATTCACAGGGCTGAAGCTAAAAGGACAAATCGGAAAGTTTGGCAAAGTTGACATTTCTGACATTGCCAGTTGTGTTGAGTTGCCTGATGGAAAGGTTCTTTCAGGGTCAGAATCTGGGTTTTTATTGTTATGGGATGAAAATTTGATTAAGTGCTTGTTTACTAGAGCAAACGAAGAACCTTGCCATGTTGGAGGAATAGAAGTTGTGTTTTTTGATGAAACATCAAAACAATTCGTGACAGGAGGAGGAGATGGTTTTATCCGATTTTGGAATTTTGACAAGATTGATTCAGCAGAGCCTGTTGATACAAATAATATTATTTGCTTAACGCCAACTAGAGAGGTTATGATTGATGAAGGAGTTTCTATTATCACTATCGTTCGTGAAGGAAATGTTTGGGTCGTACAAGACTCTAAAGGAGCTTTTTGGAAGGTACAAATTGACGAAAATGAGCGTACTAAAATATTAAGCTTTCATGCTGGAGCTATTACCGGATTGGCAACATCTCCATGTGATCATGTTGCGGTCACTGGTGGTGAAGACGGAACAGTTAGATTGTTTGATTATTTCTGGGCCAAAAAAGAGGTTTACTCTTCCAGATTCTCTTCTGGTGTTTCAAAATTAATATGGAATCCACCTCATGTGGATTTGGAAGGTCTAACTATCACAGTTGGGTTTAATGATGGATCGTTGAGACTTCTAAAACGATGCGAAGATTCCTTTTGTTTGATGAACGTTGTGAAACCACACAAACAACGAATTAACGATTTTTGTTACTCTAACAGCTCTAACTGGCTAGCAACATGTAGTGACGATTGCACTATTTTCTTTTTAAACTCAACCACCTTTGAACCAATTGGATATGCAAAGTTTGAAAAGCCTGCAAAGAGTTTAATACTAACGTCGAATAGCAATGAATTACTGGTTCTGTTTAAGGACGGTACCATAGTACGATTAGAAAGTCCTGATCCTTCATCTCTTGATACATCCAAAACTTTTGAGTTTAAACCTATCACGAAACAGGTTAATTTTTCACAATTCTTAAAAAAGATAGAGCCTCCGAAAAAAGTTAAACAAGATGAGGATGAAGAGGAAGAAGAGGAAGAGAAAAAAGAAGAAGTTAAAGAGGAAGTACCTGTTGGAATTTATTTTGGAACTACATCTCCTGAAGGAAATTTACTTATTAGCTTAGAAAAACCTCAAGGAGTAGTGGAGTATGAAAAATCAATTCTCTCAGAATACTCATCAGACATTGTATATCCAACGAGAATAATTGGAACTTATGAGTCTATTTGCTCAAGCATTAAGTACTCTTCATGTGGAAACTACTTGATTCTTGGCTTTAAGGATGGGTTTGTGTGCCTCATGGATTTACAAGCAGGTACTGAGCACCGTTTCGAATATGTGCATGATTGCATGCAAGGAGAAATAACAACTGCAGCTACAAGCTTTGACGACAGCTATCTATTAACTGTTGGACGAGAAGGATGTTTCTTTTCCCAAAGAATTCCAAAACATGAAAGTCAACAAGGTCAAAAACCAGTGCTAACCTTCAAATCTGAGGAAAAGGAAGTTGAAGATCTCACAGCCAATCAATCTGTGAGCATTGAAGAAGCGAGAGAGCAAGAAGAGATCAACAAGAAACAAGAAGAAGCAAGGAAACGAAAAATGAAAAAACAACAAATATTGCAACAGATCAAAACGAAATATATGGAATTATTGAAAGAAAATGATAAGAGGGAGCCAGAACTTCGGTTGTCTCGCGAGGAAATTCAAGTAGATGTTACACTAAAAGACAAAGTGCTGGAGAGCAACAAACGATTGCTTGAGGAAACTAGAAAAGAGATGGAATGGCAGTCTGCAAAACATGACATTGCACTCAAGAAACTTAGAGATCACTTTATCGATTGCTTGGATGTTGAGAGGATTGTTTTGCGAGCGTTCAAGAGCGGAAAAATTGTGACATCCTTCAAGACAAGAAAATTAGATGAAGATTTGAAAAAAGAAATTGAAAAAGTGCACCAGCTCATAAATGAAGAAATTCATCGAAAACGAGCTTTAAGGAATCAAATTCAGGACGCTCCACCTCACTTTGAAACTCATGATGTAGAGAATACGCCTCCTTCAGCTACCAATAAGAAAAAGAAGTTGAATGGAACAATGTCCAATTTTGAAAAGCAGGAAATTTTGAAAAGAGAAAATGAAGAAAGGTCGAGATTGAGAAAATTATTGTTAGAAAAGAAGCCTCTTGATTCGGATGAAGATCCCGAAGAAATTGCAGAGATTCTCAGGGCTCAACAAAACATGGGAGACTACAAGCTAAAAACGAACAATGACTACATCGTACCTGATGCTCAACGAGTAACAACAGAGAAAAAGTTAAGACAAATTACTCTATTACAAGAAAGTATGCACACTCTGAGAATGGTGTTCAATGTCCGATTGTTAGGTCTTCGAGATTTGAAAATGAGATTAATTGAAAAGTTCAGAGGTTACAATGAAAAGATACAAGAAATCAATAACAAAATAGGAATTCATGAAAAATTGTATGAACCAGAGCTGAATGATGAAGAATATCCAGAAAGACGAGAAAATATTACCATGACTGAGATTGAAGGTGAAGACCAAGAGAAAGTAGAAGAAAAAGCAAATTCTGTGTTTTCAGGAGCTTCTAAAAAGTCCAGCGCCAAAACACACCTACACAAGAATAAGGAAAAGGATGAAAACGGTATTCCAATATCCAGACTGTCAGAGTTAGAAATTGCAGAGAAGGAAGCAGAATATCAACGGTTGTTGTACGAAAAAAATAGATATTTGAGAAAGCAAGAGAAGCAAATTGAGAGCTTTGACACTGCCATAGAAGACCTACGAAGAGAAAAATTCAAGCTTGAAGGTGACTTGAAATCTGCAGACTTAAAGCTTTTGCTTTTATACAGAGAGTTGAAGATTTTACGTGACTATGAGACGAAGGATATACAAAAAATTCAAGAGCTCCTTGCCAAGAAACAAGAAAAGATTGCCATTCAAGCACAAATCTCTGAATGCCAAGAATTACTTAGACAGAAGAAAAAGGAAGTACAACAAATCAAAAAGCAAAAGTATTTAATTCAAGAGTTCAACAGTCTCGTTCCACAAAACCATGCAGCGTACTCTGAGCTATGGAAATTGTTTACTGGTAATGATCATGATGACGATGATGAAAATCTATCCGATGTTGATTCCACAACAGGAGATAGGAAGGATAAAATACCTCAAGGATGCAGTGAAGAATTATATCATCAAGTGTTTGATCTGAAGGTTCGAAGAATCGAACAAGAAAAGGCACTGAATGCAATAGACAAGGCCGCCAAGAGCATCAAGACCAAACGTGAGGGCTTCCAAAAAATTGAAGCTAACATTATTAAGGATCTCAACAAAATTGAGGACACCATTCGAGAGACACAAAGGGAAAAGCAACACAAAATTAATGACTTGGAAACCATTGTCGTTCTCAAATTCAACCAAATTCAATCCTTAGTGCAAAACAAAATTCCTGCAGATTTGTCTGATCAAATTGTGTTCACAAACAAGTCACTGCAAGGTTTATTTGCAAGAATTCGAGAGCTGTCAGAAGAACGAAAGATTCTACGAAGGAAATATATGGAACTACAAAAAACTCAACGAACCATGCTTAAAGAACAAAAAATATTGGAAGAAAAATTCCAAAGTGAAAAAGACAAAGTCCGTGAGGTGCAAATGCTAAAGTTTGGAAGAGAAATTAACTTGGAGGAAATGGAAAATGCAAAAATTGATTTAGAGGCTGAAGAGCTCAAGTCTGAATTAAATTTGAGAGAGCAAGAATCATCAAGAATTCAGAAGGAATGGGATAACAAAATTACAGAGTACAAACAAACCATGATTAAGATTACCTCAGAGAATACTCAACTTCTCACTAGAATTTCTGAGCTGAAAGCCAAGCAGCAAGAATTAGAGCACTATTTGAACCTTGCACAAAATACTGTCATTGAAAGAATGGAAAGAGCCATTACAACAACAAAGGATAACACTACACAGTATAAGCAACTCATCAACGAACAGAATTCAAAGATTGAAAGTGTTAAGAATGACATTGCGATGTTGACGTTTAAGGCATCTTCTATGGGATACTAGTTATCATCTCATGTAGGTGTGCCGCCTTCGCGAAATGTCATGATCACTGTAAATAAATTATTGAAACATGTATTTAGACAACCTATTCCATCTTAGTGTCAAGTGTATAAAATTGCACCACGTACAATAATAATGTGAACATGATGAAGTGAGCAAAACTAAAAGTAGTGCACATCAAAGTGAATAAATCTGGATATCTTTGTGGAGGTTGTACAAAGTGCATTGTGAGGTGAATTGCTACCATTCCTATCAAGCTCAATACCACAACCATCTTCAACAGTTTTCCTAGCTTTTCAAAATTCACACAGCTTATCATAATTGACAAAATTTGTACAAGAACGTAAACTAACTTCAAGTTGTCCTTAATAAATAATGGATACATGCTAAAGCAAGCGACAATGTTTAAAAACGGTATCAATTGAGATAATGATGCTTTCTGAATATTCTGAATATAAATTAGCAAGCATGGTAGTAAGGGAAGCAAAATGGTCTTTTCATGCACCTGAAAGGAAAATAAGTAGAATGCGAAGGATACAATGGCCAAATTAATGAAGAATAAATTCTGCAAATAGCGTGATGATACAGAGTTTCTCAGTGACCAAACCTTGTAGAATAAGTGTAAGCAAGAAGGAAGAGCAACCACTAGAGTGGATATTGTGGAAAGCCTAACAAGTGCTTTCTCGTTAAAAAGTTGATTCCATTTGATGAAAATTGAGGTAGAGCACCAAAAACTAGCTACTTTGTCCTCAAAAAGTCCTCTCTTGAAAGGAAACATTCGGTGAATCACTTGTAAAAATACATTCAATCCATTACTTTGCATAAGAAAAGGTGCAAAAATTATTCCAAATGATGTGATCACGCTCAGAGCGACCACCATAAACGCCTTAGGTCTGCTCAAGCTTTGTGCAAGAATATAGAAGAAAAAGGAGAGAGAATAATAGAGAGCCATTTGTTTGTAACAAACAGAACAAACAAATAACAAGCACGCCAAGCTCAAGCTTAACAGGTTAGAATCATTCTTTTGGAATTGTATGAGGAAATAGATGGAAAGTAAAGTCAATCCCAAAAATATATTATTAAATTGGAAATGGCCATGATCAATTAGAATTAGGGATGGAAAGCATATCAGCCAAATACATTCCCACATGGAATTCTTGTATCTTTCTCTAAATTCCATCAATAACAAAAAGCAAGCTGGAATATATAATACTAAATCCGAAACAATGACTGATACTCTCATGAACATAACAGTTTGATGAGATTGATTTCCTCGAGAGGACAGGAAATCAAAACATCCTTCACACAATCCAAATAGATCACTAAACTTTCCCATTAAATAATGATGAAAAGCAGTGAGTGGAGGATAATCCAATCCCCAATATTCCAGATCATAGAAATACCACTCCGATATCGGTAAATGTTTGGTAATCTCTATCCAATGTCTCTGTGCTTCAAAATCTCCATACATTGGAGGATTTGATTTTCCAGAATGAGGCTGGTACATGGCTATACAAATTCTAAATAGCATTCCGATGCTTGTTATCAATAATAATAAACTTTTGAACCTTTCTGTATTTAATTGCAGAGAATAATTTAGAGAATTATTTCTCTCATGATTCATTGCTATTTTATGTGATCTTGACGAAGAATGGACTTCCAAAGATTCACTTGTAGACATTTTTTGTCTTGAACGGTTGATAAATCTGTAATTGCACTGAATTTTCAATACCATCAAAATGAATTTAAAATATTCAACACAACTCTTGGATCACAACTAAACACATTAAACACTTGTTCACATTAATTTGACATCGTTGCCTGGCCATTCGTCGAAAAGTTTGAACTTTGAAACAAAAAAATGAGCCAACAACAAAAGAAATCATCATCGGTTCAACAATCAACATCATCATCCTCTCAGAACAAACCTCAAGAAAAGAAGAAACTGGATGCCCGTATCAAGACATTGATTGAAAATTGCGTAAAAACGAGACACCGATCGTTTTTCGTGGTGGTAGGAAATAGAGCAAGAGAACAATTGGTGAATTTACATTATATGCTTGCAAAGGCTAGAGTAAAGACTTCACCTTCCGTTCTTTGGTGTTATAAGAAGGATTTGGGATTTATTGCGTAAGTATTAGTCAATTCATTTCATCGGGATGACCCTTACATTGAATTAACCGTTCCGATAGTGATGCCAAGAGTAGAAATAGAACCATCATCAAAAAGTACGGAAAACAAGGAGATGATGAAGTACAAAAGCATCTCAACACACCTTTCAATTTGTTTTTGTCTGCGAATGATATTCGTTATTGCTACTTTAAAGAGACTCAAAACATTCTCGGTAATACTTATGGAATGTTAGTTTTGCAAGATTTTGAAGGAATTACTCCAAATGTTTTGGCGAGAACTATAGAAACTGTGGAAGGAGGAGGAATGGTTGTTTTATTGCTTCCTGAAATGCAATCACTGAAGCAATTGTATACAATGACCATGGATGTTCATTCTCGTTTCAGAACAGGTCATGAAGATGTAGAAATTACAGCAAGATTTAACGAAAGATTTTTACTATCTCTAGCTTCATGTAAACAATGTCTTGTTGTGGACGACCAGTTGAATATTTTACCAATTTCTTCACACATTAAGGATATTAAACCAGTGGTATTGGATGAAGAAGAGAGACTTGAAAACCACATATTATCAACAAAAGAAAAAGAATTACAAGATTTGAAGCACAAACTTGAAGAACATCAACCTCTCGGAACTCTAGTTTCTCAAGCAAAATCTTTGGATCAAGGCAAAGCAATTCTAAAGTTTGTTGATGCAATTTCAGAAAAAACTCTCCAAACGACAGTAGCTCTATTAGCTTCAAGAGGTAGAGGTAAATCTGCTGCTCTCGGTCTTGCTATTGCTTCCGCAGTTTCGTATGGCTATTCAAACATTTTCGTCACATCACCAAGTCCAGAGAACTTGAAGACTCTTTTCGAATTCATTGTCAAGGGTTTAGAAAGTTTGAAATATAAGGATCAACAAGATTTTGAAATTGTTCAATCTACAAATCCTGCTTTTAACAACGCTGTTGTGAGATTGAACATTTTTAAAAATCATAGACAAACTATTCAATATATTCAACCTGAAGATAGTCAAAAATTGGGCCAATGTGAGTTATTGGTAATCGACGAAGCTGCTGCCATTCCTTTGCCTCTCGTTAAGAAATTATTAGGCCCTTATTTGATTTATATTTCATCAACAATTAATGGTTATGAGGGAACTGGACGATCGTTGTCTTTGAAATTACTAGAACAATTGAAAGAGAAAGGACAAAAACAATCAGGGAAATTGGCTTCAGGTGCACGAAAATATTTCGAAATCAAACTTGAAGAGCCAATCAGATACGGTGAGGGTGACAATGTCGAACGTTGGCTTTACGATTTACTCTGTCTAGATGCCACATCAGCTGTCCCAATTACCTCAAAGTGTCCTCATCCATCAGACTGCAACTTGTATTATGTCAACCGTGATACTCTTTTCTCTTACAACCAAGCTTCTGAAGCATTTTTACATGTAAGTTTTGGCTCTTATTGTTTGTTGAACGTTGTCTTATACTACTTTGGTCAATAGAATATGATGTCTTTATATGTTTCATCTCACTACAAGAATACACCTAACGATCTGCAATTAATGTCAGACCATCCATCTCATCACTTATTCGTATTATTGGGACCTATTGATGAAAATTCTTCCTCACTTCCTGATATTTATTGTGTTATTCAAGTATGCATGGAAGGTAAAATCAATAGACAAACAGTTCTTGCAAACTTATCAAAGGGTCTAAATCCTGGTGGAGATTTAATTCCATATCTTGTTTCTAGACAATACCAAGAGTCAGATTTTGCTGCTTTATCTGGAGTACGAGTTGTGAGAATTGCTACACACCCTGAATATAAGAGAGTAAGTATTTTGTTGGAATGAATGTCATTTCTAGTGATTGGTATTGTTCATAGATGGGTTATGGTACAAGAGCTCTTGAATTGCTCACCAAGTATTATCAAAATGAAATTCAAAATCTAGATGAAATTATTGAAGAAGAGCAAACTCAACAAGTCACTGAAGTGAAAGCTGTTGGTCTTACTCATGAAGATATCAAACCACGTAGTAAGAGTGAATTGCCTCCATTGTTGCAATCACTTGAAGAGAGACCACCAGAACCCGTTCACTACATGGGTGTTTCTTATGGTATGACTCAACAACTTTATAATTATTGGAAGAAGAATGGATTTGCTCCTGTTTATATTCGTTTAACATCTAATGAATTAACAGGAGAACACTCTTGTGTCATGCTCAAGGCATTGACAACTACTCCACCAGAGACTAGAAAATGGCTGGATTCATTTGTTGAAGATTTTAAGAGAAGATTCCTTTCATTACTAGCTTATGACTTTTCTAATTTCAATGCAGCTCTCACATTAAGTATTCTTGATTACAAGATGGAAGACTCTGCTGCACTTGGCTCAAAGTCATTGACTGTTGCTGAAATGGATCAGTATATTTCCAAGTTTGATCTTAAAAGACTTACTTCGTACTCTAAAAACTTGGTTGATTATCACGTAGTGTTGGATCTTCTTCCAACTCTTACTAGATTTTTCTTCTTGAACAGGATGCCTTTCAATCTTTCGTATGCCCAGGCTGCAATCATGATTGGAGTTGGCTTGCAACATAAGAAGATTGAAGATGTGGGAAAGGATATTGATTTGCAAAGTAATCAAATTTTGGCACTTTTCAACAAGGCAGTTCGAAAGTTTGTCAAGTATTTCAAGATCATAGACAAGCAAAGATTTATTTCAAATCATTCAAAGAAATCAAAGGATGACGATGATGATGAACAAACCATGAACAGTGATGATGAAAATGATGTTGAAAATGATAAGGGCAATGTCGATTTTGATGAGCTTGACAAGATGGACAGTGACGACGAGGATGAAGAGAACAATAAGAAGCCTGCAAATAAGGAAATTCTCGATCTTTTCGAAAAACCACTCGAAGAAACTGACGAGCGATTCTCAACACAAAACAAGAAGCGAAAGACCATTGCCAAAGAACAACAAGAAGAACCTGAAAAGAAAAAGAAAAAGGATGATCCAAAGAGAAAAGAATTTTTACAAGAAGTAATCTCGAAAGGCGAATATAAAATAACAGGTATTTCAGAAGAGGATATTGAGAAAGGAATCGAAGAAAGTGGTGGCCTTACAAGCTCGTCCATCAGCGTAGGAACTGACAAGGCAAACACAGAGCCAAAGGAAGTGAAAAAGTACATGCTCAAGAGTGAAAAGGAAATTAAGCAAATTGAAAAGCAATACCAAAACAAGTTTTTCAAGAAGGGAGGAAAGAAGAAGCGTCAAGTGAAGCATTAATAAATATGAGTTTAATATAAAATTGGTTTCATTTTGAAATGCATATTAATGATCGTTAGGGCCATGTCCTTCAGGTCTGCAGTCAAATAATAAAAGTTTTTAAGACCTTCTGGATCTTTTGACTTGGCGACTTCAGAAAGAGTTTGTATCTTTGTTGTACAGAATGAAATATGTCTCCTGTCCAGAGCAATTTCTAACTCTGATTTTCCTACATTGTCAGGTAGTGGCCACTTCCTGTCATCCTCACTTTCAAATGTTCAAGAAATGTACTGTAAACTTGTTCTCACTTACTCTAAAATATGTGACTCCAAAATCATCTTTTTCAATTGATCTAAAACGATATCAGTGACATATACCTGCTTTTTAATTTCTCCATCTCCTTTATAGTCACTATTATTTGTGTATTCAAGCAATCCATCCGAATGAAATATTATTTCAAGGTATTCATGACCAAATCTTCCTTTATGTCCAACATACTATCGGAAATAAAATGAATCAACAAATTATTGATGATCAATATGATATGATCAGCAATTGAATATGGAATATAATATTTCATTCCGATGATCATCTTTTGAGCCTTTAATCTTTCAAACCTACGTAGCGAACATAAAACCGACTTTGTTTCATTTTTTTAATTTAAAAAAAAAATGGCACCAACTCAGGAACGCCATCAATTCTTCAAACTCGGAATCAGAGGTGTACTTTTACTGATATTAACGGGCATGATAAATTTTATAAAATCGGATCATATCAACATTGATTGTTCCAATGCAACAACACCCTTTAATGTTATGGCAAATTTAACTTCGTCATTTGAAATTATCCGATTCACAAATGTTGCTTTTGGAAAAGTATTAACCATCCAAGGAAATATGATAAGCAACAATGTTTATTCTCAAACATCTTTTTTTGGATTGTATGCAAGTATTGACAAAATTCCAACAAAAAAAGAATATCAGTTTTACATTCCCTTGAATAAGAACTTTTCTACTTTTTCAAAAGGAAGTGAGCATACTTTTTATTTTGGGATTAGTGGACCTGCATTGTCAAGTGATGTTCTCACCTATGTGTTGAATGTTGATATTCATGCCCCCAATGAGATGCCACAGAGTATTTTGTCGATCATTTTGACAAGCAGTATTGTTATCCTCATTCTTGTGATTTCAACATTTTTGATACAGACTGGAATTTCAATATCGATTGTGTTAGGAGTTGACTTTTGTTCGGTGTGCAGAAAACGAAAGAAACATGGATATGCACAGATTGATAGCGTCTCCATACAGCAACAAGAATAGAATATTCTCAATCTAATGGTTCAAAATCATGAAAAGAGGATGTTGAACTACGAGTTTAATAATTTAGAAGGTGAACATGTTTTGACATAGAGTCATGACCTTTGCAACGAAGGCTTCCAAATGGAATATTGGCTTGCTTCCACATTTCATTCGGTGCTCATACAAAGCAGCCAGTGAAATAACTTTGTGGGCTTGGTCTCCATCCATAAAACCTAAAAGCTTGCTCAATAGCGTCTTTAAGATTGTCTCAGGTGCGATACAGTTGGTCAGTAACAGGAAAAAGTCATCCCTTATTTTCAATAGTTTTTGTGGAGATTGTTCTTCAATGATGGATTTGGCAATATCTTCCACAAATCGTTCCCATCCTGGCAGCTTGACTTCTTGATCTTTAGTGAATGGATATTTCTCAACTTTGGCACTTTCGAGCATTAAAATTGCTCGTCTCAAATTACCGTCACATTTTTCAACAATTTGATTTTCAATGGTTTCAATAAGCTTGATGCTTTCCTTCTTGGCAACAAATCGCAACACTTCTTTAATTTCCTCACCGTCTGGAGCTGCAACACGAATTCCCATGCATCTACTTCTTATTGGAGGAATTATTTTCGATGTTGAATTGGCACAAAGAATCATTCTACATGATTTGGCGTATTTCTCCATAATTCTTCTCAATGCTTGCTGAGCTTCTCTTGTCATGTTGTCAACTTCATGTAACACAATTACTTTCAAATTTGAGGAAGATGCTTGAAAATCCATTGATTCGGTCTCTGCTATTTCTTTAATCATATTTGCAACCACATATCGATCATAATATCCGCTATCGCTTGGTGTAAATTCTACATGATAACCACTGGAAAGAGCAGTCACTGTAACAGTCTTTGACTCATCAGACCCAACAGCTACATCCTTATTCTCTAATTTCACTTTATCAATTTTGCTTCCATAAATTTCACGAAGTAACGCTTGAATACGGGTTTTCTTTCCAGCTCCCGATGGTCCATATATCAACAAGTGTGGAAAATCACCGCTTGCTACAATATTCTTCAATTGTTTAGATACATCTGAATGAATTTGCATCTTGTCCAGAGTGAGTGGACGATGTTTATCAACCCATAATACCATGATTTATGTGTTCGGAATGTACAACAGAATTAGTAATTGGAAATAATATTATATCAATCAAATAACAACAGTGCAATCACCTCTTCTAGTGAGCAGTAACAGTAATTTGATGATGATGATGGAAATCAATCTTTGTGTGCGCTCCACAACGGTTTATTTTTTCAGCTGAATTTTTGAATGGCGGGTGAAATCGCTAAGCGCAATTTGTGTTCACATGAAATCTTACAAAAGGTTCCGAAACTTGAATAATTGAACAGAATGACAATGTCTATTCAAAAAACCTTAATGTTTCAAATTCAAAACTCGCTTTATTCACAACAGGCCAATAAACACGTGCTCTTCCTTGTTTTTGAAAGCAACACACACTCCTTCCTTTCCAATTTGTCTTTTAAACTCATCCTTTGATGAAATGAGTAGGACGTTTTTCTTACAGGTGTTACAATAATTGGATGATCGTGAAAAAACCTTGTTGAATGAAATATCGTCAAGAGACATTGGACATTCATATACAAGTTCACAATTTTCAATAAATACAGGTTCAGGCAATTCTTGATTACTGACAACACCACAAGATTTGTTGCATTCGAGACCATCTTCCTGCCACTCATCTTCCTCAATAGCATTTTTCGAGTATGGTTTGTTTGCATTCTCGTCGAAATACCTATTCAATGGCAACAAGTGAGGTTTATAGGTCTTTAAATTTTTCACTCTTCTTCTCACCACTTGCATCCAATTCCGAATATTTAAATTTAAATCAAAATATGGAAAATAACAACGAACAAGCGATTTCCAAACGTTTTGCTGAATAAGAGCGAATTGTTTTGAATAGTTATTTTCCAAGTCTTTTCTATATAAATCCGAAGTATCATACTGTTTCGTGGATTGAATTTTCTTTCGTTCCAACAAGCGAATCTTTTCTGGTGATTGATCAAATATCAATTTCAATAAATATCGATCACACTGAGCTAAATAATACAAATCCACCGCAAGTAAATGGGAAACAATTTCTACCACTAATTCTAGCGGAAGAATTTTGAAAACATGTGGAGAGTTTAAAGGAAATTTCTCTTGCATTTTTGTTCTGTCCCAACTCGAATGAACCTTTTACAAAAAAATTGTGAACAAAATATCATACGAATCGCAATGAATTTTTCACAATTTTTACGATCAAACAGCAACAACAATAACCCGAATAATACTAATAATAACAATATTCCAAATTTTTCGACTTTGGCAGATATTGATCAGCAACATGATGATGAGACAATGACGGATGATCAACAAAAAGAAATGGAAAATATAATGCAACCATCCATTCCTTTCCGAATGTTTACGGAACAGGAACAAACCGGCCAAGTGCCTTCTCAACGTTCTCAAATTGCTCTGGTAGCTTGTCCGCCTAGACATTCTCTGTTCTGTCTGGGAGGAGTCGTGGACAAGCCTTCAAACCCAGGCAGTGTGTTACAAGTTTATGAATTTGATCTGAGAACTGGAGTTTGGAAGCAACATTTAGATGGCACACCAAATGAGTCCACTACATCATCCCGAGTGAAAGTTGCAAATTTATGGTCTTTAAAAGCATGTTACCGAAGAGCTGATCATCATATCTGGTGTTTTGGTGGAAATACCGAGTCGACCTTGAGTTCGTTTATGATTCGAGATAATATTGCTCCATATGGAGTATTTTGTTTAGATTTAAACACATTTAAATGGAAAACCAAGTTAGATAGAATTGGAAAATTAAATTGGAGAAGAGCCACAAAGACGGATGGATATCCATTTCGTCTCCCTGAAAACCAAACAACAGCCTCAAAACTTGGAGAAAAACGTTATGGTCATGCCATGGAAATGATGAATGATCAGTCAAAATTTATTGTTTTTGGTGGTGATAATGGTAGTGGATTGGAATTGAACGATCTCATAGAGTTTGATTTTAGAGATTTGTTGTGGAGACCGGTAGAGGTATGTTTGTCACAATTGTGTCGCTCTTGAAATTCATCTTTCTTTATTAGGTTGTTGCAGGTAAAGCACCGCTGATGAGACATGTTCTATGCTCCGCCATAACTAATTCAGACAAGTTTTTCATATTTGGTGGTATGTTTTGAAATTTCAAATTTTTTATCACGTATCTGTATGTATACTATAACTTACTAGGACGATGTTTGGTGCTGAATGCTGCTGACACATCACTACAAAGCTTGGCATACTTTGATTTTACCTGCAAGACATGGTTCAACATTGAGATTAATTACACCTTTCCATCTGCCCGGTTTGCATTGGCATTTTCTGCTTTTCAAGCTTATGGAAAGCCAAATCTAATATCAAAACATAGCGACGTTCATCATAACTATGAATCCTATTACGAATATTTGTGTATGCACGGCGGAAGAAATGATGGTCATAGATTTAATGACACATATATTTACAACATTGAAGAAGAAAGGTGGATCTCATGTAAGCTCGTGGATGATTCCATTGGCATTGCTGAAACTTTGCTTGAACAAGAGAAAAACATGCAAATCATTACCTTGTCGAAAGAGAGAAAAATGAAACGAAAAGAATTGTCCTCCAAAGAAATTATTTATCGAGGTGGCAATATTGGACAATGTATTTCCTATAATGATATCAACTTTAAGAGTTCAAGCTTGTTTTATGATTACAGTTTGGGAATGACCACTTTTTCAATGCCTATGGTTAGTCAATATCCAACTCTTTCTCTTAAATTCATTAATTTTGGAGGAAAAACAGGATTTGATACTTACACGGTCTATGATTCCTCTCTCCTTACTTTTGATCTTACATTTTTCAACTACCAAAATGATCCTTCTCTGTTAGTAGATCCCACTAAAAGTGCTTCCACAGACGCATGCTTGGAAGAGCTCTCTGTAAAATTGTGGGCTCAAAAACAGTTTAAAGATTACTCGATCGTAGATGATAGTAACCATGCTATTGATTGTCATCGTCTTGTCCTCGTGAAAAACAATTACTTTAACAAGATGATTCAATCACATCAATACACGACAGATTTGAAAGCAGACCATTTAGATCTCATACTCAAGTTTTGCTATGGTATTGAACTCACTCCAAGAGATGCTAGTTTATCTTATCACGTTCATCCCACGTTAGATTTTGATTTAAAGGACAAGTCCATGATTGATTTTATTGATCTTTATTCAGTGGTCTTTGACATCCAATTTCTTGAATTACTTGATTATCTTAGAAAATTATTAACTGTTACAATGACCATTGAAATGGCTATTAAGATGTTCAAGGAGCTTTGTACCCTTCTCCAGAGCAAGGCTACAGAGCCTCTAAACGAATTAATTGGATTTTGTGCGGATTATTTACGTTTTACTGTGTTACCAGAAATGGAAATTCTTCGAGATCATGAACTGGAAATATTCCTTAGCTCAAACAACTTTTCATTGCAAGAAGGTTCCTTATTCCATTCTTTAATATCATCTTCTGTTCCTCCATCCTTTAACTTTAAGAGTTATGTGAAGAAGAGAGTCATGCTTGCACGTGAATACATGCATTTGAACTTGATTGCCCTCATGTCTCATCCAGAAGATATCAAACTTACTACATTTTCCAATATTGTAGTACGTTTGGATGATGAAGCTAGTTTCGAAATTGTAGCACCATCCGCATTACTCTCTCTACGATTTGATTATTTCAATAATTTAATTTTTAACAAACTTTTTTCAGAATACCAATCCGACATTGAACTACCCATGGAAGTGTTTTATCAACCACATGCCATCCATCCTTTACTTAATGTGGCAGTTGTTTTATATTATGCCTATACGAACGATGTGGCTTTGGAAAAGGTATTGGCATGCAAACATGTATTTCCAACACAAAAGAATGGATGTATTCATTCTGAACAAGTCATCAGCCACCATGACGAGAAACCACACACACTAAAATCTCCTCAACAAGTAGAAGAAATTACCCAAGATATCCTCATTCAGTACATTATTGACATTTATTCATTGGCAGACTTTTTGGCATCTCTCTCCATGAAAGAAAGTATTTTGAAATATGTACGAAGATTGATTGCTACTGAAAAACTTGGAGTCGAAAAAGTGACAAGTATTTCTCAAGAACTTGCATCAGATGAAATTACCAATGATTTATTAAGCGAGATTTCAGAAATGTTTCGTGATTGCGCTGATGACTATAGCTCTCTACAGAAACAAGAAGAACGAAAAGCGAAACTTTTTGTCAAGCCACCTCTTGAAACTCTAGATATTGAGTATTTTGAAGAAGAAGAAGAATAGAATGTTGACGATCAATAGGAGAGCTAAGGATGAACTTGGAAAAATGTTGCAACAAATGACAAAGCTTTTCATCCATAGTACCAACAGAGATGATGAACCATCACGGTCATTAACCACATCCTTGCCTCCTGCGACCCGTGAACAGCAACAATCACCTCAGGAAACGATCCTCAAAATTAAACATCCGAAAGTATTCATTGAAATGATCGAACATATTTCATAAATCGAATGAAATATTCTTGTTGCCGTGAGAGTGCACTTTTTGTAATACTCTGAAACAATGGAATGATGAAACTCTCAAGTGGTCCGTGTCCTTGTCCGTGAGAAAGATGAAAATGGAATCTCGAACATGAAATACTCGGAGCAGAAGCGATCCAGAAAACCTGGAGTATGAACTAACGTCTTCAGTAGAAACCTTAGAGTTTACATTGTAAGCGTCCACCACAGCAACAGTTGACAAAAAAAATTGCCTAAAGCGTTCCTTTGCTGATATTACAACAGGTGCCATCTGTAAAGCTTGAAGATGCACTCGTTTATACGTCTCGGTATTATATTCGAATAAGGGTTTCAGTTCTTCTCGTCAAAAACAGAATGAAGTTAACATTTTCACCATTGAATATGTGAGTGAGGGAAAACCGCTTGTCATTTCTTCCCTAATAGCTTACAAGTGTTACAGAGGGTAAGCTCAGTAGGATCTCAGTGGCTGCAATTCAACATCTTTGTACATATCAAAGATAATAACAACAATGATTATGTGTAACGGATGATCAACATTTTAATGAGCAGTTGCTGATTTAGGGTCTTTGGAGTCTTTGGAAATTTCGGAAGATTTTGATCCCTTAAAGAAATTAATGGCCATTTTCACTACAATCTTTGTGATAATCATGAACCAAAATAGATTCAATAAGAACAGTAAGGATGGCAGGATGATTGGCACACGTTGGTGATAGGGTGAGAAATTGTATTGGTCTGCATGATAGAAAATGTGAACGTTTTGGACAAAGCACCAAATCACTCTGCATACTAAAAACATCAACCAAAACAGCAGACCATTCAACTTGAACCATACTGTTTTCTCGTAATGTAAAAATTCCATAAACCAACGGTGTTGTAAAAATGGTGTAGTAATTTCAGTAATTAAGAGAGTAATGCAATATAACACGCCAATTCTGAAATTCAAACAATACAAAATACCCAAAATGCAAACTAAATGGTGAATAATCATGCTTGTGTTATCAGGAAATGCTTGTGGATATCTGAAAGTAGTAAAAATTAAATCATGAACAAAATATCCAACACTAATTCCTAAAACTACTTCATAAGATATTGCCCATCCATGAGCAGCGTCACCCCATGTGGTTGGTTCGTTTACTAAAACATAAATAGCTGCAATAGTAGAAAACCATGCATGGGTATACGAAATAACCTTATTATAGAACGCAATTTTGTGATTTTCATTGATTTCTGGTTTGCCAAGCTGTTTAATTCTCTGTTCGAGAGCGACAAACACAAACTTGTAACAAATTAACTTTACAAGTTGTTCAAATAGGTAACAAAATACAAAACTGCAAGCAGCAATAAATAAAACATTGTACGGAAGAGGTGTGGTGGTAAGGAATGTACATTGAGTGTTATATTCCACAAATGTTGGACTATGGAAATAGCTGTCAAATTAAAAGAACATCGGAGTGTGTTCATGACGCAATATCATGTTGTGTTTGATAGGTGTTGTTACAACAAGATAATGAAATACCATCATCATGAATATCTCAACAAATAATTCCATCATGCTCAACCTACCAATACTTCCAATACTCTTTCTCAAAAATCTCACCCATAAACTCCATCTTCTCTCACAAATTATTGTTCCGAAATGATGACACTTTTGTGAGCGAGAAAAACTCAGAGGATGATGCAAATCACTTCAACTGCTGTAAAATTTTTTTTAAGCCGCAAAATTTCCAACGTTTTCTCTTTCAAAATATTAACGTTCAACATCAAGTTTTTTTACTGAAAGCTCAATGAGAGGCGTTCGAGCGGAAATATAGGAAATCAAGTTTTGGAATCGATGTAAGATGAATAGGTTTTATTGCTTGCTTGCTTTTGTTGAAAAGTTAAGATTTAAAGTTGCAAAATTAAACTTCACATTCAAAATAAAAAATGCTCGCAAACGAAACCGATGAAAAACCGATCAATATCGATCAACAAGAGCCTCACCATGATGATGATACAACAACAACACACAACAACGAAGCAAAGGTAGACACAGGAGATTCTGGTATTGAAAAAATCAAAGATTCCGAAGATAATACTGCTCCTCCTGATGCTTCAAATCAACAACCAACAAATCAATCATCACCAGAAAAGAGAAAGGAAAGAGAATTTGATAATAGGAGAGATTATGGCCGATCAAACGATAGGTATTATAATAACAGATACAACAACGATAGGCGTTCGGATTACAAACGAGATTACAGAAGGGATGATAGATACGATAGCAGACGAGAAGACAGGCCCCACAGTCGCAGAGACGAGAGAGGATATTCACGAAATAATGATAGATCATACTACAATAGGAGAGATGACCGATTGGATCGGAACCGATCTGAAAAGAAGCCGCCTCAACAAGAAAATGTTTACATTCCTCCTTTCAAGCTAAGAAAAATGCAACAAGAAACAACGGACGCATCAAGTGAAGAATTTCAAAAGTTGAATTGGGAAGCACTCCAAAAAACCTTGAATGGTATTGTCAACAAAGTGAATGCAACGAACTTGGCTGATGTTATTCCAGAGGTTTTTGCTGAAAATATTGTCAGAGGCAAGGGATTGCTTGTGAAAGCCATCATTAAGGCACAAAATTCTTCTAATCAATTTAGTAATGTATATGCTGCGCTGACTGCTGTCATTAACACAAGAATTCCAGAAATTGGAGAATTACTGCTTAAGCGAGTTGTAGTGCAGTTTTTGAGAGCATACAAGAGAAACGATAGACAAAAATGTATTTCATCGTGTCACTTTATTGCTCATTTAGTGAATCAGCAAGTGGCAAGTGAAATTCTTGCAGGTCAAGCTCTATCACTTCTTCTTGAAAACGCTACCAATGACTCGGTAGAATTGGCTGTCACATTCGTGAAAGAGTGTGGAAAGACATTGCTCGAGATTGCCCCAAAAATATTAACAGCAGTTTTTGAGGCCTTCAGAAACATTCTACACGAAGGTAAAATTGATAGACGTGTGCAGTATATGATAGAAACATTGTTCAACATTCGAAAACTAGAGTTTAAGGATTATCCATCTATCAAAGAAGAGTTAGATCTTGTGGAAGATGATGACAGAATTATTCATGATTCTATTGAGCTTTCCAGCGATTTAGATACAGAGGATCATCTTGATAACTTCCAATATGATCCAAACTTTGAAGAGAATGAAGCTAGATACAAGGAAATCAAGGAAGAAATATTAGGCGAGGGCGAGGAAGAAGAAGAAGAGACGAAACCTGCAGAATTTGCACAGGAAATTCAAACCCAATCTACTTCGGAGGCTGCTCCCGAATCAAGCACATCAAGTACTACCACAACAAAGCCAACACTTCTCGATCCAAAAACAAAAACCGACGAAGAGTCCACTGCTCTTAAAAGAAAAATTTACCTCACCATCATGTCATCGCTTACGTTTGATGATTGTGCTCACAAGCTTTTAAAATCTGGCCTGGCCAAGGATCATGACATGGAAGTATGCTCTATGATTGTTGAATGTTGCAGTCAAGAGAGAAGTTATTTGGACTTTTATGGAAGTTTGGGAGAACGATTTTGCAGATTATCTGACAATTTTAGGATTGATTTTGAAGAGTGCTTTCGATTGCAATATAGTATTTTGCACAGATATGAAACTGGTAGATTGAGAAATATTGCTAAATTTTTTGCTCATTTGCTCGTAGCAGATGCTATATCATGGTCAATATTTGTGAATGTTAAACTTACTGAAACAGACACGACTTCATACAGTAGAATTTTTCTCAAGGTACTATTCCAAGAATTGAAAAGTAAGCTAGGAACAGAAAATATCAAACAACGATTACTGAATGATGAAGAACATCAACAGTACTATGTCGGATTATTCCCTAAGGATAATCCAAAGGTAGTTAGATTTGCAATCAACTTTTGGATTTTAATTGAACTTCCACAGTTAGCTGAAGGTCTAAAGTCTTATCTAAAAGAAATGGCTACCAAAGCCACAGAATCAAGCAGTAGTGAATCTGAAAGTGAAGAATCCGATAGTAGTGAGTCATCCTCTGACACCTCCTCTGACGATGAAGAATAAAGCAATTTGAAAATAATCACTCTTAAAATTATTACAATCCCTTCAATACTTGGTCCACTTTTTTATCATGCAGCTCTGTTGGCACGGTCCAAATTTGATTACATTCAATATTCTTCTCTTTGAATTCACGCAGCACTTCTTCACTAAATTGGAATTTTTCATCAATATATTGGCATGAAAAACAAACACCAAGTAAATAGGTCTCAAAGTTGTGTTGTCGTTGTAAATGCTCTAAACGTGCAAAGAATTTGTCATAATGTCCTTTTCCTCGCCCTAACCTCTGATTTTTAAAATCAAAAGCCAATCCAGGAACAATCACCAGTAATTTACTCTCGCCATTAAGACAATTCATCAAGTTTTTTCGATAAGGAAGGCTTTCTTCTGGAGGCTCTAATAATTTATATTTGCTCTTTAATTCAAAAGTTCCAAAATCTAACTCATCTTTCACTTGCACCATTTCCATCTGATCATTTTCAGTGGTGATAACAGGAATAAATAATTGCTTTCTTTGTTTCAATGTATCCATAATAATATCCATCGTATTCACTTCAGCTCCCGATTGCATCGGAATATAACAACACACATGAGTGCAATTTTTATAAAATTCGTTTCGATTTAAAACATCATTAGTGATAGTTTTAGATTGTTCCGTGATTTCATGACTTGAAAGTTGAGCAAGCTGCTTTTTGAAAAATCTTCTGAAAATTGCTTTCATTTTTTTTGTCATTCTCATCGTTAAACAAAACAATGGGTCTTGATTATAAATATCTATGGCAATGACATCAAGGAAGAAGGAAATTATCCAAAATTGAGTTCCAAACAGAAAAATGATTCAATTTGGAAGCCACTCATGCAAAAGCAACCTTAAAAAATATGCAATCGGTTTTGTCCTCTTCCCAAACTTCCAGCATCATGAATAACGAAAAGGAAGAACAGTCTTCCTCATCGGAATGGTATCAAAAAGCAGACACTCTTGAAAATTGGCTTCAAAAGCAAATGCTACTAAAATTAATGAAACAATTTCAACCAAATAATTACACAGCAAGGCTTGAATTGTCGTTTGATAATACTTTCACTTCGGAACATGGTGTATCGTTGAATGATCTTTTGAAATCTGCAAATTTGGAATATTGTAAACAATTCTCTAAATCACTCATGTCAGATTCAATGTCATGGAATCATTCTTGGAACCATAGAATAACATTATATACTGGGAATGTCACTCATCTGTCTTTCACCCATATTCCAAACAGACAAGTGAGCTTGGTTAATGCTTCAAACGAATCGTTGGTGATTGGTGGAGGTCTGAATGGAACCATTTATGAAGCTTGTGGGGTGGAAGAAATGAATCGAGCTGTTTCCAATCCTGACACTTGGATCTATCACTCACATTCACACCTTGACACCAAGTGCCCAGTTGGTGAAATTGTCGTGACCAATTCGTTCAAATTGGGACAAACCAATGGAATTGATTACATCATTCATACCACCGGACCAAGAGGAAGAGATTCTGATTATGATGAAGAAACAAAGAGAGATTTACTTGCCAATTGCTATAGAAATAGTCTTTCATTTCACTTTAGGCAATTATCAAAGAAATATCAAGCTGAAGACTTGTCACAAATTTATTCGGCAATTGTTTTTCCTTGTATTTCTACAGGAAAATTTCACATGAATCAGATAGAAGCGTGCAATGTAGCTTGTGCCACAGTTAGAGACTTTCTGTTAGAGGAGAGTAGTAATAATGAATCTCCAATGCATCAAATTAATTGGAGAATAATATTTTGTACATTTAGGTGCAGCGAGCAAGCAATATATGAAACGTTCATGGATTTCTATTTTCCATGAATTTCTAACATGAGTCAATGGATGGATAACAAACGCAGAACGAGCCACTGTCCATTAGTAACATAGATTCTCCATCGCTGTTCCATCTAAAGTTTTGTACATTAAAGCTAGCGCTTGGAATGTCCACACAAGAACAGCCCTCTTTTGACCAGATGTATATTTTACCATTACCAGTGCAGATAGCAAGTCGTGGATGCACAGGATCCCACTGTGCTTGTCTAATTGGTTGTGTTTGAATTACGACTGAGCACAATGACAATTTGCTAGTTTCCCAAATCCATAACGTGTTTGGCATGCTGTCATTTCGAGTACAAAGATATTTGGAATCACAAGACCAGTCCATCAATCCAATACCTTCTTGCGGATTTGCTTTTTTATAATCAATGTTCTTGACAGATTTTATCTGTACTGGTAGCTCGGCAATAACGTCTATATATATAGGACAAAATATTATTGAGAAATCTTCACAAATAATTATTGAAAATACTTACATCTAGTTTTGCTGTGTGTAGTGTTTTTGGAACCAACAAACTCAACCTCTTGAAAAATAACAGGATTATTAGGATGGGTCTCTAAGGAAACAGGGCTAGTATGTTCATAAGTACCAGTAAGATTCCATGTCAAGTGATTCAATAATCTTGCCTTTTGATCAAAGCTTCCAATAGCCAGAAGCTGCCCATTGGGAGACCATTTCACACTTTTCACTCCTAAAAGATCATTATATGCCGAGTAGTGGGCAATTTCAGAGCCGGCTGGCGAGTAAATAGTCACAGAATAATCGAGAGGATGGTCCCAAACAACTAAATAGCGACCATCGGGAGACCACTTAATATCAGTTAAATTCTTTGTCCGTACAGGAAAATGTTTGACTAATTCCCAAGTTTCTGTTACGATAATTGAAATATAGTCTTTGCAATCTCTTCTTTCGGCAAGAGCCATATATTTTCCTCCATTAGGAGTAAAATCCAATCCTTTTGAAGTGTATTTTGGATATTTAATATGAGCTACATGTCCACTAAACTCATCATTTCCTTCCACATTTAAGGACGAATTTTTGAGAGACCAAATTGTTATTCTTAATTGAAAATCAGCTGTAACAAGTACATGTCGAGCGTCAGGAGAAAATCTTGCAAAGCTCACTCCTGCAGGGCCTTCCTCAATTTTACATTTCCATGTATTATCACTGACACTCCATACTTCAACACATGATCTCTTGTACTGAGCACATAATACAAATTCACTATCCGAGCTCCAATCAATCTGGGAAATCACATCGGAACAAGTATAAAATCGAAGAACTTGCAGGGACTCAACATCCGTTATCACAAGTTTGTACCCAGCAGAGCTGGCAATATATTTTCCGTTTGGAGAAAACTTGCAAATTCCAGAGTACTTGAACACTTCGCTAAAATCCATATTGCGAGGCTTTAATGTATTTTTTTATAAAAATTTGGCGGCAAATCAAAGCTGAGGGAATTTCTCGAATTGTTGGTAAATATCTTTACAGTTTCTTCTTTAATTATATTATATAGTATATTATACTGTTTAATTATTCACCTCTTTCGGTCTTTAAATGTTTTGTTGAAGAGGCATATGCCTCTTTCTAAATCCAAAAAAATGCAGCAAATGATTCCGTCATCTTCCTTTATTCCTGCGCGAGTACTGTTAGAACCCTCTTCTTTGAATTTAAACATCATTCCCGAGAGGACAAGTTATTATGCAAAAAGAAGAGATGGTGATTTTTATGGCAATCAATGGGTCGTCGATTTGAGAAGCGGCCAACTAAAAAAACAAAAGTTTTTTGTGAAAGATAAAAAAGAATTTGATGAATTATTAAATCAAACCTTTCAACCTCTGGAAGAAAGGTACATTGGGGATCCAATGATTAGAGAAGGACCATTAAAAAAAGAAAATGAATTTTCAATGTTTCAATTATTGGAATCGGTGTGTGATGTGATCGAGGATGTTACTTTTGGAAATTCATTCTTTGAAATGTCCGATAGTTTTCAGAGGCTATTTACACAATCAAGACTGTTATATAAGAAAATGTTGGAAAGTCGCGAACATGTGAGGCTTCCAACTGCTGTTGACAAAAGTCAACAAACATTCAAGAAGCACGCGCAAAGAAAGACTCTGAAAGTTTTAAAACACCTTAAAACCATTGCCTCAAACAGAATACGTATTCGTAAAATGCTTTTTCGTCTGGAGGTACTAAAAAAAAGAATCGAATATGAACACCAATTAACAAATGTTTCAGCTTTTTACAACCTATATCAACATATTACGGATATGAGAAAGAGCACTCAATTCAATATGGCCTGCTCTCACTTATCTCAATCCTTGCTACGTATGGATTATCGTTGAATGAAATGTTGACAATCATGATGAAGATCTGGCCTCGGTTAAAAAAAAAGAAGTTTGGCTGCAACGAGGTGGTGCGAAAACCCTGCGATAGGGTGTGGCATACCTTGAGAGAAGCAAAACAAGGAAAAAGTCGTGCCAAACCAACTGGATAACCTTTAAAATGTTGATGAAAACTCCATTAGTGGTTGGTAATGGAAGAATTTGACATTTTTGTCTGTCAGTTTTCAAACTTGCAAATCTTCCAAAGTTAACTCCCATCATATTCCATTGGGAAATAATAACAACACACGTAATCTACACATTATTAAACACGTACTTCTGGGAATATTTCGTTCTTGAAAACAATGGCATAACACTAATTTCCTTTTTCGAACTCGAGGAATTGAAAAACAAGATTTTTCAACAACAAAAAATGTCTTCAAATTCCGTACAACAACTCGCCGAACAATGGCTACAATTGGATCCCTTTGATAGAACCCGAGCAGAGATTCAATCTCTTCTACAACAAGGAAACATGACTGAATTGGACAAGCGTTTAACCAAACGTATTGAATTTGGTACAGCTGGCTTACGGTCCGTGATGGCAGCCGGATTTTCTTGCATGAATGAATTGATCATTCTGCAAACTTCTCAAGGTGTTTGTAGATACATTGAGAAGGAAACATCAAGCACATCTGACAGGAGTAAGATTTCCATTGTTATTGGATACGATGGTAGACATCATTCCAAACAATATGCCCATTTGGCTGCTGGTGTGTTCTTGTCTAGAGGTTTCACTGTGTATTTATTCAAAACGATGGTGTGTACTCCTTTTGTTCCTTTTGCTGTTAGCAACCTCAACAGAAAGAAGAAGGAAGGAGAGAGATGTGTTGCTGGTATCATGGTTACTGCATCCCATAATCCAAAGCAAGACAATGGATACAAATTGTATTGGGAGAATGGTTGTCAAATCATACCACCACAAGACGAGTACATCTCCGAGCAAATCATGCAAAACTTGAATGTTTGGGAGGAAGTTGGAAAGCAGTTAAAGACTCACGGAACCGGAGCTGATGATGAAGAGGTCATTGATTTGTCTCCATGGAGTGAATTGTTAAAAGATCCATCTAGTCAAGCTGATGAATATTTCGAAGCAATTCGTGCCTATAACTATGGCTCAGGAAAGCCTGTCATCTCTGATGAAAAGATTGTTTATACTGCCATGCACGGTGTTGGTACTCCATTCACGAATAGAGCCATTGAAGTTTATGGATTACCCAAATGCATTCCCGTAGAAGAACAAATTGATGCTGATCCAGAGTTTACCACTGTAAAATATCCAAATCCAGAGGAAGGAAAGGGAGCTCTAAAGCTTGCAATGGACAAGTGTGAACAAGTTGGTGCTATTTTGATTTTAGCTAATGACCCAGATGCTGACAGATTGGCTGTTGCTGAAAAACAGGTGGATGGCACATGGAGAATTTTCAATGGTAACGAAATTGCCATGTTATTGGCTGATTGGGTTTGGACACATTACAAACTTTCTCATCCCAATGCTGACTATTCCAAGTGTGTCATGATTGCAAGTACTGTCAGCTCAAAATTATTGAAAGCTATGGCTGCTCATGAAGGGTTCAAATTTGATGAAACTCTCACTGGATTTAAGTGGATTGGAAACCGAGCAGATCAATACATTAAGGATGGATATACATTTTTGTTTGGTTACGAAGTTGAAATCGGCTTCTTGGTTGGAGACTGTAGTTTAGATAAGGATGGTGTAAGAGCGGCCTCTGTTTTTGCTGAAATGGCACATTACCACTATAAGAATGGAAAGGTTAAGCGTCTCAGCGAACAAATAGATAATATTTATTCAAAGTATGGATACTTTGCCATGAAAACTCGTTACTTCTTTACTCCAACCACTGAACTCTTACACCGGGTCATGGAAGATCTCAGAAAAATTGAAAATGGTGGCTATCCAACATACATTCCAAGTATTAAGGACAGCTCTAGACAGTTCAAGATTAAGTCTCTTAGAGATTTAACAAAGAATTTTGATTCTGGACAAAAGGACAACAAGCCACTTCTCCCTGCTACTCCAACATCCCAAATGATCACTTTCACTTTTGACAATGGTGCCACTGCAACAATTAGAAACTCTGGAACTGAACCAAAGCTTAAGTGGTATGTCGAAACTAATGACATGAACAAGGAGAAGGCCTTTGAGCTCTTAGATGAAATGACACCATCCATTCTCGAGTATCTTCTTAAACCAAAGGAAAATGGCTTGGTTGCTCCTCAAGATTAAATTGTATTTGAATTGCTGAACATCAAAATTTGGCGCAATTTGACAAACCGCCAAATTTTAATTCCAAAGTAAAAAAAATGAATGGTCTTGACGGTGTGTCTTCGCTCGTGGTTGACATTAAAAAATTTCAAAAATTGAATAAGGAAGCGGAAGATCTGAAAGCGAAACAACTACAGGAATGCGAAGAAAGTATTCGGAATTTGGAGGGAATTATTAAAACCAAAGAAACCGAAAACCAAAAACTTCTTCGAGAATATCAAACTCTCACGAAAGCCTATAGTGCTTTACAAGCAGACTTTACCTACAATTACCAATTGTTCCAGGAACGAGATGCAGAAATCTCTTCTTTTGAAAAACTGAATAATGACCTACGAGAACAGCTGGCGAAAAGGTAGGTACATTTAAAATAGGATGCATCAAATGAACTGATCAAGAGCTTAGTAAGAACGAAAAAGAGTTATTATTAAAGGAGAAGGCAAGAGTAGAAAGCGAGCTGAAGAAAGAAGTAAATAGAAATAACGAAATCGAATTATATTATCAAGAACAACTCCAAGAAAAATCAAAAGAACAAGAGCAGCTGAAGCAGGCATTAGAAACAGAAAAAATGTCAACCATTAATGAGTTCGAAGCAACCATTCGTGATCTTAGCCGAGAGCACAGCGAAAGAATTAAACTCATGGATCAGCAAAGAGGCGCTTTGGAAGGAGACCTGAAAGATATGCTTGCAGATAAGGATGAAACGATAAAAAAACTATTACAGCAAATTAGGGAAAAAGAGCTCATGTCAAACAAATATCTTTCTGAAAATGAATCAATCAAGAGGACGTTTGCAGCTAAAATCAAAGTTTTGGAGGATGAAAAACAAGCTCTTGACAATTCGATCACGGAAATGATGATCCAACATCGAACAGAAATGGAGGAACTGCAAAAACAAAACACAAAACAGCATCAACAACTGATAGCATCGTATGAGCCAACTCTTGCTAGGCTCAAATCAGACATCGAAGAATGTCAGACCGTTATTAAAAATCAAAAGGAAAGCTTAAAGATTTGTCAGAGACAAATTGAAGACCATGAAAAGCAACGACTATTCGACATCAATTCTTTACGAAATGAATATGAAGAAAAGCTTAGAAAGAAGGATAAGGATATTGAAAGCATGAAAGATAAAGAGTGGGAACACACACAAAAACTTGAAAGTAAGGAAGACATGATCAATAGTTTAAAGCAAATGCTCGATGAAAGGAAGCAAGAAGTTGAGAATCTAAAGGACGAAGTAAAGATCCTGACAGAACGAGAAAATAACGCCAAGAGAGAGTTATTAAGGATGAGTCTGCAAATAGAACATGATAAGGAGCAAAAAGATAAGGAGATTAATGAGAAACATGATCAAATGCTTAAAATGCTTAAAAAAGAAAGAGATGACGCAACAGCAATTTTGGAAGATAAAGACCGACAAATAGATGAACTCAGAAGAGAAATAATGGTTCTTAACACAGAGTTATCTCTTGCAGCATCTATGAAAAAAGTTCCCTATGATAAGATGAAGCCTCAAAACAACTCCACCGCCAAATATCAGCAACTGATTAATGAAATAGATGATGAGTTGGGCCTGGGATCGATTGACATGGTTTCCTCCCCCTCTTCATTCTCTTCCAAGATGGAAAGCAAAGAAGTTCCCGTGAGCATTCCCCAAGTGAACTCATCGGTTGATCTATTAACAGTTAGCAACATGCATATGGAACAAATTACCACGCTGAACTCTCTTGTTACTGAACTGAGATTAGACCTCGAATCCCAAAAAGAAAAATTGTACAGATCTGAAGAAAAACTAATTACCATGTCTATGGAAAACAAACAATTACGAGCAAAACTGAAAGAAGCTGTTCATGATTTAAAAACTTTATGTAAAGAAAAAGAAAAGCTGACTGATATGAGTAACGCCCTCAAGAAGGAAGTGATCAATTTGAAAGAACGAAATTTTATGGTTGAGAATTCATTAACGCCTCTGAACGTGGTGCTCAATGACAAACATTTACCCTCAGAAACCACTAACCATTCAGCTCCACGAGATGCTATTGGAGTTAATGGTAAAACAAAACCTCTTTCTGCTCGAAAGAAAAAGCACTAAGGAATCTAGTTGTAGAATAAAATACATATTTATTATTATTTGTTCTCAAGAATATTTGGGAGAGATGAACAGTGAATAACCACAAACCATTACGTTTTGTTTTCATTTCATTGAAAACCGTTATTTCAAAGGAGGAGATACAGTTCCATCGTTAAAAAATGTCCACACCTTCGACTCCAACTAAATCGCCCAGTAAGAAACATCACAAAAGGCCGAATGTGTTTGAACGCTTATCAAATCCAATGAACTTCACTGGGGTGTACTTGGAGAGGTTTCGGTCCGGAGGTAGCATCAACGCAGAGGCTCCATCTGGAAATATCAACAGTTTGGCAGAAATTCTAAGGCCAACAGTGAAAAGCTCAACATGTGTCCATATATCCTTCGGATGGGATCCAGGACAACACAAAAACAGTGGATTGGTTCACGACACACCAGCCACAAGAAACAATCCCTATCATACAACAACAGGAAATTCAGCCTTATCAATTCCGTTCAAGGCTAAGATAATGGAAGAGAGCTCCATGAAGAAACGACGAAAATCTCTGAGCGCTTTGAACTCTCCCCATCTTCAGTCTCCTTTTTTCAATTCTGAACTTCCTTCTGCAATGAGAACTCCATCTGTGAGCAGTATCAACAGGCCCAGTAGTGCTCTTCCTTCATTCAGAAACGATTCCGAGGACTTAATATTATCCAAATTACGATTAACTTCCAACTTGTTTGACGAAAAAACCTCTCCAAACGAAAAACAAGAAGATGGCATGTCAGCTCCTGTTAGTCCAACTCTTCAACTTTCACCTTCAGAGAAATCGGCTAACCTGAGAGAAAGGCCTTCCATTACGGTTTTGAAACATCATCCAACAGAACAAACCAAATTATCCCCAATCACCATTTACGATAGATTGTATGATTCAAGTACATACACTGGGGTGTACAAAGAACGATTTGCATCAGGAAATGGATGTATCAATGGTTCTTCAGAGTATTATCCTGAGAATGCAATGCAGTCAGCGTGTCCTGAAAAACGAATCCAAAGAACTCCAGCTAAGAATTCATCCCTTAAAATAAGCTCAATACATGCAGCAGAACCACAAACAACAACATCGTTACCAAACCAATCACTTGCCAGCAGTAATCTTTTAAATTCTCCTGATCGACAGCGTTATTTCCGACAAGGCTCTTATTCGGAAACGTTCGCAAAGAAAGCAAAACAAAAAAATATAATATGATCAAACAGACGCTGCTATTGCTGATTGTTCTAGGATTGTCTTACTTTTATCTGTATCCTTTCCGATTTGACAATTTAGAAAATAATGTTGCAAAATTGCACTTCGAGAGGTTTGGATCACCGATGGCAAAAGACAAACTCGTACGTAATGTACATTGTTTAATTTAATTGTTAATTGTTGCTTTCAAAGATTTTCATAGTGGGTTTAGGTGTGTAGTTACATTGATACTAATATTTACATTTTTCAAATTTAATGAAATAGGAACTAGTTGGCATTGGTGGGATAAGCAAGTACATTGGTTCAGTAATAACCACCATGATGAATTTGAAATTCTTGTAATTGATAATCGAGGAATTGGTAAATCTCCCGATATTCCTTTCACATTTCGTTATTCTATGAAAGATATGGCCAATGACATTATGCATTTATTGATGAATTTACAATGGATAGGCAATAAAGAAAAGTTCAACCTACATTTGATTGCGCAATCCATGGGGTATGTATGAAGTATATGGCCATGAGATTACAAGTGACACGAGCTTACATGATATTCTTGCAAAACAATCCAAAGAGGTCTTATTGCTACGGAGATGCTAAGGTGGGAGCATGTCCATTTTCCTCAATTGACTAGCAGCTTTTTTAAAACTGTGACTCTCCAAAATTCCTTTAGAACCATTTATTCCAGAGAAGCAACACCAATGCTTGATACGGTTTTATTCTTGGTCAAATCTGGCACTATTGGCGTAGTGTCGTTAGAGATCAGGTACGTGATTTTTTTGGGTTCAAACATTTGGCCATTACATTGTGATTAAGAATGAAATATGTGCTAGAACAAATGTTTTCTAGCGATTACATTGGACAACACTATGAGGATTTGTACAAAAGATATTCGCCAATGTTTAGTGATCTAAGAATGATTGGACAGATAAAACAAACGCTTGGAATTTTGACTCATTACGTTTCTGAGAAGGATTTTATTGAGGCTTATGAAAAGGTGGATAAAGTTTTGCTGGTTGCATCAAAAATGGATAGAATGGTCCACTCAGACAATACTCCACACATGCAAAGATTGTTGCAAAATAGTACTAATGTTAAAAGAGTTTTGGTAACGAGATTGTATGACAAAGAATCCAATGGCCATATCATAAACTCTGAGCAGCATGAGGATTATAACGACTTTTTGTACAAAAATTTGAAGTAAAGAGCTTTAGCCAACCACAGTGTTATAACTCCAAGTCATCATTCTCCAAAGAAAAATCATCCTCATTGTTGTGAGGTTCTGTTAAAGCTTTTGGTTCAGTGGTGGTTGTATCTTGCAAGTCGTTAATGTTGTTTTCGTCATGCTCATCTTGTACAGATGGAACATCCTCAATCTTTTTGATATATTCATCTCTGAACGTCATGTATCTTTCAATGTAGGATTGAGGAACTTCAGTGAAAGGATCATCGTCTAATCGTGGTTTGGTTTTAAATGACTTGGTCCTTTCTTTTCTTTGTTCTGGTGTGACTTGTTTATCTGTTGCTTCATAATAGAGAGGTAATTTTTCAGTACCACCTGCATTCTCTAATTTCATGGGTCTCATTGGAATAGAAATTGGCACACTTGAGCCATAGAGATTCACTTGTGGTTTTGGAAGTTGTGAAGGTTGTCTAAATTCCAGTCGTCTTCGTGCACGAGGTTGTTGAGTTGCTGTTGATGGTACTTGTTGTTGATCCATACTTGCAATATGATTGTTTGGCAACATCTCTTCTGATTCTGTTGTTGAATCCAATTCTTCTTCCTCTTCTTCATTTTGAGTTCCATCATTTTCAATTGTCTCTGTTTCATCCTCATCAAAATTAAAGAAAGCACCAGGTGTGTATGTTCTACTAAGATTTTTTGAAGCCATTTTTCTATAGTGGAAACTCTTTTGAGTTAAATCATCAGAATCCTCTGTTGTTGGTGTCACTACTGATTTGTTAAAACTTAATTTTGGTTGCTCAAAAGTTTGTTTGGAAAGCGTAATTTTTGATTCCCTTGTTGATTGAAAGCTTGGAGTGCTCATTGCTTGCTTGATTTTTTCGTCAAGTGTAAAGCTAGTGGTGTTTGGACTTGCCTCAAAAGAAGTATCACTAAGGGCAGATTCGTCTTGAGAAATTGTGCTAGATTTGTGTTGTGTCATGTTGGATTCTGATATAGGTTCTGAACGATCTATACCATTTTCTAAAATAAGTGTTGGTACAGACTGTTGTGACTGTTGTTGCTGTTGTGACAGGATGCCCTTGGCTTTTCTAAATATAATGTCTTTTTCTGCTTGGGTTTTCAACAATAATTTTTGATATTGAAGTTTTTCATTCTTCATAAAATCTTTGATTCGTTGCTCCATATTCAACTTTTCATCATTTAACTTTTTTTGCATATCTTTTTGATACTGAACTAGAATTTGATGTTTCTGTAATTCATTCTCAATTTCTTGATGAGGATGGGAATTGGTAGTACTGCTCGATTTCGGAACGAGATGAAAAATTTTGGAATACTCTTCTTGTTGTTTGATATTGTCTTGTAGGGATTCGTCCTTGATGAGTTTTAAATATGAGTATTTTCGTGAGAATATTAATTCATATGTGCACAATATTATTATCATCATCATAGAGCAATGATTGGAAAAAGGAATAGTTGATGATAAAATTGTAAACATGTTGATCATTAATTAAACGTTTAGGCAGTTGATTAATATGACGATCATCATGGAATCAATATTCTACAACTTACTATTAATTCAGTAGAGTTCAACAAAAACGTTTGCTCTTTCATCATGTAAATCCCGAAAAACGTTTCACAATTCAAACATCTATAAACTTTAATATTTACATCACCATCCTCTGCTCCAACAAAATGAGTTTCCATGAAAACATCAAGCGATGATTGAACACCAGCAATGGAAGAGCCTTTCAAGAATTGTACCTTTCTACTTTCAACACTCGGAAATCGGGTACATATCTCATGAATAATAGATTTTGAAAAAAGCCTTGATGTACTGTTGTTGTCGGTAGAATTTAAACCATTGTTGTTTGAACTAGTTTCATCATCGTCGTTGGTTCCTTTCGACCACTCATTAAATGCAATGGTAGTTGTTGGCAACACGTTGATTTGCAAATTCAGACACGGACATGCCAGTCGTTTACTACTCGAGTTGAAACCTGCAAAAGTACCACTAGAGGGAGCTAGTGTTGCATGCCGAAAGACCACAGGAGATCTTCGAGCGAATTGTGTTGGAGAAGAGGGAGGTTGATTTGGAGTGTTTGGTGCAAGCATTTTTTGTGTGTGAAAAGGTTTGCCAACGCTTTTGCTAACGCTCTCGACTTTTTACTGCGATTCACACATGAATTTTTTAATGTTTATGATGTCAAGTAGGGGTTATAGCTCAGTTGGTAGAGCGTGTGCTTTGCATGCACAAGGTCCAGGGTTCGATTCCCTGTGACTCCAAAATTTTTATTTTCATACGACAAGTCAGAGTTCCATCTGTTGTTAGTTTCGGCCTGATATTTCAGTCAAACGTTGTCAGAGTACTGGATAATTTCTTTTATTTCAGTTTGGGATGAATGAGTAATTGTACTCCCTTGCTCAATGGTACCAAGCATGAGGATGGTTGTTGTGAAATGGAAGCAGTAATGACTGTATCACTGGTTGAGGACTCGATTAGTGAAAACTCGTTGGGAATTTGAGTGACAAAGGAAGACGCAATAGATATATCAACTGAGCAAGCCTCACTCCACCATTCTGTCCTTAATTGTATCTCCTTAGAGAGTGTTACTTTTCCACTACTGCTGCTTGTGGAAATATCTTTGAGATTATCAATTGGAAATATTGAATGAGTACCGTCTGGAAAAGAGACGTTAATAAATAATTGGTCATTTTCTAAAGAAACATCTCTCATCGTACATTGAACTGGTATAGAAAGAGAAATAAAAGGTTGGTACTCAATTGGTTTTTCAATGTTGGACACAGGAGAAATGATTGTGCATTGCTTGAGCTGCATTTGTCCAATGTCATTAAGACTTAGCTCGGCTGGATAAAATTGCTATATGAAAGATTGGCAATTAAATGTCGACAAAAACTTCTTGATACTTACAATTGTTGATAAATGGACGAGAGAAACCTCATCGTTCTCGATCAGATGGTTCACAATTTGCAGTATACTAGGATCTAGTGATAAATTATTGTCGTTTGAAAACTTTTGAATTGAATGTGCTAGATGTCTCATCTTTTGAATGTTTGAATGATCGCTGTTGGAAAATATAGTTGTAGCCTTTTCAGCGCTGTTAATAAGATATTTGAGGTACACAACAAGTCTCAAGCACATTAATTGATGTAGAATATTAACGCTGAGATTTCCAAAAAGCTTTTCAATCTTGTATGTCATTTGAATAATGTTCTTGAAAATGCTTGAACCAATCATTTTGAATTGCAATGCTTGCAAAATAGATAAATAGTTTTGGCAGCATGCACAATAAATGTTCAAGAAGTGTATAAACACGTTCAAACTTCTGTCCTTGCTCTTTGGTGTTTTCTTTAACTCGCTTCTCAGTGTTTTCATAGCTGATACTGGATCTTCTCGTTCGCTGTTCAGTACCAAAAGTCGTATCTGATTAAACGCATTCACAAATGGAATAACTAGAGAGTTAGAATCCATAGTATCCACTTCTGGCTTTTGCTTCTTTGACGGTTTTTCTAAAGATAAATCGTGATCTGAAAAAGTGTAGGCCATAGAGTTTGAATTCATATTGAGCGTCTTGATGGTTAAGTTTGGAAATAAGTTAGGATATTTGGAACGGAGGTAGGCGTAGTGTTTGTACATGTACTTGGGAAGATGATTTGGAATTCTTGAATTTTCCTCACTAGCGCTAAAAATGGCAATACACAGTCCGGTGTAGTATTCATCATCAACCTTGTATTCAGTTGGCATGATATAACGTTCTAATCTTAAAAGTTCTTCAATTAAAAATTCTGTAAGTTTTGAATGATTCTTTGCAAGATCTCTTAAGCACGTGTAAATTTGGTCAATATCGGATCTATATTTCCTGAGATTATTAATTAAAAGTGCTCGAATGGCAGACTGTAAGCATCTTGCGTTGGATAATACAATCACTCTCAATAGGTTTCTAACTGAAGCTCTAATTTCCGAGTTGGAATCCTCAAGAATAGCCAACACAATTTGAAGTTGTTCCTCATCAAATCTAAGAGAAGAAGCACTAATTTTGCTTACAGAGTCTATGGCATGAATTCGAACTGAGTCAATCTCATCGTTAAACATTTCTATCAAATAATCCACTGATTTTCTACTGAAAAGCTCAGATTGCTTATTGAGCTCGCATATAGACTCGATTATTGCCATTCTTACGCTTCTATATTGGTCCTCAAGAGCTAATACAAACGTTCCAACTGCACCGCTATACAAAAGAGCATCCTTTTCGCTTCCCTTGATGGAGATTTCTCCGTCAACATCCTGTTCTGCAAATTCATAATTACTTAAATCTTGCTCCATAATCATTTGTTTTTGTTGTATTGTCTTTTTCTTGGTATTGGCATCCTCTTCATCCCTTTGTTGTTTTTTCCTATTATATTTTGGAGTATATTCAAGCTCGATTTTTCCAAAGCCCTCAAGAAGAAGAGTTTCTTTAACACCTTTCAATTTTCCTAGCATTCTGCATGCTTTTGTCCTAACAGAAACTACATGATCTCTCACAGCATTGCATATTTTTCCGAAGGCGTCTTCTACTAGAGAAAGCTGAGATCCTGAATGAGTAACAGTTCGATTTGGATAAATTTGGGCCAACAAGGTAATTAGCTCTAAACCCCTCTCCCTCACCTCCTCAGTATCGTCGTGAAGTGAATTGACTGCTTCTGGATACAAATCAAAAGATAATTGCATACCCCGTCTATACAATATTATGAAAGAGTCGATGGCTTGCTAACAAGGCATAATGCGAAAAAAAGTTGTTGTAAATCACAAGTTTTAAATGACATAAACATACTGCTCTAACTCTAGTGTCTCTATCATATAGACATGATCTCAAAATTTCTACAATGGTATTTGTTTTGTTGTCACCTCCAGTTAAAGGATATGTGATTGACAACAATTCAAGATAATTTTTTCGTATTCCTTGATCCCAATCACACAGTACCTTTTCATGTGGAGGAAGAACTTGAAATATTGATTGGGCAAATTCCGAACTCTTTGTGGAAATTTCAATGAGCCCATTATAAGCTTGGCGCTTAATTTTGTGTGATTCATGAGTCAGCTATGTGTGAACACAAGTGTTTATATTACGTCCTTTATGGCTACACTGAAAACTTACTAAATACGACAGCCAATCAATGTCTTCCATTAATTTTGCGACATCCTGTCGTTCTACATTTGAAGAGACAATGCTTGCAACAAATCTAATAAATAAAGCTATTAAATCACGGTCATAGAGTGGATCTACGCCTCCGACATCTGTTGATAAATACTGAAAAATGTTTGTCAAATAGGACAATAGTGGTGATGGATCTTGTAAAAAAGAAAGCCCGTTCAATATAAAATTATCGGAAGTTGGACTGAAATATGTGATCAAGAATGTGAGAAGTGTTTTTCGGTCTGATGATCTGGAATCTATTAATTGTTTTACATATCCTTCCATCCTATCAATTTCAGCTGTTTTTATATCTGTTGATCCCATTGATGTGTTTACGGCTTGTGGCTGAGTATCATCATCATCATCATTGTTACTCCCGAAAGTGCTGTTGTGAGCATAATCTTGGAAGCTTCTTTTCATTTTTTATTACTATTGAATTTGAACGCAAAAAGGCAAGTTATTATTGAAGGGCGCACTGCCTGGGATGGTGATGTTGTTATAATTTTTTACAATCCCATCTTGTATTAAATCCATCATACTCCACAAGAATGAACATTTGCTCAGCAAAAATCTCTTCCAACTCATTATTTGCATTCAACCAAAGCAGAATCTTCACCTCTTCGTGATGGTGTTGTTCTTTTTGTGATCAAATGTGAAAAAGATTGAGATGCTCCCTTTTGTTTCCTCTTTTTCATTTGAAGTTTAAAGTTTGTCACTCGTTCCGATTCCAATATTGCTTGACGAGGAATTCCTTGTTTTTCAGCTAGATCATAATTTGGAACCATGATCGAGACACTACGAGTTTTTTGTGCTCTTGACTCCTGGTCAACGTTGTTGGATGTTGCTCCCAAACTCGAAAAGTCTTCATTTGGTCGGAATAATACCCGTGAGCCACCAATTGCTTTTGAAAATCTCATTGAATGTTCTGAAAAGAACGGAAGTGTTTTGTAACGAAAACAATAAGGTTGACTAAAAGTATGGCTAAAAAATGTCAACAAATCCACAACCAAAACAGCTCTCTAAAGAGCAAACTAATACCACTACTGCAGCTTCCCAACAGTCTGGCACCACAACAACAACTCAACATAGAGAACCACAAGCAACACACTCAGTACCACCAGATTGGGCACAGATATGGATGGCCCAACAAGAAACAATGATGAATAAACTTTCTGAAATTGTTCATTCATTGACACCTACTGCTGCTTCCTCCAACGTTGGTAGTAGTGCTCAACATGCTGCAGAAGCTCAAGCAAAAACCAATTCAAGAAATGATGACGATGATAACAAAGTCGTCTATCATAAGAAACCAGGTCCTTTTAGAGATTCCTCACAACACTCCTCTCGCGACGAAGACTCTACTACTGATGAAGATGAATTCGTTGAAGAATCTGATCGTGTTACCAGTGGTACTACTCCCAAAGATAACCTTCCAAACTTTCAAGAAATAGATCTTGGTGATATCGAAGATGTGCGAATGTATCTGAAGAAGAAAGGAATTAAGAACCTTCGGTCAAAAGATCCTATTGAAATTGAAGAACTCTTCAGAGCAGAGAGATTGAAGGATTTGGAACACTCCTCCAGTAAAAGCTTTCAAACACGAATGAAAGCACTACTCTCAAAATATAATTATATTTTGAAAGAACAACATATCAGTGAGCTCCTCAACGAGAACGATAAGAGAATTGTATCAAAAAGTTTACCTATTATCATTCAAATCAACAACATCATTTGTAAGCTTTCTCGTCATGTAACCTCCAACATTCACACAGGAGAGAATATCGAAGTGAATGAACTCATTTCAATGCTATCTATTTTTATGAACACTGCGATCACGGGTGGATTAGACACCAACTTTGAAACCATGGAGAATGTTTCACGTCGGATGATCACTCCTTCATCCAACTATGACCTTCTTTCCCCAATAATCAAGAAGGAATCAGAAAGAATTCTCACAAACAAGCTACACAAAGAAGTCTCTAACAAGTCCATCTCCAAGCCTACCAAGATGAGAAACAACAACAACTACTACAAGAGAAACAATCGAAATTTCAGGTACGGCAATAACAACAATGACCATCACGAAGACTTTCAAAAGTCCACCTTCAACAATAACAACAACAACAACAATTACGCCTCCAACTTCAATAACAACAACAAATCCAGTCGAAAATTCTGACTTGAAAGGGGGCCGCTTGCAATACTTCGCCGATCGTTGGGCAGAATGGGGTGCTTCATCTCATATCGTTCAATCATTGCGAGAAGGCTTCATCATCGAAAGCGACCCCCAGAAATGGCAAGAATTTGGTGGAAACACAATTCGCAAGAAGGAGGAGATCGAATGGTTCGACCACAAGATTGCAGTAATGACCAGCAATGGCCACCTCGAAGAAGGAGACTCAACCACCATCCTCAACGCAGTCCATTTGGTACCCAAGAAGAGTGGAGAGTACCGACAAATAACGGACTTGAGGAAGGTCAATCTTGGAGTGGAAACCGACCACTTCAAGATGGAAACACTCGAGGCGGTAGCGAAATTCCTGAAGAAAGGGTTTTGGGCAACCAAAATAGACCTCGCAGAAGGATATTTTCATATCCCCATCCATCCAAGTTCAAGAAGGTTGCTAGGGTTCATTTGGAAAGGACAAATATTCCAATATACAGTCCTTCCATTCGGGCTCAATCAAGCACCATGGATCTTCACAAAGGTGATGAAACAAGTTGCCAAAAAGTGGCGTTCAGAAGGAATGATCATCTTTATCTACATCGACGACATTTTGGTGCTCGGATGTTCTCAAGAAGAATGCATGGAAATTACCTCAAAAGTCATTCAAGACTTAAAATGGTTAGGCTTCCTAATCAAGGAAGAGAAATGCGTACTGATACCGACTCAACAAATCACATTTCTGGGAATTCATTTGGATTTCCAACAAGGATTGTTCAAAATTCCGGAGGACAAACAACTGATTGCAATCCAAGCCATCACCAAAATACAAACAGCATACCACCAAAGATCCCATCTCTCACTAAAATGGATCTCTCAAGTGATTGGCAAACTTCAATTCCTTTCGATTGCTCTCCCAGCCATCCCAGTGTTCCTTTGTCGTCTTCGAACCAACATGATGAGTGTAGTCCTTCAAAACGGATGGAATCACTCGATGCTAATCATGAGAGGAGCAATGAAAGATCTGACTCAATTACTGTCTCTAATTCAGGAGAACAAAGGAACACTTTTCGAAATGGAATGGAATCTAGTGGCCGTCAATACAGACGCAAGTCCACTCGGTTATGGAGCCCATTCAAAAGAACTCACTCTCTCAGGAACGTGGAACGAAGACATGAAAACTCACCACATCAACAGTCTAGAATTGAAAGCAGTCCTCATGTTCTTTCAGACTGCCATGACTCGTCAAGCATATCCACCAGGGACTCAGTTCCATCTTCGAATCGACAACATGACAGCTCTTCACTACATACGCAAGGGTTATGGTCGAGTCTCTCACTTGGCGAACATTGCAAGAGCAATTTGGACTCTCCTACTGAAACAAAAATGGTCAATTCCCAAGGTTTCCTACATTCCGTCAGAAAGAAATCAAATCGCCGATCAGTTGTCAAGACTCGGCCAATGGGAAACCTCTCCAGAACTTTTCAATCTCGTGGAGAAGAACTTTGGCCACCACGTCGTCGATCGCTTCGCAAGTCCCAAGAATTCACATACGACTATATTCAACTCCTTTACGAAGGAAAACGACGCTCTTATGGAACTGTGGAACGCATCCGAGGATCAAAGAAGTTATTGTGCTCCCCCTCTTGGGCTGATGTCTCAGTCCTTGCTTCATGTTATTCGGAGCAAAGCAAAGGCAACATTTATCGCTCCTATCTGGCCCACCGCAATTTGGTATCCAATCTTACTAAGGATATCCAAAAGGACAATAATGTTTCCAAAAAATTTGCTCAGAAATTGGCACTCGTCAGAACTCTCAAACAACAAAGATTGAGTCTTTGCAGCGTGGGATCTGGACGGTGCTCTTTATTAGATGTCAAAGGTCTTTGTTTGAGTGTAACATTGGCTGACACTACTCTTCAAGAATACACTCGAGTTTATGCCATCTTTAGAGGATGGTTGGTTTGCACTCATTCCGATTACAATGAACATTCCATGACAGATTTCGTAGCTTATCTACTTCATGTAGGAAAAGGTTATCTCATTGATAAGGTTGAACCTTCCCTTAAATTCTTTGCAGATTTGGAAGGTTGGCAATTATTGAAAGATTCACTTTATTACCGAGTCAAAACAGGAGCCCTTAAATTATATAACCTTTGTGACAGAAATCCTTTGCAAAGGGATCCTGTAATGGCTGACTACATCAAGAATTACATTACTCAATTTAAACCGAAGACTCCAAACGAAGTGTTTAATTACAATTTGACCTGTGCTCTCCTTGTGATTGGATTCCGAGTATTGTGTAGACCAAGCGAAATATCCCAACTTCAGTGGGACGATATCACATTCATTACCGAAGGTCGAGTTAAAGTGAATCTTGCAGGTCATAAAACTGACAAGAATGCACGAGATACACCAATGATTGTAGATCCAATTAAGGAAAATCCTGAATTCTGTCCTGTCGCCATTTTAACCAAGTATATGAATATGGTTAAAAAGTTTAAGAAGAACACTTCTCCTCTATTTTCATATCGAGATAACAAATTTTTATCAAGACAAAAGGTTCAGTCGATCATCCAGTCCGCTATAAGGAAAGTAAAACCAGAGGCGAAAATTACCGGACATAGTTTAAGAATTGGTGGAGCCACCGAAATGGTGAAGAAGGGTGAAAATATGGATGCAGTGAAAGTGGCAGGACGATGGAAGTCAGATTCCTCAGCTCTCCTTTATATGAGAAAACAGGCGTTGGCCGAGAAAAACATGTCCACCACTTTGATGAAATAATTATTCTCTGGACAAACCCATTGGTATTAATCTATTATTGTTTGAAGTTACATAACATTGAATGTTCTGAAAAGAACGGAAGTGTTTTGTAACGAAAACAATAAGGTTGACTAAAAGTATGGCTAAAAAATGTCAACAAATCCACAACCAAAACAGCTCTCTAAAGAGCAAACTAATACCACTACTGCAGCTTCCCAACAGTCTGGCACCACAACAACACCCTCCCTTCCCTCCCATTATATACTTAGAATTCAACAACACTTTGTGTTGTATTAATTGGCTTTTGCCTTATGTATCATTGATTTGCTCAGTGATTTCCTTTGACACTTTTGTGTCTTCGATTGGCTTTGGCCATTATTGATGGGTTTTTTCCCACGATCTTTTTTAAATTTTATCCGTCGTTGATTCGCTCAACGATGTTTTCGTCGCATTAATGCGATGTTTTTCAAGGAACATGGTTTATATCAATTTCTTATTTAACAAATTTTTATTGAGCTAACCTTTTTTTATGATCACTTGTGGTGAAGTAGACTTGAATATTCTTGATTTGTTTCAAAATTAACTTTTTGTTGATGATTTGATTGATGTTTACTAACAAATTTATTTATATGATCTATATTCGTCCCAGAGCTATTATCCATTCAATGTGGTTTTTCTCAGAGCAATTTGAGTTTTTTCATCACATTCTAGTATCCATTTCTCGGGACAACTGTACAACAATAAAGGTTGTTGGTTGACACTCCATCTCCAAAGAAGCGACACTTCCTGGAGAGGAGACAGCAACTAACCCATTGGTATTAATCTATTATTGTTTGAAGTTACATAACATTGAAAAGCCACGTTTCACGCCACCTTCTTGTGAGCTGTTGGATGATGAGTGTTGATGGTTATTGCCACTTGTTGAGATTCTGGATGAGATTTTGTCAAATATGGATTTACTTGGAGTTATGGATGACGGAGCTGAAGTTGGAGATGATACAGTCGTGTCTGTATTATTATTGTTATTATTATTATTTGAATTCATTGGATTTTGTTGAGTGTTGGACTTGATAGGGGTTGGACTTGGCATGCTTGGTGGTAGAATAGTGCGGAGAATATTATATGACGGTTGCAAGTGAATGGTCCAGCAGTAATATGGCTGTGGCGATCAGTTTTTCAAGATTTTTGTTCGCTTGGTGGTTCAATGCATTTTGATGCTTGATGACGAATGCATTTGAAAGTCTGCTGAGTGTTGTTTTGGCAAGTTACATTGGTAGTATAATCGTCATCAGCATTTAACGAACCCTGACTCACCGGTGAGAAAGAAACGGAACGCCATAAGCAACAGTATATTTAAAACTCAATCCAGTGAACAACAACAGCAACCTGTCTTTCTACCAAGCCAACAACCCATCAGTTCAAAGTACCTCACACTTCCAACATGCTGAACCAATGACAGGTAACAGAAACAGCCAAGGTTTAATCAACTCTTCACCACACAACAGCGTCCCGTCAACCATCACTGTAAAAAATAAACGAAAGACTGAAAGTTGTGTCTGCTACGAGAGGTATGACAGGATGATGATGATGAATTTGCTATCATTAATTATTTTCATATTCAATTTAAACTTTTTGGTGTTACATGATACTCTATTGTGCAAATATTCTACTAAAATTTGAAACGGAAATTTAGAAAAAAGAACAATAGAAAACAATCATGTCAGACCAAATTGAAATTGATGCTGAAGAAACAAGTCAATTGGGAAAGGCTTTCAAGAGTGATATGAACGACTTGAATGGAGTCAAAGCTATTGTAAGTGATAGATTGATGTCAAAAAAGTTGAGTCAAATGATAACACACTTTGATCAATTTTCTTGAAAACAACATCGATTCATTCACGATGGCTGTAATATGGTATGGACAATGATTGCCTGCCAAATGTCAAAACGTTGTTCTCCTGAAAATTTTGATTTTGTTGGGCTATGTTGTGTGGTTTCAACTCTTGGTTTCTAATCCACGAACAAACAACAACAACAAAACGACACATCAATCGATATTATTATTCTCTATGATGGAACAACAACAATAACACGAACGCTTTACGTATTCCATCAAACGTCATTTCACACCATTTCCTCTGCCATCAATCCTTGCTCTAACTTCTTTTTCTAATAACAACAACAACTGTACACATGGATTGTGGTCTGTCATTGAATTTCCATATCATTTTCTCTTACATTATTACTTCACGTGTCTCAACTTTCACTACTTGCTAGGAAAGGATCATTACCGAAGGTAAAAGACAAATTGAGACAATATTCGGCTACAAGACGGCTATCGGTAAACTTATCCAAGTTAGAGGTGATGCTGATAACAAGAAGGAATTATACAAACAAAATCTCGCTATTTTAGGTCCAAACATTCAAATCATGAGAGATTTGTTCCAATTCAACGATGTCATGAGACAACATGTCGTCAGTTTTGTGAACGGATTTTGCAAGAATAATACTACACCCAACGCAGAAGAATCAAAAGCATTGATTGATGTTCTTGACGTTGTCATCATTTTGGATTATTTGAAAACATGGCAAGCTGGTTTAAATAACGATTTTGCCATGTATCGTAGAGCTATTCAACACGTGAAAAAAGATTACAACATGAGTGAAGACGAAACTTTGCGTCACTTTCTTGTCAATCCACACAACATCAATAAGGCTTTAAAAACTTCATTTACTGAAGATGCTGATGGTTTTGAAAAAGTACTCAGCTACTTGGCTTCTGAGTGCAATAATAGACATGAAAAGGAAGAAAAGAATGAAAAGTATGTGAGAGTGGCTGTCTGTTGCATCTTTTTGATTGATCAACTCATTTCAGATGCCAACAAGTTCAACAACATGAAGAAGAACATGAAATTCCACAAGATTAACAAATTATTCGAAACAAATCCAAAGGTGTCACTTCATCATGAACTGCCTCTCAACGTTCCAAATTACTTGAAGAGTTGTCCAAACTTTACGAAGAACGCAGATTGCGACAAAGGTGTGTGTACAATTTTGTAAAAAATGTACAATAAATTCATGAAATATAGACCTACTAAGATGACTCTGCTGTTCATGATTGATAGAAGAAAATCAAAAATGCATTGGATGGAGGAGATTGCGTTGGAGCGATTCATTGAATTTTGAAATCCTGAGCTCACTCTTGAAAGGCTTATTTCTACATCAACTGAAAAAATGGACAACCCTTCATTGAGCGAAAATTCAAACAACCTCAAAGGCTTTGACGGTGCCATGGAGAGCAGTAGTCAATCCAATGATCAACCCGTATCAAGCACCAACCAGATGTTGGTAGATGAACACAAAGAAGAATTCAGGCAAACACAAAACGGTTCGGAAGATTCCACCCAAGGCCGTCCGAATTCGGTCGTGGAGGTGGAGAGACGATTCCAAGAGTCCAAAGAAATTCTTCTTGATCTGATCCATGAAGTTACGCATCTTCAGGTACGTGTACTAATAATGAAACATCATTGAATCGTGGCGGTCCATAAGAGAGAACAAGAATTAGCAAAATATCAAGCAATGTGTAGCAAAGAGAGTCCAAAAGCATCGTTCTCTGAAATATCTTCTCTATCATCACTAGTTAAAAGACATGAGCTGGAAAGAGAAAAGATGGAATGCCAATATAAAGAAAGAATCAAGGAAGTTTCGAATGAAAGAGATTTATTAATGAGGGAATCTCTTGAAACAAAACTTCATTTGGATGCTCATGCTGCTCTTGTGGAAAAAATTAAGGTATGTATGCTTATGCAGGTTAAAACAAGTTATGGTTCTGACGTTCTACCTCAAACAAAGAAAAAGAACATTGAGCTTGAGTGTAATGTCAATCTTCTTCAGGAACAAAACAAAAAACTCATTGCCAGTTTGACTGGGTATCATCAAGAAAAAGAAAAGTATGAAACTACGTTTGAGAAAATAAAGTTCGAGATGGAATCACTCCAGTCAAAGGTAAAGGCGTTTGAAGAGAACGGTAAGTTGAACAATTAATTATGAAAATTGGTCAACGTTGACACAAAAAGCATCTGTTGTGGCATCCGAGCAAGAACATACAAAAAACAAGTTTGACTTGCTTGAAAAACTACTGAACAAAACAATGACGGAAAACGCCCAACTCATCGAAGAGAACATGATGTTGAAGAGAAAGACAATGATCCACACTCACCAGCAAGAGAAATAAGAGATGAGAATAAAGACTTTTGTTATCCTGTTTTTTCGGAAGTTGGGTTATCGGTACACGTGTTCCAGTTGAACAAAAAATGGCCAAAGATACAGAACAAGCTTTAGGCAACGAATTTGATATCGATGAAGCAGCCAAGCTCTTGCCAGAGGAAGTTGTTGAAAGTAAGTGAATAAATGTGTAAACCCATTCCGATGCGATCATCATACATTAGTTTTTGAAACTGATATTACTTACGGCTTGAGCGAGAGCGAAGCCAGGAGGAGACAGGCTGTTGTCGGGTTGAATGAATTAAAAGAAGAAGAAGAAGAATCATTATTAACCAAATTTATCGAAAAATTTAAAGAACCTATGATTTTATTATTGTTAGGAAGCGCAGCAATTAGTCTTTTATTAGGACAATATGATGACGCAATTTCAATTTCTCTTGCTGTTTTTATTGTTTGCACTGTTGCCTTTGTTCAAGAATGGAGGAGCGACAAGGCTCTTGAGTCACTGAAAGAACTCACCACACACAAAGCAACAGTTATTAGAGATGGAACTCATCATATCATTGAAGCAATACACGTTGTACCAGGTGATATTGTCACCTTTTCATCTGGAGATAGAATACCTGCAGATGTTCGACTAATTGAGGTTGCAAGATTGGGAATTGATGAAAGTGTTTTTACTGGTGAAGTCAATCCTGCTTCGAAGGACACTGAGAAAACTTATCCAAAACATGCTGCAAATGAGGATTCAACATCAAGCCCTTTCCCAAAAGCAACCCACGTTGCTGATTGCAAGAATATTGCATTTATGGGTACTTTGGTTGCTGCAGGAAGTGGAAAAGGAGTTGTTGTTTCCATCGGACAAAAGACTGAAATCGGAAAAATATCTGATTTATTGAAATCTATTGCAGAGAAAAACACTCCACTTCAAGATGCTATGGATGATTTGTCACAGAAAATTTCCTATCTTTCATTTGGAGTGATTGGAGTTATTTTCTTGATTGGAGTTTTTACTGGTAAGCCATGGCTTGAAATGCTTCAAATGGGAATAAGTTTGGCTGTTGCTGCTATCCCTGAAGGTTTACCTATTGTTGTCACAGTAACTTTGGCTATGGGTGTCATTAGAATGTCAAAAAAAAAGGCAATTGTCAAAAAGTTGCCATCAGTAGAATCACTAGGTGCTTGCAATGTTGTTTGTGTTGACAAAACGGGAACGCTAACCAAAAACGAAATGACTATGGTAAAAGCATTCACTCTTGCTGAGCCCGATATTGTATACGATGTTACAGGATTAGGATATCAAGCTTCTGAAGGCTCATACTATAGAGTTCCTATTTCATCCTTACAGAATAGACATGATCGCTCGCATAACGGAGAGCGAATCATCCCAACAGAAGTTCCTCATCTTAATACGTTACTCAAAATTGGTGTTGTTTGTAACAATGCAAACGTAGATTTCACTACAAACAAGCTCGTAGGTCAACCTACCGAAGGTGCATTGATTACTGCAGCACAAAAGGCTGGAATTAACGTGAGCGAATTAAGACCCAAATTCAAAAAGATCGAAGAAATTCCTTTTGGTTCAGAACACAAGTGGATGGCTGTAAGAAGCAAAAACATCGAAAGCGGAAAAGAGCTTTACTACATCAAAGGTGCTTCTGAAAATATTTTAATGAATTGTACCCATTACTGTGTTGGTACTGAGTATCAAAAGAAACCACTTACAGATCAATTGAGAAAACAAATTGAGGATGCTAATTCTACATTTGCAGAAAATGCATTAAGAGTAATGGCATTAGCTGTTGGAGAAAAGTCCAATGCTGACTTGACCTTTGTCGGCATTGTAGGTATTTATGATCCTCCAAGACCAGGAGTTAAAGAGGCTGTGAAGCTTCTCACTAAAGGTGGTGTAAGAGTAGTCATGATCACAGGTGACTCTATGAAGACAGCGGTTGCTATTGCCAAAGAACTTAATATCGTTCCTGAGAATGGTGACGAAAAGGAATACGCACTTTCTGTTGATGATTTAACAACGAAGAACTTTGAGGAAAAGATAGTCAATGCAAGAGTTTTCTACCGTATGGCTCCTGTTCACAAGATGAAGATTGTCAGCGCATATCAGCACTTACACTACATTGTCGCAATGACTGGGGATGGAATTAATGATGCGCCAGCACTAAAGATGGCAAACATTGGTATCGCCATGGGTAAATCAGGTACTGATGTGAGTCGAGAAGCTTCTGAAATGATTTTAGCTGATGACAATTTCCCCACAATTCTCTCTGCTATCGAAGAAGGAAAGGGAATTTTCAACAACATCAAGAGCTTCTTGAGATATCAGCTTACTACATCCATCAGTTGTATGATTATCATTATTTTCTGCACATTTATGGGATATCCACTTCCATTGAATCCAATGCAAATTTTATTCATCAACATTATCATGGATGGTCCTCCTGCTCAATCTCTTGGTGTTGAACCTGTGGATGACGATGTTATGAATCAACCACCTCGAGACACAAAGAAACCAATTACTTCAGGAAAAATTGTTATTTCTATTCTGATCTCAGCCATTATTATGGTTATTGGTACACTATATGTTTTCATTACTGAAATGACTGAAGATGGAATAGTGACAGCTCATACCACTTCCATGACATTTACAACATTTGTCTTTTTCCAAGTTTTCAACGCGTTCAACTGCAGGTCAGAAAAGAAGTCCCTTTTCCAAGTTGGACTTTTCACAAACATTCCATTACTTCTTGCTGTAGGAGGTAGTGCCTTAGGCCAATTAGCTTTGATATATGTTCCTTTTATGAGAGCTATTTTTGAGACAGAACCTCTTTCACTGTCCGAGCTGATATTTGTTTTGAGTGTTGCCTCAAGTGTTTGGGTGATTGAGGAGGTTATCAAATTTTTTGAGCGAAAGACCGATCGAAGTTAAGAGAGAGTCTCAGTTTTGAGGCTTGCTAGATCACCATTTGTGCATATTGTAATAGTGATAAGATAAACATCTTTGTCCAACCATCAACAACTGTGGACAGGAGTACTATTTTTGACCATCAAAAAAAATAACATTTCAAACAACCACACTTTCAGCGTAAACGATTTAGTTGCTAGGTCCGCTACATATGATTCTCATCTTCATCAACAAGTAAAATCATGTCTTCAAATAGTACTAATAGTAATTCTTCCAAGAATGATGCCAAAGTTAATTTTGAATATTTGTGGAAGGAATTCGTTTTTAAATCGGTAAATTTAATATTGAATCACCGTATAAACTGGCCTATTGATCGGGTGAAGGATGAGAAAACAACATCATGGGTAGGTATTAAAAGCGAGTCTATAATCCGTTAACTGAAACTGCATGTATTTCATCTACTTTCAGTTTCAAATTAAATTACAAGAAACGGAGGAGGTGAACAAAGATTTGGAAAAGCTGTTCAAGACCTTCTCTCCAAAAGCAACTCAAAAAACGATATTTATTGATATATATGCAGAAGAAACACCAACAAGCCCAAATGAAAAGGGTAAAAAACATTTAATGGAGAGATGGTGTATTGAATATATGGATAAATCAAGAGAAGCCACACTAACCGAGAAGCAGCAAGATGAATTACTGTATCAAGTGCGTGTGGCATACAGAAAATTTATTGTACTATTCCGATCTCTATTTTCATATATTCTGTTATTACCTGCATATTCGATCTATCAAAAGCTGCAAAAACATAGAACAGGAATGGGATATACTTTGGGATTCGTGCTTTCTCATGTTGAACCAACTTCACCTATCGAACCAAGTAAGTACCTCCATAGATTTTGTAATTTCTTGATAATTTTTTTGATCGTTAATTGTGTCGTTCTTCATCTTAAAAACTGATACAAAACAGCTTACTTACGAAGCGTTGATTTTCATTCTATCGAAGCCACTTCAATGTGCAAACTCAAAGTTAGTGTAAAATATAGAAAGCAAAAATTTTCAGAGCTATTAACTGTCAGCGATCATTCAGTGTTGAGAGAAAGTCAAATTGATGTGGACTATTTCTCGGATAACAAGAATGAACAACCAATTAACGAGGATAATAAGAAAAAGAGGACATTATCTGTTCATTATAGTGAACCAATTTCTAGTAATTTGGAAAATCCTGTAGAACCTTCATCTCTAAAAGAGGAAATTATTCCTCCTCTTGATATCGATCGAAAAAGAGAGAGAGCTGTGAGCATGCCCCCTAAAAAAAAGGAACCACAAAACATCAATAATGAAGATGTTCCAAACAGCAGCCAATCTCTCAGCAAACCTGTAAATATTCCACTCACCTTTGAACGTCACAAACTTCCAAGCAAATTTCTACCAACAGAAACTCCACCATTTTCTAATGCATTTTCCCTTGGATCATCTCCTGCTTCTTTACCTCGACAAAACAGTGTAAATAACATGACACATGTATCTCCTCCATTTAGTTTTGAAAATCTCAAATTTTCCCCTATTGGATCTTATACTCCACCATCATTACTATCTGAATCTCTTCTGAAAGAATCCCCAAGTTCAAATCAAGCATTCGAAAGATATAGTACCGTACCACCCATGTTTGTTGGAAGCTTAAAAGACATTCCAAGCTCTCTTGAATCTCACAGACATAAATTCCAAATGGACTTTATACCAACACTTCTTGAAGATATCGAGAGCATGAGAGAGCATGATGAATTTGATCACAACCATCATGGTTCATCAACTATTGATGATGATTTTCCATTTCTTGGGTCTATTGAAGATATGCACAACACGCCTGGCAGTGAGGGGCATGACGATGATAAGGACGAAAAAATTGGAGCGCTTTTAACAATGCTTTCGAAAGCGTCACACCATTCGACCTCATTCAACCCAACGTCCATGGAAAACATTGTGAAAGACTTTGAGCAAATTAGAATCACGTTGCAGTCATTAGACAAAAACCAATAAAAATGATGATCATTGGGCAATTTCATGAAAACAATTGTCGTGTTGCTTTACAAGGCTTTTATCTGTTGTCGTCGTCGCTCGAACAGAGATTATGTACATGACGTGATTAAGAATGTGGTAAATACGAGCTCGATTACATCTTGAGAAAGGATGCTTCTTTATCCTTGATTTGGTCTTCGAGCTCCAAAGTTCGATCCTCCTCACTGTCCGACAATCTCTTTTTTCTCTTTAGTACCAATAATTCAGCACGTAGTTCACGAATCTCCTCTCTCAACTTCTTAGCCTCATACTTGTTTTCGCTGTATCGAAATGATTCTTTTGGAGTCATTGAATGAATCGAGGTTGCCTTTGGGAATCCTGGATGATCAAGTGTTCGGGATCTATTTCTAGTGAGGGGTGGCTTCAATGTATTTCCACCACTGATGGTGGCATCTGAAGAAGTTGCAATCGTTGTTGATGGTAGGTTGGAATCATCAACAGATGATCTTCTGCTGCTTGAAGTGGATACCAGTCTCCCTTCCGAGTCAAAACTATTGATTTGGTAATACTTTGGAAAACCTACAACTAATCGAATACTTAATAAATCTAAATCCTCTTCCAATACTTCAAAGGACTCTTTTTGCAACAACATTAAATCATGTTCCAATCTGTTTAAATTTTGCAATTCATTCGTAATATATTCGCTCTTTTCTTGATCCGTTAAATTTGGATTAAATCGGATGGATAGAATTTGTCTTCGTTTTTCATAAATGTCTTGATATTTTCCTTCGATGAAGTGATGGGAAGACAATTCGGCAGTGTTTGAAGGAGTGATTTTTGTGGGTGTTGAAGACATTGTGATTGGTATTTTTTTGGGTTTGACATTTGGCAGAGAAAACCGTCGCATTTACAACCAGGAAATTTGCGTAGATCGGGGTTACCTGATAGCAAAAAGAGTCGCTGGAGCTCCAGCGAATCTGATCCAATCACTGATTCTTTTTACCTCAACAGACTTTCGTAACGGTAAAACAAGACAATACACAAAATATTTCTCGAGTGCCGGGAATTGAACCCGGGTCGCCAGAGTGACAGTCTGGAATGCTACCACTATACCACACCCGATTTACATTCCCCTTGACTAAATATTAGATTTGGTAACGTGATTCCTGGTACAGTTTTATCTTGATTCAATCATGATGTTGTGTACAAATCAAATTACGTGTTCTTGTGTACGCAGCACGCATGGACATTTAATTTAACAACAGATCGATCACACGACAACATTAAATGTCCTCTTCCAATGATTTGGGACAAAGAGATTAAAAAAAATGTCCAAAGAGAATGATTCACTCTTTTTCGAACGCACCCAATCCAATCTTCCAAAGAGAGGAACCTTTTACTTTACTTCTACACTCTCTCTCACTCTCTATGTGATCATTCCATCTCTTTTATTAATTGCCTCAATTCTATATTTACAAGTTGCCTTTCCTGATGATTCACACCGTGTGAACTATTTACAACAAGCCTTTGGTTCAAAAGCAAATTCTTTATTGACTCATTATTTGGGTAAAGTTGCAAATATGACTGCAAGTGACGAGCAAACAGCATTGGAAATGAATGAATCTCTGTCCAAGAAATTGAACAGTATTTTCACATTTACTGAATTGAAATATGGATTATTTGTGAGCGCATTGGTTGGATTGGTCATCTATATGAGAGTAGTAGTCATGACAAGATTGATCGTATTCTCATGGTTGAGAAGATTGATTTTTGGAGCAAAACCCGATGATGTTTATTTACTTGATTTTTGTAAGTTATGAATGTACAAGAATTTAATATTGTATATATATATATATATATGGATCTTGATGTGGGTGAATACGTGTATGTATGATGAAAAATTATGTGTGTACGTGCGCAATATGTTATGAAAAATTATTGCCACGGCCGTGATGAAACTTTGATGACACACCCAATCGGATTTATTGAATTTTTCAAGTGACCTTGAAGAAGGAGAGAAATCTGAACAATGTCACTTCTCTCATTGATACTTTACATGATGTGACAAGTGTGAAATCTAATGAAATTGATCTAGTTTTATTGGATTTCCAAGATGGTCTCTCATTAACAAATGATGTGGTTCATCATTACTTGAATTCATCATGGAAATTGTCATCCAATCGAGTGATTTCATTGAATGGAATGGGAATTGCAAGTATAGATTTGGCTCGTCAATTATTATCTAAAAACTCAAGAGCTCTTATTGTGTCGACGACCATGAGCGCAAAGAATGGAGCCACGACTGCTTGTTTCATTTCAAATAATGCCAAAGATATCAAGAAGGCAAAATATGTGCTCGGTATGTGGTTATTGATCATGTTAAACTTGAAACATCATTGCAATTCAACACTATAGTGAAATGTGAATCGTCATTCCCTACAAATGATTCTTCTATCATTGATCGAATTAAGAAGAATGGACTAAATGCCAACAATTATTCACATGTTTGCTTTAATTTTAAACAAGAGAGTGATTTAATCAATGCACAAAAAGGTAAGGGTCGTGTTTGTCTGTAGAGTCTAACCATTGTTAAACAATTCCAAAAAAAACAAATGTGAAATAATCCCCAATTAGAATTCAAATTGAGTGAATTTGCAGTCACCTCTAATCATGCAGCCATTTCCAAGTTCAACACAAATACCACCTCCTGGAATGGTAAGTTGTTTTTTTCATGCTTTTCAACAATTTCATACTTAATTAACCTTAAACTGTCAGTATTGGAATTTATTGAAAACAAAAAAGCAACAAAGAGGGATGAAACAATTCTTCAAGTCGATTGTTCGGATGAATCAAGCAGATGTACCAGTGTGGTATGGAGAGTGGTGTAAATAAATGTTTGACTACTAGGTGGTGCTACATGTAAAACTATTTCGTTGTTATTGTTGATTGATAGAATCATTTTCCGCACCTCTTTCTTGGCTAATCTTGACTTTGACTGGATTTTCCGTGAGAAGTTGTTGTTCAATTTGTAAAAGAAGCTTTTGTGCTTCTTCTGCGTCAAGAGCTTGTTGTTTCAGTCCACTAGCTACTACGTTCTTTACAATCATATTATCGTAGGCAAATGATTTGTTCTTGGACAGTTTTCTTCCTTGATGCATGATTTGAATAATATCTCCGACATCGGTTTCGTTTGATTCATCATGGTAGCTGTTTTTATATTATTTACGTTCCGTTATCATCAAATTTACATGACAATAATTGTTTCAATATGTTTTTATCCATATCAATAGTTAACATCAAAAGTAAATATAATATCATCACATGATGAAAAGAATATCCAACATGAGTTTCAAACGATTCCCGAACTTCTATTCGAATTCCAATGAAACTACTCGACGACACTTACAATATCTTTTTATATTTACGGAGCAGCACTCCATACTTATTATTGTAGTGGTATCTAGGTACAAGCAACACTCCAGTCTTTTCCATCTTTTTCGAGAGCACCGTACCTACGAGACGAGTGCTACTACTCATGTTAGCCAAGTTAATTAAATGACGCATTTTTTTGAAGGACAAAATATTGAGTGAGGTTATTTGGTTTGCATAACAAGCGAAACGAAATTTCATTGCACGCCATGTAAAAGGTCCATATACTATTTCATTACATCTTACATACTCATTAAAACCAACAAGAATACCATCATGGATAATCCAACGAATCTCACTTGAAGAGAAACAGCAGAATTGACAGACTTTGCAATCTTTCCACTCTTGGATGGTTGTGCTGCACTCTTGGAAGGATTTGGCTTCACATTGGATGGCAATGGTTTGGGTGAGGCCACTGGGACTACTGGTGCACCCACTCCTAACGCTTGCTTTTGAGTGGTTAAATCCTCATTCACGAGTACTGCATTGGTGGCAGAGAGAATAGTGACAGAGCCACCAGTACCCTGTTTACTGAAACGGAGAGTTGCTTTTCTTCCATCAGATAAGCTAAGAGTAGTTCCAATGGTTCCTGCCACGGAATCGTCTCTGACAGCACTCGATACTGAATTATCAATGGAAAAGACATTCAAGAATAAGGTCGAGTTTGAATTGGATGTGGTATCGGTGAGATCGACTCGCGCACCCTCATTAGCATCACTCTCAACGGAATGCCAATCAATAATAGCTGATGAATAGGATTGAGGTGAGAGTGTATGAACTTTGAGAATACTCTTTCCATTATTGTAGGTAATGGTATTTCCAGAGAGGGTGGGAGCAGATGAAAAGTTGATCATCCACACTCGTTTCGAGTTGGAGGATGTAGTGGTAACGACTCGATCCAATACCACGACTGTACTTGGTTTTAAGAAAATAAATTCTCTTTCCACCTTTTGAATGGCACTTTGACCACCATAACTTGGAGTAACCTTAGAGAGCGAATAAGAGTAGTAGGAATTATCGGAAATGGCACTCATGTTGCATACGGTATTGAGTTTTTGTTGAAGAATGGTGCCAGTGGAAGACTCAATTCGGACCATGTTATGGAATGATTCTCCTTGTTGAATACCTGAATGGGTATGGAAATTTTCATCAATGGCAAGCCAACCCTTCTTATAAAGTAAAAGACTTCCTTGATCACGATGAGCATGAGATTGAGAAAATGGACCACACATTACTAATGGCCATTTTGTAGTAGTAGTTTAGAATTATTTGTAGGAATATTATTATTGTGTAATTAAATACCATAGAAATGATAAGATTGGAAGCGTTATCAAAACATTAATTTTAAAACAACAACAACCTCAATATCAACCAAAGACTCACATACCTTGAGCATAAACAGCATCACTTTCCCAACTTGATCTTGTTGCAAAAATACCAGTGGAATCTCCTCTAAATGAAGTAGTGATGAAATTGGTATCATTGGTTGGTGCAGCCTCTACGTTATTAATATCAAACATGAAATCAATGTATCGATTGAATCCACCAGTCATCATAGGAATACTCGATTTGCTCAAAATGGTTTTAGCCACTCGAGCCAATGGTGAAGTAGGATATAAAGAGCATACCACTAGAATATAATGACGATGATAATCATAGAAAGCAGCAGTTGAGTCTCGAGCATGATCACCAACTGGAGCCAAATAATCTAAGGTTGGAACCAAATGATGAAGAATCCATTGGAGAGAATTATAAGTGTGAGGCATGAGATTGGCAATATTCTCACCTGTGGAACGTTGCCACCAATCATATAAAGTGAAGAGTTCCTTTTGTACAAATTGTAGAGATGGATTTCATGGAGACATTTCGAAATGAGAGATTGATTAAGGGTATATAAATACATCCAATAAATGTTATGTGTCATTGAACAATGTAGCAGTGATAGAGGTGATCCCAAAAAAGTAGTAACACACACACATTCATCAAAGATTCACAAATTCTTTCACACACGCACACATTCATCCAACACATACCTTATGTGAAGTACCATATCCAGTACCTTCTAAACTTCCACCACTCACCAATTCTGAATTAAAGAGTGGAATTAATTGATTTCGTAATTTAACATTTCTAAACTGTTGTAGCCACATTTCAGCCAATGGATTCTCACCATAAGTGGCCAAACCAACCATCATGGTAGCTCTAATGAATGAATAGTAATAATTATTGGCAGGATCATCCACGCTCCAACATGACCATGGTGCATTTCGATTTCCCCATTTAGCAGTTGTACAATTCCAAACATTGGAAACAGCTTGGTTAGCAAAAGCCATTCATCTGGATCTTTGAGAGGATGTAGTTTGAGCTCGACACCAATCGTAGACCATCATGATATTTCCTATCTGTTCTCCAACATGTAAATAACTGTCACCTGCCACCTCTGGATTTTGATTATTTGAAATGCGAGATTCTTCAGATGTGACCAATGCATCTGCGTCGGATACAGCAAAGGTACAATACGAGACAGTTCCAGTCACCTTGTACATTAATGCAGCATGCCATGATTGAAACCCATAAACACTACCAGTACTTCCTCCTCCACTGATACCGCTGTCAACATAGGAAAGATAATTCTGGGAGATCCCAAAGGTGGTAAATTCCATTGTGCTTGACAAGTATTCAATTGGAGGTGACAAGGATAACACTCACAACCAATGATAACACCAGCAGCAGAGAACTCTCTCGGAGTGAGACGTGTGGTGGCGATAGATGGATGGATTTGGTCATGTTCCGAACACACACAGAAGCAGTTTGATTTTTTTTAATGATGACCTGAGCTCTCGCGGTTAGTGGACAGCAATTTGAGTGCGATTGCATAGCCTGTCAAGTGTTAGATTGCTATGAGATCTTGATGTGTTCGTAGCGCCAATGAAAACATTTTGAAGATCTTGCAGTTTCATTTTGAAAAACATCTTGCCTTTTAAATAAAAAAGGAGATGCTGGACGTTGAACAATCGTGTTGTCTGTTGAAACCACAAGGAAATCTTCAATTAAGGTCAAAGTCCGAAGAATTGTTGAAGAGCGAGAGAAACTATTCGAAATATAGATTCATAACATCAATTCGTCGTTCAAGTATCAAAAAACAACAACCTTTAAATTTATTAAACAGAAAGCAAGTCATTTCAACCATGAAAAAATTATTGAGTGTTGGGTTGGAAAGCCCATGCCCAATCCGAATCCGACGATCATTTGCAAACAACACTTGCTCGTCTCTCCTCTTCTCTCATATTTCGTGTTGTTGTTACCAACTCTCCAAACCATCGTTCCCAAGCATCATTCAAAAAAATTCATTCACTGCTCGCTCCTACTCGAGTACGACATTCCAATCGATGAGCGAACATCACGGAAATAAGCCTGGAGTATCAGCAGATCATTTGGCTGTTAATCCATCCGATACTTTGTTTGCTAAATTTGCAAGAGGAGAACTTGCTTGTGCTAAAGTTTATGAGGATGATGATGTCTTATGTTTTAAAGATATTAATCCACAAGCCCCTGTACACTTTTTGATCATTCCCAAGCAAACACAACTTGGTAATGTACATTCTGCAACTGAAAATGATATTCAAGCATTAGGAAAGTTGCTTTACGTTGCTGGATTGGTTGCTAAACAAGAAAATTTACTTGACGGTTATCGTTTGGTCATCAACAGTGGAATTCATGGTCAACAATCCATTAATTGTAAGTATATAATTTTGTGATCTTGAAAGAATTGACAATATATTTCTTTTAGATCTCCACATTCACATGATTGCAGGTCGTCAAATGAAATGGCCTCCAGGATAAATATCCATATATTAGTTAAATAAATTAAATGGATATCCTTCTTGTAAATATTCAACACAGCGATAAATTAAAAAATGTCTTTATCATCCTCCCAGCTTTTACCCAATGTGGACGATTTACAAATTCAGTTCGATAAATGTGTTGTTTTCAATAGCAAATTTGCAGGAAAAGCAGAAGAGGAAGACTATTTAAAACTTCTCGGATGTTGTCCTTCTCAACTCTCTCTCAATGACAAGATGATTAGCGTCGGAGTTGTCGAGGCTCTATCAGGATTTGCAACAACATTTGGATCTGATGTAGTTTGTGATTCGTTATTCAGCGATAATTCAAAATATGTATTTATTGAAGTAGAGCCTGGATATTGGATGGCTTTATTTGTAAAATGTAATTCTAATCGACCATCAACTCCATCACCAAACTCTCCTCTCAACTCTGGAAGTACTGAACCTATTCAAGATTTTTCGGGATATAGCGATGATAATTTACCATACTCAATTTTAAAATCAAAATTACAAGATGCATATCAAACATTTAAGATTTTCCATGGTGAGATGGACCACATTGTGAAAAGTGAAGGTGTCCAAAGTTTGAGAGTGAAATTAGATTTATTTCTAGAGAGTTATTGGAAAAATTTTGTATTTAATAATTGGAATATCATGGACATTTTAGGTGGAATTCAATTTCTTCCAGTTCCAACCAATGATTTTCTTGCTATTCAATCGTTTATTCATCAAACGATTTCAAAGTTTAGCAGTTTTAACAAGTCAAAATCTCAAAAACAAAACGACTCTGAACCCACCTCACTTTCTGTCATTCGGGGTTGTTTATTTATTTTTGATACCTATTTAGTGTTCAATGGAATAGCCAAAGAAGATAGCAGAACAGTTGCTCAATATCTTCCATACATTGTGGAGGAGCGTTTAAAGTATCTTCCTCAAAATGTACTACTAAATTCAGCTAATGGTTTCTTTGTAACGGGACCAGAGGATATTCAATCACCCACAACACGATTTAGTGCGCCACGAGTATACATTGGAGAACCAAGAAGCGAATCAAGTGTGATCATATATAAGGTGAGTTTAAAAGGATAACATGTTGCAAACAGGTAATTTTATTAATAGCTCAATAGACTTCAGTTAGTTTTGTTTGTTGACCCGACAGTTGCTTCACAGTTGTCTTTCTATACAAGCCTTAGAGATTTTATTTATCCTGAATTACAAACCATTTACAAAGATCTTTGTGACAACATTTACAAAGGAGATGGTAATGTGATGAAATACATATTTTTCAACGGATCGAGTTTTGCTTTGAAAACAAGTCTCAATTTTCAAAATACCTCCATGCTGTTGAAGGAGTCTTTACAAGAATTGTGTCATTTGAGATCATACGCTAAATTGTAAGTGGTTTGAATTTTTTCAATGCTCTCTTAGAGCTTCAAAATGCTAAATCCATCCAGTAATGATTCAAAAGAAATTATTGTGAGGAACAAAAAAGAAAGCTGGATCGCTTTCAAAATTATTGGCGGCAAAGAATTCTTCTTTATATTCGACCAAAAGAATGCAACGCTGTCTGATGTGCAGCAACAAATGGAAAAAGCAAGCGTATTGTTTAATTCCAGTAAATAAACCTTAAGGTTTTCTTAACGTCCAAATCTTTTTTGATTTGCTAAATCGGGCCAGTTTTTGCAATATTTCCTTAAAGTAAACGACTTCATCGCCCACAATATAGCTGAAGTGTTTTCTAATGTCATCAGTAGAGGCTTGACCATTATTCTTTTTGAAGAAGGCAATCAAATTTTCTGCCATCTTGTTGGAAGTCTTTAACATGGGTTTTACCTCTTCATCCAACTCATTCTCATTGTTTACAAGTCTTGGCTTGTCGCTTGTCATTTCTTGCTTTTTTCTCAAGTTAGCCAAAACAACAGATGAAGCTAATGGACCTTTCGAGCTGGAAAAAGAAGGTAGAGCTAAACCTCCTATTCCATGCTGCCCAGTGAATGTTGGAACAGAAACTGGAACGTTTTTTCTCAACTCTGACGACTTTTGCAATTCTTTCATTGCTAAATCCGCAATTTGTTTTGCTTGTTTTTCCACAATGGATAATTCTGATTGTGTGGTGTTTAGAACAGAATCATGGTTGAATACGCTCTTGACAGATTTCTCGTCGAAAAGGCATTGCAAGATGTATGTCTCATCTCTTTCTTTGTTTTCCTCTTCATTATTTGATTGCTTTCCTTTAAACTTTTCAATCCTGTAATCATTGGATGATGAAGACGAGTCAGACTTGACATCCTGTCTCAAAATTTCACTATTGCTGAATATTGATCCCGTCTCTGTATTTTCCTCTTCATCAAAGTCGATGTTCTTTTTGCGACTAAATCTTACACTGTCATACTCCTTTCCAAGAGTGAAAAGTTCATAAAGATCGTTGGATTTGAAGAGACGTTTCTGTCTAGGATCTTTCAATACCTTATTTGAGAGAAATTGTTTGAAAATTTGACGATGATACATCTTTTCTTCAATAGTACCACTTGTCATTAATCTATAGACGGTCACTTGTTTTTTCTGACCTAACCGCCATGCTCTCTCTAGTGCTTGAAGATCTGTGGATGGATTCCAATCTGGATCAAATAAAATAATTCGATTGGCTCCAATCAAGTTAACTCCCAAGCCACCAACTTTGGTGGTCAGCAAAAATATGAAAATACTGTCGTCCTTATTGAAATTATTAATGAGTGGATTTCTGTCTTTAACCGAAGTAGTACCATCCATCCGGGAGTAAGTGTATTCTTTTTCTTGAACGAATTTCTCTAAAATGTCTAGCATTTGTCGACTTTGTGAAAAGAGTAGCACTCTGTGATTTTGTTCCTTCCATAGAGCCAGTAGCTTTTCTACGACCATCATTTTTCCAGATCTTGACCTGTGTCCGTAATCTTCTATACTACTTTTGTCATCATAGATTAAGTCTGGATGATTACAAACTTTTCTTAAATTAGTTATAGCCTTAAATAATAAATGCTCTCCTTCCAAAGTCTTCTTAACTTCTCTACTCTTCAGGTATGAGTCGTATACCAAAACTTGTTGATCCGTTAATTTACAAAAAATTACATTTTCTTTCTTCTCAGGTAGCTGATGTTTAACATCTTTTTTCAATCGTCTCAATAAATAGGGTTTAATTAAATCTCTCAAAACACAGGAACACTTGTACGCTGTTTGAACTTGGAATTTACTTGCGTTCGAATAACCTCCTAAGGTTATTGGAACAGCAAATTGCGAGAGAAACACTGGCAAAGTGCCTAATTTTCCAGGATAGCAAAAATCAAATAGCGACCACAACTCTTTCAAGTTATTTTGAATTGGTGTGCCTGTTAAAATTATCCTATTGGGAGAGTTAAATTTTTTGCAGGCCAGAGTAATGGCAGCATCTGGATTACGAATTTTGTGACCTTCATCCAGTACTGTGAAGAGTTGAATTATTCGTATAAATTGAGAAAATGATCATATACTTACTAATATATCCCCACTCTTTTTCAATTAAAATCTCTTGATAATTTCTCAAGGATTCATATGTTGTTATTAGTACACCATCAGGACAAGATGCCACTTTCTCAATCAAATCTTCAAAGTTGGCTTTTGAGCTTGAAGACGTGTGGAGAATGCATACCCGAAGCTGAGGCCACCACGTGTTCAATTCTTCTTGCCACTGTTTCATAACAGTTGCGGGAGATATAATTATCGATGGCTTAAAAAGACCACTGTAATGGAGACCAGCAAGATAGGAAGCGATTTGTACAGTTTTTCCCAGACCCATTTCATCTCCCAGGATTCCACCAACCCCTTGAGCTCGAAGTTCACACATCCACTTGATTGCTGTTTTCTGATAGGCAAAAAGCTTGTCGTAAACCTCATTTGGAATGCAATAATCTCTTGTGATGGATACTGAGTCTCCCCAATCAACCACGCTCACCTCTTCTTGTTCTCCATTTCTATTCATCACTAATTTTGTTACAAAAGAGCGTGTGCTATAAAATTCAGACAGTCGCTGTTCATAATATTCATCATTACTGTCATCATGCTTGAATTCCTTTTTACGAGGAGTTTTCTCTTCTTCCTCCATGCATTCATCATACTCTTCCTCAAATTCATGTTCATATTCTTCATCAACATAGTCTTCATCATCATCCTCTTCCTGTTTAATCTTCTTTTTACTTCTCTCAATTAGGCTTGAATCCGGCGGCATTACTTTTCGTTTGTTGCTTGGTTGAGCCAATTCAGGAGATGATGAGCGAGAGGGTTCAAAAGTTTCAGTGCTGTTGAGAGTTATGGCTGTTGATGATGATGATGCAACGTTATCAAAAGGAGTGATGACTCCGGTACGAATTAACCGTTCTCGTTCTGTTTCATTTTCTTCGTTATCAATAACTGCCAAAGATTTTCTCAACTCGGTTTCTTTCTTTCTATCTTCTAAATCATCTTCAAGTTGTTCTTCTTTTTCTTTCAAATCATTGATTTTCTTTTTTAGGCTTTTCAGCTTTCTTTCATCTTGTTTTGTAATATTTGATTTGCTATTTAATTCTTTATATTCTTTTTCATACTTTTCAATTTTTGCTTTGAGAGATTCAATTTTACTTTGTTCCTTCTTTGCTAATTGTTTTTCGTTTTCTTCAATTTTCTTATTCATTTCATCCATCACATTTCTTTCAATATCTTCAGTTGTGAATGTAGAAACTCCGAGCATGGATAAATCATCCTCTTGAACCAATGTATGGTCCGAAGATTTATTCTTCATGGTTGATGATGAAGGTGAGGATGATTGTGCATTCGAATGATGGTTGTTTGTGTTACTTGCTGCTTGTCGAGTTTGAAGCATTTTTTTGTTCGAGTATGCGCAGGAAGAAAATTGTGAATTTGATGAAATTGAAAATCGTGATTTTTATTCTGTGTGGAACGATTTAACAACATTGACAATCGTAATCTTCATTATTGAAATTAAAGAAGTTGGGAATTTCTTGTTTTCCTTCATGGTGATGCTCTTCATGTTGGAGAGACTGAAAATATGAATCAATTACTGTGCACAAAGCGCTGCTCGAATAGCTTGAGCAATGATCTCGGTCTTCCAATTTTAGAACATGAAGCTTTTTAACAATCTGTTGGGTAAGATGGAAAGTTGCGTCCTCCATAATATTCTCAAAATACTCTCCCAACAACGATTCAATTCCCAACTCAATAAATAATTTGAATTTTTCAAAAGTAGAAACATGCTCTAAATTGCAAATCTCAAAAATAAATAATAGAAATTGTTGAGATACCTCTACGTCACAATCCATAGTGGACGAGTGAATAAATGAGCTGACGTTAAGAACAGTTGTCATTAGAAGTAAGAACAAGGGTTGTACAACTTACTTGAGATTTTGTAATAATGTCCTGTCTTGCAACACTTGTGAGAAAGGAATCACATTGTGTGCAATTAAGTTTTTACAAATTTCAATCGCCTCCTTTTTGATGAAATATTCATGGTTGCTTGAAGCAGTTCTCAAAATTTCTGCCAATAACGACATACCAAAATCATACTGAAGCGATCTTCTATGTTCTAATACTATTAAATCCTTCTCAAATTATTATATATTATACTGTTTGATAGAAAAAACTTACATGTAATGTCTTGAACGTGGTAAGGACAACATAATGTTCAGTGTCTTGAAGCTTTTTCGAGAGAATCCCTATAAGATGTGAGAGTATGTCTTTCTGTGCAACAAATTGAGTCATAGTTGCATAGTGTGTGTTGTCGTTGAGAGACGTTCGGATGATATCTATTGCAGCATCTCGCAATTCCCAATTCATATCATAAAATCTTGTGGTAACAATTTCATAAAACCTGCTTTCTTCGTTTTTGCATGTAAGTGGAATAATTTTTCCTACTAGCGAAACAATATCAGGAATCAGACTGTTTTGAAGGAGTTGCCACAAATAATCGCTATGCTCATTCTTGAGAGTAATTTTGGCTTTCAAAGCCCAACAAAGTAGAACTTCTAGTACTTTAGAGCAGAGAGAGTTATTGATATGTTCATACATTTTCACTGTGAAAACTAATAAGCCATGTAAATCATTCTTGTCACAATAATCGATTGTGGATGGTATTTGCATAAATCTTTGAAGGCACTTGCTGATGGCTAAGATAAATTTGCCTTTTTGCTTCACTGAAAGACATTTGAGATTGTTAAAGTATTGTGTATCATTATTTTCCTCAAACATTCGTTTCCACATGGTTACTAAAATGGACAAGAGTGATAGAGCTGATTGTTCAGGAAGTAGTTCGCTTGAAAAGTTTGAAAGGATTTTTAGTCCAATGTTTTGGTAGCCAATATCTCCGGAAAGTAGACACGCCTCTACAGTTTCGCATGTGTGTGAAACAACATCATCTGTTTTGCCAGTCAATAGTTTCAACGAATTAACTTGTTTGTTACCACTTAGTAGATTGTGATTTGATAAATATATCAAAATATCATAGAGTCTTTCTACCACTCGTAAATCATGTACGTTTGCGATGGTCTCGTCATGTACAAGACGTTCAATCAATTGTGATTCTGCCAATGCATTTTGTAAAATTTCTGTACTCAAGGGTCGAAGCATTGCAAAGTCAAATGTATTGTTGTGATCATTAAAACTTAATGTTATGAGTTGCAAAACAAAATCTAAAAAATCGAGCATGTCTTCTTTCTTAAATGGTTCCAAAATATTGATAAACTTTTGAAGTATTTCTTTGTTACCTAGCTTATACCAATATTGAACAACCAAAAGCAGGCATTGTGCGCAAGCTTGCCTTAAATAAATATTATCACTTCTCAAACAAGTTGGAAATATCCTGCTAAAACATTCCATCTCATTGGTGAACCAATCCATTCCACTAGCATGAACATCAACAAATGTACAAAGCGAATTAAACACTGCAATTTTTAAAATACCAATACCCTCATAGTCCATATTCCTATACAAACAACCTTTCTCGTTATCGGAGAGTAATATTTGATTGAAGTAATTCTTAAAGAGATTGGTTTCAATCTCTTGTTGTCCAGTGTTGTTTACGATAATTGAACAAGTTGGAGCGTTAAATAAATGTTCTTCTCTAAAATACATCCCTAATGCAATGATCATACATCTTTTCATACTCAGTAGAGGAGACGTCATTTCATCATCGGAAGAGTATGTGAAAAGGGTTTCATATATTGCAGTTAATCCCTTCTTACGAACAAACAGATCCGTCGTTTCTCTGGATGAAAAAACTTGCTCATTCAAAAAAGTAAGAAATTGATCATATTTCGATCTTTCAAAGCATTCAACAATTTCTCCAGCTGGTTGCATGAAATGGTCTAAATTCACTTCAAGCGTTTCGGAGATAACGGATGAGGACATTTTTTTTGTGCAAGCTGCCGACCCGAATATAAATATTACCATGTCACCACAAACTACGCCATAAGAAAACTACCAGCGAAAAAATTCGACTCAAAAAGGCAAAAATTTTTTGACAACGAAATGCAGAAACTCCGGGATTGGTTCAGAATCTTGTAAAGTTTTATTCAGTAGTGCTGACGTTCGTTCATTAAAAGTGAACCTCCTCCTGATTATGACCACACCTATTGTACCAAAGCCAGTTACTAACGTTTCGAAAGCAATTCTCTTCAGCCTTTCGTTATACAAGGATTGGTTGATTGTTGATGATAATACTCACATTCACCGTCATTACACCGTTCAACAAGTTTCTCGTTACACGATAAAAATCCATCTTTTGTACTGATCACTTGGTATCTAAGTTACATCAAAGTTGTTCCACGTTGTTGCTGTGTAATCGTAGTTTAGGTGTGTGATTTAAAATACTCGACCTCATCTTTGGTGAAGGCATTTTTTTTGGAGTGAAAATTAATGTCAACTTGAAAAATTAAATTACAACAAAAAGCAAAAACTCTTGTTCTTTAATTTAATAACAGCATCTCCTTGGAGCTTAACTGAGAGAAATTGAGATCAGTATTATCAATAATATTATTAATTATTTTCAATTTGTTTTCTGTGCTCGGTGGACCTCCTCGCTTTTGTTTTATGCGAGTGAAGCTAGCTTATCGACAAAGTAATTGTTGTATTTTGTTGTGTGTTTGAATGTTGGTTTGATTGGTTTCATGTTGTGAAGGTTGAGATGATAATGTGTTCGGATTGTCAAGGTTATGTTGGATTGTGGAGAAATTATGAGAAGATTGTGGATAATAGGATTGATGATTTTGAAATAAATGTTCACATCCTCCATATTGAATAGGGATATTCTGATAGCTCATTGAATTGGATTGGTTTGGTTGTATCAGATCTTCATAAATTCTTTCGAAAGATGGTGTGATGTTCTTGGTGAATCAAAAGAGCCGGGATTAATGCTACTGAAACCGGTAGATGACGGTGATTGCACATTGAAAGAAGATAATGGAGAGGAACACCATGTGTGGTGATTTTGATTTGAAAGTCCATATGATTGACCTTCAAAAAAGTTGTTGTTAGATGTGGTTTGGTTTGTGGACGGTGATGAAAAGTTTCAATTTGATTACATTTTTTGTGATTTAGAGTGTATTGAGGATTGAATTTAATTGTTTTATTGTACAAACTCGAATTCTTTGTCAAACTTGAACGATGTCCACACTTGATTAGTTTCCACATTACATGTGAGAGAAATGTATACAATTTTCATCTTGTGTTTCGTAATCTTCTTTCCGAATTTACGTGTAAGACGTGAGTGAGTAATTTCCAACTCAGACCAATGCTTGCATTTGTCTAAAGGAGGAACACTGTCAGTAAATCTGAATTGAATGCACTTCTGTCTCTTCTTTAGGCCATTCCACAAAATGTCTTGATACCATTGGTAATATTTAGCCTTTGTTCCCCTCAGAGCAAGATAAAACACGTTTGGGTTGCAACATCCAACCGTTTCATGGCTGATGGAGTTTGAACATCTCATCTGTAGATGTTGATAAATAATATTTCTTGCACATTTGGCGAACTGTTCCCATATAATTCCATAAATTTGTTTCTTCTCATCTGGTACTTCTTTAAAGGAATTATATTTTGGTACAAATTCAAACAGTCCTTTCTCTAAAGTGAATTGATATTCCTTGTGAGTGTCTTCAGCAGCTTCATCTGTGGTTCTTGATTTTCGTTTTTTGCTCTGTTGGGAAATATTGTCATCATCACATTTGTTGTTTGGTGTTATCGTACATTGTGTCTCATCAACAATACCAGAGAAGCTGCTTGTGCTAGGCAACAGACAGCAAGGTGGAAATGATATAGTTTCGTCTGTGAAGATCCATTCCTGAACAAGTTAAGCAAACACATTGTAACAAATTTGAAACATACTGTAGAGGTAGTCATTACTGGTGATGATGGGTGAGAAGGGTTCATTTCGATGCTTGATGATGAAGGAATCTTGTGAAATATGTTACTGCTGAATACTGGACAAACATAATACTTACATTGTTCGTACTCTGGTTCGTTGTGGATTGGCTATCCAATGCTGGTGATTCATTGGCCTTGATAATTGAGATCAATACAAGGTGAACGATATTCACTAGTACTTACGTGATTAGTATTTGTTTCGCAACTCGAATCACAATCAGAAACACCAAGCTGAGGTAAAGATTAGTGTAGGTGTTGAAATTGTTGTTTGATGATGTTGTTGTTGTGGTAATAATCAATTACTTACACAGTATAGAGGCACAGTGCCCTCTTCAATGACCACTAATTCAGCTTCCATGTTGTGTGTGTTGTTGGTGTGTTTTTTTGTGTGAGAAGCAGAAAACAACACCACAGACCAATCACTCCATTTTTTTTGACTCCGGGACTTACTAAAACGAGCCGAATTTTTTCTTCGTCAGTTTTTGCACTTTACGCTCAGGCGTAGTTTGTGGTGTAACATTCTAGAGTATATATTAAAACCACAGATTAATAACAACACAATAAGACCAATTATTAATTGCGCAAAAAGTAAAAACGTGTTTTTTGTAAGTGTGAGCAAACTATTTTGATGATGATGAAAAAATGATCAAACAAGCCCAAACCATCCTACTGCCACGAAAGGCTTGTTCGAGGCTTGCAGTTTTTGTGTTGATGATTGCTGTTGGCCTTCTCATGATTTCTTTAGATCATCGAGGAGTTGTATATTCTCAACAATCAAAACCAGTACGAAAAGATACCGATCAGCCAAAGAGCAAATTCTCGGATACTACAGCAATAACAGCAGAGGAGGTAAAAGGAGAGCTTGATGCTACCAAAGTGAGAAACAAGAGAAGATGTAAACATGAAATCGGAATTAACTGGAGAACCAATGTGGATAGTTCGGTCTATCAAACTCCATATATTACAAATTTGATGAACGTTAATAGCGGTCAAAACGCCGATAAGAAGCATATCATCGTTCCCACTTTTGTGCGATATATTCAAGTATTGAATGGTGATAGTGGTGCTGAACATAAAGAAGGAAATAGCCATTGGCCATACACTCATAGCCAACTTGCTTCTCACTCATCAGTATTGCTGTATGATGTTAATGGTGATAATATCAAAGATGTTGTTGTTACCACAGCCAACGGTGAAATTTTGTTCTTTAATTGGAAGGGTGAATTGTTATCTGATTTCACCATTGAAATTCCTGGATTAATGGTAGACAAATTGTGGTTTAAGGGTCTAGAAAATGATAAGTTTGACGTGTCTCTTTCACTTTCACAAAAAGAATCTGAAAAGCATGCCGAGGAAGCTAAAAGTAAGAGAAGACAAAAAGAGAACCCATCTAACAAAGGATCCAACGACAATACCAAAACAAATAGAAAATTACTCCAAGTTGCAAAAGCAGCTCCAGGAACGGAGGGATTATTAAGCTCCGAAGCTAGGGCTTCTCTTTCATTAATTCAGCAAAAAGTTCATACACCCCAATCATTGCGACCATTCCTTGGAGAGAAATTAGAATCGACAGAGCAGCATCAACACTACTCTCATCATACGACGATCAAGAAAGGAGGAAAAGAGTATATTACTGTTGACGCTCATGTCTTATCTACACCCGTAATTGCTGATTTAGATGGCGATGGAAAAGATGAATTAATAGTTTCTGTGTCGTATTTTTATGATAGAGAATACTACCACCAAAATATGTTTGAATTGGACGTCGATATTGATATGGACAAATATGTTGCTGGTGGTATTGCTGTGTATGACTTGTCCACAAGAAAAATCAAATGGGACGTTCACCTTGATATGACCACTGATACGGTGAAACAAAAAGCATACATCTATGGAAATCCTACGGTTGCAGATGTTGATGGAGATGGATCTTTAGATGTTATTGTTGGTACTGGCCTTGGTTGGATTTATGCATACAATAGTCATGGAAAATTGTTAGATGGATTCCCAATACTTATGGGCGAAATTCAGGGACAAGTCATTGCTGAAGATGTAAATAACGATGGATTTATTGAAATTTGTGCTGTTGATTTCAACTCTAACCTTGCATGCTTTAATGGAAAAGGAAAAGAAATCTGGTCTCAAAGATTGTCTGGATCTGCTGCTCAAGCACCATCTGTTGGTGACATTAATGGTGATGGTAAATTGGAGTTAGTTGTCGGAACTTCAACTGGACATGTTTGGGCCGTGGATGGAGAAACAGGAAAGGTGTTAAAACCTTTTCCAATCAAAACCGGATCCTCCATTTACAGTCCAGCTCTTCTTGTGGATTTAACAAATTCCACATCCTCCAACGATGGCTCTCTCGATATTGTATTACCTTCATTCGATGGATACTTATATATTATTAATGGTAAAACAGGTTGTATTGATCGTGTAGACATTGGAGAGAAAGCATACAGTCAAGTGTTAGCTGATGACCTTACAGGTAATGGAAAATTGGACCTGTTGGTTAGTACCATGAACGGAAATTTAATTTGTTTGTCTACTGAAGCCCCATATCATCCATTGAAGGCTACTCCTTATCAAATGCAATATGAAAATGGTTTTAAATATAGAGATAATTTATATGGTATTTATTTCAAGAGCAGAGAATACAGAGATGTAATTGGATCAACAGTTGATTTGGAATTTGAAATTGTTGACAATAGAAAAACTAATTCCAGAGATCGTCTACCTATTGCCTACAATGTCAGAATTTTATTGGGCGCTCGTAAGGTTCTTTATGAAGCAAAATATCAAAAACCTGGATATTACCGAGTTGAAGTTAACACTCCAGAAGAACGAACCCATAACGCCATTATCACAGTTGAACTCAGAAATGAGTTTGGGCAATTATATACCGATTACATTTCATTGAGTTTCAACATTGGCTTCTTCTCGCTGCTGAAATGGATGGTTTTCATGCCATTTATTGCCAGTTTAAGTGCCATCTTGTACACACTTCGAGCACATTAAATTTGCCTCAAACTTTTTAATCTTCAAAATTACAGGTTCAATAATTTACATTGGGGGTTTTGTTTTCATCCGATGCTTGTTGGGTATCATCAGCCGAGCTCCTACTCTGGACAAAATTTTTCACATTGTTGAGCAAAATGCTGCTTGCTTTGATTGTGTATGAAAAAATTCTTGGTGGTTTGAGGTCTTCACTCTCAACTTCACTGCTCGATGGTGGTTTACTGACCATAGCAAGCACAATGAACATTGGAAAGAGCATTGCCCATACTCCAGATGATAAAAAGAAAGGGAAATAGTTCGACAAAAATGCATTTGGAGCTCCAAAAGCTAACATGTATCCCCAACGCTCTTCAAAGTATTTGATCCTTCTCTCCAATGAGTATCCCTTATATGACCACACGTATTCAAAAGCATAGAATGCATACAACCAACTGTACAGAACAAAACCAGTAATGGTACCAAATATTGGAACCACAGAAACCAATGAGGCCTGTAAAAGGAATATAAAGAATATGATTGGTCTATAAATTAGATCACTTATTTTCTTAATGATATTACTATTTTGTATGAAATTAAATAATAAACTAAAAGGAACATAAATGAAAGGTACCTTCTAAAATCTAAACTATTTGAACTACCTGATTGAGATGAAGCCCTCTTATGCAAAGAAGTCTTCTTGGCCACGTGTTCCGCTATATCATCATACCAAGCAGCTGATAAGATAAAACTGACTGTATACAATGGCCATATCCAAAATAACTATCCATCGTGATTTTCGAAATTTGTAATTGAAATATAATTCGGAAGCTTCAACGAACACATACATTCTTTAAACTAGCAAATAATAACCCTAAAATAAATGATAAATAATCTGTGTTCACTGCATTTTGGTCTAGTCCATTCCCGTTTGCTTCCGAAGCCGTTGATGAATTAAATAACGGTGTCGCGATATAGTCAAAGAATATTATACTTCCAACAAACAGACATCCATTCAAAACAAAGCATTGTGCAAATAATGGCTTCAATGTTTTACTTTTTGCGAATATATCAATTGCTAGAGGTAAATTCATTCCATCTCTGAAGCCTTTAGAAATGTTGGTGAAAATTGCTTTGGTGTTTGGCATTGGAAGAGAGTTGTATTTTTTTTTTGTTCTATTCGAGAAATAGGAAGAGATTCACGTGAATATTTCGAAATGGAGTTTATTCGTGTTGAAAAAACGATCCAGTCATTATGTTCTTTTGTAGGTTGGACATTGAATTTAGAATGCAACAATTTCAAGCCTCAATTTTCCAATAATTTTGAATTTGTTGGAATTTGGCAATCTCTTTTCTTTGTAAAACTCTCAATCTTCTAGTAAAAATTCTGTATCCTAAAACTCCCATCAAGATTAAACCAAAAAAGACACCAATGACAGCAATGACAACCACAATAACAAGCAATGCGATTGCCATACCATCTCCATTTCCACCTCCTCCACAGTCACTCCCTCCATTGCAATTGCAATCTCCACTTCCCATAGAGCATCCATAACAGCCACCAAAACATGATCGATCAGGCCTTCCGTACAATGAATTCCAAAAACAAAACCAGAAACACATATCTGAGAAGTCATAGTATGAGGTTCTATATCTGCCATAGTAAGGATAATTGTCATAGGCATAAAAATCATCTGCAATGCAACAATTTCCAAAAAATGTTCCATTGACTAACTTGTTCAATAATACAAATCCAAGACAGCATAATCCAATCAACCCCAAAATGAAGAAGAATAAGGTGAGTCCACATCTGATTACAATAATTCCACATGAATGATGAATTCAAATTCTAAAATTTGAAACCTACATGTAAGAAGCAACAAAAACATTCATGTTGCCAAATAATTTGGCCCTTAACGCATAGTCATAGTCGCACAATGCAAAAATTCCAACACAAATAAAGACGAGTACCTGCCAAACAATCAATATAATCGAAAAGTCGATGGCAATTAAAGTTCCAAATTTGATAATAGATGAAGGCTTGTATCCACTTGCCCCAGTAACAACATTTCCATGTTCATCCACATCTTTGATTTCGTATTGGTGTCCACAAATATCACATGCATAAAACGATGAAGCTTTTGGTGAAACAGCTCTCCATTGATCCAGACAATAACGATGCACATATTTCATACTACCAGCACATTTGCAAGGAGCAATAAAGTCATCATTGGCAGTAAGTATTCCATGACAACATCGACAAATTCGTTCCGTTTCTTCATCATGAATATGAGATGTTGAATGATATGTTGTATTTCCAAGTGAGTGGCGAATCTAAATACCATTCCGATTTAAAATGTTAAAACAACGTTTTGATTTCTTCTACCTACAGCTGTATCATCTTCATAGGGAGCGTGTTGATCATGTAATTGATTTTCTAATAATTGTTTCTTCTCACGCAAATTCTCATCAATGTGATAGGGTGAAGAATGAGGAATTCCAATAACGCCTCCAGATGAGCCTTCAAAGGCTTTTTTGAGATCAGTTTCTTCCGAATACATGTGTGATGATATTTTTTTCTTTTAAGAAGAATCAATTCAGTTTCTAATTGCTTTACATTGAAATAGAACCAACTGTTTCAAACAAGAGACGATTCCATGAAAATACGGTTGCCATTAAACGAATGAAGGCCAAGTTTACAAGCTAAACCAAAAGAGCGTCTCTTTCGTAGGAGTGTTGGTCCAAACTCCTTTTTCCATCTTTACAATGAACGAAAATTTTAGTTTTCAATTTAAAAAAAATGCAAAAGAATGAAACTCTGAGTCCCGTTCATGAACTTTGCAGTACACAAAGGAAATATTCTCTACAAAGAAAGCTATTCAATAGATCCATACACTTTCGTGATAATGTAAAGAAAAATCCATCATCTTACTATGCCTCAGAGGCTTTCATGCTCAAAGAAGTAATTTCCGAATCCATGCTTCAACAAGCTAAACTATTTTCATTTGAATATCAATATCATATTACTGATAAGGATAATATTCACTATGCAGAGAAATTGTACAGTAACAACTTTCAAACGGTTATGAACGACGACGGTGATTGTTTTGCTAATATGAAGCTAGATACATCAAAAACAGGAAAGAAATCAGCACGTAGCGAAGATAGAAAAATGGACAAGATCGTTAGCGTAATTTCTATTGCAAATCCTTTAAATATTTATCTAAATCAAATACTAGCATTGACGAGATCCAACTACTTGTATCATTTTCATTCGGACAATGGACAATTAATATATGAGCAGAAAATTCCTCTGATTCTCTTTATAGGAAATTCTTCACAAAGTGATGTCTCATCGACACATGTTACTTGCATTCGGAACAATGTTCACTTTGAGACAATATATTTTGTTTCAAACTTGAAAAATAGAAGTGCAATGCAAGTGACCATTCTTGAATTCACAAACAAGAGTTATTCACTGGGTTTGAAAGCAAGATTTCTTCTCAAAAAGTCAGTGTTTGGGAAAAAACTCTCAACAGTCTCGCTTCACTCAAATTTGCTATTTCTTGGTTACGGAAATGATGAAGTGAAAATATTTAATTTAGATGAACTCATTCAAAACTTTTCTGTGCTCGTACCCAATGGATCTCTGTTAGACGGATATTATGGACTTAAAACCCCATTACCCATCACACTAGACATTGATCCAACTGCCCATCCATTGATTTTAGCATCAAATATTAGTTGTTCTGTTCCAAAATCAGTGAAATGCCCAGTATTTGCTGGAATGAAAGCTGAGGCAAAAGAAGGAAATGGACTTGTAGAGCTTTCGACGAATGGTTTTTGCAAACTAATTGCAAAATCAGAATACATTTACCATGATGTGTCTGTACCTAATTGTCTAACCACTTTAAGAAAACATCCTAACTCTGGAAGGCTAGAATTCGAGCTTTGGAAATTGAAACCCACAGGAAATAGCTTGCCCTTGCATAATTTTAATCGTTATTGTTTGGATAAAATCATTGATGAGCACCAATACTTGATATTTAAAGATACCACCCCACAAGAATCCACCCTTTCCTTTACACCTCTCTCACCTTGTATTATTGTAGATAGGCACGAACGAATACTGTTAAATCATCCTCACTTCATTAGATGTATTTCTATTGATCGAGTGACAAACGGCCTCTCTCTCGATTACGAAATAACCGTTGACTCTCTTAAAGAAATGACTCAGCAATACAAGTTGACAACTGCAAGAAGCCGATCTAAGGCTCGTCAAGCAAAGAAAAACGTCACCTACTACGCGTACGACGTGTTAAGTGTTGATTATGATTCCGAGACGGATTTAATTGTAGCTTTATTGTCCAATGGAGATATATTTGTGATAGAAAATTCGCGAGGGTCTGTCGTCACACATTTCAATCTGTGTGACGTTCTCCCGAAAAGAGTCTTGCGGGAAGTGTGGTATCAAACTCCATCGTACGAGATCACCATAATGCTTGCCTATGACAAGATCATGCTTGAATATCAAATGGAGGAAAGAAAAGTGGTTTGCCTATGCCTAAGTTTGAAATATCAACACTAGAACATGAGAATTGACATCAGTTTAGTATCGATATCTCGTGGAATAGTCTTTGGGTGAGACGACCAAACCTCTTCCTTTCTTTGCTCCCCGATAAACTGTTTCAATAATGTCAATCATTTCTTGCTTATCTGTTATAGCCCAATTAATTTTGTTATTATCACCTGTTCCTAAATCGATCATGATGTGCTTGTTTCTAAAGAAAAACATGACTGTACATGGATCATATAATTCATACATCTTGTTGAAATTCGGAACTTTGGTAATATCTACTAAATAAATAACGCACATATTCTTTACTTTCTCTGCTATTTTACTCAGGCATTCATCCATCTCCATACAAGTAGCATCCCAATCGTGTCCAAATCTGATCAGCACAATTCGCTCCTCTTCCGTAACAATGGCTTGATCAACAGCCCAACCCGAATTTAAATGTGGTAATAAATATGCCATGATGATGATGATATTTGGTGCACGCGTTATTTTTAATGTATTAATTATCAGTTAATCCACCTTCAATTAAACATCAAATAAGCAATGTTGATGAGTATTTTTTTTTGAATAATAAAAATTCAAAACCAACGTTCACCATTGGAATTCAAAAGGTCAACAACAACGTGACAAGTTGTTGTTACAAAGACCACTGTTTTATGGAATATGCTGGTTAGTACACAATGTCCTCAACAAAAATCTCAATATCACTCAAAGGTTTTCTCTCATGAGCCAACAGCTTGTTCAAGAATATGAAATGTTTCGAAACATTCCAAAAAGAATCTTCATCTCGATATTGATAAATGATAAAACAATTACGTTGACTTGCAGCTCCAACACTCAAACTCAAATCTTCAATACTAAAAATTCCAGTTATGTCTGTAGAGTCTGACAATTTACAAATCTTTCCAAATGTTTTTCTCTTTTCATTATATTCATTAGTAATGTAAAGAGCGTAATCTCCTGCAATGAATGTTTGTAAAGAAGAGTCAGCCATAGTTGGTGCATGATTCTTTTTTGAAACATGAATCTCAATACTACCACTTGCATTCCTTAATGCTCCATCCGAGGTCTTTTATATTTAATTGATCACAACATTCAATAGAGAGAACTTACCAGATAGGCCTCACAAAAGTATCCACTGCTAATCCGAGCTACATTATTCTTCCCTCCATAGAGTGATTTTAATGTATATGCTCCATGAACGGTATCACAATAAACAGATCCCAAACTACTACATCCACATCCAAAAGCTCTTCCCTGTGCACTTAGAATGGTCGTATCATCGTAACCACATGATACCTCAATAGGATCAAATCCAAATGGAAATTTCAATAAGAGAGGTCGATCGGTTGTAACCACTCCACCACAACCTTTGAATATTTTTTAAATATTGAAGAGAGTGTTCCATATGAATCAAGAGTGTGTGTTCCATGTGAATCAAGAGTAGGTGTTTGTTTCAGATAGATTTAAGAATGATTCATAGAGAATTGAGAACATGTAATTTTCACTTAGTAGTATATATATATACTTACTTCCATTACTGTTGGATCCAGCAACATAAACCAAATGTGATTTGGTCAGAAATACACTATGAGAATTACTGGCCCCTACTCGCACCACTTGATGATGATCGAAATGTTCTGGAGGTATCTCACGAGGTGTTGTAATACAAGTGTTTCTTGCTTCTTCTTCTTCTTCGCCAAACAATTCATCCATGGTTGTACTAGAAGTGGTATCATCATTGTGATCCTCTGATGAACGATGAGTCATCGTCTTGGCAGCACTTGGATTCAATCCACATTGATGAGAAGAGTTGAGTCCCACTGCAAAAACTCGATGATCTGACGTGAGAAAGATGCTATGATATCCTCCACCTGCACCATCCACCACTCGGAATTGATTGATTTTACCTCTTGCTTGAACAAGACCTTTCACACAAGAGTCGTGACCAATACTCAGGGGTCCTATTTTACCAATGCAGAGCTCACCTTTTAAAGGAATAATCCATGAAAATACAAGAAAACGAACATGAAAATTGTGTGTGTGAGTAATAGAGGTATTATACCAATAAATAATAGATGTAATATATTGTAAATGTAATAATAATATATTCGAGATGAAAAATCATTTGAATCACTTCTCAAACGAAGTGGTGTGATGAAAATATACGTACCATGTGCATTACTTCCAAAGCTTAAAACTCTTCCTTCTTCAGTAATGATATGAGTGTGATGTCGACCTGAGATGACTATTTCAACAAGTCATTCCATGATCGATCGATCATCATAATGCAATCGTTTCATTTCGTTCATAATATTCGTTTTCAAAGGGAACCAGGTTCCGATAAAAAATTATGAAACTAACATAACAACACTTGAAAATTCCTCACCTTTTCTAATGGTAATACCGAGTGGAAGTGGTATTTTGATTTGATAGGCGGAATCACCAGTAATTTTGTGAAACGTCTCTGCATCCGAGTCATAGTTGGAAGGAGCATTCGAATCTAGCAGGTTAATCACACGATTCGAAGGGAATACATGCCAATTAACACTCTTCAAGTCACCTAAAAGATACAAATGTTGTTGTTCATACATGATATCAGGGCAATTTTTTTGTTTATTTGAAGTACATGTTGCTTTTCATGGACAAACAAGTCAACTACTTTAATTGTCTTGATTGACACATTGCTGAGCTACTTGTGTGGTTTTTTGAGTAAATCACGAAGAGAAGGAAGTGAGAAAGAGCTGTCCTTTTGTTCGACATGGTTCAAGTGAGGAGAGCTTGAAGAACAGGAGGCTAATGTTGGAGTCGAAGAACTGGGCTCGCCATGATCTTTGCTAAGGGCAATAACATTCTCAGAATGGGTACAACAACTCACAGTTTTGGAAGCTTGCTCCAAGCTCATACCTGTACAACTGAGAGCATGAATTTTCATAGCAACATCCCTATTGATCCTTTTGAAAAATTCACTTGCCTCCTTTTCCAGTGTTTCCTCGATCAAGTCTCTCTTCACATGACTCCGAGTAAAGAATTTCGGTTCTCTTCCATCTCTTATAATGAAATGGAACACCAATAGCATGATGCGCTTACAAAAGCTCACCAAAGTCAATTTATGAGGCAGTCTCTGTCTTAATATGGCATGTTGTTGATTTGATTCAATGAATTTAGTGTGTTCTTTTGGAGTCTTTTCAAAAAGAGCACGACGAACATCTCGGTATCTCCAGGTCTTTCCTTCATCTTTAGACAATCCGACTAAATGAGCTAAGGATCTAATTGGAAGTAACTTTTCTGAAGAGTTCACAAAATCTTCATCAACACCATTCTCTTCATCTTCTCCACATCCTTCATCGTCATCATCTTCAAACAGATCCTTTTTTCCATTCTCTTCCAATTTTCTCTTCTTGGTTTCAACTTGTTGATGGTTGCTTTTGGATTCGTTTTGATGATCTTTTGGGCGTTTCTTTTTCTCATCAATAAAGTCTACCACTTCCTTGAAAGATTGCAAACTATTTCTTTTCGAAAGAAGAGTTGCGCTTTGATCTGGAGCTGAATTGTAGGCAGTGAAAGCAGAAGATGAATATGGAACTTTTGAATGGAGTATTGTTGAGTGTGGAGGAGGATTAATTTCAAAATTGTTAATAAGGCGTGTGTGGGAAGAGGAGGAGAAAGAGGTAGTTGTTGTTGTTGGCTCTGCCCTATGGGGTTCAAGCTCTATCAATGAAGGTAATCTCGGAGTCATCATAGAAGAAGATGAAGGGGCACTCTTGGTTGTAGATAGTGGTGGAAAGTGGTGATATTGGGATGGAAAACCGTGTTGTTGAATCGAGTACGGAAAGTTGGAATTGATTGGACCGCTGTTCAATGAAAACCAGTCTTTCGAATGATGATTTGCAGAATCATGATAGTCATGATGAGGAGTTGGTTTGAATCCAAATTCAAATGATGCCAAAGAACCGAGGTGGCTACGGCTTCCATCGCCTCTAAAAAACGTTGATGATGAAACAATATTGTTATTATTATTGCCAAAATGTAGGCTATCTGTGTTATGACTTGGTCTTGTTTGGTTAGCAAACAAGATACTCAAAGCCTTCTTATTCATATCAGAAGCCAATGGTATTTCGTTATGGAGAGTAACAAAAGATTCAGGATTAATTCTTGGTGAGCTTGAATGTTGTGAAAATGACGGTTGGTTGGTTTTAGAAGACTGTTGCGAGGGAAGAGAAAGTTGTTGAGTATAATATTGATAACCATCAGCTCCATTATTATTATCTGCTATGAGAGGTTTGAATTGATGATGGAACGAAGCACCCGAAGAAAGCGGTGGGTGCTCGTTGCCTAGTTCGCAGGTAAACTGCATCGCCTGTGCTGTGATTTTTTGTGATGAAGAAATTTTTTAAACTGCGCGAGTTTTGCTCGCGCAAGCGATTCCTCTCCGAAAGCGAATCTTTAATCATGAATTTCCATCTTGTCACACAAAACTAAAAAGTAAGAAATGACAAATTTACTAAGAGCGAGCAATTATTTGTGGTGATTGGCAAGCTGTTCTGCAAGTTGATGTACAGACCTTAAATCTGACTCATCTCTTCTTCCCATCACAAATAACAACTCTTCGCAAAAAGTAAGAAATTGTGGTTCTGTTTCTAAGAAATAATCCAAAACTTTCTCTCTTTCAGGATGAGCGTCTACTTCCAGAATCATCTTTTGAAGACGATCATCTTTTAACCGAGATTTAAGTCTATTTGATTCAGAAATGTAGTCCAGTTGTTCCTTTTTAAGAGCGAGATCATCAGGAATTTTAAGTCGTCTTGGTCCAATTTTCTCTACCTTCTTTTTCTTAATACTGAAAAAAGATCCTGTTTCATCATTGGTCGACAATAATTGATCTTCGTTAGGAATAAATTGACGATGTTTTCTCTTCTTTTGTTTTGAATCGTTTTGTGATGAAGATGCTGAACAAGCTAGTAAGTGAATATGAAAGGGTGTTTCAATGTTGCTGACGGTTACTTGTATGTTGATCTTTGTTTTTTCATTATCAGTATTAAATAGTTTTCTTAGAGTCATGACGGAGTTGTCTTTTTTCCTCGTGTTACTCTTGTCATCATTTGTTTGGTAGTCCAAATGAGATAAACTTTTTTGTCCAAAACAAGTGATCGACTTAACGAAAGTATTGGAATCAGCAACATCGTCTTTTAACTTTTCTCCTTGATCCATTAATTTACATAATTCTATAAATTGTGTCTCACTCAAATATTTCTGACAGACTTTTTTTAAATTCACTTTTTCGTCGTTAATTAATTGGACATTGACTGGAATTTTGTGTGTTACAATATAGAATGAATCACAACACGTTTGGAATGTAGGATATAATTCGTTATATAACATGCACTTGTTATTTTTCAATGATGCTTCATCGGAGGCTAATTCTATCAAATTGTTACTCAACAAGTATTGAAATGCAGTAAAAAGCACATGTCGTCCTTTAATTACTCTACCAAGGGCAGAGTTAAATTCTATCAAATTAGCATTGAGTGGAGCTTCATGGAGAAAGATGTTATTCTTTTTCAACTCATCGGAGCGTGTCGATTGATTGGATAGGACATTGTTGGTCTGAGATTCAAACAACACCTCAACAGAGAACCACACCATTTTTTTTGAACATTATTTTGCGAACAATTGTGCAGATTCGAACACTTCAATGAAATGATTCATATTGCTGGATCCAACTTTTGAATTAATTTTTTGAGTCTGACAACGGTATTCTGTCTAAAGAAATGTTGTCAAACGACACCTTCTGAATAGAGCCATCAATTTGGGAGATCAAGTAAAATTGGGGATATTTGAAACTAGTCTCTCCTCCCTCAATGAAACTACCTGATGACTTTACGAGACGTTTATCAGTACCTACAGTCATGCCAAAATAACGTCTCCCATCCATTCCTCGTACTTCCAAAATACCACGCCTTGGAGCAAATATTAAAAGTAACTCAGTACTTGCTGAGGATGATTGTTCCAAGCTCATCGTGTCTTGTCCAATAACTATCCAATAACATTGAGCTTCTCTGTATCCTTTAAATATTCTCATTACTGTCATTGAAGAGAGATCAAAAATCATTACTCTTCCAAGTGAGTCTGATGTAGCTAGAAGCTTTCTGTATGATTTTATCAAAACATCATAATCACATGTTCATCTGCAAGTACTTACCCAGAATAGTCCAGCTCAGCAACAAAAATCTCACGTTTTTCATCAAAAAATTGATTAGAAAGTGGAATGAAAGCGCCTTTTGGTATTTGCTCTTCTTGAGATGTCTCATTCTTTGTCTCAGAAGTGTTATTTTGAGAGGAACCCCAAATCCAGGAGCTAGCAAAATTATAAACCTTATTGGCCACTGTTGTAGCAATTTTCGTCACCCTAGTTCGTTGTTTCACAGACATTTCATCAATCTCTTCTGTCGAGTAGTGAGCTATTGTCGGCTTCATACCAGCACCTACAATATCAAATTCAGATTTTAAATCCATCACTTCAAATATTGAAACATCACAACAATATGAATAGAGGCAGCAGGCATCATTTGTTTTTGTGGAATCCTTTAAAATCCATTTCTTGAATTGATAAGAATCGTTATCGTGATTGGAGATCATGCTATTCAACTCTTTTTTAAAGCTTATTGGATCAATAGTCACTAAAGAATTCGAATAAATTATTAGAATAATCTCTTTTTGGTAATTTGGCAAAAGGGTGTAGTGAAAAACGCTTTGTGATTTAATTTTCACAATGGGTGAGTCATGAAATCGATCTTCTTGAATGATACTGTTTGTAGAAACGCTGTGAATTCTAAGAAAGCCTTCGGATGTACCAATTAAAAGAAATACATTTTCTTTGTTATTATCTTTGAATGCAATCCACATTAGGGACGTTATTCTTTCACTGTTTGAGAATAGTTCAAAATAGTTGTTACAATTTTAAATATGCATCAAAAAACTTTCCGATAATTACCCTTCATATTTACAAGGATTTTCCAACTGAATTAAATGATAATCATCCTTCTCACAAATACATAAAAAACAAGTATTCAAATGAGCAATTGCAATATAGGTACAATTATAAGAAACAGCCACATGGGTGTCTGTTCCATTCAAAAACCAATCATCAGAATCTAATTCTTGATAATGATCAAATATTGTCTCGTGTAGTTCTTTTCCGATCCATGCAAGTCCTTCTTTTAACGAGGACGAGAGTTTTGATAATTGCATTTTTTTTAAACGGAGGTGTTATTCGTTAAAAAATTTGATGTTTATGAAACTTTGCGCCAGTGGCACGGAGTAAGTGAGATTATTGTACAATCTTCCAGTATTGAGTATGTGCATGTCCAGCTAGTAACGATAGTGTACTCTGGATATTAAACCATTCTCTGTGGAAGAGGCTAATGGAGTCCATGATAGTGTTGTGTTGAAGAATTCCTTTGTAATTGAGGTAAAACTTGTAGTTGTTGAGGTGATCTGATTCTGTTGACACTAAAATTGGATCTCGATTGGTATGCTTTTTGATGTTATCAATTGCCCATTTTCGCTGAAACTGGAGAAGTGGACACTGGAGAATTAAGTGTTCATGAGATAGAGGAACATTGCATTCTGGGCATATATGTTGTTTGAAGCTCCGAACATGGCAGAAATTAAGGTTTCTCCATATGGAGTATTTGTGATGTGGTGTTGATTTTCCTTCAATATAACGAAAAGTAGTATCGCTCACTAGGTTTGTCACTTGACTATTTTCCGATATCTGTGATAGCCAATTATTTCTAATTATTCTACAAGGGTTGGGGATCCATAATGAGTCCTTAATGATGAGAAGTTGTTCTTGTGTGAATAGGTTCTTTGGATCCAAAAATTTGCCTTTGGTACTTGCGTTTTTTGCCAGTTTGTCAACGAAGTTGTTTTCCTGACATTTATCATGTCCTTTTACCCATTCAATGGTAACTTTAAGTTTTTTGTCTTGTATTGTTGCCTCATATTCTCTTTTGAGTTGAATGAATTGTCCTCGATAGTTGTTGTTTGTGAAAATCTTTTGAGCAATTTCACTGTCCGTCGTAATCGTCACTGAGCTAGATGAAGGGATCAACTTCAACGAAGTGACCACTGCACTTAATTCTGCCATGTTATGGGTATACCTAGGATCCAATTTGTATTTATGGCATGTTGTTGCATTACTTGATTGAATAAGGATTCCTATTCCAGTTCCATCTTTGGATCTTGATCCATCGGTCCATATTGCAATTTCTCGTTCTTTTTTGTGGGCTTTAGGAGTTTTGAATCTGTGATCTGATCTTCCGAAAATTATCTTCAAATTATTTTCGTTACAAATATCCCAAACGTTCTCCCAATAATTAAGATTTTTGGTCTTACATTTCTTGCAGTTCTGCAGACTTTGTACGACAGCTTTTTTCACCAAGCAGTTGTTTGAGTGTCCTTGGTATTGGATTGTTTTGATAGTAATTAGTTTGCTAAATAGCTCTATATTAGGGATGTTGAGACCTCCTTTTTCAATTGGAAGATAGAGTGATGCTTTGCTTGTCCTCATGTCTATTTGTAGTAATTTACGACATTGCTTCCTTATTGTTCTGTCAATACCTTGGAGCAGGGTTCTAGAAACAGGGTTACCTCTGATTATATGAGTGAATGATGATATCGTCTTTGACATAGTTATCTGATTAAGGTTTCTTGGTTCTATTAGGTGTATGGGCATTAATTGTAGAAGTTGCTGAATTTTTAAAATTCGTCGTTTGATTTCTTCTTTAAATGAGCTGTCTTCCGTTAAATAGTTTCCAAGAGTGCGCTGATTGTCTGTTCGTGGAACATTCTCCCCGTTAATTTTGATTTGGAAATCTGGGTGTTTTCGATGGGGAATTACTGTCATTAATGATTTCTTTGTATTAATTTTAAGGTGTAACTCATTGATCCATTTTGAAACATCGTCTATTCTTTCTTGGTATTTGTTGTTGACATCTCCCACGACAGAAAGATCATCTGCAAAGAATTTGAGACCAATGGCATTAGGGCTTATAGTGGAGGGCTTGATTGGAATATTCCATTCATCAATTGCTTTGTCAATAATTATTTGGGTTATACAGTCATATGCTAGTGGAGCAAAAGGACATCCTTGAGGGACACCTCTTGTTTTAACAAACGGTTCCGAAAGAGAGTCGTTCCATTCAATTGTACATTCGTGCCCTTTGTATGCATTTAAAATAAAGTTCATGAGTTTCTTTGGGAATTTGCAGTGTTTTAAGGCTTGTTCAAGGCATTGGTGTTCTACTGAATCATATGCGTTCTCAATATCAAGGTTTGTTACTACAAATCCTTTCTTAATCCTTTGTCTCAGACCTTGCAGGACCATTATATGATTATTAACTTGTCGATTGGATATAAAAGCTTGTTGCCGGTAGTTGAGATTTTCATTTGCCCATGGTCTTAGTTTAAAAGCCACTATGTTGAACAAAAGCCTGTATAAAGTGTTCATAATTGTGATTGGTCTGATATCTCTATGGCTCTCAACTTTGTCCTTTTTTGGTATAAGCTTAATCCATCCTTTTTTCATGGCTTCTGGAATATTCTCTTCTTCCAGCATCTTGTTAAATTCGAAAGTTAATTTCTTAATATCATCTTCTTTCATGTTTTTGAGTAACTTGTTTGGGATGAAATCTGGTCCTGTTGAGTGGGACTTAATTCTTGCGATTGCACCTTTGACATCATCATTCGTTATTGTTATTTCTGGAGGTCCTTTCTTTACTGTACTCTTTGGAAGTCTTATGTTGATATTTTGGTTTTGGGATGTAAACTTTTCCTTGAAAAATTTGAGTGTTGAGTCGCGTGTGACGTTGTGTGGAAGGCTGTTCCAATTAATCTCTTTTGAGTTCAATTTGTCGTCGAATTTGAAAAGATACGAAATATTCTTGGTATTAATTTTGTCAATCCACTCTTTTCGAATTTGAGCAGTGTCCAGTTTTGAGGACTGTTCTAATTCTTTGTTGAGTTCTTTGATTTCATTTGTCATTTGATCGATTGCGTCGTTTTCTTTCATCTCCTTTAAGACTTTCGCAATCTTATCTTTTGTGTCTTTGGTATTCTTGCTCTCTTTGTAACGTAAAGAGGGAACATAGTGACGTTGAATAGATACTTCTTTGATAAGGTTTTCAAGAGAGTTGAAATCTTTGGTTTCAAATGCGGCAAAGAGAGAGGTGGTGACTTTTTCAAATTCGGATGTTGGGATAAATCTTTTCCATGATCTTATGGGATTTAGTATTTCAATCTCGAATCTGATAGGTAAGTGATCGTTTTTAGAAACGGGAGGCATAATATCTTCTCTAACGATTCTGACGTATCTGTTTGCATACATATGATCAGACCTAGTTCTGTGAATCTTGTTACCAGATCTTCGAATATATGATGGATTGTCCGAGCTTAATTCATAAAGCCTATGTGTAGAGAGTAGATCAAGCCATATCTTATCTTTGAGGGATGAGGGATTAAAGGTGTCTGCATTAATATCACCTATTAATATTAAGGGTTCCTTATTGAACTTAATAAGGATGTTGTTGATTTCATTTATCAAGGACATTTCTTCGTCATTGATTTGATCACCTGTATAGTTATATATAATGATAATGTGCAACGGTTGTCTATTTGCAAATACCAGCGTTGTGAACTGAAGTCTCCCATGTATGATGTTCGTATTAAAGATTCTGTTTCTTCTCTTGTTGAGTTTGTGAAGAAGAAGAGTCCCATTGTGAGTGTTGTCATAATCATTGTTGAGAATCACTTTCCTTGGATCGCCTTTCATTTCATGAAATAACAGTTTGGTCTTGTCTTCATTATTAATATGAGTTTCAGTTACAGCGAACAGATCAATTCTATAGATAGACATTAAATTGAGCAGCTTTTTAATTGTATGCTCCTCTTTTCCTGTTCGAATAACTCCGTTGGGATTACAGGTGGCAATTGTTAACGTGTTAGAATTCATCATCAAACATATCAACCTCTACGGTTCTTTTTGCTTTCTTCCCAGCACCGTCTCTTGGAGAGAGATTTGTTGATTTTCTTTTATCGTTTTCTTTTGATACGTATAAGGATACTGTTTGTTGAATTAACTCTGGTAGTTTAGATAGAATTTGTTTCACTTCAATCATGTCTTTCTGAATTGATTCCATAGAAGTTTTCATATCATGCAGTTTTTGATCGTGTTGTTCAAGTTTGTTTTCTACGTATTTGGCAGATCCAAGTTCTTGATTATTTCCTTGAGAATGTTTGATAGGAGTTGAAGAGTTGTTCTGTTCTGCTAATGGTTTGAATCTTTTGATGATTAGATAACTGGCTGCTGAAGGAGTGGTATTGGTCTTCATGGTGATCAATTGGTTACATAGTTTCTTCAAGTCCTCTTGGTCGTTGCAAATATAGATGGCTTTGTAATAATAACCACCGGAGGAGTAATTTGATTTAAGTTTTGTAATGTTGAGTTTGTTCTCGTCAAAGTCTACTTGAGAGATTTCAAGAGATTTCTTGATTGCTTCCTTAATGTCATTGGGTGATGTTTGTTCTGGGAAACAACATATACCACTTTTATGAAATTCCTCACTGCTTCTTGTAATGAAAGGTTTGGGGATTTCAACAAATACTCCCTTGCTCTTGTTGACAATAGTAGTAATCACATTACTATCTGTATGACCAACAATGAGAGTAAATGTGTCATTGCTGACATAGAGATTGGTGTAAATATTCTTGACTTTTTGGGACTTCAAAATCTGGATAAGCATTCCAATTTTCTCTTGAATATAGGCTTTGTTTGGGCTTTTGCATTCAATTTTAGAGAATGTTTCTCCTTGAGGCATTGTACTTGGTGATGCGATAAAGGTTCCAGTACTAATTCCATACTTATAGAGAGAGTTTAAGGTTTCTTCGTACTCATGAGCGTGAGTGGTGACAATCATCACGTTTGGTTTGGTTCTTGGAACTTTGGGAATCTGAGTCATTGCTGAATCTCTAATTTTACCCATGATCTCCATAGTGTCGTCAGAAGAGATGTCTGTTTTGCTAATGATGTAGATGGTGTTTTCCTTTGTAGTAGTATTTGGTGTATTGTTAATCATTTTGGTTGCCGGATTTTTTTGAATAGAAGTGCTGCCTTTGGATTGAGAGCGAATCTGTGTGTCCTTAGTAGGAGTTGTTTGTGAAAAATTTTTTTGTCTGCTTAATGATTTTGACATTTGGCAACTATTAATTGGCGCGTTTTCTTCTGTAACGGTCGTTAACGGTTGCGGTTTATATAAAATAGCGTTCAGTGACTCCGAAAGGAGCTTTGAGATGTTTGCGAGTTCTTGCTTTAGACGTTTGTTTTCTTCAGCAAGCTCTTCTATCAAAAGTTCGTGTTGTTGGAGCTTTGTTCGGTGTATGGCTTGGTTTTCACCCATTTTTTTAACTCGATCGTTATTCGTTAAAAAATGACCAAATCATCATCGAATCGAATCAAACGAAGAGCAAGTAAATCCAAAAGTGAAAAATCGAATTCTGACTGGTGTAAAGACCCTAACGTAGAAATAGTCATGCTAGAGTCTATGGAACAAGTGATTCCTATCGATTTTGTAAAACCTTTTTCAGTATTGAATATTCATGTAGCATTGAAAGAAGAAGCCCAAGTTGAAATTCCGATTGAACAAATTGAAAATCGGCTGAACGAGTTGTATAATTATCAAATACTTGAAACTCATCGTCATTGTGTGGACGAAGAAAGTTCGGAAGATTTTGTTTTACCGAAAGATATTATTGACGAATTTGAAACAAGGGATGATGAAGGTAGTGGCAAGAAAACAACAACCAGATCATCTCCAAGACCAAAAAAACGCAAATAATTTTAGGCAGAAAATAAGCCTCTTTTATTGACCAGAGAATATGTATGCTTTTTCAATTGTTCATCAATGACTTTGTGAATTTGTTTGCATCCATCAATCGCATGCTCCAATACCTTTTCAAATTGATCCAATGATAATTTTGAATCCATCTGCAATAATGTTACCTTATCCTGCTTTGGAAGAAGTGCAATTGGAACATCAGGTCCATCAGCACAATCTTCAATATAATTCAAATCAGTGAGTGGAGATCCCTCAATAAAACCAGCTGCACACGATACTACAAAATCTTTCATTGGAATACCTGCATCTAATAATGCAAGAGTTGCTGCATTAATGCAAGCACATCTAGTACCACCATCGGCTTGCAGCACTTGCATGAAAATATCAATTTGAGTTCTGGGATATAAATGTGTCAAAATGACAGATTCAAATGTTTGTCTAATTACAACAGATATCTCAGTAGATCTTCTATCTCTTTTAAATTGTCTTTTTCTTTCTCCTGTACTAAATGTTGCCATACTATATTCACAATTTATGATGGCTCTATCGTTTTTCATTTGTGATTTATTCTTGACTTCTCTCGGACCATAAACAGCTGCTAATACTCGAGTATTTCCTTGTTCATAATATGCAGAACCATCTGCCCTACTGAATAAGTTTAATTTAAATTTTATATTTCTAATTTCATGAGGACGTCTTCCGTCCACTCGCAAACCCTCGGGAGAGAGGTATTCAATTCGTGATGACATTTTTTTGTGAGCAAATAAATTATTGTTGCTTTAATTTTTTGAAACGTGTGGTTGTTGTGGAACAATTCTCGTTTTTTAAATCATTCAACCATTCATCAAATATTTCGAATCTTTCTTTGGATTAAACCATTGAACAATATGAAAATTTCAAAGGCTAATGAAACAATCTTTCTTTGGATTAAAACCATTGAACAATATTCATCCATGGAAAAGACGACAAGTTCTTAACACACACACAGAAATTGCATAATAGATCCATTATTAGGCCCTTTTTGGAAACCGAGATCGTGGTCATGATGATATAGAAATTTAAAAACCTCCAAACATTCTCATGCGTCTACGATCTGTTGGTGTGTTTCTAACTGTGACACTAATTGGTTTTCCGACACTTGTTGTGCAATGAACCTGTGATATTAATTCGAATTGAATGCTTGAATCTCTTGAATCATCGCCTGGAAACATGTGGCGAATTCCACCTTTCTGTGCAAACTGTTTGAGAAATTGAAGAAATGAATCTGGTTGTTGTTGTGAGAGTTGGGATGATGATGACACACTTGTTGTGGTATTGTTGTTGTTGTAAATATTGGTAAAAAACACTGAAAATATCCAATATGCAATGCTACCCAAAATGAGAAAGAATGTTTCGGAGGAAAGCCACCTTGACCAGCCAGCTGTGGAGTTACTTGTTGTTTGCCGCGAAGGCCTTCCCGACGATGGTGATTGGAACATTTTTTGCAGTGATTGGGTTGTAAGATGCACACCCAAAATCAAAGTGAAATTATTCACAACGATCCATGGTGAAATGTGAAAATATTGATCATAGAAACTTTAATTCTCTTTTGGTGTGAGCAAATTCTTGAAAGAGCTAAAGTAATTTTCAAATGCCAAGAAACGGAAATTGCTTGGTAACAATCCATAACTTCTCAAAGGCGTTCCTGTGTTGTCAGTTCCTGTCCATGAAACGAAAATTTTTACGTCTGTGTTACTTGCTTGGTCAAAGTACTGCCCACATTGTCTTTGACGAACACATGGCAACGAAATATCAACAGAGCATTGTTCCTTAGCAGCGTCACAGTTATCAATAAATTCAATTGGTTGTCTATTGAGGATAGAGGTTTGATTTACGAGTCCTCCATCTAATGTAACAGCAATTGTATAATAGAGAGTGAAAGAATCTCTTCCTGAAATTGACTTTAGGCTTCTGAAATAAACAGATTCAGACTTGGTGTTTCCAACCCACACAGTTACTGTACTGTTCTCACTCACGTTCATGAAGATACTCGCTAATTGTGTATTGTTACGTAATCATGAACAGGATAATGTAGTCCAAAATTGATTGTATGTATTATTCCGTCAACATCAAAATACATCAATATTTAATAATCATCCATTATGAAATAGGTTTACATCATCAGCATCATCGGATATGAATAGAAATATATTAAAACATACATCCGTTGAGAATAATTTCAGCCAACTCATCAACTAAAACACAAAATGGATAAAAAGTACTTGTTTCATTACTATTACTCAACTCAATGACAACTTTGGTAGCCTGATTCTTTTTACAAGAAGATTGAACTCCAGTGAGCGGATCAACACCGGGAGCACAAGTCTTTGTACAATCGACCTTCGTTGCTGATCGTACGAAAGGGAAATAGATACACAACAAAACAAAAAATACTCCTAGCAGGACCACCAATTGCGAAGGGGATGATGATGTTTTCCTCATTTTTTTCTTTTTGGAACGTTGATGTTGTTTCTATTTGATGGGTGATGCCAACGTATGTATAATAACCCTTATCGTTTTCAATTTGCTTTTTTCATTAATTGAAAATTAGAAGCAGGAACGAGTTTTAGCACAATTCCAATTTCTTTTCGTTTTCAACGAGGAACTAGTATTATAGACCAGCAGGAAGCCTAACCAGCAACGGGAACACCACACTAAGGATGCATTACAAAAAAAAAAAACAAAACATGGTCAATTACCATCAGGTAGTCATTGTGATGGACGGTACATGGCCTTCCAATATTGAGATTGAGCCTTCTTATTTTCATGACATCATCATCAATATTAATCAAGCCATTAAGGAATGGGCTTTGAAATCCATCTTGTTTTTAAATTCAGGTCAAAGTCTTAGCCTTCCTCAAGAAAAATTGTTACTGTCAGTTTATGGAACATCCAGCGGCTCGAATCCACAAGTAGTTCTTTCTCAAGATGTCCTCTCATTACCTCTTTTAAATACTGCTTTGAAGCATTACATGAATCAATTCAAACACATCAAACAAGGTAAGCAATGCGAATATAGATTGGTTATCTTGTTCATGGAATGGTTTCATTGGAAATGCAAGATAAAATTGGTATCTCTACGATGGAGAGTACCCTAAAACATTTGAGCACCATGATGAACAGTAGTATGAAAGAAAATATAATTTCTTCTCAAATTGTGTACTTTACTACTGAAAAATTGGACGGTGTCTCTTCAGAACTTAACCAAACATTGGGAGTAAGTAGAAACTAACTTTGAAACACTTACACAGACGTCTTTCAAAGGAATTGTACGGGGATAACGTTGATTTGCATGTGATTAAGGTCGTGTATGATTTTGACGTTGATGTTTGTATGGACACAGGGTTCATTGAGCTCGTTGAAAAGTTTCCAAATACAAGATGCACAACTGTATTTAATGACCCATTGTGTTTGGCAAGAGAATTATTTCTCTCAACTAAACACATGTTTAAACCCCACGGAAGGGAGATGTCCTTATTTGTTTCAAAAAATTCTGAACCATTGAAGATGTCACTTATTCCATCCATCACTCTAAATGATTTCGAGCTGTTTGTTTCCGATCGTATATGCCAATGCCACGAAGAAAAGGTCAACTCTAACGTATTATACACACAGCTACAGAAAGGATTTGTTTGTAGTTCAACATTGAAAATCATTGATTTTTCAGACACAATTCCCGTTCTTCGCATAGGGAACGGATCCAGAGAAGTGCTTTACACCTCTGGCTACGATGAGAAATGCCTTACCTTGCATACAAACATCGAGATGTGTGTGCTATCCAGGGTAAAGTTGTGTTCCATGCCCTATGAGCTTCTATTTGGTGAAACATTTTTATTGATCCCCTCTATTGACATTGACCTATCGATGGTTGAGAAGAATGAATCAGAAATCTATTACTTATGTCGTCATCTTGTTGACACCAATGAAGGCCTTCTATGCACCTCCGAGACTTCATTGAGAGCTACAAGTATCAAAGATAGCTGCGTTAAATACCATTTTCTTATTGTTGCAGATGTTGAAATGAAGTGTCTCGTTGTTCGACAAGTTTCAACCTCAGACGAGGTTATCCCTCCAGTCTTTTTATCAAGATTATCTCCTCATTTACCTAGTTCCAATATTTCGAAGGAGCTATCAGACCTAGAACTAATCGAGGAGTTTAACCCTTTATCCTTTAACAGCAACAAGATTAACTTTGTGTACAAATCAATAGCGACTGCTTTAGTTCAGAAAAGAAGCTCAGATATGGACAGAAAACCAAAATGGCAATCTAAAGACACCTTAGCATCGACAACAGGTTTTCCACATGCTCGCAAAGATGAAGCAACACCGAAGAGATCTTCCAACACCGAAAAAGTACAGTCCAAGAAGGTCAAGAAACTGATTTTCAAGTAATTTACTTTCTCTTATTGAATTTTTGCCTCATCTCATCAATAATGTTAATATCTTGTTTGCTGTTGGGAGTAAAAATAGGATTAAAGAAACTTATGGTTTTTCGTTTCTCCTCATTCCCAAAACTCTTCTTTCTTGGAACATCTCCTAGGTCAACATACTCCTCAATATCTTCAGACACGATCAAATCTGTGTTTTCAAAGGCCATGGTCACTGGTCTTGGCGGAGGGACTTGCTGTTGTGGGAGAGTAGTAGTGGGAGACTGGGTTGAACTAGAACATCGCTGAGTATCTTCAACTTGGGCTTCTGTGTTTTGTAAATGTTCAGACATGACAGCCGCTGCAAATGCAGGTGATGAAAAATCATTAATAGAAAATCGTTGAGGTACGATTCTTTGAGATCTTCTCTTCCTGAGTTGTTCAAGCTTCATTTGGTGTTGCTTTTCTTCGTCAAGCTGTTTTTTCCATTTCATTTCTTTTGTAATGGAATGAGCAAGTGAGAATTGCAACTTCATACTTTCTTGCTTGTACCTTTCCACTTGCTGTCGCAAATTGTCAATTATCTGATCTTGTTCAGAGACTGACAAAAAATAATTCTCTACCTTTTTGTACAAATCCACAATTTCATTTTGCATCTCAACCATTGTATTTTGAGATGAGGCCATAGTAGAAATGAGATTTTTGTTACTGCTCATGTAGTACTGAATTTGAGCCTTGTTGAACTTGTTAATTTCGTCTAGCTGTGCCAACATCTTTTGCCTGTCTTCTTTTTTTTCTTGACGAGTTTGATGAAGAGTGTTGAGTAGCGATTGAATCTCAGATTTAAGGTTGTTGTTTTGAGACTTCAAATAATGAATATCTTCCTCTGGTATATCCTCTCTCGTGTTAAGAAGTTGAGAGGAGTCGATCTATTACGCTGTTTGAAATCAGTGTCTAATAATCATTACTTACAGTTTTGTCCTTTTTTTTCAATTCTTGTATTGTTTCTTTGAGCTCAATAATTTCTCTTTCCTTTCGAGAAATTTCTGTTTCAAAATTGACACGCATGTTATCTATCTCTGCTTGCATCCTGAATTGGCTTGATTCTCGTTCTAAGGCGCTTTGCAATGAAGTGTGTTTCTCATCTAAAAGTGTAAAAGCCTCATTGACCATCATAGAAAAATCATTCTTTTGTAACGTATTAGTTATTTGAGATTCTAACTGGTTGATCTTTTCATAGAGCTTCGATACCTTCTTATTCAACCTTTGATTAGCTTCCTCCAATCCTTTGTTTTTCTCTTCTAAATATTTGTTTCTGTTTTCATATTCTTGTTTCTGATACACCATTTCGTAATTAATTTCTTGGAAATCCAATTGCTGAATCACTTTATGAATAAGTGTAAACTCATCACCAAACTCTCTCTTTAACTCCTCAATGGTTTCCTGTGTCTTGGCATCCAAAATGGTATTTGAAGTTAAATAATTTTGTTGTTCTGGGTCCATTGTGAGTCTTTGATTTCTCACCTGTTCAAAGTTTCTCTTCTCATGTTGGAGTTTTAAATAAGAATCACCAAATAGCTTTTTAAAAGTACTATCGTCCGTACAGAGAGACTTGATCATATCAAGTTGCTTTTCTACATTTTCAAATAGGTGCTCTTGATCCGCAACAAGTTGTTGAATTTGTTTGGATTCATCTAATGTCGAATCTAATTTTTTTCTTTCTTCTTGAATGCTCTGAATGTTTTGGATCAAATTACGTATTTCATCTTTATATCTTTGAATGGAAGAGTCGTATTGAGAGAGAGAAGATTTATGAACTGTAAACTCTTTCAACAAGTCGATAATGGTATTGTTTTGTTCTTCTATTTTTTGAATACTTTGAATCCAATGACCGGCTTCCTCTGTAGGGTCTTGTTCTAAACCAAATTTCTTCTTGTTGATATTAATTTCTTCTTCGATGTTTTTTTTGGTGAGATTGAGCCATTCCATCTTTTCATTGTGATCTGCGAACTTGAGAGTAATGGAAGGTTCTTTCAATGTAGAAAGTATTATGGAGTGCTCGCCTTTGATGAATATCATAAGTATTCAATAATTAGGGATTAATATAACATCTTACTACCTTACTTACCAAAATTATCTAGTACAGCTGAAAATATTAATGGCAAGATCACAATGTCCTTCTTTCCGCTTGTGGTAAACGCAAAAATGTCCGATGCCAAATAACAGTCAGCCCATTCATCTCCCTTTTCATTTTGGTGCTGTATTTTAATTCTTCCCTCTTTCATAAACTTTCTCCATGACTTTAGTAGACCACTAAATTGCGATGCAACTTTTTGAGAAGTTTCGTAGTGTCTCTTACTTTCATTAATTTTAGACACAATTTTTTCCATATTCTCTGCCAACGATCTCACTTTTAAATAAATTACAGAATCAGAAGGGGTAATTTTCACAAGACGATCAAATAAATTCTTGTATCCAAAAATACGCTGCATGGGTTTTGGTAATAAATCACGAAGTCCAAGACCTTTTGATTGGGGATCATCTCTACTTTGTTTAAGAATTTTGTCAAATTCCTTATTCTTTTTACAAATCTCATTTACTATTTCAACAGCCAAATCATAGCCCTTCACATAGTCGCTATAAAAGTTTAGAAAAGGCAGCTTTGAAAGTATTAGACCCATCGAATGATATCATTGAACAACCTACATGTTTTACAAATACATCTAGAATTTTAGGAATATTTCCACTATTTCTATTCTCATTCTTTTGTTTTTGAACCTCATTCAACAGTATTTTGGTTAAATTTCTAATTTGCCGAACTGAATCATTGATTTTCAGAATCTAGAATACCCTTTCGTTTGTACTTACCATTTCCGAATACTTTTTTAATTTCTTCTTGAGAAATGAGTGGCCTCTTTGCTTCTAGTCTACTTTCAAACACTTGAATATACAAGGTATCAAGAACGTCTAAAAAGTACAAATAATTCTTTTCAGTTTCTATCAATTCATTAATAATACAAATAATTTCTCTAACTCTGTTTTCTGTTCATGTGTAAATTTTCAACCGTAAAATTATATAATACAGAGTTATGAGCTCTGATCATCCTCAATACTTACTTCTTTCGAGACCTTTTCTAAATTTGTATCCTCTCCAAACTCTGGTTAAAATGGAGGCGGCATCATCAACACCGTCTTGTATGGGTGATGCAAATGCTGTCGGGAATAGTCCGATCTTGTGATTAAACTTTCCAACGCTCCAACCTTGAACATTGTCTTTGGTAACTCCAACCACATCACCTTGATGAAGTGTAAGCTCTCTTTCTCTCTGGCCTTCAAAATCAAAATTCATCTTGGATGAATAAATATCGTGCATGGTAATAAGGAACGATACGGACATGATCATGTATATTGGTCAATGATAAAACGTTCAACCATTGAGGAATGATCATCCACTACTACCTACCTTAACATAAAACAAGATGGGATGAGCATCGTAATGGAAATCTGCTGAGGTCAGATGCGCTTGAGCCTTGTTGTTGGAGGAGGACATTTTTTGCAAGTTAAGAGAGTGAGGCGTCAAACGAATGAGAGCCGAGGTTTATTTCAGAGTCAAATCCATCCTCTCGATCTCTCTCAACACATACACACGGATGGAATAAAAGTGATGGTGGCGAGTGATTAATCCACAGGTGGTTGTTCCTCTTCATCACTCTTCTTGTTCTGTTCAGAAGACGAGTCTGATGACTGTTGGACCAAAGGAGCCTTTTCTTCGTCCTCCTCTTTGAGTTCAACATCCACTTCTGAGATGGAGACATCTTCAACATTTTGCATGAGTTGTTCAATTTGTTCCATGTTTGCTGCTTCTTCGAAATTCACGTGTCCAAACAAACCAGTGTGTTGAAAATCCATTTGACTCATGAGTTGTACAAGTTCTTCGCTTGACAAATCCCATAACTTGTCGAGAGCGGTTTCAACTCCTTGAGTAATGGCTGTTTCAAAGAAGAATTTGATAAAGTCTTCAGTGAGATCAGATTCCTTGATGAAATCATCCATTTTCATGTCTTTGAGTTCTCCTTTAGCACACTTTTCAATGAGTTGTTGGTTCAGTTTTTTCATTCCTCGATTCATGGTGAGTCCAATCACACCACTGAATGCCTTTGAAAGTCGAGATCCAAATAATTTATCTACAGCCACGGCAGCATATCTTTCCTTAAAGTTCAGTTGAGACATGTATTCACGTTGCATATCCGAAAGGCCATTTTTGAAAGTATCACCAGTGAGTGGCCATCCCCAAATCACAAATAACTTGGCACACATTTCGGCAATCTTTTTGATAAATGTACCTTTAGCATCAATTGTAATTTCTTTGGTATATTCAATCACAATTTCTTTAGCTCTTCTATCTTTTTCAGCCATTGAAGCAATTTGTGAATACATGAAAGCATCTCTTGCCAACTCTGGTAATAATTCACATGTATGGTTGATGAGTTTTTTCATACCATAACTTTCTTTAAGAATACAGTTAAACCCACAATCACTGCATTCTAACTGTTTTGTTTCTTCATCATAAAAGACATCATCACTCAGACAATCTGGACACCAAGATTGAGTCCAATTTTCTCTCTTTGAAATACAAACGTGAATACCCTTATTATGTTCCAATTTCTCATCTTCAATCACTTTCTTAATTGCCTTCAGTTGAAGAGAATCAGCCAAGTCACTCTTATTCAGCACAAAAATAACAGGAGTTGGAGCAAAGACTTCTCTAACAACTTCTGCTTCGAAATTCTCAAATCTACCACGAGCTGTATTGACCACATACCAAACAACGTGAATGTGATTGGCGACATCTGGTGATTGTCTCAGTTCCATAAAGAATTTTCCAGTTTCTTTAATAAACTCTTCATGACTATTCCATTCCAAACCTTTAGAATCATAGATCACAACTGGTTTATCGTTTGGTTCATATTTTTGGAAGTGTTGAGTGACAGGCATACCGGCACCTGCTCTTGCCAATTCCTCTCCGAAAACGGCATTGACCAAGCTACTTTTACCTTTACAAAGAAAATCATTGAAATAGTATTGATGTAGTGGTAATTAATGTAAGTGTATTTCGAAAATCATGTTTGGTAATATGGTAATATAAATTAAGTTTTTGTTAAAAACAATATTATGGTAATAAAATCATATTTCAAAATTCGGTTGAGAATAGGGTTTTCAATTTTTGAAACATACCAGCACCAGTAATACCTGCTACCAAAATGTTCGGCTTTTTACAAGCCTTTGTGCAGTCATTAAAGTGATCTTGGAAGCTCTTCACTAATTCTTCTGTTTCTTTTTCGGACAGTTCTTGCAGCTTTTCGTTCATTTCGCTCATTTGAGCCATTTGATTAGGATCATGCTGCTGTTGGTCATGAGGTTGGTTTGGGTCTTGTGCAGGGATCATGTTGTCGTAGGTATTTTTTGTTGATTTTTTCTTCTATCATCATTTTGATTGCACGGAATTCATAATTAAAGTGTGATTTGCTCTAGATTAGATATTAACAACAGGTTTATTATAATACGTTGTTGAATTAAACGCTAATAATTTCCAATTTCAATCATAGTATCAGCACTGGCTGATCCGATACAATCCAAAACACAATCATGTTCACTTGTCAAAAAGTTGATTATCACAATCTTCTCAATTATGACCATAATTTAATTTTGTTCCCATTTTGGCTTCTTCTTCATAATTTCGGTATACTTTTTGACTCCTTTTTGTAAGGCTTCATCACCATAATTTTTGTATGTTGGAGGATTGCTTGCATAGTATTGAATTGATAACAATCCAAGACCGGCAGATAATATAAAACTTGTACTCCAAAACTTTACAGTACGAGCATTTTGTCCTGTTATCAGACTAGCGACCATAGCAAAGAATGATCCAGCACAGCTGTAAAAGCCCAGAGCTGCAAGAGGTCTTTTAGCAAAATAGTACAGGGAATATCTAAATCTACCTGCTCCGGCATCAATTCTTTGAAGTACATCAGGATTAGATCCATTGGCATAGTCGTATTGAGTCATCAAGTGTGCAGCCGAAGGTTGCTGTGTATTGCTGCTCGAGTTGCCATTCATTTTTGTTTATTCTGTTTTTCTTGATGCCTTAAAACAAAGCTGACATGCTCAAACTATGGAGATCATCATTTAGAAAAGAATCAAAAGCAATGCGCATTTGTGATATTTAAATTATCAAAAATTATTATTTATTAAGATCACTCCTATACACTTAGTTCTATTGATGTTCTACATTGACGTTGGTGATGTCTCTAATGAGAGAAATATTGTCTCCTTTTAATAATATTCTTCCAACTCGTTTTCGTTGTGATTTTTTAACATAAACTTCATCTGTATCATCTAGTACAACATTCATATATTCATCAAAACCAAGAATATTTCCTTCTATCCGTAAATCCGTATTTTCGTACAGCCAAACTTGAATTCTGCAACCCTGCTTCAAGTACTCAAATACTTGAGTCTATTCGAACAATATTGACATGTTCCGATATCATTGATCATCCATACCAGGTTTTTTCAAAAATCATTACTTACAATTGGCTGGGTCATCATCTTTTGTTTGCGGTGCATTTTTGAGAGTGTTTTTTTTTTGAAGGTGGCCCAAAGAACTGACTCGCGGTTGCTTCACAAAAAGCTTTTTAATTGCCTAAGGCGTTAATTTTGTTTCTCTTTGAGAGTTTCATCATGGAATACGAAACTACTCACTCGTGGCATGACATCATCAACCAAAGAATCTTTTTTGTCCGAAGATGTATTACCATCCATGCTGTCATTAAGAGCTGTCATGTATTTTCTGTAGTCCTCTCTTGTCATTCTATACTTTGCGTCCGCGCTGTTCCAATCTACTCCTAGAATCTCTTCAAAATATCGTTTAGTTGGTACTGCTCCCTTTTTATCTACAGTGCACATTCTCACAATTCCTCTTCCAATGAACTTATCCTTAACATAGAGATTTTGCTCAACATATAACCACTTTTCATCTGCACATGCTACTCGTGTGACAATTTTTACCTTTTCAAACAATTTAGCAGAGCGTCTAAATTGAAAGCTAACACCAGCAACCACCCATCCAAAGCCTGTTCACAAAAAATCCGAGTATTCGTGTATTGAGGTGTGAATAGATTGAACTAAGCAAATGAACGTACCTGCTTTTCTGCACCGATTGAAAACATTTCCGTGCTGTAAAATCATATCAAATCGTGCATGTTCCATAAAACTAAAGTACTGGGCGTTATTTAAGTGAAAGTTCATATCCAAATCATAAGGCAGCACACGAATTTCATACACATGATCCTCATCATAAGGTTTTGAGTTCTTTTCATAATATTCTTCGAAAAAGAATGCTAAAAACATCAAGTACAGTGTTCGGAGCCAATAGATCATTTTCAAGTTTTTCAAGGATCAAGATGTGGGTGTTGAGGTATTTTTTTTGATTTCTCCATTCAGCAACATCTACTTTCTTTTTATTCCGAAAAGCCCCGTCATGATGTTGCGACTCATTGACCATCTCTGAAACACCTCCGATGCATCCATCACCACTCTCTCTATGTACGAAGCGTGTACGAATTGTGTACGAGGTGTACATGAGCACGTACAATCAGCAGCAACGAAAGAACAAAGTTCTCGTTAGTGCGACCTGAGGTTGTACAATTTTCAATGACCTGTGGTGAGGTTCAATCGTAGAGCATCATACCCTTAGGTCCAACACAAAAAGTTCTACAATGAAATGTTTACTTTTGAATACTACTTTCGTTTTCTTTCTTGCTTTTCAAATAATGAAGCAATGTTATTCACCACTTGCTTGGGTCCCACAAGTACCACGTGTAAGAATAATAAATAAATAATTACTGAAGAAATGAGTATCAAATCAAATGCAATGGGTGTTACTTTGAGAAGAGATAATTTAACTTTGGTATTCGTATAGAATTTGTACGCAGAATTACTCAACAGGAAATCTTGTGTTTGAACCACTTGGTCATTGGTTGAAAATTGTTGAAGAGTCTACTCAACAATATTTGGGTGGAAGAAATTCCATGAATTATAACCGTACGATCATCAACAATTCATCATTGAATACCATTCAGTATTCATATTCATGGTAATAATAATATCCAATAGTATTTGTAATAATATTCATTTCACCAACAAATTTCACCAACACTACATACCAATTTAAGTGCTTTGACTAAATCGCTCTCTTTCGAAAGGATTGGTGTAAATCTTGAGGTACTTTCCATATTCTTAATGAACGCTCTGATAAATTTATCATTTTCATCTTCAAAAAATCTAATATGATGATCAATATCATAGAGATGACGAGCCAATGATTCAGCAATTAATTTGATAGATTTTCTCAATTGGTCAATATCTACTTTAGAAATATCTAATGAATTGGTTCTTGTCAACATTGACGAAGATGGCACAGATTGTGTAGAAATTGTTGCAGACACAATTCCCTTCTTGGCGAAAACTTCATGTTCCCAAACTAATTCTCTATCAATCTTCTTTTCAATAAATTGAAGATCAATCTGTAATTGTTTTGCAGTCTGCACAAAATGTTTGTACAAATTAATCACATTCTTGTCATTGGTCTTTTCAGAAATGTGCATAAATAACTTGAAGGAATCATTGTCAACATGTGAAGTGAGACTATCTAAACACAAAACAAAGTCTAATTGATTTACCAATCTCGGATCTGTTTGTTTGATCCAGTGTTTGGTACCAGCATAACCCAATCTACTTCCACCAGTTAAAATAAATAATAAATTATGAGAGGCTTTTGTCGATGGTGTTGAATAGAGTTTTTGGAATAATCTTGAAATTTCCAACAAGCCAATCATTCCACTACCATCAGCACTGAAAGTTGTTACTAAACCTGGAATTGAACTAATAGAGTCATAATGAGCAACAATTCCAATCGTTTGAGACTTTTCGCTTGGCTTGCCATGTAATGTAGAGAAGAGATTAACAACAGGTGTTTGGTCAATTGGCTTTGCTTCTCCTTCCGAAACAACTGCTTGATAGGACTCACTCAACAGTGAAAATTCATTCAAATGTTCAAAATAGCTTAACATTTCAGCAGTTTTTTCATTCTGGAAAATGAAATAAATTGGCTTATCAAATGTAGAGATTAAAAATTGTTTTTCAATGGTTTTGAATTGGTCAATTGAATTTGTAGAAATTTCATCATTGGGTGGAAGTACAATCAACACTCCGCTCACATCTTCTCTATTTAAAATAGTTTGAATACTTGTCTTGTTCGATGATAACAATTCTTCAATTTTTATCATGATGACATTTCGAGCAGCGGAAAGAGCAGACGAGGCTCCTAGCTTTGGGGTGGTAATCGGAGAATTCAATCCAGTTATACGACAACCAAATGGTTGGGTCCCTTTATCATATTGGATAAGCCTGAAAGCATCAATGGTTGTATCTTGTTGTGTTGCTGCCAGAGTAGTTGTTGTGAGGAGGGCAGAGGCAACACTCATCACCAATAATAACAGAACCATCAAAGAAAAATGCTTTTTCATTTTTTTGCAATCTCGTGTCTGCCTTCAAGAATTTGGCGATACTGGCAGTACATCATCATGTTTTATTAAAATAGGATCGGCAATAGTATTCAATATAATATCTATTAAAACTGCCCGCCTATTGTGTTTACAAAAAAATGTCATCATTTCAACCACGCACCAAGGTGGCCATGACTCGAGAAGAAATTGATGAAAAGAAGAAGAGGTAAGGATGAGGGTGAACATATGAAAGTATGCCAATGTTCAATCAAGATGGTTAGAGGAAAAAGCAAAGGAGCAATTACGAAAGAGAATTGAGGAAAACTTAATACAACCGACCACACACGTTACATGTAACTCCTCTCAACAAACATCAATTCCAACATCTCTAGTCGGAATTCTAACAGATACCGTAGAACAATCTATGAAGGAGGAAATGAAAATTAGTCATGCTCTGAAATATCAAAACCACGATGAGGATGATGAAAATTTCTTAGCAAACGAAATGGAAAATCACAAGTGTGCAATTTGTTTTGAATTAATGTTAGACAAGGAACATGAACCAATGATGATTGTACCATGTGGTCATTGTTTTTGTCGAAATTGTTTACAATTATTAACGACTCAAAAGTGTCCAACTTGCAGGTAGGTCTCAATCATTAGTTAACAAAGACTCATATTCTGTTTGCGTACTTCCACGCTACACAATGAACATGGTAATAACAACTTGTTTCCATCGCTTAGATCAAGAATCAATTCTCTTGCTGTCAATTTTGCATTAAAACAAGTGATTAGCTCTTACAATGATTTGAAAGCTCAAAAAGAAAAGAAAAAACAAGAAATGCAAACGTTTATTGAAAAACAAAGTGCCCATATTGTGGATCCCTCAGTTTTGGAAATATTTAAAATGGTCCTTAATAGAACACCCTCTGAGCATCGTCAAGAAGTTGAAAAGTATCTTTCTCAATACGCTAAAGCAAAAACCAGAAAAAAAATACTCATTGATTCTTTAAGCGAAATTGAACAAGAGGTGGGTCATTTAACCACTCATCTTTCTATTGCAGAATCTCATTTACAAAGGTTTAACAATGAACACCAAGCTCTTGTCCAGGAAATTGAGGAAAAGATGAAGAATTTAGAGGAATTGAAAAAAGCAATTGACGAACAAAATCGTGTGGTATGTAGCGTGTACAAATCCTCAATACGTTTTTCATTGTGCTGTGTTTGATTCAACTTATTCCAGACCACCGAGATTTCTCAACACAAACAACAAATGGAGCAAAAGAAACAATTCATTCTGCAATCCGTTCAATCCATAGACAGGGAAAGAGAAAAGGCCAAGCTTATTATCAAAAACTTTGTTCCAAATATAAGTGATTATGAGTTTAATGATTAAATGATGAATGAAATGGACAAAAAATCATCGTCATCACCAATTACACACCATTATTGGTCATCGTTGCAATGGATTCTCTCTTTTTTTGAAGTACAGCATTCAATAATTTAACAATACCTTGTGTGGCAACATTTGAAAGAGATTTTTCCTTTTCCCAATCTGACAACAATGGTGGTTGATAATTTCTTGACAATAACTTCCTCCTTTGCTTTTCAGTTGATTTTTGTTGTCTTTCTTCTTGCATGAACTCCATGAATCGTTGATAAGTTTTTGCCTTTGAATTAATTAATAAAGGTAATTCAGTTGTTAAATGAGGAGATTTGTCTCTTGTAACTTGTCTATTCAAAATTTCAGTAATAATTTTAGATAATTCCTTTTTGGTATCTTCATCAGTGAGTCCCGGTTGTCTATTTTGTGGTGGTTCATGTTGTGATGCTTCAATGATCGCTTCATCATCATTTTCATCACTATGGTTGTCCTCGTCTTCTTCAGACTCTTCGAATTTGACTTTTTTCAATTCGTTAGTTTCTTCATTCTTATCCTCTGAGAGTCTTTTTCTCTTTTTTAATTCTTCGATATTTTCAATAGTTTTTGATGATTTGTCAGTGGTCTCCGAATTGGCACTCACATGATCAACGACATGTTTGTGAGTTTTTGTATGGTTATTATTAGTTGGAATATCTTGATGGATTTCTGCTCCATCGTTATCATCGGAATCACGTGTCGTTATGGTGGGGAGCTTTTTGTTCTTCTTGGAGAGTTGTTGCTTCTTTGGCATTTTTTAGTTCAACAATTTATTGAACAGCACAACTCCTAGTGTGAGACTTTCCGAGCCAAATCAATTTCCGAACATAAAAAAATGAAAAAGTCAATCAAATTGGCCCACTCTATCATTCGGCAAACAGCAACAAGAAGCAGTTCGACTCTTACAAACTCTTCTGTGCATCTCATCTGCCCATCGGGTTTTATTTTCAACAGGAATTCTTCATCAGAGAGCAATCCATTCTTTAATTTTATTACTCCGTCATGTTCAACTTGTTATTTTCATACTAGTAAGTTCACTCAGCCAAAAGACTGAGAATAACTCCATTACTTTTCTAATATTTTTGTATGAAACAACTCTTTATGTTTCGAATGATCCTTCTTGGATGAACAGCCTCTTTCCAAGCAAAAGAAAAAGATCCCTATAAAATTCTCGGAGTCCCTAAAACTGCTACTAAAGAAGAAATTAAAAAGAAATTCAAAGAAATGGCTAAAAAATTCCATCCCGATATTAATAAGGCTCCCGATGCCAAAGAAAAATTTGCAGAATTGAATGGAGCTTATCAAATCCTGGTGGATGATGAAAAACGTAAAATGTATGACATGACTGGATCTACAGAACAAGCAGACTTTGCGGGTGCGGATGGAGGACCTTTTGGTGGTGGATTTGGTGGAGGAATGTCAAGAGAACAGGCTGAAGAGATTTTCAATCAATTTTTCGGTCGTGGTGGTCCATTTGGTGGAGATTTTTCAAGTGCATTTGGTGGAGATCCATTTGGCGGAATGGGTGGTAGAGGTGCAGCACCAAGAGGACCTAGACAAGGTGCTGATGTTCGTAAATCGATTCGAATTTCATTGAAAGAGGCTGTGACTGGAACTAAAAAGGAGTTGAGAATTAATAAGGCAGTCGAATGTACATCGTGTGGTGCTACTGGAGTTAAGGCTGGAACAAAACCAAAGACATGTACACATTGTAATGGAACAGGTACAATGACGATGCAACAGGGTATGTTTTTAATTTCTTTTTGGATGATATACTAATCTCAATGATGATTATTGCTAATTGAACTCTAACCATGAATGCATTCAACATCCATATATTCTAACGAAATTCTAACAGGATTTTTCATAATGCGATCAACATGTGAGGCTTGTGGTGGTAGTGGCAAACTTCATGAAGATTGTCCATCATGTAAAGGCGAGGGATATACATCAGAAATGAAAACAGTGGAAGTGACAATACCTTCTGGTGTTGACACTGGAACTACATTAAGATTGCCTGGACGAGGTGCTGCCGGACAACGAGGAGGCCCACCCGGTGACATGTTTTTAGAAGTGTTTGTTGAACCTGATCGTAACTTTACGAGAAAAGGTGATGATTTGGAAACAAAAACAAATATTTCACTCTCCCAGGCTGTATTGGGAGGATCAGTCGACATTAATACCATCACTGATGAAAAAGTTACTGTTCACATCCCGTCAGGATCTCAACATGGAGACAGAGTAGTATTGAAAGGAAAAGGCGTCAAACCAAAGAACAAATTCTCAGCTGGTAATTTGAATGTGTATCTCAATATTCAAATACCAAGAAATTTAACGGGTGAACAACGAGAATTATTTGAACAGTTTGCACAATTAGAAACAGACCGAACAGGAAAGGTGAATGCTCCAACAGATCATTCTTCATCAAGTGATCAGTCTGATCAAGGAGAGAAGAAGGGTTTCTTTGAAAATTTAAAATCCAAACTCAATAAAAAGGAATAATCATTCATCAACTTTAATATTCTCTTTCTGCAGGTGTAGAAGGTCGACCATGCCTCGAGTCACCAATGGTTTTGTTGGGTTGTATATTTTGTCGATCCAATACTTCCTTGCTTTTGGACAAGAGAGCCTGTATTAGATTGATTTGAGCAGAAGCCGAGTCAGAAGAGGATGTTTTTGGAGAGTCTCTCTTGCCACTGGAGCTTGTAGGGCTCAATGTTAATTTGGTGGACCTGGTATCTTTTGCTTGACTTTGGGAGCCCAGTTTTGTTACATCTTCATTAACCTTTCTTTGCAATTCTTCGATCCTCTTCTCCAAAGAGCTTGTTCGCTCATACAGCCCTGATTTTGTTTCCTTGTTTTGATTTTTAGTTTCCTCAACCATTTGTTCCAGCTCTGTTTTAAGAGTCTTGATCATATTTTCAACTTTTGCTTCATGCTCCACACGCAATTTGATTCCTTCCTCTTCGATCCATCTTTGCTCTTCTGTCATTCTTCCAATGACTTTTTGTTGTCTTTCAAGTTTATCATCCACGCTCTTGTGAAGTGTAGCAATACTTTGATTGAATCTGTAATCAACATCAGAAATTCTACCATTCAATCTTTCTTCCATGTCTCTTAATACATTTTCAATCTTGGTCTCCAGCTCTGCCTTCAGTTGCTCCAAAAATGCAGATGATTCTCTTGCCGCAGTATTGCTGCTCACATTCATAACGACCATTTTGTCGGAAATTCCACTACTATTGACGCTCACATTGTTGAGGTGAGTAAGAGGTGAGTGATTCAAACGTGTTCCATACTGTTCTAGAATGGATTCAAAGTTTTTGTGGTATGATTTTAGGGATGAATCGACAATGTTGAGAGCAAAGGATCGAACTCCATCAATCTCATCTCGTACTTGTGCACTTAATTTGCTCAAACTGTCTCTCGTTTCTTTCTGAATTGAAAATACCAACTGTTCTAATCTTTCAAATCGATCTTCATTGAGCTTTTGATATTTCATCGAATCAAATTCGTGAGCATGCGAATTATGTTCATTCCTCTTTGCTGGAGATCGTTGAGGCATTTTAACATGATCAGTTTCGCTCTCGAAATCAGAAATATCTCCATCCTCTAACACGTCATCAAACATTCCCTTAAAACTTTTAGAGTTGTGACCATAATGCATCCGAGGTGAGCTCTCAACTGAAGAATGAATTTCAGTTTTTGTGACCATACTTTGAGTCATGTGATTGTCTTTGATTCGTCTTGGAGAGAGTTGGGCAGGTGAAGAGTGAGGAATCTGTTCATACACAATTATCATAGTTCAAAATAGAACGATCATATATACCCACATGTTACATGGATTGAAATCTTGAAACTTACACTTGATCTTGGATTAAAGGCTTCTTCAAAATCCATATCTCCTCCAATAATCAAATCTTGAAGAGTATTGTTGGACTGTAAAGCTTCAGAAATGGTTTTGGCCACCTGAGGAGCTAATTTAGTGGAATCACTGTCTATATCCAAATACAATTTTAAGAGTGAGCTATTTTCTTTAAGAGATTCAGAAATAATCTTCATTGCACTTAAATCTAACATGATTCCTTGAATATCAAACTTTTTCAGTCTATTGTTAGATTTTAACATGTTAGCCAGTGCAATAGCACCATCCACGCTGACACCATTGAATCCTAAATAGAGTTCTTCAAGAGCATTGGTGTTTCTAATGATATTTTGCAAAGTTTCTAATGATTACACGGTACATCGATATTCTACTTACAAAGATAAAGATTTTGCAAACATATAAGCACCAGGATCTCCAATATTGTTAGATCTAAGATTCAGCTTTAACAGTGACTTGTTATTTTTCAGTCCCGTCACTAACGATGAAACACCCTCAATACCAATTCTATTGGATCCAACATCTAACTCTTGAAGACTAAAGTTGGAGGCTAACATTTTACCGAAATGGGTTGCACCCTTATCACCTATTCTATTATGTTGTAAATTGAGCACTTTCAAAGATGAGTTATTTAAAAGTGAGGATGCTAACAGAGATGCACCTGATTCATCAATCAAATTATTTTGTAAGTTTAAAGTATGAATTCTATTGGTGGTGAACACTGAACTCAGACTTGACAAGCTATTAATTATTTTGTTTCCTCTAACGTCCAAATGTATAATTGTTGAGAACGGATTTCCTCCAATACATTGAAATAAGTATGAAATTCCTTCATCTCCTAATTTGTTGTTTCCACAAACCACTTTTTGTAGTACAGTATTTCTTTTCAACATGTCACCCAAACATACTGAACTCTCTTCTGTGATGTTGTTGTCGCTAATATCTAATTCCGTGATATGTTTGTTGGTTGTTAAGGCTGTTGCTATACAAACCATGTCCTTGTCAGTCTAAAACCAAATGATCAGTAACCACAGAAATAATATACCATCATTACATACCAATAGCTTTTTCCTATTCGATAATATACATGATTTGATATTTCTATCGTTCAAAGCGAAAATAAATTCAAAAGTTGGATCAATCCCGAGTTTTGAACAATGATTCATATATATTTCTCTCGGATCCAACTCCGAGTCTTTTCCAGGATTCCACGAATCATCAAGGTTATCCACTATAATTCGATTCCCAATCCCCAAAGTATCCTCAAAGTCATTAAAATTTAATTCTTTTCCGTTCATGTTGTTTTTATTGTTTTCAGATCATAGTGATATATACGTACTCTTTCCTTTCAGCATGGAATCAAGGCTTTCATCCATTTTTCGAGACATTTTGTTTGTAAAAAAATGGCGCCATCCAAGAACAAGGGTCGATGAAAAAAATTCATCAATTCCTCAAATCATTCAATGCAAGGCTCCACTACCGAACAAGAAGAGTCCGTCATGATGACTTTTGAACCTATCATGAATGACCATTGTACAGATCCCCCAACCATAACCAATGGTAATAAGGAATTATCAACAGAGACGAATCAACCTCATCAAAACGACACTTCTTCAAAAACACAACAAGAATCACTTCCTCTACCTTCCATGGTATCACCAACATCGTGTGCATCCTTATTATCACCTTCATCAAGTGTTCATCAATCCGTTAATCAGCATGCAGAACAGAAATTAATAGAAAAAGACGATCATTTAGTCATCGTTCCTTCCACCTTAAATTATGGACATCAACGAAAATCCACGATTGCAAAAAGATTAATTCTTTCCATGATATGTTTGACTTTTTTTCCTCTCTGTGTGTTACTATGGACAAAGGCTTTTACATCGAAATTTGATCCACTAGACATATTCTTTTTATATTTTGTGAAATTGGGAGAGCTATCTATTCTGTACACCTTCTTTCTATTTTCTATTTATTATCCTCTATTTTATGGTTATCACCCTCCAAACATTGCCTATTTACTTGTTCTTCCATTATTACCATTGTTGAATCTTTTTTTTGCTGGTAAGTTCTCCACTTATCATTCAATAATTTGAAAAATTTCCTTTACTTCTTCTTTAGGACTGTTTGGATCTTTTGGAGGATTGTCTTCAAGTGTGTCAAGTAAGTCGTTATTAGTTGGTTTTGCTTGATCCTTTCACACACATAAAGTACTTGTAAATACTTTACTTTTGAGTTGGGTGTATTGGATGTTTCGAATATGGACTCCTAGAACATCGATATCACCAACACCTCCAAGCATTGACGATACCTCTCAACACTCTGCAATAATACCACAAACAATGAATCCACCGCCAATCCACTCCACTGTTCACAATGGAGAGACTCAATCGAGTCTGAGCATACAGTCCAATGTAATGACAACCATGACAATCCCAATAGAACAAGAGCATTTCAATGAAGATTCTCATTCCAATATTTCAGATTCTCACCACAACATTTGTTCGAAAGAAAATTCTACCATTCACTCCTCACTTGAAGAGATTCCTCATATTTCCTCATCATTTGTTGAAATTGAATTAGAAACACCTCATATTCAAAACAACACTTCGCCTCCAGAGCTTTATCCAAATGATGAAAAAAGAACTGAAGAAGAGCAACATACTTCCACACAGTCAATGGATACCATCAGTGTTAATAGTAACCACAGTGACGATATTGATGAGAATGTACTTGATGAAGAAGATCGAAAAGATTTACGAACAAAAACACAACGAAATATTCTCAGGGAGGAACGAAATATGAAAATGTGGACAAATATTCAGATCAATATTGCGCTCTATAGTAAGTGATCACTGTGACAATGAAAACGAAAGAAATAACTCTGCCAGTATTCCTACTGCAGTTATGCCTCAATGAATACGCTGAAAGTATTGTGAGATATTCATTCGGAGAGCCCTTTGATGCAATATCATTTCTTCCTCTTATTATCAATCGAATAGTGTCATCTGTATTGATTCGATTAACAGAAAGACAAACAAAAACATATTCATTTATTGATTTCTTGTCACGTTCTGTGACAGTGTATGGACTGAAACGCTTTTTTCCTTTATTGGGATGGCGTCAATTTGTTGGTTTTCAAGTAACCTCAATTCTTTTACGAGCAATCACAATGTTAAAACTATTGAAACCAGTATCTCATTTGATATATTGGATAGACACTGGAGTGAAACGACTCATAAACAGAGCTCTTAGACATGAGATTATTTCAATATCAGAATTTATGAATCAAAACAAGTTTTATGAAAGAAATTTTGAGAATTGTTCAAAACGATTTTATAGTGGTGTTTTTATGGATCTAAGTAGCTCGGCTGTTTTGATTATTTATGTTTGGGTGTTTCAAACACTGACCTTAGATATTGGCATATACTATATGATCGACATGATGATATCATTAGGAGTAAGTATTATTAAGATGACGATAATTACCATTTTAGTGGATTGTGTTGGCAATCATCATTAAATACCTCACCCAACGCAAGTTTAATCCATGGATAGGGCAGGTATGGATGCATCATTATCTTTTCAAGCTTTTTCTCTTTATTTGTTTTGTGCAAGTGTTTTACTTGGTACTTGATTAAACGTGTGATGACAATCTCTCTACACGTGAAAAGTATTACATTGTATACACGCTTGAACCTTTCGTTTGTTTGCCAAACCATTCCCAAGCTCAATATTTTTGATAACCTCTCACACAAATAAACTGGAAAAGACAAAAGTCTTGCCGTCAATGGTACAAGTTTTTCCTTCGATTGAATACTTCTTGCGTGTAATTTTTAGCTCTTTCAATTCTTCGAGCTCTTTTCGAGCATCGGATAATTGGTTTTCTTGTCTTGAAGCACTTGCAAAATGATCATTAATCATGGAAAGCTCCTCCAAACTCCTACGACCTAATGAAAAGTTATCCAAGAAAGGAGCGTCCTGAATCTTTGTCTGTTTGTTACTTGTGAGCTCGTTACCATTAGCAGAATCAGAAACATCATACGTTGAATATGAGCTTGATCGTTTGGAGTGATGTTTCTTCTGTTCCTCCTTTTTGTGAACATACAAGCTAATTTCATCACCCTCTAATAAGTGTTTCAATTTGTCCTGTTTTGGGTTTTTCTGAATGGATTCCTCATATTCTTGCTTCAATTTAGTAAGTGCTAATTCCTTATCATCTACTTTATGTAGAATTTGATCTCTATATTTTGAAATATTTTCTTTCATTTCAATTCTTTTAAATTTCAATTCTATTTGCTCAGGAGTTAAATCTAAGAGTTGTTCTTTGAATGGTCTAAAATCAATCACTCTTTTTCTTTTTGTATTCATAATTTCATCTGTGAGTTTTCTATTTTGATAAAATTCATTCTTAATAATATCAGAGAAATTAATTTTAGGCATGAGAGTATCCATGGTGGTTGTTCTTGTCTTTGTAATGTAAGATGGTTGCTGTGCCACACGACTCGTCTTATTCATTTCTTGTTCTTCTTCGAATGGATCCACAAATTCATCATCTTCTGCTACCCATGAATGTTTTACAAATTCGTCATACGACATGTTTATGGAATGATACAAGGAATCAGCCTTGTGTTGAGTTTCTTTCTTCATCTTGTCTGATTGTCGTTTTAGTAACTTGTTAGTGGCATCCAATGAAAATTTGTTATTTGTAAAATCAATATTCTGTGTATCAAATTCTAATTTTCTTTTCACTACTTTGGTATTGTCTTTGAGAATGAGAGTTTTTTGACCTTTTTGTTGAGTGGAACGATTATTCGTGGGTGTATTGGATGTATTGGATGTATTGGGTGTATTGGGTGTATTGGGTGTATTGGGTGTATTGGATGTATTGGGTGTATTGGGTGTAGTGAATATAGTGTTGTTGTTGTTGTTATTCTTGATAGGATTAACTACTACCACTTCATTGGAAGCACATGTATCATAAATCTCTTCATGTAAAGATAATAGATATTCTTCAGGTGATATTGGAATACCATTTAAAATTTGTAGAGATGGAAATGGTGAATCGAGACTTCTCACCTTCTTTAAATCGATTTTTTTTAAAGAATTCATCACATCTTGAGTGGATTTTGGTTGAGAATTCCAAGTATGAGCGAGTGTTGAACGATTATTATTGTTAGTATGGTTATTATTATTGTGAATGGTAGAAGTAATGGTTGTAGAGACGACACTCGTCATGGGATGACTCTTCGTTGCTTGCACAAATGGACTCATATCAATAGGAATATGAGAATGAACGGTTTGTAAAATTTTCTTTCTTGGAGACATTCTTAACTGTTGAATGGATGAGGATAATTCTTGTGCATTTCTTTTTTCATTTAATTTTCTTATACTTGATAATAATGCTTTAGATTTTCTAATCTTATTGAGAACAAGTTGAGATTGAATAATTGGATTCGTTTTGGTGAGAGAAGAATCTTTTTTGATACTACTTTCAGTGTGTAACATGAAGGTGTTGTTGTTGTTATTGTTGTTATTGTTGTTATTGTTGGTATTATTATTATGATTTAGAATCATATGAGTATTATTATTATTGGTGTTGTTGATATTAAAATGGTTTTGACTATTGTTATATTGATGATGATTGAGAATACTAGTTGATGTACTATTATTACTGCTGCTATTATTACTACTACTACTACTAGTATTCATTGTATTTTGAGTAGTATTTGTTGGAATAGTATTATTGTTGAGATTTGTGAATTCCGTACTGTTATAATCATTCGAGTGATTGGACAAGACGGTGGTGGTATTGAGAGATCTTGAAGTGTTAGAGGATGTGGCTGCTGTGCTCAGAGTGTTCAACATGTTACTTTCAAAGATTGTTGTTGTTTGACTCGAACCACAAGTTTCACTTCTCCACAACATGGGAATGACAATTCCATGATTTCCAGTCGTATTGGATTCATTCCTATTAGTACTACTACTACAACTACTACTACTACTGCTACTACAACTACTACTACTACTACGACTAGTATTGGCGGTAGTGGTGCTTGTAGAATTTTGAATACTCAAACTTGTTCTTGAAGTACCACCAACTCCACTACGACCATGATTCATTGAATTCAACAATGGTTGAGATCCTTTCATGATATTGGTCTTCAATGATTCATTGATCGTTTTCATATCATTAGAGTTTGTTGTTTTGAAATGTAACATTTTCTGTAATACTACAATTCTATTATCAATAAATCGAATTGGATTATTTGAAATGTTGAGACTGAGTAATTTCTTTAAATTACATAAATCTCTAATTATTAATATATTATGTATCTTATTGTAAGATAAATCCAATGATACTAAATTTGGACATGAATCGACTAGTAGCATGGCATTAAATGTTCTTAAATGATTATGAGATAAATTAAGTTCAATTAAATTTTTAAATAATTCAATATCTTTGGGAATGATTTTCAATTTCATAAATGATAAATTCAATCGATCTAGAAACTCGACAAGTGTTTTCATATCACACATTAAATCTTTGGAATATTTAGATTTTAAATAAGATTGAATGGAATGAAAAGATGTCATTGATGATTCAGAATCTGAACTAGTGTCACTATCATTGGTTATATCCTCACTGTCATCATCATCATTCATAGTAGTACTACCATGACCATTACTACTATTGTCATTACTAATATTATCATCACTAATCATATTATTCAAACCATCACCATCACCACCACCACCATTACTGATATTATTCCTACCAGCATCATTCATGATGGAACTCTCAAGATTCATTGTATCATTTTGCAAGGATTTAGTCTGTAGTAACTTGTCCATTTCTTGAGAAGTAAGAAGAGCTATTTGTCGATCCACGGATGATCTTCTTCGGGATGATTGAAAAGAGTTATTGGGAGATAGAAAATGATTTGGAGGAGATGATGACTTGAATGATTTCATGTAGTGTCGTGTTGTTGTTGAATTGTTACTACTGCTACTACTACTTTTACTAGTTGTGGTTGAATTGCTGCTACTGGTAGTGATTATTGGTGAAACAACGATTCGAGGTGATGATTCTGCTACGAGCTCCCGAGGAGGAGATTTTGTTATGACAGGAGGAGGACGAGGTATCACTTGGATTCGACCCTTCTCTTGATCTCTTTTGGACGTCATGAAGGGAGCAGAAGAAGGACGTTGAGCATTTTTTGACGATGCGAGATTCTTTGGTGGATTTTCATCACAATGACCCTTCTTTTTGATGGAATTTGAGTGTCTACTGCTGCTGTTGTTATATGCAGGATGCAAAGAACCACCAGGAATGACCGTTGATTTCATTTGTTTTTAAGAGATTGAGATTTCAAAGACCGCCAAAAAATTGGCTTCAACTACGGCTTTCATCCGACCCCTCGATCGCAATTGCGTGGGCAGAGGCGAAACCAGCATTCAACAGGCTCTTCCTATTCTTCAAATGCACAGAGTCATTTCGATCATATTGAATGTTTATTTCCAAAAGAATAGACTTCTTCTCTTCTTGTCTCCACCTGCTGTCTCACTTGAAGCACTTGTTTTGGCAATATTGGGTGAATGACATGTGGTCGATGTCGTCATGGTCATTGATGATGGAACCAAATCACTATTCACAGAGAATCCAATCTTATCTTCAAAGTTCTTGACAAATCTCTCAAATTCTGTGGTAGCTTCTTGATCTTTCAATTCATCAATAATTTGTAATCGATATTGTCTTGTGGTTGGTAAATCTTTTAATCCAAATAACGGATTCATCACCACACATGAATATTTGGAATGTGAAATCTCTTCAAGTACTTGATCCTTGTAGAGTGGAGTTGGTTTGAATGGATTTAAAGTAATGATCGCTCCATCAATGAGTGATGTTGAGAAGAGTTGTTGTTGAGATGAAGTTCGGTTGGACAAATTGAGTGGTGGTGGTGGTGGAGGAGTGGAAGGTATGGCGATGATACCATGGTTTGGATCAATGTTGTTGTTGTAGTTGTAGTAGTTGTTGTTACTATTATTTGTGGTGGTGGTTGTTGCTGTTGAGATCAGTTCTTCTTGTTGTTGTTGTTCACCACTGCTGGTAGTGGTCGTGGTCATCATCATGGAGGTACTTGTCGAAGTATGAGTTGTTGTTGTTGTTGTTGTTGAAGATGATGATGAAGGTAAGATGGAACTTGTCGTAGGATGATGAAGAACACTCAAGTCATTATCACCATCCTGATGAGATGAATCTACCACCTGATGAGGTGTGATCACAAAGGGTGATGATGATGACATCATGTGTCGATGATATTCAATGGCTCCTCCATGACCATCACCATGAGCACCCAATAATTCTTCTGTAGAGGATGATAATGATACATTACCACTAGCACTATTACTACTACTAGTAGTAGTATTAGAATCACCATGATGATCCATTGCAGCAGTCCAATTGGTCATGGTTGACATGTCGTCCACATGGATATCTTCATTCAATTTTTGTTGTTGTTGTTGTTGATGATGAATGGTTCTTCGATGAATTAATCGATCCAATTTCGTTCCGTGTGACATTTCATTCATGAGTGGTTCAAATTGTTTTTGTTGTCTCTCCATAATTTTAATAAATTCATCAACTAGTTGCTTATCAACTCTTCTTTTTGTCACATCTTGCATGTAGGGAAGTAAATGAGGTGCAAATGGTTCATCTGTTTCATTCTCTCCATCACTCAAATAAATCATTTGATCTGTATCTTGAATTTTCTTCTTATTTCCTGATTTTTTAAATTTACTCATCATTTTAGTAGCTACTTTCTTGGCAAAGAATCCATTATTATTATTATTATTATTATTATTGGAATGACCACTCAATGTCGACGACGATGAGGATTCATCCGTCATACTATTCGTATTTGAAATGGATGATCTTGTTGAATCATGATGTGTATTTGGATCGTGTGAATCATTCAATAGTGATGGTGGTGTTGAATAATAAGTATTGGAATTGATATTGGAAGGTAAATTAATTTTCTGAAATAATTCTTGAATTTGTTCATTGGAAAGTGGAGGTGTGTGATGATTGTTGTTATTGCTGATTGATGTTGGTGTTGTTGTTGTACTTTTGAAATGTTTCAAATCTTCACTCATCGAATGTTGATGAGAGGAGGAAGATGTTGTTGTCATGCCACCAACTTGTCGTTGTTGCAGTTGCTGCTGCTGAGGTATCACAATTTTAGTACTATACAAACTATTGGATCGATCTCGAAATGGATGACTGCTGTTCGTATGACCACTACCACTACCTCCATAGGACAATCTCGAAGAAGAAGAAGTCAATGACGCACTCAAATGATGATGATACGTGGGTGCTGAATGAGGTGATGTAGGAGTGAGTGCCATGGGTGACATACTACCTGTTGAATGTTGATGAGAAGAGGTGTTGTTATTGACCAATAATAATGGAGAGGATCGTGTCATGCCACTACTACTATTGAGTAAATCATTGAGATTGGGTGAAGAAGAATGAGAGGAAGTGAGATCTTGTTTGGCAGATTGTAAGAGTGATTTGAGTGTCGTTGATATTCTCTTATTGGTGCTCGTTGGAGTGCTCGAAGTATTGCTCGAAGTACTAGTAGTAGTAGTATTACTGCTCGTACCAGCATGACCAATACTCGTCGTGGCTTGTACTCCCAAATAGGTAGAATTACCTCCTAGAAAGAGTAAATCATCTGAATTGTTGTTGCCATTAAGGAGCTGCATCACACTTGCTCGATTGGCTGCTGCTGCATTATTGACCACACTGTGTACATAGTCTGAATCGTAACATCGTACCAATTGAAGATGACCTATATTCATTGGAAGAGAATTATTGAGAGGAGTAGTAGTAGTAGTACCACCACTACCCATAGTACCACCACCATTCGAACCACCACTCGAACCACTACCCATACCCATAGTACCACCACCACTACCCATACCACCACTCATACCACCACCAATGTAGTAGGTCATTCCATGATTATCATCATCCTTCTGAGTTTGTTCAGCAATCATGGAGAGAGTATCTTCATGGATGGAATGTTCCAATCGACTTCTTTCATCTTCATTCAATAATTGTGAATTCAATAAGAGTGATCTCTTTTCCTTCTCTGAACCTGTGGCATAATAGAAATATCGACTACCAACCAGCATGATCTCTGTTGCATTGATTTCATCGACCAATGATGGTATTTGTTTTTTCAATTTATCCACTTGTTCATTAATGAGTTGAACCCAATAATCTCTCTGACGTGATGTTTCAGTAAAGAGAATAAATGTCTTTTCACGTGTAACGATTTTAAATGCATTTTCAATACAATAACCATCTGGAACACTTGCAGCCCATGTGAGAGGTGTGGATAGAAGAGAAATGGCACATCTCATTTGGAATTTGACTTTGGGATTTTCAAAAAGTAATCGTTCACGTGTGTAGTGTTCCATAGAACCAGGTGGAGGAGGTTCATTGGTGTTGATTGGAATTTGTTGTTGTTGTTGTTGTAATGGTGTGGTCGTGGTGTGACGTGTTGTTTGTGGTGTTGTTGTTGTTGTTGTTGGTGGTAGTGTTGTTGTTGGTGGTATGGAATTGGTGGTAGCACTCAAAGATGATACTTCATTATTGAACAATTGAGTCATGGATACGGAATGTGCTGTTTGTTGTGGTTGTTGTTGTTGAGAGGATGGATCATTATTATTACCACTACCATTACCACTACCATTGCCACTACCACTACCATTACCACCACCACTATTATTATTATACACTCCATTCCATGGACATGAACATAACAAGATCAAATCATTATACAAAATCAAGACACGTGATTGAATACCTCGACTATCACTCACATATCCCATGAGAGCATGTCGAATGAATTTTCGACTCGACTTGACCAATTCAAATGGCAATGAATCTCCAAATTGTTCAGCCAATTGAATGGCTCTCTCTCGACACAATTGTTCTCGAATCTTTTCATTGACACGTGAGGCTACTGCATTGATTTTCTGTGCTGCCAAAATCAAACGTTCATAATCGTGATGATCCTGTGGTGTTGATTTGATAGATTCTCTCAATAACAATTCATATCGAGGTATACGTTGAACAGGCTTGATCATGAACGATACAATCGTGTCATTGTAGGAATCAGGTGTAAATTCAGTACGTTCCAAAAATTTTCTAAATTTTGATTTTTTTTGACGTTTTTCTTCAATCATCTTGAAAATCAATTCATACTTGTTACAATAATCACTGTAACTCTTCAAATAATCACTCATCAAATGAAATATATCTCCTAGTGTTGGTGATTGTTTCTTTGCTAATATCATGGCATTTCTCTTCTTTTGATCTTGAATGGTACTCAACGAAGGATCTCGCTCATCATTGTAATCATGATCTTCCATATATTGAATATAGATTTGAATGAAAGAGAGTACTTCCTTATTCACTGCTAGTATGATTTGAATATCTTTGAATAATTCATTCGTGTCTTCTTCTTTGAGTAATTGTTGTTGTTTGATGGGTTGAATAAAAACAGAATTGAGAGTTTCTAACGCATTCACATATTCACGTTCCGTATGAAATATTTCTTGAATGACGTGTTTACGTTTGGAGAGTAATTTGGCGCGTTGTTGTAATTGTTCTTGAGATGTTGTCAAAGTCGATTCAACGACATGTTCCACAAGGTCATCACTACTGGGAGTTAAAGTTAAATGACGAGCATCATCTGTGGTGGTAGTGGTGGTAGGAGTGGTGGTAGCAGCAGTGGTAGTGGCAGCAGTTGGGGTGGTAGTGGCAGTAGCTGTCAAGTTGTTGTTGTTATTGTTCTTGTTAACATGAATCTCTACAGATGACGACAGTTGTGGTAATTCCTCTGACTGTTGATGATGGATCAAGGTTGATGGATGATCATTCAATGATGATGATGATTCTTGTTGGAGACTTGTTAGTGGTGAATGAGAGGATGGTGGTGGTGGTGACATGGATGGAGTTGATTGGAGAGAGGAAATAATGATCGAGGATGAAGAGGACATTTGTTGATGGAAATGTCTTTTGATGATAAATGTTCAGAATCCAAGTTGAGAATATAGTGTAATGATGATGATTGTTGAGAACTATGTAATGTTGGTAATGATGATTGAATCAATGTTGAGAATAATTCGTTGTATACGTATGAATACGACGAATACAAATATTCATATACCACTCTCAACACGAATAGATCCGGAGAAACGTTTCGTCACACACACACGACAAAAATTCAAGTATTGTTTGTGTATGTATATGCAATAAATATTCTTCTTCGCACTCACGATATTCAATGTTGGAATAATAACCGTAATTCTTATGAATAATAATACAAAAAACACAAAGAGGTGGAATAAACAACAGATGCACACACAACACTCTCTCAGATTCAGTACCAATGAACTTGTCAATAATTTTTTTTGTCTTGCGTGGTTTTTATTGGATTTGAAAATTGACAAGTGTTTGGAAGATGAGATGCTTCATGATATTTAGACCTGTCGAAAGATCTTCTCAATTCAACTCGAGTCTACATCAAATCATCTTCTTCTCAATTCAACTCGAGTCTACATCAAATGCTCATCTACAGTTCAAGTGCAATAGCTGCTATTACTACAGGAGAATTCTCAATTCAACAACACACGAAAGAATTCGAAATTTTACTTGACAGGTGCCTTCTTGAACGAGGACACAGGTTGAATGTTTGGTTTTCCTAATACTCTCCATTCATGGGTTTGATTCCATACCACAACACCATTCTCATTGGTGGACATGAATGGAATAATCTTCTTTGCTAATTTGTCACTCTTAATTTGTTTATCCACTTCACAAACATCAAAACCATCCACAATGACTCGATCTCCTGCTTGTAAACCCTCATTGGTATTAAATGTTAATACTTGTACTTGACCTGTAGAATCATCAGTAGCAGCGAGCAGCATTCCTTCACTTTCAATTCCAACCATTTTTGAGGATTTTAAATTGGTCATTAAGAGTACCAATTTGTGAGCAATTTGATCCTTTTCAACTTTACCTTTCAATCCACTGCAAATGGTGAGAATTTTGGATTGATGATCAGGAGTGATGGCAATCTTTTCAACATAGAGTTTGGTTGCTTCAGGATGATCTTCACAAGACAAGACATAACCCACAGTGAGTGCAATGGTGTTGGGATTGATGGTGGTAGTGGTAGTGGTAGTGGTGGATTGAGAAGAAGATTCTTCTGTGGTGGTGGTGGTGGCTGAGGTTGAGGAGGCTTTGCTACTACTACTACTTGTTGTTGTACTTGCTGAGGAAGCAGAAGCCTTTTCCTTCTTATTGGATGAGCCTTGTTTGGCGGTGGTGGCGCTGGCATTTTCATCATTACTACCACCAACAGCAACAGCAGCAGCACCCTTGTTGGTATTTAATCCACTACTGGAACGAGCATCTCCCGATAATAAATTTCGTAATTGGAATTTCGTAGGAGACAAGTACAACTTGACAGCATTCAAAGTATCATACTTGAACTTGTTCTTCAAATGACTCACATAACGAATCAAGTGAATATATTGTGATTGTTGTTTTTTTGTTAATTTACCAATAGCCTCAGGTGAATATAAATAAACATAAAACACAACATCGACCACACTCAAAGTATCATTCACGAGATAGGAATGAAAAGCTAAATGATCATTCAATTTAGAGAGTAAGCTTTCCATATTGGTTGCTTGTTGTGATGATTTCAATACTTGACTCAATTCTTCAATGACTTGAATGAATTCTTGTTGTTCTGAATTTAATTTCACATGCAAAGATGAAAAGAGAGTTTGAAGAGAGTTAATTTGAGAACTTTCATCGACATTGATTTGAGAAGGTTGAGAAGACAGGTGTTGAGTATAGAGAGTAGCAATATGAAAATTGGAGTGAGTGTTGGATGGTACCACAATCGACAACAATGACTCGGATGATGAATTCTTGGACATTTCAGAGTGATGATGAAAGAAGAAGGGTGAATTTTTTTTCGAACACGCACTGCGGACAAGAACGGCTCTGTGGTTGTTGCATGTGTTTATCGAACAATTTTCATGAATTACCTGTTAGCTAGTAATCGAAGTCAAGTTGCAACAACGATATGAGTTTTAATTCATGAGATTGTTGGCCCCATGTTGAGATCTCAACAACAACAATACCGTTGGGAATGAGAAGAGACGAAAAAAATGACCGAAGAAGAACAAGGTGTACCAGCAGTATTGAACCGTGATGAAGATAAACCTCCTCCATCCATCAACGATCAAGATGTGAATCACTCATCGTTGAAGAACAACAGTCATGATTCACCCAATGAATCCATACCACATAATGACCATTCAATATTATCGAATCATCAATTAGAATCAAATTTAGAGGAAAATCTCATTGAAATATCTTGTGTTAAAATGATTCCGAATAGTGCTAGTAGTAGTAGTAGCAGTAATACTAATAATTTTAACAGTACTGTTCAATCAAAGAACTTTATTCCAATTCAATTAGAAAGAAATTCTCATAGTCTCATTTATAGAAATCAGAAATTTCAAGCAGAATTGGATGTTGATTTTTTAAAATTATTTGGTAGTAGTCATACTGGTCGAGGTAGTAGTCACACTGGTAGTAGTAGTAGTAGTAGTAGTAATAGTAGTGGTAGTGGTACTCATAGCAACAGTAATAATAATCGATTCAAATCTTCCACCACTCATCCATCTGCAGCAGTATTAACCATTGCATTAGAACATGTATTTGCTATTCATCAAAAACATTCTCTCATGTTTTCAGTATTTACATTTCAACCCAAAGACTCTAAAAAGATTGTCTATCATTTTGAAACCTCTTCGATTGAAGAAACTTGTGAATGGATTCATTCATTAAGATGTAATACTTTTAAATTACATGATCCAACATGTTCAATGAATGATGTCAATACCATTAATAATAATACTCTATCAAATACCTATAATGACATCCATACACCTATCAATAATAATAATACCAATAACACCAACACCAATAACACCACCAATAACACCAACACCACCAACACAGGTAACACAAATAATAATACCAATGATAATAATAATAATACCAATAATAATAATAATACCAATAACACCAATAATAATAATACCAATAACAATAACACCAATACCAATAACAACACCAATAATAACAATAATAACACCACCAATAACACCACCACATCATTTGGATCTCATCGTCAAGTACTCATCTTTTTAAATCCATTCAGTGGTAAAAAACAAGGTCTCAAACTCTTTGAAAAACATGTCAAACCTATTTTAGATGTTTCACACCTATCCTATGTAGTGATTAAAACTGAGAGAGCTCATCATGCTCTCGAGTATTGTGCTACTGCACAAGATCTTTCTCAATACACAGATATTATTGGAATGGGTGGAGATGGAATTATCTTTGAAATTATTAATGGAATTGGAAAGAGATTGGATTGGAAACAAGTCTTTCAATCGATTCGAATTGGACACATTCCAGGTGGTACGAGTAATGCATTGGCAGTGAGTGCTGGATCTCAACTCAAATCAGGAAAACCTGCAAGTCCTGAAATGGCTGCATTTATTGTAGCAAGAGGATTCTATCAACCCATGGATTTAGAATCATGTTTTCAAGCACCTAACAAACATTATCTTTCTTTTTTAAGTATTACATGGTCAGCCATAGCAGATGTAGATATTGGTACTGAAAATATGAGAGTAAGTAGTGTGGTTTATTTTTGGTGGTGTGATGCTGATTTTTATATCATGATTTTGGTGGTGTGGTGTGCTGATTTTTATATATCATATTGATTTTTGGTTGCCAAAATGGTGTGTTTTTTTAATATTATGGTACCATTGTTTTTTTTTTGGATGTACTCTGCGACATTTTTGAATCTATTTTTCATCATTTTGGATTGTTATTTTTGGATTGAATCTATTTTTCATCATTTTGAATCTATTTTTCATCATTTTTCATACATCATTTGACTTCCTGAATGGAAACACTGCCAGTGGCTTGGAGGTGCTCGTAACACGGTTGGAGCTCTGAAACAAATTCTCACAAAGAAATCTTATCGTGGAAAATTGAAATATTTACATCCAAGTGGTGAAGAGTCATCTTTTACAACATCACAACGATCCAATTCTGTACCTAATATTAAATTGAATCAACAACGATATTCTTCATACAACAACTACAAGAAGAAGAACAACAACTACAAGAAGAACAATGATCATCACACATGCATGACCAATGAAAAGATTCAATGTCCTCTCTTGGAACAATATTTTCATCAAGATTTCAAAGCCATTGCACCTGATTATTGTAATGGTAATGGACTAGTGAATGAACAGAACATGGTCAACATGGATACCACAAATTCTACTGTCAATCATGAAAATTCAATATCTAGCTCATTAACACTCACAGAAATTGAAGACAAATTTAGTTTATTTGTTGCAGCGAATATTTCTCATTTATCTTATGATTTTATTGCTTCTCCAATGGCTCATCATCATGATGGTTATATTGATTTAGTGTATGTCAAGGACAATATTAGTAGAGGTGATTTTTTAAATATATTTTTAGCTGCAGAGAAGGGAGATCATGTGTTTGATAAGGCAGTCGATGTTTCAAAGGTGAAGGCATTTAAATTAAGTCCCATTGACACTGGTTCCTATGTGGTCGTGGATGGCGAGGCAGTGGATTATGGTGATATTCTTGTTGAAGTTCATCCTTCCATGTGTAATTTATTGACTCTTTAGAGCATTCATGGACATTTTCGGAATAATAAAACCAGCCAGATTATTTTGAAGCGAAAGGAAAATTTGCATTTCTTGTTTTGCTTTTTGAATGTGTTCGTTTTCACGGAGCTGGATTGGAAATTTCACTTTGCAAACGTCGTATCATGTAACAATGAAAAAGCAGTCTCAAAACAAAGATGCTCAATGGAAAGTCTTGTTCCTGAGTGGAGGAATTGGCATTACTCCTTTCATTTCAATGATTCGAGGAGTGTCCCATAGTTTAATCTTCAATTAAATCATCAACAAATTGTTAATTTTGAAACAAATCAAGAATATTCAACCACTTCACAACAAGTGATCATAAAAAAAAGGTTAGCTCAATAAAAATTTGTTAAATAAGAAATTGATATAAACCATGTTCCTTGAAAAATGTAATGCGACGAAAACATCGTTGAGCGAATTAACGACGGATAACATTTAAAAAGATCGTGGGAAAAACCCATCAATGATAAGGCCAAAGCCAATCGAGGACACAAAAGTGTCAAAGGAAATCACTGAGCAAATCATTGATACAAAAGGCAAAAGCCAATTAATACAACATATATTTTTAAAATTTTCCGTCGCTGATTCGCTCAATGATGTTTTCGTAGCGATGATAGAATATTTCTCAACGAACATGGTTTATACCAATTTCTTGTTTATAATTGTATTGATCTAACATTTATCATCACAGGATCCGTTTCTTGTGACATTTTACAACAATAACGGTTTACATTCCGTCTCCATAGATATTTGGATAACCCAAAACAATAGCTTGATAAGTAATGGAGATTAATTCATTTATTCAAATAGTGGAATGAACCAAGTACGCTATAACATCATGTTAGTATAATCTTACAACACAGTTCACTGTATTTCAAAATCAACCTTGGTTTTAAAATATAGCACAATAAAACTAACGCGATATTGAGAAATATCGAGCATATAATAAACTATAATATTATGAAGGTGTAGCTTTTAATATCTTCATTGTAATGAATATAGTTACAGCATAAATCTACATATACAAACTCATTTTGAGGATGAGTGTTTATGAAAATACTTAATTATTGCAAATATCAGAAATCTTTAGTGTCAGATATTGGTCAACAGCATTTGTTTTAAAATTTATATAAACATAGCATATTCACGAGTATCGCATTAATCGGAAAGTATTCCGTGGCTAACGATAAAAACAACAAGAGTGACGCGTCTGCGTAACTATGGTATAAAAGAAATTACTGTGTTGGCTGATAGTGGACGAACGAAAGCTGGATTCTAACTAAGGATACTCTTCAATCATGTCAGAGCAGTATTTGTGAGAAGGCATAAGAAGACTGCAAAAGTGAAACCGTTTCTTGATTTTGTAAAGAATTGCAATTAAATTCCTAAAGTTTAATTTAAAAATTCCAAACACCACCAGCCTTGGCAACATTTACAATTGAACTGGGTGATACTTTCTCATGTACATACTCAAAGCCCATATTGGGAAAATATTTCGATAATTCGTATAAGTGATCATACAATTATGATTAAATACTCCACTAATACTCTCTTGAGGGAAATCTCCATTAGGTAATTGTTTTCTCAATAAAAAGTAAACACCCATTTCAATAACCTTCAAATTAGGGTAATCACCAGTCATCAAACTCAATAAGGCCCAAGCAGTGTTAATGACTCGTGATGTTTCCGATTGAGAATATTTGTGAGTCACACAAGACAAGTAGGATTCACCCCATCCTCCATCTTGTTGTTGTTTAGAAACAATAAAATCACATCCCTTTCGCACCATAGTATTCTTTGAATAAATATGATTCACTGGATCCACAGCATTCAATGCAGTAATTGCAAACCATGTACCATAACAGAAACACACTGCCCAACCACCATACCATCCTCCTTCAGGTGTTTGTTTGGATTCAATGACTGAAATGGCATGTTTGATACTATCATCAATGAGAGGAATATAAGGTGAATTTGGATAATACTTTTTAAAATGTAACAAGGCAGTGATGCATGCACTGGTACATTCAGTGTGAGGATAATCAATCATAATTTCACCATACAATGCTGCTGGATTAATAATTTCAATCCATGAATGAGTTCGAGAGAGTTCATAGGTTGCCCATCCACCATTGGTACCTCCATTGAACATGCTCAAAATGACACGAATGGCATAGGTGAGACGTTCTTCATCGAGTATGAGGTGTTGTGAAGTTTGTTGTGGTAAAGTTTGTTGTGGTTGAGAGGATCCTCCACTTTCATGAATCAATCCACTCAGTGGATTTTGAGTGCATTCTAGGGAAATTGGCGCCAATAATTGTTCGAGTTCTTCACACGAGTTCTTCTGCTGATTCAAACCAAACAAGTCATGAATACTCAAAATGGACTTGATACCTTCTGCTGTACAATCTGAAATTGGCCAACCGTGATCTTTGGTACTGAATGGCCATCCACCCTTTGATTGTTGTCGATAGTAAGACATTCGATTTGGAACATCTTCCTTGACTTGAGTAAAATTAATAAAATTATAAGCCTTCAATAGTGTTTGTAAATGAGAAGGTCGATCCAATAATGGTTGAATACAGTGATGATCACTACCATTACTACTCTTAAATCTCTTGTAATATTCAGCAATGGCTTGTGTTGCAAATGCAGTATCCCATAATTGAGATCCATTATAACCTTGATATTTCATACCATCGTCAGATAACCATAAATAATCATAGACTCGATCTAAATGAGCCTTAAAATGCTCAGTTTGTGATCCTTCATGGAAATAGACACTCAACATGTTCAATACCTTATTTACAGGACCAATACAAATATGGTTAGTCACTGAATCTTCATACTTGATATGGTCAATACAAGTGCTCAGAGCCTTATTTCTAAAATAACCAATTTTGAAATACTTTTCATAAGCAACAAACACATGAATCATGGATGCATAGAGTTGAGTAAATGGATGATAATTATCACGAGGATTGACATAGGATCTAAATTTAGTCCATGGTTGTTTGGAATATTCAATTCCACTCACATTCTTGTAGAGTTCAGTTCTCAATTCTTGAATCAAAGGATCACTTTCAGCCTTATCATAAACCTTTCCAAGTCCATACAAATAAGCCATTGGTAAATACACGACACGACAATGGCACCACCATTTACCAGGTTGAATATATGGAAACCAATCAGGAAGTAACCACAATTCAGGTGGAATTGGATCAATACAATCCCAACTCATGAGACCCAATACACAAAGATAAAGTTTAGCCCATTGAGGACATCCCATGGTACCATGGGCTGGTTCCTTTCCAAGAAATTCCAATGTTTGTTTCATGAATTTGTGTTCACTCGATACTCCCAATAGTCTTAGTGCGACATAATTGAGTACAGTTCCAAAAATGGTCGAGTGACCCTCAATATGGAGTCCATAACCTCCATCGTTATTTTGCTTACTTTGAATGTATCGAATCATTTCGTATCGGAATGGACGAGGTAATTTCTCTCCACAAATATACATGACAATCACAATACCTGGTAAGAGAAACATTGGACCACCATAATCGCCTGCCCAGTGACCATCATCGGTTTGAACACTTCCATAAAAATCAATAGCCTTTAAGAGTTTTTCATTGACCATCGATTCACTGAGATTGGTTTGATAATTATTGGTCTTGTTAAAGGTATAGACCAGTGGTTGAGTTGTACTTGTGGAGGTATTTTCAATAGGATGAGCATTGGAAGTAGTAGTGGTACTTGTAGTAGTGGTGGTACTTGTAGTAGTCGTATCATCATTCTTACTTGTTGCAATACTCTCTTCCTTCTTACCATCATCCAAATGAAATGGAACATCATTCACATAGGTGTGTGGTAATTCAAAATTGGATGGCTTGTTCAATAAATGCATATCAATCGCTGATTGTGGAGCATTGAATTGTTTGAGAATGGATTGTGGGAATGGAATCCAACGTTGTCTTCCTTCCTTGACCACAAGTCTCCATTCAATAGGTTCATCCTTGTTGGCATCATAATCATATTCACGAAAATTGAATTGTTCTAAAAGTTGAGTGAGATGAGACATTATTCAAGTATATTTAAGAGTTGCTGATGATGAAAAAGAGACAAGAACACGTGCGGAAATTTCAATGTGTGTGTGAAACTGAAACAATCGAGAAGGCGGCAGGTGTTTCGTTTCTTGAAATTTTTTTTCAAGAGTTTTTGGAGTACGAATTTTTCGCTCTGCGAACACGTTCTCCTCGTGGTGGTCGATCGCTTCCCAACGACCCTTGTCCTCGTGGTTTCAAAGGCTTTCACCGAGTTGACTTGAGCTTACACAAAATCCGAAATGTGATGGCATGGATGGTAATTCATGTTTTAATATTAATTTTTCGGAATTGTTGTGTGTATATATTACACGCGTGTATGTAATTACATAGTTGGTGTGATTTACAATTCCATGTTTTGAATTCTCTATCCCAAATAACTCACAGCCACAAAGAATAACAAAACAGAAATAATGACAAAATCAGCAATACTCTTCTCTACAACTATTGATCTAAATTCCTTTGAAGTATCGGGATTTAATTGTTTTCTCAAACTCACTCCAAAAACCATTGAACAAATACATGTAAAGAATCCAGCAAGCATGGCATTGAAAGGAAATGTTCCTACTAATTGACAATAAACAAATTGAACAACGGCAACAAGAACAGATAGAATAATAAATTGATCAATTAATTTAACTCGTTGTGGGGTTCGTGTTTGATAATTCTTATACAAGGTTGAAAGCACCACAAGAATGCTGCCAGAGTTGGCATCAAAAGAGTCCGAAGAAGACATTTTTTTTTAAAATTTGAAATTGGGCTTTTCGATATACTCTCGTCATGATGAAACACCACACACAGGTCATTATGTAATGTACACCTCAAAACAAGAAAATGATGGAACTCATTCATTGACCACCACCCTCTGCACCACCAACAATCCAATCAATATGATTCTCATCCCGTCTCTGACTTTGAAAAATTGAAAAAAAATGAGCAACTCACCATCATCATCAGATCCAACCAACCAAGAGGTTTCTTTGGACTCAAGTACTCCATCTTCTCCGATTCCCCAAAAACAACCCAATACCTTTCAATTCATGCTCATGGGTGCTATGGCAGGTCTGTTATCGGATGGAGTGGTTCATCCCATTGATACCATTCGAACCAATACCATTTTGAGATCGGCAGCATCATCTCATACCTCACAAATTCCCAAATTTCAATACTCTCTTCGTTCACTCTATAGAGGATTTTCTGTTGTTTCACTCTTTACCATTCCTGCTCATGCCTCTTATTTTGTTTCCTATGAAAAGTCTAAAGAATATTTTTCTCCAATTTTAAAAAGTGATAATTTAACGTACTTGTTGAGTGGATTAATTGCTGATATATTTGGTGGATTATTTTGGTGTCCAATGGATGTTATGAAACAAAGATTTCAATATCATCAGAGATTAACATTTAAAGATATGTTTTCAAGTCCAAATTCATTGAAAATCATTTACAAAGGATTTGGTACTTCGATTGCAGTGTATGGACCTTATGTATCACTGTATTTCATGTTGTATGAGAATTTGAAAAAGACTCACTTTTTACAACATTTACACAAGTCTGGTATCAATGATTTTACAAAAGACTCTACGAATCACTCAAATCACTCGAATCACTCGAATCATCAACAGCAGCAGTCGACTCCCATGACAACAACATTATCACTTCCTCACTATATCATTTATGCAAGTATGGCTTCTACAGTGAGTGCCATTGTGACCACACCACTCGATGTCATCAAAACCAAAGTACAAACTCTTGATATCTATAAATCTCCATTTGATGTATTGAGAAATGAATCACCCCTACACATTAGAAATTGGCCAATGTATATGAGTGGATGGAAACCAAGAGCATTATGGATGGCAAGTGGAACAGCACTGACTATGGTATTTTATGAAGAATTGAAAAAGGTCATTCATGTGGTTGAAGAGTAAAATAGGTATTGAGATCACTCGAAAGGTATTGTACTAGTACTAGTAGTAGTAGTATTCATAATGGACAACTATGTGTGGTTCAACCCAAGCAGGGTCGCAGAAAGAACGAACTAGTAGTAAAAAGAGAGCGCAGCAACCTTCATCACCTCGACCATGCATGCAAGTACTTGTTGGCATGCCTTAAACGAATTGGAGTCATGCTGATCGTGCTTGCTTTAGTACTTTTTCAAAAAAATGGCGCCTTCAAATTCCGCTCACAATGGTGGTCGACCATTTCCAGGACGACCCAACAAATCCTTTTCATTGGATCGTTGTCATGTCACTACCACTACCACCACGACAAGACCCTCTCTTCATATGTCATCATCATCCACACCACCAACACTCTCAACAAGTGGTAGTATGCTTCATTCTCCCTATCATGTTCAATATTTTCATCATCATCATCATGACGATGATCATGAATCACCTCTCAAACTCCTCGGTGCACAACAACCACAACAACCACAACAACAAATTGTATCACAACAACAACATTCTTCGGGATCAACATTGGATCAAACAAGTCCAACCTCTCAAGTGATTCAAACCAATGATGAAGCAACTCAATGTAAATACATACTCTCACAATTAGGATATATTCATGATGATTATATTCAACACATGTTACAACAACATTCATCCAATCAAGTACTTGCAACATCACCTTTTAACAAGCCATCCACGTTACAACTAACAAGTATTTTCAACAAACAACCATTATCACCTTCCATAAGATTATCGAATCATTTGAATACTTCATTTCATCATCAACCATTTCAAAATATTCAAAATCAATCACCATATACTAATAATCATCACACTCCATTTAATAATAATCATCACAGTCAAATCTCTCCATTTAATAATAATAATCACATTCAAAATTCTCCATCTAATGAATTTAAAAATCAAGTATTGGCATCACCTATTATCATCAAAGGATATTATATTCGATATCAATTAATTAAGAAATTGGTTGAAGATTTTATTCATCAAAACAAACACAATGACACTCTTCAAATTATTAATTTAGGAAGTGGTTATGATACTTTATACTTTTATATTAGAGATTGTAAATGGAACACAACAAGTGATTCACATGTTCTTGGTTCTTCAGGTCACAATCCATCCATTAAATATTTAGAATTGGATTTTCCAAAAGTCATTGAGAGCAAAAAGAGAATACTTGAAACATTGAATATTGAATTTATGAGTAGTAGTATTCATGAAAAATCGAAACATGTGTCGTCGTCGTCGTCGTCGTCGTCGTCATGCATGAACCGAATCGATCAAATGGACCATTCAATGAATATCAACAACAACAACACGACGACGATCAACACCACCATCACTAGCCCTACCCAAAGCACTACCCAAACCCCTTGCCAAAGCACTACTACCCAAAGCACTACCCCCACCAATACATTTACCAATAATGATACTACTACTACTACTACTACTACTACGACATGGATCCATGATCGTAATAGTAGTATTATGAATAATACCAATGAACCCATTTCTAACCTTTCATATATTTTAGAATCATGTGATTTATCGGATATTCAATCTTTCAAGAATATTATTCTACAATATTGTAACACCCATGCACCAACTCTATTCATTAGTGAAGTAGCAATGTGTTACATGTCAAAGAAAGATTCATCTCTACTTTTAGATACCATTTATTATGATTTATTTAAATCTTCATTCAATGTCAAGTTTATTGTTTATGAACCAGTGATGGATCAAAACAATTCGTATGGAAAACAAATGTTGAATAATTTATCAAAAAGAAATTCACCTTTTATATCCATTTCTAGTTCCTTAAATGAACAATATGAAAGATTTAAAAAGTATTATCAAGAAGATATAACCAATACCACCACCACCACTACCACCACATCAAATACTGATACTAGTACCACATCCAATACTGATACTGATACTAGTACCACATCCAATACTGATACTGATAGTACCACATCCAATACTGATACTGATACTAGTACCACATCCAATACTGATACAAATTTATGTATTCATATAGACACACTCTTCAATATTCATAATGAAATGATCAAATTAGACAAGACTCTATTCAACATTCATAAACGACATCCCATGTTTGATGGCATTGAGGAATGGCAAATGATTTCACAAGTCTATGCATTTTTATATATACGACGTCAGGATGATGATGATACTAACAAGAATGAACCTTCTCTCAGTATCACTTGTAGTAGTAGTAGTGGAAGTGGAAGTAGTAATAATAATCATCACATTGGTCGTAATACTACTACTACTCACACCAGTAATAATATTACTAACAACATGAGCAATAACACGACTAGTCATAACAACATGGATACGACTCACCAATCAATGACACACAAGATTCAACTCTGTAACATGATTAATTTATTACACAGGATGAACTGGAACGATTCATCACAATAGTATTATCATGTATATTCAGGACCTGACTCTGAGAATAAACAAGGTTAGGATCCAATGATTTGGAACAATGACGCACATTCATGGTGGTGGTGGTGTTGTGGTTGTTGCTGCTGTTCTTACTGCTGTTCTTACTGTTGGTGTTCTTGCTGCTGCTCTTGTTCTTACCAAGAGACTCGATTGTCATCCTTGGAGGATGATCATCACTCGTCGTATCATCCTTAATAGGTCCACATCGATTTCCTTTGATCAAATTGTGATGCACATGAATGGGAATTCCAACACCATCCATGATAAATATTCCATACGCTTCATTATTGACAATTTCATTATTGGAAAATTCCATTTGACCCTTATTACTCATTCCACTCACCATAATTCCATTCTCTGAATTGGAATGAATTTGATTATATGAAAGTATGGTATGAGCATTGGTATTGGTCAAAGAGATTCCACTTTGTAATTGATGTGAAATGATGGAATGAGAAATCTCAAGAGTGGAATCATGATAACTCAATACACCAAAAGAATGATTACGAAGAACATGACAATGAGAGAGTTTGAGATGGGAACCATCCTGTGCAATGATACCATTTCCAAGTGAATCTTGAATCTGAACATGTTCCAAATGGACATTTGAATCGTGTTGACACTTGATTGCATTTCGTTCATGCTTGGAGAGAATGGAATTGGAAATGTGAATATGAGATGAATCCATACAATGAATGGCACATGCACTTGTACACGATGAGAGATGTGAATGAGTGAGTGTGCATTGAGTACATCCTTTCAATACTAATGAAACACCTTGGAAATGACAGTGATGGAATTTGAGATTCATATTGAGAAAGGTCATGATGGATGAAGAAGAATTTTCTGTTGTTGTTGTCTTGTTGGGAGAACTCGTACTAGTATTGGTCGTAGTAGGAACAGTATTGGTAGAAGTATTGACAGTACTCGTAGTTGTCGTATGTTCCATAGTGGTGGTGGTGACATTTTCATCACACACACTCACGAATTGAACATTTCTAAATTCAAGAGTAGGTCGTAGTGATACGGATGATGACGATGTATTGGTATGTAAAGATGCAATTTCAGTGTTTGGACTCTTGATTTGAATGATCGAGCGAGGAATATCATCATGGTCGTGTGAATGGTGGGTTGAAGAAGAATCTTCACCATTCTCACAACTACCACATACAATAACATGTTGATATTTTGATTGAGATGAAAAGAGTAAGGAAGGAAAGAGAACGGCTTGATCGGAGAGTTGAATCCTGAGAATGGATGGATGGCGATCACTCTCTCCATCATTACTCTGAACCAAGAGCTGATACAATGATTGTTCATCTACATTACCATTGGTATGTAGATTATTATTGAGGGTGAAATGATCAACATGGGAGGTTTCATGGTGGATGTTTTGGCTCATTCTCAAAAAGACACACACACTCTCGTCTCTACTTATTTTTAAGATTTGTTTGTTGTGTTTTTGTACCCTTAGATACCCGCGGGTATCGAGAGTGTTGTTCCTTAGACCCCTTGATTGAGATCAGTCGCAGCAAGTGCAAGCATTGCATTGCTTTCAAACATCGTAGTGTTCATTCCATGCACACACACACACGAAATGGTCTCTCATTGCATTCCATGAAGAACCGTTACATGATTTGAGAAGAGAGAGAGATTCGGTTAAAGAGGTGGCGCGCCAAATGAAATTTTAAATCTACAGTTACATAACGATCGTAGACTGTTTTCAAAAATAATCAAAAAAAAAGCAGCGTATTTGTACAGTAAGAGAGCCTCATCATCATCATGAGTAAACACACGACCGAGTCGTTCGAGCCGGGCTACACCACGATTGGTGATGAATACGACAAGAGTAAAATTCTAAAGGAGCAACGATTAAAGGACGGCCGTACCGTTGGTAAACAATTTGTAACCTCTCCCACAAAGAGAGGTAAAGTCGGAAAGGGAATAACTTTCGGAGATTTCAAGTCGCTCTATGATGGAGATCCATTCGAAGATCCAGGAACAAATGAAAGAAAATACAAGAAGGAGAATGAACTAAAGGCACAAAAGATACACAAGACTCCATTCAAGCCAAGCTCTCCTCCAAAGAAGTCTGTCGGTCTAGGCACCTACTATGGAACCATTGGAGGTGTTTATCCTCACGAACAAGAATACGACACTCTCCAAAAAGGAGAGAAGCCACAACCGGTTAAGGAACAAAAGAGACCCATCTACACCAGTCCTCCAAAGAGAGGTACCTATGGATATTTGGGCGTAACCATTTCAAAAGGGACTGAATACAAGTACGAAAGCGACCCTTTCGATCATTCTCTTGAAAAGAAAAAAGAGAAGGAGGAAGAAAAACAAAAACAAGTGAGCAAGAAGGCATTCATTTCTTCCTCTCACCATTTAGATTATTTTGACACTCATAAGAATGTGGCTGCTCCAAAGATTCTTGGTACTGATGAAAAAGTTGAAGAGATGTTGAAAAAGACAATGGAAAAGGAATCTGCTTCTCCAAAGAAGGATTCAGAAGAAAGTAAGAAAAAACCTTTCTATCCTTCTCCTGTAAAACAAAGAAGTGATTTCCCTGCGTATATGGAGGATCCTTACGACAAGAGAGTGCTTACCAAGAAAGACGAAAAGGAACAAAAGAAGCCAGTTTTTAAGCCCATGAGCTGCGGTACCAAGAGTTACCCCACTCGATCAATTTTGTTCGGATCTTCTGTGAATATGTCAAATACATTTTAATCAGTACTAATGTCGTCATCAAGATGAACCTAAGAATTAACTTTTGGATGGCTTAGTTGAGATGCAACTTGACTTCCAATAAACATTTTTGTTTCAAATTCAGATCCTAATGAAATTCTGTGTAAACAGTTTTTACACCTTGGTTTAATCGCATATTTTAATTCTTCTTTCTTAAGTGCTTGAGAAAACCAGCCAGTTGTTTGTGATTGAGAAGCTTCTCTTTGAGTTCAGCGAATTTCTTAGCTGCCCTTGCATTGTGATCTTCTGCTCTTTGCTTGAGAATTTTAATCTTGAAAAGAGTATCTTGGCAAAATTGAACATATTCTTCACTATTTCTGTCCACTCCTTCTTGACTCTTTTGATACATGGTTCTTCTTCTGGCAAGTTTTTGTTTCTCCTTTTGAAGTCTTTCCTCGATAATGTTGATTCTCATCATTAACTGGTCTTTGAGGTCTTTCATGACAGTGTAATAGATTTCTTCAGCTTGTTGTACCGATTTAACACCATCCTTTGGAATGAGATGATCTACGAGGTCCTTATTCTTACGTTGCTCTTCTAGCTCTCTTTCCTTTTCTCGTAATAAACGTAATTCTTCCATGGTAGGTCTATTTCTTTCCACATCATAAATGGTAGTGGTGGATTGAATATTACGTTCTTCACTGTATCGAGTGTGGAGAATATTAGCCATCTCGGATGTACTTTTCACAATTTCTTCTTTGCATTTAATCTCCGTCTGAAGAAGAGAATGAAATTCTTCCACCGTTTCAACCAATTTTGGCCGTGGCATAAATGGATCAATAATTTCAGTATAGAAACCACCATCTTTTGTGTATTCACGAACCGATCGAGTAATCTTTCCTTCACCATAATGATACTCTAAACGAATCTTTTTATCCACAACATAGAACGTTCTTTTGGCAACATCTTCATTGGCGTTTTTGCTTTCATCTCGAGTGAATTTTTCAGTCATTTTGACAATGATCGAATCATTGAGTTGTTTACGACGAGTGAGAGCACCATCCATCATTAACGTGTTCTTATCGAACAATATGTTGTTGTTGGTAGTAGTTGTAGTATTCGATGGGATCATCATGGTAGATTCAGTAGTAGTAGTGGTGGTCGAGTATTGCTGTTGCTGCTGCTGCTGCTCAATAAGTGTATTGTTGTTATTGCCATAATTGTTGTTGTTGTTACGATCATTGCCAGATGACATCATGACATCTCCAATAATTGGACCATACATGTTGTTCATGGATCCATCTACTTCCTCTCCACCCACATGATGGATCGAATGAATATTATTGGTGAACATTCCAATCGTTGGTTTCTCAATATCATAGGAAACTGATCGATAACACAAGAAATCTCCAAATTCAATTCTATTTTGATAAAATTCAAGAACTTTCTTGGGATGAAATAAATTCTTTGAACCATCAAATAATTCAATTCTCTTCTCCAAACCATCCAATCGAGCTTCACTATAAAATTTATATTCTCTTCGAACACCCTTCTCATACACAAATTCTTTAAGAGCCTCAAAGTTCGATGTGGTCTTTCTTCCAGGTTCAAACCATTCATGAATGCGTTCTCTAATAGGAGAACTCACAGTGGTGGTGGTGTGGTATGGTGTGGTTGTTGTTGCACTCATGACATGATCAGAATATGGAGAGTAAATGAAATAGATGGATCGTTTTTTGAGTAAATCTCTGTACAAGAGTTGGTGTGTGAATATGAATGAAATGGTGGTGGTGGTGGTATCAAGTATTTGTGTGTGTGTGTATAAATAAATGAATGAATGTTTAAAAGAATCAGAACCAATGAACAACAACAACCACTTACTTTCGATGATTAAAATAATAGTGAATTTCTTGCACTCTTTCTCTATTCTCATCCAAATAGCAAGTAATCATTTTCGTGATCAAATCTTTTCGATAGTATGGAGAGAATAATTCCAAAGTAGCATTTGAATACTCAACACATTTGTAATTCAACGGATATCGATCTTCATATTTTCGTTTTGAAATTTGAATTTTTCCAACCCAAGAAGTAGGAACATCTAACACATCATCATCATATTCACCTTCTTCCACAGTGAGAAATTCAATTCTTTTTTCTTCTTGTAATGTTTCATCTTCTTCTTCAAAATTATCATCATTCTTTGTATTTCTAATAAAAATATATTCCCAATGATGTAAATTCTTCAAGTCGAAAATAATATTTGAAATTTTCTTTTCAAAAAACATGTTGCACCAATAATTTTCATGATTCCATAAACTTTCAATTCCATAATATCCTAACTGATCAATTTCATTCAATTCAATAATTTCACCTGTAGATGGTTCAATAAAGAATGGAGTTTTGATATCTCTTCTTCCTGGTAATACAACCACCCAACAATGAACATAATTTAAAATTTTAGGTAAAGTACTGTGTTCACTCACACCCTCTTCTTCACTCATATCTGAATGGCTGTTATTGGATGCATTCGGATTTGATGTAGGATTGAGAACTTGATGTACTTGTTGTTCAATATCATCATCATGTTGTTTCAATGGATAATCTTCTTTTTTGAAATGACTGGTCAGGTTGGGTCTAACTTTGAGTTTGTATTTACTTTCTTTGAATATTTTTTTTTCTTCTTTCACTGCTTCTTCTTCAGGTTCAATTTCGAATGGAAATAATCGTTGAGTTTGATCATTGAATACAATACTCTTTTTAGCATAACCAGAGACACAATAAGCATTAAATCCAGCTCCAATCAATAGAGAGGTCAAGAGAATGGACAAATCAAAACTATTTCCTTTTTGCCAATAGAGAGTGGTGGTTGGACTACAAACCACTTGAGGCTATACTCGAGTAGTAATAATAGACAGAGAGTGGATTAATGGTATCAAGAGAATTATTATTGAAGGACTCCACATGGTCGAAAAACACAATTATTTGAACTTACAATTTCAAAGGGTTTGTCAAGGGATTCAAAGGTCGTATGATGATGTACAAATGTTGCAATACCTTTAGCATCATAAAGATCTGGATAGGGTAACAAGGTTGGTTTGATATATGTACAAATGAATTTCTAAGAATATCAGAAAGTCACCAAACAGAACGTCATATGATACCAAATGATACCATTCAGAAATAATCATCACTTTGTTGCTTCTTCTCAAACACACTTACATGAACTCCTACTTCATTTTCTGGATACAACATGAGTGGTTTTCGATCTTTGAATAATTGAGAATATTGTTGGTTGAAATTTTCAACATATTCCAAAACAATATCTTCTCTGGTATCATTGGTTCGATAAGAATCGGGAATGAATGAAATGACACGATCCTTTTGAATGGGTTTGTCTTCACTAATCCGATAATCGAATGGTTCCGATGAGAGTGCTACTTTGGATTCTAATTTATTCTTGTTCTCTTTCTGAGCCTTGTCATACAACTCAAAGATTTTATCAAGGCGTTGAGCCCTATCCATGGAATGCCATTCCACGCCTTGATCCATTTTGTTGTAATTGGAAATGAAATTTTTTGGCGGGTGCGTCAGGTCCATATCTACAAGTGGTCACGCCAAAAAATTTCATTTCCAACACTACAACAATGTTGACATCAAAATAGGTCCATCATGATGAAGGTGTAATGCACAGAACATGATTATCATCCTTTACTCATCATCCTCTTCGTCATCTTCTTCTTCATCAGAATCAGAATTGCTTGCACCTTGAGTACTTGAGTGTTTGGCAGTAGTAATACCAGAACCACCAACACCACCAACACCACCACCAAAACCACCATTCATTACTTTCATCTCCTCTCGATCATCATTTCTGACGACATCTTCTTCCAAAGGTATTCTCAACTCTTCTTCATCATCAATTTCCACTCGATGTGTTTTTCCTCTGAATCGATACCAAACCAATAGAGTTTTTGGAATGTTGGGAGCTGGATCAAAACTACCTTCCATTCTTGACTTGCTATACTCTGGTAGATATAATTTGGAATTGGATACTAAAAATTGAAGTTGATCGGTTAAATCAATCCATGAAGGATATTCATTCACATCATCTCCAACATCTTCCAAGTCTCCATATTTTGCATTAATAATAATCAAACCATTCACTTCTTCTTCTGCATTTCTGGATTGAAGAGCTTGTTCTCTAATCTTGTCCAATTCTTGAAGAGCAACTTGTCGTTTGTGTTGAGTGGACAAATAGGCCTCCTTTCGTTTACTCCTTGTTTCCTTTCTTCTCCAATAATTCATTAAAGGATCAAGTATAAAATTCTGAATCAAAGTATAACAAGTAATGGGTGTAATGGTAGCCATGAATAACATTTTCCAATGAAAGTAATGAGACAAGACGATAGGGAGAGTGAAATGATGTCTATCGGCTCGTTTCAAACTAAATTTCAAACTTATTCCTTCTTCCTTACTGGCTCCAACACCAAAACCTAATTCTGTTTCTTCGCCAATTGTTTTTACTAACATCATGTTCATTCCAACGTCATACGAATCCGACTGAAAGCCCAAACTTGGAGTCGATAATGTTACATCTGTAACCATTTCAACACCACCAGGAGTGGAATCTTGTTTTTTGGAAACACCCAAACGACCCAACGCACGTATCCATTCTGGAACATTTCTTCTAAATTCACAAGAAATGTGAGAGTTGGTTGGAGAGAGTCGTAATTCTGTTGAAAGAGAAGATCCATCGTGTTCAAAATTCTTATCCACGACCAAAGAGACATTGTTGTCTTGAGGAAAACTAAAATGTATGGATCCAAACAAAGAAGGATCGGAAAATAATTGTCTCTTATAAACTAATTGAAAACCAGCAATGGATAACCAATTCATAAATGTTGGACTAATACCATTAAATTGTCCAACCCATTTCATGGATCCAAAACTATAATCTGATAATTTTGTACTTCCAGATGCAACCAAAGTCAAAGCATTTGGATTCTGAGTACTAAATGCAGTGACCAGATCGAATTGAGTAGCTTCTTTTGTTGGATCTATTACATGTCTCCATTGTAAAGCGATTGTATGAGAAATATTTTCAGCGCTTAATTGATCACAATTAGCATTTCCATGAAAGATCAATGTATCTAATTTTGAAATGGGTGTATGAAAGGTTTGAGAAAATGATGAATTTGTAAAAGATACTTTTGGAATAATGACACGATAGGTTTGACCATCTTGTTCAATATATGCATCTTCCAAATCTTGTTCACTTAGAAATGATCCAGATATATCCATTGATAAATTAGCACTTGTGGATCCTTGAGTTTTGGAATCTCGTAATTGTCTTCGCTGTTCTCTCTTGTAATCTTTATATCGTTCTTTTAATTCTTGAAAAGAAATATTCTCAGAGTCATCGGCTAACACTAGTGATGTAATACACTTTCCAAGAACATCATATTGTGCTCTCTTTCTTTCATTAGAAAGTACTTCATAGGCTTCATTAAGCTGTTTTTGTTTTTCTTCAAAATATTCTTCCAATTCTTTTGGTTTGAAAATTTTCTGTTGCTCCGAAGTTAATCGTTGAGCATCGGGATGGCATTTCCGAGACTTTTTTCGAAAGGCTTCCGTTATTTCTTTTTGAGTAGCATTTCTTTTGACTCCTAATATTTCATAGTAACTTTTCTTCTTTTTATAGAGTTCTTCAATTTCAAAAGAATTTTCTTCAGGGTCAAGGTCTGTGTGTGTGCATTATTGTGTATATAGTAGGTATGAGTGTGCGTGTTTAGATAATGTCAAGGTGTGAGGTGTGAAGGATGAGTCAGTAGAATGATGATGATCATATGAATGTTATATATTCCAAATTGATTGAATACGATGATTTCAAAAAACTAACCCTCTTCAAGATGGTCAATGATTTCTTCCGTGCCGTTGCGAGGTTTTTTCATTTTTTATTTTTTAAAATTTTGCTTTTGGCGCGAGAGGTCTCTGTTGAAGGTACGCGCGCAACACTGGCAATTAAAACTTGAAGCAATTTGAGAGAGCATCCCTATTGTAGTTTCTACTTTCAAGCAATTGCTTAAACGATGGAAGATACTGCTGAGCGTTTTTCCTTTTAAATTTAAGACAATCCATAAACATTCTTATGAGAATTTCTATTTGTGTGTGAATAGAATCATAACATGATCCATGAAAACATACCATTTAAAAAGTCAAGCCTCTTCGTCTGATATTTTGCATCCTCTAAAAGAACATCACTGTCGTCGAGTATGCTTTTATATTCTGAGGACAAGAATGATAAATCTTCTTCTTGAATTTGAATTTCTTTGAGAGCGTCGATGAATTTAATCTTTTCACTCAAATTGAGTTGGTATTCAAGCTTTGGATAAAGGAGAGAAATGGTGTACTCGAAAGAAGCGTCATTAATTTCTTTGCATCCCAAGGTTATCTTCTCAAAACACAATGCTAGAACCAAAACTTACCGAAACTAATGTTGACTTTGGTCTTTCTTTCAGTGGCTGCTTTGGTAATAACTTCTTCAACCACTGATATAGCTGTAATATTATCAGTTTCAATGACAGCTTCTCCTCTCTTTAACTTGATGATTAAGCATGTATCTTGGAAGGTCGAGTGGTAATAATAGGTCATTTCATCTTCGGTGATTCTGTGAACGAATTCATGCAAGTAAATTTCATTAGAAAGAAAATTGCCAATCACTGTTAAAAACTTACTTGTCTGGAATACCTTCAACACATAATCCAATCCATGAGTGAACTTCCGATAATGTAAAAGAACCGGAAACAATTAACTTGTTGAGAGGTCTGTTACCAATAAATGACTTGGCTCTCTGTTCATCGAGTCGTTCATGTAAAGAGAGTGGCTTTACATTGAACATGTGGAATTTTGAAATCTTGGGATGTAATTTTGGAATTACGTAAATCTCAATAGGTCCATATTTTCCTTCATAGGTTCTGAAAAGCACCTCAATTCGTTTACAATTGTCTGTGAATCTAAAGGTAGCACTGAACTTGGTGGATAAATCCTTTTTCTCATCTGGTACGATATTACTAACAACAACATTGTTATCTCCAGAAGAATCTAATAAATCAAGAGCAATTTCAGAACGAATAATGATCATTTCCATGTGAACGTCGGACTCGACATTGAGGCGATAATACGCATCTTTCGCATCCAAAATGAAGGAAGCTTTGGTTTCATATTCGCAATGGACAGCAACAATTTCAGAGGAAAGTTTAGAGTAATTCTGTTTCACTTTTGTTAATTTTTCATCAAGAGATTCTAATTCTTTTTGAAGGTTAGTAATTCTTTGACTTTTAGAAATTCCAACAATCTTTTTCTTATCATCAATAATATTGAAGGGTAAGTTAAGATTCGAAGATTCATTCGTGGTGGTGTATTGATGATTCGAGAAGGCTAATAATCTGCCACTGAAGGTTGAAACTAATATTTCGTCGTCCTCAGGTGCAATTATTTTTCCTGCTGTGACACAAGTAATGCTTTCATCAATCGTTTTCTTCAACAATCTGGTTGGCTGAGATGGATTAATAAACGAATAAACCTCCAAAGTTCCATCATTACGTGCAACAATTAATTCTTCTTTGCCATCACCATTAATATCGTATTTACACATTTCATTCACAGATCCCTTTTCTCCTTCAATCCTCCATGAAGCAGAAGGGTTCGTAGAATTAAAATCTAGGGAAATTACTTGACCAGTCTCCGTTCCATAAATTAAAGAATTTGATTCCTCATTGAGAAGTAAGGAAGTGACAGCGCCTTCAGTAGCATATTGAGCTACACAATCGGTGTTACATACAACGCGTAGTTTTCTATCTTGGCATCCCAAAATTGCTTGATCATTGACAGCATCTTTACAATCAAAATAAGGAATGATGGTGTTGATTCGATCAGGACACATGTAGAATCCTTTTTCAACGGAATCAACATAATGATACAAAATATAATTTCCTCCCATCCAAAGACCGGGAACTCGAATTACCATTCTTGTTGCATCTTCAGAAATGTTGCTATCCAATCGATAGAATTCTTTTCCTTTTTTTGTGACTCCTTTTACAACTTGTCCGTAGGAATAGAACACTCTGTTCTTGTGGATCTGAACTCCTCTCACTGGTTTGTTTTGATTAATGGTTTTAAAGGTAGTCTATAATAAGAGTTAGGGAGTAGAACAAATAATAAATTAACGAAATACAACAAGTTGTATGAACTTAATGAAAGTATATCAACCTACATTTACAGCTCCCTTTTTAACTGAAAAAGCTTGTAGTGATCCATCATTATCTCCCACTGCAACACGTTGAGTTTTCTTCTTTCCGACAGGGAACAGCTTCAAACAATCCGACGAAACACTGGATGTTTTTAAAAGATCAAGACGAGTCTGTAGTTCTGACATTTTTTTTTGGAGGGAACTTTAGAGTTGCCATGAGCCCTCAAGATATAATCACTTGTGGGCTTGTATTAATAATACCAAGATAAGGATCAGATCATTACTGTTTTATGCATGCTACAGCAATAACATGGAGCGTGAAGACAGCAAGACGAAGCATTCAATTTAACAAAACAACCTTCAAAAAATGAGTGAAGCCAAAACAACAGAAATACATCTGGAAGATGAAAGCATGAACAATCCGCAACATGACGAGAACACAAACGAACAACCATCAAAATCATCATCAAGGTGAGTAGTGAAGTTAGTAATTCATAGCGTATTTATCTCAACATACACCGCATCGTTACCAAATCATCATCAAATAATTTTTATTTAAATAATTGTAGCTCTTCTTCCAGAAGAGAAAAGACGAGCAGAACTCTTTTCGTGGGAAATATTCCTGCTGAAACATCTGAAGATGAAGTCCGTAAAGTCTTTGAGGAATACGGTAACATCATCAGAGTTGCTATGGGAGCTATGGATATGAAGAAGAAACAAAACGGGTATGCCTATTGTTTTGTTGAATTTGAAATTCTTCGAGATGCCGAAATTGCCTATGATAAACTCCAAGGAGCAAAAATTGGTGATAGAAACATCAAACTAGATTATGACTTTGGACCAAGAGGACAACGAAAGAGTTCTTATAGAAGAAGATCCCCAAGAAGATATGAAAGAAGATCTCCTAGATACTCTAGATACGATGACCGAAGGGATGATAGATATGACCGTAGAGATGATAGAAGAGATGATCGAAGATCATATGATGACTATTCCGACAGAGAAGATAGAAGATACGATGATGATTATGACAGAGATGATAGAAGAGATCGTAGAGATGACAGACGAGACAATGGACGTGATAGAAGACCAAGACATTCTTCTAGAAGATATGAACCTTACGGTAGAAACTCAAATTCTCCTAGAAGATAATCTTTTTTATTTCTATTAACCCTTTTCTATATGATTAGTATCTTACAAAATTTATTCTCTCCTCCATCTTAGTGAACGGAATGCTGATTGAGGCTAATACGAGTGTTCTTCATTTTACTGCACAGTGGTTATGATGATTGCACATACCTTACTTGGTAGCAGCAGTTTTGAGTCTTGCCTCTGTTTAAGGATTTTGATGATAGATGCTTGGCAATAAAAGTGATCTATGGAGATCACACGTAGTAGTCTGAAGCAAATAGTCAAAGGTTAATAGTTAAAGGTTACCTTTAAGGCTTGGCTTGCAAGATCTTGCTGGTGAAGTGGTGTCTGATATCAATTTCTTCTTTCAAGCAGCACTCGGAAAGGTATTTTTGTCGTTTTCCCTTCCTGAGGTTATTTTCATGCACAGGTTTTAAAGGCTGAGTGTTTCGAAAAGGTACTGATGGTTTATCACATCGTTATTGGTGTTGTTGTGAGCACGATCTTCATGTTGATCTCTGAATACTCTGACGGTTGTCAAGGTGATAATGTTGAATCATTAATACCCATTTTTTCAAAAGTCCTTAGTTTGGAATAATTTGGTATGTATTAATGTCTTGCTGAATGACCATGTTCATCATCTCGTCAATAATACGTATTACTCTTGAAAATTTAATACAAATTATCATCCATTCAATGCTGCTTCTTCTGTGATGACGTTTTTCTTCGTTGACTGCACAATAAAACTTTAAAAAAATATTTTCAAATTCTGCTCTCTCGTGTTGCGATGGCCTCCTGGATCTTTCAAAATTTACTCACACCAGCCGATCTGCAAGATGATGATGATGGAGAAGAGCATCAAACGCCGCACTTGAGTGATCATAATAGTACTCGAGTGACCTCCACACCATCTCATACAAGCAGCAACAACAACACCATCATGACCACGACGACACGCGTTGAGGATCATGTCGATATTGTTCAAGTCAAACCAATTCTCTCTTCTTCTCGATCACCAGCATCTATTGATGTGAGTGTTTCGGATTTGTTGCATCGAATCGAAACCTCTTCACTTCATGATGATAGAATTGAAGCCATGGAAAATCTCATTGAATTATCCTCTCAAGACATGAACTCTCAAAACTCTCGTTTTAATCATCACAAGGAATTCAAAGAAATTTTCCCTAAACTCATTAATCACGTCAATCAAAATGAAAGTGAAACTACTACTCGTCAATATTTGACAATTATATGCAACTTGGCTCAACTTGAAAATCATGGACCTATTTATTTAGATTTAATTATCAACAATAATAATTATTTATCAATTTTAATTTCTCTACTCAATGAAAATAATTCCTATTTGAGATATCAAACAATTCAATTATTGAATATACTTTTACAATATAACCCTCTAGTCATTCAAGATGCCATTCTCAAAGAAGCAACAATTCCATTAATTTTGTCATTATTGAACGAGTATGGAGTATTGAGAAATGAAGGAATTCTATTTTTAAGAAATTTAACAAGAGAAATTAATCAACTCATGGTACACTCTCCATCCGAACAAGAACACAATATGGCAATTGGGAATGAGTTAAAAAAGATTATAGTATTTGAAGGTGCATTTGAAAAATTATTTGGAATTATTTTACAAGAAGGAGGAAATCAAGGTGGAGTTCTCGTTCTCGATTGCCTCTATATTATTTTATATTTATTGAAAGATAATGAATTGAATCGAAAACAATTTTTAATGCTCCAAAATGGTGGAATGACATTTTTGTATCCATTATTGGTCATTCCAGAATTTAAAAATCATTCATTGAGTGGTATGAAGACCAATATGTCATCCTTAACAACGAATACTCTCACAAACTCTGAGTCTTCATATGGTTTTCTTAAAAGTGTGGCTGGAGTAGCCATGAATTTAATGAGTGGTAATGATCAATCACTTTATCAACAAGATTCTCAACATTCCAATTTCTCTTCTCATTTGAATGGCGATGATCATTTTAGTATTTCTAATCCAATGTATCCCATGCTATTGAATGAACAAGTCACTAAACAAAATCTCAAACAAATCTCAAGCAATGAAAAACAATTAGAAATTATTTCCATTGTATTAGATATCCTTTTAGAATTGATGAAATCTACAAAAGAACCTGTAAAGGATATCATTACACATCATCATAGAGGAGGAACAAGAAATGTGAATTCTACTCAAAGTATTTTAATTCCAATTTTGAAATTATCGTTTGATTATATTTTTACATCGATGGTGGGTGGTCATGATTCCAATACATCTCCACAACAACAACTCTCAAACATGATGAATTTAATTCCTCCTCTCATTAGAACCATCATGTATGATATTAATATGAAATCTATTTTCCTTTTAGGACATTTAACGTTTAATAATCGAAGTGCTCAAGAAGTATTAGAAAGTTATTTTTTCCAATATGGAAATACACTATCCATTCCAAGTCAATTATTGATGAGTAATGGAATTCAAAATGTGTTGACCACAAATTCCAGCGGAAATGGATTGATACATTCATTAATGATTGAAGAATCAGCAATTATTCGATTATGTAAACTTGTTTTATATGACAGTGATGAATATAGAAGGTGAGTATTATATGAGTGTATTAGTGTGAATGTGTTTTGGTAATGAGGAGAATATATATCATGGATGATCAAATTTACAAATGTATTTATATATCATTATTGATGATCAAATTTACAAATGTATTTATATATCATGGATGATCAAATTTACAAATGTATTGTACCTCTACACATACACACACCCATAATACACACCATATTGTCCATCAATGTTAACATTCTATACAGACAATTAGCCTTTTCGACATTGAAAAGATTTCTTTATAATAACAAGGAGGGTCAACTAATTATTGCTTCCACAGTGAAAGCTCCAAATTTAATAGCTTCTTCATCTGAAGAGTGCATGTTATGCGGAATTGTGTTATCAGATGCGTTATTCTCATTGAATAAGCCTAAATTTCATCCTCTCGAAAGTGTTCATGCGATTTCTATTTTAAGTATTATTATTAGACAAAATACGAAATGTAAAGATATTTTATTAGAAATACCTTATGAGAGTGGTGGTGGTGGTGGTAATATCTGCAGTAGTGGTAGTAGTAGTAGTAGTGGAGATTTGAATAATAATAACAACAACATGACCACTATTTCCACAAAGAGAATTCTACCAACACACTCAAAATCATTCTTTACATGTCTCATTAATCTTGTCGTGTATGCCATCCAATCTCGAGTACAAGATTTCTATACATGTGCTTTATTGAGATTACTATGCGAATGGATCAATGGTAGTTCTCAATCTGCTCGAAAATTCATTGAACATTCTCGCTCGACATTATTATTTTTCTCTGAAGTGATTGCATCGAGTCATGGCACAAGTCCTCTCATTCAAGCATTATGTTGTATGTTATTGGGACTTGTATGTATGGAATATGAAGATCCATCCTCTACAGTAGTAGTAGTAGCAACATCATCATCCGTAATAACATCATCCGTAGTAGCAACAACAACATCATCATCATCCGTAACATCATCAACAACAACATCAAATCATGATGAATCAGGAAATGATTCATTCCATCATCCTATACCTGTTGGAAGGATTACCAAAAACTCTGTGGTCGATCTTGTCTTGAGACGTGTAGGTATTCAAAGAATGAAAGAAAAATTTGATATTTTAAGACAACACAATGTCATGATTGGAGCATTGAATCAACCAAAATTTAATTATGAATCTTTACAAATTAGTGATACTACTCCTATTCAAGTACTTCCAATAGATTTGGAATTTGCAACGTTTGCATCCTCTGCCATTCATAACATTTTAACCTTCTTCTCTCAAAATGAAATCAATTCCTCTCAAGAAAATATTCTCTTAAAAGATTTGGAAAAACACAATCAAAAACTTCAACAAGAAGAAAAAGAAAGACTGATTCGGGAAAAAAATCAAGAAATTGAAAAGAGAGAACTCATTGAAGAGCAATACAAGAATCAAATTTCAAAACTCGAACATGAAATTCAAACTCTCAAAATGGAAAAAGATACAACCATTCATGAAATTAATTCTACCAACGAGACTTATCAAAATCAATTAAGAAATTTCTCTAATGAAAATCAAAAACTCAAGACGAGAATTACGGAACTCTCTGAACGGTTGAATACTCTTCAAGATGAAAAGAATACTCTCTCGGAATTGAATCAACAAATGGAATCGAATCAGTTGCAAACACAACAACGAATTTCAGAATATAAGGCTCATCTTGAACAAACTCAATTACAATTGAAATCACTTCAAGAAAAATTCGATTCAGAACTCCACGAAAAGGAATTTAAAAATAATTTACAACAAGAGCAGTTGAACAAGTTACAATTACAATTGAAACAAAAAGAAGATGAAATTGAACACATGACTAGAGAATTTGAAGACAAGCTCAATCAATTGAAAAAGCAAGAAAGCGAAACCATTCAATTGAATTTCTCCAACCAATTAGCCATGAAAGATTCTCAAATCAATACTCTCTATTCAGAAAATGATTCTCTCAAACATTACATTTCTCAATTAACCACAAATATTCAGCAAGTGGAAGAAAAGATGAAACATGTATATCAAGAGAAAGAAAGTTTATCATTGAAGCATCAAGATCATTCCAATAGACTTCAACAAGAATTGAAGCAAAAACAAGATGAAATTCAGAACTTGTTGAAAGCCAATGAAAGTTTCCAACAAACTATTCAATTATTGCAAAATGATCTCATGAATTTGAAGAATCAATCCATACAAAAAGATTCTACCGTACAGGCATTACGACAAGAAAATGAAGGCTTGAAACAAAACATTTCTCAAATGAATTTGAATCATCAACAATTGCTGCAACAGCAAGCAGCTCTACAAGAATCTCTCAAAAAGACTCAATCCATCATTTCTGAAAAAGAGAAACGAATTGAGGAACTTGATAAAGATAATGAAGACATGATTGATATTATTGAAAAGTTGGAGGAGAAACTGGCCCTTCAGGATGCCAATAAATAATTATATTTCAAACTTTGAAAATCCTAAGGGTCTTTGTTTACTGACCAAAAACATTTCTTGTTTGATTAATGTTTGTTTAATTTCACCTGTCATCTATTATGATGAATGGAATGCTAAAGGCACTTGGATTGTAAATTAAGGAGTGTTGTATCGAATTTTCCTTCCCATTGAAAATATTTAAATATTGATTCCGAGTTGTAATCGGGACAGCCTGTGCCACGCTGACTAAGTGATGACTATGATGATTTAAACAATTATTGAATGATGAAAATGTTGAATAAGAGGAAACAGACATGACGCTGTTGCACTGAAATTCGCTCCACTGACGGGTTCTTTTAGAGAAAGTCGTGTGAAGTATTCTTGTTGCCATTCGTTTCATTTTTCTAATTCAGAATGCCGTCAACAGGGTTTGCATTCAAATTTCTATCATCTTTGACTCCCTTAGTTTCGTTTTGCCATGAAGCTGTCTTCCAAATCTGACTTGATACATTCTGACGGAAGCCAGAATACAATAACGGACAATAGAATTTGGCAACGAGAAGAAATAGATTCAGCGATTATCATAGAAGGTGGTCATTGGCAATGTATGAACATAATCATGGAACAAACAACCAAACAATGTTGTTCCTTTTAGCCGTTACAACTTTCATCACCCCTTCCAAATGCAATTTCACTGTTCGATGAACCAAAGCGTGAACGTCGACACAAGCTCGTAAAAAAAACAGAGAACCACTCTTCTCTGGTCATCATCATTGCTTCTCATAAAACTCCACCACAACGGCTATTGTCTCTCGTTATCTGAGTATTGAAACGTTCAACAACAAGATCAACCTTGATTGACAATTGACATTTTTCCATATCACGACAATTTTCGATATCCAAATTACCGATTCTTCTGAGAGTCAGAACAAATTCTTTCCATTATCAACAACAACAAAGAAACATACATTGTACTCATAACACACTGTGTCCTTGCTCTCCTCGAACCTCGTCATCATCAAAGGTTGCTGAATTTTAAAATTCATTAAATTTTTTCTCCATAAAAAATGAGCCACAATCAGCAACCACTTCCTTTTGAATCCGAGAGGGTGCTGACGGATGGCCAACAACATGAAATTCCCTATTTACCTTTCAAACCACAACAGCAAGAAACTCAGAGTGGAACTCTCACATCTCCTCCTATTGTATCACCTTCATTGATTCGTATTCCGTCCTCTTCCATTGAGAATGATCCTTCTCAAACCATCATGATTGATTCGAATCATCAAAAAGAGAATGTTGTGGTTGGAAATACTAATAATAACAATACTCATTTACAATCAACAACTAATACTTCTTCAACATCAATCATTGAAAATCATCATGAATTGGAAGATCATAACCACTCCGATGCTGCTGCTGTTACCACTGTACAAACACCACCCTCAGATGCTGTTCAACATGGTAAAAATGAAAATGGTGCTGGAGGAGGAGGTGCTGGTGGTCATGTTGATGACGACCATGACGATGAAAAGTATAAACTCTCCATCAATGATTGGGATTCCAATAGTAAGGAAACAAAGAAATGGTTTTTGGGAATTAAGAGACCACGATTTCCATCGAATTATATCAGTACGACCAAGGTATGTTCATTGTGTATGTCAGTATTTGTGTGTTGTTGATTCATGATGATCAACTATTCAAATGTTTATGATGATATATATACTTGATCAACTTCTTTATTCTGACATGTATATATACTTTATCAAATACTTTATCAAATACTTTATCATGACATCTTTATCAAATACTCTATCAAATACTCTATTAAATACTTTGATATCTTTAAATACGACATGTTCATTGTTAACACACACACAAATAACCTTTCTGAAACATCCCATCTGCATTTCACACACACACACATATATGGATCTTAAATTTTTCAATTAGTACACTTGGTGGAACTTTTTAATCCTCAATCCATTATTTCAAATGAAAAAAATTGGTAACATTTACTTTATCATTGTCATGATCTTTGCATTGGTTCCAGGTGTCAGTCCAACGAATCCAGTCACAAGTGTTCTCCCAGTGATATTTATTTTAGGTGTGAATATGGTCAGAGAAGGAGGTGAAGATTTTCTGCGTTATTTGAGTGATCGAAAAGTGAACAAAATGAGTGCGTACGTGTTGAAAGACAATGAATTCAAGAGAGTAGATACGTGTGATGTTCGTGTGGGTGATATTGTCAAAGTCTCTGAAGATTATGCCTTTCCAGCAGATATATTATTAATTACATCGAATTTAGAAGATGGAAGTTGTAATATTGAAACTGCAAATTTGGATGGTGAAACAAATTTGAAAACTAGAAATTGTCCAAAAGGTCTTCATACGTTTAACACTCCAGACAAACTCTCTTCAATGAAAGGAATTATTGATTGCCAACCTCCTAATGAAGAACTTTACAAATTCAAAGGTTCTATCAAAGTAGAAGGAATGGGACCAGAAATTCCACTCTCTCATGCCAACTTGTTATTGAAAGGATCTATTTTAAGAGCCACTCAATACATTTATGGAATTGTCATTTATACTGGTCCTGATACCAAGATTATGAAAAATATGCAAAAGGCCAAAGTCAAGTTCAGTTTTGTGAACAAGATGTTGAATTACTTTATTGGAGCTTTATTCGTTTTGCAAATTATTTTCTGTTTGATTTTTGTTGGATTGGGAGGTTATGAAGAATTTGTCAATGCTCGTCGTTATGCCTACACTGGAAAGCCAAAAATTCAATCCACCGATGCTGGCTATATTGTGCTCTCCATTTTAACCTATTTCATTTTATTGAATTTGTTGATTCCAGTTTCATTGTTTGTTTCTTTGGAATTTGTGAAAATGATTCAAGCATGGTTCATTACAATGGACAATCAAATGGCCATCTATGATACTCATCCACATGATCCTGATAAGAAGGTATTCATGAATTCAGTTTCCATTTCGAGTGATTTGAATGCAGATTTATCTCAAATTGATATCATCTTTTCAGACAAGACTGGAACATTGACTGAGAACTCGATGGTATTCAACAAGTGTTGTATTGGTAATGATTATGTTCATGATGATTATCAAACCAAGGGTCATATTGGTCGAGTATTGAATCAATTGAAAGATTATCATTTGATGAAAAAACATGGAGTATTAGTCATGCAACAACAACAACAACAGGGTATGAACCATACTATGAATAATAATAATACTACTACTACTACAATGAATAATAATAATACTACGACTACCACTTCTACTACGATGGACCATACTACTACAATGAACCATGGTATCAATAATAATGGAAATACTGGTATCCATTCTACCAATCAAGATATTATCTTTCATTTACCTCAATCTGAAATTGATTCTCTCATTTCCGATCGAAAATTGTCCATCTCTTCTGAGAATGAATTCTTTCTGGGAATGAACACATTCTTACTATTGTCCTTGTGTCATAATGTGGCTGTACGTGAGAAACCATTGCATGGTAGTACCGATTCAAACACAGGTGCTTGTACAAGAAAATTCTTTGAAGGTGAAAGTGTGGATGAAGTGGCATTGGTATTGGGTGCTGTGAATAATGATTTTATACTCAAATCCTTCTCTGAGAAGAGAACCATCGTTTCCGTATTTGATAAGGAATATAGTTTTGAGAGATTGAGTGAAATTCCATTCACTCCTGATCGTAAACGAATGTCCACCTTCTTTAAAATTCCACAAGACTTTTTGAATGATTTTCCAGTCTTTAAAAAGATTGCCAAACAACAATTCAATGTATCCGATGTCAATGACCCAGAAGGAATTATTGTTTGTTATACCAAAGGTGCTGATAGTTTTCTCTTTCCATTCATTGATCCATCCAATTCTAAACTTTTAAAACCCAAATTAGATGAACATATTTTAGATTTTGCAAAGGATGGACTTCGAACCTTATTATTGGCTTACAAATTTATTTCTCATCATGAATTTAGTGAATGGATCACTCGATACAATGCTGCAAAATCACTCCTTACCAAAACAAGAGAACAAGCCATCGAGCAAGCTGAAAAAGACATTGAGAAAAATCTCTTCATTACAGGTGCTTCAGGTATTGAAGATAAGCTTCAACCCAAAGTTCCAGAAACCATTCGATTTTTCTTACAAGCAGGATTACAATTATGGTTATTAACAGGAGATAAGAGAGAAACTGCTGTGAATATTGCAACCATGTCCAGTTTTTTAGATGAAGATTCACAACTCTTTACTTTGGATGGAGATCCAGAGTCAAGAATTCCAGATTCCGATCGTTATATCAAAGTTGTGAGTGATCAAGCAAGTGCAAAGGGAATTGAAAGTTATTTACAAGCCATTGCTCAATTGGATTCTTTCAAAGCCAAACATGTTGCCTTGGTCATTGATGGACATGCATTCACTCATTGTATGGAACCACTCTCTCAGAAATTCTTTATCAAACTCATTAAGAAGTGTAAGACTGTGATTTGTTGTCGAGCAACTCCAAAACAAAAGTCCATGCTCGTAGAATTGGCAAAGAAGAAGTTGGGAAAGAATGGTTTAGCTATTGGAGATGGTGCTAATGATGGTAAGTGTGAGTGTGTGTGTGTGTGTGTATATATATCGAGTGACCTTGTGTGTGTTTATGTGGATTTGTTTTTCATTTTTTTTTCAAAATTTTCAATGTTGGATCCATTTTTTATCCTACAACGATTCGAATGCACTACATTTGTACATGGGTAAATCAACAATTATTGTTATCATACCAATGATATGACTACAACAACTACAACAACCAATGTACTAACACTACTACTACTATCAATCATTTCTACCATTTCTACTACAACCAATGTACTACTACTAACACTACTACTATCAATCATTTCTACCATTTCTACAACAACAATAACAGTACCAATGATTCAAAAAGCCAAAGTAGGAGTCGGTGTCATGGGTAAAGAAGGTTCTCAAGCCAAGTTAGCCTCTGATTATGCCATTCCGAAATTCTACATGTTGAAACGTTTACTTGTAGCACATGGACGATATTCATTCAAACGTTCTGCTCAATTCATTCAATACTCTTTCTATAAGAATATTGTCATTACCTTTGTTCAAATTTACTTTACATTCTATACCATGTATTCTGGACAAACCATTATTGACTCTTATGTATTAACATTTTATAATTTACTATTTACATTATTGAATCCATTTGTCTTTGGTTTAATGGAAAAGGACATTCATGAAGAATATTTAGAAGATGCAGAAATTGGACCTGTTCTCTATTCTAATTTGAGAATTGAAAATATTTTCAATTGGTATACTTTTATCAAATGGATTCTTGGAGCAGTCATTCACGCCACTATTATTTTCTTCTTTGCATTGTATGCAAGACAATCGAATATTTTAACCAATGGACAAGAAGATGGTATTTGGGTCATGTCCATTCTCGTTACATCCTCTGTGTTTTGTGTCGTGAATTTGAAATGTTATTTTGAAATGGAACATTTCACCATTGTGCATCATTTATGCATGGCATTCTCATTTTTGACTTTTTATGGATTTAATTTCAGTTATTCTGGAATTCCAATGGTCATCTCAACATCCAACATGTATTATGTTTGGTATATGGCTGTACAATCAGCCAAGTTTTGGATTATTCACATTTTGTGTGTGATCACACCCCTTGCCTTTGATTTATTATTTTATGGAATGAAATATTTGGTCTATCCTGATTATTATCAACGATTGAAAATGACGACGGATCGAAAGACATTTTTCAAGAATCGGGGTACGAATAAGGAACAAGGAACAAGTGCTAATAAGAATCAAGAGGAAGGTCAACCTTTGGACTTGTCCAACACTCGTAACTCTTCAAAAGCAACCAACAATACTCAGACAGAATTACAAAGTATTGGTCATAATAGTTTTTGAGTTGGCGATGATGTGATTCATCTCTAGGTACCACTCGAATTAAGAAGACTCTTGTCGAATGATTTTGTAAAATTTATTTTGAACAATGTAATTCTGTTGTTCAAATGAGCATGCCGCAACAACAACATGTTGATTATTGTCTATATTGACATCCAACAGATAAAAGAATCTTTTCAATTTCTTCAGCTGATTTTTGTCTAATATCAATTTCTTGTTTTGTTTCTTGATCTCCTCCATAAATGTATAATTTTGGATATTCACCAATGAAGAGTACTTGCAATCCAGCCCTTTAAATTTCAATGTTTTGAAATATAATAATTTGGATTTTCAAAATAAACTCACATTTTCATTGAATTTTTAGAAATAAATTCTTTTGGTCCAGGATATTTACTCAAACATGGTCCGACACATGTCTATTTGTGAAATCGAAAAATATTATAAAATAGTATCGATTGTCATCATTGACAAGATCTTTCCTAAAAATAATTTTGAACACATACTTCAATTCTAGCAATATCTTTTTGGTCTCGGAAATCATTAGGTCTATCAGCTCCTCCCATGGTTCTCACATTTCCAAATGTTGATGATGCAGTCATGACTGCAATGAGGATCATGAACACTAGAAGAATGGTCAGAGATCGTCTTGGTGACATTTTTTTTTTGAAGGTTGAAGCGATAGAACACGTGTGTTTTTGAAGATTTTTATGAATTTTTCAAAGTTGCATAAAAACACCATCCTCCTCATGTCCAGTACTGGACATGTTTCAAAGACACCACAATCATCACTTCATTTGATGAAGAACAATTGCTTTCCACAACTGTTCTCATAAAAAATGGCAAGCAGCAACAAGAGGGTATTATGGAATCTCTCGTCCATGAAACATCCATCAACCATTCGGAAATTCGGAGTAGAGACACATTCATTCTTGTTCAACAAATCATGCACATTACGGTTACCTCTCAGGGGTGATCATTTTGGATCTTGTTATCATTATTCATCATCAACAATTCAAAAGAAAACTCGGAATGAAGAATTATCAATGGCGGCAAAAACAAGTGCTGTAGATCATGCATCATCAAGTGAATCATTACTTCCGAATATTAAAATACCATCCAATGTACAAGAACAAATGAAACATAATGAAATTCAATTTTATCAATTGATGAAAAAGAATCATTATCGGGAATTTTCTAACATTTGGAAAGGATGTCTCGTGGTAGGCTCTCTCTTTGGAACGCTCATGCTCTATTATTTTTTAAAAACTCCATCTTCCATGATTACAGGTGGTGAATCGCTTGGCTTTTATTTAAATCAAGTACTACAAGAAAAGGAACAAGTCAATCCTATAGTGATTCAAAATATTATGAAATGGTTGAAACTAAATAACAGAGATGGGATACACATGATGGTACAATCTGGAGCTTTGGATACCTTGTTGGATATTTTAATGAAAACAATGGAAAAGTATAATAATAGAAATCAAGAGATGAATGAAATGGAAAATTCTTCAAACATGTTGCATGAAGTATTGTCGATTATGTACTTGGTTGTAAAATGTGATCACAATCTGCGAGAGATTAATTCTGCTCATCTAAATTCAGAACAAAGAAAAAAGATCGAACGTGCAGTAACCGCTTTATTGAGCAATGGTTTTATCACTCCAACGAATTTACTTGTTAGAAACGAAGATACCATTGAAAATATTGTGAATGATGAAAAAAGATGGTTACTCTCAACCACACATACCAATACTCTCTCTTCATTGTTAAAAATTGCCTATGAATTATCTTTACCCATCTCAAAGAATGATTTGGAAAAAACTCTTCAATTGTTGCAAGAGAGATCCAATTTCTTTCAACGTGTGAAAGATCATTTTGAGCAAAGAGTGAGCAAAGTTCTCCAAAACATTGAAAGAGGAATTGAACCATCTCAAGAGGAAAAAGAATACATGCAAAAAATAGAGAATAGATTTGAAAATCCTCATGAACATGCAGAATCCTTTTTCTTGAGTGCTCTTCTCTTGAAATTGATCAATGATCGAGTTATTTCTCTGGATGAAATGAAATCAAGCCAATCACTCATGAATTTTCTAAGATCAGAATTTTATGGAAATGGTCATCTTTCATTTATACCTTGTGGTGCGATATTACTCATGATGGGTGATATTTCAAGAAATTCTCCCTTGAGGACTCGATTACTCTATCCTGTTGTGGACGAGATTGAGAACAATGTGAACATTAACCAATTACGAACAACATTAATCCTCGCTCAACATGACTATTCTTGCTTGGACAAGAAAAACTTTAGGGATGAGCTTTCAAGTCTGCGTCCACAAGTCAAAGGCACTTACCTTGAACCATTTCTTGAATATATCATTTCTTCACAGTTTGGTTATGTTGGTGAAGTTGAGCTTTTGCAACAAGAATCACTACTGTACTCAGCCGTTAATCATGAGTCAGGTTGCGGCATTAGGGATGTTAACTTGATGTTTGAGCTCGGTAATTTACTACTAAAACGACAAGATCTGGCAAAGGGTTTTGAGATTTTCTCAAAAATTCAACAGAGCTTTCCATTTTATGCTCCTATTAAGGGAGTTCTTGGAGGCTTTTGCATGCCACAAAATATCAAATTAATGTTGAATTCGCAACATATTGCCAACCATGTACTATCTCTCGACAAGTGGGATGTGTGCTATAAACTCAGATTAGAGGTTCAAAAACAAAGTATGAAATAAATTTTGCATCATCAAGATTTTGTCTAGCTCAGTATTAACGTGAGAAGATTCATTATTGTTTAATTAGTATGCTCCTTGGTTTCTAATATCCTGTGGCTTTTGTGCCACCGATGATGGCAGCTCCGCTCGAAGTACCAATTCTTGAAATCTTGGCCTCATCAATAAACTTCATTGCTGTTTCTTTGTCTCTAATACCTCCAGCGGCCTTCACAAGACCAACGTTGCCAACTACTGCCTTCATCAACTTGCAATCTTCTAATTTTGCTCCTGAGGTGCTGAATCCAGTGCTAGTTTTCACATAATGGCATTTAGCTAACATACACATGATGGAAGCATCAGCAATCAAATCCTTATTCAACAAACAACATTCCAAAATTACTTTCAGAACAGCTCCCTTCTCAATACAAGCATCAGCCATACGTTTGAGTTCATCGTAAATATATTGATAATCTCCATCTAATAATTTTCCAATGTTAATGACCATGTCAATTTCATGAGCTCCAAGATCGATGGCTTGTCGAGTTTCAAAAACCTTACTTTCAACAGTGGTTGCACCTAATGGAAATCCAACCACAGAAGCAATCTTTACATTTGAGGTTTCCAATAATTTTTTGCACAATGCAACGTTTGCAGCATTAACACAAACAGCAGCAAAATTATGAGTGAGAGCCTCTTGACATAATTGCTCTACCTCACTCTTTTTTGCGTTTGCTTTCAATATGGTATGATCTATGAATTGAGAAAGAGGAAGATTGGTCTTGACAAACGCATCAGTAGTGGGAGTTTCTTTCAAGTGAGGAAGCAATTGGAAGATTTCATTGCTCGGAATTCCTAATTTTCCTGCAACAATTTCAACTCTTTCTTTTACAAAAGAAATATAGGATTCAATCGTAGTTTCTGGTTCCTTCTTTTCATTATTAACGCTCTTCTTGTTTCTGCCCATCCACACAGTGGCAAGAGCCAAGCCTCCGAAAAATAATAAACCACCCAACGATGATGATTGAGCCTTGCAGCAAGACATTTTTTCCTTTTTTTTACATCTCATGAGCCCGACATTGGACCGAATTGTTGTTAACAGAGAATTGTTGCAGCAACAACGTTGTACTCATTGGAAGAGTCTCTTACTGGGCTGCAATAATTCCAACAAAATCAACACGTGTACTTTGATGACAACTCATCTCAACACCACTAAAAAATTAATCATCATGAAATACTGTGTGGTCGGATTGCTGCTGATTATGTTTACAGCAAGCATCGGATTTGTTCATGGCTTGACATACACTCTAGATCCAGCAGAAGAAAGATGCTTCTTTGAAAGCATTGATAAACCATCAAAATTGTCTTTAAAGTTCCAAGTCATCAAGGGAGGATTTTTGGACGTTGATTTAGTGTATGTACATACGTCTTTTGTGATGCCATTCAACCTGACGGAATATATTTTGAAATGGTTTTAATAATATTAATCTTGATCGGGTTGTTTTTAATGTGGTGATGATGATTAATAATATTAATTTTGATCATTTCATCAACAATCATTGTACCTCCAACTTTTGAAACCAAATCAACAACAACAGTGTTTTTGATCCTGACGGAGAAATTTTGCATCAACAAGAAAGAGAATCTGAAGGAAAGTTTTCTGTCAATGCAGAAAAGAGAGGAATTTACAAATTTTGTTTCTCAAACAAGATTTCTACTCTCACACCAAAGACTGTATCGTTCCATATTTCTGTTGGTGATTTTGTGGATGCTAATATTGCCAAACTGGATCAATTAAACCCAATTGAACAAACAATTATGAAATTGTCGGAAGGATTAAGCCATATTCAAAACGAGCAGCAAGAATTCCGCTCAAGAGAGGCTACTCATAGAAATATTTGTGAGGCAACCAATGAAAGAGTGACATACTATAACATCTTTTCCATCTTTTTACTTGTTTGCTTGAGCGGTGTACAAGTATATTATTTGAGAAGATGGTTCGAAGTGAAACGAGAAATCTAAGATATTAACTCGAAATTCTTCATTAAAATTAAATTATTTCACATGCTGTAAAAAGGAATTGGCAAGTGGAAACTCGAGGTAACACTCCCAATTTCATTCCAATTTCATTCCAATTCATTTCAAAAAAATGCAAATCAAGGTTCCACAAACAACTTTTGCTTATGCGACTGGCTTCCTTTTGGCAGTGGCCTGGCTATGTCTTCTAGATAGTCAATTAATACCAAATTCCGAGGTTGGTTTCTCATCACAAATAATTAAAATTATTACAATCTCTCCCAGTCAAACTTTGTAAATTGGATTCCGAGCATCATTTGTGCCATCGGCTTTGTTTTAGTCAATATTGTTCCAAAAGATAACTTGTTTTTGGAGACAGATCATGAACATGATGTGAAAGTTGTTTATTTTGCGAGAGGCTGGCTTTTCTTTGGTCTATTTATTGTTTTTGGAGGAGTGATTTCGGGATCAGTCATTATGATCGTTAATCTTGTCGATACTACCAAAACAATGGCTTGGTGTGCTGTTGCACCATTCCTTCATTCGTTGTTCGTTTGTATTGGAACTTTTGTGTTCTTTGTAGGAAGAGTTTTCGGTAAAAAGCTTCGATGTGGTGAATCCGATGATGTCAACTTTCTCTAACTTATGTCATAAATTAATCATTATTCTCAATCAGATCATCAAGATACATTTTATACTCCGATGGTAAATCAATGCCACTATTTTCTATTAATTTCAACAGATCTATTTTTTTATCTCTTGTTAGTTTACTCACGGGCCCGAATTGACAACTAAACTTGTACAACTCTTCATCATCCAATCTGTTCTGTTCGATCAATTTAGCGCGCTCCAAAATTTCTTCTTTGCTCGGAAACAATGAAGCTTCTTTTGTAGAGGTTTCTTTTGCGTTGTCGGAGCCAACACGAACAGAATCAGAAGAGAAAAATTGTGCTGTCTGTTGTGGGTTCAACCAGCGATAGAGTGTGCGAATTCGTTGTTCTGCTTGAGAGTTGTTTTGCATTTTTTCAGTTGTGGAAATGCGGGCAGCAGCTTTATTAACAAAGTACAGTTTGAAGAACAATTGTTTTACCTTCTTCGTGGGCAGTGACCTGGTTCATTGAAGCTGACATGGGTAATGTCTTACACGCCCTTTTATGTATTCTTTGAGCATTGTAAATTGTTGAAAACATGACGTTTAGACCATGTTCTAGTAGTGATCAATCAATCGAGGAATCGTGACAACAAATAGGACGTGCCATTTTCTTCCAACACTTGTTTTAAATCTTCCAATACTTTCTCCCTAACTTTTTTCTTCAAACTTGTTTCAAACAGATAGGGTTGTGTATGGTAGGGAGCAGTTGGTGATGAGGTTCTTTTTTCATTGGTAGCTGAGCTAGTTGTTTGATATGTACGACGTGACGGTTGTTCGATGTTTGGAATTACTTGCTTTGATATCCGATTCTGCTGTTTTTCCTGTTGCCGTCGTATATTGTCCAGCTGTTTCTTTCGTTCTTCTCTCTCCGAAATTTGCTTTTTTATAAGGTCGTTCCTTAGTTTGTTGGCGTTTGTATCTAACGGCTTTTTTGAGGACTTGCAAACAGCTGAAGATGGTCGCTTTGGACAGTCGTTTCGAGTGTTGTCTAGTTTGGAATAGGTTGAGATAAAATCATCATCAATTCCAACCTCTCCTGCAATGCGCTTCAGATCCCTTTCACTCATTGAATTGTGGAATTTAAATGGCCTTGGAACTGTTGGCTTTTTTGTTCTTTTTGCAAGGTAAAGAGTTTCTTGGAATTCTCTTTGCTTCACCTCAAAATCCTTGTAATTACAAGATCATGTCAAAGGTCATTGTAATTCAATTCAAAAACTTACTGGAACATTGTGATTAATCTTGGGTTTGTGTGTAAGCTCATCATCCAACGGGTTGTGTGGTATGCTTTTCTCTTGATTGGCAGAAACTTTTTTCCACATTTCCATTCGAGGTGGAAGCGAAGAGGACCGTAGCAAATGTTCTGATCGTTCTTTGACTCGGTTATTTCTTCGTCTTGCTTCCGCTTCAAGTTTTGAAGCGAACATTAGCTTAAAAGTGTGAGACGGCACTGAAAGACTTGTTAATAAAGGGTAACTGTAACTAATACTAACCTGGGTTTGCCTTAAAGTGTCTTGTGTGTTCCTGAATTTCAGATTCCTTTTTTTGAATCCTTTCTTTTTCAATTTCCTTCAATCTCTTCCTGTCTCTTTCAGCAAAATAAAAAGGCTTGACAATACTTTTGGTCATCTCTTTAAGGGCTTTCTTTTGAAGTGTCAATTGATATTCAGTTCTCATCTTAATGGAATTATACAATGCTTGTTTAGTAGTCTTGGGAACTGGGTTGGCCTTAAATCTTTTGTTTAAATGATGTTCCTCTTCCAATTTTATCTTTCCGATATACTCTTCCATTTTTCTTCTATGAATACCTTTTGGTTTCATGGATTCTCTCTCTTCAAATGAAAATGGTAAAGGTACTGTGATTTTTTTCTTTTCAGCCTTCTCTTGGTTGATGTTCTTAAAGTCCTGATAAAACTCCGAGACTTCAGAAACGACAGTCAGTGTATCACTAACGTCATTCCAATTATATTCTTTTCCCTCTTCTGCTTCATCTAACTGCTCATTGTTGGTTTCAGGATTGTTATAAAAGTGTTCGTAATCTGGTTTTGATTCTTCTTCAGAAATGATACTTTCGTTATCATCATCTAATTTAACTTCTTTGATCATATCCTGAACTCGTTTTTCCACTTGATTCGTATCTTGAAATGCAACCTTGGGTGCATCCTTGATTTCGAGGTGATCCTCTATTGTGTCATTAAATTTTACCGTTCTGTAGGAAGACAGCGAGCTTTTCAAATTAACGTTTCGTGAAGCATCTGCAACGACCGTAAGAGAGTTTCTCTCTCTAAGACGCAAGTAATCACGCTCGATCGTTTCCAACCGTTGTTGTTGCAATTCTCTCTGTTTAGAAATTTCCTGCAGTGATCTTGGATTCTGGCAACGTTCTTCAGTTTGATCTTCGTCGGGTAAAGGAATATCGATTGCTTGAACATCTTCTCCTAGAGCAACCTCCTCCGAATCTTGCGCTTTACCCGTAATAATAACATTTCTTGTTCCGTCCTTTGAAACCTCTACCAATATATTTTCATCTTGCTCTTCATCGTTCTTCCTTGGGCGAGATGATCTAAGATTAAGGAAATAGCTAGAGTGCATTTTTTTTGTTGTAGAACAAACGATTACTAAAGGCGCCAAACAGTCGGCATCAATAAACGAGTTGTCCGCGATCACTTCGGGTGTTCTGGTCAATTCTGAAGAGAATGAAAATAATTCTTGTTGTCCTTGAGCAGGAATTTAGTGGTGTAAGTCTTTACAAATAGCAATGGCACGAGAAAGGTGTTCATCATCCTTGATTGAAGCTTCCACTTGTTCTTGAACTACCTTGTCATTCATTATTTTCTCTGGTTGGTTGCACTTGCTGCGCAAGGAATCAATAAAAGCACAAACTTGCTGTTCAGTCTTTGAAAGCATAAAAAATCTGTCACGAAAAAGTAAACTTACTGGTGTTTCAAAAAAATCTAAATTCTTCATTGCATTCTTAAAGAATGTAATGTCCAAAAGGAACTGATTCAAAACTTTCACCCATTTGTCGCTTGTTTCTGGTATTTCGGAAATCCAATGTACGATCATGCTTTCAGGATCTACTATTTGTTCAACCATTGATGCTACAACCATACGCATAATTTCTAGGGTGTTTTCTTCAAAGTTGTTAGAGATATATGTGGCGAGCTTGGAGAAATAAAGAAGAACATGTTTAAAGTTTTTAGTTATTCCGCCAGTATTAATTTCTAGAGACGTCTTGTAAAATGAATTCCAGCCAATTTTATCATTCACTACAGTCTGTGCAAGAACTGAACAATATTTTCGTAGCAGCTTTGTATCGACTCCGTGCAATTTTTCTTTTAGCACAGTTACTTCTACCGATGAATTTTGGTTGAACAACAACTTAAAGACGGTCAACAGTTTGTAAATTCATGTTCGAACCTTACTTACTTGAACCATGGCTGATATTTCTTCTAGTATTCCTCCCAAAATAAACTTAACGCTAGAGAGAATGATGAAGAATTGTTTTTCACTTGTTCTCTTCGAAACTCCAACAGTATATAATTTCGACAGAATTGTTTCAAATAGGTCTGATATGCAAAGAGTAACTAAATCAAAAGACTATTGTTTCATTCATGAGCATCATAGATCTGAAAAGTATGTTAGTACTTACATATGATGATACAATTATGCTGCAGTGAGCAAGAAAGGATTTCAATCGTTCAAAGAATGTAACACAACTTTTGCCGACTTTGAGTTTTGAAACTTGTTCGGGAAGGGTACATATAAACTCATCAGAGGAAATGGTGAAAGGATGCCAAAGTTCAGTAGATGCTATCGCCGAAATTTCTTCTCTAATTTCAATACATCTCTTTCTCATCAACTGCTCTACATCTGGGAGCAATAATTTATGCAAATGAAAAGATACAATCATTCCCTTATTTTCTAACAAGTCTCCTTGTTTTAGGATTGAGCTGATACATTTTGTAGCAATTTCAAAATCAGCAGGACCAAGGATTTGCACTTTAACTGTAGAAATGAATTGATCCAGGACCATAAATGACCATTCTATAAGGAATGACGTATTTGATGCTTCTTTAAACAATTGCTTAAATTCTTTGGAAACTTTTCTGATAATTTTGAAGATGTGCTTGGATGCTCTGGTTGTATAATCTTCTATGTTTCCGCTACATTCAGTTTTACGTAAAACCTCTGTAATCAAAATGTTCTTTCCTCCTAAATAGGTTGTAATTGCTGTTTCTGTACCGAGTAAAACTTCCAACAGAGCAATATCCTGTTGTGAGAAATAACCATTCTCTACAGCATCAGCAATTTTGTTCCCCAATTCGTGCTTCTTTTTGTGAAAAGTTTTTGTTAAATGCTGACGAGTTAATCTGTAACTAAGGTCAGTTATTAGCCTTTCATCGGATTCTAACTTCTTTTCAATAAGCTGAACCAGTTCATAAGCTTTAGTGAACATTAGTTGAGAAGTAAGTAATTCTAGCTGTGGAAGCAAAGAGTCTTCCACCTCTCTCAAATTTTCAAAATCTATACTTGTAAAGGAACATTTTAAATTCTTTCCCGCTAGGGACAAGTCAACACTTTCTATTTGAGACAGCATGTTTTTCATTGTGCTAACCAAATTACCTATTTCTATCAAGTCGACATCCATAAAATTGGAAACCTCTCTTGAAGCCTCAATAAATTGAGTATAATTTTCAGCAACAAGCTGTTTCAGCTTCTCCTTTGCTTTTGTTTGTTCCATATGTAGACCTGAGAGCCAATTAATTTCGATGTTCTTGTGTTCCGTTCTTGAAAACAACGTGTCCGTATCTAAGGAAAAATAAATAAAACGATCAAGATTAAAAGAATAAAACTCTTACATTCTTCAGGGTCAAAATCATCATCAGAGAAATTAATTGCTGATGGGTGTTCCAAATTTTCTGCAGAAACTTAAGATACCAGTGTTAAGCCGTATATACTTACTTTCTCGTCCTGTAAATATGCTGATCACTTTCCTGTTTACTTCTTTGGCAATTCCGACCTCTGATTTAATCTTCTTTTTGAGAATGTTTGTAGCTTTGTTCATCATATTGATACCCCCCACAAATTTTCCTCTTACATCTTGAACGCCTTCAGCGAACAATTCCTTTACGTCCTGTACACTCTCAGCAATAATATCTTTGGACATTTTTTTACAGCTACCACAATTTGTTTATTTTTCAATAAACCCATTTTTACAGCTACCAAATTTTCAAATTTTTAAATTCATGAAACCGTGAATCTGATGCTATGATATGTTCCATCGTTGTATCATCAAGATTGTGTCATCATGACAACGATGGAACATATCATAGCATCAGCACATAGCCATTCCAATCATCAATGCATTTTTTTAAATTAATTTTAAATCGATTAAAAAATGGTGTACTTCTTCACTTGCATTGATCCTACTTACACGGTTTACATGGGCCGTGATAAATTTGAAAACGAAGATTTGATCAAGTATTCATGGCCAGAGGATGTTTGGTTCCATGTAGATAATTTCAGTTCTGCTCACGTCTATTTGAGATTAAAGTCTGGCCAAACCATCAACGACATTCCGAAGGAAGTTGTTGAAGATTTAGCACAACTAACAAAATATAATTCAATTCAAGGAAAGAAAGAACCACAAGTTAAAGTGATCTACACAATGGCATCAAATTTAAAAAAGACAGGAGATATGGACACCGGAGAAGTTGGATTTTTTGATAGAAAGGCTGTCCGTCATATTGTCATTCAAAAGAATAAGGAAATTGTGAATAGATTAAACAAAACTCAAGTTGAAAAGGAAGTGGACCTTGAAAAAGAGAAAGCGAATAGAGACAAGAATGAAAGAGAAAAACAAAAACTCCAATCGAAGGAACGAGCAAAGAAAGAAAAAGAAGAATATGAAAGACGTAAAAAAGAAGCTGAAGAAAAGTCATACGACAACCTTTTCACAAAAAAGAGTCGAAATCCACATGCCAATGATGACTTTTTTGGAGATGGGCAAGATGATGAAATTGAAAACAAAAACCTCGACGATTTATTCTAGAAGTCTACGACGTTGTTACAATGTCACTCTAAACCTGACAGTGATCCTGAATTTCCCTGCTGTTTGTTCCAGCAAAAAAGTAAAAAAGATTGCTTGAGGGCATCAAAAAAATTCATAAATTTAGCTGACGTTATTGTTGTTGGGCTAGTTGGTTTTGAACCATCCCACGTAATCATCATCCATTATTAATTAATAATTTGTAATTACATCATCACATACAGGTATCATGGCGTCTGTCTCTGTGGATGACCATCATGAAATATTGATCAACGATGGAGATGATACGGAACGGATAGAAGGAAAACAAAAACAAACGTTTCTTCAATTACTATCAAAAGCCATTCCAACAAATTTCATATCACGATGCTGGGGCAATATTGGTAGTACAGAAATTCATCCAGAATTACTCAGACCTCTCATCTACAATGTTTACGGGTGGATGTATTCCGTAAATATGCAAGAAATTGAAAAACCTCTCGAGGAATACTCAAGTATTCAAGACTTTTTCTCCCGAAAGCTAAAGCCTTCAGCAAGACCGTCATTGAGTGTACAACACAAGAGAAAGACGCTGCAAAAATTTGATTTGGATGAAACAGAGGTGAACGAGGCAGAACGAGACTATCTTCACGCTGAGATGGTGAGCCCAGTGGATGGAACGGTAGCTCGATTTGGTACTCTCTGTGTGGAATTAGATGAATTGGATGAAACCTATGAACATGTTTTCTTACCACAAGTCAAAGGAATTACTTATTCCATGCAAGAGCTTTTACAAAAAGAAAAGACTACTAACACACGGTCAAGTCAGTATTTTGACCATTATCAAATTCCAACATCAAACAACAGAGGTGGTTATTGTAAACAAACAGATGATGAAATTATTGTTGGTGATGATTTTACGGAGCCAATCATTGACAATGTTATCTCACAAGATGACATTGCCTCAACGCCGCAAAGCACAAAACAGAAAAAGAAATTGCACTACTGTGTATTATACTTGGCACCAGGAGACTACCACCGGTTTCACAGTCCATGTGACATGACCATTGAATCACGAAAACATATTTATGGAAAACTATACCCTGTAATGCCCTTATATCTCAATAGATATCCCAACTTGTTTACTCAAAACGAAAGAGTTGTTTTAAACGGAAAATGGGCTTACGGAAATATGCATTATGTCATTGTGGGAGCTTTAAATGTGGGATCATTTGTTGTGAATTTTGATAATGTAAGTTTTACTTTTTTCAACAATGAATGGGGAATATATTATCACATTTAATAGTCGTTACGAACCAACGTAAAACGGCCAAGAAAAAAGAAGACTCAAAATCCTTCAACTACCATCCCTCAACGGTCGTCTGAAAAAGTTGATACTTTGGATAAAAAGACAAAAGAAGAACATATCAAAGATCCTGAACAAGGAGAAGAGATTGTGGTGCTCTCACGAAACTATGTGCAGGGTGGTCTCTCTATCGAAAAAGGAGAGGAAATGGGATACTTCAAGCTTGGAAGCACAATTATACTTATTTTTGAAAGCAATGAAGAAGATAACCTTGCTTTCAATATTCACAAAGGCCAAAAAGTTAAATTAGGTGACGTAATTCTTGTAAAGAAAAACAAAAACCATTAAATTTTCATTTTAGATTTCTTCCAAATGCTGCTTGGTGCTTTCCAAAATTTCTTCAGTCTTCTTTAGGTATTTTTTCACTTTCTCGATTACCTCTGGAGAGTATGTTTTGCCTGTTGGTTCATAAGGTGTGTAAGAATCTATTTGATGTTTTAAGTTCTCAATTCTTGACGAATAGGTGTCAACTACCTTTGATTTTTGCTTGATATCGTTCATAAATTCTTTTTCTTCCTTGCTAAGCTGTTCATGGAATAAAATGTTGTAGCATTTTTCGAGTCGTTTGTGCAGCTCTTTAGCTTTGTTTAGCGCATTTTCATACTTTGTGTGAATGTCATACTGTAGTTGTTTGCATTGAGAATCTTTTTTCGCCAACATTTGCACAGCTTGTTGCTGATTATGATATCGTTTTGAGAGAGAAAGAAGCTTTTGTTCAAAAAGCGTAATAGCAACATCATAACACTGCGTATTGTGGACTAAAAGTAAGGTAGCTTCCTTACTTTTTACGTCCATATTTCTATTGTAGAGCTCGTTCGTTACTTCTTCAAGCGATTTTTGGAATGTATCTATGGCATATTTCTTGCTGTCCTTCTGTTGTGTACTATCTGTTTCATCTGTTGTAAAGTTAAAAACACTACCAGAAGAGAGTAATACATTTTTCGATCTACTCTCAATGTAAAAGATCGATGTTCCATTAATCAAGTCTTCCAAGATAGCAAAACCTTTTGGATATTCCAGTCTTCATTGAATTGTCATAGATTGGCCAAGTGAAATTTTTAAGGTTTCAATATTACATTACCACATTGTGCGATCAAATAACAAAGCACTTACTTTTGAGATTTAAATAAAGGTAACACAGTGGTCTTGTCGTTCTCTGATTGCTCTTGCTCTAAACCAGAAAAGGTCTTCTCAATATGCGAAATAAAAGGGAAAATAACTTCATGACATCCACCATCATGCACACAATAAAATATTTGTGATGATGTTGGATGAGGTACAAGCCATGGCCTCGAAACTCTAGGAAGTACAATTCTATCAAGAGGAATAACACTAATAGTGTGTGAAATTGGAGAATATAACTTAGATTTAAGTGGAGATGATGGAGACGCAAACTTTGACTGTAAATTCCATTTTGGTTTGATATTATCAGACACAACAAAAAGTCTAATGGTTCCAGTATTTTCTACGCAAGCAAAGCAAGTTGGAAATGATTTGTAAACGTTTAAGCTAGTCATATCTGCAATATATGAGCTAAAATCAGTTTCACAATCTATAGAGATGCTTTTTCCAGTAAAGAATGCTCTATCCTTAGCATTGGGCTTGAGTACAATTTCTTGTTCATGGCCTGCAGATTCAATAGCATAGTTAATAATTCCTGGGAGATAGTTCATGACCATTGTGGTCTCTGACTCGCTTTCACACTCGTCGATAATATCATCCAAGAATTCTTGAGAAACAATACACCCTTCAGGAACAATCGGGCAAAGTACCCATAACCTGTATGATTCTTTGAAGGTAGATACGTAAAATATAGAAAATCTCTCCCAGGATCTTCTTGATCCAAATGTAAACGAAAGGACTTTTTCTGAACGGTCCTCGAGTAAAAGAATCTCGTCAATTTTCCCAGAGGTCGCTTGAATAATTCTTAGCATATTCATAGAATCCAAAACTACAATATGATCATCACTGTGTGGATGCCAGCACGCCTTCAAAATTGTGTTCGAATTTTCTAAAACAGAAGATAATAAAGAGAAGGAAAATATCGTAGTGGAAGAAATAACATCTGCTTCACTTGATGTAAATCCAGGAACACTCATAACATTGATGTCGTGCTCTCCGATTAATAAAAGTCTATTTCCTGCTTTGTTCAAATGAATTTGATTAATTGATGGATATTTCATATCGGGTTGGATGGTCTATATTCCGATGATTTATGGGGTAATCATGATTGGAAGATTGAAAGATTCCACGATAAATTTAAAAATTCTCCATTCATCAAAACCACCTACCTTTTTGTAATGACCATTCTCATCAAGACCAGAAAATACAATTTTATAAAATTGTCCTCCTTCTTGTGCCGAATAATAAATAGCTTCACTGCTTCTCTTGTTGATGGCTAAATGTTGTAATGGTTGGGAGGAGTCTAGTAATTGTCCAGAAGAGATTTCCGATTTAACAATACTCAACAATTCCTCTTGCAACACGTAGCGCATAGGCTTGCGTGATGATTGTGCTAGGGTCCGAGCAACAAGGCTTGTCATTTTTTTTGTGGTTTTCCTTGGACTATGGTCCACTAGGCAGGGGTTGCTGCACTCCTTTGCTTCCGGTGTGCCTGCGAGGAAGCAACCACATCTAACGTTCGGCTTGTAAATATCTCACTACTGCACAAAACTTATCGCACAACGTTTATTATCGAATACACCCACCCAAAATTCAGGTTTTCCTGCTGCGTTGTGTCTATATGCAGATTCGAGCATAAAAAAAACTTCTTGTGTTCTTGAGAACCGTTGGCAAAGAAAATGAAACGCAACTTCGAATTGGCGGAACAAGTCTCTATGATCACAACGAATCAAAGCTTTGATATTCACAAAAAAACACTCTTCCTTTCATCTCTTGTTCAAGGATCAAGTATTGCCTCAATATCTCTGGGTGCTACAACATCTTCGAAAAGCCCCATCCTTTCACACGATCTTGAGAATGGTAGTTTGGTTGATCCCGGAACACAACAACACTACAAACATTGTATCCAGTCAAAAAATTTCTTTCGCTCTCCGTGGGGCTCGAACCCACGACCGTTGGATTAAAAGTCCAACGCTCTACCGAACTGAGCTAGGAGAGCTCGACATTCACAACAATTGAAGAGAGGCTTGAACTGTTGGTACGTTCACACAATTCACACTTCTCATTTTAATCAACACCCATGCAAGACGCTACACACGTGTGGATGAATAAGAACACACAAATGTTCTACAAATTTTGTTCCTGTTTTACTTCCTTCCGATCGTTCCACCTTTTCAAACATGCACCGCAATACAACTGCTTCAAATCATCGAAAGGTGTAAACAAGTAAATCATTCCTAAGGTGACCAAACAACACGAAACATCCAAAGTATTGAAATTCACAGATCGATAAAACAATCCTAATACCACTTGTCCAGCTCCATATTCAATCATGATTAAAATCATTTCAATGAACACGAGTGCTGCTGCAAACATTAAAAACATGATGGCTCTTGTAAATTTGATTTGAAAGATGGAGAGATGATTTGCCTTTCTCAATAATAGATAGAGTCTAGCTCCAAATATAAAAAATCCACTCACAAATAGAACGGTAATAGCAAGACTTAAAGAAAAGAAGGTCAAATTGAAAATCTTGGCAATGGATGGAATGGCAATATAAACAATGGGCAAAATTAAAAGTAAAATAAAAAGTGCAGCAAATACTAGAACTAGAACTTTGAGTGCAGGATGCAATACAATAATTCCACTCGTGCTGCTACTGGAACGATTTGCACTTTTCGATGACTTGTTCACACCCATCAACAAGTTGAACCAAATCACAAAAGTGGAAAAGAGAGCGGTAAAAATCCATAACAAGTGTATGGCTCTAAAAAATCCAGATCCTATTAGGTGTGGTAATGTGTGATTTTAAGTATTTACCATGATTGAAAATGAGTTGAGATTTGAAATTAGTGTTAGTAGTTACAAAATATAATAGTTATAGTAGAATGGAATAATAATAAACCAACATGATGAACGAGATGATGATAAATGTTGTTGAATATCTCACTTATATATGAAAACAACACTTCAAACTTACCCATCGTTGATTTCAATTGAAACATTGAACTCGTTGCCAAAGCAAATAAATTCTCCAAAGATAAGAATACCAAGTGAAGTACAATACAAATATATGCCAACCAATTCAATGTAAAGAATTCGTCATAGAATCCTCGATAGAATTTAACCATTCGATGTTTCATGTGATCCTTTACCTTCAAAATTCCTCTATAAAACGATGGAATAATGACACTAATGATCATTACAAGAATTAAACAGAGTGGTAATACAAATGCAATCACTGGATAGGCTTGAAAGGTAAATCCAATAAAAGTTGTGGAAAAGTAATCACATTTGAATCCATATTTGGAATTACCACAATAACACATCCATGCATTAAGGGTGGGTTGAATCAGGAGAGAATTTCCATAGAGAAGTGGTATTTGAAGATCATTATCAGGAATTGATACCAACGAGCCAGAATTGGTCACGCCTGTCATCAATCTGGTCATTGCATTCGAATGTCCATAATTACAAAAAGTGTCAGATTTTTTCGAATATTGGAAACAAGTGGAGGAGTTCGAAGCAGAGTTGTATCGCAATGACATGTTTCTATGAAATTCTACAAAATCAAATCTCTTACAATATTGACAATAATTCATCATGTATGCAAATTCACTCACAACTCGTTGTTGACTTCTTTGAGAAGTGACACCATACGTGTCATTTAAATATTGTTTCACATATATTGATAAATCCATGCCATTAGTACTATCAATACTATTTGAACCATTCATAGACGTGCGATTAATGAGCTTTGGAAAATCTTGACAATATAAACTCTCACAACTCTCAATATTATATTTTGAAAATAATGTTGAAATTTGTGGTTCATTGCACAATTCAAAACTTTTGGTATCAAAAAATTGATAAAACAATGAAAATTCAACACTTGATTCATAGCGAGTGTAGAGAGTAGTTTCATTGAGCAAGGTAATGGAAGAACATGAAAGTAATGGGGTCGTGTTATCAATAGTCTCTAATGAACAGTTCTTCCAAATTGGAAATGCCTGAATGGATAGCTCGGAGTGATGCGATAGGAAGAGGAGTAACGTGAATATTAGTAAGAACGCGCAAACAAGTGTAGAAGGAAATAATCGCAAAGATGATCTTCTTGTGGAGTAATGTTGTTGTTGTTGTGAGAATAGAATTGTCACTCGGTCTCGAGTCAGTTGTTGTAGTGGTGACTTGTTAATAGGTAGAGACCAGATGGAGTATTTCATCCATAGAGTGGTTGAGAGCATGAGAATAGGTGTTAAAGTTGCTGTCGATGAAATATTCTGATGAGAATGGAGTGATGGTGTCAGTGGTTGGAGTGAGAGGAACACAACAAGCGAAAACGTCTCAGTTTTGATCAATTCCTGTTTTCGTCGTGTAGGAAGGCACAACAGTTTTGCCCAATGGTATTGAATAGTTGAGTTTTTTTATTTGAAAAGTGAATCCAAGTGAAAAACGACAATGGAAATTTACACACACGAGTATATCTCTCGGAGACTTTGAGTTATTCTCCTTGGTTACTGAAAATGGAAGTGAGGTGAATCATCACCATATTGGTTCCTAGAGCAGTTTCAATAGGGGGTCAACATTAAGAATTTGAGGAGTGTTTATGAAGCAGATGGCTGCTATCTATTAACACTGAATTCTGATAATATTGATCAGCAGGTGTGATGTTCAACAAGTTTTTTCAGTTTTTGAATTCAAAAATTGAAACAACAAATCCAAATGGGTCCATCATTCCGAAAGTTATGAAACCTCTCAACTCTTCCAATACTCATGCTTCAACCCCACTAGGGACCAATGCTTCCCTTGCGAGTGGTTGCCTCACTTCAAGTTGCAACAGCACTACATTCATTGGGATTCCGAATGAAACAAAAGAGAATATTCGGAATGAATTGATGGAGAATGAAGAAACAAATTTGAAAATTAATATTATTCTTGAATCATTCTTTGAATTTACAAGATGCCATTCAAGGCTTGTACATATGGCATTATTTGCCTCAGAATTTGCCTCGAATCGTGTTATTAAATTTTGTCCTGAATGTAACGAGAAACAGTGTCCTTTCAATTCTTCATCATCGGCTGCTGTTAATTCTTCATCGAGTAACATGAACAATGATTCCAATGATGGTACCATCACTCCTCCCAATGATTTTTCGCTCTACAAGGAAATATATTCTGCTTATACTTTTGAATGCAAAGAACGATCCTTATCTCGGAATGATATGATTAATGGCACTCCTCAATTCTATTACACCAAGATTAATATAGCAAATACTGATTTGACCTCAATGAAAGAATATTCATTGTTGAGCAGTCCATACATGCATGAACGATTGCAATTTGGATCTGCCTATTTATATTTTCCTTTTATTTCTTCACTAAATTCAGAAACGGAAACTGAAGAACTTCAACGCGTATTTAAGGAAACGTGTTGTGAAAATATTAAGAAATATTTATTGGAGCAAATGAAAATTCCAAGAGAATCATATGTTGGAGTGACCATGCAAAAGGCAATGCTTGTTGAAAAACATCAACTTTCTTCTTATTTTTATGAAAAGAAGCAATTCATGAAGGATTTTCTAAATTGTGATTTTGAAAAATCAAGACTGTATGGAAACAATTTTCATCATTTAGAAAGCACGAGAAATACAGAAGACCAGAATTTGAAATTCGAACTTGTTGAAATTTCTTCCCCTGAAGAATATTCTCAATTTTGGATTTGCCAAAGCGATGCTTTTTGTGGAGTTCCACAAATTTCGAAACCTCTCACCGACCTCGTCAAACAAAGTTATACACAAGAAATTTCAAGACATGATGACACGGTCATTGTTGGTGTAAAGGCGTTTTGTCCCTCCTCGAACAGCTATGAGATTGTTTCTTGTGGTGAATTGGTGATGGGTAAAGAATGTGCCTCCATAAATCATGTTGCCACACGCGAAGGACATCGAAATAAGGGTTATGCTACGTTTATCATGATTGCCTTGTTGGACATTGCAGTCAATCGACGTGGATACAACAAGGTTGTGTTGGAAGCTACTGGCATGGGCATTCAGATCTACCAAAGATTAGGCTTTTCTCCATTCTTTGAATATTACATATTCGAATTGGATCACAAAAACTAGAGAGTATAACATTGAGTACGATTCACATTCGAATTACAACACACCCTGCAGAAACAGTCCAACTACGTTCTAAAAACATTCAATTTCAAATAAGCTTGCTTTTGGAACACTCGTTGTTCACGAAATAAATGGACAATTCTCAAGGAACAACAAACAAAATATTCACAGCCAAACCTGTCTGATATTAACACCACCAACATGGACGCAAAACAACCACTCTACACAGGACAAGCTCAATTCGTACAGCAACCACCTTCCCAGCAATATCCTCCACAAGGTTATTATGTGGATCCGAATCAACAAGTGGTCACCTATCAACAAACCACAACAGTGGCAGCAGCTCGTGAGCCCAATGAAGAAGATGCAAACACTGCCATGATTATGTTTGTTATTGGATTTTTCTTTGGTCTTTTATGGATTGTGAATTTTGCAATGGTAAGTAAGTCTAGAGTTGTTCTCACGGCCAATTAATAACAACCATCTCTCTAATCATTCGCACTTTTGCTCCGAACTCCAGTATCGTAACTCACCAAATTATAGAGCTCAACAATTTGCCAAATACAGTCTCTATGCTTTCATCATTAGTTTGATTTTTGCTGTTGTATTGATTGTGTTTTCCATCGTTTTGCCAATAATTGTTACGGCTGCGGCTGTTTCAACCCATTAAACATGGGTGATCATCCCAACAACTCTCTGCAGCTCAAATAAACTTGCGCGTTCTTAGTTTGACACCACACACGGAACAAAAAAATCTTTGAGTACTGCTATCCTTGCCTTCCTCTCTCAACACAAGTTCGATCATTGAAAATGGAACAACAACCACTCTACACTGGACAATCACAATTCTATCAACAACCACCACCTCAGCAATACCCAACCCAACAACAAGTCTATACGCCACAATATTATGTTCAACCTTCCGAAACAACTGCGTATCATCAAACCGTTGCAACCACTCATTATGCGTCGAGTGGTGTAAATGAAGAAGATGCCAACACTGCCATGTTAATGTTCGTCATTGGCTTCTTCTTTGGTATTTTATGGATAGTGAACTATGCGATGGTAAGTAGTAGTAATTACATTAACAAATTCCTAATCAGGATTCCAAAATATCATTAATAATAATTAAAATCTCAAAATGCAACGAACTTCCAATAGTACCGAAACTCTCCTAATCAAAAGGCTCAACAGTATGCAAAGTATAGCTTGATGGCTTTTGTCATTTCATTGATATTATCTGTGGTTCTAACTTTTGTATGCATTCTTATTCCAATCATCATGATATCTTCTGTACCTAGCTACAATTAAAATTATTTATTCCAGTACACTAGAAAGTGTTTTTCTGCTTCTTGTCAGTCATGAACTTTCGTTTCTTCTTTTTTTGATCTGTTGGGGGTTGGTTGCAGACAGGCTCTTCTTCGTCCTCTTTCTTTTTGTCGTCTGAGGAAACTGAAGACACAGAACGTTTTGGAGAAATTTTCTTTCTTGGGGATGGTTCTGGAATAGCAACGTCATTGTTGTCTTCAAAATTGTCGCTTAGTAGCTCATTTAAGGTATCAGGGCTCAATCTACTTGTTTTCTCAATACTTCTTAGATCTCTAGAAATTGCTTTTTTGTCAAGGTTGTATAATTCGAGAATCCTTCTCTGAGAATTAATGGAATAAACATTACCATCATTTGTTCTGATAGGTCCTGTCTCAATTAAATCAAGTATCGATTTGTGATGAATGTTTTTGTGAGGTTCAATTTCCACACCATTTCCTGAAAGGTAATAGATCAAAGGTTTGGCGTCATGCTCACTTTCTTGGAGATCAGATTCTAACATCTCTGTAGCTTGTAGAAGATTTGTTTTGCTTTCGTTTGAGAGCAATTCCTTTCTCAATTCTTCATTGTCCAACTTCTCTAGTCTTGAGGCACAAATAATTTCATAAACGTCAATTCCAGGACCTCTTTTCAGTTTTCCTTTACGAATTGTCTCTCCTGATTCTTCATTCACAACTAAATTGGTGTTGAGTATCTTTTTCTTGGATTTTTCAACTTTTTTGCTAATCTTTCTTTTGGTAATTTGTGGTTTAACAAACTTTTTCTTGCCATTATATGATACGCAATTAAAGACAGACAGATCGATTAATTCCTTCTCAAGCTCTGGGTTGAGCTCAGAAGAAGGTTTGCTTCTTTTTTCCAGCTCTGTCACTAAGAATTCAGTGCATTTGGAAACCATGTCAACAGTGTCACATAATAAATCCATGTTGCTTGAGGAAAATATAAAGTTTTCTCCAATTTCAACATTCTCTTTTGATTTCACAGATTCTTGACTTTTTTCGTCCTCTTCTTTTCCATTTGCTCGATATTTTTCTTCTTCAGGAGAGTTTGCCAATTCATTTTCACTGTCATCCTTTAGAAGCTGAGAAATATCTTTCCTTTTTTGCTTAGCAGCTCTAACCCTTAAACTGGTTTTTGTTGCAATTTTTGAACTTGTATCCGTCGATTCTATAGCAGTTGAGCCCGTAACATCAGATGCAGGTTGATCTTTCTTTTTGACTGGCTTGGGCGGTTTGACTTTCTTGGTTGGAGTTCCGTTCTGCAAAACTGTGGTACTGATTGCATTGTTGGCACTCTCGTTTGCCGATGGAGAAGTAGCCAACGATGTTTGTGGATGTTTTGGTTTTGGTTTTTTCTGCAAAGTGTTTGAAGGAGGTGGGCCTTTCTTTTTCATAGCAGAAGGTGGTTGAAGTTTTTTCCTTTCTTGATGATATACTTGGCCATTGGGAGCGTGATGAGGTTTTGGAGATGAATGTGACTTTGTGAAAGAGCCTGCATCATCTGGAACGCTATCCATGGGATGGGTGTTTGCAATTCCTCTACTATAAACATCAGATTGGTAGTGATTATAAGATGCATGATGTGAAGAAATACCTGGGGAGTATTCGTCATGGGGATAATATCCACCATACATGTTTGATGTTGAATAGTATTCACCATATCTTGTTGAAGGATATGAATATTGCTGTGGTGAGGTATATGAATAGGGTGGATGAGAACTTGTATGTTGAGTCTGGAAGTTATGAGTTGAGCTATATGATGGTATCTCAGTTTTAAGTTGTTGGAGCGATTCCTTGTCACGTTTCAATCGTTGCATCATTTCATCGAGAGCTTTTCTTGTGCTTAACACTCCACCTTCTGTCTTTGACGGTGTTATCGACTTGGATTCAGCATTGAATGAAGATTGAACAGTTGCTTGGGGTGAAATCGTGTCTGCTGAATGGTTCGATGATCTCATATACTTGTCTTCTAGCACTGTAGATGCTGATTGATGCTTACTGTATGCATAATAGGGTGAAGACGTATATGACGAATGAGATGGTTGAGTGTGTGGTGGTAGTGGTGAATTTAAATCTTGTGTTGCAGTACTAGGCGGAGGAGGAGGAGTAACAGCTGTTGATGCTGTGGATGGATAGTACTGAGAAGGATATCTTGTTGTGAATGAATGGTGTGGATTGTTGTTGGAAATAGGAATATCCTCTTCAATATCTTCTGCTGGCTGCATGGATCGATCGTATCCGACAGAGCCAACAGCATGTACATATTGAGATGTGGTTGTTGCTGGTTTTCTATTAAAGGAAGTAAGTGAAGAAGGATAATGGTAGAGTGATGAGTGAGCTGCATTGGTATTATTATACAAACCATCTTCTCGATTATAGTATGAACTAGTACTACTGTTGCTATTGGGTAATGAGCTCTTCCCACTTGCATGGTAGAAGGATGAAGATGAGGATGAATGGTGAGGAGGGTGTGAACCATATGAGTGATGATGGTGATGGTGCGAGCCTTGCACACCATAAGAACCATTATCATCATAACTATAATGGTGATATTTTGAATCATGAGCGCCGAGTTGCGTCGAGTGATGACTCGTCGTCGTTGACGACATTGGCATGAGACGAGCTGCGGCGGAACTATTCCCACCAGAGGATGTGTAATAATCATGATAGTTATGTGCATATGAAGATGCTGTCGAGGAATGGTGATTTCCAACAGCAGCATGATGGCTCGAGTAGTATGGAGTAGAACCAGCAAGACCATGCGCTGAAACTTCTCGACTAGAAGTTTCAGTTTGCAAGTAGGATGGATGTGGTGGTTGTTGCATGATGATGGATATGGTTGGTGATGATGGGAATGAAGCAACTGATGGAGTTATTTGGTTATTTGAAACGAAACGGCGTTTGGATCAAAAATTGATACAGCTATCCGCAGACTTGGGTTATATTGATGAAAATTTCAAAATAGTGTCGCGCGTTGATAGAACAACGTATCCCAAGTAATAAATATTTAGATGTTGCTAAAAACTAATAGAAAGTACTTGAATCGATCCCAAATGGATGGTCGTGATGTATGTAAATTGGACCACAAAGAGGAATATAACAATGTAGAGTCAAGAGAACTCAATATGAATAAATAAATAGGTGCAATGATGAAAAGGCCACAACACTTTGATGATGACCAAATCCACAAGTATAGCAATGTGCAAAGTCCACGTCAACTGTTCTCAACGATGCTGCCTGTTGCTGTTTTGGGAGGTTGGATCCGGAAGGTTGTTTTAGATTCTTTTTTTTGTGTTCTTTTCCAAGTATAGGCCAACCCGACATTAGTCATCCGTGAACATGCGCCAAAAGAGATTGAAAAAGTTAGATTTTGAGTGTTGCAAGAGGATGATGATGAGACAGCGTTAGGTGGTGTGGTTAGACATGGTTCATATTAACAAGGGATAAGTACATGATGAAATTTAAAGCGGTTTGATGATTGGACGGATTTGGTAATTGTAAGAGAGAGGATGATGAATGATCAGAAATGTGAGAGATCAAGCAGTATCATGATGTTGTTGTACGTTTGTTGTTGTTTATCAATGAGAATTATCATTCAATAATAATACCGAGCCATAAATAAATACGATTGCATGAGGAATAATTGGCAAAGTACATATTTCTCCAAGAACAATTATTACTACTCGGCTACTACTTACAACTACAACACAGAAACTCCCAGTGGAATACAAAGCGAGGAAGCAATGGTACCAAGCAGATTCTTGATTGTTTTCAAATGAAACTCTGTTGATGCAACGTGTAGTTCTTGTGCTGATTTTGGTCAGATGAATTGGTCGATCCAATTTCAGCAGTTGAGTTGATGGTGATGATGATGAAGACAATCTCAAAGGAAAGCTCTGTGTTTCCTCTTTGAAGGCTTTTGATGATGACTGATAATAACCAACACTACGAAGGAAAGGGTAATTTTTTGGATTGGTTCTTCAAAGCGGACAAAGTATTTCTTTTCGAACTGTCCAAATTAGACAGTACGGAATCGATAAGAGATAAAATGTGCATGATTTGCATTTAATATGTTAAAAATTCATAGAGAACAATTCTTGTCCAACTCTGTCAAGATCACCATTGTACTGTTTGAGCAATTTGATTTGTAACTCCTTGGTACCAGGTGCTTGACACTCTTCCAAAGCTTGCAATTCATGGCGGTATTTCTCAAAGTCAGGATCGACGACAGTGGGCTGAGATGGTGGCTGAGGTGATCTACTTGTGTTATTGCTCATGCCACTCGTGTTAAGTGGATGTGGTTGATTTAAGGTTACACTATTTCCAAGATTCTTTGGCTGTGATGGCATGAAAGTTGTATTCATTGGTGGATTCATAATTTGATTCATTGGCTGCATCATGGATGGAGGTTGAGTCATTGCACCAAAAGGTTGAAGTTGTGGCTGAGGTGGTTGGCCCATTGGAGATCTCATCATGGGTGGTTGATTAAAAGGTGGTTGGAATGGTACCTGTGGTTGCAATGGTTGATGAGGGAACGAAGGAGGCTGAATAGGTGGTTGTTGAACCTGTGGTGGTTGTTGTGGCTTTGGTTGCTGAACGACAGGTGGCTGCTGTTGAACAGGTGGTTGTTGAACAACAGGCGGAGATTGTGGCTTTGGCTGCTGAACGACTGGTGGTTGTTGAACTACTGGTGGCTGTTCAGGCTTCTTCTCCTGTACGACTGGACTGGTATTGGTTGAAGGTGGTGGCGATTGAACGGTTGGCTTCTTTTGAAGAGTAGCCTTCAATTTGAAAACAGGAACTGTTGAAGCATACTTGATTGCTTCAGCCCATTCTTCTTCGGTGTCAAACCGGATGAATTCGTTTTGATCATCAAACCAAGCAAGATCGAGATCCTTGTCAGCGACGCTGGTAAAGCTTTTAACTTTAGCATTGATTTTCTTGAGATCAAAGGAAGCATCAATCGTGGTACGTCTAATTTCATCATCAGGAAGATAAACCTTTGTGATGATGGAAGTTGGTTTTTGAAGATTTTGTTGCTTTGTTAATTGATTAAATTGATCTTGAGACATTGGCCATTGTTGTTGTTGATATGGTTGCTGGGGAGGCATCTGTTGTGGTGGGTATGTGTTGCTTGTGCTCATGTTGATGGGTCTTCCGCTAAACATGATGATGGTGTTGAAGATTGAATAACCACGTGATGGTAATTTTTATGTTGTTGTTCGAACCTAAATGGAGCCACTGAGAGTTTTTTATTCTTTTCGAAAATATATTTTTGAACGTGATCGCTACGTGTTAAAGGGAACAAGTTCCTTTGTTACACCAGCAGGGTTTTTATTGGAGAGAATTCTCAAATCTATCTCTCGTGAGTGGTGGGTACAGTTTGATTCGAGTTGTATACATATTCATTTTTCAATGGCGCCCAATCCTCTCTACAATAAAAAATGCAAGATCGTACTACAACCATGTCCCGAGCATCAAGTGAATCCAGCATGAGATCAAGGGCATCAACTCCATCACATGAACATCAAACAAACGTTCATGATCCTCATAATATTTTGTCGTATCAATTCGATGAATGTTTTGCGTGGGGGATGAACAATTTGCAACTAGGAACCCAACAAGATATAAATCAAGACTCTCTCATCAATGTTGTTTCAGTTCCGACAAGAATTAACAATGAACAATTTTTAAGTAGTAATGAACAAATTGGATTCGTTGCATCCGGAGGCAGTCACACAGTCATAATTACAACCAACCATCGAGTACTTTCATTTGGAAAAAATCAAAATGGGCAAGTAAGTATCTGACATCTTGCTCTGTAAAATGACACATCTTCCTCAATCAGCTTGGTCATGGTAATTTTGAAGACTCATCCTCTCCAAAGGAAGTACAGTTCGATTTAATGGATGATGTTATTGTTTACAGTGCTTGCGGTGATCGCCACACAGTGTTTCTTAGCAACAAGGGGAGAGTGTATGTTTGTGGTAAGTGTTAATTCTGAGAGAGTGTGTCTTATGAGCATCGTTTTTTAGGAGCAAATTTCAACTATCAACTAGGATTAGGTCACATGAGCAACGTTTCATCTCCAACACTTGTGGAACAAATGATGTCAAGAAAAATTCGACGAGCATCGTGTGGAGCTAGGCATACAGTGCTTATTACAGGAAAAGGAAAAATATTTACTGCTGGTTTGGGAGCATTTGGACAGCTCGGTAAGTATATAGCCTGTTGATGACATTAAGATTCTAAAGTTGTAAAAGGACATGGTGATTTCGAAGATCAACCATACTTTAGACATGTGGAGGATATCGATTGGTTATGCTCTTCATGTTCAAGCAAGGAACATGTTAATGTTGCATTGAGTTCAAATTACGAAGGTTTGTTTTTGAGGGTTGAAATGTGCTTTGTTTGGTATGCTAATATTAATATATACTAGTGTACCAATGGGGAGGCAGAAGCGTTGACTCTGAAAGTGAGCAAATTAAGGATTGTGTCCCTACTCTTTTGTTTAGTTCTCTAAACGGACGTAGAATTGTTCAAATTGCAGCAAGCACGTATCATGCGTTAGCTAGGACTTCAGATGGAAGTGTGTATTGTTGGGGTTACAATCTTGACAATGCTGGATATATGAGATTGTTGAAACATATTGAAATGAGTGATGAAAATCTCCTACACAAGCCATTCCTTGTGGAATCAGAGAAACAACTTTCTGAGAAGTGTTTAGATTTGTCACCCAAGTATATAATTAGGAAAAATGATTTAACTGTTTATAGAAACCACTTTTTCAGTAATAATAAGATTGTATGGATTGCTTGTTCTGAAACCTGTAACTATGTGGTGACAGAAAAGGGGGATGTTTATGTATTTGGAAAAGGCAGTTATGGAGAGTCAGGATTGGGCGACGATAGAACGAGTTACATTGATTATCCAGAAAAAATCGCTGTGTTGCAAGGAAAAAAAGTGGTAAGAGTGGTTGCTTCAACTCATTCAGCATTTGCTTTAACGAGCGATAATTCAATGCAACAACAAGACGATAATTTATTTTTCGAAATGAAATTAGAGCAAAAGCCACAAGAAAACCAGAAGTAAACATGTTTACTAGCTAATTCTTGTTTGCAACGTATTGGACATATCGATTCAAATTAGTGTTAATGTTTCGCAAAAGTTGCACATGAACAGGAAGCACTGTGTATCGACTTGGATGCAATGGTGACACAGACAGCCAGCTCAGGTTATAAAACTGTTTGCAAATATGTCTGATATTACCAATGTGCAAACATTTCTCAGTACCTTTAACAAACAACTTAATTTCAATCACGCTCTTGTTATTACAAATATCCTGTCGTCTTCCATCCTGCAATAAATCCTGTGGTCTTTCCTCTGTTGATGAAATAATATAGCCATATTCTTCGTGAACATGCATATATGACATTACGCCGGTGTGTGATGTGTCAAGTCCTTCAGATGGTCTATTCTTGAAAAATTGTAATGTTGGATTATCGTTAAGAGACACCAGGTACATGGCCCCATTATGGCCTGATTCCTTAATTTTTCCCCATGCAGCAAGCTCTTCATCTGACATTGACACAACTTGATGATTCTCTGTTGGAGCAACCTTACAAACAGTATACTCCCAAGAAAATTCAATGTGATGGCTACTAGAATTTAGGCTTGTCATGTAAATGGTGCTTTGCTCATGAATTTTTTGAATCACAGCTTCCATCCTTCTTCCATCGTCAGCCATAACATTGGTGCTATCAATAATTGTAGATTCGAGTAAATTTCCAGAATAGTCGGACCATACAACAGTGACAAAAAATTCGCCATTGGTTTCTTCAGTAATGCTGTATGCACAGTGAAGAGTAAGCTTTTGTTGTTGAATTTCTGAGAAAGGTGATCGGTTGTTTCGACTGGTATCTGGAGCGACCTCAATTGGGGTAAGCACAAATGCAGGTTCGTGAAGAAGCGAAAAATAGCCTGAAAGATTGTTCCATCGTTTTTGTTGTCTTCTACACTTGTTGTAAACGGACAAGGATATTTGTTTGAGAGTGGCTAAAGGATAGTTTAAATATGGCTCATCCACTATTTTTTGATCAATGAACTGCAACATTAACAATAGGAATGATCAAAAAATTAATAAAAGTTACGAAACATCCGGTACTTACATGGATGAATGGCATGACATCACTTTCTTGACTGATATTCAATTGTAAATGATCTAAAATATTGCCAAAAATATGATAAAGCATGCTACTCATTGGTATGGATGTGGCTTCTTCCATCTTTTCGGCCAGATGAAAAGGGAAAACGACATAGATAAATACGTTTTCATCTTTAGGATTATTGTTGTAAAAAGAAATTATTCCTTGCTCTACAAATTGGGGTTATAAACAAATCACGATCAAAGATACATACCTGCTCTTTTTGCTGCCTTTTGGAATTGCTCAATAAATTCTTCCATTTGAGATTTTTGAGATTTGATATTGGTGGATGTACTTGGTTGGAAATATCTATTGTATGTGATTGGAATGATACCTTCTGAAACTAATTCATTGTGAATTGGTAAATGAATTCCAAGCTTACACATCTCGTAAATGGAGCTTAAATTTTCAAAAAAGCCATTCAAATCTGAGAATAGTCCGTCATTGGTGTTAAATGCTGATGGTTCGACACCAATCACACAATAATTTATCTAAAAGGTGACAGTTTAGTATGTGTAATGAGAAAATCAAAAAACTTACCTTTTTGGGAGGTGCATATGGCTCAAGAAGCGATTTTTCCCATTCATTGATGATTTCAGGATGAGAGTCAAGCCATTGCTCCATATACCCAACACGTATTGTTGGTGTTTCTAGTGGTTGGAAATAAGAGTGTTCCATATTCACTGGCCCCTTAATATTTTCCTCTCCTTCTGTTTTAGTTAACAGTTCTGATATCTTAAACAGTACAGAAATTACTTCATCGTTCGTTATATGTGGAAGAGAGGATTCTGATTGATACCAGTATCTAGACACAATTTGAATAGACTCCAATAGTGTGTTTGAAACCTCGATAGAAGATTGCTGGTTTGACTGAAAGTCGTAGCCTTTCCAGCAACCATCCAACATAAATGAAAGTAATTCTCCCTTTTTAACAGGACCAGCATTATCATCCGATATATAATAAAGAGCCTGTTTCAAGATATCAGAGATGGTGATGCTTGAATCTGTGTTTGATACAATGTCTATTAGTTCTGAAACGTCAGAATGTGCAAAATCAAAATTCGTAATTTCTTCGTCATACACCTCTTCAACGGTGGTTGTTAGAGCAGTCTCTGCAATCTCCTTAATTTCTTCTTTTTTAGCATTCTTTTTCTTGTTTTTCTTTTCTCTTTTTTGCCGTTTCTCTTTTGGCATTTGTGTCAATAATGAGAATTGTTCCATTGAGCTTGTTGGAGGACAAAAATTTGTTTTTCTTGGATATTCCATCTCATCAGTGGTGCATAATGTATAAGATGGAGTGCTGTAGTATGAAATAAAGTCATTTGCGAATATTTCTGACTTGACTGATGGTTTTTCATCTTTCAGATCAATAAAATTGCTTAAAAAATTGGGTGCTGCTGAAAGCATTTTGGTTTGTGGCTCATATACTAAATTTTCTTCTTTAAATGCAATCTGCATGTCTTGAATAGATCTACGTTGTGCTTCTCTCTGATCCAATAATTGTTTAAATTCGTTGATTTCATCTTGATGAGATTTAGTGCTTGTTACTGGGGTTGTTTGCGGTTGCTCTAACGACGGAGATGGCATGACCGTGTTCGTAGGTGTCGTTTCAGATTGTACTGTTTCAATAGTTGTACTAGATGGTAAAGTTTCCAAAGTAGTAGGAGGTTGTAGATTATCATTCGGTTCGTTCCAATCAAACGAGTCCAGAAGTTGATTGAACTGATCTGCTGTCAGCTCTTTTGCTGCTTGGTCTTCGAGTTGGCTTTCTGATTTTTGAGCTACAAAATTAGCTTCCATTGGAATAGCTTCTTGGTCAACAGTTAGTAAAGATTGAGGAACGGATGGTGGTGGCATTGCGACAGTCGCAGTATCCTCTTTCTTTACATCGACCATTGACAGATTGAGAAGTGTTGGTGATGCTGTCAACATTGGTGTATGTTCCTTTTTTTCTTTTCTTGTGTAAGCATAGGCCGGTAAAACAACCTCTGTTTTTTGTTTTTTAGTGGAAGCAGCCTTTCCATTGGAGGAAGCTTCAGCATTTGATGCTCGCTTGGTGTTTTTGGCAGAGTTGTTAGGTGTGTTGCCTGATTGAATCTTGTTTTTTTGTTGTAATTTGGACCTAGGTGGATTTTGGCGAGGTGTATTTCTGTAAGAAGGAAAATACTTCTCTAGGTTCTGATCATTATTTTCAATAGCAAGTAGATATTCGTCACAAGTGAAAGATATTGGTGTTCCTTCTATTAGAACTGTTGCTTGAGTTTTTGCATTGTATTCGTCACTAGACGAAGTTTTGTCTTTTGTGGTCAATCGTGCAGGAAGGCCCCTAAATGGAGTGTACACTGTCACAAGATAACATGTTTGATATCGAGTGACATCTATCAATAAACTTACCCCAAAACGGCGTTTTTTGGCTTTTGGAAGATATTCTTGAAATTGTGTCTTCCGAGTTTAGCTTTTTGAACATCTTCTTTTTTACATTAATAAATACTTTCAATGTGAAATTGTTGTGAACTATACAAGTAACAGAAAACCCTGTAATTGATATTAAGCTTGAATTGTCAGAGGTAACGGTCTTTTCACTACCTGCAAGAAAAATAAAATTTCCTTGGCATGAATATGAATGCTCCAAAATTAAAGTACTTTCATGAGTACATTTTGTCAATAACAATGCCAGAACTAGTTTTAAACATACTTTTGAATCCAGTTTTTTGTCGCAACAGTTAAAAGTTTGGTTTCATCCTCTGGTAAACTTGAAAAATCAGAAAAACTCTTTTTCTCGACTATCCAATGATGAATAATTTCACGCACTTGTACCAAACTTACTTTTAACATCTAAATTATTATCATTAATTATTGACTGAATCTTTTCTTTTCGCGATAAGTGATGCCTAAGAAAGAAAAACAAATATAATTCGTTCGGAACAAGCAGCGCATAGGGTATCAAAATTCTTTGCTTGTTCAACTCTCCTTGCACTAGCTGATGTAACCGTGTCAATTCTCCACTAATTTTCCACAACTCAAATGATATATTATCGTCATGTCCCGATGATGTATTACAATTCTTTTTCATTGAAACGCCATCATAACAACATGTTGTTACATGATATTATGGTATCACAATTGTATAACAATTGTATATTCAGCACATTGAATACAATCCGATCATCATCAACAATTGATTGGCAAGCAGAGAAACAAAACCTACAATTTCAAAGGTGTTGGTGAGCATGTGGAGGAGAGACGATCGTCCTTTGAATATTTTTAAAAAAGGTGAACAAAACTTTCAAGAAGCGTCTCCAATTTAATTGTGGAGGAGTTTATGCAGAATAAAAGCATTGATCAATTAATAATAACAATTAAAAGAAAGCTGAGGCTTCCAGTGTTGGATAATTCTTTCATTACGCCGACTTGTGCCTCACGAATCACAAATGGAATATTTTCATCGGCTAGCATTTCACCCATCAGCAAATCAAAAGAAAAAAATTATCTTTACCACGACAACCTCAGTGGGTGGCAAGACCTTCAAGAGATCGAGCTCTTTCATCATCTCAAACATCAATTTTTAGATAACAGCGAACCACACTAATTTATCGAGATTGAGAGTGTTCTGCTGCTGCTGTTGTTTTGGTCATCATTATTCTTTGTCGGAATTCGATATCGAAAAAACATCTAAAATTAATAATAACTTTCATCATGATGAAGATACGAGGCTTGAAGCAAAACCAATTGCCATCATCCTGGCTCATTGTGTTATCCATCGCGATGATCTTCTTGTGGACAAGTATCGGTTTGGTACGAGCCAATGAAAACACAACAATAACCACCAATAATCTCTCTTCTTCTTCTCATAACACAAATGAGGTACCAGAATGTACACTAGATGATTACGGAGCAACCTATACTCCTTGCGTGAAAATGAGTGACACAAGGACTGTTGTTTATTACAAGAAGAATAATTGCAGTGGAGGAGTATCACTACCAATTTCAACAGAAACTCTCCCTTGCAGTAAGTTTTGATTGAATTCATATACCTTTTTAAAATTCTTTGAAAAGATTTAACATGTAGCAATGGTCAATTTTTGAGACCACCTTTTGTGAAATGTGAGCCATGTAGTCCTGGTGAATTTAGTTTTTCTGAAGGAATTCTCACCAATGATTGGGAAGAATTACCAGATTCCATGAAAACAAATTGTGTTTCTGAAGGAGTTAAAAATCCAAAATGTTCTTCATGGAAGGCTTCAACCAATTACAAATATATTCATTCAGGAGATCAATCAGAATCCACAGGAACAGTGTCATCTGTTCTCACTTATTATGTTGATATTTTGAGAGAGGTTGGAAAACTTGAATTTAGTTTCCGTGTAGATGCTGATACTGGAAATGGATTGGAACTGTATATTGACAATCAACAAGTATTAGAAAGAACAAGCTATGTGCATGAATATACAGTCAAATCATTTACATTGACAAAAGGTTATCATGTGATTGAATGGAGATTTGAAAAAGCATCTGCACAATCCTCCAGTACCAAACAAATGGCATATATCAAATGGGTCAAAATATATGGAGATAAGTTATCTGTTGAGTATTGTACCAAGTGTCCAGCAGGTACTTTTAACAATGAACATGGACAAGCTTCTTGCACAGCATGTCCTTTGGACACTTTTAGTGACAAACCTGGACAAACTCAATGTCAACCTTGTCCAGACAATACCTATGCATTGTCAGGATCTACCTCTTGCTCTCCAAAACCTTCATGTACTGCTCTAGATTATGCAGCTCATTATACTCCATGCTCAAACGGTAAAAGAAAATTAATCTATGAATGGAAAAAGCCTAAAATTTGCAATGGAGGTGTTGAACTTCCAACGAATAAGGACAATGAAGAATGCAATCAATGCCCAACAGGATTATTCCGTAAGAATGATGAATGTCAACGATGTGCTGGAAAGGGAGAATATTACGATTTGAAAGAACTAAAATGTAAAAAATGTTACGAAGGTTACTATGCATTGAAATACCTTCGTTATGATTCTAATTTCTTCAATGAGATGACTTCATTACCTTCGCATTGGTCTACCAAATGTCTCGGAGAATGCGATAAGGAACATAAGGGTTGGTCCATTGTATCCAATGTTGAAAAGAGAGAAGCCTATCTCGATGCTGGTGCTAATGGCTATGGCGATGAAAGTGTTCTCTCCATTCCCATTGAATTATATACGGATGGATCCATCAGTATTGAATACGAGTTGAGTTCTACCACTCCGACGAAGACTACTACAACAACAACAAGTACTACTACTACAACAGGCAAACCTGAAGATCATTTAACTGCATCGGAGGATGAGGACACTTCCGTACTCTTATTCTTTATCAATCGAACATTGGTTGGAGATTTCTCTCGACAAACCCTCAAAGAGTTAAAAGGTACATTCAAAACAAGATATTATCCTGCTGGACATTACCTTCTTACGTTTGCTTTTGAAAAGTATGACTCTCCGATTAAGCAATCAACCGTTCTCATCAAATCCATTATTGTAGAGGGAGAAGTTTCAGGTGCTTCCGATAAATGTTATGAATGTCGAGAAGGTCACTATTGTCCTCAAGGTACTGATGAGCATTTACCATGTCGTCCTGGAACTTACTCAAATATTAGACAAGAAGCATGTATGGCTTGCTATAGAAACACTTTCCAAAACAAGTTTGGACAAAATAAGTGTCTTAATTGTGGAGCTGGTACCTTTTCTAATGCAGGAAGCCCAGATTGTGTGAATACTTGCCTCTTTTCTGTCCCTGGAACTGAGATTGTGTACAATTTGACGAATTTGCAAAGTGCCCTGAACAGTGAGTTGAACGTGTTTGGTCCTCTCGCACTGCCCAACTCTCCTCTCAAGCTTTATTTTAATCTTTGTAACAAATTTGACACGGCTTACACCAAATTCTGTCAAAAAGAGTCAAGACTTTCAGTTTTATCAGAACAACGTAAGGAAGTGACAACCAGAAATCGTAGAAAGGGTTACACGACCTATTCGTGTGTAGAAGATGATTCAAGTGAAAATCCAAAGTATCATACAAGTGGCGACATGGGATCCACTATTTCATATTATCAATCTCCAAAAGGGGATGGTCTCACTGTCTACCTTGGTACCGATTACAAGTGTGCCAATAACGAAGGTGTCTATAACACAAAAATTGAATTGAAATGCAATCCAAAAGAAGGCATTGGTAAACCAGTTATTGTGACTGAAGTGAGTGAAACAGGAGTAATGTCACTTTCTGATGTTTGCTCGACTAAGATCTTGTGGGAAAGTCATGCTGCTTGCCCTATTTGTACTGTTTATGACTATGAGGCCGTGGTCAGCAGTGATTGTGAGAATGGAAGAAGAAAGAAGACATGGTTTTTGAAACCAAGTGCAAAATGTTATCCATACTCTGGATCATCAGCTCCTTTACCTGAGGAAGATGTTTCTTGTATTACCTGTTCCCAAGATGATTATACCTTTGTTGAGACAAAATGTGTAAATGGAGTTTTCAAGAAAAAGTACGTTTGGAAGGAACCACGAGATTGCTTTGGAGGTATTGAACTTCCAGAGGACGAAACACTCACTTGTGATGAGTTGGAAATTGGAAAACTTACTGCTGTCACTGGATTGTCTATCACTGCAGCAGTGTTTGTGTGTCTGCTTGTTGGTATTTGTTTCTTCTACTTTAGAAACAAGCAGCTTTATGAACAATATGAAATGTTGGGTCAAAAAGAGACTCCAGATATTGAAATGTTGAATAGTGGCTCTGGTGTGTTAGAATTGATGGGCAATGAAAGTTCATCAGATGATGACATGGGGTTCACAACCACTAAAACAATTAACATCACAGACAGCGACGAAGATGATCGAGTTTAAAAGATCTCATCCCAGGCAACGATGCTGTTTACGGTCAAGTGATCATGTAAACAACACAGAGAAGGGATTTAATAGTGATCGTTGAAACTTGTACAAACATTATTTATTAACTCAATTAAGAAAAAATTATGGCTTACATTTAATGAAAATTTGTCTAAAACTTCTTTTTCTTCTTCTGATTAAATCCTCCATTGGTAAACGATCGTTTCTTTTTACTTTTCTTCTCTTCCTCTTCATCTCCAAAATATTGAGTAAAATAACCGGCAAACTGTTTGCACGTGTTGATAAAGGATCGATCTTGATGAATGTAAATCCTTCTCCAACACAAATCAGGACTGACTCGCAAAATAGTTGAGAGTAATGATTCTTTGTTAATGTTAGTAGGTGACATTAAAGCGTCAAATGCATTGCTGAAAGAGTTTCTAATTGAGAGAAGTCCACTAGTACCTTTAGACACGTTATTATGTGCATTTGTTGGATCAATGATATTTGGTGAAAATTTGAGACTTGACGAGTATCCACTACGTATTTTCATGACGTAGGGCAAATATTTTCCTTCTCCGCTTGGACTAATGGCTGTAAAGTAATAATTGAAGTATCGGCCATAAAGGGCGAAAAAGTCTATTAACAGTGTTCCTAGTGATGTAACATCTCTTTCTTCAATGCTTGAATTGCTTGTATGCATTTGTAAATGACTAATAATCATTAAACTTAAACCATAGCTGGACAGTCCTCCGTGCAAGACCATGTTTGAATTTCGTTGTTTTAAAAAGTATTTGAGAAAGTAACATAAATATTTAAAGGCAGGATACTTCTCACTACTTTTTCTAATAAACTCTACACTTGAATCTGTGTCTGCATTGTTGCAAGAAACATCCACTTCCTGAAGAGACAGTGCCTCTTTAAACTTGACAATTGGCACGTTTGCATTTCTAATAAAATTAATTTCCACAAACTCAGTGGACCTGTTGAGCTCTCTATTGAGCTTTTCAAGAAACGATTTTTGTGAGTTGGATTTTGAAATAACATGTAAATCAAGGTCACTTCCTGGTAACATTAATCCTGCAGGATAACTACCAAAAAGTTGAATTTTGCAATTGGGATCTATACCCTTACATAACTTGGTGACCTTCTCGATAACACGTTCTCTCACTAGTTCCTCTTCTTTTGTCTGTTTTACAAAGTTGTAGAAATCAATTAATTCAAAATGTAATCGTAAAGGAGGGGAATATGAGGCATAACTTTGAGTTTGCCAAGGAATTGAGGTTTGATATTTTGCATAGGCATTATGTGCTTCATAATTAAATTGATGATTGGTTATTGTATCATCAATTTTAATATAACCTTCAGCACTTTCCTCTTCATTATTTTCTGTAATATTATTTGAAACGTCATCATCATCATCATCGTTATCCAACACCTCTGTTGGGCTTTGGTCTGCTAGTAATGTGCTTGGTGAAACAGCACCAGGTTGTTCTCTGCTATCATTACTGCTTGAAGAAACTCCGCCTAGCACTGAAGCGATTGAAGAACTTGCAAGGCTTTCGCTTACATTCTTTTTTCTATTTTTCAAAGCAGCAATTCTCTCCTTCACGGAACTTGAAAGGATGGGTTTTGCATCGGATTTTTGTCCAGGAGCCATTTCAATGTTGTAGTGATGAGACCATTGAGATTGAGCACTTGAAAATAAGGAGAGAATATTATCTCGAGTTTTGGTGACTTGTGCTACTTCTGCAGCATTTTCCTCTTTTAATTGGTCGTTGGTTTCTGTGGAGGTTTCTTCCGTCTGTCCAATGGTTATATTGTTTAATGTTGTTGTTTTATCATCATGATGATGATCCGAAATATGGTTGGTTCCGTTTTGGTTTGGTGTTGTTGCACTTTGAAAATTATTTCCTTCATCTTTTTCGTCCTCACTATCATCAAAACTTATAAAATCCAAATTAGCCTTCTTTTTCATAGATTGTTGAATTATTGTACTACTGTTGTGGTCATCATCGGAATCTGATTCGGCCAGCACGTTCAGATTGAGAGGCATTTTGTTGAGCGTTTTTTTTGTTCAATCTAAACTTTGAATTTAATGATATTAACTCTAGGATTTGAAAATGTGTTGTTAATTATTAACTCACACTGTTCTGATAGAAATAAAAACATTTATTGTGAGAATAATTGTTTGTAATTTCTTGTCAGTTTGTCAATAAAGGACACTTCTTCCCTAGCACAAGGGTTAACTGGAATGAGATTTGATAGTTTGTTGTTTTCAACTTGTATATTTCGATTAGTGTCCAAAATAATCACGTCCCCGTTATTTAACACTTCCTCAATTCTCTTGGAGATTGGCAGTATTGTGGCAGCTCCGTTACTTAATTTATACAAGTTGAGTCGATCTTCCGAGTCTTGTGGTAGTTTGTGGTTGTTGTTCTTAATTTTTCCATAGTCTGCAATGAGGTCAAGCGTTTTACCTGATGACCATAATCGACTTAATTTCATTGGTACTCCTTTCGTTGCATCTAACGTAATGTACACAGTTGTTTTTACAGAATCAGCATCATCGAGATGTTTGTTTTTTAAAGGAATGATGTACTGCGTAGGATGTGACAAAGAAGGGTTTGAGGTAGTTGGTTTGGATGTGCTTATGGACGATGTCCTCGAAGATAGGTTGATCTTATTTTTCTCTACTTGATTCTCATTGTGAAGCTTCCTTAATAGTGAATTAGCTTTTGGTAGCTCAGTTTTAGGTTGGGAATGATCGAGAGGTATTTGTTGCTTCTTTAAATGAATGCAATGATGATCCTCTGCATGTCTGTGAAACGCACAAAATGACTTGTTACATTGACTACATTTGCACATTTGAAATTCGTTACATCCCCCAAATGCACAATTATCATCTTTTCGTTTCTCAACTTTGCATCCATTCTCAATATGTCTATGAATCACTAAATTGTTGTCTTCGAGAGGAAACTGTTTGGAAACAAACACTCCACACAATGGACACTGAGGAATTTCGCTCTTCTTTAATTCCATTTCAATATTAAAGGAGGGACATTGATGAGAAGCACATTCTCGATGTTTGGAACAAAAATGTTGATGACAATGTGAACACTCAAAGGGAAGAAAGTCCTTTTGTCTACACGTTTCCACACAACAGTGTTTGCCTAGGTCATAAAATTCTGTCATTGCTAATCAAAGTCTGTGATGAAGATGGGGTTTGATGTTATTTTTTTGAATGTAGGCAGCTGCTTTATTTCAATTTAAGGAAATGGACAACGTTAAAATAAAAATAGCGGAGAGTTCCTTAGTGCCAGACAAGCTTCGGAAGAGGACTTTCTTGACATTACGGAAACGCACAAATACTTGTTGTCATTGTTGAATGAACATTTCAGTCCTTGGAATTACAGTTACTGTATTGGTGCATGAAACTTGTTCAATTCTCGGGTCAGCCAATTGAGTCCCTGGGATCATGTACATTTCCCGCAACAGCCTGAATTGTTGTCTTTCATCCCTGACGTGTTAGGTTAGAAGGTTACGTCCCTAATTTGCATCAAAATTCTCGGAGCTATCAATGTCCGGCTTAAAAGACTCTTTTTTCAAAAAAAACAAAGTTATTGATGCTGAACCCTTCGCTTGCAACCTGGGGCTGGGTTCTGACCGTGCTGTTATTATTTACACACTCGACGTGTGCACAATTTTCAGTGCTCGACAACATTTCACACTCAGAGGGAGATGCTGTGCTCAATTAACTCGGAACGGAGATTTGAGATCGGTCTTCCTTAATGAAATTGAAAGAGGTGGCGGGAATTGGGAGATACCATTTTTTTTTGAACGTTCCAGTGAAACGATGTTGTTTCAAAAGTTTTGTGCCTTAATCCCAAATTTTTATTATGAACATCCCAAAAGTTATTTGGTAGGATTTAACGACTTTTTGATTTCTTTTGTGGTTGTGGTGGAGTATATGGAGCCTTTTTAATGATCCATTTGTAGGAATATCCTCCATCAAGTTGAAGGACATCGGTTGGATGCATTAGAGTATGGATTGGCATTTTCTTAAACATGGTCTGATCAGGATTACATTTAGCTGCGTCTGATACCATTAATGCAAACCCTTGAATGTCCTGAATTACTTGAGTGCGGAGACCTGTTCTCTTTAGCTTCCACGAATAAAGGTCTTTTCTTGGGACGATTTCATTCTCGTCAACTGGGGCGTAATCAAACTCTGTGTCATGTCCATCCCCATGCATTGTCACAACTTCCCTTCCTTCGTTTGTGGTCGGATTTTCATTTTGTGCAGTTAATACTCTGAGCAATTGAGTTGAGAACCAGGTTTTCAACGCATAAGCTGCCCATTTTGTTCTCAGTGTAATGTTCTTTAAAGAAGAACTTGTACACTCAATGAAGAGTGCTTTTTGGAAGGCCAGTACCATCAAAAGGCAAACCTTGCACCATAAAGTAGAGAAGCATTAGTGCCTTATCACAATTTCGATAAGGACCAGGACTATCACCACATTTGGCAAACTGTTGAAGGAATATGAAGACAGGGATGTAACGTAACTTATTTAAAAGTTTTTCCCTCACCTTATCCATCTGTGGCACATTCTGAACTCTTGTTCTATGGTATTTTGTGTGTACTACCATCACATGAGGTTGCGATAAATTTTTCCACTCAGTGGACAACAGCTTCTTTACCTCTGTGTTCTTTGCAGAGGATAGGTTGTCGAACATTTATTTGGTTTCATTGTTTACCGTAGCGACCAGATCTACCGTATCTTTGGTTCATGGAGGGCAATTAGGGATTGGCTTCAACCAATGAAACCGATAGGTGTCGGGGAAATTAACTCGTCCCAAATAACCTGAACCATCCCAAATTTTGGCTGGCTGAGATTGGTCCATCCCAAATGTATTGAAACATTTCCATGAGAATTTGGAGTTTCAACGGAACCTGGTCTGGTCGTTGCCACGGAAACAGCTCTCTCACCTCACCATACGGTCCGACAACAAGTTGCAAATTTCCATCCTGTAACCTTCATCTATCCTTCAGAGAGGAACTTTTTCAACAATACTTCATTATGGTCGACGACCACAAATACCACTTTTTCGTCACGAGTCACTGTGGAAGCATCTTCCACCTCAACAACTCCACACACGATTGACACCGTTCATCCAATTAATTTCCAACACATGCCATACACACGACAACAAGAGACCAACAACCAAAACGCACAAAATGTGGATCCACAGAAATTGTATTGCTATCAAACATTTCAACAAGTGGTTAACAGTCAACCAAGTGCATCGATAAACCTCTTCATGGGAAAGAAGAATCAATCTGCAGTGAATGATGAAAGCAATCCATTCTGCTCACTTACAAATCCATGTCAACACATTCAACAAGCGCTTCAAGAATTGGCAAAAGTGATGAATCGTTCTGAATTTTTGCCATTCATTTCCATGAATCGGCAACGAGCAGTAGTGGTTTTTATTCAAATTACAGATGATATTGAAGCAGAGGATATTAATAATGTACTATTAACACCCATGTATTCTGGATTGCAATATTATTTTACATTTTCGAGTTATTCAACAGATGGCAGAACATTCAAATTAAATTTTAATGAATCCAAGATTGACTTGGGCAAAATGGAACCTCTTTCCATTATACAGTCTAGAACAGACTTGGTATGGATGGTTTTCTTTAATTTAAATATTGAGAATATAGTACTAATGTCGAATGACCTATCAGGACTTGCATTTTGTTCTTCAGGCATCAATAACGGCTATGTCATGACCGATTCGATGATGCAATGGTTTAGTATAGAAACATCGATAGTTCAGAAATCTCAATTTTATGTTCGAAGTCCTGTGAAACTCTTTGTGGTCTATACACAATTTTCTATATTTAATATGCTGTATTTTAGAAATATGCAACAGACCATTCTTTCGAATATACTCGTACAAGATAGTAGATTGCAATTAACAGTAGAGAAAAGTGATACGATGTTTCTTCAACATTCTCAATTTTTTAATTACACTCTAGAATTTACTACTGCAAATATTAAGGAAATGCACATTAGCTATTCTAAATTTATTAATAGTACCAATTATAATGGTATTGTAACTTCTACACATGGGGATATCTATCAGGTAGCAGCATGCACTTTTCAAAATTCAGGGCCTTTTCTATTTGTTCGAGCATATCTTAGAATTGAATTCATGTTTAACACAATTGCAGACAACACAATACAAGAAGCATTCAATTTCAAAATGTTTTATGGAGTAGTTACAATTTTGAGTTGTGTTGAAGTATATATGCAGTCTTGTTCTTTTCGAAATAATAGAGGCATTGGTAAAGCATCGGCTCTCTTTTTTTCAGACGTGGATCGAATTACATTGAATGCAACCCAATTTGTAGATGGATTCAATGGAAGTGCTGTCTTGTTAGAGAATTACCAAACAAGATACATTGAAGGAGTTTATAATACAATCATTACGAACTGCTTATTTGAGAATAATAAGTGTGATTCATTTGGATGTGCGTTCAATATTGCAAATTCAGCTCTTGATGTCTACGTAATGAATAGTGTTTTTAGGAATAATGTAGCAGCTATGGGAGGAGGAGCCATCTATGTTGAAATTGCACTCTTTTTACGTCTTTTGAATTGTACCTTTGATCAAAATCGTGCCACCTATTCGGGTCAGGTTACCATCTCCAATGGTTTAAAACAAATAGGTGCTGGTGGTGCTGTCAATATCTATTCCAGTATCCTTCCAATGGAAACGAATACTCTCATTAGAGATTGTACCTTTATCAAAAATACGGCCGTGGTGGGTGGTGCTTTGTATTATGTAGCGGAAGCGACCAAAATCATTGAAAATTGTGAATTTAAGGAAAATGTCGCATTCAAGAAGGGTGGTGCAATTTTTCATTACAACAGTCTTTTTAAAGAAACACCAATGCAAAATGTGAGATTTGAAAATAATAAGGCACTATTGTTTGGAAATGATTACATTTCAGACATTACTAAACTTTCCTTTGAGCTTGAAGACGGTGTTACAATGCTAGAACTCACACCTGGAGAGTCAATGAGAGTGAATGGAACTGCCACTTCTTTGAATGCATCTGTTCCACTCAATTTGGAAACTCTATTTATCGAAACATTATATCCTCAATTATATATCATATCCAAGCAGTACAGTGATTATATGAACATTTCAGCGTATTATCGAATCACAAACAGCTCTGAAGTAGTGGATTATGGAATATATAATTCGACTGTGAGAACAGAAACTTCTCGACAGGAAAAGTTCATTCCATTTAAAATGAATCCATGCAAACAAGGATATCGATTGGCATTGGTTGACGTGGATGGAACTTCCTCTCTCTACTCTTGCCAATACAATCAAGAACTTCCCGTAGCAATCGTCTTGCTTGTAGTGCTACCAATTATATTTATTGTCTTTGTCATTGGTACATGTATTGGTGTGTTGTGTGGAGTGAACATTTGTATTGATATTCGACGAAGATTGAAACGACTCCATGAAAAGGAGAAGGCAGAATTGTCTGTAGAACAGAAAATTATTGATAAGGCCATTATCTTTAATATTAACAGTGATGATCATGACACGACCTCAGTAGACAAGTATTATTCTAAAAGTAGTGGTAGTGGTCGTAGTAGTTCCAGTAAGAAGTCTCACAAAGATGAACTCCGATCTCCATTATTGACCTCCACGGCAGATGCACCCTCGATTGAAATGGAAAAGAAAGCCATGTCATTCCTAATTCCTATTACAGATCTTACTATCATTAAGAAAATAGGAGAGGGTGGTATTGGTACTGTTTATTTAGGGAAATGGAAGGATAGGGATGTGGCCATTAAATCATTGAAAGCTCGAATCGATGACGATAATGATGAGTTTGAAAAGGAAGTTTCTCTTCTCGCCTCATTACGTCATCCATGTATCTTACAACTCTTTGGAGTTTCAGTTTCAAAAGAAAACAAATTTATGGTCACTGAATATTTAGAGAATGGTTCTTTGGAAAGAATTATTTACAATTGCAGAGTGGGAAAACAATCCCTATCAATTCTTGACAAGTTGTCGATATTACAGGATATTTCAAGTGGAATGGATTATTTACATTCATTGACTCCTGCTATTGTTCATCGTGACTTGGTAAGTCAATTCATTATACATTTTGTTCTTATCTAAATGTTATTATATTTGTAACTTTCTAACAACAGAAACCAGGGAATGTACTGCTTGATCGAGCGAATCGATGTAAGGTCTGTGACTTTGGGTTATCAAGAACTATTGGAACCTCTTCGTCTTACACCATGACAAGAAATGTCGGTACTCTATTGTACATGTCACCTGAAATGATCAGTGAAGAAGAAACATTTGATTCCTTAAATGGAGTTGATAGAAAAAGTGAAAAGGCTTTGAAAGCAACCAAAGTGGATGTCTACAGCTTTGGAATTATTATGTGGGAATTATTCTTTGAATTACCTCCATATACTGAGACGGAGAAGGTTGGACTTTCATCTGTCAAAGCAACAGCATCTATTAATATTCTGAATTCTGTTTTGAAAGGAAAGAGACCAGCAATACCATTTACAAATGAGGAGGAGTTGTCACAGTGGCTCATTTTGTATCCTCTGATTGGATTTAGACGTAACAGCATGTTACTTTCGGCCATTCTGAAATATTTTGATTTAACCAGAGAGTGTTGGATTGCTGATGCACTGCAACGACCTTCATTTCACAGCATCGTGAAATGTCTGCAAGACATTGAGCAACAAATTAAAAAGAGCACAGAACTCTAAGGCATTCTCTTTGAACAACATCTCTCTATTTGTCCACTTCCTTAATTCACAAAATGCGTCATTATGAAAACACGCCTTGGCTGTTGTTAACTATTGCTCTCGTTTCGATTCAACTTTCGAATTTGAAATTCCATGCGCACAGATTCCTTTTGCGTGTTCGCGTCAAGCGCACTAGCGAAGTCGCATAAAATTTTCATCGGTCGACATCATCGGAGGAGTTTAGCTAAAAACAAGTACAACAGCCGCCTCAAAGAGACAAAGAAGAAAAAACAACCCCAACAACCATACGTACTCGTTCATTCACTGTATAGAGATTCAATTCCTACATTGTTGTCCGACCAAAACGATTGAAAATCTTCACAAAGTTGTTGTTGCAAACCGGAAACTACAATATTCATTTCAACAGTAATTTATAGTCGTTGTACATAACACCTAACCCTTTTCATCCCGAAAGGAGTACACACCTTTTCTCTCTCGTCATCAAGTCTACGCCTTCTTCCATTTCTTCAATTTTGAACATTCCGAAGAAATGAACGAAAACTCTTCCAACATGATTGTGTCATCAACACCGAGAGCTACAAATTCTGTAGTCGGTGATGAAAAACCTGCTCCTACCATCATTGAAATTGAACAACCACAAACTCTCTCAAGAAATCCTTTCAAGAGAAGAAAGCAAAGGAAAGAACAAGCACAAAAAGCAAAAGATGAAGAAATTCCGGATCCAAGAGAACCAAAACTAAAAAGATTGGACCACTGGACGATTTACAAAATGTTTGGAGTTTCCAATTGGTTTTTGATTTTCTTGGGTTGCATTGGAGCTGCTGGTGCTGGTGTCATTCCACTTTGTTTCCAATTTGTTTTGGGAGATTTAATCAATTCCATTGCTAAATACTATAATGAGCCTGATAAATTGAGAGGAGATATCAATTGGATGGCTGGTCAATTTGCAATCATTGCTTTGGCAGCCACAATTGCCAACACCATGATGCAATTTTTCCTTTCCTGGGCTTCTGAAAGAATTGGTACTAATTTAAAAGAAGGATATTTTAATGCTTTAACTGCACAAGAGATGGCATGTAAGTATCATGTTCACAGAATTCAAATGAAATTGATAGATACCTATTGAAAAATTGTGTTCCATAGTTTTTGATATCAAGAAAGTTGGTACTCTTACCATTGCTCTCAGTGAAGATGTTGCAAAAATTCAAGAAACATATACGATGAAGTTTGCTACATTTATCCAACAATTCACTCAATTCATTGTTGGTATCATCCTTGCTTTTATATCCAGCTACCAAATGTCACTGGTAATGTTGAGTACGAGTCCCTTGATGGTTGTTTCTGTTGGTGTACTTTCTCAATTAATCAAAGTTTTTACAAAGAAGACTAATGAAGCCAACGAACACTCAGCTGCAATTGCTACTGAAGTTATTTCGTGCATGAGAACTGTCAGAAGTATGGCAGGTGAAGAAAAGGAACAACAACGATTTAAAACCGATTTGAAAATGGTCAACTTTTATGGATTATTTAAGGCCCTTGCTCAAGGAAGTACATTTGGAGGTGTATCATTTATTTTGTGGGGCACAGTTGCTCTTGCTTTTTGGGTAAGTTATTTTGAAAACATGAATCAATGTAAAAGATTTAATACTATTATTTAAACAGTATGGAGGTGGCTTAACTGTTGATAAGGTGATTACAGTCGGAGACATGTTTAAAGTATTTGGTTTGATGCTTATGGGTGTCCTTGGTTTGTCTCAAGCATTTACCTTCTTCCCTGATCTCACCAAGTCAAGAATGAGTCAAGAAACACTCCTCAAAGTCATCAAAAGACAACCAGAAATTCCATTCAAGGGAGGAAAAACTTTGAACAAGATTGAGGGTAACATTTCTATTCGTAATGTTGACTTTATTTATCCATCAAGACCTAATATTGTGGTTTTGAAGAACTTCTCATTGGATATTAAACCAGGTCAAGCAGTCGCTTTGGTTGGACCATCAGGATCAGGAAAATCGACCATTGTCGGCTTGGTAGAACGATTTTATACTCCTAAATCTGGACAAATCTTTATTGATGGTGTGGACATTGCCGAATTAGACCCAATGTGGCTCCATAGAAATATTGGTATTGTCACACAAGAACCTGTTCTCTTTGCAACAACTATTAAGGAAAATATTGCATATGCTGTAGGATTGGAAAATATCACAATGCAACAAATTGAAGAAGCTGCTAAAGCTGCCAATTGTCACAATTTCATCATGGACTTACCAGAAGGTTACAATACCATGCTTGGTGAGAAGGGTGTTTCTTTGTCAGGTGGTCAAAAGCAAAGAATTGCCATTGCTCGAGCCTTATTGCAAAATCCAAGTGTTTTGCTTCTAGACGAAGCAACTTCTGCATTGGATACTGAAAGCGAAGCGTTGGTGCAAGCTGCTTTGGATCACTTGATGAAAGGGCGTACAACCATTTGTATTGCTCACAGACTTGCCACTGTCAAAAATTCAGATGTCATTTGCGTCCTAGCTAAGGGTGTATTAGTTGAGAAGGGCAAACACGAAGAATTGTTGCAAATTGAGAACGGTGTTTACCGAAAGCTGGCAGAAAAACAGATGGCATTTGGTGCTGTTTCTGGGATGGACAAATCTGCAAGCAAAATGGATTTGGAAGTTGTCATGGATGTGATCGAGGAATAAACTGTTTAAACTTCCTTTTGAACACACAACATACTTTTGGAATCTTGTGACAGAGTTTTGATGTTTTACTTGCTTTGACAAAGAGCAATCAATTTGCTTGAGTTTTCCTGAGGAAGATTGGCAAGTGCTTGTTGGACATGTTGAGGATTCTGTTGCTGCAAATGCTTAACAATCTCAACCATGTCTGCTTGAGTTTCAGGTGTAACAGCTTCCGTTCCAACCACGGTGGAAAACACTCCAATTAGATGTTCAATGTTTCCTAGCACCACTGTATTTCCTTGCTTGACAAGATTCACCAGTTTTTCATGAACAATTTTAGCCTCAATAAAATCACCACCAACAGGTAAAGCGCTGAACCAGAACCGTAAAAGATCATCAAATTGACTACCTATTTTAGGAGCTCTAAATTCCAAACATTTGAATAAAGCACTCACTGCATTACAAGTAGCAGGTAAACTGTCTGGATAGGTTGCATCTTCTCTTTGAATTTGTTGTGTTAACACTGGTACTACTTTTTCAACATAAGGATCGAACGAAGCATCTGCAAACTTAGCACAAGCACCTAGTCCATACACTGCTGCTTGTCTCACCTCTGGATTATCCGAAGGTGCATAAGCTAAAAAGCATTGAATAATATATTCAAACATCTCCATAAAATGTCGTTCTCCCTGTTCTACAAAATCGCAAAGAACACACAAAGCAATTCTGTGCTCCTCATCAGAATAATCAGCTTCTAAAACTACTCGATATGTATCCCATAAATGTTCTTTGAAAGGCGCCCATATAAATTGTTTTTGAATCTTCATCATTGATCCAACAAATTCAGATACTGTGGTAATGAATTGTTCCTCTGCCTCACAATCAGCATCCAGTCGAAGTTGTTCTTCGTCATCATCTTCATGGTCAATTTCTGCCATAATTGCTTGCTTTCTTGATAAAGAATGAAGTAAAGCAATCTTGAGAACTTCACATGAGAGAGCAACTTGATCAGCATTCATACTATTTTCACCAACTTCAACAACACAGTCATTCAATGACTCTGTCAATGCAGTTGCAGTCTTTACATCTGGCTCAACCTTTAAAGCAGGTAAAATGTGTAACAAAATGAAATCTAAAAGTCCTTTCAATGTGTGTGGTTGTGCTTTACCCTTTTGGACAGCCAATTTAACTGCTTTGATTAACTTGGGCATAATGGTTGCGCTTGTATCTCTAATGTCTTCCATGTATGGGAACTTCAAAAGTGGTACCATAATGTCAGTGATGTCCTTAACGTAAGGCAACATGGCATCTTTCAAAACAACCACATAGGAATAGAGGCATGAACATGCTAAATGCTTTTCTTCCAATGTAGAGGTTCTAATACTAATAACCTTATCACCAACTCCCTTAATTGAGAGTGTGACTGACTCCATTCCTTCTTCTTCAGTAGCATCTCCTGCACTATCAACATCAGAAATTGTAATATCAGGTTCGATGGCTGCTGATTTCAACAGTGGTGGAATTGTAAAGTTAAGATATGGGATAAAATCTTCACCCAAACATTTTGCAATTCTTGTGTAAGCTTGATGCAAATGTTGGACAATTGGATCGTCGCTATCTTGAGTTTGTTGTTGAGTATTAATCAAAACTTCCATTATTTGTCTAGCATCAGGACTAAACTTTTCCTTTCCAACAGCAACTCCAATTAAACTGACACATTCAATAGCACGAGATCTCAGCACACGCTCTTGCTTACCAGTGCCATGTAACAAAATTTCCTTCAAGAATGGCATAATATAATCGTAATAGTTGATGAAAAGATGCTCTGCACAATCTGCGACAGCAGAAATAGCAGAAAGGGATTGTTCTTGAACATATCTCCGTCCAGTCTTCAATAAATCTAACAGCTTGGAAAGAATGCTGTCAAGATATGGTTGAACATAAACATTCTCGCAATCTTCAACAAAGTTGACAACAGCAGTGGCTGCATGAGATTGAACTTTTGCATAACTATCTCCCATTCCTTGAAGTAAAGCAGGAACAATCAATTGATGGAACTTGGATTGGATAGTTCCAGCAAAATCTGTAGACATTTGAGCAGCACAGTGAATAGCTGCATATCTCACACGTGGATGAGGGTCTTGAAGTCTACCAACAACCATTTGAACAATTTCGTTCAAATACTTTCCGTATTGTTCATTGCATCCCTCAGCAGTTTGTGAAATAGCCATTATTCCAGTGTGTCTATATCTCCAATCATTTTGATTATTGATAAAGTCTGGAATGTACTTGAAGGCAACTGTGGCTACTTGTTCAGGATTCACTCCAGACAAAGCTAATCTATCCAAAGACTCCAATCCAACGTCGTAATTTGACAATTCGGTATCATTATCTTCGTAAGTGCTTGACCATTCGTTTTCATCGTGTTCAATATCAAGCATAAGATTCATACACAAAGGTAATAAATTCTCAATAAAGTTTGGAATTCTTCTGACAGTTCCTGGTGAAGCCTCAGAAAATGAAACCATGAACTCTATTGCCAAATGTCTGACACCATCTTCGATTTGACTTGTGCTTGCAACTTGGTACATGGCTTGCACAACTGCAGAAGCATATTGTTTAAAGAAACTTGTTTGGCTCACAACCACCTCAATCAACATTTCAATGCAACTTGAAGCATTTTGAGTATTATTATCGTTAAGTTGAGTTGCCAAAATGTTCAAAAGTTGAGGAATGCAGGTTGCAAAGGCAGGAGTTTTAGGTTTTTCAATGACATTTACCACAGAACACAGAGCTTCAAAAGCATCAATTTGAACCTGTTGATCCTTATCTTGCAAGCAAGAGCTAACAAGTTGATGAATTTGTTGGAGATATGGGTCTAACCCTCTATCTAACAAGTATGTTGCAAGTTGATTGAAAATACGCATGGCACTACTACGAAGCAAAGGATTTTGGTCGGTGGCCCAGTTGAAAATGGTAGGAAGAAATTCAGGATATTGGTTCTCCTCGAGGAGTCCAGAAACAAATCCTGATAATGTATAAACGAGTTTGCTTCTGATATGGCTCACTGTTTCTTGCGCCAACGCTTGAAGTAACTCTGTTTTTACCACTTGTTGTGTTTGTGGTGTAAGAGATTCGTAGAGACTGTCATCCGTCTTGGTGATGACTTTTCTCAAAAGCACACAAGCAAGACTTCTCACCTATTGTTGTTAAACACATGAAGTATTGTGATGATTCGCCACGAGATGTAACCAATGTGCCGGAAATGTTGTTGACGTGTGCCGATTGGATTCAAGAATTAAAAGTTAATTTTCACAAATGATTAACAATAAACGGTTCGATGAAATTTGGCCAAAGTTAGCATTGTTGCATCCATTGAATATTAGTAATAATGAACGAGAAAACAACCTACATGTATTTGTTGAGAATTACGGAGTAGATGGAGCAAAGAACCCACACAAAAGTCAGGATTTGACTTGGAAGCATTGAATAGTTGTTCCGCGTGGTTTCTCACACTGTTATCGTGAGAGAGAATATTAGCAATGATTTGCTCAAACTCTTGTATGTTCGACATTGAACTTGTTGTTGGTAGATATGGTGGAGAAGAAAATATAAATTATGATGATTAGGAATACTAGGAGATAGGATTGGTTGCTGTCTTGGGATGATGGTTATAGAGTTGAAATACGTACAATAATGAAGTAGAACCGATAAAACACCTTTTTGAGAGGCTTTCAACAACAATTTTGAGCGACGGAGCAGGCACTCGATAAGATGGTGGTGCTTGTTGAAAATTATTTTTTTAAAGCGGCTTTTTTGAATTCCTTTGCTTGGAATTGTGACTTTAAACCATCCTGTAAAACCTAACATCTAAAACTACGTTCTACACTTATTTCACTGTTGTTGAGGAGCAATAATAATTAAATTTAATTATTATTGAGCACCACCTTTATAAGCCCATATTTGACAACTGTAAAAAAATACAACAACGCTCAGTTATTATCGGCCTCCTTCTTCTAATAGTGATTGCTGAAGGCAAAATCCGAGCACCACTCATGGTTATTTTACTGTGATTTATAACAAATATATCATCACAATTAATTAAATAATTTTTAATTTTCAAATATGACTGGCGGAAAGTTGCAAGACTTGTGGGCTTTGAGATCAAAACGTATGGTCTCTTCCCTCACTCACATTCACAAGGTAATTATTTACTTTAGCTGGTGATGAGGTCCGAACGAAAGAATTGATATTTCATCAAACAGTATTTGACAGGATATATTTTTTGTTTTGGATACCTAGTTTACAAATCTTACGAGCATTTTCAAACATTTAGATGGTTGGGAGGAACAATGGAGTTCTCTCCAAGCACTCTTGAAAAATTTAAAGAATTATTTCCTCTAGAATTTGAGCTGATATCTAAATTGAAAAGAATACGAGATTTGTCATTCAATGTTTTTGCCCCAGCTGGTTTAGGTTTAGGGTTATCCTTTTTATATCCATGGTATTTTCGTACTCCTCAACTGCATCATGTGAGCACACAAACAGTACTAACAAGAGGTTTTAAAGTTATTTATTTTTCATTGGTCTCTGCTATGGTGGCTGGATACTTGCCATTTTTGTATGCTTACAATAATATTGCTCCCAAGCATATGTGTGAAGAAGCAGCATTACATTTCTACTCATTCAGCATGACACAGAAAGACAAGGATTGGACGAAACGGCTGGTGGTGTCTCGTCACGGCATTAAAGCACATCCCTTTCAAGACTTTAAAGATTGAGATTGTTAAGGAAGTCAAGAAAAGAAACACTAAAAAATGTCTTGCTCAACATTCACTGTTTTGTTGCATTAGTTTAGAAGTTTGGAACATCAGCTTCAATAGGCAAGACAGCTACATGTAATTATCAGCCGCCGTCAATTGTTCATCAACATTTTAAAAAATCTACTCCTCTCTCGGTACATCAGGGTCCTACGTACACAATGGACGAGCGCATTCTACTCATCCGAATTACCATCGTGTTCGGATCAGCAAAGTACAATGTTTTTTGTTGTTGTGCCATTAATTCTTGATGAGTCTTTGCTGGCACTCAAGCCGTTAAAAAAAAATAGACGGATTCAAAAATTTTTTAAACTGCATGTGGAACCATCATCACCAGTAATAACAACTGCGATCGTGTAAACATGCCATACAATACTAGAAATCGAGGCGAATCCACACATTCGTATTCTCAATATTTCGAAGAGCCTCTTGACGATGATGAAGCACAAGAGAATGAAGATAACACTCAATATCACAAGGTAGGTGGTTAGTGGATTACGTTACGTGTATTAATGCTAGAGGTAGCCACCCGCATCTAGAACGAGACATGTTCCGAGAAGATCCTACAAGGAGTCTTCAAGTGAGAGTGAAGAAATCGATCAAGAATTAGCTGCTTCTAAACGGGCATCCAGAGCAGGACGAGGAAGAAAAAAAGCAATCGACGAGGAGGAATTGGATGAGCCTGAAGAACCAATGGAGACAATTGCATCGAGCAGACCTAAAAGAACTGTTCGAAAGAGTCAACACTATGAGGATTATTATGTTGATACAACTGTCTATTCCGGAGAGGAAGAACCTCAACAAGAAGAAAAACCAACAAGAAGAAGAACATACAGAAGAGGTGTTGTAAAATCAAGAAATAATTCTTTGGATTTGAAAAGAGAATTGATTGAAACTAATCAACAAAACATTAATACCGAATATAATCAAGTGCCAACAACAGCAACAACACACACCAGCTTGAATGTTCTACCACCTTCAACAACATCTGAAGTACTTGAGAGTGGAAATGCTGACAATTTATTTAGTAACAATGTTCATGCGGATTTTGCATCGAAAAACCAAGTTTTAAATAGTGCTACGGAGCCCTTACAACCACCAACTATTGATCAAAACACGAATCACACATTAACACTTAATAATAACGATACATCACTCAATAGAAGCCAATCGGCGATTTCTGAACAAAGTGAGGACACAAACAAAATCAAAAAGAGAAAGAAGGATGAGGATGATGAAGATTTTGTGATGGATGAAGATGCAGAGGAAGCCATTGAGGTGTCTGATGATGAAACTATTTCAGAGTCTCTATCTGAAAGAGAAGAGGAGTTGGAGTTGGAAGAGCAACAACCTAGGAGAACTAAAAGAACAAAATATAATGAACTCGACGACGAAGAAGAGGTCATTGAAGAAGGAAAGACGGGAAAGGACATTAAAAAGAGACTACGTCCTCGAACTCAAGCACAAATGAATCCATACAGCCATCCATCATTTTCTCCAAGAACAGAGATATCAATTCCATCCAAGATTACAATGCTAAAAGAACAAGAAAGTCTACTTGCTCCCTTGAATGCCTTGAAGTTTGAATTCTCTGAATCGGACACGGACAGTGACGATGAAGTGGAGAATCCAATGTTTGGAAAAAAGGGAGCTTATGATCATATTAAGCCCCTCAATAAGGAACAATTGAAGAAACGGCCATCTGCTGATATTGATCCACTTTTCTCAAAGCCTGTAGGATTTGACATGGTTGGTGGATTGCATAAGCATATTACTGCTCTCAAGGAAATGGTGGTTTTACCGTTGCTGTATCCTGAAATGTTCAGCAAGTTTGACATTACACCACCAAGAGGTGTGATATTTTATGGACCTCCCGGTACAGGTAAAACGCTCGTTGCTCGAGCATTAGCTAGTACATGTGGTACAAATACTTCAGGAGGAAGCAGACCAATCGCTTTTTTCATGAGAAAGGGAGCTGATGTTTTGAGCAAATGGGTGGGAGAAGCCGAAAAACAATTACGTTTACTATTCGACGAAGCTAAGCGACTCCAACCATCCATAATCTTTTTCGATGAAATTGATGGATTAGCACCTGTAAGATCTTCCAAACAAGACTATGTACATAGTTCAATAGTTTCCACTCTGTTAGCACTCATGGACGGACTTGACAGTAGAGGACAAGTTGTTGTCATTGGAGCTACCAACAGAATTGACTCTATCGATCCTGCTCTAAGAAGACCTGGCAGATTTGACAGAGAGCTTTTATTCACACTTCCTTCAAAGAAAGCAAGAAAAGATATTTTAGAAATTCATACCAGAAATTGGTCACCTCAACTTCCTGATGATCTTAAAAACTACATTGCTCTTAAATCTGTTGGATATTGCGGAGCTGATATTAAGGCACTTTGCGCTGAGTCTGCACTGAACGCATTGAAGAGAAATTATCCACAAGTGTACTCGAATCCTTCCAGACTTTTATTGGATTTGAACTCCGTAGAGGTTACAAAAGTAGATTTCTTGCGTGCTATGAAAGATATTGTTCCAGCAGCTCACAGAAATGCTGTTATTCATGCTTCACCTCTCCCAATACAACTTGCTCCATGCCTTGAGCATAAATTATTAGACGTGATCAAAATGTGTACAGAAGCTTTTCCAATTTGCTCAAAGAGTATAGAAGACAAGGTTGAGACAGAAATTGATCGAACTGAAAACCCTCTTTTTGACGATTTTGAAGGGGTTGACGAAAAAACCTTTGAGAAGAATTCAAGTGACTTTTTCATTAATCCGCCAACCTTTAGACCTTGGATTCTTATTTCTGCAAAACAAGGAATGGGCCAAAATTATATTGCCAGTGCACTTTTGTATCATCTCGAAGAATTTCCTTTGTTTTCCTTGAGATTTGAAAATTTAATTGCAAACACCTCCTCTCGAAGTGAAACTGAGGCTATTGTGAATATTATTTCAGAAGCAAGGAAGAACGCTCCTTCCATTATTTGGATTCCATATATTGATAAATGGTTTGAGAAGAGCACAGACCTTATGAAATCGACTCTAATCTCTCTACTTAATGACATTCCTTCTTCGGTACATGTACTGGTATTGGCCACGACAAATGATCAGCTTGAGACAAATCATGTGGTTGAATCTGAGCTGTTTGTAGACTATAGATATGAAGTTGTTGAGCCAACTGTTGAAGAAAGAAGAAATATGTTTAGGGTAGTTTTGGATGATGTAACCAGACCACCACTAAAGCCAAAACGCTCAAGAAAACCATATCCAGAGCTTCCTTTAGCGCCTCCAGTTGCTTTACCATCTAAAGAAGAAAACGAAAAAAAGCCAACAAAACTTACAAGACAGGAGAAGGATGATTTGAGAGAACTCAGAATTTCACTTCGTGAGTTTATGACTCGTCTCATGAGCAATAAGGTTTATACGCCTTTTTTGAAACCTCCCAACGAAGAACAACGTAGATTAATTACAAACAACGAGGATATTGCTGGAGGTTCAAATGGAAAGATTTATCTTCAAGACATCTTATTGAAGCTAGAGATGAGAAAATACTATTCTGTCAAAGAGTTTGCCCTGGATATTGAACGAATAGTAACCAATGCGGTACATTACATTAAGCATCCTGCCAAGTCTTTGGACATTTTAAGCATTACTAGTAAGGCGAATGCTCTGTATGACTCGGTGAGACAGGCCATTCATTTACAAATCCCAGAAGATTTGAGAAGAAAATGCAAGCAAATCGCTAAAAAGCATCGTAGAGCAGAAAGAACAATGACAGAAAATGCACAACAAGCTTCCTCCTCATCGGCCAATACTGGCGTTCAAGCAGGTGATTTGCAAGATCAACCAATCATTGTTGTGGATGCAGATGCACAACAGCAATCATTGAACAACAACGATGTGGCCACTACGATCACTCCTCAGCTCAGAGACACCTTGGGCGTCCAAGAGGATCAGATGGTAGATGACTTTACAACCACAGAACCTCCACCAAATCAAGAAGCTACTCTTTCACATTCTTTGATTCAAGATCTAGTTCCTACCAATACTACCGCTTCTACAACTGATATTGCTCCCTCGTCATTAGCACAGATTTCCGAAGAGAGATGGACTCCAAGAATGGAATTGGATCTCACCATTTCTTCCAACACCAACTTGAAACCAACCATTGAAGAAGAGGAAGAAGAAACTGATTTACCCATCTTTATCGATCGTGATCGCCTTAATACTTGGTTTGAGCAATTTATCTCTCTCACTGAGGGTTTTTCCTTAGAAGACCTCGACAAGGCTTTCAGCATTATTTACAAGACCATCTACCGACATCGATTCGAACAAGACCGAATGACTCTGTTGGACGAGTTGGAACGTTACGTTAAACAAGCGTTTGGCAATTCAAGAAAAAAATAAAAGAAGGTATCTCTCGCTAAGAGCGCTGTGATTATTCATAACAACAACAGTAGCTCTCTTTCATTTTACGTAGCATTTGGAAGACATCATCATCATAAGAATAGACATTTGCAGAATCAACACTGGAAGGAGTGGAGAGGCTCCGATCATTGATATCCGTAAAAAGAGAATGGCAACCAGAGCCTCAAGCGGTAGCACAAGCCGCTCGGGAACAGCAGCTCATACATCTTCCCGAAAAGACTTTGAAGTATTCAGCAAGTACAAAAGAGAACCGATTTTTGTTGACCTCTATCATCAACAAGGTACGTACCCATTCGTTGAGAGATATTTAAGGTTTATTTGGTGAAAAATATTCCAGGAAGAGACGCAAAATTATTCTATCACCAAGAAGGAAATAGAAATGTACAATTAGATTACACACCAAACATGTCACTAGTGGAACGAAGAGAGCCAGCCCTTGTGGACTACACAAAAAAAGGGCAATTTAGTAACAGGCTTTCGAAAATTATTAATGATCAACCCTCCACTTTGGATTATACGCCGCACTATTCCTCTGTACATGAACGAGTTAAGGGTGGTGTCAATATGAGAAAATCAACAGATAGAGATAAGCACTTTTTCTCCGTAAATGAATCTAAAAAGCAAAGTATAACAACGAATGTGGGTTTTGTCAACGCAAAATCAGCAATTGTGGATGAGCCGCAAAATCGTTTTGTAAAAAGAGCTACAAATATTTATCAAGGAAGTGAAACTCATGCGTTGGATATGTCAAAGATGACTTCACGATCAGACAGTGAGAGGGATTCAAACGATCCTGGTTTTAAATATCATCCCATTTATTCTGCAACCTTACCCAAAATTTCTCATTACTATGACATGGGAAAGCAAGCTGACAGAACGAAATCCAAAACAGCATGGATACCCTCGAGAACTGATTCTGTAAGTTTTGAATACTGGAGAAAATACTATTTGTTTTGAACAATTATGGAATTTATCAGTCACAAAAACATTATGATGTATCCTTTCAAGGTGTAGAGGTTCCTGTCAGGAATTATGTCAATATGAAGAAAAGTACAGGAAGAGAGTCCAAGAAAAAGAAAACAAGCCAAGTTGACTTGTCATACACCCCAAACTTTAACCTCACGGAAAGTAAAAACTCGTGGTCTACAGACTTGTTTCTTACCTCGGGAAGAAGGGATGACGTCTCAGATATAACGCAAAGTGCAGAAAACCTGGTGAGAAGAGTAAGGAGCGAACTGCGCAAGCTCAATCGTCTCAGTAACAGCTACAGCAAGTAAAGGATACGAGTTTATCGTTTAAATGCAAAACAATAAGTTACATGGATTTAATAATGAACTGTCAAATTTGTATCTATTTTCTCTTATAGAGATAGAGGTAGCCCATGTCAAATGGAGGGTTTTCACTTACGAGAACCTTGCTATCATTGTACAACACCCATTTCTGTTGGCCATCAACTTCTTTCTTCAAATGGCAAACATAGTGACCACATCCTGTATTGGCTCCAATATGGCTGATAAATCCAATCAATTCATATTCTATTGTTTTGGCAACGATTATCATTTGGCTTCGTAAATAATAACAAATTTTAGAATTACTTACTTCCAGAGCCATCAGTAAATGTTTCATGCTTCTCTTCTTTTGTGATGCCAGTACTTGGTGTCTCTTCCTTCAAATATTGATCAATGTCATCCATGTGACTGAAAAGCCATTCTGCAGCTCGTTCAATGTTGTTAGAAGTTTGCTTGAGAGCAACAACTGCTTGTTCTTTTGGAAAACCAAGGTTCATAATTGCTTCCACATCAGAGTCGCTTGGAGCATTGGATGAAGTACTTCCCGATTGTTTCTTAGAAGGTTCTGGGATGGGCTCATCAATATCTGCGTCTCCTGAATGATCAAACACCCAATCCATTGCTGCATCCAAACCAACATTATTGGTTTTCCATGCTCCTCGCTTGGCTCTATTTTCTGGAATACCCATTTCAACAAGACTTTGAACGATCTGCATGTCAATGTAAATGGACTCCTGCTTTGGTTCATCGGATGGAAGTTCTTGCTCATTTGGTTTCAAACCAGTGCCTCTAATATTTGTCAAATCTAACTCTTCTGCATCCGTGATAAAAACATCCAATTTCTTTGGAACCCAGCCATCCAAAACAAATTTTCTTATTTGAACAAACAAATAATCTGGGAATGTTGATAATTTGGTTTGCTTCAAGCCAATAGTCTTTCTTCCAAGTGCTGAGCTATAAAAGTTCTCAACTGCATCTACATCAGCAAATGCTTCGAGACATTTTGATAAAGGAACTTTTGGTCTAACTACCTCTTTGTTTTCATTAGAAGTGCCGATAGGTCGGCTATTCACGTTTTGAGCAAGCCCAAGCTCTTTTTCTTTTGCTTCTCTCTCTTTCTCACGCTTACAGAACTCGTCATATTCAGCCTTGTTCGTAGCTTCAGAAAGAGGAACTGGGAGCGAAAGTAAGTTATCTTTTCTGTGAGTGTATTTTACCTTCTTGGTTTCAGAGCATTCAATTCTCTCTTCAACTTTAAAATTGAAGAGATGAGTAATAGAATTTTCAAATCCAACCCTCTTATCTTCTCTTTCAATAAGTTGCAAAAGATATTGATAAAACTCAACTGAATCTTGTTGCCTCATAGTACTGAATTCTGCGTGACCCTTTCCAACAACACTTTTGAAAGATCTTGGTGGAATGCCCTCTTGGTATCTTCGTTCGTTATTTTCATCAAATTCTTCTCTTGAATAGTCACCGGACAATAATCCATAAGCTAATTTTGCCATTTGAAGTGTAAGCGTATCAATCGAGCTTGTGGATACATAGCATGACATTTCTCTGTCGTAATATCTCTTTTGGAATTCTGGAAGCGAAAACAGAGTTTGCATTACGCTAGCCAAATAGCAGGAATTGCCAATGTTTTTCATTCCTGTGTATCCTGGGCCATAGAGAGGTTGTAAATTCTTGTCACTTTCTTGAATTCTAGTAAAATCGAAATTCAAATTTTGATCAAGCTCCATTTCAGTCATAGTTTTGGCAGTCTTTTTCATTTCCCTAATATTAATTCCAAAGTATTCTAAATGTTCAACCAATTTAGAATCTTTAACCATTTTATCCTCTGCATATGAATACACATCTGCCTTGGGTTCTCCATGCTCATCTAATTGAATGGTTCCAAGTTTTACACAAATAGGAAACCCTGTTTGTTGGTAATGTTCTACAGCATGGTTATTTCCTCCACTGCCATCCCAGAATTTTCTTCCACATCCAATATGTCCATCACTAAGATTCAACCATAAATTGTCGGTGATATCACATTGGCTGCATTTCCAACCAGATGGAGGAACCTTCACGTTTCCAACTTGTTTCAAAGTCAACGTATGCTTTCCTTCATCCAATGGCTCACCTTCCCATTGCAACACCTCCTTCTTACGTTCTACTGCTTGATTTTCTAAAACGCCTTTGATGGACAGCTTGACTTTCTCTGGTAGATCATTGTTAGGCAATGGAATTACAACATTATTTGGCTCCAATAGCACCAAAGATAACAATTCATCGTACTGATCTTTGTCATCCTCCTCCTCTTCTTTAATATTAAAACCTCCCTCCACACCAATAGCCATTTTTGTGGGAACTTCTTCAACCTTCTTCTCTTCAGGTGGTGTCCATTTCTTAATTCTCTTAATATTCAAAAATACGCTATTACCAGTTAGTTCAAAATGTTTTCTGACAAACTTTTGAGAAAAGGCTAAAAAGGTATTCAAACAAATGTTCAAGCCTCCTTCTGATTTCTGTTATTATTATTACAATACGTTGATGTTTGGTTGCGATCTTATGAAAATGATACCTACTGGTGTATCAAAAGAAATACAGCATTCTTCCTTGTGGATTGGAGTATGTTGATTCGGAATGTTGATCTTGCTGAAATCAAATTTTAAAGAGGAAACATCAACTTGTGGTTGTTGCATTTTTTGGTGGTATTTTTAGCTGGATTCCATATTATCAATGCTTGACAATTCGCGTTCTACGAGGAGCACTGTGTAGTGGATGTATGTGTGTTTGGATGATCATCATGATGATGATAATATATAAAAGTTAATTAGGAAACATCACCTCATGCGTCCAAGACGATGATGATAAGAAAATTTAAAAATTAAAAAATGATTCATTTTATTCTCCTTCAAAATCGTGCCGGTAAAACTCGTCTCAGCAAGTGGTATGAAGCCTTTGAAGATGATGAGAAGGAAAAGATTAAAATTGAAGTCCACCGTTTGATTACATCTAGAGATCAAAAGTTTACCAACATGGTTGAATTCCGTAAATACAAAGTTATTTATCGTAGATACGCCGGCTTGTATTTTAGTATGGGAGTCGATGTTAACGATAACGACCTCGCCTATCTTGAATCAATACATCTCTTTGTTGAAGTTTTGGATCAGTTCTTTGGAAATGTTTGTGAATTAGATTTGGTTTTCAATTTCCACAAGGTAAGTCATTGGGCATTGGTTCCGGGTTTAGACGTGATCGCAACACAACATGTTTTTCTCTGTAATTTACGCTATTCATGTGTGGATATCAATTTACATTTTGTTTAATTTTTCGACATCATGATGACGACGATCTTTGACACCTATAGGTGTACATGATTCTTGATGAAATGTATATGGCTGGAGAAATCGAAGAAACAGCTAAACCTGTAATTTTGAGTCGTTTACAACTTTTGGACAAGTTAGAATAAGTTTGAATCACCAATTCATAAGGATTCTTCATCTTATTCCCGTCCTCTAATTTCCTCCCATAGTTCCTCCAATTTTGGATAACCCAAAATTATTTCAGTATTATTCAATAAATAACGTTACTTGTTTGAAATGTCAACAAGTTTTTACCTGAAGTAGTCAAATGTGGTGACAGAATTTATTCAAAAAGTTCAGGATGCTTTCTCTTGAAACCAGTAAAAGTGTTGGACATGAGCATGCAAATGGTCATTGGTCCAACACCACGAGGCACTGGAGTTGCAGCAGCTGCTCTCTTTTGCAAAGTTTCATCGAACTTAACATCACCGACCAATCTATATCCAGCTTTTTTGGTCGAGTCCTCAACAGCATTAATACCAACATCAATTACAATACTTCCCTCTTTGATCCATTCAGGTTGAACAAATTCTCGTTGTCCACAACATGCCACAACAATGTCAGCTTGTTTAACTTTCTCTGGAATATCCTTTGACTTGCTGTGAACAATTTGAACTGTGCAGTTCAACTTGTGTAAAAGCAGTAAAGACATTGGAATACCAACAATGTTACTTCTTCCAATGACGATGGCATTAGCTCCATCCAAATTCTTATTCAAAGTTTTAGCGGTTCTCTTAATTAATTCGAGACATCCAGCTGGTGTACAAGGAATAAAAGTTGGTTCTCTACCACGCATGGCCAATCTACCAATATTATAGACAGACAAGCCATCCACATCCTTTTCCAATTTAACCGATGACAATACTCTCTCCTCGTTAATGTGAGCTGGGAGAGGTAATTGGATCAAAATTCCATGAACTCTCTCATCTTCATTATATCGCTGAATAGCTTCAATAATTTGTTCCTCAGTTGTGTTTTCTCCGTCTTCAAAAGTTGTCTCAAAACTTCTCATTCCCAAGCTGATGCAAGTCTTCTTCTTCATGGAGACATAAGTTTGTGAATCTTTTCTTTGTCCTACTAAAATCACAGCCAATCCTGGACGTTTCACTTCATCCTCGCTCTTGCCGTCCTTTAATTGTTTTTCAACAACTTGTTTGATGGACTGGCTCACTTCCTCCTTGATTTCATCGGATATCTTTTGGCCATCAATAAGTAAAAATTCGTGTTGTTGAGTGCTTTCGGACGAGCTTGCGGCAGTGCTTTCGGAGCCTGATGCAGACATTTTTTTCTTCACGAGAAATTGATAATTATCATCACGAGAAATAAATTTCGGAAAGGAAAGTTCTTCTTGTTGCTGAGATGGTTGTGAATATGGAGAGGAAGAAAAAAGTGAATTATTGGAACTAAATATATTTTTCCTTGTGTTGTTGTTGTTTGATGTAGCGTTGAAAGAGCATTTAGAGAAATTTACAGAGAAGTTTCGGAAGTGAGAGTTGTTATGGGAGCATGGTGAGGAACCTCTTTGGAACGGAGAAAGGATTATTGATCGAGTCATGATGCATGAATACAGAGAAGTCACCGAATTCAGTGATGTCATCGGAAAGTTTGAAGGATGGAGACAACTGTAGGTCATTTGGTGGTATTTGATCGACTTTTTCATTTTTAATTGATTGACCAAATGGTTTCGTTGGAGACTAATGTTTGGAAAGTGTAGTCACTTTACTTCTTTTTGGTTAAATGAGCGAGAAGAGAGCTCATCTTGGCCTTTGATTTCTCGCTATTCTTTTGTGAAGACGAAGCTTGTGATGTTGGCTTTTGAATATTTTCATTCTTTGGCACGCTCACCAACTCTAAATCAGTGACTTTTGCAAGAAGATCTTCCTTAAGCTTTGGTGATTCAAATAATGCGCTTTTTGGATCCTTTCTATCCAATCCAACATTTATAATTGCAGCAGGGATGAGATTAGACTCTTTTAGCGTCTTGGTTAAATCGTCAAATCTCTGAATTGGGGGAGCAATATACAATACAATTGGTGCTTCAGGATTGTCAAGAGTCTGAATAACAAAATTACGAACATCTCTGAGAGTATGATTTGGAGAAAAAGTTCCCTGAATTAAATATCCATCTGGGAAACGTACTCGGATAATTGCAGATGTGTATACTCTCTCGTGCTTTTGATTTTCTTTTTCTCTTAATTGTTTGGTCATTAATGGTCCTCCTTCTTGAACTTTTCGGAGGCTTGAAATCATTGATTGAACATCATTTTCTGTCACCTCAAAATCTTTGTCTTCAACATTGGAAAAATCAATGTCAAAAGTTGTATCACCTTTTTTGAATAGTCTAATATCCTTTGCAACTGTATTTTCAAGTTTGATTTCTTCTTCGTCATCTTGCATAATATCGGAAGAGGTTGGAGACGTCTCTATTTTGTTGGTTTGTAAAGATGGAGACTCATCGATCATTTGTACATCTTCAGATGAGCTTGAAGCTGGTGGTGCCTCGCTCGTTGTCGATGATTGTTCTGTGTTTGTTTTGCTCACTTTCTTTTTAGGTACATAATCGTCGCTTTCTTGGAGTTCTTCTTTCAAATCCTCAATTGTTTTATCAGTAGGTAAAAAACTAAGACGTAATAATGCGTTAGAATTGTCTCTCAATCCAATATCAGATAATTTCGTGTTTTTCAATTCCTCTAATGTTTTGAATTGTTGGTTCATGTATATAAGAGAAGGAATGCTGTACTTTTTGGTTTTTTCATCCTCAACTTGTGTTAAATTGATGTTTTCCTCTTTCTTCTCCCATCTTTTAAGAGCAATCCAAAGAGAGATGTCAACTGGAAAAACAGCCTTTAATCGTTGGCCATCGGGTAATTGAAGACCAAGTGTTGCCGCTGCTTTTACTTGAGATGATGATGCTTTTTTTACAATTTCAATGGTAGCATTATTCGAAACTCCGCTCAAACGGAAAGCTATTGTGATGATGAGCACAAACGTTAAATTTATAATACATAATGCTATTAGTCAAATCACAATGCACCCAAATGTAAAAACTTACGAAGTGATAGATCAAGATTTTTCTTGTTATGCATCAATCCATAATTTTCGGGACTGATCTTATTCTTCTCACAAAAATCTTTCAAAATTGTTTGGAGTGAAGTGTTTGGCCCGTCTATTTTGATGACGGATCGCATATTTAGGCCGGTAATGATTACGGAAGACATTGTTTGGAGATCAAGAGAGGGTTAATATGTATTTTTTTTTGTGCTTTGTTCACCCAGTTGATCTTAAAATAAACCAGCTTCCTTAGAGGTTTGGATAAAATTTTAGACTGCAAAAACTTCATCCCGTTCCCTAGATCTGAATTTGTTTGTGAGTTAATCATAAATAATAATATGAATTTATTTACCTTTTGGTTGCTGTAGAAATGTCATCTTCACTCGAAGAGATTTCTGATGGTAGCGATAGGTTTTTTTTCTTTCTCACTTTAAGGAGAGTTGGGGCTACTTTTTGCACACTTCCTTCTTCAGTGCTTTCCCACTCTTTCAATTCATTAATTATTTCGAAAGAGTGACGATAGGGATGATGTTCCATGCAAACATGTTTAACCGTAGAAACAGTCCGATAGCAAAGAATAACAACAAATCACAAGGATTTTATAACAACTCATCATTTCCAATCGTCTCTCATGAGAAACATGATTTCGAAATGTTACTAACTCTACCAAATGAAGTTTTGTGTTTCATTGCCAGCTTCTTGAAACGCTGGGCAATTACTGAGCTTTGTGTCATGAAACTGGTTGTTAGCATTGTTTTTCAATCAAACACCTGTTCGAGTCAATTTATTGCAGAACCAGTTTCCAGTGATTTACGAACGAGTCAATAGCAAGGAAAGATGAAAAGTTTTGCTCTGTTTGTTCGAGGAATGTTAAAAGTGCAAAGGAGTTTAAAGAGATGGCCCAACAAGGGCACTGATCCTGGTTTTGAAGATATCATGGGATTTGTTTGAACGTTCAAAACTAGGTAACATGACCACGAACGGTTCAAGGACAATTGTGTTTTAAGAAATGTTTAATGGTTGTGATATCTTTAGCACAAGATCGAAACAAGTCCCTTCGAATGTGTACAATATATAAACCCTTAGAAAAAATGTTGACAAAAAATCAAGGACCTAATTTAAATAGTAGCACTGGCTCGGTGTCTTTTAGCGGCTTGTTCCTTCTTGTACTTTCTAATTCTATCTTCCATTTCATTACGGAAATGACGAATTAAACCTTGGACTGGCCAAGCAGCAGCATCACCCAATGCACAAATTGTGTGACCCTCAATTTGACGAGATACTTCTTCTAATGTGTCGATTTCATCAATCTCAGCATTACCCTTAACGAATCGGTCCATCATGTTCAACAACCAGCCAGTACCTTCTCTACAAGGTGTACATTGCCCACAGCTTTCGTGTGCATAGAATTTCGAGAGACGAGCAATTGCATTGACAATATCAGTGGATTTATCCATGACCATCACAGCGGCAGTACCCAAGCCAGATTGAGCTTCTCTGAGAGCATCAAAGTCCATAAGAACAGTTTCACAAACTGATTTTGGAATCAAAGGAACTGAAGAACCTCCTGGAATGACGGCCAATAAATTGTCCCATCCACCACGAACACCTCCAGCATGTCTTTCAATAAGATCCTTTAAAGGAATGCTCATTTCTTCTTCTACTACACAAGGAGTGTTTACGTGTCCAGAAATTGCATACAGCTTGGTTCCAGCATTATTCTTTCTACCAAAGCTGGCAAACCATTCTGGTGATCTTCTCAAAATTGTTGGAACTACAGCTACAGTCTCAACATTAGTTACAGTGGTTGGGCATGAGAATAAACCAACGTTTGCTGGGAAAGGAGGCTTCAATCTTGGTTTACCTTGCTTTCCTTCAAGTGATTCAATCAATGCTGTTTCCTCTCCGCAAATATATGCTCCAGCACCACGATGAACATAAACATCAAAATCATAACCAGTTCCGCAAGCATTTTTGCCGATTAAACCCTTTTGATAGGCTTCATCGACTGCTTCTTGCAAATGTCTGTATTCATTATAGAATTCTCCACGAATATAAATATAAGCAGCTCGGGCTCTCATACCAAATCCAACAAGGAGAGCTCCTTCAACAAGTTTATGTGGGTCATGTCTTACAATTTCTCTATCTTTGCAAGTACCTGGCTCAGATTCATCAGAATTGATGACTAAATAAGATGGACGACCATCAGGATTGCTCTTTGGCATGAAAGAATACTTTAAACCAGAGTTGAATCCGGCTCCTCCACGTCCTCTCAATCCGGACTTTTTGATTTGGTCAATAATCCAATCAGGTCCTTTGTTAATCAAATCTTTCGTCTTGTACCAATCACCCTGTTGTTATGTGATAGAGAGTTGTTCCATTTTAAATTATTAAAAGTATTTGTCATCATCATCAAATGTATACAACAATGAAAATAATAGTAATTTGATAAATTGCCATTCGGTGTAAGAATACAATCGCTCTACGAAAGTAATTAAATTGCTAAAACCTACCCTTTTCATAGCTGCATCAACATGGCGGTCAAAATTGTTATACAAGTTAGTGAAAATACGGTCCTTATCTTTCAGTCCACCATGTTGTTGGATATTGTTCATTGTTGAAAATTCTTGGAAACAAGATGATGTTGTGGTACTGCTGCTGCTATTGCACAACAACAACGGAGCTGAAACCTTCTTGGTTGAAGCCTGTAGCACTTGTCACCACAAACTACGCCTGAGCGTAAAGTGCAAAAACTGACGAAGAAAAAATTCGGCTCGTTTTAGTAAGTCCCGGAGTCAAAAAAAATGGAGTGATTGGTCTGTGGTGTTGTTTTCTGCTTCTCACACAAAAAAAACACCAACAACACACACAACATGGAAGCTGAATTAGTGGTCATTGAAGAGGGCACTGTGCCTCTATACTGTGTAAGTAATTGATTATTACCACAACAACAACATCATCAAACAACAATTTCAACACCTACACTAATCTTTACCTCAGCTTGGTGTTTCTGATTGTGATTCGAGTTGCGAAACAAATACTAATCACGTAAGTACTAGTGAATATCGTTCACCTTGTATTGATCTCAATTATCAAGGCCAATGAATCACCAGCATTGGATAGCCAATCCACAACGAACCAGAGTACGAACAATGTAAGTATTATGTTTGTCCAGTATTCAGCAGTAACATATTTCACAAGATTCCTTCATCATCAAGCATCGAAATGAACCCTTCTCACCCATCATCACCAGTAATGACTACCTCTACAGTATGTTTCAAATTTGTTACAATGTGTTTGCTTAACTTGTTCAGGAATGGATCTTCACAGACGAAACTATATCATTTCCACCTTGCTGTCTGTTGCCTAGCACAAGCAGCTTCTCTGGTATTGTTGATGAGACACAATGTACGATAACACCAAACAACAAATGTGATGATGACAATATTTCCCAACAGAGCAAAAAACGAAAATCAAGAACCACAGATGAAGCTGCTGAAGACACTCACAAGGAATATCAATTCACTTTAGAGAAAGGACTGTTTGAATTTGTACCAAAATATAATTCCTTTAAAGAAGTACCAGATGAGAAGAAACAAATTTATGGAATTATATGGGAACAGTTCGCCAAATGTGCAAGAAATATTATTTATCAACATCTACAGATGAGATGTTCAAACTCCATCAGCCATGAAACGGTTGGGTGTTGCAACCCAAACGTGTTTTATCTTGCTCTGAGGGGAACAAAGGCTAAATATTACCAATGGTATCAAGACATTTTGTGGAATGGCCTAAAGAAGAGACAGAAGTGCATTCAATTCAGATTTACTGACAGTGTTCCTCCTTTAGACAAATGCAAACATTGGTCTGAGTTGGAAATTACTCACTCACGTCTTACACGTAAATTCGGAAAGAAGATTACGAAACACAAGATGAAAATTGTATACATTTCTCTCACATGTAATGTGGAAACTAATCAAGTGTGGACGTCGTTCAAGTTTGACAAAGAATTCGAGTTTGTACAATAAAACAATTGAATTCAATCCTCAATACACTCTAAATCACAAAAAATGTCATCAAATTGAAACTTTTCATCACCGTCCACAAACCAAACCACATCTAACAACAACTTTTTTGAAGGTCAATCATATGGACTTTCAAATCAAAATCACCACACATGGTGTTCCTCTCCATTATCTTCTTTCAATGTGCAATCACCGTCATCTACCGGTTTCAGTAGCATTAATCCCGGCTCTTTTGATTCACCAAGAACATCACACCATCTTTCGAAAGAATTTATCTGATACAACCAAACCAATCCAATTCAATGAGCTATCAGAATATCCCTATTCAATATGGAGGATGTGAACATTTATTTCAAAATCATCAATCCTATTATCCACAATCTTCTCATAATTTCTCCACAATCCAACATAACCTTGACAATCCGAACACATTATCATCTCAACCTTCACAACATGAAACCAATCAAACCAACATTCAAACACACAACAAAATACAACAATTACTTTGTCGATAAGCTAGCTTCACTCGCATAAAACAAAAGCGAGGAGGTCCACCGAGCACAGAAAACAAATTGAAAAATATTATTGATAATGCTGATCTCAATTTCTCTCAATTAAGCTCCAAGGAGATGCTGTTATTAAATCAAAGAACAAGAGTTTTTGCTTTTTGTTGTAATTTAATTTTTCAAGTTGACATTAATTTTCACTCCAAAAAAAATGCCTTCACCAAAAGATGAGGTCCAGTATTTTAAATCACACACCTAAACAACGATTACACAGCAACACCGTGGAACAACTTTGATGTAACTTAGATACCAAGTGATCAGTACAAAAGATGGATTTTTATCGTGTAACGAGAAACTTGTTGAACGGTGTAATGACGGTGAATGTGAGTATTATCATCAACAATCAACCAATCCTTGTATAACGAAAGGCTGAAGAGAATTGCTTTCGAAACTTTAGTAACTGGCTTTGGTACAATAGGTGTGGTCATAATCAGGAGGACAGTTTTAATGAACAAACAGCACTATTGAATAAAACTTTACAAGATTCTGAACCAATCCCGGAGTTTCTGCATTTCGTTGTCAAAAAATTTTTGCCTTTTTGAGTCGAATTTTTTCGCTGGCAGTTTTCTTATGGCGTAGTTTGTGGTGTTCACGACTGATTTTCTCATTTTTTGTTGTTGTTTTGTTCATGTACAAAAATGGAGTTGTTTAATGTTGGGTCTCTCGTGCTTATCAAGAAACGAACAGAACACTCTTTATTTCATGAGCACAACGGTTCTGAGAAGTGCCAATTCAGGCAATAAATATTGAGGAATGAGTAACTTTTTATCCTCTTGTTTTGAAGATGATTCAATGACCTCGTTCAAGTGCTCTCTTGTTGCCACTCCAGTCAACACACATACACTCTTCACGCCCGTTCTATTGCCCAAGGTAATGTCAGTTTCTAATCGATCTCCAACCATGCACACAGAAACATGTCTATTTTCAGGTGTCACCTTATCCTTACATTCCTCATAGAGTATATGGAGAGCAGTATCAAGAAGTAGAGTGGATGGTTTTCCAGCAACAATGTCAGGCTTTCTTCCAATAGCAGTAGAGAGAGCACTCACAAAGCATCCTCCTCCTGGGAAGAATAGATTATTCTTATAGGGTAAAGTGGCATCAGTATTAGTGGCCATGAACAAGCATTTAGGATTCTTTCTCAAAATTTGATGAGCCATGGCCAACTTGAAATTATTAAATCTATTATCATATCCAATAATGACTGCTCCAATACTTTCGACGGGATATTTCTTTGTAAATTCTTCCCATTCATGCAAAAATTCTTCTTCTTTGAGAGACTTGTGTAAATGTTCCTCAAATCCACAAGCCTCAACTCCAATTAATTCCAATTCTTCCTTAATTCCATCTCCTCCAATGACATAGGCTTTTTCAATGGCATGTTCTTTGGCATAGACAGCAGCTGCATAGGAAGAGGTCAATATCTCAGACTGAGAGCAATCTCATCGTTATTGTGAGAATGTTCACATCCAAACATCAACGGAGATGAACTCGTTTGTATTATTATTCACGTGATTTATAAACTTACAACATCTACATGTAAACCTAAAGATTGAAACTTTTTCAAATATCCTTTTCTAGAATTTGATGAATTGTTGGTAATAAAGAAAAATCGTTTGTTCAATTTTCTTAAACTTTCCAATGTTTCTTTGACGTGTGGAAGTAATTCCGATCCTTTCCAAATCACACCATCACAATCCTGAGTGAGTTCACGAATTGTAAATAATTGATAATGGAATATTATTTAAAAATTATTTTTGAGTCACAAATGATGATTTCGGAAAGTGCTCATTCGTTTATATCATGTTTAATAATACCAACCAAGCAAAAACATTGGGTCTCGCTCACAAACTGCTCCATGGCAGCACCATTGTTTTCAGTCAATTCAATCATCTTGATGTTGTGTTAATTTTTTTGTTATGAGACATCCTTGTCATCCTTCCTAGTATGAAAAAATGTCGATCACAAATTCGGCTCCTCGTTCTGGGTTCATTTCCATCTGCGTTGTTGCTTTCGGATTTATTTATTATTCTGTTTGGTTGCTCATAACAGTATGTTGTTTCTCTCGGATCATCAAACACAATTTATCTAAAATTATTTAGCCATTTATTGACAAGGATAAGCGATGGTTTTTGCAATTCTTTCCTCCAAGAGAATATGCCATCATCTTTATGGCTGTTATCGGATTAACAATGTTGCTAGGATTGACGTCAATTTTAGGATGCTTAATGATTAAAAGATCCATGGTGATGAAAAAACGAACTTCTTGATTATTATATGTAAATTGTGACAAATTGAGTTAAACTATGTCGCATAGTTTATAGGAATGAGTTTTAAAATTTATTATTCAGTTGCTTCACAAAAGTTTTGAATTCTTCCAGACTAATTGTTTGATTTTTAAACAAAGAAAGCATGTCAATAATTTGATCTTCAACCAAGTTTTCACCTAAAGCTCTTGAAAAAAAGTGAGAGAGTTCCGCTCGTCCAATAGTGCCAGATCTATTTGCATCTAATAAATTATAAATTTCTGTAGTGTACAGGTCTTGTAATTGTTCTTTTGAAATTTTCTCAGAGTCAATATATCTCGTATTTAAACATTTAATAAATGTAGGAAAATCAACTTTAATCTTTTCAATTTTTCGTTCATTGCTTTCACTGTTCAAAGCCTCCACCATGCTTTCGGGAGAAAAAATTTGAATCATATCCATCAACTCTTCCATATCAATCTTTACTCCAATATTTGATTTAATCAAGCTGTGTAAATCTTTCAACGAGACCTTATTATCCTTGGCATACATTTGAAACATGGACAATAATTCTTGTTCTTGTTCTTTTGAAAGAGAAAATTGGTTTAACAACAAATAAGATTGAATACCACCAGTAGTGGTTGGAGAAGGATTTTTCGGAGTAACCGATGCTTGTCCCGATGAAAGCGATGGCGTTGATTGATCCTGAAGTAAGCTCATTTTTTTCAATAATAACAATTCATTATTTGAACACAAGATTTATCAATGGTTGCATCACTCATTATTCTGACTTCAGAATCTCACTGTTCACCTTTCTGTTTGCTTTCATTTAAATCAGTTTTACAAATAGGACATGTGTGATGATCTTTGAACCACTTCATAATGCAATGATTATGATATTGATGTTTACATGGCAAACAGGTGACCATCTCTTTCATGGAAAAGTTGTTGAAACATATGCAACAATCCTTATTGATTCCGTATGAATCTGAAAATGGCATTGAACGCAATAATCTCATCATTTCTGGTTTGACACCGACCTTAACATCTTCCAACTGAATCAAGACATCATATCTATTTTCATCTGCATCCAAAGTGTTATTTACAAGGTCCCTGTTGTTGTTGTTGTTGTTCAGGTCTGGAACAGGATGAGTATTGAGATACGAGAATGGATCCACTACTTGGTGCCGATCGTCATTATGATGATTGTGCTCACTTGAAAATAAATGATTTTCCAAGTCTTCTTCCAAAGGACTTGTTTCGTATTGTAATTGAAATGCTAACTCTCGATCAAGATCAATGCTGCACGATGGTTGTGGTCTACTACCACGTCCATAATGAGGAGATGTTGAAGAAGAAGATGAAGTACTTGTTGAATGTCTACTCCTATTGTCAGGGGACAGAATTCCAAGAGGATGCAACGAGATCTGATTAGCGTTTTGAGGAGATCGGAAGAAGGTTAAACCAGAGAAGTAATTCGTATTACTACTACTTCTACAACTGCTGCTCCCAGAATTGATTGAATCATTGTCAGATCTCGACAGTTTGGATGAACGAATTCTTTGTTTCTTTTCTTCAAATTCTTTCACAATTCTGGATTGTTCTGCGAGTGGAGTCGAGGGTAGTTGATTGGATCTTCTCATCGGAGAAGAGTTGTTGTTGATAATGTTATTCGGATATTGATGCATCACGTCAACGTTTGAATTTCGAACATTGATACGACCACTCGAAGCCGATCTTGATAAATGAAGAGAATTGTGACTTGGCAAGGTCACAGGAGAGAATGATGAGACCAAGGGTTGTGAAACATGTTGGAGATTGCGAATTTGGTTCTTCAATCGTGTAACTTCTTGTTTCAACTCTGTAATTTCTTGTTGTTGCTGTCGGATTTTTCTTTAGTGACAATATTCACATGTTTTTACATCATACACTCATTCTCAGAAAACAATACACGTTCATCAACAACTTACTCTTCTTGTAAACTCATACTCAATACCATTTGTTCAATTTCATCTTCGGATGGCAACATTTTTTTTTGTGTGGTGTGTGTGAGAATTCCCAACTCCCTTTCCACTTCAACTGCAAAATTATTCTCAAGAAGGTATTTGTTAAGTTTGAAAAAAGGAATTGTGAATCATACTGAGAGAGAATTACAACAATCTTTATATCCTTCACTTCAAAAATTGAGAGATCCATTATTCACCTGCCAAGCTCTTGAATGTACCACCTGTAGCATCTGCAATCTTGTGCATTAAAGCTGTTGCTTGAGTTTGTTCGGTTGTGGTTTCAGGATTGTTATAATTATTACCCATGGTGCATGAAATGGTATTGATTTTAGCTCGATACTGTTCAGATAATTGTTTGGCCAATGCTGCCAATTTGTCTGGATTGGATTCTCCTCGATTGGCAATACCATCTGAGAACACGTAAACACTGTTGGTACCTGTGGTCATCTTGGTCTCGTTTTTGAAGAGATCAAAACCTGTTCTTAATCCTGCTTCAATGTTGGTTGCAGAACATCCCTTGGTTGTGATTTCCTTTGAAAGAAATTGTTCAATGTTTTGTGGTGTGGCAGGTGTGAATTTTCCAAATTTAGTGGAAACGTTTTCACAGAACAAGACGACATCAAATGATTGTTGAGGTTTCAATTTCTTGATAGTTTCAATAAGATGTTGCTTTAAAAAGTCCAATCGACTGAATTTCGAATATCTTGCAATTTTGTTATCCATCGATGGAGAAACATCCAACACAAAGACCACACGATCTGTTGAAATCTGACCAAACACACAATCATGACTCGTCAATTTGCTCAATACAGTAATGGTGTTTTGTTTGTAGTAACTCTCAGAACTAGAACTGAACAAACCATTCGCAATGACTTCCTTGTTGGCAATGACATCTGTAATGTTGTTTTTGAGAGCATCGACAAGTGCCATCTTTTCTGAAGCATTTTCAGTAACATTCTTGATGAAGAGAATGGCATCTGCTGATTTCAAATCTCCAATCTTGTGCAACATGGTTAAAGTCAAGTACTTTTGAACTTGCTTCATGAGTGTATTCACAACCAAAACGGTTTGTTTGGTTGAGAAGGGCAATACTGATGAGGACATGAGTTTTTCAAATTGTGTGAACTTGTCACTCATCGTCTTTAATGAATTCAAAGAGCTAATGAATGAACTGATTTCACTGTCTGTACGTAATCTGGGAGATGGACATGGAATCAACTCTGGAGTTGGATCCAATGCCATGTCATCACTCAATTCAAACATGACTTCTCTCAACAATTGTTTCATCTCTTTACGAGACAACATGCCAAAAGAGTTTGGAATTTTGTGTGCATGACATGGCGTGGTTGTAGCCATGACTACAACCACCAAACTCAACACGCATAGAACCACAGACCATTCGAACAAGCGACTCGTCATTTTTTTTGTAATGTTTTTATGTGCGAGAGTTGTGGAGTTAAATTCCAGTTTTGAACATTTATAGAACTTGTGAAATCTTTTAGATCCATGTAACATTCTCGAGTATTGGAATGTTTGGAGTTTACAATTGAAGAGAGTTCATCTAGGTTGTTGAATTTCTCAATACGACATTGAACAACACTTGGAAACAAATCCTTAATAAATTATATTGGGGTGACAAGTAACTGCTATTGCATCTAGGACAACAGTCAACAAGGAATGATCATGCCTTGCTTGTCTTGTTCAACGAAAAAAAGGCAACTAACTGATTTCCACAACAAATAGTAGGACATCCTTAATAAAATCTGATCCCAAAGTCCAACATGACAGCTGACGGACTTTTTTTTTGAAAATTACAATCACAAAAAAAAACTACCAGTTCCTCTATTTGACATTAAACAAGCTCACTCTCCTACCAAACAACCCTGAAGTGCTCCAAATTCACACACATTTTACACAAGATTGTTTCCAACAAAGAAATTGAAACACAAAAAAACAAACTCTCTTTCAACACGTCTCCGAATACTTTTATGAGTCATTCTAGTAGTAACACCAGTTCATCTTCTTTGAACCATCACAACCACCACAACCATCCACAACACGTGGTGTACAGCTATCCTTCATCATCCTCGTCAGCATCATCATCATCGGGAGGAAGTACTAGTATGGTTACAACTCCTTCTCAACAACAACAACAACTCGGTTCATTTCACATGATGAATTCACAACAACAACAACAACCACCAATTCCACAACACTCATCCACATCACTTCATCCACTTCCACCCTTTTCAGAATCTTCTACAATTCTTCCTGTCCATTCTCATGTGAATACTCTTTCACAACAACAACAACAACAACAACACCTGTCAACAAATTCCACAACAAATTTCACAAATTCCACAACAACACCAACACCCACCACGACTACCGATCATTTGACTCAACTCATGAATACAGTCACTTTGGTGAGTCAACACAATTCCTACTCTCCTTTATTGACTACGAGTGGTAGCAGTAGTAGTAGTGGTGGTAGTGGAAGTGGAAATCATCACACCACTACTGGTCAAAGTGGTGGAAATGGATCTTCGTTTTTTAATTCATTGAGTGGAATGAATTCAAACACTTCGAATGGAATGATGAATTCAGAAAGTAATTTGGTGATGGGTCATCATCATTCCCAATTTGGATCCAATGATTCCTTGATGATGAATAATTTAACATCTTCCATGTTTCAACAAGTGAATGGAAGTGTCACATCATTACTTGGAGTGATCACTCCTTCTCAACCGACTGTCCACTTGTCGGATGGTCACGTGTTTGAAAATTCACCACAAAATCAACAATTGTTGACATCTTCATTCTTTTCTGCATCGGCATCCAATGTATATCCTCCAACTGCCATTTCTAAAGCAACTCTATTTGGTAAAATTAATCAACAACGAGCTGGTTTTCCAGTGTGTTACAATGTCCAAACTGCAAAAGTGACCATTAAATTATTTATCAATCAGAATGCAACATCTCCCATTCTAACCATGACACAAAACAGAGTTTATCAATACAATGAATTTGAAAAACTAGTTCCCAAGTTAAATCTAAATGAGATTGCCATTTTTGGATTTGTGGTATTTTGTGAAAATTCCTCTAAAAAGAGAGAAGTTTTGACACCCATTGATACCTATTACAGTCAATCTGTGAATAATGCTGAATTTAGTGTCAATGTTGCAATTGGTACTTATGGAAGAAAGTGCAGTGCTGATCTTGTGAAACATTGTGGATTTATTGTGGCATATCGAATGGATCGAGATGCTTTTATGAAACAATCGAATAATGGTTCAAGTTTTTTCAGTGATGACACGGCTCCTTTCGATAAAGCATTTGTACAGGAAGTGAGATTTGGCTTTCGAAAGAAGGCAGGAAGAGAGAAATTACCACTCATTAAGGAACCTATTTTATGTGACGTTTCAAAACCTATTGAATATTATGATTTTACAAGTAATCAACAAATTAACAAATTGGATGATTTGTTGTACACACATTATCAACCCATTACTCGATTTGTGACAAGTGTGCAAGAAGCAGCAGATGCTGTTGTGACACAACCATTGGATTCACTCTCTGTGAAAGATATTAAGAACATGTCAAGTGTTGCTGCTTCTTCGAGTAGTCATACTAGTGGAATGCTCTCTCCTTCTGCAACTACGACCACTTCCATGATGGATGACAGTACCTCCGAACAAACAGCTGCTACACATTTAGAAACTGTCTTTCCATCATTAATGGTACAACCATCGCAACATCCTCAACAACCACAACAAACGCAACATCATCAACAACCACAACAAACGCAACATCATCAAACACAGTCATCCAATCAACCTCAAGCAAATGAAATGACACCCGAGTCCAAATTTGAAGAAGATGGTTTTGACATGTATATCAACATGTCCATCATGGAAAATTTATCAAAATCAAGTATTGAACGATGGGCACCTATTGAACCCATTGTGAATGAACATCCAAGTTATTTGGCTGTGTTGTTGGGACTCATTTACTCGAGAGGATCCTTTTCGATTGTTGAGAACAAAAATTCTTCGAACATTCCAATTAATATCAATGCCATTTCAACACTACTCACCAAATATTATGGTACAGTCACAGTAGGGACACTTGTTGGTAATGTGCAAATTGATTTGAAAGATGTGTTCATGAATAATGACATTAATTTACTGTTAGTCTATCTTCAAGTCAAGGAATTAGTTCCATGCTTTATTGCTGGTGTATATTTGTATTGCTTACTTTATTACACGAAGAGTGATTTAGATAAGCAAGTCATGAAGGATTATGTTGTAAATATGAGAACGATATATACACAAGTGACACAACAATTCTATTTGGAGGATTTCAAAACCACATTGGATATTGGTGACGCATTGGCAAGAGATTATTCAGTTGAATTTATGAATCTGGCATTCAAAAAGTTGAAGAATTACACTGTAAAAATTGGAAAGTATTACAACAAGTTAATGGCAGAACATGGCATTGAGCAAATTCCTCAAAATGTAGAATTTAACAAACAAGAGCGTTTGGAGACTGTAATTAATGGACTCAGCAACTTTTTCCTTGGCAATGAAAATCAAAAAAAGAGAGAACGAGGAATTGAATATTCTGGAGCTGGATCAAGCTTTACTGGAAGTGATTTTGTACTGCACAACAAACCGAGGAGAACGTTTGCACTTCAAAAGTATGAAGATCAGAAACTTAAAGTTTTTGAGGCTGATAGAAATCTCATGTACATGCAATCCTGTTATTCTTCCAATCCTATTGCTGAAAATTCAGAGGTTCTACAAACATTGTGTGAATTGGAAATGAGGCGTTTGCAGTTGGAGAAAGAATTTGAGGAAAAACTACGTATCTTGGCGGAGAAGGAAAGAAACATGTTTTAAATTAAATAGTCCCAAATTTTGGTTAGAACACGAGCTTTTTGAGTTGACCTAGTTTGAGCACTTGAGTGCCAATAGCCACGTTTGATTTTGGGACTAGCTTCCAATTCATTCCACCGGTGTGATGACATGACATGACAATGTTTTGAATGTCTCCATTCTTTTGGAAGAGCAAAGGGACAAGGTCATACTGTCCAGCCTTCAGTTGTTTGGCTGGAGCAAATTCTCTCTCTACGTTTGCTGTTATGAATGTGACAATTTCCTTTGACCTTGTAACGTCAACGACAATAAAACCAAGTACAGATGGATTTGCACAGGCATTCTTAAAAACTGGATGCATTTGATGAACTCCAAAACAAAATTCTTCCTGTTCGTTGCTTGAAACAACGTTCAATTCAATCACAGGATATAGCACTTCATCATTCAGGCTCAACATTTGAGATGTAATGGTCAGGCTTTTTCTTGAATGTTTTGGGTCGTATTTGCAAATATTTACATGAGCGAACTGTTCCAAAAAAACTTGATAATCCAATTCAATTGGTATTCTCTTAATTTCGCATAATGGATTTGTAAGCTTCACCCATCGAGTATGTCCAGCTTTTTCACGACAATGTACCAATGTGTAGGAAGTTGAGCCGTGTAAAACGCCACTACATTCAAAACGAGAGTGGCAACAAATAATATATCCTTGTTTCGATGCGTTGAAAATGGTGTTCCAGCTACTATCTTGAAAGGATGAATTCTTCAGCACGTTTTCTGAGAAAACGATGTTGGTTTGAGGCATACCTGTCAACACTTGCAGTCCTAAATGCAAGTAGTTGCTATCTATTCTATTATAATAGCCTGAAAGTTTTGCAAATGCCTTTTCCAGAAGCATTACCCATAATTCTGGAATAATTATACCATTTTCTTTGCTACACGAGTACAAGGGAGTGATATCGTTTTGAGAAACGACGGGAAAGTAGTCATCCACTACTACCTTCACAAACTCACCTCCAACACATAAATTAAGCTCGTAAATTCCAGAAGCGTTCACTTCTGATGTGGAAAACAAGCGAGTGATTAATCTGGGCACTTTTGCTACACTAAAAATACAAGTAATGAACCAATTATCACCAGATTCTTTTGGACAAACATGGCTCTGAAGGGCTTTTCCACCCTTAATAATATCAAAATTAGTTCCAAATATTTCTGATGCTCGCTTCCAGGATACGAGTGCAGAGGAGGTTTGATTACCAATGGAGGAGTTATTTGTTGGAAACTCGCTGTCAGAAAAAGCTTGATTTTCGTTGATAATAGACCGTACTGAAGCACTGATGGTGTGGAGCCATGCTTCAAACGCAGGTTCTTCTTTTTCTTCTTCTAGCTGTCTGAAAGAGGCATTCAAAGATCTTTCACATGGAGGTAACGAGTTAGGGGAAATTGCATCGCATTCCTTAATAAATGCTATTATTTCTTGCTCCTCATTGAGCTTGGAAAGAATAGTTTCAGCATTTGAGCAGCTTTTTTCCTCCACTTGACTCATTTTTGTAAGGCAAGCTAAATACTCTTGAGAAAGTACTTTCATGGCATCAAATCGTTTCTTTTCAAGCACTTCTATTTGATATAATCTGTTATAAATTCTTGCATTGTACTTATTTGTTGTATTTTCCAACTCGTGTTCACATTGCTCCCTGTCTAATTTTTTAACGAGGTAATCCTTTTGCAGCTTATCTTGTTGTGTCTTGGTCTCATCTTCAGATGTCACGTTGATACTGATCTGTGCTATTTTGTTCAATATTTCTGCTTCCTTTTTCTGAGCTTTTGAGAGGTCTTTTTTAGAAGAATCGAGCATGGTATTTAGCTGTTTATATTCAGCTTGTGTCTGGGAGAGGAGAGTCTTGATTTCTTTTTTCAGATTTGTAATTTGATTGCAGATAGCTTCAAATTCATAATTCAGTTTAGCATATTGAGAGCAATACTCCATACTTATAGCCAGCTTGTGGCCTACGTCAATTTGCTCCGGTTGATAACATCTTAAAGTCGTTACATGTTTCATCTCATTTCAATAGAACAAACACGAAAAACGTACTCGGTAGTAAAATATTTAATTTTCGATAGGTTCTTGGTCAGCTTTGTAGATGACTTGACCAAATTTTGCAAATGTTTTACTTCTTCAAGATTGTGTTGCATCTTGTCCAACACCGTTGGAAAATGTTCCATCAACTGATCTCCAAACTGACACTTAGCTCCGATGGTATATAGAGATGGATCATCAACAAGGATGGATACCACAACGTTCTTCGAGGCAACAATACCTCCCATCTCTTCATATTTTTTTCAACGTTTGAATTTTTGTATAGCCTTAATCTCTATCAACAACGGTCATCATACGCACCGAATGAACTTTACATCTCTCCTCCGATTTACATTAAAAAATTATTCCTTATAAATAATATGGGAGGAATTGTTTCTAAAGAATCATCCATGATGGTTGAGCTCGGAAAGGAGCCTTGCAAAGAATTATTGGATGCTCAAAATGGAATTTCATTGTTTAGCGATAATTTGTTTTCAAAAGTCCCTTTGGTTATTAAACGACTGGAAAAAGGGTAGGTATTAAGGTGGTTTTAAAAAAGGAACGTATGGGTGCCGATATATTCGGAATATGAAAGACAAATGGAAGTAGAACAATTTATGACCATCATACAACAATCTGTACAATACTACAAAGTATATTTTGATGAAGTTTCGCAACAGGCCGAAAACATCAATACATTTTTGGGGTAAGTAATTTAATAATGGAATGATATTACAACCTCACGTTAGAAAAGGTCTTGCTTCAAGAGAAACTGGAGTGGTACATAGTTTAAGCCAGGGACTAAATGAGAATGGTTTGAACGGCCAGGAATTTTGCAAAGACTTGGATAACATTTTACAAGATGTTCAGAAGCTATTAAAATTTATGAAATCAATTATTACAAGTGCTCAATCGGAGTACAACAAGTTGGAGGACGAAGATGGTGGGTATAAGAAAGAAGTTGAAAAGTTAAAGAAACGATGTGAGGAGATGTCAAAAAAGCTGAAGGAGCTAAAGGAAGCACCGCTAACCTCACTAGCAGAAAAAACGAAAACAGACTTTGAAATTCGAACTCTTGTCACCTATTTAGAAGAAGATACTCAAGCAATTAAGGACAATGAAGAAAAGATGAGAAAAAACATTTCCAAGTATTTGTATATATTAACACATTTGGAGCACATGGAGCGTACGCGATTTTGTGAAATGAAAGCCATTGCTCTCAAGTATTTCAATGCTAAAAAGACAATGTCAACAAGGATCATCCAGCACTCCGTCCAAACAAACAAAAGAGTAGAAGGTTTAGACGCAGAGAAAGAGTTTAATAACTTCATAATATCTTGCTCTTCTAAAAATTCTACAAAACTCGCGTAACGTAATAAATAATTGGAGAGAAAAAAATTCTAATAAATAATGTCGCGAGGATGTGATCCTTTTCGTTGTACGTAATCTTCAATGAGGTGCTTAATAGTCTCCAACTCCTTGTGCCAGTCTTTGTACTTGTTAGTAAGTTGTAATACGTCCTTTTGTCTTCTGACAAACAATTTCTGAATTTCTGAATTTGCTAATCGTTTTTCTTCTTCATTGGTCAATGTTTGCCACTGGCTTGCATACTTCTTAAATTCTTCAACATTCTCGTTTAACAGCATATCTAGAGATTCGTACTTTGGATATAATTCATTGTACTGTTTTTTAAGTTGGTTATATTGTTCAAAGGTGTCAATTTTGGATATGGATGGTGATTTTACCGGCGATTCGTTCAAATTAATTCCTCGTTTGAAAGCCTCAGTGATTAAACTGTATGGTTTAAATTCAGTGCTTCCAATTTTGAGACAATAATCTGCAGTTTTGATCTGAGGCCTACTATTACGGTTAGGTGGTTGTGTGTTTTTAAATGTGGATGCATTTGTTGATTTGTGTTGTTGAGATACTGCCTCAAATGATTCTTTTGGAATTTTCGTAAATGATGACGATGTTTCGTGTTCATCGGTTGGTGAAATTGGCATTGCCTCGTCCTTTGGAGAGGAAGGCTCAGAACGTGGTGACTCTGGCATGGTTGTTGACGATGACAGTGATGATGGTGGGAAATTAGATGGGAAAGGATCTTTCTGTTGTAATGGTACAGTTCTATTGCTTACGTCGGTGGAAGTGCTGGCGTCATTCGGCTCGGATTGTGCAAATAATTTAATGGGAGAATCGTCTGTTCTTTTAAACTTTCCGGAGAAGAAGTCTTCCTTTCTATTGGCAACAATTTTGTGTTTCTGATTTCCTCGTGTCGGAGGTTTGGTTACGATATTACTAGGAGGTGTTGGTTTGGGTTTGACTATTGGAGGCTGTATGGATGGTAAATTGTCCAAATTAGCCCTGTGTTTAATCGTTCCTATTTGATGGAACTGATTTTCCGAAAAGCGATACAAATCGCAATCGTTTTTAATAATAGCTGCATTATACTCCTTCTTTTTGTTACCGAGAGAAACTTCGAATTTCTAAAGAGAAATAACATGATTCAATAATGTAAAAATTTAAATATTGTTGTAATCATCCCAAATACTTACCACTTCACTACTCAGAGGATCCGATAGAAATTTCAAACTTAGTTGATCTGGATTTTGCAAAATACTATTCATCACATCGTCCGGTATTGTTAATTGTAGAACGTAATCCTGTTCATTGGATGGAGTACCATCCACGAGAAAGGATTGAATAGAGCTCATTTTTTCTCTGTTATTTTTAAACTCAAAACTCTAAAATTCATAAAACAACAAGATACACAATAATAGTGGATTTAATTGAGCTACAAGGTTCAGAATTTTGTGGTCGTGAGCAAAACAATAAGGAGTCCTACTGCAATTATAAATAAAATCACTGCAATTATGATTCCCCAACACATAAAGGAATTCTTTTTTGCAAGATTGACCATCTTCTTGGTTTGAACCTTGATCTTGGATTCAGTAACGTCAACATTCTCATGAATATCTTCAAGCAATCGTGAATGTTCATCAAGTTCTTCATCAATACTGAGCCCAATTTGTTTTGTTCTGTCAAGGGCATGACTCAATAGGTCTAGGCTTTTATCCTGCTCTGTTTGAAGTCACACCATTGATTTATGTTAAATTCACAAACAGTTGTGAGCTACATACCGTCAATCACTCTTTGTTGGTAAGCGAGAATTTGATTACTCTCTAAATCTCGTATAGACTCCGGTTCATGGCTTCTATCATAAGGTCCTTTTGAAATTGGCTCATTGTCTTCTGCTAGCAATTTGTTTCTTCCTATTGATGGATTATCAAATTTCTTTTTCATTTGTTGTTCTCTTTGAATTGTATTTTGAAGGGCATCCTTCCTTCTCGTTATTTCTCTTTGTGATAATTCATTTGAAAATTGAGGCAATGTCTCTTTTAAATCAATCAGTACTCGTTCGATAGATTTAAATTGTCTTCTAATTTCGGAATTTAATTTAGGAAGCTCACCAGCATTTGAATTATGCCTAAATATTTGATTTCTATTCTCAACTTCCTCTGCCAATTTATTCAAAGCATTTTCTGTGTCATCAAAAACAACCAACCACTGTTCGCTGTCCTTCATATCCTTTTTAGTGTACGTTAATTTCTGTAACGGCATATAAATTCCGATAATAGTTTAATAATTACAAGTAACTACAATATAGTGCCTGATCTCAATCCGATCATAAATATTGGTCAATCAGGATGAAAAGAGTTTTCAGCAACAACACAAAGCTTTGGATAAAAACGATTCGAACGTTGTTGGCAAACTATTTTTTTTGTTTGTGTTGTGAAAAATCTGAGCAGCCAGTTATAACCAGTGATGGATAATTGTATTCGTAATTGATAAGTTGTAACTCTACATGAATGACTACTCAGTGTTTGCTCCAAATAGCTTTTTAAACTTGCCCTTTGTCAATCTTTTCACTTGTTTTGGAGTCACACATTCAGCCAACAATGCAATCAATAAAATCAAAGCTAAGAAAACACTAATACCAATAAACCATGGATAAGGAGCATAAATTCCATGTATTCCAAAGTAAAGATTAAGGCATCCAGCACCGATTAATAATCGTCCTCCCCATACGTGTGTGAAAGAAGCAATGGCTCCAATGATCTTCTTTGTATTTTCAGTTTTTGAAAGAAAACTCTCACCTTCTTCTTCTTCATTATTTCGTTGTGATTCTTCACTATGAGGCAATCGTGATGATGCAGATTTCTTAATGAAAATAAAATTATAAACGAAAGTGAATGGTCCAGAAAAGGGTAATTGATAAAGTACAATAAATATCATCACAAAGAGACCAATCCATTTGTGAATGCTATCCAAGTGTCGATTCGTTGAAATGGAACATGCAGCAATGGACAAGCTAATAGCTATGAGAATGCAAACCACAGCAATGATGGACAGTGTTGCATGCAGAGCAACTCCTTTTCGTTTAGAGATGAATCTCTGTGAATGTCTCACTGTGAGCATGGATACAATCAACAACAATGTAAATCCAATGATCATTAAAATACCGTGAACAATTCTCAAAGCTTGAAGAGTTGTAGAAATTGGATAATAATAAATGGATTGAAATTCAAACCACCCATAGCCAGTATTGGATGAGTCAATTTCAAAATTACTGAAAATATCTAATGAATCTATGGATGTCTTCCAAATTGCAAAATTTAAAAACATAATTCCTCGATCATTCTTTTTCATTGGAAATAAAACGTCATGTGAATAATCAGAAGTGTTTTTGGGTCGTATGAATTCAACCACTTTGAAAATCACATCTCCTTCGAATTCCTTCTCGTACGTATTTGTGACCTTCAAATTATTGGTGCCTCCAAAAAGAGTATCGTTTTTAGCTCTGTGAAAAATGTCTTTGGTGGTAAAACTTGTCACGTCTGTATTGTTTTCCTTATAAAACATATCATAGGCAGTAAAATCATCAAAAACAAATACATCTACTAGAGGCGTCAATGGATAACTGGACTTTGCTACAATATAATCTGGTACTCCCAAACTGATGGCAATAATATTCTTTTGTTGCTGATTTTGTGCTTTTAATCCAATTTCACTCACAATGGTACCATTCAGAATGTCCGAATCCTTCTTCCAATAAAAACAAAACACTGGATTTTGATTTAACACAACATAATTGGAGTTTGAAATTAATTGTGTATGAAGATCAGATTTGAAATACAATGCGGATGCTGAAGAAGCGTTGACAAGTGTTGTTGTGGTTATGGATGACAGGATGATGAAGCATAGAAATGAGTAAAAAAGTGAATATGATAAATTCCTAGTGGTTGAGGATGATGATGATATTAATGACAAGTTAGAATGGCTATGATGATGATGATACCTATGAGAATGAGACAGCGCTGATGACATGGATGATGGACTGAGTTGCTTGGATGACGTTGGGATGTCATGGAATTTGGTGTTGCCATTCAGCATTGTGCGTTGAGAAGTCGACATTGTTTTTGCTGCGACAGCTGTCTCTGCCAGACACGCCGGCGATGTTTTGAAATCGAACATTTTTTGTTGTAAACGTTGGGTAAATCGGGAATGGGCAACCAATAAATTTCAACTCTTCTCTCATTCTTTCCTTGCTGTGAACAAGAAAAATTCAAGATTAAGAATGAACTTTTTAATTGTGGTTAAAACCGAATAATAATGGAATCAACACACCTACGCGTATGATTTAAATCATTACAGTCAAAGCAAACATCAAGACCATGATGAGTGAGAACGACTTGAAGACACCAGTGTTCAAACTCTCAACTCCGTTTCTCTCAGGTAATAAGGCAGAATTTCCATCACCCAAACCACCACCCATTCCAACACCAGGCATGGAAGAATCTGTTGTACTAATACCAGAATCGGACCAAGTTTGTTTCAAACATGAATAAAATCGATCATAATAATATCGGCAAGATCTGAAAGCAGTCGAAGTTTCATCACTATACTGAGTATAACCAATTAATTGTGAGGGTGTAATAAATTCAAAGGTATACAATCCCAAATTATAGAGACAAGCTCGTAAATCATAGTATTGTCCCTCACACGATGCAATACATTTTCCAAGATTTGAATCAGTTTCCTTTCCAGCACAAGCACATCCTTGTGAAGAACCAGAAGTACAAAGAGCAGAAGTGGAACATGTTTCTTTTCCTGCATAGGGAGCACATTTACCACTCGTCGAATCACAATATCGACTGTAACACATATGAGCATCGGTGGAGGTACATGCCTGACCATTAGGTCTCGATGCTAAACGAACACACTTGTTATTTTCACAACTAATCATTCCTGAATTTGCAAATGCACAATCAACGATCGAGTCACAATATTGGCCAATAGCTGCCTTGTACTCACAGGTAGTAGAAGCACCTGCTACTTTTCTTCGACAGAAAGTATTGGTTTGACATTGTTGAGTGAGGTCCGTTTGAGAACATGCTTGTCCTTCTTGAATCATTGAAACACAAGTACCGGTCAATGAACAAGTAGTACCCGATTCACAAGTGATATAATCAGTAACCTGGGGAGGAATACCTGCGATTTTGAATCCACAAGTTTCACCCTTCTTAGCCACAGAGGTTTTCACACACTTGGATGCAAGACCAGGAATATTAAAGAGATCCTTCAAAGCACAATATCCTTCAGCACAATCGGAGATGGTATTATCAGCAGCATTCTTGACATTACAGGATTCACCGATTTTGGCAGTCTTGGCCACAGTAATTCTTCTGCAACGTCCTTCGAAACAAGTAATGCCATACTTGGCATTGACATTGGGTGTGCATTGAGAATCGGCAGAACAAGTGTCTCCTTCCATTCGATGTAATGGACTACACACGTTATTGATGCAAGAAAGAGATAAGAATTTACAGTCCAAACTTGTGGTACAACCAGATCCCAATTTTGCTTTCCATTGATCCGCAAATTTCTCACATTTGGTTCCAGTGTTGATCCAACCTACGGGACAAATGTCAGCAACTCCACCGATGAGTGAAGGTGTGAATGTGTTTGTGATTTTGTTGGTTGCACATTGGGCAGAGACTTGTGTTGTGAGAAGAAGCAAACAAGCCAATAAAAGGAATGGTAGGGTTCTCGAGAGTGGCATGATATCTATTTTTTTGTGTGTGAAAAGAACGCGATTGACATCACATGGAATTTTTCGATTTTCCGAATGGACAGGTCGGGGAACTGCAAATGTCAATGTGGACATTCACTCTCGAACCGCTCTTGGACAATGCACACCTAACGGCTATTATTGCATCTGATTGATGTTGAATTCATTCAGACCGGATCTTTTGGAGATTGTTTGCTGTACAGCAGCAAGTTGGGGTTGAGACAGCTTCGTTTATTGAATGAGCCTTATGGTTCGTCCCTTGGAGCATGGAAATACAACGCGCCAAAAAAATGAAATTAAGTTTTACATTCCTTCTCGTTTCCTTGTCGATAGATTTATTGTGCAATTCGATAGGACCTTCCATGATTATGAATCCCTATGCTTACTATGTCATTTTAGGATTGCATGCAATATCTTTAATTGCTCATGCTGTGATTGTGTATATTATTATATCCCGAACATTAATGTTTACATCGGGTTTAATATTTCAAGCATTTTTCAAACTTGTAAAGTTTTCAATTCTGGCGTTTTTGTTTCATATTGGACTGATTTGTGGAGCTGCAGCTTTTAAAATTGTAGGTATTTTCAAGAGATGTGAGGAACATTATTCGGGATGAATTTGCAAAATAGTATGGTTTTATTCAGTCACCATCAAATCCGTTGTGGGCCTGGGAATCTCCTGGCTACTGGATTTTGTTCATCATACAACAACTGTTTTCCTTATTGTTTTATTGCATCATGATTCGAACAGGCATGTCACTCATGTCAGCCAAGTTGTATTTCCCAACCAAGTAGGATGAATTATTACCATCTCATGAGTTACTGGTCATAACTTAAGTTTATTGAGTGGAGGACGTACAAGGAAGAGATTCGATCGAAACCAGAATGAAATGTCCTAAAAACTTGCCTTCTTGAAAAGAATCCAAGTCATGCTGCAACAGAGGTTGTCAGCAAAAGATATTTTGCGATTAGAGACAATAAAAAATTCACACACAAGTTGAACTGAATTCATGTCCATCAATAATTCAACGTAGGTTTCTCAACACAACACCATCATTGTTCAAAACAAAATATAACATGTCCTCTGGACATCTCATATTATTCCAAAGCGGATCCGTGCTCAGGAATCATCCCGATATTGTAGTTAATTGGCGAGGTTTGCTCGGAGAGCTCTGCGGAACGTCATTGGTATGGATTTCATTAGAAAATTATAACATTGAATTTCAATATATATTGAAATATCAATATTTTGGAATTGACAACAAATTTCATCATGATATCCATAACAATTATTATTTTGGGAACACCATAGTATACGTTCATGGGATGCACAGCAGCTTGTTTTTCAACGGGAGACGTATTTCAAACCTCGCTATGCCTAGTTTTCACTCAAGTTGCTTGTTTTCATATATTTGCACCAAGTAGGTATTACATAATAATTCACAAAATTCATTGAATAATAATTGGTCATAGTTAGCGGAGCACATTTCAATCCAATCATAACTCTTGCTACCCTCATAACCAGAAATATTGGAGTTTTAACAGGAATACTGTATATTGTCATGCAAATTATTGGAGGAGTGATTGGAGCCGCATGTTGCTTGTTGGTCACTAAATCGAGTAGGTTGATTAATTGATGGAAAAAATTATTGAAATAATGGTGACATTAATATGATCAAAAAAGTACAACCTGCTATTTTCCAACCTCCACAAGATGTAGGCGATGCATTTAGAGCATTTGCCTTAGAAATTATTCTTGGATTTTTTATTGTGATGACCATGTTTGGATCTTTGATCAAGTCACAACATTTGAGCCAAGAAACAGGTCTGGAACCAATCTCCTCTGTAGTGGCGACTATTCCTGTTGCACTGGCTATTGGAGGTGGTGCCCTTGTGAATGGAAGCATGAATCCTGTTCGAGCGCTTGGCTCACAAATTATAGGATGGACTTGGTATCCAAATTGTTGGGTTTATTTCACTGCTCCATTTATTGGTGGAGCGCTAGGAGGACTTTTCTATGAATTTATTGTCACAAAACCTAGAAGAAATTATATTGCGTAAGTAATTTTGCAAGTTCATGAATTTGACTCAATATATTCTTTGAATTTTTTTCACACGCACCTGAATGATAGCCTTAAATAATTATTATTATGAAAACAAGTATACTAAATACATGTTAATGGATGTATTCATTCCATTTACTAAATATATTTTTCTATTCTACTACTATTTACAAGTCATATATATTTTTTATCAATAAATTAATTGATAGTACCGGACTCGTCACATCAACTTCCAAATAATCCAATCCATTTTGATCACCACTAGTGTCAGAATTTCCAAATGTGATGGTCTCAGTAAGGGGTACGTTAAGCTTATTCCTAAGAACATTTTTGATTCCATACAATTCTTGAGCATTATAGAATTGATCCTTAATATGATCCATATAGTCATGGGTCTTGGTTTGATCTCCATATTCAGCGTCACATGAAGCTTTAATTTGATACGAATATTGATCCGTTATAAAGTTTGATAATTTTTCAACGAGTAATAGATTATTGGATGAGAGGGCATTGTTATTGATGGCACCTGTTTGCATCAATCTCAACATGACATAATTATTACTGCACATGCTAAATTTCTTCTCCAATTCTTGATGCTGCATGGAGAGTTGATACATCATGAATGCATCCATCCCAAAGGATGGCAAAGAAGCTGAAGTGGCACTCTCTGTCAGAGTCAATTCTCGTGTTTTACCATTTCGAGTCACTTTCACTTGAACAGTCAAGAGAATACTTGTCGAAAGTGTGATTCGATACACCTGATAGGCTCTTCTCAGATTCATTCCTGGAGACTCAGCCTCCTTCAAACAAAACGCTCCAGTTCCTCTCTTTCCACCCAAACAACATAACACATAGACATCTCCAGGACAGTCCGAGTTTGTTCGAGTCATGGCACATCCCAATCCAGGAGTAAAGACCTCATACTTGTTGTAAATGAATTTCGAATCCTTGACCAAGTAGAGTCGTGATTTGGCCTTGAGAATGTTGGCTTCAAATTTGACAGTCGTACCTAAATCGATTTTCTGACCCTGAGTATTGTAGTAATACGAGAAGGAATCGGAAATTGAGCTCGAGTTGGAATCGAGTTTCAATTCAACTGATGCAGAGAGGCAACGAGTAGAAGAAGACGATACGGAGTTACAAGCGAAATCTCCAAAGGAGGTATAAAGAGATTGAGAATGGCACGGAGAAGGAAGAAGAAGGAATAGAGCGAGAGAAAACAGTAATTGGAAGCGAAGGAATAATGTACTGAATCTCAATGGAGAATGATAACAGTGTGCATTTTCTTGTGGCTTCATTTCTTTATTAAGGAATTTCTAAAATTGTTCTATTAAGGGAATTTATGTAGTGATTAAGAGCTTTACAAACCTTTCCAATTCATATGGACTACATACAAGAAAAATGATGATACATATGGACATGTGGTAATGATCAGTTCATCCTCTATCATGTAAGTTGTTTGAAATTTATGTGAACTTTTGTGGCGCCAAAATTTTACGTTTGTAGTTAACGTTGTAAAGAGTTATTTTAAAATTATAAAATTATAAAAAAATGTTATCATTATTCAAGAATTTGTTTGGCTTTGGCAAGAAGAGGAAAGATGAAATGAAAATTACTGTCATGCTGATCGGGCTTGGTAAGTAATTACTGAAACGGATCAGAATTGAAACGAAAATTGAAAAACATCATGTCGGGAATACAATGTTTTCGGAATACATAATTCACCTCACACCATAGACAATGCTGGTAAATCCACGTTTTTAGCTGCTTTAAAAGGGCATGTGGATTTCAAACCAATGCCAACTGTTGGTTTTAACAGAGAAACCTTGAAGCATCAACATTATGAAATTACTTATTTTGATGTTGGAGGTGGAGTGAATATTAGATCCATATGGCCCAATTATTTTCCTTCGGTAAGTGAAATTTCTTGAGAACAACAGTAATGTCACATACAAATTTAAATAACGAAAGATACACGGAGCAATTTTTGTGGTAGATTCTGCCGATGAAAAGAGACTTGAGGAAGCGCAGAAATGTCTAGAAGAAAGTATCAAACACCCTTATTTCAAAGGAAAGCCGCTATTAGTGTAAGTATTGTCAGTAACAGTTCGATGTGACAATTCTATTTTACTCAGTCTAGCTAACAAGAAGGATCTTCCTAATTCATTGGACCCTTCCGAAATTTCTGAACGACTCAAATTGCATGAACTAGCTCAATACGTTTCAAGTTTCAACATTCTTCCTTCAATTTCTAAAAGAGAGCTCACCAAAAACAAGTTGGACGACCACATTGTGAAAGGTCTAGACTGGCTGAGTACAGAAATTGAAAAGAACATTGAAGAGCTGTCGAAAAGAATAGAAAAAGAGGAAAAGGAATTTGAAGATGAAGAAAAACGAATAGCTGAAGAAAAATGGGAGAGAGTGAGGAAAATGAGAGAAGAACGATTAAGGCAGCAAGAGGAAGAGGAGCTAAAAAAGAAAGAGCAAGAATCAAAGGAATGAAATTAAAAATATTGTATTTATGATGACTCCAAAAGTTTCTGAAACATTAGTTAATTCCAAAAGATGTACTAATGTAGATATCGTACAATGAAGGCCAGGCATCATTGGAGTCATAGTTAGAAAGGTTTGGAGCAATATTAGCTGAGAAATCCACAAATATTTTCCATTGATCTAAATTAATGGATTTGATCGGGTTATCAGCTGAAATTAAAAAGTCACTGAATGTCTCTGTGAAAGGACTTCTTCCTGTCATTAGAACTCTCAAAGCATAAGCGGCAACATGAGCATCAATCGATCTACTCTTTTCTGAGTCTCTTAGAAATTTAAAGGATACAGTGAACAAATTTTTCATCTGCTCAGAGTTCCATGAAAGAGATTCCTCAGTTACCTGGTTGATTTTGAATCGAAGCTTGTCTATTGAGTCACATCGTAAATTAAACATTCCAAAAATCCATTCGCTTCTCGAAATGGACAATTTTGATTGAAAATTAAATAAGAATACAAATATAAAGTATTTGTAGTCATAGAAAGAGGAAATTCCCAAATCTTTAAAAAGTCTAAGAAGCCCGCTTGATGAGTGTGATTGTAACGCGTTAAAATCATAGCAGTAATTAAAATAATCATTCGTACTCATTTTGATATTATTAGTGTCACTCGGATCATCAACATAGTTTTCAAAATATCGAACACATTCAACCATGCTAAAATTATAAAACCAATCCGTGGTTTGGCAATGTTTGTAGAGAGTGGGAAATGGAGAAGGAACGCAAAGATTGCTACTGGCAACCGTTGTAGAATATTCGTTACAAATGTGATGATAGGCTTTCACTTTTTTGCAATTCATGTAATCGTCATCATGCTGATGTTCGGAAAATTCCTCTTTCAACTCTGATGATTGTAATTGATGATGAGGAACTAGAAGATGTTGATTGTTACAAATAATGTGATGATCATTGTTGTTCATGTGGTGGCAGAATGATGATTCATTGCTGTGGTTATAACATCCATGGGGATTGTCTCCATCATTATCCTCCTCTACAGATTCGTCGATCGTCTTTCTCTTGCCACCCGACATGGGTATGGGACGATTTGAGTTTTTGTTTCGTTGGTTGTGATGATTACGTGGATTTGCGGAAACCACAAGAGGGGAAGTCAATTTTGGTAAAGTGTAGCATTGTGCTGGTAAATGCTCGAACGGTAGAACGTGAAGATGGTGAGGTTCAGACATTTTTTTTCGAACTTGCTAATTTTGTAGCGCCAGTGGAAATTCTCGAAATTCTGGATGTTGTAAAGGTTCTTGCTTTTTTATTCCAGTAGCAGCGAATCACAACTTGGAAGACAACCCAAGCATCTTGAGATAGGTTTCATTGTTTTGATCCACGAGTTCCTTGTGTGAACCTTGACCAGCTATCTGTCCATTTGACAAGAGTACAATCTTATCCACTTGGTCCAAGTAGGTCATGTCGTGTGAAATCATGAGCAAGGTAAGCTTGTTCTTTCTTATATGTTTGAATAAATTAGGGAATATAACATCTCGTTTCTTGATGGGATCCATCGCACTGGTACTCTCATCCAAGATAATAATTTTTGCTTTCTTTTGAAGATAAATTCTTGCGAGTGCAACCGATTGAGCAAATCCGCCGCTCAAGTTTGAACCTCTTGCTGTTGTCTTCATATCTAAAATTTTGTTAATCTTCTTTTTAGAGAGCTTTTTCTTCTCAGGTTGATTTCCTTCAAGCAATAATTCTTCAATAGTTTTTTCATTGGGTATGTTCAGTGCTGGAAGAGGCTCTTGAGATGTTGTTGTTGTTGAAGTAGTGGAAGCATTAATGGATGCTTCATCAAATGTAAAAACGCCTGCATATTTAGCTGCCTTAATAATCTCCTTATCCGTTGGAGTGTAATCAATTCCAACACAGATATTTTCACGAATTGTACCTGGGAAAACGTATGCTTTTTGAGCAACATAATACACAATTTCTCGAATCGCATTTCTGTTAATCTTGGAATACGGTATACCATTGAATGTCATTTCTCCTCCCTGTGGTCTATATAACTTGGTTATCAAGTTCACCAATGTGCTTTTTCCACTTCTATTTTGTCCAATAATGGCATATATTGAATTTTGACGAAACTAGTTATTAGTGATCAAACAGTAATTATTTCTCAATAAATGGTGTAAAATATTGTTACTCACCTCAATTATTCCTGAAAAGTTGAGAGCATATGGTTTCTTTCCATTCTTTTGATATGAAAAAGTAATATTCTGTAATTGTAAGCCCTCAAATGAAGAAACTTTAACTAAAGAATCATCATTATCTTCATCTTGAAAGTTTGGAAGTCGCATTAATTTAACAACCCGTGTTTGTCTCTCCACACTTCTGGATGCCTGTAACGTGTACGTTCCTGTTCTTCTGACCAATTTCCTAAATATTGGGAAATATTAGTGTCAAAATCAACAAATATTAATCCACTACATACACTAAATGGTCAATATCAATTTGAAGTTTCCTATACTGCTCATAATTAAGATCTTTTTTCTTCATAATCATTGAAGCAATAAATGTCTCAGATAGAAAGTCAAAGACACCCCTATTGGTGAAGGAACTATAAATTTTGTTGAAGAATAGACGGGCATCTTCCCAAATTCCAAATTCAGTGTGAACAATTTGGTCATATTCCTTCAACTTTTTTTGTTGGATATTGTTGAGTTGAATCTCAGCTAGTCCCTCTGTCACTTGGTCGAATAGCAGGGCTACACTTTGGTTGCTTTGCAAGTTAGTAATTACTCTCTGTGACACGTTATGACACATATATGCATAAATTCAAATATCAAATAACAAAAAGCTTACCTTTTTTCCCATGAATTGAGTTTTGGTCCAGTCAATGATTCTCCACAGAATAATTGAAATTACAGGTCGTACAACCAGCATCCAGTCCAATTTGGCCCTTCCTTCATATAATTCGAAACCTTCTCTCGCAATGGCATAGAGAGAAGACAAAATATTAGGAACCACATAGCTGAACAATCGAAGAGTATTATGGATTTCTGTTGAAATTCTGTATTCTAGTTCCCTTCCTTGAAATTCGGTGAAGGCCCAAATCTCGCTGTAAAGAATCTTTTCCAAGACAAGTCTCTTCACATATAAACGATTCATTACTGTCACTTTATAAGTTAAGTGACGTTCTATATTCTCCAATAGTGTGTACAACATGGTGAGAGCAATATATGAATGTGCAGACTCCCAACTAAACTCCTTTCTATCAATCATTGAATTTGTAATTGTGTTTTTCTGAGTTCGAAGTCTTCTTCCAATTTTTCGACGTGAAAAGTACCATGGTAGTGACTCGAGTAAAATTGGCAAGCCATAACTAACGAACAGATTCATGAAAAATTGCACTTTCTTAGTCTTCCATAAATATCCATAAAACACAACCACTGGAGTATTCTTTAAATGGTCCCAAATTTCATAACAGAATTTTACAAATGATTCTCTACTCGAAAATGCATCCAAAACATAACCAATAATATTCGGAATGTTTTTTACATTCTTATAGTATCGTTTAAGTTTGTTTCTCAATTTAACAATTTTACTCATCAATCCGATTTGGTCATCACGTAGAGCACCTTCTTGAATATCTGATTCATCCTCTTCCTCTATTATTTCATCTTCGTAGTCCTCCATGATGATAGTGTTGTTGTTAATCGGGTCATAACACAGTCAAGAGGTTTGGAAAATTTTTTTCTTCGGAGATTCAATTAATTCCTTTCCATAACAATTCAGAGGAAAGGAGTACCATGGTTTCATGAAGATGAAGGTTGTCATTGGCTTTTTGACAATTGTACTATTGTTCCCCATTATCCACCTGAACCAAAACTTCAAGGCCAAGAGACAAAACTTTTGCATCAGAAAAAAAACCGTTTCGCAATCCCACCATCAACACCCAAAAAATTCATTTCGGATTTTGTATTCATAGGCTGCTGGGGAAGCGAAAAAGCATCAATTTCGTATTATCAAAGATCGATCATCAATACACAATAACAAACCTAACCCTAGGATTACTTTATTATTCTCATTTCGAAATCTATAGTTTCTTTTTGTAATATTTAAATATCATCATGATGATGGAAGACGACCCTAGTGAATTCAGTAATGAAGAAGAAAATATGGAAGATGAAGATTTTTCACTTCAGATTGCCAATGAGAGCGACATGGAAAAATCTGAAGTATCCGCAGATGAAGAGGTAAAACCACAAAAGAAGCAAAAATCCACAAAAAAGCGGAAATCATCAAGAAAGTCAAAGAAATCCGATAAAAAAGAAGTCAAGGTAACCATCAAACTTGGAGAGATGGACACTACTATTGCAAGCAGCAGCATTCCGAAAGTTGAAAGTGAACATGAAAATGATGAAGAAGCTGCAGAGGAGCCGACAGAACAAAAGAAAAAAAGAAGAGCAAGAAAACCTAGGAACACAATGGTTGTGGATCCTAATATTCCTCCTGATGCACAACTTCCTGTAAAATTTGGAACGTCACAAGTCGTTTCACTTGGAAGAATTGAATACAATAATCCAAATTACCACAACGACAGATATATTTTCCCTATTGGGTACAAAGCTGAAAAAAATTACATGTCGTACAAAACTCCAGGAGCTAAAGCGATTTATACATGTGAAATTTTGCAAGGAGATGATGCACCAATTTTCAAGATTACTCCATCCGATGACACAATTTCATACACTTCTTCCACACCAAGTGGTGCTTGGTCAGCAGTAATTAAGACTGTACAAGAATCTAAAAATAAGAGCATGAAAACATGCACTGTATCAGGTCCAGAATATTTTGGATTATCGAATTCTAAAGTAAGACATCTCATTGAGCTACTTCCCGACGCTGAAAAATGTACTCACTACAAGAGAAAGTTCGTAAATCCAGAGGAAGATAATGAGCCTCAATCTGCCAAGAAGAGAGGCCGCAAGAAAAAGGAAGATAAAGCAGAAGATTCTTCGACGACAAAACGAAAACGATCATCAAAAAAAGCACAAGATGACTCTGATGAAGAAAATGACAAAGAGAATGAAGAATCAAAGACCAAAAAGAGGAAATCAAACCCTGTTAAATCTGAAGAAACAGAAAATGAAGAAGACGAAGAAAGTGACGAAGAGCCATCAGATGTTTTAATTTTTAAAGACCCTCTCTTTACTGACGAAGGCATCCCAGATGCTGTGTCCAAGATTTATAGAGAGGGGCTTCCATTCCTTAGAAAGTATCAACATACGAACTATACTGATAACATTACCTCCTTTAACGGACACAACGAGTTTATTTATTTAAAATATAACTGCTATACGCAGAGTGAAGTTCAAGAATTTGTCAAAGACTGTTCGAACGCTGTAAAGCAGGCCCAAATGGAATTACTTCCAGAAGAAACATCTAGGAAAAAGGACGCAGATAAGGAAAAATTTCAAGTTGAGAAATATGAAAAATCTGAAACAAGGTCTCCAAAAGAAATTTTAAACAGCATGTGGGAACTTGCTTATGTTTTCACTTCATTGGAGTACCTTAGGCCCGTCCTAAAAATTGCTGAATTTGACTATGACGAATTTGAGGACGCGTTGCTACATCCAGAACTATGTAATGGTTTGATGGCAGATCTCATCATTAGGCTTATTAAGGGCCCTGCACTGGACCGAAAATCACATGCGTTGCTAGATCCTGCTTCCATAAGGTGGAAAACAGTCCTGAAAAACAAGATTGACTCTTTACAATCAAATTATAGACTGTGGCAAGTGAGCCCGTTATTACTCACCACATACGACGAACTTTCTCCTCAATGGAGGCTCATTCTTCTCAAAGCCCTCATGGATTGGAAGTTTGATACAAATCAGAGAGTAATTGACTATTCAAGAAATCACTATGGTCTGAGCATGCTATTTGAACCCATTTCAAAGGACGAAAAGGGTGTAAAGTATTGGTACTTTGGTGACCACATTGGAAGACTCTACGTTGAACATCCTCCTTCTTCCAAATCAAATGGATCTTGGAAACTCAAGTGCTCAAGTGTTGCAGAATTTGAAAAGTTCTTGGAAGAACTAAAATCCGAAACTGAGAATTCTCCATCCGAAACAAAAACATCTCTTATAGAGTATATCGAAACGGTAATAAGAAATTTGAAAAACAATGAAGACACTAGAAGTATTGAGCAAAAACGTGAGGATAGAGAAAATATGTTAGTGAGACGAGCAAGAGAACGAGAAGAAGAGGATAAAGAACTTCAAAAACAACATGAACTCGAAACAAAAGCTCTTCTCGAAGAGATTGAATACGAGAAAGAAGAAGCTCCGTTGGCCGATCAAAATGCTGCTGATGGTTCAGAAGCTAATGACGTTCATACAACTAAATTAAGAAGTGGTAGAGCTGTTAAGAATATCAACTTTTCTGTATTTGGTGAAGAAGAAGCAGATGGAGAAGCAGCAGATGAAAAGCGTAGCCTTAGGCCAAGAAGAAAGAAATCTTACAAGGAGGCAGTTGAAGATGATGACAAACGAAACAAAGACGATGAAGAATTTGTTCTGGATGAAAATGACGATGACGATGAAGAAGAGTATGATAATGAAGACGATGATGAAGACTTTAGTTCAGAAGAAGAGGAAGAGGAATATATGGACAAAAAGAAAAGAACAGCTTCTAAACCCAAGGCTGGAGCTGCCTCTAGCTCTCAACCAAATGTCCAACAACAGAAAAAACCAACACCTCAACAAAACATGAGAATGCAATTTAACAATGTTAGTGGAGTACATCTTTCTGGAATTGGAATGAACATGATGCAACCATCCGTGAACAATCCAATGGCACTCAATGCTCAAAGAAATGCCTTGACAGTCAATCAAAATGCTAAACGAGGACAGCCACAACAACCAACAAACACGCATGTATCCAATCGACCGGTACCTCAAAACAATGTAAATAACATGTTAAGAGCACAACAACTGAGCCAAATTCAAAGACAACTCCAGAGTGGCGCAATTACTCCACAACAATTGTTGCAACTTCAACAAGGTCAACAAACAGGTTATCGAATGCCAAACCAGCTACCTCAACAACCACAACAACAACAACCACAGCAACTTCTTGGCCTTACACAACAACAATTGGCCATTTTGATGAAACTACAAGAACATCAACGAAATGCAAGCTCAATCCAATCCTCTGCTCCTAACAATCTTCCACAAGCAAACACTCCTACTGTTGGCATGCCACAGGCGAACCCATTTGTAAGCGCTTTACAACTTACCAAAATGATGGGTGATAATAATGCTGCTGTTGGAAATGGAAGTGCATCGATGCAACGGCCACCACAACAACAACCAGTCCAAGTTGTTCAACCAACAACCTCTCAACCCTTACCTCCACAACATACTCAGCAGCAAAACTTGCTCTTACAACTTCTTCAACAGCGACAAGGTATGATCAACAATCAACCAGGGAACTTGGCCAATCTTCAGTCATTGCTGTTGCAACAACAACGAGGGCAACAACAGTCAGCTACTATGCCAGTCCAACCTCAACCTCCAATGCCTGTTCAACCTGTACTACAACCAATTCAACCAGTTGTACAGCCACAACAACAAGCTGCACAACAACCACAGCAATCCCAACAATCAGATAATCTGGACGATTTGTTTTTCGGCGAAGATTCATTCACTTAAATCATTCTTGAATGCATTAAATAGTCTTTTAATTTGAAAGGATCATTTATTATTCATACACTACGTTTGCACACAGGCAAACAATATCATCTTGTTTGCAGTCACGTCGCCTGGCTAAATTAGCAAGTTCTTCTGACAGTAATTTCATATTATTTTGAGGTTGTCCTGGAGGGAAAAGGTCATTTACAAGCTCAACTAAGTAATCCATCTTAATGTTCTCGAAAAGACCATCACTTCCCATGATTATAATGTCTTCCTCTTGAAGCGATATTATATTAGGCTCAAACATTGCGTCTGTTGGTTTGTCGTTGAAATAGTTGTTCGTTTGAATTAAAGTTTGAGGTAAAAAGCTCAATTGATAAGGAGCTTTCCCTAATCCATTAATCGTTCGGCATTTATCCTTTGCAGTAAATATGACCCGTTGTTGGTTATCAGTGCTGCTTCTTCGTAGCACAATAAATCCGCTATCTCCTAAATTTGCATAACTTAGGGCAGCAGACATTTCATCCATATGAAGCACACAAGCTGTGGTACTTCCAAGAGGCTGGCCAATATTCAAACTTTCGTATATTTCAACTTCTTTGTCGTACGCTTTTGATAAAATGTTTAGAGGCGTTAGCGACGAAGGTTCTGAGTTGGGAGAATGTTCCTTTTCACTTGCAAAATATTTACAGTGATTCATAATGTCTCTACTCACTCGAGAAGAGTCAACCCCATAAGAAGACCATCCTCCAACACCATCTGACACACCCAAGGTGCAATTAGTATAAAAGTAAAAGTCTTCTCCTAAATTCAAATCTTCTTCTTTTAAACCAAGAAGATCGTCCGAGTAGTCATAATATTGACTTTTTGAAAAACCGTACACAGAGGCATTAAAACGATACTTTTTGCAAGTACAGATGGTTTGTTCTGCTTCACGCGGCGATTCAAAGGTGAATGTGGAAGGTTCAATATCATGCATTAATGGTTCACAGCAAGGCTCTACTTGAATATCATCCTTCTGTTCGTCTTTGTAATACTTTTCCGATGGTAATATTATTGACTCAAAAGTATTTTCTCTATCTTGATTGTTGTTGGTCATGATAATTGGTACAATTGAGTTTGGTTCATCACTGAGTGATTCCATGGACGATGGAGAAGAAGTTGTAACGAAAGAGAGGCTATTAATATTCACCGGATCTTTGCTATAAGAGGAGTGAGGATGATGGTGATGATGGTGGTGTATGTGATGGTGGTGATTATTATCCATGAATGAAGGGACTTGTTCGCAATTAGAAAAAGGATCCATCATCATTTGTGTTGTTGTTATTATGGTTGTTATTGTGATGAAGTAATGATGAGTATTTCTAGAAATCAGTTGACGAATACGATGAATGAGCCGATAATGTAAAAATTCCAAAAGTCAATACGTTGCAAAAGAGTCTATCAATACTACTAATACTACTACTGTGTGGGGAAGTTGTCCGATGACTCGAATGGCTGAACAACGTGTCGGGTTGGCGTTGTTTGATTGTTGCTCTTGTTGCAAAGGAATGAGTCGTCTGAGTGTGATTCTCAGAAGAACTGTATCAGAATATTGGGCGGTTGTTCTTCAACAAAAAACGGTTCTTCTTGGGCAGCTGTTCTTCCTCTCTCTTCTGCAAAAATGACGTTGATTGCAATTTTTTTCAGTCCTCAAGGACATTGAGCCCGATATCGTTTTTCGAAATCACCCAAGAACGACGACTTGATGTTTCAGTCCACTCGATTCACTGTTGAATTTGAAGGTCATAGGGTGATGATTGGAATGTTGGGGTTCGCATATTCGGAAGAACGGATCGAATTTCGTTGATAGGACTAAATGAAAATGTTTGGTGAAAACGAACTTTTGGGTTGTGTTTTCATCTTGCAATCAGAATGAAGCATCGAAAGAAACTCAGGAAAGGCCTCGAATGATCAAGAGAGAGGCTTAAAGAAGAATGCCATCACCACCCACACGAATCAAATTGGTGATATGTATTATTTAGACAAGAATTCCAAATGTGTTGATCACCACACTTTGTGTTAATCAACCAGCATCGATTCTTTCTCAATGAATTCATGTGAACAACGTTGTTGGGGGAGCTTGCCGCTACAGTTTTCGTTCGACCAAGTTGGTTGACATCAAGTTTACAAGAAAATGAGAGTTCAGCTCTTCATATGTTTCTCAGACTTTTATGTGAATCCATTTATGATTCCATCAACACCTACTCGCCTGTTATCGAATCTACTGTTTCAAATGATGAATGCTTCATCAAAGTATTACATTATGATGATACTTCCAAATTAAAAAACATTGAAAACTTGAAAAAATGAGATCCGTTGCTTCCTCTCTCTTTCGCAGACACAACAACAAACAAATCTTGTTGAGCAGTATCCAGAGAAATTTCTCTACCAAGAGTACAGCCTGTGTTCAGGTAGGTTGATGATGGGATTGCGGTTTTTGTGGTGGTGATAATGAAGAGGTTGATCCGAATTTTTTGATATTCTGCTGATGGATGTTGTTGTTGTTTACATTGTATGATTGTAATGGGTTGTATTGCTAATTCGTTGATATATTTTGTTTTACTACTTGATGGTTATTATAATATCTGTTTCATTGTTTGTTATTTACAACTGGACGTGGATGATATTGATTGTCATCTTGCAATACTTGACCGAAACAACAAATTGTTCGCAACATGATTCATCGGCATTTTCCATACTATGATTGTAATTTATTCTAATAGATTACCAACAGAGATGCTGCAAACAAGGCCTTAGATGAAGAATTGGCTCGTGATGAAAAAGTTTTCATTTTGGGAGAAGAAGTTGCTGCTTATAACGGAGCTTATAAGATCACCAAGGGACTTTTTGACAAGTATGGAGGTGACAGAGTCATTGATACTCCAATTACTGAAATGGGCTTTGCTGGTATTGCAGTCGGTGCCGCTCTTGGTGGCCTGAGACCAATTTGTGAATTCATGACTTTCAACTTTGCCATGCAGGCCATTGACCAAATTATTAACAGTGCTGCTAAGGGTCATCACATGAGTGCAGGTTTTCTTAGATGCCCAATCGTTTTCCGTGGTCCAAATGGTGCTCCTCCAGCAGTTTCTGCCCAACACTCACAAGATTATGCCTCGTGGTATGCCAATTGTCCAGGCTTGAAGGTTGTTTGTCCATACAGCGCTGAGGATTACAAGGGATTGCTTAAGGCAGCTATTCGTGATGACAACCCAGTCATTGTCTTGGAAAGTGAATCTTTGTATGGTCAAACATTTGAAATCGATGAAAAAATTTTGAATGATAAGGACTTTGTTATTCCAATTGGTAAATCAAAGGTTGAGCGTGAAGGAAAGGACATTACTCTTGTAGGATATGGTCGTGCACTTAATGCTGCTCTTGGTGCTGCTGAAAGACTCCAAAAGGAGGGTATCAGTGCTGAAGTTATTAACTTGCGTACAATTCGTCCACTAGACATGGTTCCAATTCTTGCATCTGTTAAGAAGACTAATAGATTGATCACTGTTGAAGAAGGTTGGCCACATTGCGGAATTGGAGCTGAAATTATTGCTCAAGTTATGGAATCTGATGCCTTTGATTATTTGGATGCTCCAGTTTTGAGATGTACAGGTGTCGATGTTCCTGTGCCTTATGCTGAAAATTTGGAGAGAGCTTGCTTCCCAGACCCTGATATTGTTTGTGCTGCTGTTAACAAGGTACTTTACAGAAAGAAGTAAATTATGAAACGACAGAATTTATTTAACAAAGGTTGGAGCCTTTTCCCAAGCTTGTTTTATTGTGGGGTTTTCTGTAGATTCGTATATTTTGAAAAATTCTCCTTAATGTCCTGCTTCATGATCTTCATCAGCCTCCAAAATAGAGCAGCAGACGGCGAAAGAAAAGGACAAGCACTTCACAATTTTTTAATAATGGCAAATGACATCCAGCTGCAAATTTCACTCTCCTGTGACAGACGACTTGCCTTTGAACAGAGCATCAAAAAATGGGTCAAAATGTATGTAGCACCATCTTGTTTTGCCTTGTATCTTTTCAACAACAACTTTTATCACAACAACGTTGATGTTCATCCACATACACATCATAACCATCATTGAAATCATTTCCATGAATTCCATCATTGATCGTTATCACTCATCGCCCACACATACCAACTTTTATCTACAACACTCGCACGTGATGGCGTAATCCACACTTTCAACAATGATTTTGGAATTATCATCACAAATATTGACGTTAAAACCGACCAATTCACACCAATGTTGTGATTCATGATCGGTGGACACACAATCACAAAATCCTTCTGATTTTATTCAATCATATAGAGTACAACTCCTGAAGAATTAGAATCAAGCAGAGAATTCACTGGACACATTAAAAGTATTTCAACACTTCAGTATTTCAATGGAAAACTGTATAGTGGAAGTCATGACTCATCATTGCGACAATGGTAAGTAGTAGTACAACCAATGGTTTTGTCGTTGTGCAATGTTGTTCTTGTGGAATATGTGTCTTGTCAAATTTGGAATCATGTATGGAATGAACCTTTGATGATGATCACATCAATGTGGATGAAATTATTGATGAAAATGTCATCCTCATTGGGTGTTTCTTCTGTTATTATTCATTCTCTCTCATTATTTCACATGGTCTCTTGTCAAATGATGACGACACGAAATTTGACATTTTTCATACAACTCCTCTCTCAAATGATGATGATGACTGACTTTTAATCCCATCTTGATGACCTTCTCTTTGGACCAATATCTACTGCTACATGATGATCCTACAATTACAACTTGTTCAAAATATTCCATTCAACTGTTCTGGTCCACTCTCTCTGTTGTTACTATTATTCTTATACTTGCCATTATTATTATTATATTCTTATACCGATATACTTTTATTATTTGGATATAATGATGAATTGGTATCATGGCATAACATTTATATACATTCTGAACACACTCCCTAATGACTCAACACGCACCTATCAACTCCAACACCAATCATTCCCAAACAACACCAATCCATCCCAAACAACTCCAACACCAATCATTCACTCCAAACAACTCCTCCACCAAAAAAGGGATCCCTCTGGTTCATGTCTCTTTGTATTTAAAGGTCATTCCAAATTCATCTCAGCCATGATTACCTCTCCCGAAGGTATCATTTACACAGGATCCGACGATGGAGATATTCGTTCATGGGCTGCCGAACGACAAGTCATTCTACACTTGTTTAAAGGTCACTCTAAAACCATCTCTTCTCTCACTTTGCATGGTAAAAAACACTTGTATAGTGGATCCTTTGACAATGATATTCGTAAATGGGACACTGAAACTGGAGAATGTTTACAAATATTTAGAGGTCATTCCGATATTGTGACTGGTATTGCTGTGAAAGGAGATTATATTTACAGTTCGAGTGCTGATAAAACCATTCGTAAATGGAACACTGAAGATGGTACCTTGTTATTAACATTCAATGGTCATACTTCTTGGGTTTGGGATTTTGTGGTCATGGAAGATGGATTTCACATGTATAGTTGTAGTCAAGACAAAACTGTTCGAAAATGGAATTGCACGACTGGTAAATGTATGAAAGTCATGGAAGAGGCAAAAGATTGTGTGTGTCGTATTGCTGTGGCAAAGAATGTGGATGGAATGGGAGGAACTCATTTGATTACTGCTTCATGGGATGGTATTATTAGGGAGTATAGAGTGGATGAAGGAGATGAATGGAAGAGAGATTTGAAAGGTCATTCCACTAAAGTGAAGAATATTATGGTCAAGGGAAGAATTTTAGTGAGTGGTGGAGATGATAATGATGTGAGAATTTGGGATTTGAAACATGGAAAGACTGTTTGTGTAAGTAGAGAGTTTATATTGATGTGTTTGATTAATATTGAAATGTAACGTTATTATGATTCATCATCATTATTGGAAAATGAATTATTATGATTCATCATTATTGAAAAATGTTTATTGGAATGTTGTGCAATGACCATTGTTGATTCATTCAATATTGGAATGATGCTCATTGTTGATTCATTCATGATTGGAATGAACACTTGAATGTGTTGTGAAAATATATATTTTTCCATTCATACTTGGATGTGTACTTGTGTGTATTCAAATGTTAATATGCCAATGGATGAATCATTTTCATGAATTTCGACATTGATAGATATTGAAAGTTAGAAAACCATTCACAAGTATTTGTAGAGGTAAATCTAACAATGTGCTCTATGTTGCAACTAGGGACGGAAACATTAAGGAATTTTCACTTGAAAAGACAAAGAAGAACTTTGATGGACTCGTTGAAGATCTTGACACTGATCAAACAGCGACTCACTATGCTGAAAGCAACATTTCTGTTTAATTTGATACTATTAGTACTCTTTCTTTGCAATGAACTTTGCAAATGTGATAATATGTGGTGATTGTTATTATCACACCTACAACCAATTGATGACACTTTTTATGAAGCTTTTGTTTCAAAAACAGGAACATTGAAAATTTATTATTCCTACTACTACTACTACTCATGAACACCACACATATTATTCAACTATTATTATTGTTGCTTTTCTCCTACTCTTGAGTCAATAAAGATTTCTCTTGTTACAATAATTATCCAGTACGATTTTTTGACGAATTGAGGAATCAACGTTGTAGCGAAGTTGTTAAAGGCTGTTATTTCATGGGATAAATCATTCAATTACGTTGAACACAACTCGATTTCATCGTGAAATCACAGCATGTTTTGAAAATAATCTCTCTTCATTGGGCATCAAATTTAGACTCCTCGTTAGCATCCTCATCTTTAAAGAAACATCATTATGATGACTGATAGCTCTGTCGCTGTTATTAGGCAGGGATGTGAAGTGAAGCAATACAACCCTATCATCCTTCTTATCTCGTTATCATTTTCTGTTTAAACATTCACTGATGTGATTCTTTACGACACTGCTCATTTCCATAAAAAACAAACTAAAACTCGACACTATTCGTTCATGTCCAGCAAGAACCAAGTACATCCCGGCCACATTGAATCTGTCTCTGATAGACTTGGATCGGATCATGACATTCAACAATTACTGCAACAACATGAAACTGAAGAAACCAAACAATCCTTTCATGGTCGTGCTGCTCGTTCTCAACGCAACAAGCACTTACAGGGATGTATTTCTTTAAGAACGTTTGTCGTCATAGCCATCATTTCTCTCATTCTCTTGTGTTCCATCATGGTCTATCTTTCAGTTTTCATTGGCATGTTTATTTCCATTGAGGAACTCTCTCGCAAAGTAGTCTCCAATGTTGAAGATAAAATTGTCCTTTATATCTCCCAAATGTTGGACAAGTTGAAAATGGTGAGCAATATTGGCGCGGATCTCTACAATTACGGTCTACTAGACAAGACGCAAATGAGAGATTATATCTTTCGTCAATACAATAATTCTGAAATTTTGACTGGTTACTTTTTTGCAACCCCTACTGAACGATATGCTGTGATTGAACTGTTTGGATCACTCTATTACACTTCTCAAATACCTCCATTTAGGGGAATGATTCGAGACAAGGTCAATGGAGATGGTTCTGTTGTGGCATATAATTATTCTGTTGATCCCACTCCCGCTGAAGTCATTCAACAAGGCTTTTACAACTCTACCATCAAGGCGGCAGCCAAGATGGGTTCCAAGGGGGCCTTCGGAAGTATCTATTACATTATTAACGGAAGTTTAGCTTTACCCTATGGATCCATGTTGTATGATCCCGTAAAATTCAAACAAGGTATCGTCTCAGGCGTGAAAGGAATTTATAGATGCACAGTTCCCTTAATCGTATTGTCGAATTTTTTACAACGAATTCGTGTGTTTGAACGTGGCTATGTGTTGGTCACTGAATTTAACTCGACACAGAGTGTGGCAGGAAGTATCAACACGACCACGTACGATATGAAAAGTACACTGAGTATTTTCGATATCACGGATCGAAATGCGGGTGCATTGATGAAAAAGATCTATTCCACCTACTCGGCTGATAAATTACCTTCAAATTTGAGGATGGAGAGTCTTGGAGTTAATTACATGATTACAACTCGTACCTTTACAATAGATAATTTAAATTGGAAGCTCTATATTGTGGTCTATGAAGAGGATGTCACTCTCACGACAACCATAAGTATTGCAGCTTCTGTGGGGGCCATGTTGGTTATTACATGTTTGGCGCTAGTGTTTGGTCTCTATCTGAGTCATGCCATTACCAAACCTATTTCTTTTTTGAGGCAACAATTTGAATTGATCAAGTACATGAATTTAGATGGAATTCACATGCCAGGTTCTATGTTTTCAGAAATTAGTCAAATATACTCCAATCTTGATAACACTGTGGATTGGTTGCGAGAAATCAAATCATTTGTTCCTGAAAACGTTTTTTACCAACTGCAACGTTTAGATTCATTCCACGAAAATCCTCCTAATCCAAGTTCAGAAGATTCCAAGACGGATAACAAGGCAGGTTCCAATGAAGAAAACCTCTCTAGCCCCAATTCGAATCGAGAATTACTCACTCGTCCCAGTGCAAGCTCCGCCTCTGAAGCCATGGGACACGAGTCCAGAAAGAGTGATGACTTGGCGAGGGGAGGAGGAATTTTCAAAATGGGACTCACTTCCAAGGAGTGTAGTGTGTTATACATTACGTTACCTCAATACTTGTTGCAATATTCTCAGGACGAAATTGGTCACTCGTTCCCTAAAATTATTACTGCTCTAAGCTCTATTTCCAAAATATTCAATGGTAATCTTCAAATCGTATCTAATTCAGAATATCAGATTGTGATTGAAAGCAAACGAAAATCACAAAAACCTGTCACATGCCTCGCTCAAGAATGTGCCTTGAAAATAGAAAAGGGACTTGGTATTGTGAATACATTCTTGGCACAAAACAACATGCAACCCATTTCATATTGTATTGGAGTTGCCACAAGTTCTTCTCTTGTTGGAAATTTGGGAACTAATGCAATTCGATTTTTCTCATGTATTTCTCAAGCTTGTGAAAGTGCCAAGAATTTGTGTTTCATTGCCAATCAATTGAAACTCAATGTTTTGATTGATGAAAGAACTCAAAGTGAATGCAAAAATAAGTTTGTCGCACGACCGGTAGATCGAATTCTTGTTGAAAAGTGTGTGCATTCGTCTGCTGCAAATAACTCTCCTGCTATTTCGACCATATATCATCTCATTAAGGAAAGTGCTGTCGAAAGTGATGAGTGGCTCTATGAGCTTCAGGTATGTTGATCCGAGAGTGATTTTAAATTTGCTAATGTTTTGCTAATTCATTCATTGATCATTTTCTGTGGTTGATCAACTTGACGACCATGCATGAATCACTACTCTTCAAAAAGGCCAAAAACGAAAATGAGTGTTGCAACGATCTTCATCGAGTGTTTGATATTTTCAAGTCCAATATTTCACAGCAGGAGTTTGAAGATGCATTGTCTTGTGCTACCATGAAATTGGAAAACTATCTCACCAAGAACCCTACTGATGTGGCCTCACAAAAACTATTGAGTTTGCTGGGTAGATTGTCCTCTGTGGAGAAGGCACAGTCGTACCACTCTAAGGTGAATCACAGTGTGGTTCAAGTGTCCTTGTAGAAACTGAGTTTCCGATGTTTGAATCAGTTTGATAGATGTTGGGTGAGTTTTTGGATGATGATCAGTGATTGTGGAACTGTAGTGTTGTAACTCATTCCATAGTTCTGGTTGTGTAGAGACAAAGTTGGAAGTTCGAATACATTCTTTACCAAGAACTACAGTAGTATCATATTGACAAATACAACTCTTACAATTTTTGAAATCTTACGTCGCATCTGTAGATTTTTCCTGAAAAGTATTTCATCTCTGTAAGTCACAAATAAATACTCTTGTTAAAACGAGGACATTGATGATTGTATACAACAACCACAAGATTCTTCTCTCTCATTACGCACAGTGCAAATACTAAAATGGATTTTTTACATGCCATTTTGTCACTGAAAGGGATTTGTACCAACCATCCCTTTAATCGAGCTTGTCAAGCATTGTCTGCTCGTCGATGTCGTCGTCAAACGTTCTCTCTCCTCATTGTGCAACAATTCACGAGAGCAACCATCTCTCTTCCCATGAATAACCAAAACACGTGTTGTTGGTTCATGACGGAAGCAATGCTACCAATTCCGTTTTACATTCCAATGCACCGAATTTGCATTTCAATCTTGCTCTTTCATATCAATATCAAATAAGAATCGTCAACTTGTTGAAGTTGGTACCAACAACAGTTTCAACCGAAACGTCCACATCAATCTATTTTTATCTCACTGTACTCTTTTCGCTCGCCATCACCATGTGCTGTTGTTGATGCGCGAGGTTTAAATTGAGGTTGGGTCGCACAGAAGGAACAAACCATATTCAAAAAATTTTTCAACACATCAACCCCTGCGTTATACTTGTTGTTAGAAGAGCATTTGCGCAATATTTTTGCTCGTAGCAGTTTTATTACCAACCGCCAATATCCTACTTTTTCTCCATCTCCAATATATAGGTTTATACTTGTTCTACCATCATCATATCCCTCTCAGTTTATGCGTTGTTCAACATCATTTATATAATTTTATTCATCATTGCACTAACTACAACAACACTCTCCATCATCATGTCCTACAACAACAACAACAACTCCAACCCTAGAAAGTCGCCATCAAGAAAATCTCCAAGAAGAGGCTCTAGAGACGAAAAGGTGAAAACCAACAACAATGTCGAGTCCAAGTCTTTAGACGATATCATTCTCGAACTTGTTGTTAAATTCATCATGAATTGCCCTGAGGAAGAACACGAAAACTTTGATCGTTTGTTCTTCCAGATCGAAGAAGCCTTTTGGTTCTATCTCGACTTTTATAGAGAACAAAATCCTTCCCTTCCAAAATTCAATCTCAACCAATTCGCTGACCAAGTGTTCCTTGTTTGTCCTCATCTCCAGCCTTTCCGTAAGAGCGTTGATGAGCATATTCAATCCTTCATCAATTACAAGACTAGTGTTCCTGTTTGCGGTGTGATTCTACTTGATGAAACATTGGAGAATATCCTTCTTGTCAAGGGTTACAACTCCAAGTCTTGGTCCTTCCCTAGAGGAAAGATTAACAAGGATGAAGAAGAGTTTGCTTGCGCAATTAGAGAAGGCAGAGAGGAAGTTGGTTTCGATTGCTCTCAATACATTTTGAAAGACCAATTCCTCGAAGGACGATTCAATGAACAATTGGTCAAGCTCTTCATTGCTCCTTTTGTCCCTTCATCTACCAAGTTCTTGACCCAAACCAGAAAGGAAATTTCTCAAATTGCTTGGTTCAATGTTGCTGACATTATCAAGAAGCAAGCAAAAGGAAATTTCTGGCCTGTCAAGCCTTTCTTGTCCGATCTTCAACAATGGGTAACCAAGTTCAAGACTGGTAATAGATTGGCTTCTGTTCCAAAGAAACAAACCCCATCCTCTCCTCCAAGAACTCCTCCAAAACAAATTAGTAGGCTATCCACTAACTCCCAAACCCCAAATCCTTTCGAAAAGCACACTCCAAATCTTCAGCTTTTCGGAAGAAATCCATCTTCCCCTCACAACACTTCTCCTGCTATTAGCTACACCACTTGTGATGACAACTCTTGGCTAACTAGTTTCTCGTTCACCAATCTAGTGTAATTAATTGCAAGCTTCTCTTTCCACCCTACACCCACTCTTTCAGTAACAAGTAACAAAGAAGGGTGTCCAAGCTATCAGGAGTGGTAATATGACTTGCCACTTCAGGTGTCTTGGAAATTCTTCGTTGTTGTTTGTGTCTGGCTCTTTTGCTTCTTTGTAATGGCAGTCTAATGCTGTTACATGGCTAATCCCATTAAGAGATGATGTTTATTAGCAAAGTTATTTGTTGATCATACTCTCTAGGTCACTCAAGCAATTTTTAAGTTTTGCTTTTTCGTTCTCCAAGTCTACACTTGAATAAAACAAATCATTTGGAGCTTCGAGATCACTGAAGTTTTCTTTTGCTTGTTCGTATGGAGATTGTGTTGGCTGAGATTTTTCAGTAATGGTCATGATGTGCTTGTCAAAACTTTTCATCATGAATCTTTCTGCTTTCACCATGTCGCTGGAATGTCGAATCTGAGGCGAAGACACTTTGGTTGGTGTGTCAAGAGCGATGGTTACTTTGATTTGTCCAACTATCTTGGACTTTTCACCATCCTCAACAATATTGTACCAGCCATCTATTTGCAAACCATACCACAAGCTTGAGATATCTATCTTTGCAAATCCTACCAAAGTGTCTAACGTTGGACCAAGCTGTTCTTGGTTTCTTGACCATACTTGCATAGTCACAAACTCAATTTGAGAGAAAACAGGCACTCGAAAGTGTTCATGCCAAGACGGTAACAAGCCATTTTCATTTCGTACCGCACTAGTGACAAACTCCTTATTTTCTGGTACCTCATCCATTTGGTTGGGAGAAATAATTTTCACATATGGGCTAGGATTGCTTGGCTTGATACCATGAAAATGATAAACTTTGGTCAATTTGGCCTCTTCAATAGAAATGTGTAAGTAATTGAGCGGTGGGTTGGAGCTATGGATCACCAATGGTGACGATTTCACGAATGGTAGTTCTTCAAAGTTTGAAATTAGAGATTGATTAGGAGAAAACGTTGTATCTATGGCAACTCTTTTTCTTCCACAAACTTTTGGTTGTTGGATTATAAGGTCATCTTGAGCTATATGAAGCTCCTTTTCTTCTAAAGTCATTTCAGGTTCCTTGCTTGACAAATCTTGATGAGCATCGATACTGCCACAATAGTCATCATCTGATTGAATAGAAAGATCGATATTGGCTTGTGTTCCACTGCTTCGAATTACAGGTTTTTGTTGGTGAGGTGTGTTGTTGTTTGCTGCAACACCAAAATTAATTTGCTCGCTGCTAACCTTCATCTTAATGCTTCCATGATTGAGACTTTCCGATTCAGTGTTCACAATGTTGTACAGACCGCTGATAAACAGAGTTTTTGAGCCGTTCGAGTGTGATACTAGATTGCTAATGTCAATGTATACAGATCCAATGAGCTTTGCCCTTTTCCTTATGGATTGCTCGTCTTGATCCCTTCCATTGTCAATCGAGCAATAAACTTGAATTGCAAGCTTTTCTTGCTCAATGGAATTTGTAAGGGTGGGATCTAAAACTTTTTTAAATTCACAACTATGGTGCATTATTGTCTTGGAGAGAGATGTGGAAGTTTTGTAAAGTCTGCTTTCAGTCGAATTCTTCTCTCCATAAAACCGATAGGTTACAAATAGATAGCATGGTACGGATTGATTCTCTTCTAACATGTAAAATGGTACTAATTCTTCTAACACCTGAGTTGGAATATTGGTCTCCTCAATGATCAGAGTGAATCTACAGATTGGATACGGATATGACTGTCGAAGAGGTTCTTTCTTTGAAGTTTCCTTCAAAAATAGGCTTCTTATCGTTTGATCATCGAAAAACATCTCAAGGTCAATTGTACCAACCACAGATTCGTCGTGGGAATAAACGTCAAACCACCCAGATATTCCTTGCTTATTAGTCAAAAGCGTTCTGAGAGGAACAATTACTTTTCCAAGCTCAACTGTATTGGATGCAGTGTTACTGGTAATTCGTGACTGGGGTATCCTGTGAAAAACGCGAAATATTAGTTCACCATGGTTAATATTGTGATACATGACTTCGTCAAGTAAAAATTCCGAGACGTGCTCGTACTCCCAGACTGGACAAAATGTAGAGGCAAGCACTGGCGTTCGAATTTCTTTTCCGCTTGTAATGTCTTCAAATTCAACAAATGGGTTTACTCCCACTTGACTTGCTGCTCTCATGTGTGAGTTATAAGTACCACACGTAATTGCAGCGTCCTTAAGGCCACTCGCTCTGTTCACACGAATGCAAAGAGATGATAAAACTGGAAGAGGTATACACTTTGGGACTGAAGGCATTTGTGGATCATTCTCATGACGAACTTCTGCCTTGTTGTTTTCTTCTTCAAAAACAATTTCAGTATCCTCGTAGTCGTCACGCGCGTCATCAATGTTGACTTCGTTTCGATTTTGTTTTGAACTCGTTTTCGTTTTTTTGTGAAGCAATGGAAGTGGCTTCAAAATATTCTCATGTTGAATTTCATACTCTTCGTCTTGGGGTGGTTCTTCAACAAATGGTTTGTCTTTGGATTTAGAGAGTGACGATCTTACAAAATCTTGAATGGTCATTGCTGCACGTTGTGAGTTAACAAAGCCTTTGACCTGTGTTTCTGTTCCAAAAGCAAGCACACAGTTCATTTCAAGCACAACCTCATCAGTAATTGGGTTTGTGCTAGTGAAGGCACCATAATGCCCTATCACTGGATCTTCTTTGTCAGGGAATAAATATTTAGGAGGTTGTTCAAATGAAAAAGCCTCAAAGAAGCTTGTTAAGCTAAACAATGAAAGACCCATGAAGTTGTCTGAGTCGTCAAACGTTTCAAGAACTAAACTGCAATCCCGAAACTTTGGAAGAAACACTTTTTGATTAGAAAATGAAAACACTTCATACGTGTTGACACGAATATCTTGGTTGTACACAACAACTATTTGCTGTTCGCTGCTACCTCGTTTACCAAATGGCATCTTGATATCTAACTTAATTTTACAGGTGTCTTTGTTTCCTATTGGTTTTGTAAGCTTTGCTGAGATAATATGGAGCATTAGGCCAAACTAGTTACAGTTGTATGAATTTAAAAACAATTTTGCTTCCAATGACTTACTCTTTGCTTTTTCTGTTCTTCTTTGTCATCCACATGAATATGGGCATGGAGGTGTGCAATAACAGGAGGAGATCGTTCTTTTTTCTCGAGATTGACAGGCTCCGTAATTACACGCGATTCATCTGAGTTTTGTGTCGAGTCAAATTCTTGTTCACTTTTAGGTTTTAGAATTGTTGGTGGCTGAGTTGATGATGGAGGAATAGGTGGAGGTAACAAGTAAGGGTAGGATGGATAATTTGGTGGGTAGAAGGGTATGGGGTTAACTATATTTTTGTTGAAATGGGATAATTGATTTAAGGAATTTTCAATTTCTAGCATTTCTGAGGTCATAGATTGTTTTGGGTCAATATCAAAGCTTTCTCTAGGAGATATTGTGGATACCGAAGCGCTGAAACTAATATTTCCTTTAGATAACACCACAATCATAATATGTCAATACTTACTTGTCATCATCTTCATTGTCTTTAAGGAAAAAAGGTACCTCGTCAGTCGACTCTTTCATTTCTCGAAATGCATTGTAATCAATAAAAGGTACCTTTCCTTCGGTGAGAAATTGATTTACCTCATTTGAAAGTTGTTGTGCATGTTGGAGAAGCCCGTCAAGGTTGGAACTTTTTTGAAGATCTACGCTTTGAATTGTGGGCCCTTCAGATGTTGTTGATTGAGCATGGGAGGGGTTGGAGGTGAAGGATTGCGTTGAGTGTTTCTCACTAAGAGAGGGTTGAATGGGAAGATGGACAGGCTGATGTGAATCTTGCGCTTCTTCAAAGTGAACTGCTCTTTTAGTGTTATCTTTTAATTGAGGCGTGTTTGGGACAAAATAATCAAGAGCTAGAGTGATTAACAAGTTGGCCACAACGTCAGTACCTCTTTTCGCAGAAAACCATCTACAATTCACAAAATGATCTATCTCAATATGTAATACCAAGAACTACTTACTCTTTTTGTATTGCATTGGATGAAGATATTTGAACAATTGGGATTGACGCTTCAGCAATCACTTGATTTTCATTATGTACAATTACCAGAGGTAAAACCTTGGAATCTAACATGAAAAGGTCAAACAGATGGTCACTTTCAAAATACTTACTAGATAGATACATCCTAAATACGTCTTCAGGTGTTTTTACAGGATATCTCACTGCAATTTTACAAAGTTCGTCTTTATGTGGGGTTTCCTCAAATACTGGTGGGTACAAGGAAATTGTTCTATCTTCGCTTCCCCACCATACAGGATGTATTGAATAATTTTGATATGTGTTTGTCACCCACTTTATGGCGTGAATGCAAAGAAAAACTTCTCCCAAACATTGCCCTCTCACCAGAGGTGGAAGCGACTCTGCGAGAAGAGGTTCATCTTTTCCTTGAACAAAGAAGGGATGATTCCGTGTAATGTTGACATCACTGGATGCTACATTTGAAACTGTTGATGATGCTGTTGTATGATTAAGCGTAACGGAGCTGTTGGAATTTTTTGCTTGTTCGGGATTGAAATTATTTACATGATGATGATTGATCTTTCTGTTTGTAGTAGAATTCGTACGATTTGTTGTTGTGCTGTCGGGTTTGTTTTTCGTTTTCCCATTCTTGACTTGTGTTTGAGGCTGTTGGTTGGGAGACCGAGGTTTTGTTCCCACCATTATTTTTTTGTAGTTGTTCAACCGCGCACCACATCCAAACCAAAAGAAGAACCGAATGAATATCGGATGGGATCATCATGTCAGTGGTTTAAACAACACACTAAACCGAGGTTAAATTTCATTGCGAATGTGTCCAGGTGTATGTGAGTGAACAAAATGAAATTAATATTTTTAAAATTGCAATTAAAAAATGTCCGTTTCATCATCGTCGCATCATATCAAAGTGGTGCCTCTTGGTGCTGGTCAAGATGTTGGTCGGAGTTGTGTTATTGTTACTCTCGGACGAAAAACTATCATGTTTGATTGTGGAATGCATATGGGCTATAATGATGAAAGAAGATTTCCTGATTTTAAATTTATATCAAAGAATGGACAATTTACTCAAACAATTGATTGTGTAATTATTTCTCATTTTCATCTTGATCATTGTGGTGCCCTTCCATATTTTACGGAAGTGTGTGGATATGATGGCCCAATTTACATGACTTATCCAACCAAGGCCATTGCACCGATTTTGTTGGAAGATTACAGAAGAGTGATGGTCGACAGGAAGGGTGACATTTCATCCAATCAAGGATTCTTTTCTTCAGAGGATATTAAAAATTGTATCAAAAAGGTTCAAGCATTGAATTTACATCAAACTGTAATATTAGACGATGAACTGGAAATTAAGCCATATTACGCTGGTCATGTTTTAGGAGCAGCCATGTTCTATGTGAAGGATTTAGCAACTGGTGCGAGTGTTGTGTATACAGGAGATTATAACATGACAGCAGATAGACATTTGGGAAGTGCTACAATCGATAGATGTAGGCCTGATTTACTAATTACAGAAACTACCTATGCTACAACCATAAGAGATTCAAAGAGTAGTAGAGAGCGTGATTTTTGTAAACAAATTTATGACACTGTTGTAAATAAGAAAGGAAAGGTTCTGATTCCAGTTTTTGCTCTGGGAAGAGTTCAAGAGCTTTGCATTCTATTGGAAACGTATTGGGAACGAAAAAACCTAGGCAAGTCTGTACCCATTTACTTCTCTGCTGGTATGGTTGAAAAAGCGAATTACTACTACCAACTGTATATTAATTGGACAAATGAGAAAATCAAGACAACTCTATTCGATCAGAAGAGAAACCTATTTAACTTTAGCAATATTCTTCCATTTGAAAGAGCACTCATGGACATGCCAGGTCCAATGGTATTATTTGCCACTCCAGGTATGCTGCATGCTGGCATGTCATTGGAGGTATTTAAAAAGTGGGCTTCTTCTGAGAACAATAAGGTAATTTTACCTGGATACTGTGTTGAAGGCACTGTTGGAAATAAGGTCCTACGTAATAAGGATAATAAGCATTCAAAGATTGAAATTGATTCGAGGACAACAGTTGATATGAGATGTGAAGTGAAGCCAATTTCTTTCAGCGCTCATGCAGATGCAAAAGGTATTCTTCAGCTTATTCGTACAGCTCAACCTAAGAACGTAATGTTAGTTCATGGAGAGCGAGACAAGATGGCATTTTTCAAAAAGAAGATTGAGTCCGAATTTAAAATACCCTGCTTCGATCCTCCTAATGGTTGTACCATTAAGATCAAAACCGATTCATACGTATCCTCAGTGAATGTTAGTTTGAATCTACTGAAGAGAACACTTTCATCATCGTCCTCTCAACTTTCCTCGCCTGTTACAAGTACAATGTCAGACACCTCATCGATGTTTGAGTTCAATAATGACAACCAAAAGCGTAAAAAGATTGAGGGTATTTTAATTTCGAAAGCCAATGGCCATACCAACTTGCCAGACCTCTCGCTCTTGGAACCAGGCCAGGCAGCAAGAGAACTCGGGTTGAGACAACACACATTAAGCTTCACTAGAAAAATTCCAATTTCTCCCTTGACCAGTGGCAACATGAACGACTCAGCAAATCTCTTTCATATCATTACTAACCTTTTGGAAAAACAGTTTGGGAAAGATTCTCTCTCATATCCTTCTCCTCAATCCATTTCTCTGAAAAGTATCAAAATTACCTTTGATTTACCTAACTTTATCAGTGTAAATTGGTTACTTACAGATGAAATTGAAGGAGAACGAGTATGCCAATTGTTAGATCACCATCTCTCCACACTCAAGCTCAACATGAAACAGTAAGATAAATTTGAATACAACACTTTTTCGTCGAGTAAGACATGTGATGTGGAAATGAATGTTGTTTCAAGAGGCAAACACGCAAGATCAAACTCATGCTTTAAATTTTGGCTTTTTTTCCAAGAATGCTCGAAAAAGCAAACAGGAGAATTTTCAATGCCTCCCTTTCAGCCTTGCCGTTTTGATTCTTCCTCCTCAAAGGAACAATTAATTCAACGAGAGAGAAACAAAAAAATGCAAGAATCCCTTTCACCTCTGTTATTGCAAATTCAAGACTTTTATCTCAATTTCAATGTCAAGCAAGTGGATTGGGTACTTCGATGGGAATATCCATTGATAGCCTCAGTTGCTTATCTTATTCTTTCATATGGATTAAAGAGTGTGTTTGGAACTGAGAAACCCAATACCGACAAAACTGCCAATAACAATGCCGATAAGAAGAGCAAGGACGGATTACTCATGTACTTTTTCACTCAATTGCACAACGTGAATTTAATAGTGTTGTCCTTCTCCATGTTGTGTGGTATTGTTTACGAGATTGCTCAAAGAAGTGTGGTAAGTGCGAATTATAATTCATTGGAGATTGTAGAATGATGATCATCCTCAACAACATGTGAAATGTAATACTCACGATGAACCTTGCCAATCGCACAATATTTCTCTCTTCTCGTTGGTGACTCGGAATGTTTGTTGCAATATTTCATTGAACGTTCATATTCCAATTTGTCGAAAAATGTACAAAATTTCCTCTCTGTGCCTGCCTCATCAACACAAAACGACAATTGGATGCATGATACTCTCATCCACGATACCACTACTCTCTGTGAATTGTGCACATAATTCCATACGGGCGTGATTCAACAATATTCTTGTATCTAACCAATGGCATGAAAATTGTTGATGCTTTTCTGGACTGCTGCAGCATTTGGGAATTTTCCGAGGATCCATTTGCCCACTCGACTCGGCAACCAACCTAGACGACCATCCTGTGGTATCGGGACCTGTGGCTTTCTGGATTTTTATCTATCACTTGTCTAAATATTATGAATTGGTTGATACCATGTTAATTGTTTTCAAAAGAAAACCATTGATTTTACTTCACGTGTATCATCACTTGATTATGATTTGGATTACATGGTCATGGATGAGGGACCCATGGCTTGTTGGTTCATGGTGGTGTGTTATGGTCAATGTAAGTTTCTAGTTCTGAAATATTCCGAGAGTGGTGACACACAGCTCAATCATACCTTTATTTGACCATATGCACTTTAAAAATTTCCTCGGATTATTTCGAAATATTTCTGAAATCAAACACACATCAAAAAGTCCATCATCCACACAATCATGTATTACTACTACTTGAGATCAGCTCAAGGATACACTCTCAAATGGAAGACCATTCTTACTGCTGGACAAATTATTCAATTATTCTCTGGTTTCTTCCTGGTTACTTATTGGTTCTTTATCAGAGTGGAGAATGAATGCACTAGAGGATTCTATTCTGGAGTTTTCTCTCACGTTGTCAACGGTACTTTAATTTTGCAATTTATTTACTTTTATTATCGTTCATATCTTGCACCAAAGAAGGAAAAGTCAAATTGATTGTTTCAAGCACAAGATGAACACAATTTTGGAGCCACTTTCATTTCACACGATATTTATTATAAAGTTTTGACAAAGATTTTAGTAATATTTAAATATTCAAACATAATTCAACCAACTCAATACTATCAAATGTACACAGTAATTATGCCAAGTTCTTTTGGACAATGTTGAGTGTTGCATCCAAATTGAAAGCAGCAGAGATGAGTGAAATGAAGGTAAAGGCTTGTGGGAAATTTCCTAAAGCTTCTCCATGGAAACTCATCTCTTCTGAATACAAAGACAAGTGATTGCCATAAGTGAGCATTTGTTCGAACATCATTCTGAAGGTGAGTGAAGTGGGCGTCATTTTGTTTTGATTCATGAAATATATTCGCTCCAAAAGAATCAATGAAACATACCTTGCTTCTTGAAGCAGATATTGAGATTCTCCATGTCGACATGCTCTTGATATTGCCTCAATCAACCAAAAGGTACATAAATTGAAAGTACCTAATTCATAATAACAACAACCATCAAGATTGAGTTGATATGCGTGTCAGTGGTAAAGATTTGATCAACAACCACATACCTTCCTCACCTCCAGCAAATCCATCATCTGTCTTTTCCACAATATATCGATACACCAAACTCGAACTCACAAGACCATTCTCCTCAGGAGGACGATTAATGGCTTTCAACGTGGAAACCACCAACGTGTCTGCAGGTGATAAAAAACTCACCAATGGAATGATGAGCGTGGAGGCATCCAACGTATCAGATCCATAGAAACTTGTGAAACTCTGCAACTCGTTATTGTATCCCTTCTCAATGACTTGTTCAAAGATTTCATTTCGTACTTGAATCCATCGTTCCGTATCGGCTGGGAATGATCGAGATTGAGCAATTTTGAGAGCTCGATCCAGACAAACCCAAGACATGACTCGACTGTAGACAAAGTTTTGTCGTCCTCCTCTCACTTCCCAAATACCCTCTTTGGATCGACACAAACGTATGAAGGATGCACATGTGGAGTGATGAAACAGGATGAGTGTGGAATTGTGTCAACGTGTGTTGGCGCGCGATGAAAGAACAACTCGTATACTTACCATCTTTTTCATCCCAATTGTTGCAGACCCAATTGGTGATAAATCTCAAATGTTGCCAAAAGTCATACGAAATTGGTGTTCCATACTTGTTGTAAATATACATCGAGTCCATCAATTCACCATAGATATCCAATTGCAATTGATTGTAAGCACCATTACCAATTCTCACTGGTTTTGAATTCATATATCCTGACAAGTGATCCAGAGTCATTTCATCCAATTCATGCTCTCCATCGATGGAATACATGACTTGTAGTGGGGGAGGAGCACCTTTCTCATCTGAGAGTTTGTGCCGTTGAGACATTTCTGAAATTCTCGAAGCTAGGAATTGAACAAATCGAGAAGCTTCTTCCATGAATCCAATTCTGCATGATGGTTGTTGTTGATGATGGTGATGATTTGATTTTCGTTCAATTGAAAATAAGAATAAGAACCATGATGAGGGAACAAACCACAGAAACAACACATGTGGAGAAGGCAGTTCCAAACCAAATTATAACAACAAGAACATTCACACTCTTACTTACCTCATGAAACTGTACAGAGTGAAGGATGCATCACGAATCCAAGTATATCGATAATCCCAATTTCTCACTCCTCCAAGACCTTCTGGAAGTGAAGTAGAGGGAGCAGCCAAGATGGCACCTGTTTTCTCAAAGACGAGTAATTTGAGAGCTAGGGCGCTTCTTCTTACAGTTTCTCTCCATCTTCCTTTGTAGGTGCACTTCTTCAACCAGTTATGCCAATAATCTAAGGTTTCATTCATCCAATCATTGCTCAACTCATTCATGTCTTCACTGGTAATGAGAGATAAATCTTCTTCGGAACCAACCATGAAAGTTACTTCTTCATCTTCTTCAATAGAGAATTCACTCTCTACGACATCACCTGTGATGGAGTCAATGTAAGGATTTGTATTGTATAAGGACGAAGAGGAGGATGAGACTGGAATGACTTTCAACTCAACATTTCCACCACATTTTAACATGACATTCAATTGAGGTGAAGAGAAGAGAGCAGACTTTTTATCTTGCTCCAATTTACACTGATGTGTATCTCGAGCATAATTGAAAGCAGGACAGCACGACAATCGGAAGGTCATCTTTCCATGAACACACGTGACTTTACGAATCAACAAATTGGCAAACTTTTTCTTATCTGAAAATGGCATAAAATCAGTCAATTCTCCAATTCCACTTTTTGACATGAATCGAGTGATGAGAATGTTAGTATCGGGCCAATAATGCTGTTGACTTTTGGTATAGTTAAGGGCTCGAATTGCAAAAGATCCTCCTTTCTGACAATCTAAAATTCTTCCAAAGATACTCTCGGAATTGAATTGAGGATAACAAAACCAATCAATGGTTCCTTCAATGCCTACCAGTGCACAAGTGGTCATGTTGCCAATCATTCCGTGAGAATCAATGGGAAGATAATCCACTCGGTAATTGTCTTTGTTGTTGGATTGGGCCATTGGTGAGAACCAGATGAAATCAATGAGAGGAAGGTTTTTGTTTCTTTTGTTATTAAATTAGAGATGTTCTTACGGCCGTCACAATACGACTCTAATGTTCTTTTAGTCGATTCTGTCAAAACAAGTAAATTTTCAAATTAATACAAAGAATTACAACAACAAAAAATGGCCCCAAAGAAAGCAGCAAGCTCTTCATCCAAAGACAAAGGTGGTGATAAGAAAGGAGGTAGCAGTGAAAAAGGTGGTAGCTCTGGCAAGCTCGGAACATGTAAAGAAGTGAATGCTCGTCATATTTTGTGTGAGAAAATGGGAAAGGCTGAAGAGGTGATGAAGAAGGTTAGTAGTCAACAGAGATTGTTGAATTCGAATGAATTTTTTCGTTATTATTTAATACCTTGATCGTTCGATTTTTCCATAATGATTTTCATCATAATAATGAAAATTAATATTATCATGTAATTTAGCTCCAAGATGGCTGGCTTTCAAGAGATGAGAAAGTCCCAGCATCCGAATTTGCAAAACTTGCTGAACAATATTCTGATTGCTCTTCAAAGAATAAAGGAGGTTCTTTGGGATGGTTCGGAAGAGGTTTGTACAAAATTTAAATGAGAATTCGGCTTTTTCAATTAATCTTGAATATAGGTAAAATGGTTGGGGCATTCCAAGATGTAAGTTGATAATATTTGCATTTGTTGCTTATCGGATGACGTGAATCGTGATCATTAAAAGGTTGCCTTCAACACTCCTGTAGGAGAGGTCAGCAAAATCTTCAAGACCGAGCACGGATATCACATTGTTCTTGTGGAAGGTAGAAGAAATTAATTTATTAGAATTATTTCATTAAATCAATTAATTTTTACAAACAATCATTAATTGATTTATATTTAATTTTTAGATATTATTCAGTTGCATTTATTTTCCAAGAGAATTTGTGGATTTATTTAGAAACTTGATCAAATCTGACACCCTTCTTTTTGCATGATTCAATGAATGAGGTTGGCTCTGCATAGATGGACGCATAATGCACTCCTGGATTTCTCACCCCTCTAACTCTACTCTCAACCAATTGCTCTACAACCGCGATCATGGAAATGGCAGTCAAATAATAGGTTCCTTTGTGAAATAATGAGAGAGTGATCTTTTTATCACTTTCTGCATCTATTGCTTCAACTTGAACTGCTGAGCCATATGGCTCACTTATTTTGCTCGTTGCATATGCCAGCAAATTTGTCAATGGATTAGCAAGGCATGACATGTACTTGGTGCTTAACTGTACAGCAAGCATTACAGAATCAGCAAAAAGGCCCATTTCAGCCACATACACTCCCATATTCTTCAACGTTGGAATGGATAGCTGCTTCATTTCGTCAAGCTCCAATGGATAGCAATTCATGGTTGTGTCAACAGAGACAACATGAAACTTTTTTGAAAAAGAGCTGTCGTTTTGCCATTCACCATCTTTCATGACTCGTGAACCTGTCACTTTCATAAAATCAGCGACATCAGCCACTCCACTTGTGACACCAAGACCACCTTCTTCCCTGGTCATGATGACCACATTGGCATGAGTTAAATGTGGAATATGTTTTTGAGCTTGTCTTGTCAGCAAAGCCTCTAGCCCAGGATACATTCCAGACTGACAAATTATGGTGGTATTACTTTTGACTGCTTCTGATTGCATCTCCTTAAAGGTGCTCAAGGTAGCTGGACTCATGTGTGGATCGATGTAATCAACACCTAGCTTGATAATCATTCTTCCCAATGCTGCATTTTTCTCTTTTTCTTTGAATGGAGGTATGGTATTGATTAAGACCGTGTGATTTTTCAAGATATTCTCAAACTTGTCACTCGCCTCGACAGATCCTGCTAAAGCACTCTCGATATTAAGCTCTGTTAGAGAAATTCTATTCTCTATGTTTTCTTTGTTGAAATTGGAGACGTCCTTGCTTTCTCTCAAGCGCTGCAATATTTTCTCTACCTCATGCTCGAGCCTGGAGACACTTCTTCCAATTAACGTGACATGGAAAGAGGTGTGATGTAAAAGACTTTCGACCACAATGGATCCAGTTTGGCCTGATGCTCCAAGAACACAGATTTTTAGAACCGATGGCTCGTTCTTAGACACAAGAGGGGTTGCTACCCTTTCAGAGAAGGTGTTGTTTAACATTTTTCTTTGTGGATGTCGAGTGTTCGGAAGCATTGACAACAGAGCCTTAAATGACCTTCAGGACATCCGAGATGGCGTGAAAAAATTTGTGCGCATGGTGTTTTCCTCTCTTTCTCAGTGTTTTGCCAGGTGGAACGAAGAGCGGAACGAGGAACGTTGACACTCATGGCATGTAATCAATGGACTCTGTACTCAATTTGATTGTATTATGAGCTAATTACTGAACAAGAGTGTTGAATGAGGATCTAGTTGGTTATTTATTGTCTAGCATTCTTCGAGCTAGCATCATTGCTTCTCTTTCAAGTCTCTCCTTTTCATTTCTCGATTTCCTTTCTTCTTCCAAACGAATCTTGGCCATTTCCTCAAACTGGCGCTTTGCTTTCAATTCTTTCTGAAACGCCACCATTTCTTTCAAATAGGCGATCATGAAATCATGAGCATCTTTGAAGGTCATCTTTTCAATAGTTTTTAAATGGGTGTCAGTTGTGGAACGAGGAACGTTGACACTCGCACAATAGCCTACAAATATTGACTTGATGTATCGTGGAGTTGTCGTTATTTGTTTGTTGATGGTTTGGGAAATACTCAGGACGCTTCCCATTTCCGCTAAAGGAAGATAGGTCAGTGTTTCAATGAGGATCTCGTTTGGAACCGTGTTATAAAAGTTCTTCAAGCAGGAGACAGAAGTCTGATCATTGATGTTGTGGCTGGACATTTATTTTGTTTGTGTGGAAATGCATGGTGATTTTGGTTTTTGTAGGGTTTTCTTTTTCTCAAAGAAAAAAGGAAGATTTCGCAATTCTCAGTTCATGATATTCTCAGAATGCAGTGACAATGGCTCTGACTACCCACAAGGAAGAATCTTAATTGGTTGGCTATGTATTGCAATGTGAATGGATGAATGTAACAAAGACTTGGAATTCAAAGTTATAAAAAAAATTTGATGTTTATAAAACTTTGCGCCAGTGGCACGGAGTAAGTGAGATTATTGTACAATCTTCCAGTATTGAGTATGTGCATGTCCAAAGTTATAAAAAAAATGATGCAATTACCAGCGGCGGCCTATGAAGAAGGTTATGTGCAGTATCAAATTCCATCCCGACCCACAAAAATAACGACCACATTTGTAAAACAATTAATAGCGATCAAAGATGCAATGGAAAAAGAAATTAGAGATTTAATGTTGTCTTTGGATAAAGTAGGAGTAGGATTAAAATCATCGTTGCTTGATGAAGAAGGCTTTCCGAGAGCAGATCTTGATTTAAACGATATTCGATCGAAACGACACAGAATTGCTTGTTTACAAAATGATCACATTTCATTGATGAATGATATCCAGAATTATTTATATGAATTACATGAAGAAAGTAGAGCAACGAATGAACAAAAATCATCAACAACCACGACCCAAAATGTCGATAAATCATCAACAAGCATGGATACTACTAATGACGAAGAAGAACAATTAGAGCCATTCCTCAAAGTGAACACTGTTTCTCCAAATTCACCTGCAGAAAAAGCAGGTCTGTGTCCTGGTGATGAAATTACACAATTTGGATACCTTGTTAAAAAAGATATTAAGAACAATGGATTGAAAATTCTTCCAACCGTTGTTCAATCGAATGTTAATAAGCAAATGAAAGTTCATCTACTAAGGCAAGAAGGCTCCACCAAGGTGAAAAAAGAGCTAACTCTTGTGCCTGCTTATTGGAGTGGTCAAGGTTTATTAGGATGCCACTTTCTTGAAATTCATTAAATTTTCGACAATTTTACTCAGCCTGAAGGTACTATGGTAGTAATTTGTCAATTAATAGTTCAACACAGCGTGTTATTCATTTATCATCATATTTCTTTGGATACAGCAAAAAAAACAAGCTCAAGTCACTGCGAATGACAGGTGACTGATAGTGAAAGCCGGATAATCATTCAAAAAAAATTTTTGAGAGACCGAGTTTGTTGTTGGACCTTCATCGGTTATTGGATCATCATCAAGTTTGAACGACGACATTCTTTGACAACGAAGCGGGCTCCACAACTCAAACCTACTTCATCATCACAAAATGAAAATTCAATTTTCGTTAATTTTCTTGTTGCTGAGCATTGTTGTTGTGACTCTGGGCACCACGATCGTTGCCGGAAAGTCTCAAACGGACAGCAACCTTTCAGCTCAATTCGATGCCCAATTTCAACAAATTCTCAAATCTGACATTACAAAGCTTTCCTATGCTGATCAACAAAAAGCACTCCAAGAACATGTCAAACAAATTAACAAATTGACGAAAAATCAAAAAGACCTTCAACTCGCTTGGCAATCATTGGATCGTTTGGAACAACAAATTAAAAAAGAATATGTTGAAAATAACAGAAAAGTTATTGTGGCTCAAGCAAAGGTCACAAAGGCTTGCAAACTTGTTGAATATTACAAAATTTTACTCAAGAGATTACAAATGGAAATTCTCAAGATTAGACTCTCCTCTACAAAGAAGACTAAATTGACCAAATACTACACCAAATTGATTAAAAAGTACAAGGTAGAAATGGAGAAGGCTTATGAAATTTATCAATCCTCTATCAAAGTCTCAAAACAAGTTTATTCTGAATACGTGGTTGAGGCCAAGAAACTCTCTAAACAAATTGAGAAAATTAGACTTCAAATTTCAATTATTGAACTCATGAAACAAAAATTGTACTCGACTCAAAGTTTAGAAGTCGAACTCTCAACCATGATTGAAGAATGGGAGCAAATTATTCATCAAGAAGAAGTCACTCATATTCATGAAAAGGAAAGATGTCAATGTGCTATTGAATATAGACCTGTGTGTGGTGTGAATGGTCTTACCTATAACTCTGCTTGTACTGCAAGATGTGCCAATGTGGATATTCACTATCATGGAGCTTGTAAATGTATTCCTCAAGAAGAAGTTATTGTTGTCAGTAAGGAAAGTGCACTCTCTAGTGCTTCCATTTAAATCCATGCATCCACGTGTGTCGAGTAAAAAACAATAACAACAATAAAAACAACCACAACCAACACAATGGAACACTGCAACTCTAAATTTGTTGTTTGAAATGAACGTTGAGTTCATCCAAACAATTCCAATAGCAACAACAACAACAATAAAAAAATGGGTCAATACATGTTTGGATCCTTGTCGGATCGAGTGCTGAAGGAAGTGGAAGAAAAGCAAAAACAAGCCATGATTCAACAACAATTAATTAAATTAAAAAGTATGAAACGAAGGAGAGATTATGAAATTGCAACAAGGATGGCTACAACAAGGGATCGAGTGTGGTGGTTGGGAGGTAAATTTAAATTCCTGTAAATTTTGTTAATTTGTTGGTACATTTATCCATGATTCGGATTACTAATATTTTGCAACTGTGATTGTAATTTGATCATATCCATTTTAAAATTAATCATCTATGAATTGGATTTGAAAAACTGTTTGTAAAATCAATGGACCTATTATGAAAATTGGATTTTGAAATATTTTGATGAAATTAATTCTACAAAATTTATTCAGGATTTTATACGGTTATGGGAAGTGTTTCTTTTGCAAGAATGATTTATCTGAGACGGTTTGATCCATTACCACTCAATCATTTACCATTTCTCATAGTTCCATTTTGGATGACCTATTTAGGTGAGTATTTTTGCAATAATTCCAAATACCATACAAGTCATGTAAATAGTGGATTTTGCATATGGAACTAAGGCAAATAGAATTGACAGAGAAGCACGAAAAATTCTCACCCAAGAACAAGGCCACTGGTTTAACGAACCCATAGAAATACCCGAATTGTTAAAACCGCATTATCACAGAATATTTGAAGAGAATAATCGAAAATTAATTGCAGAAGGCAAGGTATGTGATTGTGGATTTCTTGACATTAACTTTTGGAATTGTGAATGATTCGATTAGGAGCCTGAGAAACATTGGGCAAAATAATGAATAAATCGAGTGGTTGGAGCAGCAGACCGCTCATCTGTGAAGACAACACTTCAAAAGAAACTTAATGGAGGAGCGACTCTGGTGGAACAATATCTGTTCACTCCTCGGGTTAGTTTGATTTCGACACGTTTTCAAACCCGACTACGCGTTGTAGATCCATCACCGTGAATGACAATTGTCTCGCGTCAACACTCAATTTGAATTCTCTCCAAAGTTGCGTTGAACATGGTCACTCGTCTCCAAAGCAATGCTTGGAAGGATCATCATGTTTATGCAGTGACCGTTCATCCTGGGAGGAGAATGTACAGAGCTGGAAGCGAGTAAGGGCGTTGTAATGGTGATTGAATCTTTTCCTCAACCTCAAAATGGAGCCTTTATTCAACACAACGGTCAAGTGTTGGATCGGTAAAACCTCATGTACTTCAAAGGATGAATAACAATTTTCTGATAGTGTGAAAGCTTAAAACTATAAATTACTGTACATGAATGGCTACGGCCATATCACGATGAATGCACCTCATCCCGTCCGATTTGAGAAGTTAAGCATCGTCGAGCTGCATCAGTACTGAGGTTGGAGACAACTTGGGAACCTGCAGTGCTGTAGCCTTTTTTTTAAATGAATACAGGTTGTTGTTAAACCTTGGAGAAGAGCAAGGTTGTTGTTAAACCTTGGAGAAGAGCAGTGAACGGAGTGACTATTTAAAATGAACGTAACACCAGGATTGTTATATAGGTAATGACGCCTTAGCATGAACGAATTCCTGAAAAATGGCGTTGACCCTATCTAATTCCAAATGCAACACATTCTCAAGTTAAACAGGTGAAGCGATCCATTGAGAACAATCTGAATGCCATTGAGTTTGTTTGGGATCGAGAAGTGGTCCTTCAAGCCATCTCTGAAGGCAAGTGTTCACTGAAAGACGTCTGCTCGAGTTATCAGAATGATCATGAGGTGGTGCTAGCTGCGGTGAGACATGATGGAGAGGCATTGTTATATGCTTCCAAGTTTGAAAGAAACAACATTGAGACTGTAATCACTGCCATGAAAAACACCAAAAGAGCCTTAAATTATGCTTCAAAGGGGTTGAAACGAATATTGAGAAGAAGAAGAAGAAGGAACAGAAAAAGAACACAACAACAAAATCGATTCATCAAATAGGCCTCTACTTTTCATAAGGTAAATCTTGATGAAACGACAGAGCAGTTGAATATGTAGTCTCTATGTCACTCACAGTACTTGATAGGAAATTTTAATGAGACTACCTTGTTTCTTCACGCGAGTCACTTTGAATTCTCCAATTTCTTTGAACTTGTCCACATGAGTTCCAGAACAAGCACATTCCACAGAACCATATTTAACAAATCGAACAGGTTGACCAGGTGGAAGATAGGGTGGGATTTGATTGTTGGGAAATTTAGAAGCCAATTCTGAATTGTCATTTTCATGACCAAGATGATCACAAGGATACGGAATGAATGATTTCTCCACACTCAAATCTTGTCGAGTCATGATATTTTCAATTTCCTCATTCAATTGATTCATCACAATAGTTACCATGGAGTCATTTTGAGATGGTAATTGATGACAGTGTTGATATTCACAGTAAGGTGAATCAGGAAAATGATATCCTTTACCAGATTTCTATTATGGAACATCAATTGATGTTCAATTCCGACGACGACGAATTGAAAATGGACAATAAACATGTGAATAAAACATACCCAACAAGTGTATCCACAATTTACAACTGCCAAATCTAACACATGACCCGCACTGTGAATTTTCGAAAATAAAATTCTCTTTTCCAAATCAATTTCCAAATTGGCAGAAATTTCAAAACCATTATTATTTGTATTATGGACATTGAACACTTGTTCTGTAGCACTTTCATTGCATAATGGATTCAATAACTTCTCGACGTGTATCTCATCATTCTCATCAAACCATCCATAATGTCCAATTTGAATCAAATCTTCTTCCAATTTCACTAATTTAACATTAAATTGAGCATTTACCATTGTGTCTGTGCTCTTGATGTTTATAGAAATAACTCCTTCGTCACATGGTTGGCCTCCTCCTTGTGGATGAAATATTGTCCAAAATAATTTTATAAAAATCGACTTTGTCGTGTCCACATAATTTTTGTAATTGTTTCATGATGGTTGTTTTCGATGAGGATTTTGCATGTTCCGATGTCATGGATGATAATTTGATCATGGAAAGAATTTTTACATTTTCCAGAGTTTTTTGATAGGTTTGAGTGAGATAGATTTTTTCACACGCACGAAATGACATTTTTTGAGAAGGGGAACAAAGCCAATTGAAATAATACTCAAAATAATACTCAAAATAATACAAAAATTCCACTGAAATAATAGAAAGGTTCAATGTTTAATCTAATAATGTGGTACTATACAAACTTTACTTGTTCATCATTCTGTTACGTTTGGCCATAATTTGTGACATCATGTCACCACCGCCACCACCACTGCTGCTGCTTGTTGAAGCACTTCCACCACCCATCTCAGTTTTGCTTGGTAATTTTGGTGCATCATTCGGTGGAGGAACCTTCTTCAATGCCTTACCAGCTCGAATCGATGCCAACAAGTCACCACGTCCACCTCCACTTGGATCTTCAGGAATATCCACATTCTTTGGTGGAGGAGGAGGTGAAACCATTTTACTTGGAGGAGGAGGAACACCACCGCCGCCACTGGGTGGAGGAGGAGGAACGCCACCACTACCACTACTTGGAGGTGGAGGAGGAACACCACCAAAACTGTCACTTGAAGGTTGTGACCTCATGGGTGGAGGAGGAGGTGGAGAATTATTGAAATTATTGGAAGGAGGTGGTGGAGGAGGAGTGGACTTCATGGGTGGAGGAGGAGGTGGAGTGTCCTCTCGACGTGAAGGAGGTGGAGGAGGAGGTGAATAATTATTATTGTAATCATTGTACTGTTGAGGTTCTCGTGAAGGAGGTGGAGGAGGTGGTACACCCATACTCATATTCGATCGAGAGGGTTGCTGTTGTTGAGAAGGTGGTGGAGGAGGAGGTGACATGGGTGGTGTCGAAGAAGAATTTCCACTCGAAGGACTGGATGGAACCTCCAAATTCACAGGTGTTCCCAATCGAGCAGTGGAAGTGGTGCGAATGAAAGAAGAACCACTCTCACTGACACGTGAATTGTAAAAACTATTACTTGTTGACATGGTAGGAGTACTGGTTGTTGTTGTTGACATGGTTGACATGGAAGTACTATTCATACTGGAATAGTTGTCACTGCCACCAATAGAAATACCAATATTACTACATGAATTCAAATTAATTTCTCCATTACTCATTTTCATGTCTTTGGTGTGACCAGTAGTGGTGGTGGTGTTCATGGAAACATCGACACTTCTCTTTTTCAAACCAGTTCGAACTGTGGGTTTCACGGCATGCATTTTAGTCAATTCTTCACGACCAGTCAGAGAACGAGCAGATTTTAAACGATCGTAAATGATGGTCATTTCAGATCCAATACGATTGATTTCTTGAGCTTCTAATTCGATGAGTGTCTCTAATTCACGACTTGATGATTCCACATAAAAGACAACATTCTATGTTGTTGTTGTTGTTGTTGGGAAATGTGCAATAAATGTTCGAATAGTTGAAGTTGTTGATGTGTAGATATGAATGAGAAGGATGAGTTTCGAGATTGGTCATGGGTGATGATACGGCCCACCATGATGATGATTCGTACGAATGATCAATAACATCATCACGCGTATTCAACAACAACAACAATATAAACGAATTATATAAAACAGGAGAATGGTTAATAACACACACACATTAAATCAATGATTGAAAAATTCAAAATCATCAACAAGACTTACAGTCAAAACAGCAGCCAAATAATCTTGAGTCTTTTCAAAAGTAGAGGCTTTATCAGCGTTTTGATAATTGTAGGCGCACCAATTGATGATACCTCCAATTTTCTGTTCGGTTTGTTCCAGTTTGGCGATTTCTTCTGGAGTCTTGGTCAACTGTTCGATTAAATGTTGATTCAGTTGGGACATTTTTTTTTATGAATTTTATTCACCTGTCACTTTTTTTTGTGGCCTGTCAAAAATGATTGTGGGGAACATGGCAAAAGCTGCAAACCAGAACAGCAATAATTTCTCATGGGAGAATCCTTAATTCACAATGAGGTGAATGGTATTGTATTTTGATGAATCACAACAATTTAATTTTGGTCACTTTCACAAATTCCCAATCTCTCTGGCAGCATTTTTCTGACAATTTGTTCGCCTTCGCCATCAATATAAAACATTGGAAATTCCACTTCCAAATTCTGGAAGCGTTAGAATTGAAATTTTTATGTCCTAAATTGTTGTGAAGAAGTGTTGAACTAATTGAACACCTTTTCTTGGAAAGCTATGGACGTATGCAGAGGGTGTCATCATTTATGAAACCCTCAATAGTTTCGTAGATTGAGCAAGCAGGAGGCAGTCGACAGCCGTCGCCTTCAGGTTGTTTATTTTACATTCTTTGTCTCCCTGACTGCTGACAGCTTATTATTACCCACAGAACATTCTGGAATGGTCATTCTGAATAAAAAAGGACATCATGATCGCAAACTTTAAAAAAACGCCTAGATGTCTACTACTCTCCAACCAACAACAGATAAAATCTCATCAACCACTTCCCCCACTTCCCACCCACAACACGACAAGGTCGTTATCAACGATTCCTCTACAACATCCAACAAACCATATCAAGATCTTCCAACAACATGTGCAAGCTCACCACTCTCCGATACGGGAACTGGTTCTGTTGAGGCTCATCAACTCGCCCGTTCCGTGCAAACATCATCGTCCACTACAAAATTAAACAAAAATATTGGCAACGACAAGGACCAAGAACAACGATGCTCTTCTTCCGGTCATGCCGCTGATCATGATGGAAAGTCTTTGAGTAGCAGTGTTGATGTTGTTGTTGGAAAACACTACTCATGGTTTTGGAAAGTCCTGAAATGGCCACCACAATGTATTACAATAATGAACGTAATTTTGATGTTATTTATTTTGCAGGGATTGTTTGGATTGTTTTCATGTAAGTGTACTATTCCGAATGTATAATGATTGGAAAACTCATGACCATTTCTCAATACAATATTGGTAATGAATGATAACAACCTCTCGGCGATGATGAACTACTTTCCAAAATCACACTTTAGCGTTTATTTTACTCTACACAACAGGAGATAATATTGTCCAACGATCAATAGCAAAACAAAAACTGCAAATGAATCTAGTTATGGATTATGAACTAAGTGACTTGATCAAAACGACATCTTTAGCAATTAATCAGGTTTTATATCAAGTTCCTGATATTAATTTAAATGATAATCAGAGTTGGGTCAAGCTCTTTGATAACTTGAAAAAACTTTATCAATATAAATTACCGATTCAAATATCATATTTTGGAAGATTTGATCAGAGCATGATTGGTCTAGAACTAACCTATGTGAGAATTTTTCACAAAGCTCAAAAAGCAGGTAATTTCACTAGGCCTGTCACGGATTATCACGTGATTAATGATATTGATAATATTTTAGCCCCATCAAATATTAAGGCAAGCTATTATTCAAGTGTTGACATGACTGCAAGACCTTGGTATAAACCCTTTGTGAATGCAACTAATCCAAAGATTTTGTGGAGTCCATTTTTCTATTCGGCCCTCTCACTCTATCCGTCAATCGCTGCCTGCATACCCGTTTATATCAATAACACAATCTCGAGTTTAACTGCCAATTACTCCAATGCTCCTATCTATTCGAGCTATGCTGCTCCCAGGATACCCAGCAATTTATTTGGAGTAATTGGAATTCAGATTAATGTTAAAAACATCTCTGACATTTTAAGTGAATCAGCCCTTCGAGCTGGAATCGCTGCTTCATTTATCATTAATTCACAGGGACAAATGGTTGCTGCTACCAAGTTTTTAGGATATCCTGCATTACAGAATGACTCAGACAGTATTATGAACAAACTTGTAAACGAAACCGTTTCTAGAGGATTTCTGCAACAAATTTCAGCTTGGAAAAACGCCCCAAATAATCAGCAGCTACGGGGTTTAGCAATCAAAGAGGCAGGAAGTTTTACTTTTCAAACAGGAAAAACCCCTACATTAGATGTTGTGTTATTCACAATTACGGATCAATATGGGCTTAATTGGGGCTCTGTCATTGCAGTGCCACAACGAGTGTTCGTTGAGGAAGTGTTTCAAAGTAGTATTTCGTCCGTTGTGATATTTGCAGTTGTGTTATTCCTTGGTTTAATTATCATAATTTCAGTAGTTCAATGTATTCAACTCGGGTTGAGAGGAATCAAGCGTCAACTGAAGGAGTTGGTGTCTGGGAATTTTAGTTTGGTCAGTCTCGACAAAAAAATTCCAATGGGTTTTAGTTTACTATATGACATTCGTCAAATGCAACAAAGTTTGAACACCATGCGGGCAGGGTTATCTATTTTCTCTAAATATGTTCCAGATATTATCGCCAAGAAGTTCGTAGGAGAAACAACGCTTTCAAGAAACATGTCTATACTTGTCATGGACATTCATAGTTTTACTCTTCTAGCAGAAAAAACAGACAGAGTGAGCTTTATTTCACTGAGTACAGACCTTTTCTCGGAAATATACGAAATCATTGAAAACAACAAGGGTTCGATTGACAAATACGTTGGCAATCGAGTTGTAGCATTATGGAACGGCCCTAATACTTGTGTGCAAGATCATGAGACACTGGCATGCAACGCAGCAGTTCAAATTGTACATTGTCTCAACAGGTTAAATTCTAGGTGGAGAAAATTTAATTTTCCAAGTATTCGTTTTGGTCTGTCTGTAAATAGTGGTGGAAAAATTCTGGCTGGAAATATTGGAGGTAGCTCTCGAATTAACATTACTGTAAGTTCATAACTTGACATTGTGTTTCAAACAAATATTCCTATATAATATATAATTTGTTAAATGATATTTTTCATGAACATTCTAGGTTGTTGGAGATGATGCCAACGTTGCTTCTGGCTTAGCAAAGTTGAACAACAAATTTGGTACACAAATTCTAATTGGGCACAACACTTTTGAAAAGGTTAAAGATCAAATGGTTTGCTATTTTGTCGACCACGTAGCACTTGAAGGAAAGAAACAACCAACTCGAATTTATAGCGTGGAATCAACTATTAAGGATGCCACTGAAAATCAACTCAAGCTTCGACAAGCTTCTAAGGAAATTGAACAGTGCTTTTTCACACGTGATTTTTTACAAATCTCTGAAATTTGTAGTACGCTAGAAAAACATGGTCATGTGACGCCAATACTTGAACATTGGAAGGCAAAAGCATCTCTACTCCTCAATACCAGCCCTCTCACAGACATGGACTCTGTGTTACATCAAGCTAGCGCTCAGCAATAATGGAACTGAATTGAGTCACCACAAGACGACAAGAGAGTCACCCATTTTGTAAAGAAATCCACCAATAAAAAAATGAGCCAAGCACCACCGCGTCAAAAGACGACAGCTCCTGCTTCAAGTCAGAGCAGTGGAAATATGACTGCTCGACGAAAGCAAGGAGCAAATTTGCAATTTGAAGCTAGTAAGTGATCTATGGTTCCTCCTGCAAGTTCCGACCTTCATCATGATTTTCAAATTTTTTAAAATCCAAAATCGGAAATTACATCGGGTTTTGATGATATGAACTTGTTACAGTGAAAAGCACTGCTATTCCATCACTATTTGATATGTGTGCTAAATTATTGCAATCTCAGGTCGATTGCTTACCTGTTTTGGAAAATGTTGAGGATGTCATTGTCCAGCGTATTCTGTCAGCCTGCGACGCTCCAAAGCTTGATGAAATTGAAACTAAGAATGAGAACGCAGGTGTAAACCTAAATACGGATGATCTTTGGAGAATATTGACTATACGAGATTTTGGAGGTGGGTTTATATTTATTCAAAACGATGCTTATTAATGGTTGAAAATTTACCACCATCCATCATTGATCTTACTAAAACATAAAATAGGAGCTTTTGACAAAGGAAATGGTACTTGGAAAGAACTGTACAATAAGCTAAATCAAGAGAAAATGGCACGAGAAAAAAAACTTCGTGAAATTAAGGAATCGAACAAGGTTGAAAAAAAGGGTTCAAGAATAATTTCTGGTAGTACTGCTGCTGCTAGTGTGAACAACAAACATTCAAAGGAGAAACACACGACTCAAACCATAGATCCCGTGGTTGCTCGCAGAGCGTCATCCAATACCATTAGAAATAGTAGCAGTAGATCACGCTCCTCATCCTCGTCATCTTCTAAAAGTAGAAGCGCGTCAACAACAACAACAGCCACGACCAAGAAGAGCAAACTGTGGACTAAATCTTTGGGAGAGACATCAACAGCACGTAAATCAAAAGAATCTACCACTACTACAGCACCTCAGAAGATTTTCACACCAGGAAAGCCTCCATCAACAATTGTGACAACAGACTTCAATGCTGATCGATACAAATCAAACTATGCCAAGTCGTCTGTGGGAAGTGTACACGTCTCCCCTGTCATTATGAAACAACCAGTGTTCAGAGCAGCAAGTAATATTGATTTTACAAGACAACGTCCATCATCCCCTCCCACATCAGATTCCATAGCCACTGATTCACCCCTTGTGTCACCTTCGTATGTGGACAGCATGTTTTGTAAGGAAACATCCAAGAGAATGGAAAAATTGAAACGACAAACTGAAAATGATTCTGCCAGACGTCAAACACATGTCCCAACAAAGAACCATGCCACCAGTACTGTACCATCAAAACAACAGCGCCCACCTCCTTCCTCCCATAATTCTTCATCTCTTGCTCCTCCCCAGAAAAAAGTCAAACCAACAGAGCAACCCTCGCATTCTAACTTTGCTGGCTCAGCTTCAAATTCCCTCAACTTTACCATTCCAAAGAAGAAAAAGTAAATACTACAGTATTTCGAACTTTATAAAATTATTATTAAGAACTTGCTATTTCTTCTCCTGATCTCCTGAATTTTTTGACTTTTCATTGTCCAGTTGCTGAGATTCAGGTTCTCCAGCAGTAAAGATATCTCCAAACCTTGTCGTTAGGTGAGGCGTCTCTGGAATTTCATCATCTTCAACCACAACAATTGTCTTTTTCGATTTGGAAGCACTATTGGACTTCATGGATGGACTCATCTCAACTGCGGGTGGTATGGTGCGTGTCATTTTCTGCATGCTTGAACTGCTCGTGTCTACCTTGATGGACGACAATGATTGTTTTCTTGCATTCAAATTTGAAGTGTTTACAAACAGTCCATCATTGGATTGGCTTGCAGGTTTTGTGAGTTCAACTTTTTGTTGTTCCTCTTCTTGATCGCTGTCTTTATCTTCGTCATATGCATCTTCGTCATCCTTGATGTCAATGACAACGTCCTTGTTGCTTACCCCATTGGACACAGTAGATGTTTCAATTCCATTCGTATTTCTCAAAGAGCCTAAAGAATCACGATGCATGTTCAGTTCATATTCGTGTTCTTGTTGAACCACTTTTCGTGGTTTCACATGATGAGTGGAATCAAATCCATGTCCGAGTAGTGACGACACATGAGAGATGCTATGTTTAAGGAAATTCTTTGGATTAAGACTAATTCTTCTGTGATTGTTGTCATTCTCATCATCAGGTTTTGGACTGCAAAAGAAGAAAATGTAATGTAAGAATTCTAAAGTTGAAATTATGGTTATCATAATGATCAGCAACATTAACATCTTGAAATACGTACTGTCGACGTTGGTAATTTCCTTCTCTTTAGCGTTGATCATTCTGGTAATTTCAAATGGCAGAGGAATTTCCTGTTAAATGAACGAAAATAAATTTGGGTTAACAATACTCAACGAATTAACACTTACATTTGTTGCACGAAATTCTCCAACGTTGTTCAAGTGCTCGTTTTCCAATCGAATACAATTCCATTGAAATCTTCTCAAAATCTCGACCAAACCAAAACAAAAACCAATCCACTGATCCGTTAAATATTTGCTGTAGAACTGTTTCAACAGTAAAACGACAATCCAAAAGAATCTTGCTAAAATGTTTGTCACTATTGAGAAATAGTAAAAGTATGGATGGAAGAACAGTTCTTTTCTCAATAATTTGTGCTCAGCATCCTTATTAAATTGCATTAAAGACCAATCCATCACAACATCCCATAACAGCTTATAGGTGGAGCTGATGATGTTGACAACAACCCAAGTAGTTCTCATATAATTCCAACTACTTCCAGGTAGAGTAGCTGTTTATAAGAGTATTAGCTCATGTAATGTTGATAAAAAAAAACTTACGAGCTACAATATTCTTATCCAAAAACGCAATAAGAGTCGCAATAATACTTGACAGATATTTGAACGCATTGGTAATGTGAGGATGGGGCTTTTTGCTGTCTCTGTAACGCCTTAAACACTGCATTAAACGAATATAGTTGGGTAAAATGTTAAGAACTGGAATACCCAATGATCTGGAGTCTGAGCAGAAAGAATCAATTTTGTCAACCCACAGAGATGGATAAACACAATACACGAATTGAATTTCGAAGAGAAAATCAGAAAGAGAAGTCAATTGATCAGCAAACCAAAAGTCTGCGAATTCTACTTTTCTGAATGGAGCCATTAATAATCTCAGAATAATTCTAAAGAGCCATAATCTGCTGTGACCATAAAACCATTTGTATGGGAAACACATGTAGATAAAAATGAAGGTAAATAGAAATATTGGATGAAGATAGGCATACTCATAAAACGTATTCGTAATAATAGAGTACATGTAAATAATTAAGCTTCCCATTGTAATGTTGTACAGGCTCATGGTCATCTATACGAATGAATGAATTATTACTTATAAGATTATTTTCGCAATAAAAACATACCTCGATATATTGAGACACTGATAAGTGATCTCTTGGGTCAAATCTAAAGATAAATACATAATTAATTCTTGCATTTTTCCAAATTTGAAGATTCACACCAACCAAAACTGCCAATATAATCGGCACCAAAGTCAATCGATACACATACATGGTCGCATCTGAAAAAGACGGAGGGTCATCTCTTGGGTAAAGAAATACATATGTTAAAACGAACGCCACAGACAACACTATTCCAATTCCTACTGAGATACCAGACCTGAACGGAGATGTTTGTTTTTCCACAGTTTGTGGAAGTCTAAGAAAATCTTTGGCTTTTTTTCTGTCGCCTTTGAACATGTAAACTGAGCATTTGTACTCAATTTGCGACATCATGTAATCCAATACTTTGGATGAAGTAAAATATGAATCTCTCACTCGTTTCATCAGCTTGCTTTTGGTTTTGCTCTTGGTATATTTATCCAGCTGTACATGACGTAATGACATTGATTTAAATTTTTTATCATGATAAAATCTACAGATGCAATTTGGATGCAACAACAAACCTTTTTCAAGATATTCGAAAAACCTTGAAAGTTTAAAGTACGGAAATTCATCAACAACAAAAGGGCTCTGTAGTGCTCTTGAAATGCGCTTCTGACTTTTTGCTTGTCGTTCTTTGAGAGAGTCTCAGTCAAACCGACGCTCAACTGCATCAACAACTCTGCATGTCTAACACAAAATTTACGCTCTGTTTGGATATAAAACTTATTCACTTTGTCCAATTCCTTTTCTAATCTATTAAAAAATTGGCATGTTTCCTTCGGAACAATTTTCAAATACATTCCTTCCAAATTATATTCCTCTAAATAATTTATAAAATTCCGTTCATCCTTCTCTTCTCCAAGACCAGTAACTGCATACACCATTTCATCCGAAAACGAAATGAGTGGTTTATCCAAATAATCGCTCGGAACACCAATCTCACTCGGAGGCACCTCGTTTAAAATCATTTGCATATCAATATGATATCGTTCTTCCAACTTGTTTTGTATTCGTTTAATCAGCTTCTTTAACAACTTGTAATCCATGTACGAGAGTCTCCACTCGGGACACATCTCATCACGAAGCCGTTTTCCGAATTTCATTTTTTAATTTTTTTTTAATGATGATCACAGAATGGACCAATATGGAAAATGAAAAACAGGAAACGAACTCTGCAGATGACGCTAACAATCTTTCATAAAACATTGAACACCTTTATTTAAATCAACAATTTGAACAAAACAAACAAATCGAACAAAGTGCTGATCTTGCAAGCCAGGGGAAAGGACCCAACGCACACAAGGTGGGGAAGACCCAACACACAAGGTGCTCAAAAACTAATTCTATGAGTAGTAAGGAATCGAAGAAGAATATTTCTGGCTCCATTGATATCTCTGTCAAAAATTGAGCCACATGATGGACAACGAAACACTTCAGATGATCCAACCGTATAAACATGTCCACAACATGAGCAAGTTTTGGATGTGTACGCTTCGTTGACAATATAAATGTGTGTCCACGGATGCTCTCTAGCTTTGTGAAGCAATCTTTGCTTGAATCTGTAATGTGACCAAGTCAACATTTTTCTTGCTGTCTTGCTATTAATTCTCCTATGGAGTTTCTTTACCATTTTCTGAGTCTTAAACGAAGGAAGTAAGATCACTTGGTAGTTTCGACACAACCACAAACACAGTTTCTTGTGTAAATCATCCACGATATTTCTAATCTTTTGTTGAATTCTTCTTCCTGCTCTCTTGTACTTGTATCTTTTGCAACGTCTGACTTCTGGTTGAGACCACTTCGATTGCAACTTGTCATACGCGCAACACAATCTACCAATTCTTTAGGCACCTCCTGAGCCCCATTTGGTTGAATAACCATTCAAATCAAAGGTGGTCTGAAATGTTCTTACTCCTGGATCCAATGCTACAACTTGTCCTGAATGTTGAGGGGCTTGGTTCTCACCCCTAATATCCAGTACTTGTGGAATACATAAATAATAATGGTTGACACCTTTGGATTTGTTGGTGAATTCTAAACACCTGTTGTAGATCCAACGAGCAGTTCCCATCCACTGATTCAATGTTGTCCTTTCTTGTTCATTGGGGTAGAGACGAATTTTCAAGGATTTGTCTGCTTGAAATTTTTGGGCCGCCTTTTGATTCTTCTTTGCCTTCTTGAGCTGAGGTGATAACTCTAAAATGCCACCTCAGCTCTAGATGGCAAAGAAGAATCAAAAGCCACATTCTCTGTTATAGAGTGATGAACATTGAGTGGAACATCAAACACTGGCTTGGATTCAATCACAGTGAATTGAGAAAAGTTGAACCGTCCGTCAGTGCATCCCTTGTTGTTGTATTGATTAAACTCATGAAAGGAATCTCTTGAACATGCCCAAAGTTTATCCGATACTTGTTGTGAGTACTCATCCCAGAATGGAATGATGCTGTGTGCAAGAGATGGATTAGTAGGAGGATGAGTAGGTTCATCCTCTCTACTTCTCTTCATTGTTTGAGATTAAGGTTGTTGTTGAGTTTTTTTTTGATAACCTCAACAAGAGTTGAAACTTTATCAGTATTGAATGACTTATTGAATTGAAACTCTATCAATTTGAATAACTTGATTCATTCTTTTCGTCCGAACTGATCATGGAAAAGTGAACGCTTTGACAATTCCTTATCCACCTCCAAAACAACACTTTTGATTCAAAGAATGAATAAATGGTTCGTCAGGAACTGACTGTTGATGATTATATTGACTTGTTGAGTTTGTAATAAATTGTGGCTTTTGTTCTTTTATTTTAGTGCTGACAAATTTGAAACCGTTTATTATAACAAAACCTCCAAAACAAACAAGGTTATTAATTGCGTCATCAGGACTGTGTTTTAGTGATGGTTTTTGAAAGAAATTGCTGTAATTGTTCATTTGGCTTCAACGGTAGATTCTCTTGTTGCCCTTCCATCATCATTTTGTAATCTCCATTTCGTCCTTGCGAAAATAGTCCAATGGAACTTACGCCCATGGATGTGAAATCAGACGAAATGAGATTTGGCCCCAATTCAATTCGTACACACAAACAAATGCCCGTTGACATGATCCAGCTCTCTTCCAGGAGTATACTCCAACATCGAGTGTTACCTCTTTTCACGTCATACATGATTCTTCTCATCTTGTTGGAACAAGTAAATTCATCATCATCATCGTTATCATTCACAACAACATCATCATCCAACATCACTTTCACACAACCAGTTCCTTCTTCCAACAGTATGACAAGCACGAATCATTCAACACCAACAACAACACTCCCAATCATACTCCATCAAGTCTTGTATCCGAGAAATGAAGTGATGGACCTGTTACCGGTGAATCAATTTTACTATCCCATGCTCTTTCCCTTTGATGTTCAATATCACGATTTTTGTAGCACCACTACTACTCCTCATACTATTCATCATGATGATTCTTTTTGTACAAACTATTTGTGTGAGTCAACCTTCACTTGGAATTTGAGAAACAAGTCACAAATCATGGAATTGGGATCGACCATTAATTATTGTTTATATTGTAATCAAAGTCAATCGAATGAATTTAGAAAAGCTCTTCAACAGGGAAATTGTTCATTATTTACAAGAAATGAATTTACATTGTGGAGTCAAGTACATTGCAATAATGTACCATATTCTAAATCATCTCATCCATCGAATGATGAAAATCATTTGACATTGAAACGTCATTTGGGACTTTTTGATTTTAACTTTTTATTAACGCCTTATTTCCAAATTAATTTTTTGAAATATAGACGAATGGAAAATGAAAGTTTGACCTTTGGAGATGCTTTGAGAGAAGTGAAACTTGAAACATTATTTCAATTTTATTTTTCTAAATATGTAAATCCAATGAGTCGAGAATATGACATGTCAACTACTCGCTCGATTCAACAACATCACCAACCACCAGATATAATCATCCCTCCTCTCGATGTACCCTTCACTTGTTGGTGCAATTATCAAAATTCGAACGAACAATATTTTGCATTTCAATGTGATGATTTTTACCAAAAATTTCTCTTCCATTTCACACATCGATATGCTCACATTGTATTGTGTATCATATTTTCTGTACTATCTATCATGATTTCCTTTTTAATACTCTATCCAAAAGCACGTGACATGATTTCTATAACTCTTGATTTGAAACTTAATCACGGATTGGTGAAAGTGAACAACTTTAGCAAATGTAATTTATTTGGAAAACGATTGTTGGCCATTTTGAGTGCTCTTTCAAGTATTTCAGTTCAATCCTCAGCTTTCTTTGTTGTGGCTTGTTTCTGTGGATTTATGGAAAATTTCCTCAAATTTTTATTCAATTTTTCAGCAGTTAGTTCTTTTCAAAACAATTATTTTAAGGGATTCTTTAGAGCCATGTGCTGTGTGTTCATTGTTTGTGGATACAGTAGTTTAGTGATTTCTTGGAGTCATTTCGTCAGTAACAAACAAGGATCGACAAGTCCAACATCACTTTCACTCTTTCACAAATCAATGTTAGGACTTTTCTATGGAAGTACTGTGATTGTCATGCTCGTCGCTGCAATATTGTATGTAGTGACATCCAATATCTCATATGCTTGGATTTCATTGGCAGGTACTGGTTTGTTTTATTTGTTGTCCTTTGTGGCTGGATTTGCAATTTTTGGTTTGAAAATTCTCTACCGACTTCGTCAATTACGAAACACGATTCGATCCTTTGAATATAGATTCACCAAACTCATGCTTTTACTCACTCTAACACTCGTCTCTGGTTGGATTATTGTACTATTGACATTATTTACTTATATTTTTGGATTTGACGCAGCGTCACTTTTTTATGGAATTACTCGAAATGTATGGCTCGATTGTGGAATGATTTCTGTAACTCTTGCATTTGCTTATACTACATTCAATGTAGAGTTATTGAAGAAAGCGTATCGAAATTCAAAACTTTGCTGCTGTTTCTCATCAGAAAAGAAGAAGAAGCAACAAAATGATTATGAACAAGAGCATGTTGACAACCAAGATGATGGTGACGACGACGACGAACTCTCGTCTCAAATGTACTACACTGGAGAGAATCGAGTAGAGGTTGTTCTGAAAAGCTCCACTTCCAAACTCATGAGCTTACCTTCTCCCTCCTTAACACTTGCTGAAAATCATCATCCGACTGTGGCCACTACAGATTTTGAAACTGACTCTCATATGGCCACTACTCACTACTCTCAACTCTACAATACCGAATAATAATACTGTTTGTTGATAATTGTTGTGTTTTCTTTGAAATTATATCCTTTCTTTCAATTCCAGAAAATTGTGCTTTCAAGTTCAAAAAAAAAATGCTCAAACTTTCACAAACAGAAAAACAATTCATCGTTGATGGTGTGGAACAAAATTTACGGAATGATGGAAGGGCTCGTTTGGATTATAGAGATTTCTCGCTAGAGACTGGAATTGTTTCTCAGACCAATGGGAGTGCTAGAGTTAAGCTGGCTAATCATACGGATGTGTTGGTCGGAGTCAAAGTAGAGATTGGAGAAGTAGATCCTGATTTTCCGGACCAGGGACGTTTGGAGGTACATGTTGAGTGTTCTCCGAGCGCAAGTTATGAGTTTGAAGGAAGAGGAGCTGAAGAAATTAATGCACAATTGATATCTACCCTTCGGAATCAGTTGAAAAATTCATTTGCGATGGATTGGACAAAATTGTGTATTGTAAAAGGAAGACAATGTTGGATTCTATATGTGGACTGCATTGTATTGGATTCCGCTGGAAATTTATTTGATGCTTTGGCAATTGCTACCAGAGCTGCGTTATATAATACAAGAATACCAAAAATTGAAGTCATTGAAATTTCACCAACAGAAACAGAGTTTGAATTGAGTGACGACCAACACGAGTATACGCGAATTGATTGCAGTAACATACCGATTTCTGTTACTCTAGGGCGAATTGGAAGCAAGTTTATTGTTGATCCTTCACTTGAGGAAGAAGAATGTATTTCTACTCGTGTGACAGTGTCTGTAAATAAGAAGGGAAATATTTGTTCTATCAAAAAGAGTGGTAAACATACAGGCATCAATCCAAGCGAACTGACAAAGATGCTGCAGACGGCTCGTAAAATTGGAACAACAGTATTGGACGAGTTGGATAAGTTGCTGGAAAAGGAAGAAAAAGTCGCAGTGAAACAAGGATTCTTCACAGATTAATATGTAGTTCAACAATGATTATGAATTTTTTTTACTTATTTATTACTGGACGTAGCGCTCTCACTTCCACTGTTGGTTGTTGCATTTGATGACGTGGTTGTCACTGGTGTTTGTTGAGTTTGTGGTGGTGTTGAGGTATTCGGTACTGCACTCGCAGGTACAAAGCACTCATTGAAACAATTCTCGATTTCATTCAAATTAATATCATCATAAATCACATCTGACCATTTCTGTAGTTGTTTGGTGACTGTTGATACATCTTCTCTAATGTTTTTAATGGCCTTTCTGGAAACCTTATTCTGTAGAGATTGAATACCAATCTTCATTCTGTTAATGCACATGGTAGCAATTCGAGAGAAAACCTTTCGCAAGTCGTTCTGATGTGTCTGTAAATAGGAAGTGAGAACTTTGTGGATGGAGAGCATGGCCTTAATAATGGCATTCAAAGGAGAGTCCTTTCGTGGGCCATTGTCCCAATCAAACTTTACAAAATCTTTGCCATGATTCTCGAGAACATCTTTCATGATATCCACAACTTTTTGGTATAGGGCAAGTCGATGCTCCTTTAAATCCGTTGCTATATCTTCGAATTTCAGTAATTTTCCCTTTAGAGAAGGCTCTATGTTTTCAATATATTTCTTAACTTCCAGTAATAGAAGAGTCACTGCTCCCATAACTTCAGACGTCAACGCTATTGTAAATATTCAATGCAATACAAATGATAATTGTGAAATAAAAAATAATTGGTTAACATAATTCTTGGAAAACAAACCTAAATGCTTGGCAGTGATTGTCTTTAAACCACTTTTAGGATTAATCGCTCCTGCTTTCAAAATGAGATTTTTCACCTCCACATTAAACACCTAAAGATGAATTAGAAATTGAAGGAAACGTTTTGTCATTTGACACTTACTCCATATAAATTGCAAATTCTTGCGCTCAAATCATAGCTGCTGACAAACTTTTGATGTTCTACAGAAAGTAATTCCAGAAAATTCCTTGTCATTTTCACCAAATGCAACAAACTCGAGCACACGGGAAAAAGCTCTCCTTTCACAGTGATATATTTCATGGCGCTTGTCTCCGTGGAAGCATTGCTGTCATTGTTGGAAGCAGAATTTGTTGTAGCAACAACCTTCTCTGTTGTCTTGTCCTGATTTTGTATACTATTTACAATATCTTGATATTTGGGTTGAATGTTCTCGACCCACACCCATGTTTCCTTTTCCAAAATTGATTTTAGTGTTTCTACATGTTGCTTGCTGAATTCATCCAAAAAAGTTTGGCCTACAGCTTGAAGAGATCCTCTCAAAAGATTCACCTTTTTTCCAACAAATTTTTCTGCAGTTTCAATAAAGTTAAAGCACATTTCCATAAATTTCAGCAATTCAGATTTGGTACTGGACTTGACAATATCTCCTCTAAGTGACACAATAATTGAGAGCCTTGAATGGATTTGTTCGTTCAGGGAGGTGTTGATTTTGTCAAATTCTTTCAACATATTCGATGCTTTCACCTTTTGCATTGCCTCAACGTTCTCAAATAAAGTATGAAAAATTGTAACAATCTCAACGCTTCTCTTCAAAAATGTAATAGACTTGTCAATGATTGCAGAAAGGACAGTGATGAATTGATCCATAGGTATTGACTTTAGAACCTGTATCGTTTTGGAGTTGAGATACCTAGAAGCGTTTTGGTCGATGGCGATAGATACAGATGCGTTCGAAAATGTAATCTTCATACCATCCAACGTCTTATCAATTGTTGACGTTATCCTTTCATTTATGAATGGCATTAACTTGTCACGGTATCGCTGAACTATAAATTGAGTATCACAAATGATTAGCATGGCTTTCATGATTGGCCTCAAATCACTTTCAAATGTTGATAAATATTCTGCGTCATTGTAACTGGCTGGAGGTTCAAAAATAAATAAATAATTCTCTATTAATTTTGTTATGAATAAATTTTGAGCTTTCGACTGTATCTCAACAATCTTTTCCTGCATTCTTTCAGGAATGTTTCTCAAACATTTCACGTTGGCAAATTCTGTTCGAACGAGCTCCCTAGTTTCATTAATAATATCAAGAGCAGATAAAAAATCATTACTTCCAATTAATTCGTCGATCATGAGATGGCTCTGTTGAATTGCATAAACAACTTTCAAAACTTCTAGTGTTTTTTTCATGTTGTTTTTCTTTCTGACTAGTGCCGTAATTTCTAACGGGCTTTTAGCTGCAATATCATCTATTTCCTTAATTTTGCTTCGCAGGCTTTTGATAAGTGGAAGTGCTTCCTTGACGTCATCATCCAGTTGATTATATTGCACAAAAGCATCGAAAATTTTAGCGGATCTGAACGTCACTTGATGTATCAAGAGAACTTCGGTCCTGTCTAAATAATGTGACAGCTATACCATTGTTAATCAATTCAAAAATTTCAAATCTCTTGATTACAAACCTTTTCTTGAAAAAGTAACGAAGCCGACATTGCCTCTTCAGAAAATATTTGTTGAAAGGTTGCAATATCTCCCAGGTTAAAACCTTCTTCAAAGAAAATAGGTGGAATAAGCTCTCGATTTATGATAATATCCATAGCATTTGCACTCTCTAATTCAGACTCATAGTATTGTGCGGGAATTGTTGGTTTAGCTTTGTTTTTTTCAAAATTTTTGTATAAGCCTTCTATTTTGTTCAAATACGAAGAAATTTCCTTATCATTTAAATCGATATAGGGTAATTTTGCTGAAGGAATAACTTTCTCTTTTTCTCCATACCAATAGTAATCTCCAATTGCGTCAATCCACGAGCTCTCCTGTGCGTATATCAATCGTGAATTATTTTAAAATAATTTTAACATTGGTTTCAATATCATGGAATTGTCACATACCTCAAGAGGGTCGTTCACAATAGAAGCAAAGTTCTGGCTAAAATTCATCGATTGAATAAATCTCAAATGATCCAGAGCCTCCTTATCCAATTTTAAATTTGGTTCAGAATTGTATCTTGTTTTTAAAAGGTTCTCCCCATTTACGTGATGATCATTGCTACTCGATCCAAGGTGAGATTCACTTGGAACTCTATTGTAACCATTGTTAAAACTGTATGATCCGATTGTTGGAGGAGAGGATGATGAAGTGTGGTGATGGTGTCCTTCAAAATAATTATCATATCCGATCGGAGAGCGTGTTCGTGTCGAGTGCTGCTCTCGACTTGATGTAGCGATAGAATTTAATTCTCCAGAAGTATTAGAGCCGATAATAGGAATGCTACTACTACTACTACTATTGGTGCTATTCGGACTGTTGCTTACAACTTCAATATCTTCATAGAGAGAGTCCATTTGTTTTTGAATTTCATTTCTCTCTTCACCACTCACCAATTGAATTTTCTTGATGTTAGTGGTGATAGTGGATATTGTGTTGTCATTATCTGCATTGCTATTCGTTGAATCAATATTTGTTGTTGAGTCCGAAGAAGAGATCATGATGAAATTAATAGTTGTTCATATTTTTTATAATTTTTAAATAAATAAAAATCTTTAATTGAGCAAAAGGGCTGTTTTACAATTTACACATATTTACACACTAATACTTCTGATCGTTTTGAGTTAAAGAATTGGGTTACTTCTAATCGTTTCACAGTTGGGAAATGTTCAACATGATTTTAGCACACAAAATAATGGAATTGTTTAGACAGATCTTGCATTAACGTTGCAACCATATTTGGACGAACGAGATCTGTTGTTGTGTCAATCGGTTCTTCCTAAAATCAGTTCGGGATAGTTTGTTTTAACGAAATTAAACAGTTCAATAATATTAGATTCAAAAAATAAGTCCTCCACGGTCACTAAATTGCGTTGTTCTCCCCACTCAATCAAGGGAAACCAATATTGATCATGACCCATTTTCGTTTTAATTGATTGTAAAGTTGAGGTAAATAACGGAATGCGAATTGGTGACCAAGCAACAAAGCTAAGCATCAAATGGTGACGTAAAATTTTGACGGCTTTTTCGTTTGATGAGTCGGGTTGTTTTGTGTCACAAAAAAAGCTACGGAAGTCATGCATGTTTTAATTGATTGATTTTTTAAAGTTAAAAATACCACAACAAATTGTTCTGAGGACATGTCTAAAGCCAAACGGACTGGACGAGGATTAATATATCTTAACGAATTTTGACGCTCCATACGGTCATTTTATAACTTGAATGAGTTCTGATCGTTTCATAGAGAAGATTTGATGAACCTTCGCAATTCTTCTTTCACTTCACTTCCTGTGGGCAATATGTGTTTCTTTGGGTGAGTCAATATCACCGTTGAATCACGAACGTACCAATCCTCTGCCAATTCCTGAGATCGCTCTGGTTTAATAACGTCGTCATTCAGTCCATAAATATGTAATGTTTTGAAAAATCCTCCAATTTTCAAATTTCTACTCATTAATGTTTCCATCACTTGATTAATCTGTATCGAATTTGGTTTAAAGGTTCCAACAAGAATCACCAATTTCAGGGTGCATTCTTTCTTTCCATTTTCAGGGTGGACTGTAAAAAACAACTCTCTGATCGCCTCAATAATGTCATCAAAATTTGTTTCATCTTCATCGTGAGGATGAGGTTCGTAGAGAGAGCTTGGTAAACATTCTCGATTCAGCAAGTTATGATATTCCATCGAGATGAGGGCTGCCAAAACTGTAACCATGGCTCCTCCTTGAGAAAAACCTAACAAGCCATCAATTCTTTTACCTTCCTTCCTTTCTTTTCTCATGTAATTCAATAAATAGAGAATGGACTCCCTCCATCGTGCATACACTGTTCTATTCATTCGTGAAAACACCCAAGTTCTTTGTAGAGCCTCATCCGGAATGGGTTCTTCTGATTCAGTATTGTTATTATCCTGGTCATCGCTGCTGTTAATTACTCGAGCTGGTGAAGAAATCATTTGGGACACCTCTTGTTTCGACTGAACAAACGGAGCATTCGGAAAGGAGAAGGCAAATTGATGATTGGGAAATTGCTTTCGGAATGCTGCACTCTTGTCTTTAAAAATCTTTCCATTCTGTAGCCAGCCATGTATCATAACAATCGTAGAAAGGGAAGGTTTTATAACGTCTTTTGAAGTTGAAGAGGTGAGACGAGTGTTGCCTTCTTGTGTTCCGTTCATCATAAGAGTCAAGGAGAATTTTTGTTTGTCAGTGCGATTATTGAATTCTCACAAACTAGAAAGTGCTTGAGAAGCAAAGTAATGTCTTGTTATACTAGAGCTACTAGCATGGTTGTTCTGGGTTTGTAAACATTGTCTCTTTCTTCAAATTGGTCCATGAAATCGGGAATTGCTGGTGACACTCCAATTAAACCTCATAAAGGCAATTTTGTGGCGCAAAACAAAAAAAAATAGTCATTCACCATCACAAAGAGATATTGGCTCGAATCACAAATGTCCGTTATTAGAATCGGTAATTATAGACTTGGAAAAACTCTGGGCGAGGGATCTTTTGGTAAAGTCAAATGTAAGTATGCACCCATAGTTCTAGGAACTGAATAATTACGAATTATTGTGATGATGTTATTTTTTTGTATTTTGGTATTCTTTGAACATTAATATGATGACAAAACATCAACGGCTTTAAAATAGTGGCTGAACATGAGAGCACAGGTCATAAAGTTGCTGTCAAAATTCTCAACAGACAGAAAATTCAAAACTCCAAGATGGACAAAAAGATTAGAAGAGAAATCAAAATTCTCAAATTGTTTAGACATCCACACATCATTCGGTTATATGAAGTTATTGAAACAAGCACAGAAATCTTTCTTGTGACGGAATACATCGGAGGAGGAGAATTGTTTGATTACATCGTGAAGAGAGGAAGAGTATGTATCTTGTGTTGTGATATTTTGTAACTAATTCATATTGAATAACGTACTTGGGATTATTCGCTCATTTCACTCTTACGGTGAAAACATTCCCTTTTACCTACTTGTCATCTTTATAACAGCTATCTGAATCAGAGGCCAGAAAGTTCTTTCAACAAATCATATCAGGAGTAGAATATTGCCATCGTTATATGGTCGTTCACAGAGATTTGAAACCCGAAAATCTTTTGTTGGATAATGATAATCAAGTTAAAATTGCAGATTTTGGATTGTCGAATATCATGCATGATGGCGCTTTTCTCAAGACATCTTGTGGCTCTCCTAATTATGCTGCTCCTGAAGTAATTACCGGTAAATTATACGCAGGACCTGAAGTGGACGTGTGGAGCTGTGGTGTTATTTTGTATGCACTTTTGTGCGGAAAATTACCATTTGATGAGGATAATATTCCTACTTTATTTAAGAAGATTAAGGAATGCTCGTATACTATTCCATCTCATGTATCTCCTGAGGCTAAAGATTTAATTCAAAAGATTTTAGTTGTTGACCCAGTTCAACGTGCTACAATTTCTGACATTAGAAAACACCCTTGGTTCGTTAAAGATCTTCCTGATTATTTGAAAATCCCTCCATCCAATTTTGGACATGCTAGTGAAAATATTAATATTGATGAAGCAGTTGTTCGTGAAGCACTGCTAAAAATTTCTGACAAGAAAACCATTACCGATGAAGAGATGCAAGAGGCCATTAACGATATCACGGATGGCAAAATGAATCGTGTAACAGTAGCTTATTATTTAATCCTTGACCACAAGATAAAATCTGCAATCAAGGATCAATATATGAAAATCAATGAAATGCAACTGAAAAAGGAGACTTGCAATGTGAATAACATTCAAGCAGTAATTAACCCATGGCCTGCACTCAGTAGCTCACCTCCAACAGGTCAAATTAGTATTGAAATGGTTTTAGATCCAAGAGGAATACTTCAAGAAGAAGAGTCTACTGTAAACTCCGCAGACAAGAACACACCTGTAAACGTTATTGATGACCTGCGAATTGATACAACAGATGTTCACAAAAAGTACCATCTTGGTATTAAGACTAACAGAAAGAATGCTCAAGACACAATGAAATGTGTGTACAAAGTGCTAAAGAAGATGAATCTCAAATGGAAGATCATTTCTGAATACAATTTGAAATGTAAATATAACCATCATGTTGAGAAAGATGTTAGCGTGGGATTACAAGTATTCAAATTACCTGAAGGAGGATATCTTGTTGATTTATTTAGATTAGGAGGAAACGTTTTCCATTTCCACGACACTTGCCAATTATTCCATGATCTATTTGACATTGAGGAGAGAAACGACAATATTGCACTAACCTCAGGTGTTGCCATGGTCACCAATCTCAATACACTGCCTCAACACTAATTTCAAATAAAATCAATTTACCAACTGGGTCCGATAACTGAAAACATCTATGGGTTGTGACTCTGAACCTTTATGTTATTATGGCAATCCCGAAATTGAAAAAAATGACAAATCTGCAGAACTACAATGATCATGCTACTTGGATCACGTTGATTGATCTCAAAACAAACATCATGAGTGATGTTAATGATGATACCGATTCATCAGACAATTCTTTATTTTCAAAATTAAAAGACAAGATGCGAACTCAAAAAAAGCATGGCTTTGCAATGAATTTTAAGCAAGTTGCCATGATTCCGAAAGTATTCTCTCCTCGGCCCGTAGCCATGGATGATTCTAATAATAATGATACCAATCCTATCAATGAAACTGATGATCAAGATGATGATGAAACTGAACATTCTTTCCGTGCCCCAAGTGATGTTAAAATTTCCTACACACATCAAGTCATTCTAGTCTCGGATTATTCAAATATGAAAATCTACTTTTTTAAATATCTTGAAAAAACATATGTGGGATCTATTGGCGTGGATTACCCAATGTATATGTGCATTGAAGAGAAATATAATGGTTTGCATGATGCTTTAATTTTTGACAGTTGCTCCACATTGGGAACCATTTTCAAGTTTGATTTGCAACAAATTCTTCGAACTCGAGACACTTCAACTTTTTCTAAAACTAGTTTTATTTGGAAGAATAACGATTCGAAAGATCCTCGTGGAATTGCCTTGATGAGAGAAAATGGCACCAATGTATTGCTTGTAACTGAATTTACAAGTAATACTGTTTTCTTAATCCATGCTCAAACAGGCACAACTATACAGAAATTTACAAACTTGCCCATTGAATCTCCATATGCTATCGATGTTGTGGATAGAACAGTAATGATTGGCGAATACAATTACGGTAGCTCAATATTTATTTACACACTGGATAAATCCATGCATGACAATCGCATGGTCTATTCATTAAATCTTGTCAAGAAATTTAGAAAAGCAGGAGATGATGGATGTAACGAGTCATGTCAAGGTCTGGTTTTTGATCCAATGACGCAATACGTTGTTTGTACAGACACAGATTGTAGAATTCAAGTGTTCACATTGGATGGTCACTGTGTAAAATCCATGGACACAAGAATTGATGAAAACAATGACAATCCAGATGGATTATTTATTGATGAAAAAACAGGAGAATTATATTTGTGTTCATATTATGCAGCATGTATTCGAATATATAATTAACAAATTGTAAAAATTTCAAGAATATTGAATTTCATTTTCAAAATGAGAAATCCTTAAATCTTTCAATGTAACATTATTCAAAATGAATAGTCCAACATCTCCAAATCTAGCTGAATTTAACAGCGACTTCATATTCCACTCTTTCGACTCGGAAGGACAACACAATGGCAATTTCAAAGTCACCCATTATAATCCATCAAAAAAGAAAATGGTCAACCATCAACTCTCTCCAAGTCACAGTGAAGAAGAAGAAGAAGAAATTCAAATTCACTCCTCCTCTGTGACTTTAAATAATTCCATAGTAGCAGCAGTAGTATCAACAACCAACACCTCTCAACAACAACAATACAATGAAACCATCAATGAAACCATTTCCAAACACAAAATGAAACAATACGAATCGGAATTTGTGGATCATCCCAATTCAAATGTTTATTCCGGATGTTTGTATCAATTATTTGCACCATTTTTCATGTTGTTTGGATCGGGAGGAATCTTTTCTTCGAATCCATCCAATCATTCAAAATCCTCTCATCATCATCATGATAAACCACCGACACGAGAGGAAACGTCATCATTATTATTGGGACAAGAGGATGCAGCAGAAGAGGATTTGGATGAAGAATTATATCGAAATCATGAAGATGGCAATGAAGAGGAAGATTTAGATTCGTATTTGAATCGATCGTTGGAAGGAGCAACTTCCGTGTTGCATCGAGAGGAACAACAATTATATTCAAAATTTAAAGATTCAAGTTATAGAAATGTGTTTGAGAGTAAGAATGGAATTAGTGGTAATAGTGGAGGACAACAACAACAGAATCAGTCACATCTTATTCAAAATCGTGACATGAATGATCATGCAACAAGTGTGAAGCATCAGCAACAACAATTACAACAACAGCATAATGAGGACGATTTACTAAATTTTGATTCCATTCCAAAGAATGAATTATTGACAATGAATAGACCTCATCCTCCTGTCGATCCATTGATGCACAATTCTAATCATGGAATCACGCAAAATGGAACAAATTCTTCAGAGCAAGAACAGAATCATCACTTGGACAGCATTTCACTCGACGAGAAAAAGAGTGGAGCCAAAGATACGATAAATACTAAGGCAACCACAACATCAGTGTCAATCAATACCACTTCATCTCAACAATTACCAACTTTTAATAGAGTTTCCTCTCCATCGATCCACAACCCAAGTCAACAACCCTCAACAACAACTGTAAAAGCGTCCCAGGCTTCAATGAATTTAGGAACCCAGAATTCAACAACGACACAACCACCCCAACAACACTACACCCCTCCTGTCATTGATGAAGAGACCTTTTCCAACCTTCTTCAACAACACTACGAAGATGACGATGAAGATGATTAAATCACGAGCTGTGTGAAATAAACTGTCACAGACGAATACATTTCCGAAAACATTGAAACCATCCAAAATGAATATTTAAATTTTTGTTTTATGGAAGAGTTATTGGGAGAAAATTTAGTTGATCTATTTCTTTTGGGCAGCTTCGGTCTTCTTTTGTTGAGCAGCTTCAGTCTTCTTTTGTGTTTCAGCCTTTCTCTTGGACAAAAGCTTGGCATAAGCCTTCTTCTCAGCCTTGGAAGCAGCAACTCTCTTAATGCTTCTCTTAATTTCCTTGGCCTTTCTTCTGATTCTATCTGGAGTAACCAATCTTTGGATCTTGACACCCTTGAGGACCTTCTTGTTCTTGGCGACCTTTCTTTCACGTTTAATAACGTATTTACGGACATCATCAGCCTTGGTCAAGTTGAAGAGCTTTCTAATCTTGGATGCTCTCTTTGGTCCGTGAGTTCTTGGTTTAACAGTATCAGTGATACCTGGCAATTCAGCATCACCCTTCTTGACAACAGTCAAGCACAAGACAGAAAGATCTGGTCCAACAATACAACCTCTGACTGACTTTCTTCTTCTTTCACCGTCTCTTCCTCTCCACTTTTGGAAGCCGAGAGAACCTCTATCCAACAAGAGTCTGACTCTGGTGTTAGCCAAAACACCTTGTTTCATGGCGAAACCAGACTTGTCTTGACCACCGACAATTCTGAAAACATATCCCTTATATTCTGGACCAAGGTTGTCTCCTTCAACTTCCTCGGACATCTTTCTGTCAAAGAAGGATCTCAATTTGATTTCAGCATCTTCTTCAATAACAACCATCTTGGTGCAACCAGTGGATGGGTCTGAGATTTTCAACTTCATGGTGATCGTGTGAGTTGTGGCGTATTTTTTTTCAACAAAATTTCAAAATTTTTTGGTCAACCAAAGAATATTTTTTACAACGGCAACGCTTTTTTTTTGAGCACAAGAACGCTTGCAATTTCCAAAAGAACATGTTCAACAAAAGGAGCCAAATTAACATCGTGAGGTCATCGATGAAAAACAAGTCTTATTATTCTTAAATAACTCTTTGAATAGCTGACGAAATCTTGACAAGATATTTGCAACGTCATATTGTGCTAGCCTGAAAGGGTACAATTTGAAAAAAAGGAATTTATTGTTTCACCCTCTTTGAGAGAAATGCAGTAATACTCTGTTGTCCACTGCCACTACTGCTCGCCAATGTTCTTTTCTGGGATGAAACAAAAGTGGAAGAGCCATTGGTATGTACTTGTTGAAAATCTGAAACGCTCACTGCAATTCTTTGTAACTTGAACGGTAACGGCACAGCTTCCTTGAATAACATCATGGCTCTCGAATGAATATCATTGTTTTCATGATGAGAGGTTATGAAATTGGATGAAGCATAATAGCACTTGCTGTCAATTTTACAACTTTTCGAATGAAACTTGTCAAAGTATCCTCCATGACAATATTTCAGCGTGAGTGTAGTGGCAAATCTCTTTTGATTTCGTTGCATGTCTCTTTGAATTCTTGGGGCTAAATCTTGTGTGATTATTCTCAATTTTTGATCGACTTCATCATACGAGTTGTGAATGGGAAGAAAAGTGAGCTCAGAGCCTATGGATTTCACTGGTCCTTTAGAAATAACACGATCATACTCTTCGTCATATTTTCCATTGGCAATATTTAAAGATTGGGAAGCAAGTTTGTCTGAATTGAAACATTTTCGAATATTGAGATAGGAAAGCCCACGGAATTCTTGAACGGTTCGTATATGAAGTTGTTGAACAAGTTTTTCTCGTGTTTGATAGCCAATATTTGGAATGATAGAAATGTCTAAAGGATTAATTTCATTGTTGAACGATTCTGAATATATGGTCGCTTGTCCATTTGGTTTCTTCTTTTTCGATGCTTGCTTTGAGAGAAATTTGGAATGTGAAATTCCTGCACTCAATGTAAATCCCAATCTCTGAAATACCTCGTCTCGAATTTCTTGAGCAAGTTGTGATCCAATATTCAAAGGAATGTCTTGGCTCTTTGGAGAGAGTGAAATTTTTGCGCCAACGCATTGATTGGGATCCACTCGATTCGCACGTTTCAATGACTCTTTACTCACATCCGTAGCTCCATTGATATCATTGGATTGTGAGGTGTGCTGTTCTTGCTGTTCCAGTTGTTGTAATCTCCATCTCACTTCATCAGTCACATCCACAAAAGCTTCATCCACTCCACAAATTTCAAGAACACATTCACCATGAAACTGATGATAGACCTTCTCTGCAATGCATTCCTCAAAGATCTTACGACTCATTTCTCGATAAATTTCCATTCGTGCAGGAATAATGACAATTTGAGGACAGATTTCTTTTGCCTTACTCACACGAGTCATTTTCGGAACACCGTGTTGTATTCGTGCACAATAGTTCACTGTTGATACCGTTTGATTTTGTTGAATTCCGAGTGGTACGTGCCGATAACTTGGATTTTCAACCTCTTCACATTGGGCATAAAAGCAATCAATGTCTAAATGAATAATTACATATTTTGAATGTTCCTTCATAAATGTGGGGTTGATAGAAGAGTTGGAAGAGTAGACAACACTGGCTTGGGACAATGACGGAGTTGACAGCATTTTTAAAAGTAAAAATGTGAAGGGAGAGGTTGATGTATTTTTTTCTTGACTTTGGTTCGTGTGGGCTCTCGAACTGATCATTACGATGAAATCGAAATGAAAAGCAAACCTCCTTTCTAGCACTCCTTAGCTGGATGGATTCGACTTCTTCTAATCTACTCTTGTCAAGAAATGAACGGTTCTTCCCGATTGGTTTTTGACAACTTGAACCTCTCTTCCATCATATCCATCAATTCAAAAGCGAGCGTTTGGTATTCGAATCAAACAAGCACAAAGGGTTTTTTTTAGACAAACACAAAAAATTTCACACATCTCCCTCTGTGTTTCTTTTTGCTTGCGAGAGTGTGTGTCCGAAATTTCCTTCTCAATTGTCCATTCGCATTCATCGTTGGTTCAAAAGATCGAAGGGGCCTTGCCATCGTCATCAAAAACATCATCATTGTGTTGAATCTTGTTTGTCAAAGAATTGATTTTCAACACCAATAACTTGAAAGTAGCATCAACGAATATTATTCGCGCTTCTTCACGAATTCTCGGACTAAAACTCTCATGCCTTCAACTTTGGTGATTAACCGCTACCATTGTTTTTTCAAGAACCATTACTTTGATTGTTTTTACCAATTGTATCATCATCAGTACTGACAAACTCTAACGAATATTAATATTATCATCATCATCATATCGGATTGTAAATATTATAGTCTCTAGCATGAGAGGAAATTCTAACAACAACAACAAGGACATGGCTCAAGCAAGACAATCATCATCACCCCGAACACAACACTCTACCAAGGCTGTACAAAGCCATGTTGCAAATACTTCTTCTTGCAGTAGTAATAGCATGAGGCAAGCCATGTTCAAACAGCAAGCACCACAACAGCTTAGTAAAAACCATTATAATGGCAATAATAACAGCACCTCAAGTCCTCAATCTCCTGCTTGTACATCACCACTAGATAGTCGGTTTCTATACTCTCCAACAACAGCAACCACAATTACAGTGAAGAGAGCGTTCACTATGGTTCAACCTGATGAATCGGGAAAGCCTCCAACGGCGATTGCATCCAGTATGAATACTGCTACGGGTAAATCCTCCACAACCAGTGGCGGTCATAATATTGGAGAGCCTGCAAATTGTGCATGTTGTACATCATCTTCCTCTTCAAACCACAACCACAATACTCTAACTGTAAACTCCTCAATTACTCGAACTACACATCAAGAAGAGGATGTTTTTTCTTCATACTTAAACAATCAAAAGGATACAACATCATTTATTTATTTTGAAGGAGAAGAGGAAGAAGAGTCCGAGGGTACAAGTTCATATAACGAGGATGATTCTGAATACACAGAAGATGAAGATGAGGAAGATCAAGAAGAGGACGAAAATGCTCACCAATTACCCTTCTGGTTTGGTGTAGAAGAAGCGTGTCACATATCTGAGGTCATTAAGCGTTACAGCACTTTCCTCAAATTGAACGAAAAAAGAGGAGCTAACAGCAGACTTCCCGTTCGATTTGTTGGTAAAGTACAACGCTCAGTAATGTCCTTAATATTCAACGAGGATAGAGAAGTTGAGTCTATGAAAACATTCGATGAAGTTCATATTTATGAAAAATCTTCATCGCTTATGTATGGCGCTGTTCATCCTAAAGTTTCCGAAATTTTACTTGAAACTGAATATGACTGGCAAGGAATTCCAACAAAATTTGTAAAAAAGAAGACTAGTGAGAAACCAGACGATCTAGATGAAAGATATTGTAGCTGGCTATTCTGCTATCCAATTTACGCCTCTGATAAATTTGGTTATGAATCTGTCTTGGGAGATGAAGATATTGACCACAGAAAAGATATTGGATATTGTGACTTGTATAATAAGTGCCTCCAACGACTTTCAATATCAAAAGCAAAGGAATGTATTGGAAGCCCAGAACAAAGCCAGTTTTGTTATTCACCCTCAATCAATGATGACACCAATTCTGACGAAGAAGAGAATGAAAATAGTGACAATGACGATTTAGATCATTTGCCAAGCTATATGAAGGATTTGATTCCACATCTATCAGGCTCAGGGCCCTTAGAAGTTGATAGATGTTTTGGTTACTTTGACGACGACAAGTAATACTCTAAAACATAAAATTGAATATTCACAACATTAGGTGTTCTTGTTAGGTTAAGATTGGTAAGGAGTTTGTTATTTTGTTTCTTCTAGAGCCTTTCTGAACTGAATACCTTCTGTGATTTGGAGAAGCTGTTGCTCTTCGTGAGGGAGCATTTTGAGCATGGTTTTCATGTGGCTAAGCTCTTTCTCTGTCGTGTAGAGGAGTGACCTCAATTCTGAATCAACGACGTTCTCTACTTCTGCTCCCAACAGACGCTCTAAGTGCTTTTGGAGTTGATTCTCCACCAGTAAGGGTAAAAGTCTTTTTTCTTCGAGCAAACGTGTGGTCATGAGGCGTACGTTTTCCTTCTCATTTTCGAGGACATTCAACGAGAGGAATGGCGCAACTACTTTGGAAGAAAGAAAATCTGAAAGCATGTGGATATTATAAATGTCGTTACTGTTAAGCGAGGATATCATGAATGAGAGTAGTGTCATAATGGAGGTGTGCATTTCTTGCGGAAGATCTTTCTTTCCAAGAAGAGAGAATATTGTTTGAATGAGTGTACTTTGCAACATGTCATTCACAAGGTTGTGTATGTTCTTTGTTGATATCAAGTGGTCACAATATATTTCCATCCATTTTTGTATCAAGTGCACTAAGGAAGGTGTCATGCCGTGTCGGTAGTGATGCATCATCCAGAACTGTAACGACGCAATAATTACAGATATATTGCTTGGTATGAAAAAGAGATCGTATAATGGAGTCGTCTTTTTTGAAAGCTCATAAACAAATAGAAAGGGTCCAATGTTGTCTAAGTGCATGGTTGTGATATCCCAATAATTATTCATCAAACATAGTGTAAATTCAGCCATGATAGTGACTGGTTTCTCAAAATTAATAATGCATACGGAAAGAATTGCATGTAGTGTTGAGAGAAATTTCATGGATGACTCTGCCCAACATTCTCCTACCAAATTTTTCACATCAATAGCCTCTTCCTTTGAGAGTAGTGTTTGAAGAATGTAATGAAATCTATTATAAAAATTATTGCAAAATAATGTTCCAAATAATGAAGGGCCTAATTGGATGCAGTTGAGCAGACAGTCTATTGATTGAGCAACCAGATCTCTGGGCATGTGCTCTCCCTCATAAAGTGTTTTAACAATTACGTCCTCTATCAATAGTTTGCTAATCAATGTCAATATTGTATTAGCTTTTGTTTTATATCCATGATCACATAACTCATTGTATTCTTCAACAGATTGCACACAAAAAGTGATACAATGAAAAAAGCATGTTGTAACATCTTGTCTATAAATTAAATATCTAGTCAACAAATATCTTAATAGTTGAGTAGTTTCAATAAGTAAAGATATTTCAGAATTCATCTCTTCCTTGTATTGCAGTAACAACACGTTGTTCATCATAGAGAGCTTGTTATAAATATCAAATAAACTATTAATGCATTGAACCAGGAGTGCTATTATTTCCAATCGTCTCAAAAGAATCTTGTTAGATACAACGAAATATTTCAAGCAAAGCACTAATCTCTTGATCAGTTTGTTCCTATCTATTCTTGTAAATTCCAATTTTATATTAGTATTGTTATTATTTGATAGTAGAGAATTGTGGATGATATCATTGGCAAAATTAATCATTTCCATCAATGTATTTTCAATAGATTGTTCAATGCGAATATCTATCTCATTAATGTTGCTGTTAGCTTCCACGGACACTAATCCGAACACTTTTACTTCTACATCATTCAATCTCTCCACAAAATATAAATCACAAAAATTCTTGCGGTCGAGCCCTTCTCTTTTTGCCCTCATGCTAATCCGAAACACCAATAATTGAATCCGTAGCGCCTCTAATTGGTTTTACCTCGGATTGACAATAATTGCAAAGTGAACCTCTCCCATCCAATAACAGCGTTTAAATATTTTTTTTTGAGATCTTTTAAAGATTTCACTCTTGTTCTAATGGGATTTTTTCTTTGAGTTAACAACGTCATTTCAAGGATGGACTCTTTTCTTGTGGAAATAATAAGGCTGAAAGAATTACAATCCAACCTAAACTTTGTAATCGAAACCAATGATCAATCAAAAACACAATAATTCAACTCTAAAAAAATGTCTTCACGATTTCCATTGTTCAAATCCGAACTCTCCTTTACTCGTTTTCCCGATCGTAAAATTATTAATTGGTTTCCGGGGCACATGGCAAAGGCTACAAAACAAATTAAAGAGAAATTGAAATTTATTGATTTTGTAATTGAAGTGAGAGACGCACGAGTTCCGATATCATCCTACAATAAGACCATTAATGAAATATTTTCTCACAAGAAGAGATTAATTTTGTTTAACAAGTGCGATTTAATTTCAAAAAGTGCACAAGAGAAAATTGAAAAATATTTTGCAGACAATGGTTCAATCATGGAAGGGCCACAAGTTTTAGGAACCTTGTTCACGAGCGCAAAACAAGGAATTAATGTCAAAAAGATTGTTGATTTGTGTTTACACAATAAGAGTGTAGAAATTGCTCCAAAGAAGTTTAAAACAATTCCTTTTACTTTTTTAATTGCAGGAATTCCCAATGTTGGCAAGTCCAGTATCATTAACAAATTAATTGAGAAAAAAAAGGCAAAAGAAGGAGCATTACCTGGTGTAACCAGAGGTATGGGGTTTTTCCCTATGAAAACTAAAGAGAATTGCTTGTTATTGGATACTCCTGGAATATTTCAACCAGATATTGAGAGCAACGAACAAGGATTCAAATTGGCTTTGATAAATGCAATTCCAGATCACTTGTTTGGTGGCGACAATAGCGCGGGAGGTACAGCCATAGACCTCATACCATTAATTGATTATATGCTGTACCAGATGAATAGGAATGATTGCTTTGAATATGTTGAAATTTTTGACATGAAAGGACCCACAAAGAGTGTGGAGGAGTTGTTGTTGGCCGTGTGTGAAAAATGGAAAATGTATTCAGCAGGTGGAGAGCCTGATTGGAACAAGGCTCTTTCGCATCTCTTGCTTTGGTTCAGAAGTGGAAAGTTAGGTCAAATTGTGCTTGACACGGATGTGATATGTGGCAATTTAGCTCCACCATCATCTTCAATTGTAACAACTACTGACACGTAGTAATTTGCAAATGCATCGATTGGCAGAGTAGAAAAAAACTTTTGGGTAGCATGAGCTCTCAATTCTTCTCTGAATTTTCTGTAAGAGCTCTTGTCACACGAGTGTCGTCAAACAGTTATTTGGCAAGTTTGGAGAGTACTTTTTCAGCAACTTCTTTCAATGAAATATTTGACGTAATGCTTGCAATGTGCTGTACAAGTTGTTTGAATGTCATTATCTGTTGCCCGTCTATCATTGTACTACTACTATTTTTCTCATCTAACTTTAAAAGTAATACCTCCAATTTACAAATCATTCGATTTTGTACTTCCAGCTCTCCAATCAAATGAGTATCTCGAAGCAAGTTGTGATACAATTCGTGTTGAGGAGGAAGTTTTCTCTTATTTTCAAATCTCTTTTTTGAAAGTATCATTTCAACAATTTGTCTCTTTTGTTGCGATTCTTCTCTGGATATTAGCGATGATGAATAATTTGGGCATATTCGATTTTTGGTTTTTCTGTAATTTTCGTCCTGATTCTTTAATTCCGCAATTAAATAATCATGCTCGTTAGAATCCCTCTTGCGTTTGATGGAAGATCCATCATTTGAAAAATCCATACAACAACTCGGACTTTCGTCGTTCATTGTTGTTGATGATGTATTTTCGAGAGTGTCCACAAAAAAGTCAATTTCATCACTCATGAAATCTTCTTCCAGTCCTCTATTTTGAAGCATTTTTTTGTAACAAGTTCCAGCAAAAGGAGTCTAAGACTTGACAACGATCTTGTCCTAAAACCTTTCTTCAAACAATTATTAGAATTCATTCACATAAAAAAATGTTATCATTCCAAATGAAAAATGGAGTGAACTCGGAGAAGGATACCAACATTGAAGCACTCGAACATTCTTCGGATAAACAAGTCCAAGATGATTTTATGGACGAAGCAAATGATCTCAATGTTGATGCTGAAAATGATGATATAATTTTTATAAAATCCAATTTGAATTCCAATTCAATACCCATCGGAAATGAAAATATCAAGAAGGAATCCTCATCGCCATCATCATTACAATTTTCAATTCCTTCTGAATTTTCTCATGGAGAATTGGATGACTTGGAACGAAAATGTGTGAGAGTCAAACGTTCTGGAGTTGAAAAATCATGTTTTCTTCGGTTCTATCTTAGAGATGGTAGAATTTTCAAACATAGCACATCTCCGATCAGCTATTTTGTTCCTTGCGACCAGAAATTACAAATTTTCATCTATTCTCAATTTTTACAGAATTTTTACTTGAAAGGCTTAAGCATGACTGGAAAGCAGAATCAATTACCTTGGATTGATTGGAATTATGAGGTATTTGAAATAATACCCACGTTTTTGTATCCGAAGAGAATGGTTGCTCTATGTCTGCAATGTTTTGAGGAATATAAGAAAGGTCAATCGTTATTGATGTTTGATCATTTACTGAAGCATTTCCGTCATGAAGAGAATGTTGTCATGCACTCATCCCATGGCAATAAGAAACGAATGGAAAAACAACAAGAATCAGAGGACACTTGTGAGCACTGTCTTCCTCCTCATGACCTTATACATTCTCTAATATTTAACAGAAGACGACTAAAAAGAATGATGGAACCACATTGGACAGTTCCAAAAATCAAACACACTGAAAACAGTTCAAAAGCTATCCGAGTAGCGGCTTATATTGAACGGCTCTATCTCTACCTTAAACATTTATTTGCAGAAAAAGAATATAGCAAAGCAGAAACTATCTGCAACTCCATGTTATTACTTTTTGCTACTCATGGACAATACTTTAGCAAAAAGATTTCAGGATACTTTCCAGCCATGTGGATGGAAAGAGAAGAATTACTCATTACTCATACCAAAGTAGGAATGGCCAATGCCTTTATGAGAGGTCACACCTCGTTGTTAGAAAAAACATTGACTAGCAAATCGGGAGCGAGAGCATTCACGAACACGAAAGTGTTCTCAGATCAGGCTCACTTGACTTCTGCTTTGCAAGTGGCATTCTTTCTATTTCGATTTGTTAAGGAAGAAAAGAGTTTTGCCTTGTTGAACAAACTGACTTTGAGTTGGGTCTTTTCATCATTTTGTCAGGGTTATCATGATATTTTATCGACTCGACATTCAGAAACATATAATGGTATTGAATTGGAGACATTTGAAAAGTTGTTGTTTCGACTTCCTGGTTTTATTCATAATCATGATTTTTTGGACTTTATATGCGAATGTGCACTGAGACAATCGAGAATTCCTTTGGTGAGAGAATATTATGCGAGGTTTTATGAACATGCACCAGATGATATTTATGCCAAAATGTAAGTGACACCATGTCTACTAATAGAAACTATAGCTTCACATTTTCGATTAGTAAATATATGAAGGCTCTCATGTGCCTATTCAAGGAAGAAGAAAAGCACGTGATTGTAGCTCTAGCGTTGGAAATTATTGAACAAGATCCTCTGTCAACCATTGCCGAGAAAGTATTCAATCAATTTTGCTTAGAAAATACAAAGCCTGCCATCAAGGTGTCACTGAACACAAATCAAGTATTGGTTATCATGAAATCTGAATGGAAATGTGTAGAACGAGATTTCGAATTGGATTCCCCATGGCGACTTCTTGTGAAGTGTGTCTTGTACTGTTGCAAATCCTTTTCAAGCAACTATTTAAAGGATTTGATTCATGAATTTCGAGAATTCACTTATCCGGCCATTGAATTTATGGACATGTGTACAGTGTTAGTGAACCATTTGAAAAAGAGAGTCAAAAGTCCATCCAACAAATCTTCAGAAAAGAAGAAAGATCAACACATGTTATTGATCTTGTTTACCATTGGTTTCACTCCTAATGACAAGCAAGATAATGGTTGTTTGTCACATGCAGATTTTGCTTTTCTGAAGGACGAGTTATGGAGCTCCTATGAAGATAGAGCCTATGCAAGAGCATGTGAGGCCATGGAGCGAGCATTAAGAGTGGAAGATGTGTGAGCATGATATCAAAGAACCGTGTAATCTCAAATTCTAACTGCATGCTGTATTTGCTATGATTTGAATTAATTGGTGGATGTTTGACTCTTGATTCCTAATAGGCTCATAAGGAAGGCAATGAAAGCAAAAAACCATGCAAATATTCCTTCATTGCTGCTCGTAGATGAGACGGACTCTGTGATTGCCTTTCCTTCCTTCGACTTCTTCGTTTCTGTGACCTTTTCTTTGGAGGATTCATCATATAACTTCTTTTTCGAGAACGTGTTACCTTCTACATCCATTACAAATGCATGTGATTGGTCCATAAGAGATGGAATAGCCTCAATGATACCTATTGAGTCAACATCTTCACTATAATCGCAATAAATAATATTTGTGACAGAGTCATGGATATAAAAACGCTTCAAGAGATTTCTGTTAACCACAATAGAATTACTAGAAACCCCTTTGGCAAGTTGATCGTCAAAGGCAATTCGTGTGGTCACTCCTTGAATAATATCTTTTTTGAGTTCCTTGATCAGATCTTCATCGCTATATGAGAACCCATCCAAAGTGAGAACCATGCCGCTTATTGTGCCACATAAGACAATTTCAATCATGTCACCCTCCTGATTGATCTCTGGTAATTTTGACTCTGCTCTGGTGTTGAGGAAGCACTCAATTCTCTTGGTTGTTTTGTTCACTTTCCAAAGATAATCATTTGCAAGAGAATCTTCTAATTGATTTTCAATTTCATCTAATAATGCATCAATGTTTTTAGACGATTTCAACTTTTTGTAATAGGGCAACACGCACGAATATTCTGAAATTTTTCTGGCTGTTGGGCTTTCTGTAAAGACAGCAGTAATGTCTTGCCTAAATTTTCCCTTCTCAAAAACAAAAACATCCTGGCCCTCTTTCAATACATTAACAAAATATACAGGATTTGAAGATGTGGCATCAGTAGGTTGTAATGATTCAATAGATCGCATATAGAGGGCTATCACATCGTTAAGTCGATCCTTGACAGCATACGAATAATCTCGTAAATACATTCCAGAAATATTCACACTCGAAAGCAAAGCTTGTTGAACAATTTGAATTTGTTGATGAAACCATTCCGATGAAAGACTTGAAAATCCTCCATTTTTAGCTTTTCCTTCTTCCAACGTTGAAATTAACGATACATGATGAACCAATATTGATGATGAGGAAGACAGCTTTTCCTCCGAACTTGCAGACTCTTCTGCAGCAGGCATTGAAAAAATTAATCCAATATCAAATGAAACATCTGAGGATGATCTGTGGACAACTAGTTGTTGTTGCTCTTCCGATCCAGTCGTTAATTGCGTGTTGGTTTCTTTATTCAATTTCTTCAAAAAATCAGCAACCACAAGCACTTCAAATTTCTTCATTTTTTATACTCAAGATGGACTGAAATTCTTGAAAGTCCAAAGATTAAGAAAAGCAAAGTTGGGAGTCATTCTGACTACTCCTTTAACTCGTGTTTTGAGTAACAGAGGTACTCGTTTCTAGCCAATTCTTTTCAACATTAACACTGCCAAACGCTCAAAAAAAGGAATTCATTCAAAAAAAATGTCAGTTCAAACAAGCTCCTCATCATCACTGGTTCCGAATGTTGAATTGCATAACGGAGTAAAGATGCCAATAATTGGATTGGGTATGTTCAATAATTGAAAAAAGAACATCAGAGTTAAATTTAATGATTCATCACGCTTGGGATGCTGAAAAAATATATTAATCTAAAATATGAATTATATTTGAAAATATTATTGAAAAAACATCACGGATAGGAACATGGGAAGTAAATCAATCTCCACAATGTGAGCAATGTATATTTAATGCCATTGAAATTGGCTATAGACATATTGATACCGCCTGTATTTACCGTAATGAGAAATTAATTGGACAAGTTTTAAAGCAATGTATTTTCGAATCTCCTCAGAAACAACATTCCGAAAATACTCACCATTCAAAATTAAATCGTGAGGATTTATTTATTACATCAAAATTACCTCCTACGAGAGTTCAAAGTGAAGACATCATTCGAGAAACTTTTATGACATCGCTTGAAGAGTTGCAGTTAAGCTATTTAGATTGGTACGTCAGACCTTTCTGATTTTTTAATTGAGCTGAGCAATTTCTATAATTCCTTGTTGATAATTGTTGAACCATTCATTTGATTCATGTAAAATTTATTATTTTGGATGTGGCAGTTATTTAATTCATTGGCCTGGGACGAGCAAATTAAAAGTCACAAGTGATCAAAATAGACTTAATAGGTAATTATTGAAAAATCATATTGCGAAATAATTATTACAATAATTTATTTAAACACAGAATTGCTACTTGGCGTGTTTTAGAAAAACTCTATCGGGAAGGTAAAACAAGATCAATTGGAGTGAGTAATTTCACGTATCAACACATGATTGAGCTTTTGGAAGACATTCAATCCCGAGAAGATGGAATTATCCCTCATGTCAACCAAATTGAATATCATCCTCTCTTATACAAGACTCATGCTCAACTCGAAGATTTATGCAAACAACATTCCATAATAATTCAAGCTTATTCTCCACTTGCTCACGGTGAATTAATGCAAGGAAAATATGGACAAGTAACGTCGAGAGAATGTCTTCAATGGATTTTGCAGAGGGGACATGTCATACTTCCACGCAGCATCAAACGAAACCACTTGGAAGAGAATTTCAAAGCTGTAACCGATTGGGCCTCGAATATTATTGAAGATCAAAGCCGTTTGAAACGATTGGATCAGCTTGTGGAAAATGAAGTCCGAATTTGTTGGAATCCAGAAACCATCAAGTAATAAGCCCTCTCGAACAAGTGGCCTCTAAGAACAACCAAATGAACATCTCTCCATTGTGTGAAATCCAAATTTGCATAATTGTCAAATTCATGTCACTCACCTTGATTTTCCTATTTCTTGATTCATTTTCTGGATGATTCCCAAAATTGGAGAGAATGCTTCTCCTCAGGACATTGTCCAATAACCAACACTCAAAAAAACAATGCATCACTCATTCTCTCATCCCAACCGTTCTCTTCTTCTTGGAGTAGTATTACTCATCTCCACGTGTACACTTTTACTGCTTCAACACACTCCATATTCACTGGTCCATGCCCAAGTGGCAGCCAATGTCGCTGCCTCAGCTGGTGCAGCTGGAGGAGGAGTCCAAGCTGGTCAAATGGCAGCAGGAGCCACCCTCGACAAATTCACCTCAGATACCTTACTCTACAAGGATAAAATTCAAGCATTGATGTTTGTTCCATTTAGTGCTTATTCGAATGCCTATGGTCCTTATGGTACCTCTCAACGAGTGTATGGAGGAAGTCCCTATGCTCCCATGGGTGCCTATTATAATACGTATGGATATCCAAGTGCTGTGGGTGCCTATGGAGGAGGAGGAGGAGCCTATGGCGCTCCATATGGTGTCCAAAATTATTATGGTTATTCACCTTATTATTATGGTGGTAATTATTATGCAGCGAAACCTTACTAAGATGGAACGAACACTCTTTGTGGTGTTGTTGTAGTAGCTGTAGTTGAATGGAACGTGTGAACTTTATTAAAGTCCTTTTAGATAGAACAAAAAATCAGTGTTCCTTCCATTTCAAAATTAACTCGTTAATATCGAAAATAATATTTGTGCGATCTTCAAGTTTCGATAAAAAATGTCCAGCTCTCAATCTTGCAATCACGCCCTTACCGTTGAGCCAAATCTCACTTTGGGCCCAACGCATTCCTTCACTCGTAAATCCACTCCTCTCTCCTATTTGAATGATCCAACCAATGGTGGGTACAATTTCATTACTTCCAAATATCATGTCTATGCTTGTGAGAGTAATGGACCTATTCTGAACCGCACCAAATTCACTCCACATCCATTGATCATGTGTTGTTCTGAAGCGTATTCCAAACATTATCCATTGATTCTATCTCCGGATGATATTTGGTTGCTGATCGCACAGGGCTTTGCTCGGCATGTACAGGTTCATTCCGAAAAGTTAAGATCACTTTTCATTTCGGATGCCTCGGAATCAAATTTGAAACAGCAAGATCCATCTGCAAGCTCAAAGATCAATATTGTTGTTTCTATGGATGATAAATTTATTCCTGGCCAGGATGATCAGGAGTCGTCAAAGAAGTTTGAAAATGTGGATTGGACTCGAGTCTTTCAAGAAATTACAACGCATGTACAATCACACCTTCGAAATGGCAATGATAAAAGCACCTCAGATTCCCATTTATTGGACTGTAATTTCTCGACTTCAACCTCCATTGAGAAGAGTGCCTCACAAATTGTGTTCATGAGTGCCATGAAAAACTATTTCAATTACTGGAATGCGTTTTGCTGTGGATTACCCAGTATTACATTATTGGGAACTGTTCGTGATTGGGAAAGCATTAAGGAGAGAACCATTCAATTGGATCAATATGGACTGGAGTTTTGGACAAAAGCATTGATTCCAATTTTGGACAGATTTATTGAGACGGCCAAGGTCAGTGAATCGTCTTCCTGTCTTTCTGAATCACTGAAAAGTTTCTGGAATCGTATTGCGCTGTTCAGTATGAAAAGTGGTTCATGGCGAGTAACTGGTTGGATTTCCTATTTTTTCCCATACACTGAACAGAATGCAATTTCACGAGATTTGTTAGCTTTGAAAGACGATTCTCTCAGCACCTTTTTGGATGATGTTAAATTGTCAGGATGGGGAACCACTGCTGATCAATATCCATCTGGCTTATCGACAGTTCAAGTGCATGTTTTGAACTCTCCAGAAAAGGGAGTCAATTCATTGCAATACGTTGCTGGATTTTTGGGTTACGATTACGATGAGCAGTTGAAAGGAATGAAACCAAGAATTGGATGGGCAATTGGGTCTGAAAAACAAGATGAACAAGTGACTGACGACTGATTCATTAAATATTCCTTGTGTTAGAAAACAAAGCAAGTGTTTTTTTGAATACACATCCACCAAAAAAACCCAGATTCATGCATTAACAAAAACCTTAGTCCTAGCAGGCACTTAGTTTATTGAAGGCTCAATTTCTTGCTGACAATTGTTATGCATGAAGGATTGATTGTCTTCCCATGCGTATTGTCAGCTTTCCTTCTCTTTAAAGTTCACATCTTGCAATCAAGACCACTTACTTGTTCACATCAAAAATGAAGCGAGGTGCCATATGGTTGACCAAAATTTGCTGTTGGCATTATCTATTTTAATTAGTGCATCCAATAGTCCTTGTCGTTGTGAGAGGAGACTTTACCGTGTCATTGTCAGAGGTGGCATCAGCGTTTCTAAAGGATGATGGATTATGAGAGTACTGTTGAACAAATTGTTTCAATTCTTCGTAGAGGAATTTTCGTACAGACTCTGTTTTCATCGATTCATCAAAACGGTAATCAAACTTTGATTCACAAACAATTTCCTCATCACTCACATATTGTTCTCTGATGAAAGACAAATATGGATGATGAAGAGCTTGTTCAGCTGTGATTCTCTTGTCAGGATCCCATTCTAACATTTTGGCGAGCAAATCGAGGGCTTCACTTGATGCGTTAGGGAATAGCGTTTGCCATGATGGTCTTGATTTACGTGGCAGTGACTTCAAGTACTTGACAGCTTTAAACGATCCCTTGATTGAATCTTCGTCAGGAGTTCCCAGCAATTCCAATTGTTTGTCGAGTACATCAAGAGCCGAGCTCCCTTGGAATAAAACTTTCCCAGAGGATAACATTTCTCCCAAAATACATCCAAGTGACCAAATATCCATAGGCTTCATTCCATATTCGTATCCCAAGATGACTTCAGGTGATCGATACCATAGCGAGGCAATGTCATTGGTCGATATTTTAGAGTCAATATCTACGCCTCGACTCAATCCAAAATCGCAATATGCAAGTCTAAAACTCTCATTGACCAAAATATTTTGTGGTTTGATGTCTCTATGAGCAATACCAGAGCTGTGAATAAAAGCGAGGCCTTTCAACATGTGGTACATAAAGTATTTGGTGTTAATGTCAGTAAAATTTTGATTTGATTTGAGAACATCTCTCACTGTACAATCCATAAGTTCAGTGATAATGTACAAATCTCTCAACTCATTTTCAGATCGTGGCACTACTAAATCTTTCAATTGAATAATATTCTCATGTCCGTGTATACTACTATAATGTTTGAGTATTTTCAATTCACGTACAATACGTTTCTGGTAATCCTTATTCTTTTGAAAGACGTTAGAAATCTTCTTGATAGCTACTCGCTCATTGCTTCTTGTATCTATGGCACTTGCTACGACACCATAAGATCCTCGTCCAATAATTTGTAGCAGTTTGTAGTGTTCGGGAATTTCAAACGTTTCTCCCTCAATGATTTGTTGTCTCATTTTTTGGTTGTTGTGTTCGTTGATTGGTTATTATTGCTGAGATTTCAGTTGAGATGGTTGTTGGAAAGAACAAAAACGGCGGCGGTTGTTGTTGCTGTGATGGTTTCGTGGTTATATATAAGGTCTCGTTTTGTACAAATGCGCGTTGAATACGTTAGGTTCAAGGATGGAAGTGGAGTTATTATTTGTTTCGCAATAGAGTTGAATATATCCGCTAGTGAAACAGAAGGACAAGTGTTGTTGTTGTTTTGGTTATTCGTTGAACTCAATGATGAAGAAGGGGGTAAATGATGGGTTTGTTCCAAGAGTATCAAAATAACACTGATGTAGAGCTGCTTGATGATTGGAAAAAGAGCAAGGATATGGCGGTTGACTCACAAAAATTGGTGGGGTAATTGATTCTGCTGTTGTTTTTGTTGTTGTTATTGATTCCTACAAACTGTTGTATTTGCTGTTGATTCTTTTTGTTCTTCTTGATTGGAATGGGTCCAAGTTTAGTCTCACTCTTCCGGGTGGTGATGATGGTTGAGTAATTGGAGTGAAGAAGAACCGAAGAAGAAATATTTTTAGAGCGTGGAATTCGGAACCAAAGAGAATCTGGCTGCTTTTTTTTTTAATTTGGAGTTGTTGCTTCGCATTGTCATTCCGATGAAATGGGAGATGCGACACTTGTTTGAATGGAGTTTTTTGGCAATTGAGTGATGGGTTGTCCACAGCTGTAGACTGCTTTATATGTAGTTTTGGTAGTTTTCTTTGGTTCTTCTTAGAGGTGTGTTTATGGCAATACCAAATGATTGAACGAGATGTGGAATTGTTTAATGATTGTATGTGATGTAAGGTTGACATCATTTCTCTCAAGAACCAAGTTATATAAAAGATTCACACAATCTTTATGAACAGGTTGTTACAAACAACAATATGGTCATTGGAAAGTAATTCATTCCTCACGAATAGCAGAATCATCTTCCTCAGGAGTTGGATCGACAGAGTGCTCCAAAGAGAACACATTTGAATATAAACCAGAAACATAGCTCTTTCCTTCCTGGGTGGTATTCAAATAGCTAAGGCTGTGCTTAATATATGGATACACGGATTTCCAATAAAACTTTGGATAGTTTTTCTTGAGAGCACCCGGGCTGGTATATCCAAGTTTCTGTGCGGTTCCAGTTTCAACAAATTCATAATAAAGAGCCGCAATCTTTTGTAAATAACGAGGGTCACACATTTGTCCACATAAATCTATTGAGGATGGGATTGAACAACAATATCGATTGTGAAATTATGTTTCGTTGTGCCAAAAACTTACCTGCACCTCTCACAATTCCCTATTAGAGTGATCATCTCAAATTACCAATCAAACACACTGAAATGTTACTTACTGGATAACCTTTGGTATCCTTGTGATCCTCGCCACTTATTGTAGTGAAGAAACATGATATAAATTGTCACAAAATTACAATTACAAACTTACTGAGGAACTGGAAAGCGAGTAAGTTCGATGTTTTTCTGAATCTTCTCAACATTGATAATGTTATGATTACTAAAACGTTCAGCAATAAATAATTTTCCACGATCAACATGATATGGTGTTAAAGAAGCGTCAGTTGCATTCTCATCGATTTTCTGAACAATCGTTTCGCACACACAAGTATTGAAAATCAACGTACCACAACCTCATCTCCACGACCAGTAGCATACACTCCTGCCTCCCTGTCGTCATGTCTACAAACGCCCTTAACATAACCTGGGCAGAATATATTGTTATGTGAAACAAATATATTTTCAGTCAGGACTTACCAATGTCGTGACATAACAAGGAAATGATACAATGTAGCCAATCCTCACTCGTAACTCCTCCTTCACGAATATGTTTTCCTCGTAGAATTTCTTGGCCAACCAGAGTCACATGAATGGTATGCTCTGTTTCCATAATTATCCATTTGCATTAACAAATTCAGCATGGATACAGCCATACACGCAAAACATCTGCACACTACCTACCAACCTGATCACACAACGTATTGTAAATGTATTCATAGTTGCAACCGACATTTAGTTATGATTCATTCATTTCAATGTTGTATTTCAATGTTGAATAATCATCAATCGATCATGCAAATAATGTCAATTTAAAATTGACAAATATAATGTCATTATATCCTCCTCTCTGGATCGTGTTACTCACATTATGATACAATGCATCAGAATTGGCGATGATATCTAGAGCCATTCCGGCAGCCCAACAAATAATTTCCTTATAATTCTCGTTCATATGACCATATGTTTTTTCATATCCCTTCCGAAGTTGATCCACAAACGAATCCACCAACAAAGAAGTCACATTAAAGCCCATCTTGAATGTATTTGAACTTGAAAATGTCTGAAGTTGCGCTATTTTTTTAATTGAAAATTTACAAATATTTTGTGTTTGGACAATCCTGATGATCAAGAGATTCAACAATTGCTCCACCATTTATTGACTTTTTATCAAATTACAATAACATCAAGACAGAGTATGGTAAATCCAACAACGCACTATCACTAAGGACTCCTTTCTCAAGAGCCTCAACACTCAAACATTTCGGATCCGAGGAGGATGAAGACAAATGAGAACTCGACAATTCCAAAATCTCTGCACTCAAATATTCCAAGATGGCAGTGAAGGCTGCATACACTTCAAGCACATGAACTTTCTCTTGAAAGGCTTGTGCTTGGAACGAGCAGTGCTTTTCAATGAATGTTTGTATTTGCTGGACTTGAAAATTCAAACCAAGTTCATTCAGTGGAAAGTGTTGGGACGCGTCCAGTGAGCCTTCTTCTGAAGAAGAAGATAACAAACTATTCATCTTGAAACAAGTTTTCAATGCTTCTGCTTGAGCATGCATTTTCAAATCTGGAGGTATACATTGAGAGGTGAGACGATGAATGAAATCGTTCAGTGAGGAATATTGATGATTCTCAGGTGTTTCATCCAAGTGGTCATCCTGATGATGAAAACTTCCCTTCTTGGAATCGATTTGTTCTCGTTTGACCTCTTGCAAGTAATCTTCCACTAATTTCTTCACATGATCATAGTCTTCCAAATCCTTGCGTAATTTAAAAATCTGTTGACCACCGAGTCCATTGAACAGCCAATACAGTAATGTTGTGTGGAGAAAGTTGGACATTTTCAGAGAGGCTTCATCGCTCAAAGTTTTCAAACTAGAAACACTGGATAATACTTTTGAGAGTGAAAAATCAATCGGAAAAGCAAAAGATGAAGCTGGAAGAAGACGAGAAGGTTGTGATGACATTTTGTTTGAACTCGAACTTTCGTTTTCCACATATTATGAGTCTTTTGTAACCGTGTTGCGAACACGCTCGTTTGTTCGCAAAAAGAATCTATTTTGCAATTCCAAAACAAAAAATGGCAAACGAGTCGAGTGCGGATTCTTTGGACGCGTCTACGACGTTAGCTCCTTCGACAACGATCCGAAAAAGACCAATTTTTGTATCGAGAGTAGCGGATGATGATGGTTCGAACAATTCCGAGCAAAACCATCAAGACTCGATTACTGCACGGAATTCGGGTAGAACTGACAAGGATTCAAAAAAGAAGAATCCTTCTTCATCACAACATTCAGCGTCCACAATTGTTGTGAGACTTATTTTCTTTGTATTGCTGTTGAGTGTTTGTGTCTTGGGAATTGTCAAGTATCTTTCAAGAAGGAGTGAAATGAGGAGACAAGCCACTCTATTGAATTCTCATTTGAAAAGACATCATACGGATGATAATACAACGCCTCTGATGGAGAGACACAATGGGTTGACTTTGCCATCCGTATTAGCATCTTCTACTAATGACAAGATTTCATCAAAAAGTGATGATCATGAAATAGCAGAGAATACACTTGTTGATGATCATGCCACTCCCGATGCAATTTCGAACAATATTAAAATTTTGGATGACAGTAAGAGTCACGACGACGAAGAGGACAAAGTTGACGTCATACCGACACCCATGGACGAAAGTACAGACGAATTTAGAAGAAATGCGGTTAAGAATGCATTTCTTCATGCCTGGAGGGGCTACGAAACATATGCATGGGGTCATGACGAAGTTAGACCTCTCACTAACGACGTATGTTTGAATGGTATTCGACAATTCTTTATTAACCATTTTTTACTTGTGGAATGAATGGATGACAATCAAAACAATATTTCACCATTTAAAAGTCAAGAGACAATTTTGGAAACATGGCTGCAACCGTTGTAGATTCTCTTGACACAATGATCATTATGGACCTTCATGAGGAGCTCGCAAAAGCTAGAGAACTTGTTTTATCGTTGAATTTCAATAAGGATCAATGGGTATCTGTTTTTGAAACCACCATTCGTTACATTGGTGTAAGTTGATTGTTGAAAATATTTGAATTGTCACAAATACTAATTTTATACCAATTCACATATTTTCTTTAAACATTGGACGTGATACGTAGGGATTTTTGAGTGCTTTCGATCTCACACAAGATAGCGCCTATTTAAATAAGGCTCTAGAACTCGGAGAAAGATTATTACCTGCATTCCATGCAGATAGCAAGTTTCCTCACACCGAAGTCAATCTTTATAATGGAGCCTTTAAGAATGCAGATTGGCATCGTACAAGTTCTATTCTCAGTGAGGTTGGATCCATTCAATTGGAGTTTAAATATTTGAGTCATCATTCTGGAGATAAGAGATTTTGGCAATTATCTCAAGAAATTATGGACACCTTGGACAAGCAACCAAAGGCTAGAGAAGGTGAGTGTGTTTATTGGCTTTTTCCTTGTTAACATTTTGTTGTGTCAAGGACTTTACCCTGCCTATGTGACAACCGATCGTGGCTTGTTGATGGGAGATCATGTTACTTTAGGAGCTCTCGGTGACTCATTCTTTGAATATTTACTTAAACAATGGCTACTAACAGGAGAAGAACAATTCCATCGAATGTATCGAGAGTTTGTGAAAGGAATGAAAAAGCATCTTCTTGCAAGATCATCACCAAGCAATCTTGTCTACATTGGAGAGCTTAAGAATGGTCAGTTGGATCCAAAATTCGATCACTTGGTTTGCTTTGTGGTATGTACAACCATGCATGACATGAATTTAACATAATTTTCAAATTCCAATTCATTTTTCATCAGCCTGGAATGTTGGCTCTTGGCTCTGTCCAGCGTGGAGCAAATGTTACTCAAGAGGAATTGAATGAAGACTTGGAATTGGCTAAAGAACTCACCCGTACTTGCTACGAAATTTACAACAGACAGCCTACTGGCATTGGATGTGAAATTGTTAATTTTTCAAATTCTACTCATGACTTCAATGTTCAAGCTCCATTTTACATTTTGAGACCAGAGGCTATTGAATCAATATTTATTCTCTATCGAGTTACAAAAGATCCAATGTATAAGGAATGGGGTTGGAACATTTTCAAATCCATCGAGAAGCATTGCAAGGTACGTGTGTGACATTTCTCCATTTGATTTTACATGAACATGATGGTTCTTCCTTAATACCTCAAACCATCGAAATGATTTTACTTACCTTAACACCCTTTTTCAAACCGTATACAATTAACATCTATTTTACAGACTCCAATTGCATTTGCTGGATTGAAAAATGTTCTTGTAGTTGGAGGAATTCAAGACAATGCCATGGAGTCGTATTTCATGTCAGAAACTCTCAAGGTAAGTTGATTGAATGCCACTTTCAAAAACTCTGAACCGCACGCATTATCATTCTCTCATTCTCATAATTGAACCTTAATCAGTATTTGTATTTATTGTTTACTGATCACAAAATTCCGCTGGACAAGTACGTATTCACAACTGAGGCTCATCCACTCTCCCCTTTCCAACATCACTAAACGATTAGAGCATTACAAGATTGATTTAATTGAGAGGATGCATTATTATTATTTTTGATTCTTTTTGGCAATTCAAAATTTTCCTTCTCCATCCCTTTCCTCTTTGAATGTTATCCAACGTTAAACATGCAACTCTTCGATGGACATCCATCAAGAGATTTCTGCGTGGCCACCTCTCACACTAGTAACTTCACCAATATCACAACTTCCAAATCCATCGACGCTTATCCCATCTCCATCTTGAGCGATCTTTTTTCTCGAAATAATCTCATCACTTGCCAATGAATTCGTTCCCTCAATACGAAAGTGAATAAAAAGCGGACGCAATTTTGCTCCAGTGATCCCCGCTAAGGACACCTTCAAAAAATTATTTCCAACTGCTTCTGCGTCTCGCCTGAAGAGTCTTCAGAGAGAAAATCGAATAACTGCGTCTAGACGTTGCAAACTCGTCCACAACCAATAACAACAACAACAGACACGGAACACAGATTTTCCATCATCTAAATTTACAAAAGAAATCGCACTCTTCTTAGAGCCCTCTTTCTACACACAGCATCAACAACTATCGGATTGGAGTTATTTTCTGTGCGCAGTGTGTGGAATTAATAATTATTGTCCAACGCTTTTGTATTTGATTTTCATCATCAGCACGCGGCTCAGTACTTGGCATCAAAGCCTTTCTGCAAGTGAAATCGAATTGATTATTGTCAATATTTATTTGAATCATCAAACCACCAGAATCTTTTCCCGTATTATTCTTTCAGCCAACAACGTTAGATTGATACACCCTAACTTACTGCCATCATCATCAACAATAACTTATAAATCATCAACCATCTCTCTTTCCAACAACAACAACAACAATGAGCGTTATACACGAAGAACTTCACGTATCAGGTTCAAGCCTCCGTGAACAACCAATCGAACAATTTTCAAGCATTGCTTGTGTGCAGGTAAGTTTATCTCTTCGAACAAAACAACATAAACGCTCCGACTCTTACTACAAATAATAATCGTAATACAATTGTTATTTCATCCTCTACGATTTTCCTTGAACAAATAGTGCCGAAAAGGACACAGAAAGTGCGATAAACGCTTACCAAACTGCAGCAATTGCAAGAGACTCGGCAAAGAATGTTCATACAGGTCTCCAAAGAAGAGAGGACCCCAACCAAAGAAGGGTGATAACGAGAACCCACTTGCTCTCCCTGAAATGGGCCACGATCATGACGACGACATGGGCGAAGATGAGCATTCACACACTCAATCACAACAAAGAAAGAGAAAACAAACTGAGCTTCAGCAAGATGATGCAAACAATTTCGATTCTGACTTTGTTACTCCTGGAGCTTCAAGTAACATTTCACCTAATAGTGGTGACACCCATGCTTCTTCTCTTGTACCAACATCGAACGGCCCGATTGATCAATCATCAACGAGACTTTCTGAAGAATACATTAAGAAGCTTTGCTTTGACGTTTATAAGGAAATTGTTGGCGATTGCCTTCCTGTTGCACAAAAAACCAAGATGGACAAACTAATGAACCATTCACTCTCTGGCAACAACATTGTAACAGGTGCTGTAAAGAAGAAGAAGCTTATGAATGAGATTGATGTTCCAGACTTGGCTCTTCTGTATGCATTGCAATCGGTTTGCTTCCAAAGAATTGGTCAACATGATCTTTCAAAACAACTCTATCAACGATCGAGACAGACCGTATCCACAGTTTTTGATAACATTACAGACTTTAATGTTGTTTGTTCGTATGCATACTTGTCAAGCTATTTGGTTGGAGAGGGAGATTTCTTGGGAGCTAAATTCTATCTCAATTCTGTACTCTTCTACCTCGAACAACAAAAGCACAACACAAGCGAATCTGACGCAGCATTCTTGAAGAGCTTAACGACGGTCATTCACTTGGCAATGGAAGAAGACAAGTCTCAAGTTTGTTTCCTTCTGAATCGACTTCTCTCGCTCATCATTACCAAGCATCCAGAACTTAACATTGAAGCATCAGAGAATGGATTTTTAATTTGTGAAGAGGAACTTTCTGAGAAGATGAGAAAATTGGATCTACTGACCAACTCTCTGAGCACGTCATGCACTGACACCTTGTGCTCTTCGAAGAAGGATCTCAGCAAAATTGTGTATCTTATGTATTTGGACACAATGAGAATCAAGGTTTTAGAAAAGCACGGAATGAAAGACTCGATACATGTCAAAGAGGCAGCCGATAGAATTACTTCTCTGACGAGAATTCCAACATTTGAGTTGGCTCCTGTTATTGTTGTGAGGTCTATAGCTGTTGCTGCACGAGTTCACTACAACTTGATGGTTAAGGATCTTTCTGCCTTCCAGGATGACATGTTGGTGAGATCTCTCAGTGATGATTTGAAAGCACTTAAATTGCTTGGTACCAAGTATGAAGTGGTTAAAACTCGTTTCCAACAACTCATTCGTGACATTGAATTGATTTTGGAACAAGCTGAACTGTTTAGACTTCAACGTCACAACTCAACTTCATTTAACGGCCAACCTCAATCCTTTGAGGCAACAGACATCTTCTCCATGATCAACTCCAATCCAAACTTTTATACTCCATACTTGTTCAGTCAAGATGCTCTCGGAAATACTGTCGATCAAAACATTTCGCAGATACTCAACAATGAGCAACAACAAACTCAACCACAACATCCCCATCCACCAACAGACGACATGTTCTTACCTCCATTTGATGCATTTGGAGTCATGGCAGATCATGCCAATCTTGGCAATACCTCCACTCAACAAAATAACCTTGACTTTTTGGACTCTCTTAATGGATTGTTCCAATAGTTTCCTTATGGATTGTGTATTTACGAAGAGCAACATCAACAACCATTTCACTGCTGTATTAGTGTAAATAAACAGAAAGTTAACTTTTAAGTACGCAGTTGCCTCACTGCTATGTATGTATAATGTCCTTATTTCATTCATGACCTTAATGCTGTCGCACACTTTCACACACGGAAAATTTGGAGATCGTCAAGTCCGAAAATGGCCTTCAATTGACAGTCGAATGTTCTAGAAAGCACGGACGCATCCATTTCCAACACAAAACAAAACCTTGCACATTCGTGTCCGTTCTTCCAATTTTCATCATTTCACACTTTCACACACGGACAGCATGCTCTCCCTTTGCATTGCTGGAGCCTCAGTGGCTGGTCTTCTCGTTTGGCATTATCTTTTCAATTATGAACAAGCACGTTTACATTACAATGATCGCATGGAATCATGCAAGGAATTACTCGTGGAAATTCCGATATTAAATTCCGATCCGAATCGATATTCACAAGTCGGAGACTATCAAGTACCTCATCTTGCTTACAAGGTAAATGTCAAAATATTTTTATGTCACTTGTTCAAATATTAATTTTCAAATATTAATTTTCAAATATTAATTTTAACAATCCGTTGTTATAGTATCGTTATCCTTTCATCATTGGTAATTTTTCTCTTCTCCATGATGTCATGCCAAATTTATTTCTTCCAATTCGAAATTTATTATTTCCAAATTTTTCACACTTGCAATTCGAAACAAAATTTTTCTCAGATTTTGATGAAACGTTTGAGGACATTTGTTTAGATTTTTTAAGACCACATGACGCTACTGAAGCTTGCAAGAATTCGCAAGAAGGTCATCTCTCTTCAAAGCCTGTGGTTTTAATATTTCCTGGAATTACTGGAAGTTCAGAATCCTATTACGTTCAATCCTTAATACGAACCATTCAGAAGCAACAACATGTTAACGAATGTCCCTATCATGTTGTTGTGTACAATCGACCTGGTTGTCATTCCCTTCAAAATTCCAAATTGCGAAAACCAAAATTCTTTTTAAATTCACACAAAAAAACAGTCGAACGAGTCATTGAAATTGTTTCACAAGAATTTCCAAATTCAAATCTGTTACTGGTCGGGTATAGTGCCGGTGGAGTTGGAATTACCAAACAATTGGGATCTAAAAAAGTGAAAAAGAATCCTCGAGTGATTGGAGCCATCACAGTATCGCAACCTTTTGATATGTTGGAAACATTGAAAACATTGGAAACGAATAAGGCCTATAACAAGTTTTTAGTGACATTTATTTTGGAAGTATTCAAGAAGAATCGAGAATTGTTGGAAGGTGCCATTCCATCTCTTGATTTACAAAATATGGAACAATGTAAAAGTATTGATGAAATTGATACGAAATTGACAAAACCATTGCATGGTTTACAAGATGTGACTTTGGATTTTTACAATAAGAGATCGACCTTTATGAAACATTTACAGAGAATTTCAGGAGAGAAGGCGTTGCATCGTGTGAAAACCACTCAGAATGAATTGGGAGAAAATGTTTACTATGAAGAAGAAAACGAGAAAGGTGGAAATGGTGCCGCCACGTCTGTGATCTCGAGACATGATCACAATGGCAATGAAAAAACCTATCATGCTCCAGTGTTTATCATGCTCTCGAAGGATGATCAAATTATTGCGTACAATTCAGCCAAGTTGAGCTCTATTGTGCATGCTAAGGGTGCTGAACATTTGTACGTGATTGAGACACAGCATGGAGGACATTGCTCCTTTTTCGAACAATTTTCATGGTGGCTTCCTAGTGCACTGAGCTTCTCCGATACTTTTGCTGACAAGGTTGTCATGCAAACATTGGCAGGAATGGTCAAACACCACCAAAAATTTCAAGCCAAGTTCGACCCAGTCAACAACCAATAAGGCCAAGTGAATTCTCATCTCACAAGTCCATTCTACTAACTTCAATAAATTAAGCTTAATATGCAAGTTATGATGACAATATGTGTTCGCAGTTTATTCAAAATTGTTTAAATGGTGGAGACGCTAGCAGCGGTGTCAACGTTGGAATCAACCACGATTGGGGATGACTTCTTACTAGCAATAAAAGCTTCAACAGCTTTTGGCAACAAGTTATATCCTTCATCCACTCCGGAGCTGTTGTGGTATTATTTCATGAATATTCGAAAAGACAATTGATGTGAATTGACGGCCATCATCATGAAATTTCATTCCGAATAGTAATCATGATTAATATGATTAACACAACAATTTGTAATTTCAAATGAAAATACGTACCAAATTGCGCTCTCTACAAGAGATCCAATTCCCCAAGCGGAGCACACAATTTCAGTTTCCAAAACATGATAACAGCTATTTGCATCAACTTCTTCAATATATTGAAGGGAAGAAATTGATAAATAGTCTCCGTGAACTGGTGGGATAGTAACGCTCTTTAAAGTATGATTTTCTAAATCCTTTTCTTGTTGATCTTCATAGTGGAATTCTGACTGGCCCAAATACCACAACAAAGCGCTAGGAATTTCATAGTCGGGATATACTTTTACTCTTCTCTTGATGATCTTTGGATTATCAGAGGGTAATGTTTCCGGTTCAACCTTCTTAAACTTTAAATATGGAGCAGTAAAGTTATCAAATTCATCCGTGAATACAAGCTTCCAGTATTCTTCTTTACTCAATGGTACGAGCTTCTTGCAAGTATGTTTAGTCATGACGATGATGAGAGTATTTGAGATTTTAAAAAACGAGAGGATGAAGGAGCGGACTAGCGGTGGGTGGTGGTTATTGAAACTCTAGAGGAGCACTGAATGAGAGGAGGAAATGCTGCTGCTACTACTACTACAATTTACTCGGAAGCAAGGTAAGATGAAGAGAGTGCTTTTTTTGTTTGTGCGGCACATTTTAACGGTCTCTTGCCTGTTGGACGTCACATGTCTTGCGACAAAAACACAAATGGGTGATGAATGTTTGGACAATTTGGAAATGGGGTGTGAGGTTAGATAATGTTTCAGGGTTCCCCACAAACTGGCAGATCTGACAACCAAATACAATGTTTAAGTCCAAAACTCTAAAAGGAACAACAGTGTTGACGTCAGGAATAGAAGACTACTATATCCAGAGTGAGGTTGGTATTGAATGAAGCACGTTATAACCTGCTCCAGCAAACAAAAATCTTGAACACTATCATGCCAACTGCGCACTATGTAGGAATTTTGAGAAATCGATTTATCTTCGACTTTTATGTGTGGATATGAGTGAGATCGAAGGGATCGTTTGTGACGCAACTTCGACGAGTGAATCGAGGCAAAAATAGTTTTTAATTACCCTTACTCCGCAAATAATTAATCGCACCAAACACCATCCCCACTGCATTTGAAATTATTTCGATCACTCTTGGAAACTCATATATCAACTCGAAATTTGTAATAATGCTTTCCAATGCGTATTCACAAATGTTTCATTGGGAGCAGTAGAAATTATTCCACAGCATGGAATGTCTTCTCTTGATGTTTGTTGTTTATTGTTGTGGGCTCCTTAAATTGTAAAATTTCTTGGTTTAGAAATTTTGGCATATCTGCCAAGTTGTGGTGTAGCTTCAATGCTTCCTATTAATTAATAAACAGTTACTTTATACAGAACACACAAATAGAAAGATCACTACCATGCCAATGTTATAACCATCCCAAAAGAATGTGGGGAACCCTGTAATGTTTTATGTTCATTTGATGAAACGGATATCACAAGTTGAAGAGAGATGGAAAGGAAGAGAGGGTGGTGCGTAATTTTGAATCTCCAAACCTCCTTTTGCAAGTTTGTTTCCGACATGCTACTTCGAATGAGTTTCGAATGTCTTTCAAATAGCGAATCCTCGAGGACTGAAGGTTCCAATTATCTCATACTACTCGAGTACACAAGTCATTTACGAATCAGTTTACCAAACATTGAAAATTAAGGGATCGCAATAAGCCATTACACGGAAGTTCCTTACTCAGGCCGGATGAGTATACAACAGGGTCTATTCATCCAACTCTTGCAATCCCATAACAGGGCCTACTCATCCAAATCTTGCAATCTCTTCTTCAGCTGTTTGATTTGCTCCAATGATTGAACATAATTGTATTTCAAATCCTCAATTTCTTCAAAGAATTCGGGATCAAAAGCGCTCAACTCGCCTGATGGAACATGAAGCATGATTCATGGTTAACATTGTAGTGTGTCCATAACAAAAACTTACCTTTAAGCTCTTCATTTTCCTTTCGTAACTCTTTAACTTCTTGTAATAATCTGTTCTTTTCCTTGATGACTTCCTCCTTTTCTCGGATAGCTTTTGTCAAATTTAAGGACAAGTCTTGCTGCTTCTTTTCAAAGTATTGTTGAGATTTCAGTTTGGCTGAACTTTTCAATTCTTCCAATTCTAGCTTGGCTTCTTCCACCTCTTTCTTCAAAGCGTCTCTCTCTTCGTTGGCTTGCTCAAGTTCCTTGGTCAGCCTTTTTAATTGATCATTTCTTGTTTGATTTGTGGACTTGGTAGCAGAGTCGACAATTAATTTCGTTTGCTTGAGATCGTCATTTTCCTTTCTTAGATCATCCAGTTGATGTTGAAGAATGCTATTTTCTTGTTGTAGTTTTTCAAGCTTGGAGTTAAGGCCTGGCTCTTTCTTTGATGACTCTTTTTGTGCTTGCAAAGAGTCCCGCTTGGAGAAGGTAAAGTTCTTAAGCTCTGAGTTTTCAATTTTTAGAGATTCAATTTCACTCAGAAGCTTTTCTTTTTCTTTCTTAATTTCATTGATTTCTTCATTGTTGGCGTGAATTTGTTTTTGATATTCCACCCTTGTTTTTTCAACAGCGTGCCTCTTTTCAATATCTTTTTGATTTTCCATTTCCGCCAATTCCTTCTTCAAATTCGTCACTTCTTGTTTGATTTTGTCTCTTTCCTCTTGTAAATCGTTATATTTCTTTAACGCCTTTGTGATTTGTTGAGAATGGCCTTTCTTTTCTTCTATGTGCATTTGTTTTGCTTTCTGAAGTTCTTCGTTCTCCTTTTGTAGCTTTTCAATATCGCTTCTCAGTTTCTTCTTTGCCCTCACATGATCTTGAATTTCTTTCTGAAGGTCCACAATCTTATTGGATTTTTCTTGTCGTATCTTTTTAACTTCATTAAGTTCGGCTGTGAGTTCCTCAATTTTTTTTAACGATTCCTGTTTGTCTTTGAAGATCACGTCATCCTTTTTAGAGAGCTCCTCAATCTTGCTCTTCAGTCTTTGGTTCTCACTTATAAGCATTTTGTGAGTATCTAAATTGACGCTATTCCTCATTTGATCTTCAATTTTTTCTTTTAGCTTTTCTTCTTTTTTGCGCAGCTGCTCAATTTCATACTTGTCGACATTGGTTTTGTGCAATTCAATGGCGGCTATTTTTTCTTCTGCTTTCAAAAGATTCGATGTTAATTTTTGGACTGTGTTCTCTAGTTGCTCCTTTTGTTTGGCCAATTTTTCGAATTTTTGTTGTTGAATTGCAATCTGTTTTTTCAAAGCATGTTCTGAAAGCTGTCGTTTTAATTTCTGACCTTCTTCTTTTGACCTGAATAGTTCTACTTGAATATCTTGAATAGTTTGTTTGTATTCTTCAACTTCCTTATCAAACTTTGTTTTCATTGTGTCAAACTAATGTATCGTGATAGTGTTAGTGGCAACATAAACAATTAGTGATACTTACGGATTTCATTGCTTCATGCAATATCTCATCCTTTTCTCGTAGTTGGGATTCTAACTTGGAGATCTTGTCGTTGAGAGTTTTCATTTCGCTTGTTTTGGCAGAGATCATTTCTTCCACTTCCTCAATGCGGACGCTAAACGGATGAATTGGCAAACTAATGAAATCAAAATATAACGTACCCAGCTTCGTGTGGTGTCTCAGGTTCACCCTGATTTTCAATCTTGTCAATATTCATTTTAAGGTTAGTGAGTACATTATTGTTGTCATTGTTGATTCGTTTTTGCAATCTCAGTATCTCCTGTTGAGCTTCGTACTTGTCTCTCATGTGTTCTTCTCTGATTTGGTTAATTTTGTTTTCATATTCATGAATGGTGGCCTCCTTTTGTTCTAATATTTCATTCAAGTTTTCAATTGTATGTTTCATGTTTTCTGAAAATCTGTTGATAGATTCTAAATCTACCTCATGCTCATGTATCAATTGCTGCTGGTCCAACTTTAAATTTTCAATCACAGCTTCTTTTTCTAAAAGTAACCTCGAGTTGTCAGCAATTGTATCTAGTTTGTCTGTGGCTTCTTTTAGCTTGGCTTCTGTGTATTTGCACCTCTTCTCCAATTTCAGATTTACTCGTTTTAGTTCTTCGGAATGTTCAATTTTTTCTTCCAAATCCCTCTCGAGAAGCTTAATGGTGCTTTTAAATCCTTCGATCATGTGGAAAGCTTTGTTAATTTGACCTTCTCTTTCATTGAGCATGTTTTGTAATTCTGTCAGTTCCGTATCTCTGACTTTCTTGTCTTTGTCAATAACGTTTTTCTCATTGATCTCGCTTTTCAGAATTGACTGCAGTCTAGAGATTTCCTCATTCGCTTTTTGTATTTCTTCGTTCATGATAACCATTCGTTTTTCTGATTCTTTTTTTATCACATCAACAGTATTCTTGAGGATTAAATTCTCGTTTTGGTAATATGTCTGAACTCTTGTTGCCTCATCTAACAGCGCTTGATTGCTGAGCTGTATTGTCTCAATATTTTCCTTGAGCTTGCTTATAATTATTTTGTATTGCTCGTCTCGTTCTTTCATTTGGTTTCTTAATTCCAGAGCTTCATGATTGATTTTTGGAGGTTTGGGTAATTTTATGGTCTGACATGCATTGTCTTGAGTATGCGGCTTGAATGAAAGTTGCGCTTCCAATACCTTGATTTTTTGGTTGAGGTCGTCTATTACTTCTTGAGAGTTATCGGCAACTGTCATTGTTTGGGACTGACTGTGTTTCTTTAGTGTCACATCTGTCTGAGCTTCACATTCTTCCCTTGTAATTTTTGGAATGGATTTGCTTGATGTAGGCCTTGAGGGAATTTCAATGTTGCACTGAATGATCCGGTCTGCTTTGTCAATTTGTACTGAAATGGGGACTTGTCTGTCTATATATTTTACAACCTCTTTTATAACTTCTTTCACTGGGGGCACAACGTCATCTGTTTGTATCATGCGACCTGTTGTTGTCACTTGTTGTGGGGTTGCTTGTGTAAACGCATCTGTTAATTTTCTAGTTAGATATTTCTTTAAATCTTCCTTCATCGGTATACCAAGCTTGTTTCGTAGATACTTATTTTCATCTTCGAACTCTTGGAGACCAGTATAGTACAGGGTTAATTTTACCTTGTATTCTTCAATATCTTTGTCACGAAGCAATATTTGCTCGCGTAGATATCTAATCTCTTTGAGGGCCTCATCAAGCCCATTGACTCCTTTCTCATATTCATGAAGCTTCGCTTTTACCATAGCAAGTTCATTCTCTCGATCCGAGATGGATTTTGTTATTTGTTCAATGGTTTTTGATTTTGATATACTCTCTGCCAAGGTGTTCTCTAATGATTGTGTAAGTTTTTCAATTTGGTTTTGTAAATTGGTGAGCTTTTCTTGTTCAATAGTAATTTTTGTAATCTGTTGATGATTCTCTGAAGACTCATTGTCTCCAACAACAATATTACTCTGTGTTAAGTTGTGATTTTCTTGTCTAAGTTGATCAACTTCATTCTCGAGATTGAAAATTAATTGCTCTTTTTGATAAATTTTATCTTCCATGTCACTTATCCTAGATGTTGTTTCTGAGATTATTGTTTGAAGCTTCTCAGAGTTTTCTCGTTCTTGGTTAAGCTCGACTTCGAGATGAGACACAATTTGTTGAAGGTCCGTCAGTTCAGAATATTTGTTTTCATTCTGTTCTTCAAGTTGCTTTAAGGATTTTTGGGCTGTAGTTGTGATTGATTGTTTTTCTTTTTCCAATTCCATTATTGTTCCAGTGAGTATTGCGATTTCTTCCTCCAATTTTTTAGTCGTTTTACTCATTTCTCGTGTCAATATTTTACTTTCTTGAAGGTCTCTCTCATATCTTTAAAAACATATCATTGCTATACGCCTTGGAAATATAAATGACTTACTCTGCAATTTTTGTAGTTAATTCTTCCGCTTCTTTCGACTTTTTTTCGTTAAGTTTCACTGTATTTCGAAGTTTTTCGTCGAGAGATTTAATTTCGTACAGGAGATTCTGTCTTTCTTCTTGAGCTCTCTCAATTCCTTTTTTACTTTTTAAATTTTGATCCATGTCGTTTTTTAATCTTGTGTCAAGATCCTTGTTTTGAGTGGTTAGCTCTTGAATTTCACTCTGGAGACGTTTTATCGTGTCCTTGGATTCTTTTAAGCTTTTTTCTAAATTTGTAGTTGTCATTGAATTTTGTTCGTGCAATGTTTTTGTTGTTTGGTGATTCCTAATTTCATTTTCTAGATCTTTCTGAACTTTTTTAAAGTTCTTTTCCAAATCAACAATTTCTTCTTCTGCTGATTTTTCTTTGTCCATCATGATTCTACGTGAAGCGGCAAAAAGCATTGTTTAAATGATAAATTTAAAAAATTTTAAAGCAAAATCGTAACAACAAAAAATGATGACATCGCAATAACGTACTCCAGTGATATTTGTGTGACATAGAATAATTTAATTAAATCTTCCAAAGCTGTTCCGTCGTGGATTGGTACTTGCAATTGGATGAGTTTCGGAAAGAACTCTTCAAAGCTTGCTGTTCTATCTTCTTCGATGTGTCCATTGTCCTGGCGGAGTGAAGAACAGCCCAAAATATTTTTCGCGATGTGGCCATTTTTGTTTGCGATGAATGAAATGAACAATCCAGCAATACATACCATCGCCCGTTCACATTGGGCATACAACCGATCAACCAGCTCCCAATAGGTTTCCGTATTGATATCAATGAGTTTAGGCTGTATGACAATGTCTGTTTCGTCTACATGACCCCTTTGAGACATTTTTTATGAGTAATATTCCCGCCAATTCAAGTACAATTTTATTTTTTGAACGATGCTTCCTCTTCAGTTTCTGTGCTTGACTCCTCATAGACAAGTTCAGGTTTCAACTCTGTCTGGGAGAATGATGTGGAACTGCTTGATTTCTGATCCGAGATCGCTTTTGAGGGTGTTGAAAATTCTAATTTTTTCCTGGTTGGTGATGTTGTCGCAGGATTGGCTCGGGCCAAATTGAAGAAATGTCTTGGTGATGGTGTTACATAGGGAGTGAAGATCTTTTCTGTTGTGATTTGCGAGGATGAGTTGTTGAGCAAGCTCTTGTCATCCTTTGAGAGGCTGGACATGAGCAATGACTGCTCCTGCTGCTGTAACAGAATTTCGTTCAGCAATTCCTCTCTACTTTTAACTTTAAACGAGAGACTATGAAGTACATAATTCAAATACTTGGATAGAAGGGGATCCTTGTTCTTGTTAGCGATGTCCCTCAAAAAAGTGTCTGCTCCCAAGTCTACAAACTCCTTCTTGCATGAGGCTGTCATGAAAAGAATTGATCAATTCCACAGCTTGATTCAAGCTAGGACACTTTCAGAATACTTACGATTTTGACATAACCAATAGACGAGACCAACAACAGGTATTTTTACATTCAATTCGTCAGTTTTGGTAATAATTTCTAGTGAAGAATTGCACATATTCAATCGTTTCATGGCAATACAACATTCCTCTCCATCTTGAGCATATAATTGAAGAGCTCTTGCGGCTAACTCCTTGAATCTATTTTCCTTTGTTTTAAGCACTAGAGTGAGGGTTGAAATAATACCACAATCTTGTACCATGCTCTGTCTATGTGAGACTAAAAACAAATACGTTGGCTCTGGATGAACTAAATCATGAAACTTACAAAACATGCTTAAATTATACAATTGCTCTAATGCTTCCAGAGGCTCATCCAAACTATTTTCCAGCCTCTTGATCAAATTTCTTGCCTCCGATTTCACAATAGAAGGAGTTTTTTCAATGAATTTTGAAGTTACTGCTAACATGGTACTTGCAATAGATGAACTGCCGTTGGATGTATCTCCACTCTTTAGAGGAGTTGATGAAACGTTATCTGAAAATAATCCTATTCTATTGCTCGGAGATTCTTTTTGTTGCTTGGATGATGTTGAGGGTGTTTGGAGTACCATTAACTCGCTCAACGTTGATCGTGAGAGTTGTTCAGTTGAGGAATTGAGGTAGTTGTTGAACATTTTTTTGTGTAAGGAAAGCCACATTCCCGCTCTAGTCTTTGGCGCCACAAAATCTACAAAAAAAAAAGAACATGATTTCGGACCGCCTTTCCTCTCATCATCATTATCCCCAAGGAAACAAGAAGGGATCAACGTCGAGCTCTAGAAAAACAACTAGCTCCTCTCCTCCTCGGAATCCAATCATTAATTACGAAGAATTACATGCCGATATAAAACCAGTGTCGACGAATTATTCAAGTCATGCTTACAAACAATCGACGATCAGCGGAGGACAAAAATTAGATCATGGCCGACCAAACTCGGAAAGAAACAATAGGAAGAGTTATACCTTCAGCGTTTCAAATGGCTCATCTTCGAATACAAACAATGACTTTATGGTTCAAGATTTACCTCCCAGCTATGAAACTGCCATTTCTCAAAACAATAACAATAATTTTATGGAATCAAAGAGGAAGGAATATCTCATTCAAAAGTTGAGTCACCTCAAGAAACAAAATTCGACCTCATTGGAACATTTTCAATTCGTTCGAGATGATGTCCGACAAAGTAAAGAGGTCATGGAAAAGCAAATTCTGCAAGCATATGGAGCCATGAAGCTCAAACTTGAATCCTTATTACAAGAATCTTTGAATTGCCTTGCAGATATGGAAGCTGAAATGACTGAACCTCTGGATATGAAAATTGAACAACTGAAACGAAATATGCGAACCATTGACATGACAGAAAACACCCTAGCTCGACAGCCCTTTTCCGAATCAGTCAGAGAAAAAGTAGATGCTTGTCTGAAGACGAACGTTCCTCCCTTTACATCAGATATTGACATTTACAAACTGACAGACATCAATAATTATCCAATGATACGAGTGAGCAACTCGTTTTTGGGAGCAGACGCGTCAAAAAAGAGTCCTATCCCCACTTCAAGGATATCCATGGATATTGATCCTTCGAATAGAGAAAAACGAAACAACACTCTGCATGGTGAATATAATACTTTTCATCCCAACAACCATCGTGTGATGGATGACTGTAAGAATGATTCCCTAAACATTAGTGAATGTACAGATTACGATTATGCTCCTAGATCTTACCCTGAAAGAAGCACAAATTACCCGTCTTCAACCTCTGCAAAGAGGACAATTCAAGATACAGACATTAGAGCTCAAAAGGATCACCCTTTTACTCCTTCTGATTCTGTGATTGGAAGTTATCAACAGCTGGAAGATTTATATTCTCAAACTAAGAACTGTGCCGTATTTAAAGGAACAAACTTTTAATGTATTGCCATAAACAATGCCCTAGATTTTTAACAAAGTTTATTACATTTGAAAAGAGAATGGTTCAATAATTGTCACACCACCTTGCTTTTTGGAGTGAACTTTTGGTCGAAAGACTTCCTCGTACCGCTCCTTTTTCTCTTCCTCAATTCGCTTTGCTCGTTCTCCTCTTTCCAAATGCTTTCCTAGACCTTTAATCACAACAGGAGCTTGGTTTTCAATGGCAGATTTCGATTTACATGATCTAGTTATGGCTGGTTGGAAGGTACACTCCTGCAATTGCTCGCATTCAAGTTCCATCATTACTTTTGCTCGTTTCATTTCCTTCTCCTTCAAATACTTCTCTGGCTCTGTAATTACTGACTGTCTTGGTTTCCCATCTGGAAGATACTTTTCATTGTTGCTCACCAACGTGGGTTGGAAGGGACAATTTTCTTTCTCCATTATTTTATGTGTAAGCTCTTCCTTAAGTTTCTTGCTCCTGGTATTATTCACAAGTTCATCCAATCCAGTTGGAGCTGCAATCACATTTGAAACTTGATTAATTGTTGGAGTGAACGAAAATTTAGAGTAATACTCTTGAGCAATAGCACTCTTGATATGATCGACTCTTTTCTTATCTCTGTTCGTGAGTCGTTCATAAATATCCTCCATCGTGTTTGCTCTACTAATACTCTTTTTACAAATTTCCTCAGAAACTTTGGAAATTGAAGGTTTGAATTCATACTGATCTTTCTCTTTCTTTGAGAGAGCCTCATGTTTTAACTTTTCTTTTGCTTCATATTCTTGTTGACGCTCTAAAAAGGTTTGTTTTGAGTGTTTGGTTTCTGTAATCTTTTTAGAAACTGGGTTAAGGCTCGGTTGAAATGTACATCCTTCCAACTCCTCCTTTTTAACTTCAAAGAATCTTCGCTTAGACTTCTCCTTCTCGAACATGGTTTGTTCATCCTCTGAACCGCTCTTCAAAATTCGACTTGTGAAGGGAATTCGATTCTTCATCATGGCCACGATACGCTTTGATTCCTCGCTTATGGCAGGAGCACTTCGAAGATTCTTTCGTTCTTCCTCATATTGGAGTTGTTTTCGTAATCTTTCCTTCTCCTGTTGTTCCATTTGTATTTCTCCAACTCTCTCAAATAGTGGTTTTCGTGGATTCATCATCAGCATGTCCTCTTCAAAACAAGATAAATCACGAAGATGTTGATGATTTTGGCTGAATCCCGAGGACGTTGATGGTCTGATTTGTTGTTTTGCATGCTCCTCTCGTTCCTTCGTCATCTTTTCCAACCTTTTCATCTTTTCATCGGGAGATTCATTTCCCTTACCTTGTACTTTCCCATTTATTTTGGGATTAAAAGTACATTCCCCCATTTCGTTTTGGTTGCGTTCTTGACGAATCCGATCCAAGTGGTGAGAGGGTTGAACGTTTTTTTTCATTCTTGTTAATCGTAACGTTTTGTTTGAAAATGGCGGGTATCGTTTTTTTCAAAGTGCTTTCAAAAAGAACGAAATTCTTGTGTTATGTTGAGCAATCAGAAAGATCATCATGTCTGGTGTTGTTTCAGAAACTTGTGTTTCTTTGAAGAAATTCGGGATGATTGGATTCCCCTTCGAAATAAATTCATTATTTTTATTGAAATTGATATTGAGCCAAAAACCACTCAAAAAAAATGAGCAAAAACAAAGAAAGAACAGCCACAAAAAAATCATCAGAGGAAGCAGGCTCCTCAGTAAAGCCTGAAGATTTATTTGCAACAGGAACATCATCGGACTCAAACGATGAAATAAACGATGGATTGGTGATGGATGAATCTATTCGGAAAGAAGAGGAACATGAAAATAATGAAACCACAAAAAACTCTGAACCCGATTGGTCCGTTCAATTGAGAAAAGAGGAACAAAAATTGAAGCAACTCATTGCTGATTCGAATTGTGAAATGGACGAGAGTAAAACTCTCACTGTTTTGCAGATTCAGGAATTATACAGCATTGCAAAGAAGGAACACCAGCAAGCACAAACAAATCAAGACTCTGATGAGGGAGAACAGTTTGAAAAGGAATTCGTTGAGAAGGGTACAATTATGGATAAAATTGCAGCTCTTTCATTGCTGGTCCAACAAAAACCAATTTACAGATTGCATTACATTGACGAATTAGTGAAGATTTGTCACCATCCAAAAAATCACAGAGCTGCAGAGTTGGCCGTAAAGACATGTACAGACTTGTTCCAAAACTTACTTCTCACTACGAGACCTTTGTTGAACTTTAAAGAACGAGAGGAGAATGGCTCCTCAATTTCATCCATTTCCATGTCATCTATTTATCAAGCAACACATCATTTTGAACGTTTAAACAACAAGAAAAAGAAGAAGGAAAACATGCAACAGGTAGGACTTGTGTTGGCCTCATGGTATTTTGAAGAACTTTTGAAGAAGAAATATCAAAGTTTTATCAACGATGTTTTAGCTGAGAACATCAAAGAGAAAGCAAACTCACTTGATGTTGTGGTCATTAGAACAATGAGAAATATTCGCGACTTGATAAAACGAAGCCCTGAACGAAGAGACACCTTACTCACTCTTCTAATCACGAAATTTGCAGATCCTAAAAATTCCATCAATGCAAGAGCTCTCTACTACTTGACTGCTCTTGTGAACTCACGAGTGGAGAACAATCCTCATTACGTCCCAAGTCTAGACAAGATGTATTTATGCAAAGGTGTTTGCGAATTTTTACTCAATGCCAAGATGGATCCATCCAAGAGAGCATTTGCTGCCTCATTTCTCACGAACATGACCTATACTCCAGATCACGACAATCACATTGCAGAATTTGTTTTGAAGAGTTGTGTGGATGTTTTGAAGAAGGAATATGGAGATCTTATTTCTACTCAGAAAAAGAAGAAGAAAGAAGAAAAGAAACACACTCAATTGACAAACTCCTCATTCCTTGGCTCATTGCTCTCTGGCATGTTTAAGAGTTTAAAACATTGTAGAACAGCATTCATAGCGGACGCAGAAACTTTGGATTTACTGTTCAAGATTGCTAGAATTACTCCTCTCGTGACATCTGTGAACGCATGCAAGCTTATTTATGCCATTGCATTCATTTCCAATGACGAGAAAGTGCTAACTCGATTCTACACCTTACTCTACGACAAGCTACTTGACGAGGGACACACAGGTTCGAAAGTGCAAACTTTACTTCTTGTGGTTTATGAAACAGTTCGTGAGGATATTAATATTAAGCGAGTTGGTGCATTTTGTAAGAGATTATTACAAAGTTGTTTCACATGCTACAACCCTGGATACACAGCAGCTGTGCTTATGGTCATTGACCAAATTCTAAAGGTCAAGCCTGGTATTTATCTCAGCATGCTTCAACAAAAGAACTTTTTAACTAAAGATTCCAATGCAAAGTCAAGAAATGAGTCTGCCGAAGAAGATGATGAGGAAGAAGCATTCCAAGACATTGACGATGAAGATACAATGAAGCAAGAAGAGGAAAAACCTAAAGAAACAATCGTTCTTTCCAAAGATAATTCTGTGAAAATTGTTGACAATGAAATTGTGATTGAAGGGTTCACAAATAACAACAAGAAATCTACAACCACTTCATCCACAACTTCTTCGAAAGATAAGCAAGACGAAAAGAAAAAGACTATACCATCACAGAAAGCTAGAGGCACTAATCCTTTCACCGAATTTTCAGAATACGATCCAACCACACCAAAACCTGAAGCAGCTAATGCTCTCTCTTCAGGATTGTGGGAACTAGATCTTATCAAGCATCATTTCCATCCTAGCGTGTGTGAATTTGTGGACAGTTTAGTTTCTCGTTCTGGCCAACCTTTGTACAAAGGCAATCCGATTATTGATTTTTCAACAACAGCATTCATTGACAAGTTAATGTTCAAGCCATTCTCAAAGAAAGCCATGAAAGAAAAGGGTTCTGGCCTCTTCTCGAAATCTAAATCAGCATTGGCAGCTGAAAAATTGATCCGAGGTACCTCTACCATCAATTCTAAGGAATTCGCAGAGTTGCCAGAGGAGTTAGTTAAGAGTGACGAGCGATTCTTCCACAAATTTATGGTTGAAAAATTCAAACGAAAAGACGAAGTTGAAAAAGAAAGAGAATCACGAGAGGAAAGAAGAAAAGAAGCCAAAGCAAGAGAAGAAGAATTTCTTAATGCGATGGATGAAGATTTCGGCTCAGACAACGACCCATTCGATGAATTGGATGACGATGCAGTGATGGACCTTTTGGAACAAGCTGAAGAAAACGCAGAAGAAGACGAAATCGTTCCAGCAGGATCAAAGGGTGACAGTGGTTATGGTTTTGATGTCACAAGCGTCTCGGAAAAACCATCTCAAGATGAAGTTGCAGAGTTATTAGAAGAGGATGAGGATGAATTATTAGAACAAGAAAAACAAGAGCTTAAAGAAGAGAAAAACCCTTCCTCAAAGAAACGAAAACAAAAACCAGTTGCAACCAAGTCAGGACATCATCAACCACAAAGTAAGAAAGTCAAGCGAAAGAAATAAAACCACCTACGGAGTGCTAAATTCTAACTAGGAGTTCATGTTCAAAATAATGAAGCACAACTATCTCACATGATCATTCCTTTGTTCACCGTTGAAGCCAAATGAACAATTACAGCAATTTCTTTCAAAAACCATCACTAAAACACAGTCCTGAGGACGCAAGGTTTATTAATAACCTTGTTTGTTTTGGAGGTTTTGTTTTTATTAACGGTTTTAAGTTGCTCAGCACTAAAATAAAAGAGCAAAAGCCACAATTTATTACAAATTCAACAAGTCAATATAATCATCAACAGTCAGTTCCTGACGAACCATTCATTCATTCTTTGAATCAAAAGTGTTGTTTTGGAGGTGGATAAGGAATTGTCAAGGCGTTCACTTTTCCATGATCAGTTTGGACGAAAAGAATGAATCAAGTTATTCAAATTGATAGAGTTTCAATTCAATGAGTCCTTCAATACTGATAGAGTTTCAACTCTTGTTGAGGTTATCAAAAAAAAACTCAACAACAACCTTAACCTCAAACAATGAAGAGAAGTAGAGAGGATGAACCTACTCATCCTCCTACTAATCCATCTCTTGCACACGGCATCATTCCATTCTGGGATGAGTACTCATAACAAGTATCGGATAAACTTTGGGCATGTTCAAGAGATTCCTTTCATGAGTTTAATCAATACAACAACAAGGGATGCACTGACGGATGGTTCAACTTTTCTCAATTCACTGTGATTGAATCCCAGCCAGTGTTTGATGTTCCACTCAATGTTCATCACTCTATAACAGAGAATGTGGCTTTTGATAACTCTAAAAAGCCACCTCAGCTCAAGAAAGCAAAAAAGAATCAAAAGGTGGCCCAAAAATTTCAAGCAGACAAATCCTTGAAAATTCGTCTCTACCCCAATGAACAAGAAAGGACAACATTGAATCAGTGGATGGGAACTGCTCGTTGGATCTACAACAAGTGTTTAGAATTCACCAACAAATCCAAAGGTGTCAAGAAAAATAAGAAGAATTTCAGAACGTTTGTGGTGAACAACGATAATTATCAGACAGAAAATCAGTGGGTTGTAAATACTCCTTATGACGTAAGAGATGCTGCCGCTATTGAATTGTTGACTGCGTTCAACACTAATTTTGAAAAGAAGAAGGCTGGAACGATTGACAAGTTCATGATCCATTTCAGGCGAAAAAAAGATAGAAAAGATCATTTCATTCTCCATTGCAAGCACTGGAAATCAAAGAAAGGACAATATTCATTTATTAGGAACATCAAGAGCGCCGAACCTTTGCCTGAGGAGCTTCAGTACGATTCCATCATTATTAAGAACAAGTTGAACCATTATTATTTATGTATTCCACAAGTACTGGATATTAGGGGTGAGAATCAAGCCCCTCAACATTCAGGACAAGTTGTAGCATTGGATCCAGGAGTAAGAACATTTCAGACCACCTTTGATTTGAATGGTTATTCAACCAAATGGGGCTCAGGAGGTGCCTAAAGAATTGGTAGATTGTGTTGCGCGTATGACAAGTTACAATCGAAGTGATCTCAACCAGAAGTCAGACATTGCAAAAGATACAAGTACAAGAGAGCAGGAAGAAGAATTCAACAAAAGATTAGAAATATCGTGGATGATTTACACAAGAAACTGTGTTTGTGGTTGTGTCGAAACTACCAAGTGATCTTACTTCCTTCGTTTGAGACTCAGAAAATGGTAAAGAAACTCCATAGGAGAATTAATAGCAAGACAGCAAGAAAAATGTTGACTTGGTCACATTACAGATTCAAGCAAAGATTGCTTCACAAAGCTAGAGAGCATCCGTGGACACACATTTATATTGTCAACGAAGCGTACACATCCAAAACTTGCTCATGTTGTGGACATGTTTATACGGTTGGATCATCTGAAGTGTTTCGTTGTCCATCATGTGGCTCAATTTTTGACAGAGATATCAATGGAGCCAGAAATATTCTTCTTCGATTCCTTACTACTCATAGAATTAGTTTTTGAGCACCTTGTGTGTTGGGTCTTCCCCACCTTGTGTGCGTTGGGTCCTTTCCCCTGGCTTTCACTCTTTGAGTGTTTGCTTGCAAGATCAGCACTTTGTTCGATTTGTTTGTTTTGTTCAAATTGTTGATTTAAATAAAGGCGTAAAATCGAACAAAACAAAATGAGTCAACCACCTCGTCCTAGCAATATCAGCCACACACTTCCTCCCGAGATTATTTGCGAGGTGATGGTGTATGCTCTGGATCCTCATGCTCTCATCAGCAGTATCAGCAGAATGCGGCATGTCAGTCGTTCTTGGTTCGGAGTAACAGAGAGTCGAGTGTTTTGGCAACTTGTGGTCGAGGCTTGCCGACCTCCCCGACCTAATAAACGAGATTGCTCTTCCAATGAATGTAAGATCATCACCACGGTGAAGGAGGATGATGCGTTGGGTGAGGTTGAACAAGAGAATGTTCTTGAACAAGATGAAATGGAAGAGGCTCTTGATGATGATGATGCCATACTTGTAGATATTTACAACGAAGAAGAGGATATCCTTGATGAGAATGATGATAATCGTTGGGAAGATTTAGAGGAAGCTCTTCCTGGTACCAGTTCACTGTTGGAAACATTATCCGAGAGTTATTCCAATCCAACTGATTCCGAAGAAGATTGCAATTCCTACAACAGTTTTCATGGACACTTTTTCAAGACTCATGAATTCATCGATACATTGTTACATCAAACTCAATTCAACAAGTTTTACTTTTTGAACGATCAGCACCAACAGCATCCACAACAAATGGATGGATTTTTAGGATTCCGAATGTTCCTTGATGACAAATCTTATATGGATCCAACACCTCATGATGATGATCCTTCCTTGTTCTTGCCCAAAGCAGATCCAGCCAACAACCATCACGAAACTGTGTGCTCTCTGTTTCATGAAAAAGTGGTGTCTTGGATTGATGCATTTGGCATGCATGACCATGGAGAGAATGTATTGTTGAAGGCCTTGTTGGAAATTTCACTGGGACATGAAACCATTGAGTATTTGGGAATGAGGAATATGGGAACTTGTGTTCAGGCGTTTTTTCACAAACTCTTCGAACCTGCCATGTTGTTGGTAAGAGAATGGTTTCAAATCTCTCCTAACAACAGCAAGCCAAAAGAAATTAATCCTTTCACGGCCATTCGTGACACACCGCACACAAGTACACAAGAGCTCTTTTTCAACAAGAATTTACTTCAATTTTTAAAAGATAATAATTCGCATCAGAAAGAACAATCCATATTTAAGCAAGACATTGGAGGTGCATGGAATGATCACGATTCTTTTTATCATGTCATTCCAAGGCAATATCTGTTATTCATGATTGAACATTTTACGAATATGAATGTTGTGGTAAATCGAGAAGGTGACACACAAGATGTTGTGACATTTGTCATGGAACAATTATATCAGTGTGGACTTCATGTTGAGAATGTGATTTTTCATGACTTGTCTCTTCATTTGAGAAATTTCGAGAGAACAGAAGCACTTCGACGAATTATTCCTCCAATGTCAAGTGGTTTTTACTTGCAACATTTGGCAGTTTGGACTCAAAATCTTTCATTGCTTCATTGGTGCCTGACTGTGAACAATAAGGATTGTCATGCAAAAATTGTGGACGTATTGACACCAAAAGCGTCATTTTCTGACATGATTCCAAGGTCTTTGACATTCCAGTCTTACCTTAGAACATGTTTACAGGATTCGTGTGGACTCACAATTCTTCATTACGCTGTTGCAATGAGAAGTTTAGAATTTGTTAGAGTATTATTGAACCATTATTTCTGCCATCCATTCATCATGTCTAATTTCAAAGAATCACCCCTTTCTTTGGCTTACAAAATCAGTACTCATCACGTTGGAAAAACCAAAAACAATGTTGAGCAAGCAATGTTAGATCTTTTCACACAACGTTATCAATTACCTGAAACTTGCTTAACAGAGACTGAAACAAATGTTACTTCATGTCCTAAACTCAACGACGATGAAAAGTTAATCACACAACGACAGGAAGTTGATTCATGGTACAATATCAGTACAGGAGAATGGCAAGAACGTGAAGACGATTTAGAACTCAATGTCAACAAAGTCGTAGAAAAACACGGTGAACTAAAGTCCACAGAATTTAGTAGTAGTGACGACGAGGAGAATTGCTATTACGAATCCGATGAATTTGAGTATGAAGAATGTATTTCATTGGACTGGATGAAAAAACAAATCAAAAATTTCTCTTCACAAACATTTCAAAAAGATACCTGCAGTGGTGATCACAACGTAGAACTCGATCACAACGAGTCTGAACAATGTCATTCAGATGAAAATGAAGCATCATTGACTGGACATGACCCAAATTCCTTGAAAAGAAAACGACATGATCCTGTGTATCGAGAATTTGGTCCAATGGAAGATTTCACCGAATATTTTGAAGAATTGATATCAAATTTTGAGCAAGTTGAAAAAGAAGAAGAATCTTCTGATTTTTATCCAACTTGTCGTGTTAAAATTTTAGAACGAACATTTGACAGCAACAAAAAACAGAAACTTTCTGATCCGAACGTGTTGATCAACAGAGGAAACTACTGTATCATTCCAAAAAGACCGTTCAATAGATGTGTCAATGAAATTGGACAGTATTATAGAGCTGAATTATTATTCATGCCACATGCTAAAATGATGCTTCAACAACATACTGAATCTGTAACTAGGAGAGTGTTTGAACTTGCTTCACACATTTCTCTGTTTATGGGTTATGATCATGTCACGACAGAATTTGTGTTGGCAGCCAATATGATTTTATCTCAACACTCTGTTCCATCACAACGAATGGGGCATGTAGTTGAGATGCATTTGAAAGAAGTGAGTGAAGGAAACCATGTCAGCAAGCACCTCCATGACATGATTGCAAGTTATGACATGGATCTGTTGACATTGATAACAATGGAAGATGATGTTGAGGGCACGATTCCCGATGATGACTACGATAGTTCAATATCGACATGTTCCGACGATAGCTGTACCTCCATTACTGCACTTTGTTTTGCGTTAGATAGAGCAGAAGGCTTTAACGACAGTTACTCTGTGTATGCAGACAATCCCACGAAGCAAAAGCAATACGCACCATTTATTAAGAAGTTTACAGGAAGTGATGGTTATGAAAGAAGTGCGCAAGTTGAGGTTCATAGAAACTCGTTGAGCCTGTATGTGCACACCAATGAGAGAGACTTGGCTGTACTGTGGGCTGATGGTCATTTGGATGACTGTATCGAACACCAAAGAAACAATCCTGGTTTGTCTTTGAAATAACAAGGTTTTCTTTAATGGTAGTTGACAGATTTTCATCAAAGAACAAACACTAGTTGATTCATCAATTCAGTAATCGTTCACATTTCTCTCTCAAAGCTTCAGAATTATAGAGTTGTGAAATATTGTACAGGTTGACGAGAAATTCCTTATTGCACTGTTGGCTCTTTTCGTTGAGCTGTTGAACGATTTGTTGTTCAGCAAACTTCTTCAAGCCGTAAAGTAAAAATAAATCTGATGCTATTAAGCACTCAATAAATGTTTCAGGAATCAATGGATGGCTTGATAATTTCGTTTGAATTTCTGAAACGTTTCGCTTTTGTGTATCATTGTTTGCAGAATGTGGATTATTCAAGTCTGAAGCGAGTGACTTGAGAACGTTTTGGCCACAATAAATAAATCTCAACACTAAAAAGAGTGTTGAATAGGAAAAGTTTGGAATTTCGATCGTTTTCAAAGAGCAATCAATCACACTATCCATGGTTGATAATTCTGCTACATCCATGCCTTCCACAATGGGCAAGCATTTGGGCATACATTCGTATTTGAATACTTTCCTCAAATATTCACTTCTTGCTGCTAAAATACACCGATGAGTGAAAATTCCTCCTCGTTCTTGTGTTGGTGTGAGCACTTGGTTCACAAACTTTTTGGTATAATCATTGTCACTGTTGCAAATTTCCAAATCAATAGCTCCCAATGCATTGCCCTCGGTTTGAATAATCACATCAGCTTCATTCTCTTTGTGATATAATTCTTCTGAGATGGACGTGAAAAGTGCAGTCATGTCTTGTTCGAGTCCACCTGTTTGAATCGCATGTCTTCGAATCTTGTCTCTTTTCGAAAACAATACTTCTTCTTCTTCCCTACTACGATTCCTTTTGTTGATGAGCTCCCATTCATCTTTCACTAATTGCTCGTCAAAGTCGTCGAATAGACTTTCTTCCTCTTGATTTCTTTCTGAAGAACGATTGGAATTGGAATGGCCCATGTTGATCGAGTTTAAAATAGCTTCCTTTGTGGATTCATTCTTTAGAGAATCGATCAAGCTTAATAAACCTTGTTCCTTCAACATGTTGTCTACAGAAAATACTCGAATTGGATCGTCTTCATCCTTCGTTTGATGTTTTGTGTGAATTTGTTGTTCATCAAATTCTTTTCGTAAAATTTCAATGTCTTTGGAAGTGATTAGTAAGGAATCTGTGTACACAATTTGCAGGAATTTCAGTAAGGCAAATCTTGAAATGTTTTGATCTTTCTTTAGAATGTAAAATCCAAGCGCACGATTACTTTTTTGATCATCAGAATGTTGATTCTCAAAATTCCATTTCACAAAAAACTTTTCAAGGAAATCTTGTGTTCGTGCTTGAAGTATGATACCATGTAAATGAATATCAAAATCATTCATATGAATAAAGTATTGTGGATTGGTATTCGTTCGTACAAATTCATCAAATGCTTCCTGAGTCCACTTCTCTAGAGGTAGGTCAATGCTCGTTCCCAAAAACAAGTCACAACTCTGCAATCCAAAGGTATCCACCTCTTCGTTTGAAAATTCATCTTTTTCATTGGCTTCATCAAACAAGGCTCTATTGGCAGATTTTAACAATTCTGCAAAATCTGCAGAAAGTGACAAGCCAGACGACAAGAGTTCCATCACGTCATTCATGTGAACAATAGAACTCTCCACAGCTGAGTTGTAATTCATTTTGAGTTTGTAAAACTTTTTGTTTTCCTTCTCGGATGTCTGTTCTGCAAGGATATTCTCATCAGCTGAAATGGCACATAATTGTTGAATCACTCTCCAAATAGAATACAAAATTCCAGTCGACAACATGACCTTTCTTGCTTTTGTATGTTCAGCCATCTTGTACAAGATGAAAGAAAAATCACTCAAAATCTCTTCATAGAGTTTCCACATCGTTTCATTCGTTTCATTCTTGGCTCCCTTAAACATGTACGTGGAGAGTTGATTAAATAACAAACACAAGGTTTTCAATCCTCCGCACAAATACATTTCATTCTTGTTGGGTTTCATGAAGATTCGGTTGGAAATACGATGAAGTAAATCTCGTAACTGATCCATGATTGGGAATTGATCTGATGATAAGAGATCTACTCTATGCAAAGTACTGAGATCATCTTTCAATAGACTCATAATATGGCACTTGTATTCCATGTCAGTGAGAGGACTACTTTCTGGAACGTTGAGAGGATAGGGTTTAAATTCTTTTTTACCCCGATTCGGTTTTTGAGAGGATGATGAATGAGCAGCGAGATGCTTCTTATTGGATGAATGGTTTCTTTGTTTTTGTTGTGGCAGTCGTTTGGTTGATGATGAGGAGGATGAGGCTGATGATTGAGCTTCGGCTCTTCGTTCCTCTCCTTTTACGACCTGCATAATTTTCTGCAAGAGTTCTTTCTTCATATTGCGACGTGTTGTTGGTCAGGAGAAGAGATTTGAAATTTTTGTTGTCAGGAGCTTTCACGTTGTTTTTGCACAAGCATTCATTCGATCAAGTTCAAGCTTGAAAACGAAGAAGATTGGTGTTAAATTTCTTCTCATCAAATAAAATTTGTGATTTTACAAAAATGACATCATCATCCTCGGAAAGTACCAATCAACCAGTGACAGCCCTGACGTATCGTGGAACTACTCTTGAATATGTGCAAGATTGTTTCCGATATTACAAAACGTTGGCAGAACGAAAATTCAACAATACTAAACACTTTGTGGTTACCTATCCGACCGTTTCCATATCATTTTCAATTCTCTTCCTAAGTCTGGGTTCTCTGTACTTCCGAACACAACGGCAGATGAAATTGGCTCATAAAAAACTTGTGGATAATTTGGAGAATGTAAAGAAACAACGTGTGTATGATTTGGTGAAGGAGGCTAATGAAATTAAACGATTGGGAAAATAATTTTGTAATTTGGATTTTATCAGAACACGCACATTCAAAATTTTTCGATAATTCCAAAACCTTTCATTATCGTATGTCTCTAATATAACAACATTCAATTAGATTGGATATTTCATACCTTTGATTCCGCAGCGGTCTAAGTTAATTTTGCAATTTTCAGTATTTGAATAAATCACTGCACGTGATCCAAAAGAAAACGATGTTTAAAATTATTGAATTCTCTTGATATGGAAAACAGTTCAGTGCATGCGAGTCTCTTGCAATAAAACACTAGAGACACATGCTTGGGAGAGTCGTCTGAGTTAGTACTTTTGTGGTTGAATTGAGTGTAAGCTATGAGCTCCAAATTGGATGCAATTCGATAGAGTCTTTGAGCTTTAGAAATTCCTACATCTTGCATTGATTGTACCGCTTTAAAGTTTTCCTCGTCCTGATTTCTGAGACAATTTAGGGCGTAGCATCTGGCACATGCTACTAAAAGAAAGGCCAAATCTATAGGATGTAGTATGGAATTTTGGAGTGTATTGCTCTTTTTCTTGTTGTTGATGAGGGTGGATGTTGGTGAGGTTGATATTTTGTCGTCCAATAATTGTTTGTAATCAATTCCGTACCATTCTAACAACGATTTGTACACAAAATTTTCAATGAATTGTAGGTTATGATCGAGTAGTGTACTATTATTTGGACAATGACTTAAGAAATGCAAATAGTAGTTCCAATATTTAAATAGGGAGTAATAAGGGCTTTGTGGTAGATTGGAACTCTGTTTTGGACTAACAACATTTGTAGTATTTGGAACTGAAATGTCTTCATGAATATAAAGTTCAATACATTGTTTCATATGAGAGTTCATCTTTTCAAAAATTTCTTCGTCGAGATTCCATTTGGCTACTTGATTTGAGCATCCATGAATCGCAGCCAATAATTGTGAGTAATTGAAATGTGCTTCTGCATTGAAGGGAAATATCTCTTCACAACAGGTCACAAGAACTTTCTCAGCATGTGAAAATTCGTACAAGTGAAAAAGAATCCATGAGTAGAGCACTAGAGGTTGAATTCGAATATGTTGAGGTGTTTCTGTTAGAGACTTGGAGATATGTATTAAAAATTTGTTTGGATTCTCCTCGTTTTCGATCATATTTGTACCATTTAACATTATATTGATGCAGTTATCGCATAGCAGTAAAGCTGTGTCATATTCTTGCAACAAAAATCGACACAAACTTTCTAAATAAATTAAAACGTAATCAGGTTTTGTTTTCAGTCTCACCTTGATATGTTGAATTTGTTCAAGCACAGTTTCATAATTGCCTTTCAACAAATTGATGTACACAGAAATCACATATCCCATCGATGTTTCTTGTATTTGCGTAAATGTAAAGTGTTGTATTTTAGAAATTAATCCTTCAGCAGATGCTTGTGTTTCATTCTCAGAAATTTCTGGAATATTCAAGTGAAATAATGAGAATTGGAAATCATTTGGCTGAGTTTTAACCTGCGCCAAATCTAAAGGTAAAGGTAAATAAATTCCGAAATGATCAAAAAGTCGAACAAATGGGCCTGTTCCATCAGAAACGTCTTCGTTGGCATTATTATCATTTTCATTCGGAATAACTTGTTTGGAATCTTGTTTGAATAATTGTTTTGCATGCTGCAGTAACAACAATTTTTCGTCTCGGGAACTATTCCTAACAACTTGATGTTGGTCTTGAATATGAATTGAATTAAATCTCAGGACATCCATTGATTTTTCAACAATGGTTGAAGAATTCCGATCGCTACTCAAATGTCGTATGAGATGTTCAAGTCTTCTTTGTGTTGTGGATTGTTGATACCCAAAATTCTTCATTTTTTTCTTGTTGAAGGGAATACACTCTAAAATTACCATAATCTGGTTGAAATGATCAATATTTACTCCTTACTACCAGCATGTTTGACAAGAACTTGTAACACCTTTTGAGAGACGCTTGTTGGACAACAAAACATAATGTAATCATTGGCAGTTCGATGACCATTGAAAAAAACACTCTCACCATTCTTCCTTAACAAACACCCACCGGCTTCTTCCAAAATTACAGAAGGAGCAGCACTGTCCCAATAACTGCTCTTACAACTTGTGTTGAAATATAAATCTCCATTGCCTGCAACAAGGTGACAGACTTTTCTTCCAAAACTTCCACATGGAACTCTATTTTGAACACCTAGCTCATTGAGGATATTTTCAGTCATTTGATCATAATTAGATCTAGAAATCAAACATTTGGCAGTTGATAAATCTTGAGGATTAAATTGATTGCATTGTACCTTAGATAAACTTTGCTTATTTCTTATCACAAATGTACCATGTCCTTTGATAGCATAAAACATTTCATCTTGAGCTGCACAGTAAATACATCCCATGACAGGTCTTCCATCTTTACAGAGTCCAATCATGACAGCCCATTCTCCATTGTTGGAAATAAAATCTCTAGTGCCATCAATGGGGTCCACATAAAAGACAAGACCTTCGGAGAGATCCTTATTTTCATTGTCCTTGTTTTTAGTACTCACACCTTCTTCTCCAATAATTCTGATATTATTGTCGGATTGAATGAAATGATTTTCAAGCTGGCCAATGAGAAAGGCATTGACTTTCTTGTCAACCATGGTTACTGCGTGTCAAAGTTGTGACCATCATCCAGTTGATTGAAAAATTGACATATTGAATCATATTATCAATTATGTATTACATATTAATCAAATAAAAAACAAAAATTACCTGGTGTATCATCTTGTTTAATTTCAATTTCCAAACTAGGAGAATTCATTCTGTCAATACAAAAATTATTAGCCATTTCTCCAGCCTGATAGGCCATTACTAGACACTTTGAAAGTGTTTCATCATATTCCGATCCAAATGGTTTCACCAATTCGTTCACCAATCTTTCGTAATCCATCGAAAAGGTCGTGGAAAGTTGCGACATTTTTTTCTGTGTGACCTCACGAGATAATTTCTTTGAAGGATCAAAAGCAGCATCAAACAAGTGCAAACTGTCCATGTTCGATTAAATCTCTGAATAAGTAAGAGTATCTTTTTCAAAACTCACTCAATGTGTTCATGTTTATTATTCTTATAAATGTTTTTTGTTAAAAAACTCTCCACAGGCATCGTTAACTGCTCCACACCTACAAATCTGTATGAATGAAAAACAAAAGGAGACCACTTATTCTGATCATGCCTTACAGAGAAATTCATCTATATACATGCGTTAAATATTGTGCACAAACATGAACCATGTTGACTCATTGTAGAGACAACAATTTAGTGCTCTTCCTCGAAGCTTACTTGGCAATGACTGCACCACCTCCAACAACACCACCTCCAGCCACAAATCCAGTAGCAACTGGACCACCAACAAAACCTGGAGCACCAACGAAACCAGGAGCACCCAAGTATCCATCAATTGGAGGAACGAATGGAGGAACACCAACTGGGGGAACACCTACTGGAGGAACACCAACGGGAGGAAGGTATGGAGGAACACCAACTGGAGGAAGGTATGGAGCACCATAGAATGGAGCACCATATCCACCATATCCACCATAGTATGGCAATGCAGGAGGAGCATAAGCTTGATAATATTGATTAGCATATTGATTACCATAGGAACTTGGACCCACATAGTTGGAAGCATAGCTGGCATACGGGTTCGAATTCACAGAGTTCACTTGATTGTTGTAAGCCTGTGTGTTTTGAGCGTATTGGTTGTAGTTACCACCTTGGACACCATAATTTTGTCCAGCACCTCCTTGATAGCCGTAAGCAGCTGCATTATTCAAAGCATTGGTTACACCTCCAAAGCCATAGACAGGTGGTGGAGCATAAATATCGACCCCCTTGACTTCACCACCAGCCAAAACTGCTGCAATGGAACAGAGAGTCACAATGAGACCCAATATCAATCCAGAGGAAAGTTTCATTCTCTTGAATTTGCTTTGTTACTCTTGTTTTGTTTTTTTGTTGTTTGGAAGGAAGGTGAGCCCAAATGCTGGCAAGATTTATAGCGCTTGAATAGAGGGGGATTTTCTGAGAGCTAATTCCTTGATTCTTGCTGCGGGTGCACACACAGAGTTTGGTGCATTGATGTCTTTTTGTACAATGCTTGGAGATGGACATGATCTAGAAAAGATTCATTTTCAAATCATGGTGATGACTAAAAATGAACGAGTGGAATTGTTCCAAAAACGGAGTGACAGATCACAAACCATTCTCCTCAAGATATGTATTCTATCCCTTTGGAGTCAATGTGCTGATATTAGTATGGTGCACTACAATTGATTGTAATGGCAATTATTGAACCATGAAGTACTGATCTGTTTCGTTTTCAGACACCTTCATGGTTGATGACACCAACAAGTTTGAAATACTGTCCAGGTGTGTGTGGATCAGTTCTTGACGTTCGGCGATGCTTATAGAAGGACAATCACGTATCTTCTTTCGGCAACTAGAAAGTATGTTTTGGTATGTGGTTGTCTGTTCCTTTGTGATGGTGTCACGTACATGCTTTTCATAAAACTTGAACCGTTTAGGTCCAATACTTAACGCAATCAAATCCATGACTTTCATCAAGTAATAAGTGCAAGGATATGCATTTGATGAGATGATGTTGTCTATCATACGTTCAATGAATACCAGAGAGTCGTGTATGATCGTGTGAAGTAATTGAGGACTTGCCTCACTCTCAGTCCCATTCATACCAAGCACACGACTTGTTGAAACGTTCCTATTATTCGTACAATTCACTAGCAATAGTAATAGAAACTTGTGGAACATGCATTGAATTTGAAATGGATATATAGCCCAAAATCTTGTCATGAGACGTTTGAAAAAGTGGCATGGGAAATAGGTATTCAAATACTTGAGGACCAAATCACTGGAGAAGTCTGATATCAAGTCTGATGGCTTTGAGTTGGGAGTTGAAAGGGCAAATCGTTTCATAATTTCTTCGATAGTGTCTCCGATTTGCGCATTACTTAATTTTAGAAATACTTTTTGAAATAATTGAGAAAACAGCATTTCATCAAATCTACCAAGTATACCCTCTCTGTCATAAATCTTGTGATATTTGGTTGGTAGAATGCTATTTGCAGAACTAGTATGGTATCTATTGAGCTTTCCGTTCAAGTTACATGCAGTAATATGATTTTTGTAAAAAACAACCTGTATCAAAAAGGGAGCTATTAAAAGCAGTTCTAATTCACTGAGACGACGCACAGAATTGTTCATATCGTTTAAAAACTTTTTGAATAATACTGAAATATAATTTCCAAATTTCTCAGTAATAATTTTCGATAATAGAATGGTTTCCTCTGGAAGTTTGAATGTAAAACTTTGCATCTCTAAATCTGCGCTCGTTGTGATATGAATTCCACATTCTTCAAAGAGCTTAATATATTCTTTCACTGAGAATGGAGCAAAATGAAGTATAATATCCTTAACCGAAGGAGCTTGTAATATCTTGCAGGAGTACTCTATGCTGTCCTCGAGAGTTTTCAAATTTCTTTTCATGACGTCCATGTCACATGATGGCTTTATTTTCGCCTCCAGTATGATCTTGCGTTCAAAATAAGATCCAAAATTGAAAACGTGAAATCGATCAAATTCAGTGCAGTTCATTTGGTGCTCTAAGGATGACACAAAGTTTGAATAGTCTTTTCTATTTAGTCTGGCGTACAATTTTTTCACATTAACCTCTGAATTACTACCTTGTAATTCTTTGAGGCCCATCAATATTTGGTCTTCTTCCATCGAAATGTTTTCTCCCGAAGCAGAAGCCTTCAATTTGTTTTCGAGGTCTTTAAGCTCTTGTGTCGATTTTAGATTTTCTTCCCTTTGTTTTTTGATCACTAGAGCTTTTTTCATTCGTTTTTCAACCTTTGCTTTTACTCGTTTAAAGTAATGGTCATCATAAACAATATTTTCTGAATTTTGGCTTGACCGTTCTGATGATCCATTCGAAAATGTCCAATTTTCAAATACATCCATTTCAAGAATAGCAGAGGCTGGCGATAAATTTTGCAAATTTTCTTGTGTGCTCGTGGTAATATTGTTTCTATGAGGAGTAGCATGAATATTATTATTATTTGTTTGTTGATGATTTGAATTTCTGTTGGGAGTGGAAGGTTTACCGTGTGCGGGTTGATGATCGGCTACTTTCAGATGAGTTGATGCGAGCACAAGACATTTCATACTCGGAGCCTCTTCATGTGTATCAGATGCCTTTGGATCACGCTTTCGTTTAAAGCATTGCTGTACAAAAGATGCCATTGAATACGGCTCTTTCGCGCTCGAAGAAGAGTGCACCATCTTGACAATTTTTTAATGTTTGGGAGCATCAAAATATTTCCTCGAGAAAATAAACGATCATTCATCGGAACAAGTAAAATCAAATTCACAAATATTATTAGCTCTATTTGTACACAATTCGTGGCCAATACATGTTGGCGGATCATAAATATCATTGCCACTAACACTTCTGGTGGCGTAGTAATTATGACACGTTGCTCAATGATGTGTTTAATGCGCAAAGAAGCATCCGCATGAGATCTCTATTTTGCCTCCCAATAATACATTTCTTGAAACAATAATGATATTCTTTCCCTTTAGCCATAATTATTCCGATTCGTGATAAATGCCATCCTGATTTCAAAGATTATTTGACTGCTGTTAGGAATGTTGAAATACGAATTTGGTTACTATTTACCTTGGTCCGAGAAATTAGTTGTGTGTTTGGATGGGAAGTTTTTTCTGCCCCTCATTATACCAGAGACCTTGTTACACGATTATGAAATGGATACCAAACAGGATGGTTTATAATTTCGATGATTTGGATCCAAAAATCTTCGATATCCCGAATGAAAGCTAACTAATTTTCTTTCCCTACAAAACGCAAAATGAAAAAGGTGACAAATAGGAAGAAATTTCAATTCTTTAGAAATTAATTTTCGTTTGAACGTTTAAACGTTTGAACTAGTTTGAACATGTTTATGTTGTTTATTTTTGTTTAAACATGTTTATTGTTTAAAGTTTAACCAAGTTTGAACGTTTACAGGAAAGCTTAATGTCACTGGTGATTTCATCGAATAAACATGTTGTGCAGAAACTTTTCCGTAATGAAAAATACCTTTGGTCTAGTCGACCAAAATCCTTCCTTTTTGGTGACTGTTATCTCTTTTCGCCAGACGTCTGTCCAACTGGAAACAAATTGATCATTTTGCGTTCTTCCTGTGCCACCAGTTTCGAGCAGATTTGAACCAAAGTCCTTTCTCAAAAAAACAAATACCCTGTGAGACCTTAGTCACATCATTCACCCTCAAGTTGCGTCATCAAAACCAATGGACATTCCTCTAACATCTTCATTCCCTTTCCAGCTTTCAACGTTACATGAACGATTCAACACATCTGAAAATAACACTTTTGTGAATGTCACTAGCCAAATGAGCTATTACCAGTACACGGTCATTGGCATTAGCATTCCTTTCGTCTTCATTTTCTTTGTGACCTTTGTTACGTTAATCATCCTCATCATACGCTCCAATCATGAGATGAAAAGGAATCAGCGATGGTTATTCGCATTGTTGATAGCTCTCTCTTTCGCTTCTTTCATTAATCTCTTTTCCAGAATTGGAGCAGAATTGGCGTTTTTGAGCTCATCTCCCATTGAAGCCATAGCCATCAATGATATGATAAAGGCCATTGATCGTTGCATTGTGGTTGCAGTATCTCTAATTGAATTCCTTTTAGTAACGTTTGTCACTGATGTTTTGTAAGTGTTGTCAGTGTGAACTATTTTTTCATAACACTTTCGAACCACCCTTAAAGTCTTCAAACGACGAGAAAGATTGGAGCCATGTCAGATCGCCTCTACACCAACTTACGAAGATCAATCATTAGCTTTACCGTGTTGCTTGCAGTTATCATCGTACCCATGTGTGTGCTTGTATTAATTGTAGGAGGTCTCGGAGTTGCAAAGGTAGCCAATGGAGTTCGAGATTATTTAATGATGATTTCATTAATTGTGAGTGCTTTGAGTTTTGCCATTACTGTGATTCTTCAATTAAGCATTACTTTGGTAAGTTTCAAGAAATGGCTATTCAGTTCTATTCATCGGTTGAACCCATTCAAGTATATTGGCGCATTGTTGCTGAGATCTTTGAAGGAAGGAGAAACGAGAATTGTTGGCACTGGAGCCAACTCAGCCCATGAACCCAACCTTGGTTCTAACAACAATTCCCTTTCAGAGTCGTTAAAAATCAAACGGTTGGCGTTGAAAAAAGCACTCATCATTCTGGTCGGGGTCACCATTGCCTTGGTTATGCAATTCGTTGGATTTTTGTGCATTCCTTTCGCTGTATTGAATCAAATTCCTTTGCTGTTTTACTATGTGATTCAATGCATGGCCGTATTCTCCATGATTGTCTTATTTACAGTCATTTATCGGCCTCTTTCGCAGATTCAGACACCAAGAGAAGAGAAGAAAACAAAAGAATGATCAACGCTTTGACAAGTTCATGATCATCGTGCTGTTGCTACTGATTTGCCTCAACATCATTTCCACAAACAAAACGAAAAAACACAAAAAAAATTGTAACATCAATTTCACCACGCCATTCATCATGGTACGCACTAGAAGAAAGGAATATGCTGATTCGAAGGAGGACGACGACAAAACCTCCCGAAGTACTTCGCACAAAAGAGGCAAGAAATACACAGAATACGATAGTACGGAAGAAGAAGATTTCTTTGAAGATTGTTACGATATGATCGATTCTGAAACAGAGATATTGTCAGAAGAAGAGGAAAAGAAGAGAAAACAAGCAAAAGTACGTGTTCCGAAAAAGAAAATCAAAAAGAGTACAGAAGAGCGATTGAAACAAGTGGTAGGAGAAGACAATTCCCAAAATATGAAAGAGGGAGAAGCGGCAGTAGATCAAGAAGACGATGACAATGATGAATCAGGCGGTTCTTCCTCGTTCAACACCAAAAGATTATTGGACGCTCGTTCAAAGAAAGCGAAACGAATGGACTGGGAACAAGGTAAAGTAATACCTGAACTTGATGAAATATTCATGAGCGAAAATAATTGGTTTCGTTTTATATGATACACATCGCCAATTCGTTCGCAGGTTTTTTCTATTTGCCCAAGTTCGATTGTTATTTACCAAGACATCTCTTGCATTCAATTTTGGGTTATTTACCTGCATTCCCTTATTATTTGACAATAAGACTTACAAGTCAACAGTGGCTTGATGATTTTGAAAATGTGATGTTTCAAGAACTAAAAGAATTGGATTTAGTTCAAAGAAATGAGTCGCCAGAAGCCACCATCAAATATCGATACCCATGGTACAATCCACAAGTGTCAACAAGAATGAACAATGATTGTATTAGATTCCTTGGAGTTCTATTCCCAAACATTGAGAAGTTAATTTTACCTTCCGTGGATGAGAAATTGCGAGTACCCCAAAAATTGCTAGCCAGTTTTCCCAAGCTTGAGACCGTTCAGATATTTTACCTTCCACCATTCCATACATGGAGAACTTGTTACAGGCAAGATATAATTAACGTTCAACATTTAGAAAACGCCTATTTTCAAAACTTTGCCAAGATTTATATGGTTAAATCTGAAAACTCAACGCTGGTTTCAATACCCAGTCACACAACAAGTGAAGAAATCATGAATATCCTAAAGTATTTTGTTGAGACTGAGAGATTTTCTTTAGACAAGACAAGAATTATCACTTCATTACATCCTACTCACTTTAGTACTTCATTAATTGATTACATTTTACAGGTAAACGAAAAACAACAAAACGCCGGCTATGAACCCATTACCTTTACTGAAGACGACATTAGACCAAGTTTTAGCTCTATATTTGTTGGATTACTTGATCCTATCATGGACTATATGTTGGAAACACAATTCTTTAAGAAATTAACGGCTACTGGAAGTATCATTCGTCCTAGTGTTGTGAATACCATACTTGGTTCTATAATTTCAGTGAAAATTGCCAAACTTTTATTCGAGCAAGCAGAGTGGCCTTTTGTTTTTGATGATGCCCAGAATCCATTGTTGTTCATAATTAATAACGCTAGAAATACCATTGTTGCTTCAGAATTGATTTCGTTCTTTTGTAAATTGAAACCTCAGTTGATATCTTTGGGTGATGAGAATGGTATTATTGGTAACAACAAGGCATCGTTGAACATTCTAAATGTCTATCTAAGCATGAATAAGGCACTCAAAGCTGACGACCTCATTATTGAAGCACTTCATAGCAATGGTGCTGACATTACTGCTGTATGTCCAAGCACGGGTAACAATTTATTGCATACATGTCCTTTTTCAGAATGTAAGTTTCACTTTTTTTGCACATAATAACACAATTCTCAATGAACTCTATAGACTTGTCACAGCATCTTCCAAAAGAATACTTTTTAGCCAAAAACAATCGAAACTTCAATCCTTTGGAGCGACTTTTGAAACGTATTGAAGTTGACAATGATATTCCTGAAGAAAAGGTCGAGCAAGCAATTAGAGCATTCTGCAACGCCTACAAAAAGTTCAACATTTCTTTGAACGATTTGGTGTTTGAAAATGAAATGAGTTTGTTACACAAAATCATTACACTGCACAAACCTTTTGCCATTCCTGAGCTTGTGAGCGCTGGTCTGGATGCCAACAAAATTGATCATCAGGGAAAAACGCCTCTCCATCTTATTATTGAAATGTGCTCTGATGAGGGCTCTCGATTTTTCACAGCGTGTGAAAAGTTAATAGAAGTCATGGACGTTGCATTGATTAACAAGGAAGACAAATCTGGCAAGACCGCTCTTTGCTACTTATTGGAGCGGTATACACCTCTTCCTGTTGGCAACTCCTTTTTTACATTCAACGTTGCTGACACTCAAGACAGCCATCTCAAAGTAATAGCGCTACTGCTTGCAAAAGGAGCCGATTTAAACCGTTCAATTCAAGCCATGGATGGCGATGGCTTTGTAAAGGATAACTTTGAACTCAATAGAGGGCTTGTGTTGGCGTCTTGGCTTTTTTCAGCTCCTCTAGTTGCACCAGATACACTTGGCAAAGTTCTCAAATATTTGGATAACTTGAATGAATTGCTAGTCTCCCCTATTGACCTGCAAGGTGTTAACATTTCACCATTGTGTGTCATGCTTTCTGCATGGACACACAATAACCCAAAAGTTTCCAATATGCAACAAGTATTTCAAGGAGATTACCCCGTACTTGACAAAGAATTGCTGAAGAAGAGTATTGTAACAGTGAATGGCAAACAAGTGGACCCTGTTTTGTACGTTCTATTCAGCAGACCGTTTAATGCCAACAATTTATGGCGTGCCATTGAAGCCCTAATGTTCGTACCTGTCCAAGCTAACACGGGGATGTGGTGGATACATCAAGAGTGCAATGAAGCCGATCTTTGCAATTCATTGCTTCGGTATCAATATGAAGATGATGAATTTGGAACAATGAACATCCTTCACATTGTTTGCAAGACCGAGAACAAAGTTCTGTTGGAGAATCTCTTAAACATGCTGAAACGACACAATTTACCGCAATTGTCTACACTATTAGTCTCAAAAACATCAAAAGGTCATGATGTGCTTGATATTATCAGCCAATGTGGATGCTATACTTCTGGAATATCATTGATGAATTATGCTGAAAGTTTAAGCACTCAGATGAATTGGTCAAAACAAAATTTGAGAACAGCATTTTGCAATTACAAGTACAAGCTTTGCTTTTTGATATTGTGTGAGCATGACGAATTGGTGGACGAATTTTCTTTGGACGAATTAATGGAAATATGTATCGGATATACCATAGAGTCTGACGAATACCAGAAAGATTTCCAAGTCAGCGTTATTGACATGCTTGAACATATTTTCAAACACACAAAACAAGACAAAAACTCTAAACTCAACATACTTACAAAGCCCCTCACTATTACTCGAATCAAACCAGCAAAGAATTTATATGAAAAGTTCTCTACACGACGAGCATTAGGAACTGCTTTGAATCAGGCAATGTCAACCTGTGCAAGGATTTCTCAATCGGTCGAAACAGAAACCGTTCGCCGCGAACTATCTTGGTTGGAACTTAGTTATTGGAAAGGTTTGAATTATTTGGTAATCTACATCCTCCACAATGACACATCCTATAGAAAGAAGAAACAAATCCTTACTAATTGTAACTTGGATCAATCCAAGATTATTGAATGGTTGACAAGAAAGATCAATCCTAAAGGCGCTAGCATATTACACTTACTTTGTGAAGATCCTCCTTGTGGGCGCTCGGTTTATTCGATGAATTCGATCAAGCACGAATTGCTCGAGGACGTACTGAAATTCCTTTCCAAAACAGACCAATTTGATGAAGTGGTGAACATACAGGATGATAATGGAGAAAGCCCACTATTTTATGCCATTAGAAATCAAAATGGTTGGGAGCAATTGCTAAGACTGAGCGATCTTAAATTGAAGAATAAGGACGGAAAAACTGTTGACCAATGTCACGACGTCACATTTTGCGCTCATTATTTCGAGAGCAGCAGTGACGACGAAGAACAGAAAATGAAAGATGAAGAAGAGGAAAAGAAAGTTGTTGCCACAAAGAAGAAACAAACAGGCACAACCAAAACCAAAAGACAAACCAAGAAAAAGTAAAGTTTTCACAACCAACACCGAGTTGACCTGACATTTGATAATGATATCGTGCAAAAAATGTCTTTATTGGAGCCAACGCTGTCATCATCGTCTTCGGAAAACAATCATCCCGTTAGAGGATCAACGAATCCTACACATTCCTTGATGGCTAACTATTGGTCTCCGCTCATTCATCAACTCAAACATTTAAAACGTAAATTACTTGAAAATGAAAAAGGTCGGAAATTTCTACAGCAAACGAAAGAATTCTATTCCTTCGCTCGTGAATTTTCCAAAAAAGATTTGTTTCAATTCTTGCAGGATCGACTTGAAATTGTATTATATTGTTTTATTGCTGGGTTATTGATTGGATTTTTCCTCTTGAGTCGATCGACCACTCATCTTGATCAAGATGATATAACTTTTTCGCAACACCCGAAACATCGGGATACCTTTTCCTATCCTTTACCAGGAGGATTTCATCAAGACAAAACCACTCAAAACGATTTGAATTTATTGAGACACTTTTTCATGGTCTCTTCCCGATCATTACTGAACTATGAAGGAGGACCTATTGATGCCTTTGGCTCGTCTGCAACGGTATTGAAAAGTTCTTCTCAACACTTGGATCCCACTGTGTTTTTTAAGAATTTCACGTTGAAAAGTAAACCATTAGTGATCGAGTCTGCATGTGCAGGATGGAAAGCTAAGAGAGGTTTGTTTGTTTCTTAAATTGAAAATTGAGATAGGAGGATGGAATACGCATTTCAATGATTTTTAATTTCTTATTGCGTCACGAACACAATGACTTATTGAATTTTTAATGGAAAATGTTAATGAAAATAATATTTTGAAAGAATAGAATGGACCGATATCAAGTATTTACAATCTGGTGCTGATGCATCCACACAAGTAGTTTTTGAAAAGAGCAAGAATGAACATGATTTGATCTATGGAAGTGCAGTTCCTGGTCAAACGACTCAGTTTGAAACTACTGTAAGTTGAGTCATTCGATGGAACAAGTGTAATGATCATTTTTCTTAAAAATTGGATGTTCTTTATTGTGTAAAAAGAATTTTCAAACCTTTCTGAGCAAGTGGTTGAATTCCAAACATCGAGTGTCACTCATTGAAAATATCAAACATTTCAAACAATTACAACATGACATTCCTAAATGGCCATTGTTATTTTCCAATGGATTTTATACACACATAGCCACACATTTGAGTATAATGAGTCATGAACTAGCAACTCGATTGAATTTGAGTAAGTATATTATGGATACAGGACTTACGAGAGTATAATAATATTGGAAATTGAAAAGATCCATATGAAACGTTGCAGTGTCAAATTGTGGGTTCTTCATCCTTCTTACTCTATGATCCATTTCAACTTGATTTGTAAGTTTTTTCAATCAACAAGATTGTGGTTGGTTACCCTTATTGTCACACAACAAAGACTCTACCAAAAGAACCATAAGAATCCTATGATCGAATTTGATCCCTATCATCCAAATAATTTTAAATTGCATCCACTTTTTCAATTTGCAAGACCTTTACATGCTGAATTGAATGAAGGAGATTGTCTTTTCATTCCATCGTTTTGGATTTATTCACACAAGACACGACATGGAGATTCTTCTTCCTATAATATTGGAGTTCAATATCAATATTCACCAGTGAGTACAGCTCAACGTGTTACTTTTGAATCCATCATTGCCAATGATGAATGAGGACTTGAATGACCGAGGTGAAGTGACTTGAGGATTAATGGACAAGGCATTCACTTTGTGTTCATAGAGTCGATGAATGGTGTGTATGGTTTTTAATAAATTCAATCATTGAAAAAATGCAACAACTGCATCGGAGGCTTCTCTCTGTTGCGGCAAGAGAAAGTAAACCGAAACGATCGTTAGATATTGCCATAAACAAGGGATCGTATGGGATGTAAGTGCTTGTGGTTCATCCCTATTTTCTTTTGATCGGAATATTATCGTCTTGAATCTACCATCATCATCATCATTGAAATTTTTTTGGAAAGAACGATAGAAGAACTTGATGCTCTGAGCAGTAAGCGAGATATTTCGGAATTGGAATATACTTATGGAGGAGTTAAAAACATTGCAAAATCGCTCGGAACAGATATTGATCAAGGAATTAATAGCCTGCAAGTTGAAGAACGAAGAATTTATTTTGGAAAACATTTAAGCTCTCCTAGACGAACGAATTCTTGGTTTAAATTATTTATTGATTGTTTTAGACAGCCGTTCGTGACTACTTTCTTTATTCTGGCGGTGTTGTCTATCCTTTTTGGAGTGAGCTTGCCCGAAGACCAGTCACAACGACAAAAAGGGTGGATTGAAGGCGTTTCTCTTTTGTTTGGATGTTTATTTGTTTGTTTAGCAAATAGTTTTAACGAATGGCAAAAAAAAAGAAAATGGAACGAAATTTATACGAAACAAGACAGCGAATATAGAGTGAATATAATTAGGGATGGAAAACTTTGTTCGCTGCTAATGGAAGATATTGTTGTTGGTGACGTTATTCAACTCGAACCCGGCGATTTTATTACATGTGAAGGAATTATCATTGAATGTTACAATTTAATTTGTGATGAAAATTTATTTGTTGGACAACAAGAAATGACCCTCAAAGATGTGAAAAGAAATCCATTCATTTCTTCAGGAACGTTTGTGACAAATGGATATGGAAAAATGCTCGTAACAAATGTTGGACTACATTCCAAATACTTTGAGTTTTGTTTCAACACAATCAATGAAGAGGAGGATGGAAATAATTCAGCATTAGAAACTCGATTAGCGAAAATTGCCAACAATATTTGGAAAATTTCACTTGGATTTTCGATTGGAACATTTGTCGTACTCTTTGGAGGTTGGATGATTTTCAAAATTGTCTCTTCTTCTACGAACACTTCCTCATGGGATCAAACTGATCTCATTACATTTTTGAAAATTTTCTGCCTTTGCTTTTCCGTATTATTTGTATGCACTCCAGAGGGAATCTACAAAATTATTACCACATCACTTGCCTACTCGACTCGAAGGACAATTAAGGATAACATTCTATGCAGCTTTCATCAAACACCAGATGTGTGTGAAAGACTCAGTTATACCTCCCAGGTCATTGTTGACAAGTCTGTCCTTACACAAAAAAATATGAATGTTGTAAAAGTTACCATTGCTGGAGAGACTATTGAAATGAATGGAGAAAACCAAATTGATGAGACCCTGTTACAAATATTGTCCAGTGCAATTGCTGTCGATTCGAGAGCAACTCTCAAATATTCAGAACATCTTGAAAATTATGAAGGAATTGGAGATCCCCTTGACTGCTCACTTTTATTATTTTTACAGCAAGTAGGAGTTGATTATGCGCCAATACGAAATTATTACCACAAAGAACACAAAGTTGTTAAAATGTTTCCAGTCGAGAACGGTACAATGACTACCATTGTCAACAATGGTAAATCTCACATCATTTTCACGAAAGGTGACTATGAACGTATTATTCAGGCCTCTTCAGGTGAGTTACTGAAAGAAGGAATAGTGTCTCCGTTAGATGCAACAAAAAAGAGTGAGCTAGTGGACAAAATGCACCGCTACTCTTCAGAAGGTTATTACGTCATTGCACTAGCATATCGAGAAATTGAGGCAGATTGTTCAGATTGGACCTTTCTTTCTTCCGAGTACGAAGAAGATTTTGTGATTATTGCCTTGATGATCTTAATTGATCCCATTAAGCCAGGAGTTCATGAAAGTATTGCCGAGTTGCACAAGGCAGGTATTACGGTGAAGCTTGTCACCAGTGATAACACCCATATTGCAAGAAAAATAGCCACAGAATGTGGTATCCTATCCAATACGCAAGACAATGAAGGTTTAATCATGGAGGGGCCTTCCCTTAGACATTTGATCGAAGAGGATGTAGAAAAAATTTCTAAAAATCTTCGTGTCCTTTCCAAAGCCAACCCTTACGATAAGCTTCGACTCATCACGTGCTTGCAACGAAGAGACGAATTTGTCACGCTCTTTGCCTCTTCCTACAAAGACTTAACTGCTGTTCAATGTGCCAATGTTGGAGCAGTTCAAGGCATTAGCGGCTCTCACTCCACAAAAAACAATTCAGATTTGCTCATTACCGATGATAATCTGTCATCATTGGTGCGAGCCATTGCATGGGGAAGAGCTCTGTTTTACAATATTCAAAAATACCTCGTCTTCCACATGACCATCAATATTGTGGTCATGATTTTTACAGCTGCAACTGCTCTTACCTCCTACCTTTTGACACCAACTCAGTTACCTCCTTTCAATCCAGTTCAACTGTTCTGGGTGCACATCATTATGGATATTTTTGCTGCCTTATCGTTGGCTTCTGACCCACCTCCAAGTGAAATTATGACACACCTTCCCACAAAACCAAAACATAGCATTGTCACCAAGAATATGAAACTTCACATTATTGGACAAATTATTTATCAATTGGTTGCTCTATTGGTCCTGCACTACGCTGGTCGATATATGTGTATTCACGATCAACAGGCCAATAAGATTTGTCTGTGTGATCCAACGCCTCCTTCAACAAGTCCAAGTACCATTAGCATGACACAAGTGAGTTACACCATTGTATTCAACGCTTTTGTGTTTTGCCAAATATTCAACCAATTCAATTGCAGAAGAATTAACAATGAGTGGAACTTGTTCAAAAGTATTCACAAATCTCTCATGTTTGTGGGTCTTTTTGCACTCACTGTAAGTTTTCAAGTGTTATTGGTACAAGTTGGACTTGCAAATTTGGTACCTTTGACTTGGTATCAATGGCTGGTGAGTGTTGGAGTTGGACTATTGTGTATTCCTGTTGGATATTTATTGAGATTCCTTAGTTCAAATATTATCAGCAGTAACAAATTTAAACGAGGAATGAATAGAATAAGAAATCGTGTGGTAGGAGCTCGTCATTGAATGATCAATAGCTTAAAGATCAAATCCACTTACGAACATCTGACAACAAGACGATGACGATTTTGTGCATCAAATCTTCTATGAAAAAGCCATCAGAAAGCAATCGATTGGAGAACAAGAAAAATCCCACAATAAAAAAATGCACCACAGCATCTCCCTCACTACCAACTTTGTGAAGAGTTTCTTTCCGGGCAATGGTCTGACGAATCAAAACAATACGCAACAACAACAACAACCACCATCAACACAAGCAACCCATGCACCATTGGAAGAACAAAATTTGCCTACTTCATCAGCAACCGCAAATCATTATCAGCAAGAACAACAACAACAAGCTATTGATTTTGAGCCATCCGTGCCATCATCTTCTCCTTCTTCACTAGAGTCTAATATTTCGGAGAAAGTTGAAACCACTCAAGTATCATCACCTGCTAATTCACGAAGTGTTGAACAAACTCCAGCAGCTGTAGAGAGCGTGAAGCCTATTTCTGCCGAAGAATTTAGATTGGTCAAGTTTAAATATGATCAATTGAAGGTAAGCCTTTTTGTTGATATTTTGTCTTACCACAACCATTAATATTTCTTGTGGTTTTCTTGTGCTCTGATGAATATTATTGTTGGATGATATATTATTCACACGGATGAAATAAATTCGGACACCAAATCACCTTCGGACCCACCATAGAATCAACAAAATAGACTTTTGGAACATTTACAAGATGCCAGAGTTGAACACTTACAAGAAGAAATAGCAAAACTTGACAAATTAATCCCACATCATCGTACCATTCAGTCCTATGGTTGCACTGCAGAAAAATCCGCTTTGGTTCAATGCCTCAAGAATAATGGCAATGTGTCATATGGAACTCTTAATTGCAGCAATTTATTGAACGAATTCTCCAAATGTGCCCAAGAGAAACGCAGATCGTTTTTGGGAAATCAAGATCTCTAAATGATAATTGAACTTTACAAAGGTAGTAAAATATTGGTTTGACTTTTTCAAATGAACAACCATCAATAACCACTAAGGAGCCTTACAACAAGATCAGTTATGTTTTATTTTCATCAAATAAATTAGTTTAGGAAATGCTTTTGTGGTTTGACAATCACATCACAACCAAGTTATTGGAGAATACCCACAGGCAAAGCATTAGGCTTGGCATTCAAATATTCTGACCATTTGTGAACCAGAGAGTTGTCCAAAGTGGCAGCCTGGCTAAACTTGTTGGACTGTTCAAACAACGCTGTGGCCATTCCAAAGTCTTTGGTGACAAGCGCAAGCATCGTAAGTGATTGTCTGTACACAGCCTGTTCATCCTCTGAAGCTGATTCCATCTTGGAGGTCATGTCATTTCGAATATCATCTAACTTTTCAGGGAAGTATTTCGAGCAAAATATGATGAGATGTGAAAAGGTGCTTGGATCGAGTACTGAGGCCCTACGGTAACTCTGTTCAATAATATTTAGAGCTTCTTGACGTGTCAATTCATGATCTTGATCATCTTGTTGATTGGATGTTGCAATTTCTTCTTCTGTTGTAGCAGGTCGTAATAAATGATTGTTGTAATGAGGAGTGGTGGTTGCGTAGGTATCCAATCTCTTTTCTCCTACTGATCCAAGTCTCACAAATAATCGAGCAAGGTCAATATCATCTTCTTGTGTCTTGCTAGACGAATGAATATTATCTGTTTTAAAGAAGTATCTGTGCTCATCCAAATAGGTCAGGGCATCTAATCCATACTTAATATGACCATGTTCATAACAAAGTAATAATCTCTTGTAGGAGGATAAAGAATCAATGGAACAAGCCTCTCGTGTGTATCCAAAAGCACATAAAAAGTCAGCCAAATAGTCGTGTATTTCTTGAGCAATAAATGGAATCCATTCCATAGCCTTCTTTGTTAAACCAGCTGCAACCAACATTCTAAATTTGATGCTTGGAGTAATGGCAATGTTGTTAATATTGTAAATTTGTGATAAATAGTCCAATACATAGAGATTATCTCCAACAACATCCATAAAAGAAATAACACCTTTGGGTTTTGGTAATGGTATTGGATCCAAACTACTTTGCTCGTCAAGAGGTGTTTTTTGCGAAATTTGTGAATAAATGGCAACATCTAGACTCGCTAACACAGTAGAAAATATTTTTCCACTAGTGACGAATACTGCCTTAATATCGTGCTCTGTGTTTACAAATAATGTCGAGTTCCACCAAAAAGCGTTTTGAATTTTTTCTTCAACGTAGTATTCCATTTTGAATGTTGGTTTACATGCAAAGATAGAGTATGAGTCTGGATAGGCCATTAAACACTTTCCAGAAAGTGAATCCCAAGCAACAAATGAAGGTTTTGGTAAATAGGGTTCAGATACCTCTTGCCCAAAAGCATCGGAGCCTTCCCATGTGAACAATTGGTAACCATTCTCATCAGCATAATTTGTATATCGTACACCTAATAATAAGCCACCGAAAATTTCATCAATGCTACCACCAAATGTTGGGATGCTTTCATGAACAAGTTTCACACTAAACGGTAATTGATGGGAGATGAATAGACCACTGTGCTTTCACAAGACTCACTTACCTTGTGTTTTCAATCCTCTTGATCGAGACTTTTTTCGTGGTAAATCCACCTTTAAGTATGGCAAAAGTGTCACTGGAAGAACTCCAAACAATGTGTGAGCAGTCTCTCTCTGATGCAACAATTTTCCAGGTATCCTTGGCAAAAATGTCAAAAATGAAATATTCTCTTTCACTTTCTATTAATGCAGAAACATATCTTCCGCTATAACTGACATCCAATTTAACGTTTGCCAATTTTCCCAAGTTATGTACAGGCTTTTCATTTGAGAGATCCTTCTTTCCATCAGAACTATTTCGGAACGAGTTACATTTATATTCAAAATAATAATTCACATGTATGAAAGTACTTACTTGGTTTCAATAAATCTCTGATAGATTGTTTTTTCTCTCACATACAAGACAAATTTCCTTTTGTCTTCAGGAACCTCAATGTTAAAAAGAGATGGGTCCAACGGTGGAGAAGTTTGTTCAATGAGAGGTGCACTAAATAATTCTGGTCTGAAAAATCCCGAACAGACTGGTGGTTTTCTATTGTAATCCATCTTTGTCATTAACAATCCAAAGCTGGTTCCCAAGAAAATGACATCATGATTCAGAGGATGTTGATGGATGGTATAGAATTTAGCATCCTTGTGATGAGAGGGTGCGAGAGATTCTACATCCACAATGGACTTGTCAAAAATGACTGGGTCTGTATTCAAAGTGGCTGACATTCTGAAAAGACTTCTCTTTTGTTTCTTATTTTCTAACATTAGAAGCCACGAGGGATTACAATTGCATGTTGTGACCATGGCCAAGTGTTTCATTGGTACTTTGGTTTTGGTTTGCTTGATAATCTTACCAGAATTGACTCCTCTCAATGCAATTGTCTTGTCATTTCCAGCAGTTATTAAATATCCAGTATGAGGATCTAGAATTATACTTGAAATGCCCTGCTGGCATTTTTGTTCTGTGTATTCAGCTTTATCAGTGTCTAAGTTCCACAGTGATAAATGTCCATCGGTAGAGCAAGTCACAAGTCCAGGGTACTTGCTGAAAGGATCCTCTTTGGGTACAGTTAAAATGTGTGACACACTTTTTGGATGAGCGTTAATCACCTTGTTGAGCACTCTACGTTGTTGAAAATCCCAGAATCTCACAGATCCATCGCTGCATCCTATTGCCATAACAGGTTGCCTGTATAAAAAGTCAAAGCATGTAATGGTCTTGTTGTCTAACTGACTCGATTTGACGTCATCAAAAAAGAAGAGCAATGAGCTCACTTCATCATATCTCAACATGATGATTCTAGAATCTGTTTGAAGAACCAAACACTTTGGAGGTCTATCATTGACTAAATTTCCACCAATAACATTTCCATTCACTCCGACCATTCTGGATCTATCCTCGTCATCATCAATAGTTCGGGCTGATGTCGGTATCTGTACTTGCTGTTGTTGATTCGAGTCAGATCCCATCATGGAATTTAATTGTCTGAGCTTCCAATATTGAACATGCTCATCATAGAATCTCACTGATTTCAAATCTCCAAACTTTTCATTCTTTGTAAATAATTCCTCATCATACCAATACGGAAGTTGTACGTTTTTAAAATTCTTATCAAGAGTCCGATATAAATTCGTTTCCTCCTTCTTACTCTCAAACATTGAATTCAACGAGAAGGTATGTAACAAATCATTTTGAATGTAATCAAACAAATAGACGGATCCTCTCTTATCCGCAAAAACCACCCAAGACTTTACCGGATGTACATCACAATAATGTACTTTCATATTCGAGAAGAAACTCTGTCCTTGATTTAATACTTCAATCACGGGAGGCTCATTCGGATCAAGAGCTCGTATCTGCTCGGGCGTGAGTTTTGGCAGTGATGGAGCCATTTTTTAAAATTCTTTGATGAGTTTTTCAACAAACGAAACAACGATGATGAAAGGTTTTTGAATAATGAATCATTGGATATTGATGAAGGACAACCATGAGCCATTGAGCCAATGAACAGTTAGTGTTGTGAATTCGATCTCTCTGTTTGCTTCACACTGGCCAAAGATAAAGGCCTGACAGCCAATTTCCTTGTTCATTTCCCTTCACACGTCAAACCACCAGCTTTTAGCACATCAAAAAATTGGACCATCGATCATCAAGGAGTGTGTTTTTTCATCATCATCCTCTTTTCCAAACAACAACCTAAACATCATCATCATTTACTCTCCTAACCCTTCTCATCCTCCTCTTCCAACAACAACATGTTTGGTTCCAAAAAGAAGGAATCATCCTCCAAGAGTGCTCCAGCTCTCAATCCCCAACAACAACTCTCCCTCCAATCCAACAACAATAATGGTGGTGGTGCTGGTTCCAATGTTTCATCACCTCTCTCGTCATCACCCCAAATCTCATCAAATTCCGTCTCTGCCAGTATGACTGCTTTGCCTTTGAATGGACTCTCACAGCAATCCATTGCAGCACTACAAAAGGAACAACAAGATCGATTGCAACACATGCTTTCATCCATGGGTGAGGATGAAGTGAATCAGGAATTTGCTGACATGTTACTCGAGATGGGTGTTCCTGAAAATATTAGGAGAAAACAATTAACCACAAAGAATGTACAAGAAAAATTGAGGTAAGTGTGTAATTTTGTGAATGGAATCGTGAAAGAATTGGAATTCTTTTCAAACACACATTCATATTTCAACAATGAATGGTATTACACTATTTGCCATAACAACCATGACACAACATGCTTCACACACACATTTCACTTCACTTCCATCAGACGGTTGTATCACTTTAAATATCATTCGACAAATCATGGAGAACAAGATCAAGACACTCCTTCCATTCTCCTCTCTGCTTGGGAAAAGAATGATTATGACATTATGAGATTGGCTCGTATTCGTGAACTCTTGTTGGATAAACCAATCCGATGGGTGAATCAATTCATCATGCAAGGAGGTATCAAACAATTAATTCATTGTCTCAATTCTACCAATATTCTCTCAAGAAAAGGTGAAAGAGATGAATTGATGTTGGATATGGAAAATGTAGCTGCATTAGAAAATGAATCAGATAATGCTGATGCTTTTTCAGATGCCGGTGGAGAATATTCCACATCACATTTAATGTCAAACATGTCACATTCAAATCTTTCCGTGTATAATCAAGATCAAACGACTGCAAACAATTCTGTGGATCAAGAGGTCAACTCACCAATCTTATCCAATCAAGTTGCTACAGTGGAAGATCTCGAAAAACAATCTCTCTGTATTGAAGCATTGAAAGCACTTCTCAACACCAATGTTGGTATCGAAGAATTTCTTGCAGAAAAAGATGCCATGAAGAATTTAGTGTTAATTCTCGATACACCTAACATGGATGCAGCATGTGATATTTTACAAATTTTAACAGTCATGGCCAGTTGGGCAAGTCATGGTTTCAGTTTGGTTGTGAGCGCTCTCAGTCATTACAGACTTGTGAAACGAGAAAAGGCAAGATTTTACGATATTATTAATCGTATGAAAACCACAAAGAATTTGAAATACTCCTTCTTTGCATTGCTCTTGTTTACGACCTTACTTGAAAAATCTCCTGATGAAGGTACAAAATCACTCTTCAAGAAGGAATTTAGAAATCTCAAAGTTGCAGAAGCTACTGCTGAATTGAAAAAAGAGGTTTTGGAGAGATCGATTGAGTCCATGAACGATCCCGATGCTCAACAACTCTTATACGATTTGAATATTCAAATTGAACTCTTTGATGAAGATGTGAGCATTTGCCAACCAGAATTCCTGGAGAATGATCTTTCAGACTCGGTCAATGTTGTGAAATTATTGAAACAAAAATTGGCTAGCGCAGAAGATGAAACTCTCAGAAACATGCTTCACGAATTACTCACTGAAATGATCATTTACAACTCGATTTCCATTGATAAGAGTCAGACCGAACAACAAGTGGCTGACAATTGGAGTAAGATTCGAAAACTTGTCGATCAAGGTTTGGCACCAAAACGAGCTGAAGAAAATACTAAAATTACCACCGAGAAGGAGAAACAACTTTCAGACAGAGTCAAGACCCAACAATTCCAAATCAATAACTTGCAATCCGAACGTGAAACTCTTCTACAAGAATATGAATCAAAAATTGAGCAAGCAATCAAGCGTATGGAGGAGTACGAAAAGAAAATATCTGGCATTGAGGAAGAAAAGGCTCAATATTTAAAGGAAATTGAGGAAAAGGTTTCTGGTGTAAAGAATGAATTGACCACTACTGAGAAGGAGCGCGACAGCAAACAAGAAACTCTGAAAACCATCAAGAATGAACTTGTGACCATTAACAACGAAATTGAGACCATCAAGAATGAAGTCTTCTCACGAAAAACCAACAATGAACAATTCCAAAACGCTAAAAAGATTTTGGACGATAAGAAGAAACATTGGTCTCAAGAAGAAGAGCGTGTTGAAAAGTTAATTTCCTCTGTCCATGAAAAAATTGAAAAACTCAAGAAACAGGAAAAACAATTGACTGAGGAACGTGATGAATTGAAAAAGAATCCACCCACTGTCGAGGATCCAACCTTGGCACCTGTGATGATCACAACGACGACCATGACAGCAAATATACCTCCTCCTCCTCCAGGTATGGGTGGTGGTGGTTTTGTTCCTCCTCCACCGACGGGCATGATGGGTAATGTCCCTCCTCCACCGACAGGCATGGGTGGAGATGGCAGTGTTCCACCTCCTCCTATTGGTTTTGGTAACGTTCCACCTCCTCCAGGTAGTGGCATGGATGGTAGTGGTAACATTCCTCCACCTCCAGGAATGGGTGGTCATGTACCTCCTCCTCCACTAGGCACAGATTCTGGTTTTGTTCCTCCTCCTCCTGGCATGGGCAATGTACCTCCTCCTCCAGGCATGGGTAATGTACCTCCACCTCCAGGTATGGGTGGTGTTCCCCCTCCTCCAGGCATGGGTGGTGGTGTCCCTCCTCCACCTGGAATGGGTGGTATTCCAATGCCTCCAGGTATGGGTGGTGTTCCAATGCCTCCAGGGTTTGTTCCTGGTGTCCCAGGTGTTCCAATGATGGGTCGTGGAAAACCAGCTGAAGTATTACCAACGTTGCCAAGTAAGGCTCCAAAAGAAACCACTCGTCAAGTTCACTTTGATGCCATCAATAAGAATAATCTCTCGAAAACAATCTTTATGAAGAAGAATATTGCACAAGAAACAAATGACATTATTGAATTGTTTGATTTGGATGATATTACTTCAGCCTTCTCGACTCAAAAGAAAGACACTGGTGAAAAAGCAGAACCCAAAGAAAAGAAGAAGGAAGTCAAATCACTACTCGATCCCAAACGTTCATATGCAGTCTCACTTCAATTGGGTTCCATTCGAGGTGTTTCCTATGAACAGCTTCGAAAGGCCATTGTTGAAATGGATGAAAATGTTGTGACCGCTGATAATATTTTGACCATCAAACAAATTGCTCCAGAACAAGAAGAATGTGATACTGTGATGGGATACGATGGACCCATGGATGAATTGGCAGAACCTGACAAGTTCTTCCGAGTGATGAATGGTATTCCCAATCTCATTGGACGTTTGGATTCTTGGTCCTTTAAATTCCGTTTTCCAGAAATGGTTTCCAAAATTCGTCCTGACATTGAAAACATGACACTAGGTTGTAAAGAGGCACGAGAGAGTGAAAAATTCATGGAAGTATTAGCTGTGATTTTAACCTTTGGTAACTTTTTGAATGGACAACAAAAGAGAAAGGTTTCGTATGGTTTCAAATTGAAATCGCTTCAAAAATTAGCAGATACCAAATCAGGAGATGGTAAAACAAGCTTGTTGCAATACATTGTAGATTTCATTGCAGAAAAGAAGAAACACTTGATGGACTTTGATACTCAGTTGACACATATTCAACCTGCAACACGTGTCTTGGTTGGAAGTATTGATGATGATATCAGTGAATTGAAAAAGTGTCATTCACAACTCGTTCAACAAATTGAAAAAGCAAGAAACAATCCATTCGAAGGAGACATGTTTATTGACAAGATGGAAGAGTTTGAAAAGAAGGTCGTTGGTGCTCTTGAAATTATTGAAGAAAAATTCAAAGCCATGAAAGTTGAAATTGATGAACTTGCCAAAGCATTCGACGAAAGAACTGAAGATTTACAGAAAGAACCTGACAAATTCTTGGCTCTCATTGATCAATTCACTCAACAATTCAAACAAGCCAATGAAAAGAATGAACAAGCCAAGAAGGCAGAAGAAAAGAAAAAGAAAGCTGAAGAAGAAAAACTTAAAAAGGAAGCTGCTAAACAACAATTGAAGATCAATGCAGCCAAACAGAAATTGGATACTCTTAAAAACAAACCTACACTTGCAGAAGGACGAGGAGCCATGGATGATAAAATGCAACAACTCAAATCGGCAGCAGCGACACGACTTGGAGTCACTCTTAAGAGAGGTGGAGTTCGAGGCGGTGGTACAGACGATTTGGAGGGTGGAAATGTGGATAGCAGTTCTCTGAATAGTGCATTGTTAGGTCTCAAAAAGTAAAATATTAATATATTAATAACACACATTTGACAAATTTCATGTCCAAAAAATCCAATGAAAGATTGAACGTCCTTCTCATGTTCGATAGTGTTATTATTTGTTTCGTTCATCCAAAGAGCCAAAGAAGTGCTTGCATTTCGCTTCACAAAACACCTTCAACCAAATTTCTATCAACCCCAAACAACAATAAAAAAAATGCCCAAAGATGATGACGAAGTGGTAAAATTCCGTGACTATGATTACCGATCAAATTCAAATGTGGTCTTAACAACAAAGAGAAAGAAGAGACCACAGAATGAAGAACCATCAGGAGAGCCTGAAACATTGGCCGGAAGAGAATTACAAAAGATGGGTTCTCGTGTTGAGTTTACAAAGCCTCCTTCATCAAAACTTTCATCAAAAAAGAAAAAGGTGAAAATATTATCATCAGCAAAGAAAAAGAAATCAATATTAGATATTGATATTGATCAAGGACATTACAATCCAAAAACAGATGAAACTAGAGTGGCGTACGAGTTAATTTTGGGTCATATTCAACCATACCTAGGAGACTTCGATCATGAAACTCTGCGCGGAGCAGTCGACGAGATTCTAACAATATTCAATGATGAATCTCTTTCGGATCGTCAAAAACAAGAAGAGATCTCCCAAATCTTAACATCAATTCCCGATGATGAATACGCTAAACTTTTTCAACTTTCGAAACGTATTACAGACTTTTCAGTGAGTGAAATCAATGAAGAAGGCGTCGATAAATTAGATGAAGAAGGTATTGCCATAGTATCGTCGGATGAAGAAGAAGAGGACGATACCGAGGGTATTAAAGACCAACTTGTCGACTATGTCGTTTCCTCGGACGAAGAGGAAGAAGCATTCGATGAACAGCCAACTATTGTTGAATCATCTGTCTCTCGAATGGAAGATGAAGAAGACAAAAACGCTGTCGATATCCATTCCATTGATGCATACTGGCTTCAGAGAGAATTGTCCCACTACTACACTGATTCTAGCGAGGCACAGAAATTATCTAATGACGTCTTTGAAATATTGGAAGGATCAGACGATGAACATGAAATTGAGAATCAGTTGGTTCAAGTTTTGGAATATGACAAAATTGATTTGGTGCAAAAACTGATGAAAAATCGATTGAGAATTGTTTATTGTATCAAGCTTCAAAAAGCCTCAAGCGACGAAGAACGACTACGAATCGAGAAGGAAATGATGAACAGTGAAGCTCTGATCCCCATTTTGGAAAAGTTGAAAGGAACAAAGCTAGCTTCAGTTGGCTCTAGCAAAAAGGCATCCACCTCTGCTCGAACAGCCATGGAAGTTGACACTGAAACTGAATATAAATGGAAAGGAGAACGTGTCATTAATTTGGAGAGCTTAGCGTTTGAAGAGGGTAGTCATTTGATGAGCAATAAGGACTTTACCTTACCAAACACCGCCGTCACTGCCCAATTCAAGGGCTATGAACAAATTTCAATTCCATATGCCGCTCCCACCACCAAGAGTGCCAATAGAGTGGATAAATTAATTGAAATCAAGTCACTGCCAGAATGGACCCACCCTGCTTTCCCAAATATGGTCACTCTTAACGCAGTTCAAAGCAGAATTTACAACTCAGCCTTTTATTCACCAGAAAATTTGTTAATTTGTGCTCCCACAGGAGCTGGTAAGACTGTAGTAGCAGTTTTGACAATGCTCCATGAAATTGGACTGCACATGAGTGAAAGCTTTGATGCATTGCAAGACAAGGATTTCAAAATGGTATATATTGCTCCTATGAAAGCTCTCGTACAAGAAGTTGTAGGAAATTTAACAGAACGATTAAGCCCATACGGAATTACTGTTCAAGAGTTAACAGGTGATAGAAACATGACCAAACAGCAAATTGATGAAACTCAAATTATTGTTACAACACCTGAAAAATGGGACATTGTCACAAGAAAATCTGGAGATAGAACCTACGTTGAGAAGGTAAAATTAATCATCATTGACGAGATTCATTTACTGCATGATGAGAGAGGTCCAGTTTTGGAATCCATAGTAGCTCGTACCATTCGACAACAAGAAGCAACTCGACAAATGATTAGATTGGTTGGTTTGAGCGCTACTCTTCCAAATTATAAGGACGTTGCCACATTCTTGAGAGTCAAGCCGGACAATTTATTTTACTTTGATAGCAGTTTCAGACCTTGTCCTCTTGATCAACAGTACATTGGAGTTACAGAAAAGAAGCCATTCAAAAGACACAAGTTAATGAACGAGATTGTGTACAATAAGGTTGTTGAAATTGCAGGCAAGCATCAAATTATTGTTTTTGTGCACTCTCGTAAAGATACCTACAAGACTGCCAAAGCACTGCGAGATATGGCCATTGAGAACGACACGATTAGCAAATTTGTCAAGCAAGGAACAGCAACCTATGAAATTTTGAAAGAAGCAACGAAAAACGATGCTCAAGGAGCAGAACTTAAAGAGCTATTACCATATGGCTTTGGTATTCACCACGCTGGTATGTCACGAAATGATCGTACTCTTGTGGAGGACTTGTTTGATGATGAACGTCTCCAGGTGTTGATAAGTACAGCGACTCTTGCTTGGGGTGTTAACCTTCCTGCTCGACGAGTTATCATCAAAGGTACGCAAGTATACAGTCCAGAGAAGGGAGATTGGACAGAATTAAGTGCTTTGGATGTGATGCAAATGATCGGACGTGCCGGTAGATATCCTCGTGACAATAGAGGTGAAGGTATAATTATTACCACTCAATCTCATTTGCAATACTATCTCGCTTTATTGAACCAGCAACTTCCAATAGAAAGTCAGTTTATTAAGAGTCTCCCAGATAATCTGAACGCTGAAATTGTTCTAGGCACGATTCAAAATATTGATGAGGCAGTGGTGTGGCTTGGTTACACATATCTTCATGTAAGAATGTTACGAAACCCTCTACTTTATGGAATTACAAAGGAAGACGCCGAACACGACAAGAGTCTATTGCAGTGGAGAAGAGACCTGATTTATTCTGCTGCTCTTTCCCTAGAGAAGAACGGTCTCATTAAATTCGACAAGAGATCTGGCGAATTCCAAGCGACTGATCTTGGTAGAGTGGCAAGTCATTACTATGTGACTCACAAATCCATTGCCACTTTCAATAGCAATTTGAAACCAAATATGAGTGATATTGAATTATTCAGACTTTTCTCTCTCTCTGATGAATTTTCTCACATGACTGTTCGTCAAGAAGAAAAACTAGAGTTGTCCAAGCTCACTCACAGCGTTCCCGTGCCCATTAAGGAAGCTCCTGATGATCCTTCCGCAAAGGTAAACGTTTTATTGCAGGCCTACGTTTCAAGACTTCACTTAACTGGATTTGCTCTAGTTGCTGACATGACTTACATTACACAAAGTGCTGCTCGTATTGCACGTGCTCTCTTTGAAATTGTTCTAAATAGAGGTTGGGCTCAACTCACTCACAAGGTATTGAATCTTGCCAAAATGATCGAACATAGAATGTGGTACACCCAAACACCGCTTCGACAATTCCCTAAAATTGAACAAACTATTCTCAAACAACTTGAAGGAAAGAATACACTCTGGGAAAGACTCTATGATTATACACCAGCAGAATTAGGAAGATTAGTACACCACACTCAACGAGGAAAAGATCTTTACAAGTATATTCATCAATTCCCTCGCTTGGATCTTACTGCCAGTGTACAACCCATCACTCCAAGCACTTTGAGAGTTGATTTAACAATTTCTCCAGACTTTCAGTACAATATGGATATTCATGGTGCAGCTCAAACTTTCTGGATTATTGTTGAAGATGTTGACGGAGAGGTCATTTTGCATCGTGAACCATTTATTCTCAAGAAAAAGTATGCAGAGGATGATCACTATGTTAGTTTCACAGTACCACTCTACGAGCCACTTCCACCTCACTATTTCATTAAGATTGTTTCAGATAGATGGCTACACTCTGAACAAACATTACCAATTTCTTTCAGACATTTGATCTTACCTCAAAAGGCTCCTCCAACAACAGAATTATTGGATTTACCACCACTAGAGCTATCAGCACTTAAAAACGTCGAGTACGAAAAGGTGTTGGGCAAACTTATCTCAAAATTCAACCCAATTCAAACTCAAGTATTCAGATCTCTGTACCAAAGTGATGACAGTGTTCTAATTGCTGCACCTGGAGGAAGTGGTAAATCGTTATGTGCAGTTTTGGCAATAATGAAACTATTTGCTGACGATGCATCTGCCAAATGTATTTATATTGCTCCCATTGAATCTGTCGCTACTAAGAAACGGAAAAAGTGGCTTTCTATATTTGAACAGCTTGGAAAGACAGTAGTAACCTTGACTGGCCATTTGGCCAAGGACTTGGTGAGTATGGAGAATGGTGACATCATTGTTTCCACTCCCGAAGTGTTTGACATGTTCTCTAGAAAATGGAAGACAAGAAAGTCCTTATCTAGTGTTAAACTAGTTGTTGCCGACGAGCTTCACATGATTGGAGGTGAGGTTGGACCAATTCTTGAAGTGGTAATTTCACGTGTTCGCTACATGTCAGAACAACTTCAAAGCAATATTAGAATTCTTGGATTAAGTGCTTCTGTTTTAAATGCTAAAGACATTGGCGACTGGATTGGAGCCAAGAAGGGTAACATTTTCAACTTCCACCCAAGATATAGAACCATTCCTTTGGAAATTAATATCCAAGGTTTTACTCAAAGCACTTACAATGCTATGCAAATTGCCATGATCAGACCAACCTATAAAGCCATCAAGCAAAAATCAGGTGGCAAGCCAACCATTGTGTTTACCTCCTCCGCTAGACAAGCCACTTTTATTTGCTCTGAGCTTGTTGTAAGTCTTACCAACGATACAAATGAGAAGGAATTTGTGGGAGATGCAGCTGCTATTGATGCTGTAATTGAAAATGTAGAAAGTGCAAATTTACGTGAATTTTTACCTTATGGAATTGCATTCTATCATGAAACTCTTTCCTCAACAGACAAGTCCATAGTGGAAAGTCTCTACAATTCTGGCGCAGTGAAAGTTCTTGTTGTGACATATACCATGTGTTGGGGTATGGAATTGAAATCTAAATTATTAATCATTATGGGAACGGAGTATTACAATGGAAAAGAGCATCGATATGCTGACTATTCAATCATTGATATGGTACAAATGATGAGTAGAGCTGGAAGACCTGGAATTGACAAAGATTCTACCTGTTACATTTTCTGTAAAGCTTCGAAGAAGGACTACCTATTGAAATTCCTATATGAACCTTTCCCTGTTGAGTCACATTTGGATCATTTCCTCTATGATCCAATCAATGCTGAAGTTGCCGCCAAAGTTATTGAGAAAAAGCAATCTGCGGTCGATTATTTGACATGGACCTTCCTCTATCGAAGAATTCGAAAGAATCCAAATTATTACAATTTGAGTGGAACTACCAAACTTCACCTCTCTGATTACTTGTCTGAACTTGTGGAGACTACATTGGAAGAATTACAAAAATGTAATTGTATCCTAGTCGAAGAAGAGGACATCACTGCCATGAATCTGGGTACAATTACCTCCCATTACTATGTGAAACATTCTACGATTGAAATTTATAGCACTTCCATCAATGCCAAGACCAAGCTGAGAGGTCTCTTGGAAGTATTGAGTTACTCGACAGAATTTGAACAATTACCAATACGACAAAAAGAAAATCACATTCTACGAAAACTAGCAGCTCATGTTCCTCTTAAAATTGAAAAACCAAGCTATAATCAAGTTCCAACCAAAGTGAACATTATTCTTCAGTCACACTTTTCGAGAACCAAACTCACACCTGCAATGGAAAAGGACAAGAAATCAGTTCTTGTCAACTCAACCAAGCTTTTGCGAGCCATGGTTGACGTGATTGGTAATGAAGGATTTTTAAGTCCTGCCCTCGCAGCAATGGAATTGTCACAAATGATTACACAAGCTCTCTGGGATAAAGATCCATATCTCATGCAATTGCCTCATTTCACGAAGGATCTTTGTAAGAGATGTGAAGAAAAGGGAATTCATTCGATTTTCGATTTAATTAATATGGAAGATGATGAGAGAAACCAATTACTTGGTTTAACAGATGAACAAATGGTGGATGTTGCAAAGAGTCTGAATAGATATCCTAATATTGAGTTGGCACAAGAGATTGTGACACCAGCTGAAGATATCATTGTCAAGTCAACTGTGACTCTTGCCGTTCGATTTGATGCTGATGAAGTTGGAGATGAACCAGTTTATGCTCCTTATTATCCTGAAGAAAAATCAGAAGAGTGGTGGATTGTTATCGGAGATCCTATCAACAATGAAATCAAATCTATTAAGCGTTTGCCGATTAAGAAATCTTGCGAGACCATGGTGAAATTCCTTGCTCCAAACAAACCAGGCAAATACGAATACAAGTTGTACTTTATGTGCGACTCGTATACTGGCTGTGATCAAGAGTACCCAATCACTTTTACTGTTTTAGAGGGAGAGGAGAGTGAAGGAGAGATGAGTGACGATGAAGAGGCATAAATGTTATTAAATTATTAAGTACTAAAAAGTTGAACTAAAATTTACTTGTTTGAAACAACTTCATAAGAAATGAACCGTCCATTCTTGGTTCCAATCAGCAACGTATTATTCTCTGCAAGGGTCATAAAGGTGGCATAGTCGTTAGGGCCCAAGTCTAAAAGCGTTCCTCTTTCAAGCAAGCTGGCTCCTCCCCACACTGAAATCGTTCCGTCAGTGCGAGAAATAAACGTGTATATTCCATCGTGGCTGTAACAAGCAGCTGACAGATCTTTCCACTCCCTGCCTGCACTCTTTTTACGGAATGACTTTCCACAGACCACAACACGTACAGCAGTGTCATACTTGACGAGTAGTTCTGTTGGCTTTTGTGGGTTCACCATCATGTAAGGAATAGCAGTGCATGCCGCGTCTGGCTCATATTTGAGAATGCTGTCTGGGATAAGCTTTCCCTCCTTATTCAATTCAACTCTACAAACTTTTCCATTTCTCAGCAATAGATATCGGTAAGATTCGTTTTCAGCGCACGTCAAGATCATGACAATAGCGCTATTATCAATATTTCCCAATAGTTCTATTGACTTGAGCTTGATGCTAGCCAAATAGAGATCACCTGTGGCAGTACCGACAAGAGGACAAGTTGTATCGCCCTGCATCAAAATGCTCGTCATATTTGTGTTGAAAGTATAATTATAAAACTTGTCAGACTCTAATTTCAAAAGGAGTAGCATGTTTCGGTTGGCAATCTCAATAAACAAGGTGTTAACAGCAAACGTCATTGAGGGTGGAAATTCGCTCTCTCCCATATGTACATATTCTGCAAGCTTTTCATCGGCAGCCTGATTCTTCAGTTCTTGAAAATCCTTAATGTTAAAAACTCTCCATTGCAACCGTTTATCCTTTTCTCCTCCGATAATTGTGGTGACAATGGCTTTTGTGTTTGAACCACTATGTGTAATAATTGAATGAATTGGAGAATCAAATATCTTAACCTCATTCTGCTTGACGAGTGAAAAGAGTTGCTTGTGTGTGGCCACGCTCTGTGTGTCGGCCGAAGGCGTAGCAGTTTCCGTTTCTGATACAGCAGACGAGACGTGTGTGATCTTGGTTTTCTTAGTTGGTCGAGAGTATGCAGACCATATTGATACAGTGGTTGCTTCTACGTTCATATTCTTGGTAGTACTCACTGGAGCTTGCTTAGTTGGATTAAAGTCGAACACATATTGCAAAGAATTAATCAGAGCAGTGGAATCAAGTTTCTCAAATTTCGATGGAATATCTGGCTTGTCTACACAAAAATGATCTTCAATATTTTCCAAATCCTTTGAAACGACTTCTGCACATTTGCTAATGACCATATCTCTGGAAATGACGTTCGACAGCTTGTCAAATTTTAACAAATCACCATACTTGAGTTTGGCTTCTTGATCATAGAGTCCCAAGTTTTCCATCTCTGTAATGAGTTTCAAAGCTCTGGCTGTTTCACCTTTGAGCATTAAACAAGGGAAAAAGGCATAAAAGATCCTACGCATGACTGTGTTGTATTCAGAATCACGAATGAATCGTTTGCAAGTGGTCAAGTAAGCCATTGCCCTCTCAAATTCTCCAGCCTGTATGAGCTTGATGAGTCTTCTCTTGTTGAAGAGCTGTAGAGCAATTTCATAACTGTTTTTAAAACACATAAACAGTTCGGAACCCAAACAAACAAGGATATCAGTCATCATCATCATTATTATCGTAACCCAAGCAGTGATCATCATGAAATCATGATTGCCAAGAGGTTCCATAATAACGATAGATTGAACGTCCAATCAATCATTCATTAATTTGAATTGATGAAATCATATGTACATAAATTTAGCAGCTTGTATTGAAAAGCCTTCTCTCTTCTTCACCACTTACCTTTCTAAAGGCTTTGTAAATCCTCTCTCATGCATGAAATGAAAAACAAAAGTATCAATGTGGTGGGTAGCCTCCGCAGCACTCACAGATGATTGGTCCAACAATCTACCCCGAACATCTTCTGGCATCACATGGTAGGCAACTTTGTTCGTTGTTAATGATGATGGCGGCGAGGATGTTGAAGTTGTTGTTGTACCTTCTGCTGATGATGTGCTTGGATTGATATTATCTGTAGAAGGATTGGAAGTACTCATAATATATGATGATGAAAAGTCCCCAAGCAGTAGCAGTAACAACAACAACAAATGAAGAGAACTCTCAAAATTTCGTTGTTTAAATGAATTTATCACGACAAAAAAGCGACCCAAAGGGAGATCAATTTTTTTTGAATGTCTGCAAATGAACGACATGCAGAACAAAAAAATTTGTGTTCCCTTCCTCTGAACCAGACAACGTGATCCGCTCTCGTTTGTTGTAATGCATTACAGTTTTTTGGCCCTTCTCTATGATTCGCCGTCTCGATGAAGAAGCAAGTTTCATCATCATGCAACACGCGTTCGGACAATTTATTTAATGATTTAAAAAAAAAATTACGTCCTCTCTCTTTCATCGGCAATGGCAACCACAACCACTGATTCATCATCATCGTCATCCTCTGCCTTGATCTATTTGGATTATAATGCAACCACTCCGATTCATCCAGTAGTGGGACAAACCATGATTCCGTACATTACTACACACTTTGGAAATCCTTCATCATCACATCAGTATGGAGCAATTACCAAGAAGGCTGTAACTCATGCTCGGATTCAAGTTTCTGAATTATTGAATTGCTATCCAGAGGAAATAATATTTACAAGTGGAGGAACTGAATCTAATAATTATGCTATCAAAGGAGTTGTGGAGACAGCCTTACTCAAACGATCCGAGATGATGAACTCGAGGAAGGAAAATGAGGAAAAATCTTCATCATCATTGCATGCACCACTCGTACATTGTATCAGTTGCAAAATTGAACATCCATCTATTTTGGAGGTTTTTAAATATTTGGAACAACGATATAGAGGTCTTGTTGAAATTACCTATTGTGGTGTCGATAGTAATGGAGTGATTAATTTAGAAGAATTGAAAAATGCTTTGAGAAAGGAAACTGTGCTGGTGAGTGTGATGCATTCCAACAACGAAGTAGGCACTCTACAACCCATCAAAGAAATTGGAGGAATTATTCGAAATTTTGAGAAAACAAATGGAATGCAAAAACATTCTATCCTGTTGCATACTGATGCTGCTCAAAGCGTCGGAAAAATATTAATTTCTCTTTACGACCAACAAATATTTTCACATGTTGACGATGAGGAGAAGGGAGTTAAAATTGCTATCGATAGGAATAATATAAAAAAAGAGCTGAAAGAGTTGAACGAAAATTATGTCAGTGAATTGTTTGGAGATGACGATGAAATCTCACCCGTTCATTTACTCTCTGTGTGTACTCACAAATTTTATGGTCCCAAAGGAGTGGGCGCCTTGTTTATACGAAAAAATTGTGGAATTCAACTTCAAAAACAAATGCATGGAGCTGGTGTTCATGAGAAAGGTTTTCGATCAGGAACAGAAAATGTCATTGAGATAGTTGGTTTGGGAAAAGCTTGTGAATTGAGCTTGGTAGAAATGATTGCCAGAGTGACACACATGAAAAAGACAAGAGATTTACTCCATTCAGGACTACTGGACAGACTACAACATCGCATCTTTCTCAAGTTGAATGGACATCCAGAAAAAAGACTTCCCAACACACTCAATATTTCCTTTGCAGGGCTTGAAGCAAACACGATTTTGGATGACATTTCACAATACGTAGCTGCCAGTGCTGGTGCTGCTTGTCACTCGACATCCCACTCGGAGGACAATGACGAAAGCAAGTCCACTAAGAAAATTGTTATTTCACAAATTCTCGAAGAAATGGGTGTGAGTGTGAATGTTGGTATGGGTACAATACGATTTTCAACAGGAATTCATTTAACAGAGGAGCAAGTCAAGAGAGCGATTGATATTATTGCAGAATCCGTTTTGAAAATGATTCCAGAAACAATTCCCACCACACATAACACAAATAGTTTACAAACTTCTGCTATTAATTCAGAGACACATCTCACATCTCAAAATAATCACTCCAATGCACTTGTAGGATCGTTATTACCACTGAGCTTGACCACGAATCATGATGCTACAAGCAACACCGAGAAAGCTTTATCGCCCACAACAGCCACTCCTCTGTCAGATATCAAACTAACCAGTACTACTCATGGACTTGGTTGTGGATGTAAAATTAGAGCACAAACACTTTCAGCCGTATTGAGAAAGCTACCGCTTCAACCAATGAATCCCAATGTACTGGTTGGAACTGAGACCAGTGATGACTGTGGAGTTTACAGGTTGAATGCAGAACAAGCTCTATGTTTAACAGTTGACTTTTTCACTCCCATTGTGGATTCACCAAAAGATTTTGGTGCCATTGCGTGTGCAAATGCTCTTTCAGATGTGTATGCTATGGGAGGAGAATGTAGAGTAGCTTTAAATATTGTGGCGTTCCCTGTCAAACGTTTACCCTTAGAGATTTTACAACAAATTCTTGAGGGAGCACAAATGAAAGCAAACGAAGCAGGTGTGACAATTATTGGAGGTCATAGGTATGTCATTTATTTATTATTTTGTGAATCTATAATCTCTGAGTTTAATGATAACAATATCAGTATTGAGGATAATGAACCAAAATTTGGAATGTGTGTCACAGGTGTTGTACATCCTGACAGGGTTTGGAAGAATGTTGGATCTCGGCCAGGAGACGTCTTGATTCTAACAAAGCCTATTGGAACTGGTATCATTACTACGGGCTTGAAGAAGAACATGATCACTAGTAGTGATGAGAGCGCCAAAAAGTGTGTCGAGTGGATGTCAACGCTCAACAAGAAATCTTCAGAAATATTGAGAGGAAAATACAGAGAAGAACAACGAGATGTGTCCTATACAATTCATGGTTGTACAGGTATGTATTGAAAGTTGTTGAGTTATTATTATTGAATCATGGAAATCGTTTGAACATGTTAAATTTAGATGTAACTGGTTTTGGCTTACTGGGTCATCTTAAAGAAATGATGACTTTGTCTGAGTGTGGAGAGGAGAGAATTTATGCTGAAATTGAATCCTCTAAGGTACCAATCATGGAAAATGTTTACAACTTGGTTGTGTCGGATGTTATTCCAGGCGGTACTGTGAATAATATGAATTTTGTCTCAACTGTCACCAAATATGAAGATTCAGTGAGCTCAATTCATAGAACCATTTTGAACGATGCTCAAACTAGCGGAGGATTATTATTCTCTGTCCCACCACATGAAGTTGAAGAAATAAGGAAAGATTTTATGAATCAAGGAGTGGAAATGTGGATTATTGGTTGTGTCAAGGCTCACCAAGACACTCAATCGTCTTATTCCATTCGAGTTGTGTAGTTTCAAAAATTGCTGCCAATCAATAACATGATGTTCATTTATTTCTTTGGAGGTCTTATCATTTGCTTTTTAACCTTTGGTTGGGCAAGGTCCATGAGGAAAGATGGATCTTTCATCATGAGTTCACTGACCTTCTTTGGATCCTTCATCACAGTGGAACCCATTTTACCCATCACTCCTTTGATTTTGTCAAACATTTTCAGCATTTTGTTAATTTCTGTGATATCGACCTTTGCTTTTTTAGCCAAATCTAATCTCCGTGCACTAGAGGATTGTAAAAGTAATGGTTGTAACTTTTCTTGTTCAGACATGTGGTTAATAATTCCTTCGTGTGCATCAAAAAATGATAAATCCATACTGTCCAGTCGTTCTCTGAATTTTCCAATCATACTCTCTGGAAGATAACTTGCCATATTCTTTAAAGAACCCATCTTTTTCATGGCACTAATGTGATCCAGGTAATCCTTAAATGTGTAAGCTCCCTTGCTGTATTGAACAATTTTAGCTTGAGCTTGTGAGGCATCAATGTTCATGGCCTCTTTGGCTTTGTGAGCGAGTGCCATAATGTCACCACCTCCTAAAATTCTCTTTGCCAAACTTTGTGGATCAAATATTTCCAAGTCATCCATTTTCTCACCCACACCAATATATTTCACACTCAGTCCTACCACCTTTTTCATACTGATTGCACAACCTCCACTACTTGTACCATCCATTCGTGTCAAAATAGTACCTGTCAAACCAACACGATCATGGAATTGAGTTGCAATATTCACAGCATCATTACCAAGCATAGAGTCTGCCACCAATAAAGTTTCATTGGGTGTCACAATTAGTCGTAATTCTTCCAATTCTTTCATCAATTCTTCATCGATATGCATACGACCAGCTGTATCGAAAATGATGGTATCAAAATGTTCTCCATTTGGACCTACATATTGCATGGCTCTTTGTGCAATTTCAATTGGCATTTGTCCTGCAATTATTGGCAGCGATTCAACTTGAATTTGGTGAGCAAGAGTTTCAAGCTGAGTCTGAGCAGCAGGACGATAAGTGTCCAACGACACCAGCAAGACTTTCCTGTTTTCTTTTCGTTTCAGTTGAAGAGCCAACTTGGCGCTTGTAGTTGTTTTACCAGAACCCTGAATACCCGTGACCATGATAATGGATCGTTGCTCACTCGCCTTGTTCAATTGCAATGGTTCAATATGACCTCCCAACAATTCCGATAATCGATCCATGACCATTAAATAAACAGTGGCTGATTTTGGTAACTCCTCTGCTTTTTGATTGGGACCTAACCATTTAGCAATACGAGAAATAGTTTTTGCAAGCTTTCCACCGTCTTCCGATGAGGGTAACTGAGATTCCTGTGCTTGAACAATGGTAACACCGATAGCATCTTCAGTAACTTCCTTGATGAATGATGTAACTACAGATTCAGCAACGTCCGCATCCAATAATGCTACTCTCACTTTTTGCATAGCCTCTTCAACATCTTCCTTGGTGAGAGTTTTCTTTTTTAATAGAGAACTAAAAGCATTGGACATGTTGGAAGTGAGATTGGAGAATAATCCATGTCGTATGTGGGAGGTATGATAATTTCTATGATTTGAATGTTCTATTCTTGTGGATGATGTTGTTTTGTTGAATTTCAATAATAATGGATGATGATGTCCATTCCGAACAACTTGTAAATTATTATTGGTTGAAAAATTGGATGCACTAATGTGTGTATGCATACATGCTCTGAGTACTGATGATGATACCGACAGTTTAAATAGTTGTGTGGATTTTGTTGAATGATGATTGGAAGAAACAAGGCTCCATGTTTTTTGAAGTGCTTTCATTTTTTTTAATAATAAACAAAAAACAATAAAAAAGCTTGTAAGACACCTTTCGCATTCAATAATGCTTTGCACAATCTTTCAACTTTTTCGATTTTTCTTGAGAATACTTGAGACTCCTGCTCAACAAGTCGCAATAGGCCAAATGGTAATATGAATCATTGGGAAAATTGTTCATAAATCGTTCAAGAATTGACAAGTGTTTGCTCCAGTAATTTCTTGTTAAGACTAGTCCAAATTCTGGCATTGCCTCAATCACGTCTCTCAGCACAACTTCATCTTCTATCAAATGTAAAGGAAGAATGGAGTGTGCAAATTTGTGTAGAGAGCGTTTTGTAATTGTTGGGCTTTTCTTGAATATTTCCAAGATGAGATGCAAAACTTTGCTTGTGAATTCTTTTCGATTTCCTGTAGATCGAATAAATTCCAAACTTGATTCCACTTTTCTTGGACCTTGCCATGATTTAAAAAAATGTGCAAGCAAGGTATATTTGATTTGTGTCCATGATTGGTGATTTGAAACTTGTGTCTTGAAAAATCCAAACAGTTTTTTCACAAATTCGAAATGGTATTGTGGCTTCATGAATATCCGGTTGGAGTATTGATTGGAAAATAATGCATGAAGAACAGAGGGGTGAAGTTGTGTTTCGAGTGGTGCTGTAAAATAACAATCTATGCATGTCAAATCTTTGGAGTAGCCATATCTGATGCAGTACCGTCGATGCATGGCGCTTATCACCACTTGTGGATCTTGCTTGAATTTTTGTGGTAAGTTCTGCCACACTCTATTCACGTTTCCACATCCTTTCATGAGCTGTGGCATTATATCCAAGGGAAAATTTGGTGGAATGTGGTAATTCCATTTTTCAACATAATAGTTCCATTCATTACTCATCATTGTTGGAGCTAGATTTCTCAAAATATGCACATTTTTCTGTTGAATGACGAAATAATACAGTAGATCTTTAAATCTGTTGTTAGAGGATGTCAAATTATGATTGGATTTTGTTACCAATACGAATAATTCTTTTGTTCCAATGTGAAAGTAAATAAAAGGGTCATATTGAAATGGAGGTTTCATTGTTTGTCCCCTCGAATCTGTAACACTTCCAGCATTCTTAATAATTACCAAAGCAGGATATGAATACTTGTTGATATCTTTGACATTAGCGGTTACGCCCTGAAGTGCTGCTCTACAAAATGCATATCCTTTTAGCCAATCCAATTTCACACAATTCATAAATATATTATTGGATTGAATGAGTGAAAGAGCCAACACTTTCAACATTGCATCATCATTCTCATCATGACCACTGTTGTTACTAATGGTGGCCGCGCGAAGTAGTACCGATTTTTCAATGGCATTCTCCCATAATTTCTTTAAACTTGTTGCCAATGCTTGTTGATTGAAAGTACATGGAGCCCATCGAAGCATTCCCTCAATGACAGCCAAGTAACAAACTTTAGAAATCAAAGCATAATTTAAATAATCATCATCATCATCATGATTCGTGAGATGAACATTCTTGCTGAATCGCATGGGAATAAATGAAAAAATGTTCCGAAACAATTGAATCGCCTGTACGGAATGTTCAAAAGTACAATCACACAAAGCAGAGGGAAAACATGGTGGTGTTGTATCGTCTCGAAAACGGCCCGTAATACCATCGTAGTGTTGTTCTAACAGACGACAACGCTTCAATTCTTCGGCATGTTGTTCATGATCGTGTTTCAATAACATGCGGAGCGAGGTCCGAAAAAAATTCATTTTTTTTATTATCTAATAATAAATCACACCAAGTCCATGATGATTGATCGAGCTAGAAGGGATTTGTAAACTCTCAAGTATGAAAATTTGGATAGGTATAAAATAAAGTCAAATCAGCAATGAACATGTGAAACTCTATCTGTAATGCAAAAATTCAATTAAATTCTTCAAGTATTCACTTTCTGAAATGGATTTGACATCTTCATGGCCAATATTGTTGAAACTTAAATCAAGAACAGTCAAATTCTTTAAATTGTGGCCAGACGCGATGAACTTGATACCTTGAGAGCTGATTCCGTTGGAACTTAAATTCAACGTCATCAAGTTCTTTAACTTTTCACTGTTGGAAATGAATTTGGCACCCTCATTTCTGATATCGTTGGTACTTATATTTAGTAAAGTTAAATATTTCAAATTGTCACTACCCGAAATGACTTTGGTGCCTTCATGGCCAATCCTAGTTCTACTTAAATTTAGTGAAGTTACATTTTTCAAATTGCAGCTAGAAGAGATTAATTTAGCGCCTTCAGGGCCAAGAAAATTCCGTGACAAATCTAAACAAGTTATATTTTTCACATTATCACTAATGGAAATGTATCTGATACCTTCCGTACCTAAATTGTTACATTGTAAATTCAATTCCATTAAATACTTTAAATATTCGCTAGCGAAAATGTATTTGGCACCGTCACGATCAATATTACTCGAGCTCAAGCTCAATGAAGTCAAATTCTTCATATTGCTACTCTTGGCAATGGCTTCTGCACCTACAGAGCTAACATTATTGAAGCTTAAATCCAAGGAAGTCAAATTATTAAAGTATTTGCAATTAGTAATGAGCTTGGTTTCTTCTGGTCCCATGTCGTTAGAGCTTAAGTCCAATAATGTTAACTTGTGCAATTTTTCACTGTTGGTGATGGCTTCTACTCCTACATGGCCAATATTGTTATCATACAAATACAATGAGGTCAAATTATTTAAATTTTCAGTAGAGACAATCAATTTAACTCCTTCGTTGCCAATATTGTTTTCACCTAAATCCAGTGAAGTGATATTGTTCAAATAGGAACTATTTGCAATGAATTGAACACCTTCGTCACCCATATCGTTGAAACTTAAATCCAACAACATTAGATTTTTTAAATTTTCACTCTCCGAAACATATTTTACACCTTCAGAACCAATATTGCCACTCAAAGTTAGGGAGGTTAAATTTTTCAAGTGTTCACTAGTAACAATATATTTCACTCCTTCACCAATATTGTTTTGGTACAAATGAAGAGAAGTTAAATTTTTCAAATTGTCACTCTTGGCAATCAATTCAACAAATTTTGGGCCTGATTGACTCGAGACTTTGTTATAGAACGAAAGAGCCAACGGAATTTGAAATGATACTTCTCTCCATTGTTTTGAAATTTTCATGCCCACTCGGAGGATGAACATGGTATCAAAAAATCGGAGAATCTCAAAAATAATATCATCACAAAGTGGTCCCTTGCAATGATGAATATTATTTTCCATCACTGATGAGTGTATCATTTGCACGTCTGATAATAATTAATTTCTATGGTTAATGTCGGAAGGGTTGATATAATCGGGAAAGAAAATTTAAATGTTGAACATGTATTTTTTGTTGTGTTGATTTTTTTTCTACAAAACAAATTGAGGTGGAACAAACATTTAAGATCTTAAAACACGAACTTTCAAAACAATTAGGATCCTTTATTAGGATCCATTCCTTGGTTACTTCAACACACAGGGTATTTCCTTTTTCAGAAATAAAAACGGTACAACCATTAAAAAAAATGGGCAATTCAACCACAAAGACTCTCCCACAGTCCCAAAGACCTCAACGAGAAGATCAGCAAACATTCCAAGTTGAGACCAGAGAGGAGGGAACGAGATTTGTTCGTGACGATTCTCACAAAATCATGCGTCGATTATTTTCAGAAAATTATCGGTTAGTTTATAAATCAAAATCACTGAAACATGATGATACCCAATAAAGAAAAGGTCTATAATTTCGAGAATATGAGCACTTTGGAAGAACATTATCCAGATGAAATTATGATTCATATTCTACAATTTTTACCATTGGAATGCATCAAACAACTTGGACGAGTTTCAAAAAACTTTTATCATTATTGGATTGATTTTCCTCAATGGTGGAAGAATACGGCGGATTGTTGTTCCATGTTATACTTGCCAGAGTGGTATGAAAACAATACTCGAAGGAATATCTGGTATTACCACAGTCAATTTAAACCCACCATTTTAAATGCATTCAAATGCATGTCCAACAAGAATCATCACGAACATGATCCGGTCGTATTAAAGTTCGTACTTGCTGGTGCTCAAAAGAGTGGGAAAAGTATTCTCGCTGATCGAATTTTCAAAGAAAAACCATATGAGGATTCCAACTATTTTAATACGATCGGTGTGGAGTTTCGTACTAAGGTGGTGCGTTTCTATGAAGAGGAGCAATATGCAATACAGTTATGGGATATGGGAGGAGACCAAAAATATAATACAATCTTGAGGAGCTATTTTAGAGAAGCTAGAGCGTATTTCTATTGCTTTGATCTCGGTGATCATTCATCTTTTGAAAATACTCTATCCAAGTTTGAGGATTGGAAGTCTCAATATGAAATTGCAAATGTTTACGACGTTTTGGAATCTACAGATGCATGTCTGATATTGCTAGGACTTAAAGCTGATCTTCCTCACCAAGTCGATCGAGAGGAAGTATATGAGTTTTTAGAAAAAATTATTCCCAGCTCTGACACCAAATATTTGCACACTTGTCGAGTTCAATATTTTGAATTGAGCAGTAAGAGAGACTCGTACCAAGATTTGATTTTACCTTTTATTTATGGATGTTCTGTTTTGGGAAAGCTAGTCCCATAACTATGCATGTCATTGAGAAAACCAGGTTTTTATTTTCTTGCAAACATTCGAACATTCGGATGTATTCAAACATTTTAGTACGTTACAAATTGATGAGATGGCTTGAAAATTTGTGAAATAAACAGTTTCCAATTTGACAGGCACGTCACTGGCTCCTTTGATGGCGGAGGTGCATATTGATACTTTTCAGGACTGAAATACTCAACTGATGTCTTGTTGTTACTGATCATGTACACCTGAACTCCTGTCATGAACGAGACAAACGCAAACACTAAACCTGACAAGCATAAATTTCCTAAATTCAATAAGAAAAAGAATACGGTTGAAACCTGCAAAATTGGATCAAAATGTTTGAGAAATTCTTGCAACTCCAATGACCGTGCATCTCTCCACAACTCTGAAACAGATTTTCCGTACATGAGAGCAGTTCGTTTCTTTGACTCTAATTCGTAAGCTAAATTAAAGCTATGCGTAACCTCATGAATGCACAAGTAAAATAAATACAAAACCAAACACAAGCATAGAGCTGTTTGAATGATCATGGCAATCAAAAAGAGTATAAAAACAAGCTGATTCTTCTCTCCAACGCAATTCGAAATCCACAAACAGTGATGGTCATATTTGGCCGTTCTATGACCACACCTTGAACAAAACTTGGACCGTATTGGGAGCTCTGGTTGTCGAGGAGGTGATGTTTCTTCTTTTTCAGGAGCGGAATTGCTTGCAACAGGAGTGGTACTGGTTGTTGCTGTATCTTGAGCTGTAGTATCATTGTCACTCTCTTTTTCATTGTCTGAGGAAATTTTGTTACCTACTCTCTTTCTTAGAGTGTTTTTCGATTCATCGCTTGTTGGAGAATGTGTTTCAGAGTTGGAGCTCTCTTTAGGGTTCTCTGCTTTGCATGAAATAGTGGATGCTTCATTGGAAATGTCAACTACAATTGCGTCCCTTCTTGAAATGTATCCAATTCTTTTCTCGTCGCCCTCAACAAAAACTCGTCCTGGATTTGACCGCTTGCAATATTCATAGCTCGCATAACTCAAGAACCAGCATAAACAATACATCCAAAATACCCAACTGGCATTCATAATATTTAAATTCTCAAATTTCTGGGTTCCCAAACTCGAGTAAATTTCAAGAAGTGGATATTTGTGGGTCGGACTCGATGAATTTTCAAAAATTCGGAAAATGTCAATCCAGTAATAACTAATCACTAGCGGCATCAAAGCCATATAGAAAAATCCTAATAAAATTAATAAATAAACCATCTTTTCTAAATCTCTATTATATCTCATATTCTTTTCCTTTTTAATTTTCTTCTTATCCTCTTCCGATTTTGAAGGGTCGTCATCCTTCTCATCATCCTGGTCATCTTCATTACAAATGGCATATCCTGGACACCACCGATATCTACAACACAATAAATTACATCCGATCCTACATGTTGCATCACATGTTTTATCCCACAAGATCAAACAACAATCCTCAACACCACACAACAAACACATCAGTAATTATTTTTTTTTGTAACAAGTGGTCTCTTGTTTTTATTATTCAACGGACGTTGCGATTCTCTCATTGTTTGTAATTCTTTAGCATTGTTTGTCTTTGACCTCAAATCTGTACCAGTCCTATCTGGTCTATTTGAAATTGGCAGGCAAAAAGGATTTCGTTTCCAAATTACCAATTCAAGAAATTCACAAATAGTTGCATCACACAATAAAAAAATCAAACAAGCTTCATTCTCGAGAGGTTGTTATTGGGGGTTACAACCACCCACTGAAAGAAATTGGATGCAACTCGGAACAGCGTTGATGGCACCTCGCTCTGTTCTTGTCCTGCTCTTTATAACCCTCATTCTCCTTGTGCTGGAGCTTGAAGCTCAAACCGACTATACCATCACATCGTTTTCTTCAGAAGTAAGTTTTGGAACAGAGACTTTGTATTCATGCAGTGTGCATGTGGTTGAGAATGTTGAGTATGCATTTCATGGATCCTATTCCACTGTGTCTCGCGCTGTTCCATATGGTGTTGCTGATGACATTCCATCGTCGTTAGTGAAAGTAGAAGTATTGACTCCTAATTATAATGTGTCCTCCACGAGTATTGACCCTAAAAAGTTTTCCTTTGACATTGTCAGTACCTTCTATCCAGCTACACCTTCTGGAGTCACGACAACAATCAAAATTCGAAGATCCTACATTGCAAAAGGCCCAGTAACGAGGGATGTAAGTTATTGAACTATCATGATTTACTGTTGTGAAACCTGATTTTTACCAGGACAAACAACACAACGTTGTGACATACTATTACAAAGAAGCATGCGATGTCTCCAATTTGAATGTGTCATTTGTCTTTGATAGCTCCCTCAACTTGAATTCAAACAATTTAACTGCTATGAGTGGAGGATTGGTCTATGGAACAACAGTCATGTTTTACAAATCATTCTCAAGTTCCAATGATGAATTTATTCCATATGTCACTTTCCCAATTCGTTCTCAATTTTCTTCATGTGCTGCACCAACCACTCTTGTAGCCCTTATTTTAGTAATCGTTGCTTGTGTTTTAGCTGTTGTTACAACTGCCGTTATTATCAATGTAGCATATATTAAGATTTTCCTGAAGGTAGGAGAGAAGGCTTCAGAGGGTAGGAATTTATTGGAACACTAAAGATTGTGTTATTATTTTTATCTTAAAAAAATGTCAGTGGAAAAGGGAAGTGTGAAATTTTCATCACCCTCCGATCCAATATTGTTATTGAATGAAACACGGAATGATTTTAAATGGATGAGTGAAAATGAGTGTGTGCATGATGATGAAAATTATGAATGTACTCGAGTTGTTTTGCACGATTTTAATGAAATATTTCATTGTGTGGACGAGTTTGATCATTCTTCCGTTTTGGCTGTACCAAAATTAAGAGAAAAACTGAATCATCAACAATTTTCTTTACAATTTCATCATGTTCAAACACTTGGCGAATTGAATAGAAAAGGTTCACTCAATTCTCGTTTCAATTATCCAATAGATGTCAAGATTGGCTATCACTTGAATTGTCTAATCGTGAGCGATAGGTGAGTTTTTTCAATTCGAACCATTCCATCATTGAATGAATCATAGCACGAATAAGAGGTTGCAATTCTTTGATTTAACAACAAAAGAATACCAATCCACTCTTTCATTGCCTTTTCGTCCCGCACAGATAACCGTGCAAGAAGGTTCATTTGGTAATTGTTTTGTTCATATTTACATCACCGAGTCTGAACATGGAATTATTCACAAGTATGACTTGAGAAAATTTGTGCAAGAAGAGTATTCAAATTTGCAAGATTTGAGAATTTGGAGTACGTCTGAGAGCATTCGTCAGACACCACACCTGCAATTCTTAAATTTGGATATTGATAACCTAGAATTCGATGGAGGAACATGTATTGAACAGTTCAATGCGGAATTTCACACGAGTGTGTTATACGTGTGCAGTAATCAAACACCAAAACGAATTTTTGTGCTAAATTGTGAAAATGGTCATGTATTGAAAATTATATCATTGACGAATAGTTCTTTCAAACAAATGTCAGCTATTCATCTTGCTCCCACGCAACACATGTTATTGATCGTAGATTCCATGGCCCATCATTTGAAATTGATCGACAAGAACAGCGGAACAATCGTTAAAATTATTGGGAAATATGGCGGAGGAGCAAGTAAGGGAAACACCAAGCCTTTACACTTTTCATATCCGAGAAATTTATGCATTGACTACAAGACTCATCTCGTCTATATTTGTGATTCTGCCAATAATCGAATTCAGGTGTTACATTTGGCTGAAAAATGCAAGTTTGTCAAAGAATTTGGAAATCAATCTCTGTTCAACATGAGCGGTAGATTTAAAACACCCTCAGGTATATGTATGAATGAACAGAGTGGAGAGCTCATTGTGGCAGATACACAACTTCAAAGAGTACAAATATTTAGGTAATAAGGTGGTCAGAGATTGGATCAAGTCTATTATCCTCACGCCAGACTGGAGACATCGACACTGTGCGTAGATGGAAGCGTTTGTTTCGCCACACTATCCCTAGATTGAAGAAGCGGCAGCCAAACATTAAGGCATGGCGCTGTTCGTCTGGAATTTCCAAGTTGGTGGTTTAGCATTGATGATACGAAAGACAACATACGGTCGTCGCATCAAAATTGAGATAGTTGGCGGAATTTCACCAAGTTCTCTTCGTGCGTGCGTACGAAAGAGAGCTATACAAATGTGGACGGGTAAATTTTTTCAACAACACAAAAATTTGCCCCAACTTTTGAAAGAGCAGCAACTACTCTCCCATTCACTACTACTACTGAAAATGTCCAAACAAGAATTTAAATTGTTCTCCTCATTGACTCTCGGAAGCAATGGAAGCACTTCCTTTAAATTGAAACACCGAGTGGCTATGGCCCCACTCACCAGATGCCGAGCAGTCGCAGGAGATTGTGAGCATACAGACCTTGGAGTTACCTATTATCAACAACGAAGCTCGGAAGGAGGTTTAATCATCTCTGAGGTATGTAACCTGTATAAACCACGACTCACAAATCTCCTCACCTTCAACTCTTGAAATAATGTAATGATATTGATTGTTGTATTGGTATTGAATATATAAGGCTACACAAATCACACCACAAGGACAAGGCTATCCAGCCACTCCTGGTATCTACTCCAGTGCTCAAATTGAGGCCTGGAAGAAGATTACTGATGCCGTTCACAAAAAAGGTGGAATCATTGCTTGTCAATTGTGGCATGTGGGTAGAGTAAGATGGGCTGATTCCGTGAGTTCATCCTCAGTGGCATTGGGAGAACATGCTACCGATTTGAAAACCATGCAACAAGTACCTGCTGAAGCACCAAGAGCGTTAACCGTTGAAGAGATTAAGCAGGTGGTAGAGCAATACGGTGTGGCCGCTAAGAATGCCATTGAGGCTGGATTTGGTAAGTACTGGGCGATATGAATCATTTAAATTTCATCGAACTGGTATTTGAATTCGATTTGAATAATTGTTTCAAACATGATTTATGTTTGAAATTCTCTGAATATGATGAATGTGAACAAACCATCAACACAGACCTTGTTGAACTTCATGCAGCAAACGGATATCTCATTGATCAATTTTTACAAGACGGAGTGAACAAGAGAACTGATGAATATGGAGGTTCCATTGAGAATAGAATTCGATTTTTGAAAGAAGTCGTGGAATCAGTTCTCTCCCACCTCAATAACGAGTCCTATCGTGTCGGTGTCAGAATTAGTCCTTCTGGAGTGTTCAATAACATGTCTGATTCGAATCCTCAAGAGTTATTTACTGAGGTGGCCAAGTTGTTGAACAATTATAACTTGGCATACTTGCATGTGATTGAGCCTAGATCCAACTTTACCTACTCAAAGGCAGCGGAAGAAGTTGAGGCGATGGCTACTGTAGCTTGTAAACAATTGAGACCCTACTTTTCAAATCCAATAATTGCAGCTGGTGGATTTAACAGACAAACAGCCATTGATATTGTTGAATCTGGTGATGCTGATCTTGTGGCATTTGGACGTTACTTTATTTCAAATCCTGATTTACCATTGAGATTTGAAAAGAACTTGCCATTGAATGTATACAATAGAGAGTCGTTCTATTATTCTGCAGATATGGTTACTGGATACACTGATTATCCTTTCTATTCTGAAGAGCAATAACCTTGTAAAAGAGAATCCAAATTCTTGATTAGTCATTGCAAATCCTAAGGCCTCTCAACGGAGCCACTCAATAAACATTGACCAAAACAACAAGATGGTGTGATACGCTTTGTTTGTTTGTTTGTTTCCACTCTGCACTCCAGTCGTAGGTATACTTAAAATTTGAACCCCTTCACAGTTGGTAATAAAGCGATGAAGTTTCATTTGGGACGAACGTCGACTCCGAAAAAAATTACCTCAAAATGAATTCCAAAAGTCATCGTGTTTCTCTGATGCTTGCTGGCATTCTGATCATGTTGGCCTTGTTGTGTTTCTTTTCAAGTGTTGAAGGTAGAAAACACTTGACCCGATTGCCCCGACTCAATATTGCCAAACAATCGTTTGGTGTGAGCGGCTTGAGCGCTGGTGCCTTTATGGCAGTCCAATTTCAAGTAGCCTTCTCCAAATCCATTGTTGGTGCTGGAGTGGTTGCCGGCGGACCATTCTTTTGCTCCATGGGCAACGTGTTGATTGCCCTTAATCAATGTATGAGAATACCTGAATTGATTGATTTGGTAGGTTTCCGAGAAAATTCTTTGAACAACAAGATGATTCATACCCTAGTCCTAAAATTTCGTCGATTGTCGAAATATTGAAACCTTAAACATATGATGAACCTTATGGAAAGGCCCTCATGAACGATATTATTCAAGGCATGAGTATGGAGAATCTCATTGATGATACCTCCAATTTGCGAAATCATCGCATGTACCTCTTCTCTGGTCTTGAAGACGCCATGGTCGTTCAGGGTGTGATGAGAAAACTCCAAACACAACTCACTCAATACTTTAATATGAGTAGAATTGTTTCCGATTGGAATGTACCAGCCGAGCATGCCATGATTACCAACGATTATGGTAATGCTTGTAATTTCTTGGGAGAGCCTTGGATTAATAATTGTGGTATGGATGTTGCTGGAAAGATCTTGTCCGTGGTGATGGGAGCACCCATTTCAAAGAATGGCACCACTCCAATTGATGATAATTTGTATACCTTTTCTCAATCGGGAAATTACTCGGCCATGAGTTTTGATGATAAGGGTTATGTCTATATTCCAACTGCGTGTCAAGGGGGACGTGCACAATGTGCTGCCCATCTCGTATTCCATGGATGTAATCAAGGTGCAAGATATATTGGTGAGACTTTTGTGCTCCATTCTGGCTATTTGAAGCATGCCGAAGCGAATAACATTGTGGTGATTTTCCCTCAAGTGAAGAAGGAGGGATTCATTGAACCTAACCCACAAGGTTGTTTCGATTGGTGGGGATACAGTGGAATTGAAACATTTGCAACAAAGAGTGGAGTTCAGATGAGAGCAATTGCCAACATGATGAATGATTTGGGAGTTCAAATTTTCTAAAGTGCTCGACAGGTGACACTAATAAACGAAACCAATCATCATTCTGTAGAACATGTTCCAAAGATGGTCCTCCATATTAGTACACGTATGCTTTTAATCTAGTGTTGTTGAGAGTTTGGCAATCTTAGATAATTATTGATTGGGATCTTTAGGTTCGTATGTGCAAGAGAGTTCAATCAACTTGTCTTCTGAAAAGTGAACCATATTGTTCAATTTGTTTTTCAATTCTGTCACTGCTTTGAGTTTGTATGCTTTTTGGAATCTCTTAATACCTCCCTGAATGACAAAGGCAAGTTTTTGTCTCTTGAAAAAGTTTATAATTTTCTTGTCTTCATTAATGTAATCCTTATTGCCATCTTCGATGAAGGTCAAATCTGTCAAATAGAGACCTATAAATGGTATGAGAGGAGGATGACATTCTTTCATAGTGGTTCTCTATAATATTGTTGTTGTTGAATATAATACATTAATTTTTCGACCAAAAATGATTCCATCAATAATTATTTCAAATCCATACATTGTGTATGACAATATTAGAAAAATGATCAAGAGAAACACCCAACACTTACCATTTCCTTATAATTCTTAGCAGTTGACACAATCTTTTCCAACTCTCTATAATTCTCCAAATGCTTCTTTGGTACAAGAGCCCATGTCTTTTTCAGTCTCATAATGGGCACACTTCTCAATCCACCAATAATTTCCTTGAGTCCATTAAAGTTGTTGAGTTTTCGTAATTCATGAGCCACTTTGATGAATTTTCGAATGGCTTTGGCACGTTTATCTTCCTTCTTATTTTCAAGAATTTGATGAGCGACCCACAACACCACCGTATTGGTTCTGTGAATCATTTCACACACGTTGGGAGCTGCTGGTTTGTTCTTATTCCAAGCTTGTCCCAAACATTCTTTAGATTGAATTTTTTGAAAGCTACGAGTGTGTGTGAAATGTTCAATTCAATGATTCAACACGTGTGAAATACATCATTGTAATGAATTCATGTAAATTTAAAATTTAAAAAAATATTATTAGAATTATTAAAAATATAAATCAATTATTAAAATTATTGAAATTATAAAACTTACATGGCACTTTCAATTAAAGTAATTTGTCGAGCAATTTCAACACTACTCCAATCCAATACTCGAACCTCATTCAAACTCTTGAAAGATGTTTTAAATGTGGATGGAAAGACTGGTTTTGGAGCATCTTCATCCGATTCGACGTCCTTTTCTTCATATTCTTTCATTTGTTTTTCGAGATATTGTTTTTGTACCGTTGCCATCGTGTCACGTTTCGATTTCAATCGTTTCATTTCAATTCTCAAATTATCTGCCAACTTGTCAAATGTTTTTGCCATGTGATTTTCAATAAAATTGGACATGAGTTTGACCAATGAAGGATTACTCTTAAAATCATTGCTATGATCAGTGATCCATCTCTTACAAATTCCATAAATATTAATTCGAGTAGGAGCCAATACAGATAATTCAAATTGTTTAAATAATTGAGGATCTGATCGAATTTGAATCGAAGGAGGAGGTAAATTCCATTTTAAGATTAACAATTCGAGAACTTTTTCAGCAGTTGTGAATGAATGATAGGTCAATAAAAAGGCATCCTTAATGGCTAAATCTTGTACGGATTGTGACATGGTCATTCTTTCAATTAATTTTTCCAAAGTTGCTCCAATCAATGAACCATCTTCTGCAAACGCAACATTTTCACCAGGAACTTCAGGTTCTTCAAATTTGGCATGATCGATAGATCGTCTTTCCATGAGAGAATCCAAATCTTCCGAATAACGAGATTCAGGTTTTTCCAAACTCGACACGGATCTCAAATGTTTCACAATTTGTTTCGTTTCATGAGCGGACAATAATGAACCATTGACAATTGATCTCAAATAATGAATCCATCGACGTCTCTCCTCTGCCGATTCACACTCAAAAATCTTTTGCTTTTCTGGAGCATAGACGAGTTTGAAACCTCGATCTCCCCATTTTTCAACCATACAAGTGTGATCAATGAAATAGAGTTTCTTTTCACGTTTCACGGAGGGATGAGAGGAATCCAAAGTGACAACATTCTTATTGATCCAACTAATAATGAGAACATTTTCAAAAAGATAGGCCTCACAAGGTGGAGATTTTTGACCTTTTCGAATTTGATAAATTAACTTGTCATTGGAATCATAGTAATTGGTGAGACATGTCGAATCAATGGTTTGTACAGAAAAGATGAAACGAGGCATGGTTGGAACTTGTTCTTCTAGAATGGAGCCTCTTCGTGGTCGAACTGTTTTGTAAACACTCGTTTCTCGTTCAGAGACTGAAGATCTTCGCATGGATCCAGATAAATTGGATTCCAAATCGAATGCCGTGTAAGATTCTAAATTTTCAATATTCAATCGATTTTGAATTTCAAAAGTTCGATTCAATTGATATGCCAATTCCAGTACTTGACTTGTGGTAATCATTTTCTTTTCTAATTTGTAGATGGCAGTGTCAAGTTTTGGACATGGATGATTTTCTGGAATTAAAGGTTGAAAAACGTCACGAATTTGAATTAAATAATATGTCAATCGAGCTGCTGGCTGTTGAATGAGTTGATCAAAGGTTAAAAATTCAGCAGCGGTCGATTGTTGTTCTTTTTTAAAACTTGCTCTTGCTTCTACATCGAGTTTGGTTTCAATGACATGTTTCAATTGCTTGTCATCGGCGAGAAGAATCTTTTGAATTCTGTATCGAAGTCCTTTTTGTGTGTAATCGACCAAATATTGATCGATATATTTTGTAATGAGAGTTTCTTGAACAAAATCGAGAATAATTTCTCCAAATTCTTCAAGCCACTGATCATTGGCCTCTGAAACACTTTGTTCTGCCACATGTCTTTTCAATTGCATTAATTTTAAATGTCTCTTGTCTGCACTAAACATGTTAATCAAATAATTGAATAATTTTTCCATTACTTCTTTTTCTCCTTCAATATTTCTTTGATGAATGAGTTCCATAATTGGATTTTTGTAAATTCGAGGTAACAAGTGACCCAATTGATTCAAATATTCTTCTTCTCTTTGAATAAACCTCTTAATATACAATCCAAGATTCTTTTTAGGAATTTGTGGCAATGGTTTTGACTTTAAATCTTGCGTCGATTGACTTTGTATTGGAATTGGAGGTAATACTTTGTGTGGTGACGATGGTAGCAGTAATAGAGGTGAGTTTGTTGTGTTCTCATCTTGGATCATTAATCGTTGTGCCATCTTATTTTGTTTGAGTGAAATTTTCGATGGAATTCGATTCAAACCAGTCGAAACTGATACATTTGCCATTGCAATGGCATTTTCAAATTGCTTAATTCTTTCATTTACACTCACAAGATCAGCAGCTCCCAAAATTCTTCTCGCAAAACTCAAATCTTCTTCTTGTTCTTGACGTTCTTGTTTTAATCGTTCTTCTTCTTCCTGTTGAGAAGTTCCATTAACTTTCAATTGAGAAGGTCTTCTTGGAGGTGGAGGAGGTGTCTTGTTAGGCTTTGTGGGCCATTGAGATGCTTGATTGTCACTTGTCTTGTCTTGTTCATAAATATCCATTTGAACACTAACACCCAATGCAATTTGCAAATGCTCAGGTAATGCTTGAATGTCATCTTGATCGATTTTTGTTGCTGAAAATGTGATGGTTGTTGAGGAAATATCTCGAGGTGAAGACGATGATGAAAATCTCATTCCAGAATAATCCAATGTCAGGAAACGACTTGATAAAATATATCTATGAATATGTACAAGTATATTATTGAAAATGTAAAATAATGTTGAAATGAAAATTGTGAAAGTTGAATATATAGTAGTAATCATCATCATCATGATTTCCAAAAATGTACAATTGATGACAGGATGTATTCCATTGGAATCAAACACACACAATGTATCAATATATTCCTATCACACACAATTTCACGATGAACACATGAATATACCTACTCTAAAACTTTTTCTGCCTTTTCGGGATATGCATACACTCCAACGGAAGCAACGATCAATGAAACTGCAAAGAAAATATCAATACTTGATGTAAAAATCACCGCAGAAAATAGAATTCCCATTCCGTAATGTGATGATGAAAGTGTGATGTCCTTTCTTCTTTGTAATCAGAGAGAGATCAAAACAACAACAATAACGGCATCCGACTCGATGGTCGCAACGGAAAGAGCTGTTGGTCGAGTCAAGTGTTTGGCACAAATTTTTTTTTAAAGGAACGTCTTCAGCTCTTTGGCAGTTGACAGTTTACATGGCGTGAATTAACTTGTCATTTAAATTGAAGGATTTCTTTATTTGTTCTATTTACATGAACGCTTAATATTTAGGTATTGGTTATTGAAGAGGTTTCTAAGGCTCTTGAATTTTAACATCAAATCGAACGCCTTTGTTTTTACAAGATTCAATAAACTTTCTGGGATCTGCCCAAATTCCTGCATAATAGACACCACCATCTCGTTCTTCGTGACGGACGTTACTCTCCGCACTTTCCACTGTCGAGGCATCTATCTCTTTCTTCAATCTTTTTTCAATTAATTGTTCGATCACTGCCACCATCGAGAGAGCTGTCAAGTCGTACACATGATCATGAAAGAGTGACAGGGAAACTTTCTTTTGTGTTTTTTCATCCATGGCATCGACTTGAATAGCAGCTCCATAAGGGGCCTTAATCTTTTTTGTTGCTCTTGCCAACCACTTGGTAAATGGATGCGAAAGGAATGACGCATGTTTCACACTAATTTGAAGTCCCAACATGATCAAGTCTGGATACAATCCCAACTCTCCCACATAGACTCCTCCATTCTTGAGTGTAGGAATGACTCGAGGCAATTCTTTCATTTCATCCAACTCGAGAGGATAGGCTCTCAACTCGGTATCGACAGAGATGAAATTAAACTTTTTTGAAAAACTGGAATTTTCTCGCCATTCAGAATCTTGTAACACTTTCGTACCAGAAACTTTCATAAATTCAGCAACATCAGATTCACCACTTGTGGAGGCGAGCCCTCCCTTTTCTCGAGTGAGAATTAAGGCATCGGCATGGGTGAGTTGAGGTAAATACTCTTCTAAGGCTGCAGCACGAACCATCAGAGATTCCATTCCTGGATACATTCCACTTTGGCAGACAAATGTCACGTGATGTTGTTGAGCAAGAGAGTGGAAATTCGTTTTGAGCATATTCATGGTTCCTGGACTCATTTGAGGATCAATATAGTCGAGACGATTGGAGAGGATGAGATGTCCCAAATGGAGAGTTTTATGTTCATCGAGAGGAGGCATGGCATTGATGATGAGATGATGTGATTTTAAGGTTTTCACGAATTGAGCATATGAATCGTTGAACTCCTCAGTGTTGCTCTTATTTTCATCCTTTGGCTGGATGGATGATGGTTCCGATCCAACGACCATATGTGAATAATCTCTTGAGAGAACGGAATCAATATCTACTTGGAAGAGGTGAATTCTTTGTTCAAGGCTCAAGGTTGGTTGAGAGGTTGATGATGAAGAGTCCTGATGTTGTTCAAGTTGTTCCTTCAGTAATGTTTCTAGGAGAGTCTCCAATCGTGCCATATTCCTTCCCATCAAGGTTAATTCATAATTCGAATGATATTGGAGGAGATATTTGGCTAAAAGTCTTCCTGTGAGACCAGTGGCTCCCATGATGCACACTTTAGCAGTTCGGGTAGATGATGATGAGGACATGATAATTCTGTATTCCAATTCCTATTCAAAAGTAATGAGAGTAATGCTACAAAACGCAACTGTTGTAGTAGTAGTAGTAGGCGAACGAACGCTTAGAGATATTTGTTTTTGTGTGGTTTCAGTTCATTTCCTCGGGCTTGCTTTATCGAGTTGATGAACACCAGGAAATCCGAGGATAAGGCGATGCAAGTGGTATTGTTGCGCGTGCGCATGCGTTTCAACTCGAGTACTCATTTTGTCTTTTTTGAAATAGTGAGCAAGTAAGCGGCGAAATTCAAAACACTAGTATTGACTTTTATAACCTTTCACTGCATGGATGCATTTCTTGCCAATTCACCCAAAAGAAAGAGAGTTGGTTATTGTTTCATTCCACCATGAATGGTCAAAAAATAATTTATTAATGTTTTGGTTTCAATAAACCAATATCTTCTAAAAAGGCATCTTGTGAAGGTTCTCGTCCCAAAAATTCTCTCAACATGTCACCTCCATCCTTAGATCCTCCTCTCTCCAAAACTACACGTCTCAATTTCTTTCCATTTTCAGGATTAAAGATTCCAGTCTTTTTGAAAACACTAAACATGTCTGTAGAGAAAACTTCAGAATACAAGTATCCATAATAACCACTGTCGTATCCTCCCATCAAGTGTCCAAAGCTTCCAGCGCCATTGGTACCTTCAGGAGATTCCAACAAGGTCACCTCACGTCTTAATCTTCTCCAGAGTTCTCCACTGTTCAACTTTTCAGCTTCCTCTGCAGTTTTCAAGGTGTGACAAGTCATGTCAAAGATGCCAAAGAATAATTGACGAAGATTGAACAAGGCAACGCCAACATTCTTGGCAGCAATCATCTTTTCAATTAAATCATCTGGTAATGGTTCCTTGGTCTTGTAGTGTGAACTGAGTTTCTTTAAACCTTCTCTTTCCCAACCAAAGTTTTCCCAGAATTGAGAAGGCATTTCTACAAAGTCTCTCTCAACACGGGTACCACTGAATCGAGCGTATTTGGTTCTTGATAAGAATCCGTGACACAAGTGGCCAAATTCATGGAGCAAGGTAATCACTTCATCGTGTTTTAACAAGGAAACGCCAGTCTCAACAGAGGGCTTGGTGAAGTTGCACACCATTGCAGAAACAGGAAAATGTTCCTTGGAATGCTCATCATAAAAGTGAGGACTCAATGGGAAGGCAGCAAAGTGTGAATACTTTCCTTCACGTGGGAAACTGTCAATATACCATTGACCCAAGAAGGCATCGGTTTCCTTATCAAAAACAGCATACAATTTCACATCTTCATACCAAACAGGAGTGTCCTTGACTTCTTCAAAACGAAGAGAGAAGGTTTCTTGAGCAATGGACAATAATCCATTCAAAGTGACATCGAGTGGGAAATATTCCTTGATCAGGTTGTCATCCACGCTGTATTGTTCTTCCTTCAATTTGGTCAACAAGTAGAGATAATCCCATGAGTATACATCAGACCCTTTGAGTTCCTTCAAGGTTTGTAATTCTTGTTTTCCTCCAGGAATGAGTTTTTCTTTAAGATTCTCAAGGAAGGTGAGAACTTCATCGGGAGTGGCCATGTTCACTTCCAAAACATATTCCGAGTGAGTCTTGTATCCCATGAGTTCTGCAATTTGTTGTCTAATCTTGACAGCTTGTTCGAAAAGAGGTACGTTGATTTCTTGACATTGAGAAGCTCTTGCAATTTCGAGCTTACGTCTTGTTTCCTCAAGTTTGCAGTATTTCATAATTGGCATTACGTCAGGATATTTGAGTGTGACAACTCTCTTATTTGGATCCTCCTCGGAGGTCTTGTAATTATTGATCACATCTTCTGGAACTCCACTCAATTCCTCCTTTGTAAATGTGAGAACTGTCTTATCTTCAGCAATATTCTTTGTGAATTGAATACATAATTTAGAGAGAGTGTTCTTGAGTTCCTTCACTTTGGATCTCTTTTCTTCAGGAAGACCCAAACCATTACGTTCATAATCTCTGAGAATTCTCTTCACCAATCTCTTATCCTCGTCATCATACTTGTCTGCTTCTTGTTGCATCTTTTCATGAACATATTTCACAGCTTTATATACATCTTCACGCATTAAAACTTCAATGGTGAATTCAGAGAGTCTTTCTTCTGCTTTGGATCCAGCATCTCTCACGTCCTTGTTTGGACTAACATAACTTGGGAAGGTGAGATTGTTCTCTTGAATGGAGCAGTAAGCTTCATCATAGGCAATTGGTAAAATGACAGTTTCAAATGTTCTCTCGGATTCTGGAAGGTTGGCCACAGCATCATGGACTGCCTTTGATTTCTCGATCAAGGCTGTAGTTTCCTTCTCAATTTGCTCGGCAGTTAAATTAAATACCAAATCATTTCTCTTGTAAAGTTCTGACATTTCTTCGTCGTCTTCGTCTTCTTTAAATACAAAGGTTGAAATAGATCGATGTTGTTGTGGATGGTTTCTTACCAAAAAATTGTAATAGGAGTTGCAGCAGTGTTGTAGGCTTGATCGTTCAATGAGCAATGGACGATTGGAATGGGAAATGGAGTAGTCTTGATGTTGTTGTTGATCGCTTCTTTTTTGAAATGCCGAAGAGGGTGAGGAGCGTGCAAAGATGGTCGAAAGCAAGCTCTTTTGATTTTTTTTTAAGATTTGACTTCCGCTGCTGCAATCAATGGATTTTTAAAGGATTGTCATCCGTTTGGGTGATGAAAGTGACCATCATGATGTTATCCAGCAGTCAATGGTAATGCAACCAAGTGATTGAATTGAAACACGTACGTTCTAGTTGCCCGAAACATTTTTTTTAATTCGTCTTGAAGATGACTCTCACAGCAACATTGATTGAATAGATTGAACATTGTGTGTCGAATTGGTTGATGTGAAACACAATTCGGATCCATACCATTAGAGATTGTAAGGCTTACTACAAACCCTTGCCTGTGTATTATTATTTATTAGTTTGGAGAATACCGAAAATTGGAACTCTGGAGAAAGTCATAAACAACGAGACTGACCTTGGCCACCTCATTGAATTTGTGGAAATAATGATGATATAATATTAAAGATGTTGTTGTTGATGAAATAGAATTTACATTTGAATTTATCTGTTCTCTGCCATAATCTTCAAAACACGAGTCTTGATGTAATTCTTTTGATAATCAGTCATGTTATTAATTTCGTCTCCGAATCTAGCGTTGATGAGAGCTTCACTTGTTCTGGTACCAGAAGTATAGGCTCTATAGATACCAGGCCAGCCGAGGAAAGCAACTACGAGTAAAGGAAAACGCCATCTTGTTGGTTTGTAGAACATTGGAGGAATGTGTCTACTGATGAAAGCATTAATTCTGAAGACTCCGTTCCAATTGGCGTGTTGAATGAGGAATTTTGGTAATTCCTTCAACTTGATTTGATGAAGAAACTTGTTATCAAAGTCGGTAGGGCGAATCTCTCTGGACATTTTTTGTGCTGATGCGAAAAACAAATATTTTTTAAGAGACTTTACAATGGCGCAAAAAACACTAGTGAACGAAGCATTAATTATTCATTTTCCAAGAATTGAAGCGTTCGAAAATGTCATGCAATTCTTCATCACTATAGTCCAGAGTAACAGTTCTGGCCGGCGTGTGTCCTGTTCTGTCATAAATTTCAGTCACCTTGATTTGTTTCCATGATTGAACCACAAAAATAAATTCCTCCTTAGATTTAATTCTTAAAAAATCATAGAGAGAGGTTGTGTTAAGGGATGGAGAATTTTCGTAGAGTATTTTGATGTGTTTTTGATGTTCTTGGTTTGGTTCAAATTGTTCATCTTTGTAGAAGAGTAAAAAGGTCTCCAAAAGAGAAGGATGGTCATATTTACATGCAAGGAATATAGGTGAATGTTTCATGGTTCCGCCTTGCATATTCATTGGATTGTTATTCGAGAGAAGAAGCTCCTGATTGGTTGGTTTCTGGAAAGTGACGGTACTCACAGCACTATTTGGATTACTTCTGTGTATGCTCAAAAGATAATAATGATAGACGAGAAGGGCACATTTCAATGAGTTACCTCCCATCGCATAGTGAAGAACCGTATTTCCAGCAACATCAGGGCTCACAAGACTTCTCACAATTCCTGCATTCTCCATATACTCGTGTAAAATGGTGAGTGCTCTCAATAGTGCTTCATACATTTGGTCAGATGGTCTCACAGAGGCATAGTGCAAGCTGTTGGTTTTGAAACTGTCCTTGGAGCATATCAGTTCTACAATGCTCACAATTGTCTTTCTACTGAGTTGATGCGACGTACTGGTTGGAATAAATTTTGACAGAAAATCTGCTACAAAGGCAGACATCTTTTCCTCAATGGCAACATGAAGAAAGTTCTGATTTCGAGAAACATTGACTCTATCATAGGGAATAAATTGACTTGTTAGGTATTGAGCTGTTTCAGTGTGGCCATATTTGCAACATAGATGGAGAGGAGTGCTGCCGAATTTTGTTGTTTTGGAGCACATTGCTCGTAAAATTTCCTCACATCTTGGGTTGGTAAAAAGATATGCAAGCACACCAGTGCGTCCAAATCTTGCACATTCATGCAAAATGGTCCATTTTGCTGTTGTTTCACCTGAATAAGGTGAATTTTCATAGATTATTATTGTTCAGTGTGAAATATTCGAATAACATGTTTTCATGTGTAGGTTTGTTTCAGAATGTGTTGAATAATTTAAAATGAAATGTTCCAAATTTGATTATTTTCGAAAATGAAATATCAAACGTGCATTCAACCAAGAAGGATTGAATTCCCACAACGAAAAATTTCTCTCGTGGTCATCCATAAATGAAACAACCTACCTGATAATTGTAAATGTGGTATTTCATCTAGGAGAAGCTTTACACAAGATAGGTGACCAAATCTGCAAGCATAATGAAGGGGAGATCGCTGAAAGCATCTATTCTTTCCGTGAGGTGTTAGAAATATAGATGCACTGCTTGATCCAGAAGCATCACTTGCTTTTCCACCATAAAAGAATGATGCAATTTTTGAAAGAAACGATGAGGTATTCGTTGTTGATGAGCCGTCCTCCTGATGAACCAAGAGATTTTCCAATGAAAGAGTGCCTGCTTTGAATCCCGAAATAAGAATTTTCAATGTTACGACATCTCCTTTTCGGCAACATGTAAAGAAATTGGGAACAGGGATTATGTTTCCTTCATCGTCCTTGGTAATCGTAATTTCAATTGTTTTTGTAATGAAATCATGGCCTTCCACCAAATTTACGCTTATTTTCGTTTTGTATTCATCATTGTTGCTCTTTCCGATCATTATAATAATTGTTCAACAAGTTCTTTCCATGCACAAGAGTTGATATAGTATAATATTGTAATTTCCAAGTAAATGTATATAAAATCAAATCCGATTCGGTGTATGGTCCAGAGGCTAGTGTTCAATGTGCTTGACTCAAAATCTTGATGTGTGCTTGCAATGAACGTAAGCTTAAAATTTTTCGTTTGTTGTTGTATTGTGAAATGCGAAACGAAGTAAAACAACAACAATTCAAAATATTTTTTTTTGATGAATTTCCTCTTTGGTTGAACTCATTCTTGTCCCTAACCACCACTTGACAACATGCGTCCTTAATTTCCATGAATTGTTCCCTGAATGATTCTAGTTCTAATTCATCACTGATTGATTTCATATCTAAAACATTAAAAAGAACTCAAATAGAAGCAAAAACAACAACTCATCTCGAAAAAATTTACAGCATCACACAAACTGTTTTCCTCATCAATTCCAATAATAATCCAACGAACACCTTTCATTAGCTAGAATGGCTCTGACCACTGATCCCAATAACACGACTCAACAACCACAACTTCCACCACATCCCTATGCAAACCGATTAAATAATACCCAAAACCCCGTGATGATGAATCCTAACGTTGTCATGACTGGATATCCCTCTCTCCAAGCTGCATCATCCAATAATAATAACAACAATATGGTTCAATTACCAGTCCTTCCACATCAACAACAAGTGTATCCATCATTGCAAGGAGGATCTACCATGTACACTGGTGCAGGAGTGGTCAACAACAACAACATGCCCAATCAACCTCTTCCTCCTGTACAATTTGTTGGAAACAACCATCCTCAACAACCACAGTTCATACAACCACAAATGGTTACCATCACTACAACTACCACTGAGAATGGAGGCGCTGCTCAGGTCAGTACCGAGGAGGACGCTACATTGAGACTTGCTGGACGATCCATTGCCAGACAAATGTGGGAAAAGTTGAAGCAACGTGTTCGTTCACCAACTGCTCTCATCGGCTCGTTGTGCAATTTATTGAGTTTGACCCTGGTCTTTGAGGTCATTACTATGCTTGCATTGAGTTTTTCAGGTGGTAACGTCCCAGCATATCTCCATGCTGTGTTTTGGATCATGCTTGCAATTGAGATTGTTTCAATGATTTTGAAATCACCAGTTCTCATGTTGTTGAACTTGATTCTTAACTTTACATGTTTTGTGATGGCCATTGTTGCCTCAAAGACTTCTTACGTTCTTCTTCAAGGTTTTGGTATTATCATTGCCTTGTTCTTCTTCTCTGGCATTTTCACCATTCGATTGGGAGTGAGATATCTTCAAAAGGTTAATGCTCAAAAGACTGCTGCTGTTGAAGCTGCTGAGAATGGTGGTCAAATTTCACAAAACACAGCTGAGACTCTCCAATCTCACAATCCATTCCTTGCTTTGGTTGAATCCTTAAGAAAGAATCAAAAGATTGCCATGGAATACAAGATTTCTGATCTTCTCATTGGTGCCGAGTAAAGTGTTGACTGCTTTCATAAATCAACTTGGTTGTACATGAATCACCATGACAACAACAATAAAACCAAAATTTCTATCCTTTGACCTTGTCGCCCAATGATGATGATCGCCCCCAACACACATTGAAAAAATGTTCAAATCATCATCAACAAAATCTTCCACTCTTATTACCAGTTTAAATTCGCTCATCATCAAGAAGAATGGTTTGAATCATCACAAGAGCAATCAAAATATTAGTATTTTAACCACTATGAAAACAACTCCATCCGTTATGGATCATGGTCTATTCAAGTCATCCTCTTCTTTCCAACAACAATACCGATTTTACAAATATTCCTATAGTGAAACATCACCAGAGGAAATTCGTAGACTCTCAGGAAACTCTACAAACAAGGGACTTCCATGGATGACTGGCTTGTTTGGACTCGTGATCGGCCTCGGATTGGGATACTACTTTTCTGATTCGTTAGCTGGAGAAAAGAAAGTCCTAGAATCTGGTCTTGAAAAGGTTGCTAAAAAGTCAAAGAGTCTTGCTGACTTGTTTGATGAATTTGCAGATACCACAGTAACCAATCCAACCACTGGAAAGACTGAAAAGATGATGTCAATTGAAGCATTTATTAATTCATTGCTCACCTCACGACCAAACGTTCCAAATTGGGTAGCATTGCCTAGAAGAGATGGTAAATTATTGGTAGACAAGAAGAGAGCTCAAGATCCACAATTAAAGATGATGTTCGAGTATGCAGATGCTGACAAGAATGGATTAATTAATTTTGATGAATATGTTCTATTCATGACTTTCATGACAAGTTCTGAACGCCAACTAAAGATTGCTTTCCAATGCTTTGATTTGGATGGATCTGGAAAGATTGAGGCTGAAGAGTTCAAGGAAATTGTACGAGCTAACCGATTGAGAGCTGATTCAAAGAAAGGAAAGGATGACGTCGACGACATTGATTGGAGGAATAATGGCTTGATGACTCGTTTGTTTGGACCTGAGCTAGATCAGAAATTATCATTCGAAGATTTCAACAAATTTATTCGTCAATGCAAGAATGCTCTTCTTAGACAAGAATTCTTACAATATGATGTGGAAGGAAATGGTTTAATATCAGTTGAAGCATTTTCTGAGCTCATGACTAAGAGTGTTCATTATAACTCACTACAAATCAATGATTTCAAGAGACAATTGAATTTACTTAAAACGAGAGGATTTTTCGCACCAAATGGAAGAATTAACTATGAAACATTTAAGGCATTCAACGATATGGCGAGAAACATGGATGACATTGCTCTTATGATTCAATTGTATACAGCAAGTCGAAAAGGCATGAAGAAGGAAGATTTTAAGAGCGCTTTGGAACGTGTCGCAAAAATTAAGGTCTCTGATAAGGTGGTGGATTTGGTTTATGCCATCTATGACAAGAATGGTGATGGAGAGTTGGACTACAAGGAATTTGTTAGCACTATGAAAGCAAGACAAAATGTTTCTTTGTAAAGTATTTAAATTGTAGATGAAATAGCATTAAATTGAACTTGAATGATGTTTGGAATGAATGATTCGAAGACGCTTTTATTGAACGGAATTCCCTGTCTCTTCCTCTTCAAGTAAAAGCGCCCACATTTCTTTTTCATTTTGAACAACGTTCTCTGGAGAGTTGGGATTGATGGTTTTTCTTTTCTCAGCCGAGTTCTGTGCTTGTTTCTTTGGTTGTATGGGCTTGCTGTTGCTTGGCATGAAAAACAAGTTTTCAAAAGTTTGTGATGACGAGCCAAATAATAATTCCTCAATACTCTTCTGACTAGACACAGGTTGTTGAGATTGTGATGGGTGAGAGGTTGCACTTTCCAATACCTCTTGGTCTTGTTGTATATCTGAAGCAATGGTACTTTCAGATTTGTCGCTGAATGTCGACAAGAATTGTTTCTTCTTTGACCATATAAAATGGTCCCATTCTTCCCATGAGAGTTCTGTATTTTCAATGACATGCTTAAACTCTTCAATCGCTTCAGGTATGATCATTTTCACTGGTTTGAACATGAAAAAGTGTTGAATGTACAATTTGATAAAGAATGAGAAATAAGGATGATGCGAATGATAATAATAATGTGAACGATCATGCAAACTATCGTCGCTCTCCGCATTCGATATCATGGATGAATTTTGCCTCGAGTGTTCCCCATTCAGATATTGTTCATTCGATTGTTGTTCAGTGAGTTCTTCTTCGCTAGAGCTTTCTTCGTAGTCGTCTTCCTCTTCTGAATTGGAGTAATAGGGTATTAAGGACTCACAATCAAAAGGTTCGTCTAAGAAGAGGTTTTCAGGATCAAAATTTCCAAATTTTGCCAAATGACTTAAAATTTCAGAACCTAAATGCACCAAATCTGACAGAATTTCTCCAAAACATTCATTTGTTTGATTCTCAAAAAAAGTTCCATAAACTCTCCAAATATTATATGAAACACTCAGAGCCATTTGTCTCATACTGTTGAAAAATCGTTTCACACATTTTACACAGTCTTGTGAATTAATTTCTCGATCGATCGAAAGAGCTGCAACAAAATCTTTTCTATACACAAAATTTGCAATGTAATCGATGAATATGCGATCCAGTACATGGTCTTCATCTTCATGAATATGTATCACTCGTTTTCTTTTCATATTTTTGTGAAAGTTTCGTGCAAATTCAAATACTTTGTGAAAATTCATCAAACAATAGGCATTCGCAAAATGATGAAATCTTGTTTTACATGTACCACTTTCAAAGCACAACACATTAAATCGTTTCAATACTTCTTTCATGTCATGATGACTGTCACTTTCTAAGTGTTCATTCCATTCTATATGAGTACCGTGGAAAACTTTTACCTTCTTGGAAGGTTTTTTTAAAGTAGAGGAAATGGGTATGTATTGATTGCAACACATACAGAAAAGGGAAGTGTTTGTATTTTCATCTTCTCTTGTTGATGATTTTTCAAACATGGACTTATCCAGAAGAGTTTGTACAAATTTTCTCTTTAACAATACTGTAGGCTCACCTTTCTCTTTGGACGGTGATGATTTTCGAACATTTGTAGATGATTTTGGGGCAGAGGTTGATTTTAGATGAGTAGAGCTCGATTTTAGGTTGGATTCAAGTATTTTGGAGTTTTGAGTACCGTTATTTGTCTTTTTCTTTTCGCTGTTTTTAACGTTTTGAGTTTCATTGTCACTATCCTCAGAAGATGTTTCAAGTTGAATGGAGTGTGATTTGGAGTGTCTTGATGCCTCAAGTGTTTGTTGCATCTTTCTTGGATTGGACTTTGATTTCTGAGAAGTCATATCATTTTTAGGTGCAGTAGAGTGAGTTTGTGAAATAGTGGCTGTATTGGATCCCACATTTCCAAATAATAAATCAGCAATACTTGGCGTAGAATTCTTGTTGCCGCTGTTATTACTTTTTTCTAAATTTGCTTGTTCAATATTTTGTTGCAACCTCGGAGTCTTCTTTTCAGACTTTTGTGCTGTTTGAGAATTTGAAATAATCTTCTTGTTGCTTTCATTTCCAACTCCACCACTATTGTTCATGCCATTATTTTTCTGTACATTCGGAATTCCAGGATGATTTTGAATATTATTTTGTTTCTCCTTTGTTGCCATGACTTGTTCCGATGATGATGATTTTACTTCTTGCATTGGTACATTCAATTCTTCACCTCCAAATAAATCCATAAATGAAATTCCACCATCTCCTCCATCATGATTGGATTGATTTCCAAAGGACGTTGAAAATATATTCCCAAACACTTGTTGCATTTTTTTCTGGTTTATTAATATTAAAAAAAATAACAAGATATTTCATCCTTCTTCCATGGATGGTGCGTCTAGGATCACCTTTAAACAATAGGGAATTGTTGAATGCTCTCAATATTGAGTTCATGATCTTTTCCCTTTGTTTTTAAATTTAAAAAAAAATATTATGTCTTTCTCATCATCATCATTTCTAAAACGAAAGCGAGAATTATTGGATTTTGAAAAAAATAAAATGTCTTGGAATGACAATGACAAAGATCCAAGTGTTGAACATGTCGAAATGTATTCACTTCCGGATGAATTGATTGAAACAATTTTATTTTTTGTAAATCCCGAGGAAATGGTTGTACTCAAACCAGTATTAATTTCAAAACAATGGAAATCTATTTTTGAGAGTGAGCATTTTGAAAAGATGTATATTTACAATGTTTTTGAAATGAATGATGAAAAGAAGGAAGATTTGGATAGAATTTTAGAAAATGTACAAGCATGTCCCAGGTTGTTAGACATGAATTTTCCTTCAACTTTTAAGGAAATTTTCAGAAAATTATTGAAGTGTGTTGCTAAATATCCTCTAGACTATCACACCACAATGTTGAAATTGTTAAACAAATACAAGGAAAAGAACGACTATAAATTGCTCTCCAAAATTATACAATGCACACGTGCAGAACAAGACCTCAAGACCAAGAAACTTGCTCCATTTACTATCAAACTAAATAGTGAGACTCATCCAAGAGTGAAATGTCTAAATTATCATTCTAAACGACTCTTTGTAACTCGTTCTGAAACAAATGAGGTACAGGTTCAAGCATATTTTCACGCTACCACTAATTTTGAGTGTACAGCATTTCTTGATAATGGATATCCATTAGATTTAGAGATTTTCTACGAAGATTGTAGACGCGAGGGTGCTTTTAAATTAGCCATTAACAGTGTACCATTATTTAATTTTATATGGACTGAAGATTCAGATGATTTCAACATTCGACAAGACAAGGTGACATTATTGAAAGACAACATTCTTGACTTTAAGTTAGAGGAGCCCATTGATTTTGAAGAAGACCTAGATGAGATTGTGTTATTCAACACTCTCTTGTTTGTATGGATTAAGAACGGGCTAGTAGATCCAAGCCTTATAATTCCAGATAGCATATTCGACCTTCCTACACTATATGCTGTTACAGCAGCACGTAATTTTCGACAAGCTCTCAAATGATGATGAAAATGATCGTTACAACGAATTGAAGTAAGAATCATTTCTCAAATGTAAAACTAATCACATGCATTATAAAATCATTCAACAATTACTTTATTCACAAAATGATTCATTGATTCAATTAAAACATGGAATAAGTACTAGGTCCTCTTGCTGAAATAATTTTATATTGTCATACATTAGTAGATCACATTTAACATCAAACAATTTACAACAATTCAACAACAACAGCAACAAACCTACCTTGAGCCTCTCTCAATAATTGACCTGTTGAACAACAAGAGCAAAAAGCTCCAGATACACAATCCTCAGTTACTGAACCCTATGTGGTGTGAAATATCAAATTTCATGATCCAAGAAATTCAATCATGATGATCGGAAATCATGAACAAGTGTTGATTCCATTGAAATGAACAATAACATGGAAAATGCATGGAATACACCATTCCAATCCGATTGGTCCAACACAATTTTTCATATTATTTTCAAATTATTTTCGTATCATCAATTTCGAAATGTTCATCATTGAATTTGAAAATTAATTTTCATTCGCATCGATCATCATCATCACACAAATTCATACCTTGATTCCGTAACTCGTTCTAATACTATGTCTATACGCGGGTGATGCAATACATGGAATTAAACTTGAAATTAAACAATTGAAAAACCAATAAGAACCATCGACGTGTGATTTAGCAGAGGCCAAAGCACATGGAGTACACACGAATGAGTACATGCACGAATTGGTGTCGTCAATGCAATCAAATAAACCGGAAGACCAAGTTGCCATTGAGTTTTAACGGAGAGATGTTTTTTTTAATTTGAAGTGACATTTGACACCCCTTAGGTCTTTCACTGAACCATTTTACGGTGACTTGCCACAAAACAACCTCAATGAATTCATTTGAATTAATAACTTTCAACAACCCTTTTGAAAAGTTACAACTTCACACTGTAATTCCACCTCTCCAAAGTATGTAACCTTTCAAATGACTAATTTGTTCACATCACCAAAACCAACAACAACGATCTTTAACAAACCATCCATTTGGTGAGAGTAAGGTTACATGTTCAACTTGGAAATCTCAAGTCACCACTTTTCTCCGCTGATTCTCAGAAATATTTTATTTCTCTAAAAAAACGAAAAACTTTTCAGATTTTTTCTTGGATTCGCTCGTAACAATCATCATATGACAAGTGTGAAAAGAAAGATGAAAATAGCTAGTCAATGTAGTATTTTGTCGTTTATGAAGAGTGTGTTGTATTTGTGGCTGGCGATGGCGATCATGATGATGACGATCCAGAAGATGCCAAATGTCAAATCGGAAATGAGAGAAATTTCAAATATTGTGGAATCATCATCTACATATTGGAATGAAGAACAGATGGGTGTTGGAGAGGATGATGATTTTATTTCGTGTCCAGTTCTTTCATTTGAACAATTTACAAATTCGAGTCGTGATTTCACAGCCGAGTGCGCAACTGTCAGTGTTCCATTTATGGAAAATTCAACAGCAAGTTCCATAACATTGTTTGTAAAGAGATTTCGAAAAATTCAAAGCAATCCATCCAAACAGAAGGCAACTCTGTGGTGGTTACCCTCTTTATTTGGATTTTCATCTCAAGCTCTTACTCATTGGGAATTTCAAATTTTGACATTTTTGAAAAATCAACCTGACACTTTAGATTTCACAATTTATGCTCTCGATCATCGAGGAATGGGTCGATCGAGCAGGTTCACCTGTTTACAAACACAATCTGAAGCTCCATCCTCTGATCATGGATATTTAATTTCAGATAAGGAATGGCCTTATTGTTTCAAAGAGTTAAAAAAGAAAAATTTAACAGAATATTCAAGTGACGCAGCTGCAAGAGATGTCATTCGAGTCATTGCAAGATTTCTCTCGAAAGGATATTTTGACAAGTTTTTCCTCTATGGAAATGGATATGGAACGAATTGGATGTTAAAAATGTTGTACGCTTTGGAAAATCATCAATGGACATCAGACGCTTCTAATCTTCTCAATTCCATAAGTGGTATTGTTTTGGATCAAGTCATGCCACTCGATTACCATTTTCATTCGATTGATCATTACATTCAAGATTACATGAAAACATTTTTGAAAAGTTGCAATCAAGCTTCAATAACTTCTCAATACGATCCTACCTGTTCTCTCAAATTTAAAGGACAAGATGTGTATGAATGGATGAAAAATATTTTCAAAAAAGTGTATCATGTGGAATTTGTAGATTCGACTCATGAGAATTCTCCAAATGGTCATGAAAATTTCAATTCTGAAAATAGAATGGTCTTGAATTCTGGAGGCGATGATGACCATGGAGATCATGATGGAAATGTTTCTCATGATGGTCCATGTGGATTAATTGCTGCCAAAGTTCCGTTTTCACTCATGAATGAAATGTTAGGAAGTTTTTTATTGGATCCTTTGAGAAGAAATGTTGTGTTTGGAATGTTGTATCGATTGGAACGATGTAATACTGAGAAGGATGTTCATATCTTGTATAGAATGGCACAGTTTTATAAGAAATTTAAAAATGAAAAGATTTCGAAAATGGAAAAGGAACCATCCATGACAAGTGACGCCTTAATGTATAATTTAATGTTTAGAGAGTTTTGGAAGAGTGATGAGGTGAAGAATGGAGAGGAGTTGGTGAATTTTGCAGAACATTCTTACTTGTTGAATAGTTTAGCTTTGAAATATTTTAATGTCTTTAACTTGACAAGTCGGTGGGGTTCGTTGACAAGTGACACTACTCCCCTTTTTACCAATAAGAAGGACATCCCCATCTTGATCTTACATGGAGAAATGGATCCTTTCATTCCATCCACTCTAGCTCAAAAGTTCAACGCCCAACTGTCAGGTGTCAACCACAAGCTCGTACTCATTCCATTCAGTGCTTCTTCTACGATGATCAACTCTCCTGTGAAAAATTCCAATATTCACTGTTCCTTACAAATCATGAATAGTTTTCTCTCTGCCAATGGAAATCTCAATCAACTCAATACCGATTGCTTAAATCATTTACAATTTAATTTCACTGGAATTCCATATATTAATAAGGAAATGATTGGAACTACAGATTTGTATGAGGGAGTTTACACATTTCATGCAGTTCCAACGAGTAATGTATCAAGCACAACATTTATTGCTGTGGTGTCTGGATTATCAGTGGGATATTTTGTTGGACTTGTCATTGTAGTATTCGTTGTGGTGACAATGAGAATGACATGTCTCAATACGGAAAGTTATCGAAGATTGACACATTAAATGTGCTAGAAATAATGTACCACAACTGGAACTGATTCAGAATCTAGAGTTTAAAATTCTAATGTATGGTTTTTTGATACACATTTGCAAACGCATATTTACAAAATCGAGCAATCGAGGCACGTCCCACAGATACTGTAAATCTACCATTTCCAATTCGATAAATATCCTTCAATTTTTCATAATCGATACCGGACGATCGTCTGACATCCAAATTGACGTTCAAAACGAGTTGTTTCAAGTGAGGCATTCGGCTGGTGACCTTTCTTAATGTTTCGACACATTGTGAACTTCCATAAAACCCATTATGATCGTCATTGATTAACAACTCCAAGAACCATAATTGAGAAAGGACACCACTCTCTGATTCTTCTTCGAGAAAGGATAAACTTTGAGCTCCACGCAAAACCAAATGAATTAAATTGGGAAATCTTTTGGTTGAAAGCATTTCTGTTAAAAACATACTTGTCGTGTCTTCGATAAATACAGGTTCATGTCCATAGTCAGCAACAAGGTTTTCTTCTCCAACGTCGCATTCATGATGACTTCCCTCAATGTTAATTCTGAGATATTTCACATTTGAGAATTTGACATTTCCTAAATCGTAATTATATGGAATGGAGCTGCAAAAGTTGAGAAATTGAATTTCTGAAGGAAGCGTGAAATCTAAATATTTTGAAAAGTTGGTCACATCTCGAAGATCAAGAATGACAAATTTCGAAAGATTTTTGATCAATTCATCTTGTTCATCTTCAGATTCGACTTCAAATTGATAAGAAGAGTTGTAATCCATACAGAAACCGAGTTTTCTTGTTCTCTCATTGAAAATATCCATTTCAAATCTCACATGGGAATTTCTGAAATTATTTGGTAATGCCAAATCTTTAAAATCCAAATCAAAATCTCGAAACATTTTCAAGCTTAATTGTAACATTTTGAAAATGGCCAAGTTAAACATTCCATCCTCATGGTGTTGAAGGATGAATTGTTCATTGAGTGGAGTCAATTCCAATCTCTTAAATTTTTGTAAAAATTCATTTTGTAAATGTTCTGACGAGAAGAATTCATCATCTGGAGGATCAATCAATTCTACTTGATCATCGAATTGTTCCAATGTTTCTCCTACCTTCAAAGGTTGAGCCGTTCCCATTTCATGAGCTACGATCAATCGTTGCATATTCGCTAATTGTTCTCTTTCATACCAAGAAATTCTTCCCATTGCCAAAGTCATGTTTGTGAAAATTAAACTTCGAAACACACATAAAATCTTTTCGAAATGAACATAGACAAGTTTCCAAAATTCGAAAAAAGCACCATCTTGACGAGTGACATTTACCGAAAATATTTTTCCAGTTCTCTTATTCATTTCACATAAATATCGCAATGAAAGAACACTTTCTTTTGGAGGAACTACGTTAAATAATGCCAACAATGCATCATGTTCTGACTCGTGTCCATGTAAATGCTGATGAATGATATTCCAATAAAATTGTGAATTCATTTCTGATTTTGCTCTTTGCACGTCCCCAATGAGAAATTCAAAAATTTTCCAAATTTCACTGTTTCCCAATTTTAGTAAATCTAATGGCTCCAATAACACACTATTTTTTGAATAATGATCAACCAATGAATCATTTGGAATACTTGAGTTTGACACCATGACATGAATTGAAGAATTTGCATCCGTTTGACTCGTTGTTGTGGTCATCACACTTGAATTTTCCCATAATGTTGGATCAGATCCATCATTTATGAGATGATGACTTGCAATCAACTCGTTCTTCTTCCGATTTGGTATGGAATTTGGTGTCGATATTTGTGTCATGCAAAACGAATCGGCATTGGTCATGGCAGCCTCACTCCATATATCGTCACCATGATGAAGAAGATGATTGAATTTTTCGAGAAAACCGATGACGGAGGAGTTTTGAGAGGGAGAACCAATCCAGCTGTGAGGTGTCGAGGTGCTTGTGAGGAAGGGTGGGTTGTTGTTGACATCCATGGATTCAGATATCAATAATGGTGGCTCATGATGAGGAAGTGATTGGGAATGAATGGATAATGGTGACAAGGGAGTGCCTATCATGAGTGAATTTGTCTCAATCATTTCCGAAGGGGAGTGAACAACATGGTGTTGATCGGAGTGGTGTGGAGGAGGTTGTTGAGGTTCGTATGATGAATTCATTCTTGTTGTTGTGAATCATGTGTGCCACACACCAGAGACTATGTTCTCGGTCTTTTTAATACAAGCGAATGTGTGGACCAGAGTTGTGGAATTTCTCAGCACAAATGTTCCGAGAGTGGCAATCTTTAATTTTTTGTGTGACTATCACATGCGAGAATGGAAATTTGCCAACATCTATCACACCCATACGTTCATGGTTCCTCCTTATGATCATTGATAACTATACCTCTACGACTTGTGTTTAACACAGGTCGTCTCCTCTCCAAGTAAATGCTTTTTGAACGGGTGGGAATAAAGCAGATAATAAGGCCATGACCAAATACACAACGTACAAGCAATACATATAGACACCGAAAGCTTTTGGAGCTCTAAACTTGAGAATTGGAATGACAATGATGGAGGAAAGCAATGACACAATAAGGAAAATGAAACTCAAGTTCACCGTAGGATCTGAATCCAAACTAAAACATAGTTTGGTAAGTTGAGCAGGGGCAAATGTTAATGCCACAAATAATCCAATTAAGAGATTCAACATTGGTCCACCGAATACTGCACCAAGAGCCATGGATGGATAACCTTGTCTCGAAACTACAACATCTGCAATCATGTCAGACAAACTATTTCCCCAACTTAGGACAGTAATTGCTAGAACAGAGGTTGGAATTCCAATTACCGTTCCAAGGGCCTCCAGCACTAACAAAAGTTCGTTGGCAACCAGGTAAATCCAAGCTGTGCACAACACAAATGCATACACCACAAACAGTGGCATGTACTTGGGAGGCTTTTTCCTTCGTGAAGTGAAGAAAATTACAATGGACAAAATAGAGCCTATCATGACGAGTAAAACAGCCACAGGAAATGCGTCATTGATTAAATAAATGAATTTGTCATAGCCTGCACAAACCAATAGTACAAGGGGTGAGAAAATAGGAATACACATTGCAAACCACTTATTCCAATCTGTCTCTTCGCTCTTTGGAATTGTGATATTTCTCAACAAAATCCAGTACCACTCAACGAATATGAACCATATTTTGTGATACCATTTCTTATCATTCCATTCAATGCTTTCTACAAACTTATTGACATATCGTTTGAATTTTGTTTCTTCTGGCTCCTGGTCTTGATCTTCCTGAGCAATTTCTTCGGTAGGAACGGCCTCAGTCTGATCTTGCACCTTGTAGTACTGTGATGACGTGTGTTCTTCATTGTCTTTGTGGAAGTAATCGGTAATGACATAATTGTTTTGCGATTGTTTTTCAGCGTCTTTCTTCTTGAAATCAACAATACCAATTTTGGGAACAAAGAAACGACTTTGAATTTTGTTGCCTTCTGCTCTTGTAATTTCTTTGAACTGCGCATCTCTTGCAATCGTTTTTGTCCATCCAACATATTCCTCTTCATCAGACTCGCCCTCTTCTTCTACAACTGGACCAAAGGTTGAATCGGGTGTGGTGATTGCTTCTGAAGGTGTTGAAGGCGTTGCTCCTGCGTTCTCGCTACCATTATTTTCTTGAGGAGACGTCATTGAAGCGTCTTGATATTCTTCAGGATCCCTCCTATTGGGTATGAGAGAATCCTTGAGTTCTAACTTGACACCTTTGGTCCTTGTGAGCTCTTTTTGTTGTTTTGCTTCTTTTCGTTTTTTCAGTCTCTTGTAAATGATACGTCCAACTATCACCGTGGTCACATAGGCAACATAAATGATTAAACATAAAATTGCCTCCCATATATATACTCGACCGTCAATATACAGATAGAATGTATACGACACGCTCACAAGATAAAAAATAGCGTCTCTAAGGAAGGGCCGTCTGGCAATTCCTCTCACATTAGAAAATAAGGCAACAGATCCCATCACCACACTTGTGACAAACATGCCAGCACCAATAGGTTCACCAACACCAAAATCCACATTTCCATTAAACATGCCCACAATCTGTTAAGGGACACATTTGTAACCATGCCTAATAATTGAAATACTTACAATGCTACTCAAATCAGGAGCTCCATTTCCCAATGCAAGTAAGGTAATTCCGGCAAGATTGGGTGACATTCGCAAGTACTGAGATATCTTGATAAGTGCCGGAGAAAAATAAGTCTCTGCTGTGTCTCCCAACAAATAAAAGCATACGAGAATCAACACCACGGCAAAAATATAAAACACTGGTTGCGCATCATGGAGAGCCGTACATTCAACCATTTGCAAATATCTATTGTCGGCATCACATCCCGAGCCATTCCAATTAAGGTAGAAACAACTAAGATTAGAGGGAACAGAGGAAAATTCACAACTCTAATGATTTTTTTGGTTGTGGTATTATGGTTGTGGCATCATGTGAATAACATACCTTTGAGGCGTTGATGGCAAGAAAATAAGATGCATAAGGATTATTGTCAGTGCTGTTGTTGATATCGGTGCTGTTATCTACAACCACGTCCAATGGTCCATGCAAAGAAGGAATTGGATGTAATTGAGGAATTAATTCTCGGTCGTGAAGTGGACGAATCATTGTTAAGGGTGGTTGATCTCGCGAGTCCGACGTGATAAAACTCATCATTCCATTCCATAGACCGTACTTCTTAATAGATGGAATGACCACACTTCCCATCAAAATCATGGTGGTCGTGATGATTATCAAAGATATCAATTTGAGGGACCACCATTGGAACTTGTGCTTTCTCCGAGCTTGTGTGCCTACCAAAATGCTCACCATTTTGATGTTGTTTCTATTTGTCCTTAATGAATATATTGATCAATGTTGAATGAGCCTTCTCCTCTTCTCAAGGCTATCGTTTTCAGTTGTAGTTGTGGTTATGTTGGTGTTGCGCCAAAGAGAGGGAACAGCTGTTAGAGCTTGAATATTTTTCTTTTCAATATGTGTACAATTAGAAAGGAAATACTTTGGATTCGAATCTGGTATTCCCATATGAAACACAGATTCGCCATTGAGATTGAAATTGTACAATATATATATAAACACCTTCTCATTGACTCGATCATCATCCACTCGACACCTTATTACTATGGTTTCCCAAATAAATTCCATCATAATAATGATCCATTCGAGCCTTGTATAAGGTATCACTGTACTTGTGGGCATAACCTGTATACTTGGCACATTCCAGCATCATGTCTGGATCAGAAAATAGAATTTCATTCGAGAAATAAAGAAAGAGTGGATGGTCTGGATCATGACTAATGATGCAATCCCATGCAAAGCACACGTGTCTGGCTGCTTCGAGAGCAATTTCTTTGCATTGTCTCAACTCGGGAGAAGCAAACGCCAATACTGTCGTCAAGTTTTGTCTGATTAATTGCAACACAAATTCCTTGTCATTCAAAATCCTTGTGGATGCATATTGAAATGCTGCTCTTTGATTTGTTACAGCTGCTAACACAATCTCTTGATCATCTTTCAATTCATCTGAAGCAAACACTAAAGAATGTCCATTTTGTTGAACTGCTTCTAATACTATTTCCTTATCGTTTTGCATTTCGTACGATGCATATTGAAGAGCAGAGCCAAATAATTTAACTGTTTGTAATAATATACTCCTGTCATGTTGCAAAAGGTTCATAAAACTTTGTGGTGCAAACACTAATGCAAACCCGTTTTCTTGAACTGCTCGCATGATAAATTCATTGTCACTCTTGATCTCGTCTGAAACATTTTCAAGTAAATACACGTCTTGTTTCAATGCCTTTAAAACCAATTCCTTGTCATTTATCAAATCATCGGAAGCATATCGTAGTGAGTCTCCATTTTGTTTAACGCACGAAAGTATGAACTGTTTATCATTCCTAAGCTCGTCTGATATGAATTGTAAAGCGGTTGGATATCTTTCGACAGCATCCAGCAAGAATTCCTTGTCATCTTTCAATGTTGAGAAAAGTGAGATCATGTCATTATTCCAATGTGTATGTGAATATTTGTGAGCAACATTGGGACATATCGAACACAAAAAAATGTCATTGTCGTTCTTCCATTCGTTGGCCAAAGTGAAACGAATCTGGTTCCATTGTTTGACAGCTGCCAAAATAATATCCTTATCGTTTTTCAATGTTTCAGAAGCATAGGAATACGCGTTACCATGTTGTTTGACAGCTTCCATCACAAGATCCTTATCATTTCGCAAATCTGCACAAGCATATTCTAGCATATAACCTGCATGTTTGACAATTTCAATCATAACTTGTGGATCATGTCTGAACTCAATAGCTGCACTTTTTAAAAATTCGTAACTCTTATCATGATTGCAATGTTGAATATAATTTAAAACAAATGATTTATCCTTCATAAATTCAATAGGTAAAAAATCAAGAGATCTTGAATGGTTTCTATTTTCCAAAAACTTTTTCTTTCCGGCTTGCTGTCTTGTAAATTTATTTCTCATCATTTCGGATAGAGAATTTCTAGTCGTATTATCATGATCCGATGATGATGGTAACGTAAAATCTACCAACAACACACAAAGTTCAACATCATTCTCCATCTCTTATTTGACTTTTAATATTTTTTTAGTTGTCATTCAAATTCGATAGAAAGTGGTCTCGTCAGCTTAAAAATATACTTGAAGTTATATTTTGATTGTTTAATTCCATTCTGTGTACTTAGGATGAATGTTTAAGGTGTGTGACTCAACTAAGATGACAAGCGAGTGGTGGTAGAATCAACAGATGTTGCTACTGGTGCATATATTGAATCGTTGAACTTTATTGTCATTTCCGATGAACCCTAAATAGATTTAAATGTTTGAGGTACGTTCAATGGGTTGGTCACGAGGTCCTACTCTGAGTTGATCTTTATTTTGAGAAATGTTTGATTTTTCACTTTCTTTTCTTCCTCCAACATCGACGTATTGACCACCAGAGGCTGACAAGTTACTTGCGAGATTTCCAGCAATGTTTTGATCCTCACCTCCTCCCATCATTTGCTTGGGAGCATTGAAATCGTCCGTCTTTTTGATTCCTTCCATTCTTGAATAATGATATGTTTCCTTGCAATGTTTGGTGTGTTCACGAGAGAGAGTTATTCAAGTGTTGATTTTTGTTGAGAAGGAAAGTGAAAAGATTCAACCTGGTAACAATTGCGAGCTTGACAATGATGACATTACCTTGTATGGGAAAAAGTAAAACTTGGTGAAAATCCTTATTCATGTGAAATTGTTGTACAATCTCAATTATACGTCTTTACATCATGAAAGAGAATCCACGAGTGGAAATTAAACCCTCATTTCGACATCTTCATTCCAAAATGATATATCCACATCTGATAGATGGTTGGCTGATCTCAAAATTTTGTTCATGAAAGGAAAACATAATGTTAAAGAAGTCGAAAGAGTATAAACCACTGAGTGTGAAACACCGGCACTGATAGATAAGGTTTTAACTCTGTCCTGCTTGCGCTTTGCAAAAATGGGTTTCAAATTAAGCTCAGTAAAATGATGATATTGGGCACCAACTTTAAAAAATGCATAATCTGAGGTGTCACCAGTTCCAAACACTCGCATATCTGTTGTGAGTAATAATGAGTGATAGCCGCCACATGAGATTGATTGGGCAATTCCATTAAATGGAGTAATCTTTGTGGGTATGTATATTTGTGACGTTTCATTACATGAAATTTGACAAAAATTGTTGTAACCTGTGAAAACAATAAAAAGTCATTGTTCGAACAATGGCCATGGAATTGTGATAATAAAAAACAAACCTAGCACATATAAATCATTGCTACAAGTAATAACTCCAACAAAAAACAATCCACATGAAAAATCAGCAATTTGTTCCTTTAGAAAATCTGCACTGGAAATTCCAACTCGAATAATCTTGTAGTTATCTCGTTGATACAATTCTCCACATCCAAGGCATCCATACGAATCATCTCCAAAACCATATAATTTTTGATCAGCAGTCAAGAAAATGGTTGTGTTATACGTGGCGTTAATTTTTGTTATGGTTGTGCATGGAGCATGCAAGCTTTCGAGCTGAGCTTTGTAATTGATTTCTGCCATGAGAACATCTCTGTAGACTCCAATTCCACATTGGCCGCTATAGTTTCCACCACTGTTCATACGAATTCGTGTTCAACAACAATTGATTCAAATTTCACACAATTTGTTAAATTAGCAATAATTTTCAACATGATAAAATCCAAGCCATAAGCATTGTCTCCTACCTTGAAAACATTCTTTCATCGTTGGTAATGTACACTGAAAAATCACATCCAGAGCAAGCCAACTTGAATTTCGTGTTTGGCTCATTGGGAAGGACAATTTTTCGTAATCCAAACGCTCTGCTGACATGAAATCCTTCAAAATTCATTTGCCTTCGATCATTATCTCCACAGCCGTAAATTTCACCATCTTTTGCATGGAATAATGTATGCTTGAATCCAACAATCACTTTTTCCATTGGTTTGTCGCATCCTCTGACGATACATTGAGGAAAGTCAAGAAATTCTTTGTTTGGATTTTTCAATTTCCAATCTTCGACAGCATCTTTTGTCATTCCGTTGGTACACTTATCTACCTTGCCTAACACATACACTGATCCGTCCACTGTATACAAATTCAAAAATAGATTACAATCCGTTTCATATTTGAAATAGTTCATGATGATTATTATGAAATAATTAGAAATGGGTTCAGCGGTGTTTGATGACCACAAAAAATAATTTCAAATCAAAAAGGATAATGAGAACTACTCGTTTGAATAAACAATTCGAACCCACCTGCAATGAAAAACACTAACCGATCTGTTCCGGCCACTACCTCCTTTATTCTAATATTTCGTTCTTTTAAATTTTGGCTCAACATTTTACTGTATGTAAAGAAGGGAGTGTTCGGGCTCGTACATCCCTCTTCCTGTGATGACGATGAAGAGGTTGAAAGACCACTTGGAGGGTGAGTATAATACTCCTCGGAGAGAGCGATTAAAGAATACATTGAGATGTTCTTGATCGACAATTTTTTTTTAAATTGATTCCTTTTTTGTGTCATCATTTCAAAAACACCATCTAAAAATCAGCAATAAACACATGGAATGACGATTGTTGTTGTGTATTATATGAACAGTATTATGAATACCAAACAAACACCTCGATCAAAAATTTAGCAAAATTGAAAGTATTTCAAAACAAAACACTAGCTCATGCATGATCATTCTGATTATTCAAAGCCACGCAATAGGCCAAGTGTAGCCAAGGAGTGTACACATTTTCTCCTGTGAGTGGACTTAGCTCAAAATAGAGAAAATTGTTGGTAAATATCTTGATTCTAGATCCTCCATACTTGTGCAAAAATTGTGTAATTCTGTCGTTGGATACATGTCTCTCAGTGTCGCATTTCATTCCACAAACATAGACATAGGTGTCTTGTTCTTGAAGACTCTTTTCGAATAAATGCTTGTTTTCATACAAGTCCATGGTCTCACATTTGTTTGCCTGTTGTTTAAAAATGTATTCCTCAAATATTTCAATCATTTCATCAAATGACTCTGGTCTGTTGAGGTCAAAACATAAAATGATGCCTTTACATGTTTTCAAATAAAGTGGAATTAAAGGAAAGTATCTTTTAACGCCAGAAGTGTCCCAAATACTTTCTGATATAATTGGTACGAAACGATTCATAATATAACTATCAGTTTCTGATGAAATGGAGTCGTCATCTTGAGAATCATTGCTCGAGGATGCAGAATGTGGAAGTGTCACCTTGATATGTTTTACAGTGTAGGAAGCACCAATAGTTGCCTCCATATATTCAATCTTTTTAGATCTAGACTTGTAGATTTCTGGCGTCTCTCCATTGTTGGCATCTTTGAGCATGAGGACCCATGAACTTTTACCAGTACCTGAACCTCCAACCAAGCAAACCTTAATTTCAATCATGCTTAATCGATATTCTACGCTTTGAGTATTTACATTGTTGTAAAAAGTACAATAATTATTCCATGGTCCTTTCGAATATCCAAGATAAATGGCTCTATAAATATTGCTCCAACTCGAAAGGACAATATTAGTTTTTTCAGTGGTGAATGGAGATTCTTCAATGAGTTCTCGTAATGACGCGTGATCAATAAATGATGACCCAATTCTAGATTTTTCTTGTTCTACCATTTCTCCCAAATTCAAATCTCCATTCTCATTGGTGATGATGTATGGATATCGCACCCATAAAAGTGGGTGTTCTGTCCATATGTACCGAAATGTTCGACTCACATTTCCCAACTTGATCAAATCGTCTGGAGTCAGATAGGTCAGTATCTGGAACATAATTTCAAATGGTACTCTTTGCTCGAGTTGACTAGCTGAAATGTAATACGATGGTTGTTGGCGTTTCTTGTTGTGCACGTCATCTTCTTTGGGTATGACTCCTCTGTTTTCAAATCTAGTCCGCAATACTTGCAAGTACATCTCTCTCCGATAGTCTCGTGAGGTGCGTTCAAGAGATTTCCTTCTCTTCTCGCCCAAATAAATATTCGAGTTGGAAGAGAGTCGACTAGATTGATTGTGAACATGTAAATGATTGATACCACCAGAATTTAGGAGTGGTGACGAGGCAATATCCCTACTGTTTCTATCTGATTCGAATGGATAAAAATGATTGGACGATGAAGAATTGATGGATGTATGAGGATTGGGTGATGAAGAGGTTTGTGAGCCAATGAGGAATGCTCTTCCTCTTGGTCGATGATAGGAAGGAGAAGGCGAAGGAATATTAAGGTACGTACTCGATGAGGTTCCAAGCCCAATCGAGGACGAATCAGTACCCATGGTAGTGGTACTACTTGTGGTCGTAGTTGTCGTACAACTGCCCATGAGAAGAGAAGAGGGAACGGATGTAGGAGCGTCTGAGTTGGGAGTAGTGGCAGTAAGGGACTGAGGTGATGTGACACCATTTTCACGGTGATGGTTTTTTTTGGGAGATGTATGATTTGAGGTGTGGATGTTTTGTGGAGAGGTGGCAGTGGTTATATGTACCGTACTGAATGCTAATTTGGAGTCGTCTGCATGTTGATCGTCATCCGTTGAATGAGAGGTTGGAATGACAGCGTCGTCATGCTCATCGTCTTGCTTTCCAAAGTGAAAAAGAGAAAAAGCAAGCTCATAAAATTGAGGATCATTCTCTGGATCTAATCGAATGGTCCATTCCAAGCATTGAGAGTTGTCGTCAGTTGCCAACGATGCATATAGGTCACTATTTGTTTGTTTTCGAAATTGATATGCAGTTGACGATCGTGACGTGGTTGGCATGAAACAATCTTTGTATACATTTGGTCTCCAATAATAACTGTAATGTGTTTTAGGATACATTGTGGTATTTGTAAGATGATTGATCCCATCCATCGTAATTGCATGATTTGATACATGAACTGTATGCCGTTGACTATGATGTTGTGAGAGTAGTGGTTGTGAGCTCGTGTGAGCTGTCAGCGTCATGTTTCGTTGTTGATTCTTGTTGTGAAATTCATGTGTGTTGACAAGATCTTCATTTCGTGCTGTTGTTGGGTCTTGTAAGAGATTGTGCAAACTTGTGGTTGTTGACAATGCTGATGCAAAGATCATGTCCCTCCCGCTGCGATGGCTCGATCGTAATTTTCTTCGAAGAGATTCTTCGCCGTTCCCATCATGTTCAATATCATCAGCATGATGAGGATTATTATCGATGGTTCCATCATAATTTTCATCATATGTCTCATCTTCACTTTCCTCCTCATCGCCAATTAAATCGTCATTGAAATGTCTTCTCGAGAAGGATGTTGCAAGTAAATTGCCAGCTCCCAATTTACCTTTTGATTTTTGTGTTCTTCTTGAACTAGAGGATGAAGATGGAAGAGAAGTGGCGGCCATTGTGTTGTTCGCTTGATGAATAGGCAGTGAAGAAGTCTTTCCTCCAGCCGAGCCCACAGAAGGGTTGATGTCGCTCGTAGGTGGCATGGATGATCGGAAGGTAGAGATGGGAGTTGTTGAATCTGCACCTTGTTGTTGTTTGGTTACGCCTCCTCCTCGTGGCGAAGATGCTGCCGTACGAATCGTTCTTCGGTTGAGAGGTACGGAGGATGAGGCTTTCATATCTTGCACTTCATCCGAGTGCGTGATGGAAGAAACCTGATGTTGTCCCATCCGTTTTGCAAAATGTATTATCAAGTTCTAATGAATGGAATGTTGTTGGTGTTGGTGAACGTTTGTTATAATAATAATTGAAATTCAGAATTTAGGGAACTAGCTCTTAACTTGATCTTGTTTTGTGATATTGTGTTGAATATAATTTAAATATCAATGGGCTTCCACAAAATCCATACACACTAAATTCTTTGGAATTTTGTTATTGAAAAGATTGCAATCTTGAATAAATCCGATGACACAGAGTCAACCGAAAATTAACAATGTTCAATGCAACAACACTCTGTTTTTGTGATACAATAATATTTTGAACGGCTTGCTACTATTGTAATTCAAAAGCTGCTCTCCAGCGAGGATGGTGTCTTCAACGAGAGAGAACACGGTGGGTTCTTCTTCGTTCGCACAGCAGACGCGAAGATGTTTCAGAAATTTTTTCCTTCGGCTTTTTTTGATGAAGGGCTTTGGCAACGACACACTCTATTTTCTTTGAAAAGTTGAATTTCAACCGGATTGGGATTTCATTGCAGCTCATGAGATGTTTTATGAGAGAAGTTTTTCATTTGGATGCTTGACATGGTTTTATTGAAAATTGAAGGATGACAGAAACGTGGTTATCAAATATGGACTTGAAAAATAGAATTAACCTTGATGAAATCCTCTCTCAGCCACAACAATCCTTTTTGAACTGATGCCTTGTTACATAATACTAATTATTTTACTAGTGACAAGGTAATTGTCAACAGAAAGACACTAATTATAACCAACGATAGTTTAAAAGCCTCTACAAGGAAAATATTGAAGGAAAACATAACACTCTTACGTTTGTAATCTTCAATCTGAGAATATTCCTTAAACGTTCTCAAGTACAAGGAGGTGGAAGAATAACCATGAGAGAATGAAAAGAGCATGGTTATAATTAAGGCAATCACTTCAATATGATCATTGAAAAATTGAACCACTTCTCCACACAATAGAAAGAACAGCGGAACCAACGGTAATCGTGAAAGACCTAACAATACGCTCATCCATCGTCTTGGGAAGGCACAATTGAAAGATGTAAACGAACCCATCATGGCAGTAAAAGCAAACACAGTCACGAGAACAATGGGAAATATGTTATTCTTGAAGACTAAAAGATTGCTTTTGAGAAAAACCAACAAGACTGGAAACACAAGGCTTGTGATGACGTTGGAGGGAAAGGAAAGAAGGAACACATTTTGAGAATCGGTTTGATTAGAAGTAGCACCAGAAGTTGATTGTGTCTGCTGTTCATCATTAGAAGCAGCCACAGAAGTTGAATGTGTTTGCAAATTCGTTCCGCGTTGTTTTTCAAGCGCCATTTCCAATTCTTGTTGATAATGATTCCATTTGGTAACATAATACTCAGATTTCACAAGCATCCATAAAAAAGGAATGGTCATGGCAAAGGCTATTACGTAACACATGGTCAAAAAGACCATCAAAAAGATGAATTCGTTATTACTAGCTTGTTCATTGACAGAAATCAATAGAGATCCATATTTTGTTGCCAAACGTAAAACACCAAACATAAATCCAGAGCATTCAATGCCATAAACAACTGCACGCATACACTTCATAGGTAACACTCGAACAGCAAGCCAGATCTGACTATTCCAGCAGGACATGCAGAGACCCAATGCCAAGAAGAAGAGAGGAGCGATGCTGTAAAAATCATTCGTTCTGAATAGAATTGCCACTAACCATAAAATACATGATACAACAAGGGGAAATCCAGTGAGAATGGCCATCATCCATCGGTTATCAGCTTGTTTTCCACTCCTAAACAAGCAAATTACCCAATAGACCGATAAAAAGACAGCATGACCAATTCCAAGTGCAGAGAGCAGCAATGCACGAGAAGTAATTTCAGCCTCGTTATTCAGATACATGAAATAGTCCCAAGACAAGATGAAAATATTGAAAATCATGGGATAAATCAAACCTTGTAACAAACAAATGACTAGCATGAGGCGGGGAGGATTTTCATCTTGTGGTTGTTCCCCAGAATTGAGTTGACCTGATGATAATGGATCTTCCAACGAGGAGGAAAAAGGCGTGGCTGTCAACGGACGAAGTTCTTCATCTCCATGAACCAACAGTCCAGACTCGGACGGATTCGTGACGGAAGAACCAGAGTGTTGCATTTTTCTGGTCTTTGATTTGGAACGTGAGGCAGGAACGTGACAAGCCGGTGGAGGTTGGAGTTGGTTTCCAACTCATGTCCAACCACTGTATGATTGGTCCATGAGACAACACTTGAACAGCACAACGAATCGTGGCTTTGGATTGGAAGAGGTAGAAGTGGTCGTCATTCCAAACCTGCGGCAAGTCAGGCTCCTTTGCTGGAATAAGTTAGTTGTTTTCTAAAAGTGATTCTCGTGGCTTTTCGAAGGAGGACAGAAACCTTGTTATAAAATATAGTTCAAATACGGAATTGAAAAATGGAATTTCAATTTAATGACAGTGTTAGCATCACACAGTTCATTACTCAACTACAAATCCTGTGGCGATTGTTGTATTATTATCTTGTAGTGTTGTATTGAGCGATGAAACAACCTTTAAAAAAATACAACAACAACATCACCAATCTCGCTTCACTCCGAAACTGGCTGTTGTATCATCACCTCCACGTTATCTTTTTTAAAGAGAGAACTCCACCATCACGATCATCCAGCCTCCGGCAACATTGGATATTTCAAATAGTTGATATATTTATTTACTTGATTGAATTTTTTAATCATTACTCATCATCCATTTTGGACATCAGCATCATCATTGACATCAAATGACTGGATCCGATTCAACAACACCACCAACCTCACAGGTACAATCCTTCCTGCATAGCTTTGGATATATTTTCCTTTCCTTTTCTTCCTCTATATCCATCATCTTTTGTAACAAGTACTTGTATCAGTATTATAACTTCCAAGCAGGTACCTTGTTGATGGGTTTCCACTTTTTATTCACTGCTGTATTCAGTTATGCTCTTGCTCAGGCTCACAATATCTTCCCTAAATATAAAGCATTGGAAATGTTCAAAATGAAGAAGTTGGAATGGTCCTCTGCTTTCGTTATGGGCCTGTTGCTGGCTCTCTCTGTTTTGTTCAACAATTTGAGTTTACAATTTAACACAATTGGTGTTTATCAACTTTCCAAGCTTGTCATTATGCCAACCATTTTGGGATTGAGCTATTTGTTTTATAAGGAAACTGCTTCAAAGGAATTGTTGTTATCTGTTGTTTTGATCATTATTGGTTTGGCTATTACTGTGACTGCCGAAGTGAGAATTACATTCTTTGGTACTTTTACTTGCTTCTTGGCCATTTTGGCTACTGCTATTCAGCAATTGCTTCTCCAAAGAAAGAACAAGGATTTAAATGCTAACCCATTCCAATTGCTCATCTATCAAGCTCCAATTGCTTCCGTGATTGTTTTGTTGTGTGCTCCTTTCATTGATGGAACCGATGTCATTGCCTACGATTGGCAACAAATGACTTCGGATCGTTCATACTTTGTAAGTTGACGAATGATTTTGTTGACATTATTGACACGATCATATGTTACTTTTTGATATGCGATAATATTTGTTTTGGAAACGTGAATACTTTTTGTTGCATTATTTTTACGTGACAATCCCGATGAATTTTTTTTGACATGAATTCGTGAATATCCATTGACACAACAGTCCTTTGTGTTGCTCTCATGCTTTATTGCATTCTATGTGAATTTGGGATCATTCTTGGTGATTGGTAAACTCTCTGCTTTGACTTACCAAGTGGTTGGCCACTCCAAGACCATTGTGATCATTTATGTTGGTTCTTTGATTTTCAACACTCCACTCAACTGGACTCAATTCTTCGGAGTTGTCATTGCCCTAGGTGGTACCATTTACTACTCCTACATCAAGATGAAAGAACAAAAACCAGCAACGGTAACAACTCCAAAAGAAGTTGACACCCCAATCGCTACCACTGCTGATAGGGACGATGTGACTACTGAAGCTGACAAGACGGATGAGAAAGTGTAATTGCCCCTAAATTGCAGGACTCAATCACTTTTACACAAAGTTTTAACTATTTATTTTTAATATCACAAGTCAATACATTATTTTTACACAATTAATTGGAGAACTTGTTTATTTACATTCAACAACGCAGCAAGAGCGTGCGATATGTATGCATGCACATATTAATGCTACTCATTTACACCTAATAATGGGGTTCATCAAGAGTTTTAAGGAAGGCTGTATCTTCTAAATCGATACCAGCATATCCCATGTTTTCCTCTTCTTTTCTTTGCTTTCTCAAATGTTGCTCTTGCCATGCGTTCTTCTGCGACTCTAATGACTCTCCAATTATTGGAATGTTCTTTAGATTGGAGGTTAACGTTTCACCTACTTTGGAAAGGAAAGGTTGTTCTTGGTAGTGACGAAGCTCCTTCTTTGTCATGGGATGCCATACATGATCCTTTGGAGCTGTTTTACCAAGTTGTCAAATTTTGTTAATGAAATCGTCAATGATAAGGGAGTTCTACCTACCATGTTGCTTATCCCAGTCATCGATAAATTTTACGTGATCAGTCTTTACCATTTCTTTGTGTGTTGGTTGTGTGAAATTTGAGCCAAATAATACTTTGAAGTGAATTCACAATGATACTAGTTTTTTTTGTTGAGAGCAGGCCCTATTTTAAAAAGTACACCTTCTTGGAACCTGTGCCTTCACAAATGTATAATTTCCCAATTAAGAATTTCTTAAAATGTCTTTCAATAAATGATTGACTACCTCTTTGAACTAAGTGTACCGTATGGGAAAGTTGCCTAATTTCAAATCAATTTGTAAAGATGTTCTCTACTAACTTGGACGTCCAAGTATCATTCATCATCTTCTTTCTGAACATTTTCAATTCGATACTTGTGGCCTGGTTGTAGCCAATAGTAAACGTTTCCACTCGAAATACTTTTTGTAATTTCACACGGATGAAAACCTGTTGTGAAGAGAGTTAATCCACATTGCTTGCATTTAAATTGATAATTACGTGTTGCCCGTGACACCAGTACTTGTTCACCAACAGCAGATACTTCATTTGAGCTGCTAGCTGCAGTTTGGTTGGTTATGGGTATTGATTCATCGATCTTGCATTGAACCATTTCATCATGTCGACACTCAACGATATTGCTTTTCAGTTTCGAGCTCCACATGGTAGAGAAAATTCGGTCGCAAATAAATCCTCTACAACATTGATTTCTATATTTCAATTCACTCTTAAGTAGTAAATATATTGTTTTAAACACAGTTGGAGGGATGATTGAATGCTCGGTCCAACTCGGAACTGGTAATCTATAATATCCATTCTCATTAATACCATAAAAATTGCATGATGTATGATGGTGGGTACTTGGTCTTGCCATATGGCTAGAATTGCCATTAAGGCTGCCATTATTATTTTCCGAGGAATATTCATCATGATTTAGAATTAATTCTTTAAAATCTCTATGCAATATAAAATTCATCAAATAATTTCTGAGAGCAGTACAATCATCATGTCCGTCCATATATATATGAAGAAAACACCATCAGGTAAAGTCTGAATCTAAAACAGAAGATGGAAATTTATATATTTACCCATGAACAAGATGGTAATGATCTCTATTCACCAATGCCATAGAGAGTAGTAAATCCTTTACTTCAAGCATTTCCAACAAGTGAATCCAAACATCCCGACTCGACAGGATTTCATGTAACAGTGTCGTCCTTTCCATTTTTTTTCTACAAGTTAAAGTTTACAATCATGGAAAGCCGAATTTAGTTTGTTAAAATTGTGTTGTCGTTGAGGAAAAAAGCTCAGAATTTACTACCTTCTTTCAAATGACAGCAGAAAAGCTTGCTATTTTTGATCCTATCCAACCATTGGATCTCTGGTCCTTCCTCCCGCATGTTCCCTCCTGTTCCAGTCACACTTCAACATCTCTTTAAACAAACATCACCTTCTGAGCGTGTTTTTCCATATTATAAAAAAAGGTGTGTCATGTCCACAACTACAAGAACAACTCTTTTCGTGTTGTTGGTTGCATGTTTCGCATGCTCTTTGCATGTATCTGCCACTCCAACAACAACCAAAAGATCAACAACCTCCAATGGTCTTTTTCAACAACTTGCTCGATTGAGTGATCAAGAAATTGAGCAAATTGTGAAACAAGTCCTCTCAAAACTTCGTTCTCACACGACTAGTCATCGAAAGAAGATGATGAACATGTACACTACTACTGAAATCGCTCCAATGAGTGATTCTGAAACTAGAAGTGAAATTAATGTTGCTGCCTATCCATGTCCATCTTCAGGAGCTTCCTTCATGTCCTATGAAGATTTCAACAAAATGTTAAACTTTATTGCTCCAGCTAGTGTTGGAAGAGCCAAATTCGACAAGATTGTCAGTTTCATGTTGAGTCAAGCCTATTCCTATCCACTCACTGGAGATCAAGCTGTTCGTGTTCTTGAATTGAATAATGGCCATTTGGACACGGCACGTTTTTTATTGAATCGAGTTTCCTATTTGACCATTGAACAGGGAATTCCTTTCATGCAAGCCATTCATACACTCTATCCTTATAACAACCACGAATCCAGGCATGAGATGAACAGGAAATTATTAGCTATTTGGATAGATTTTCAAAGGAGGAAAAGGAAAGAGGTCTTGTCAAGTTGATTAACACTGTTTTCAAAAACAAGAACATTTATGAGAGTGACAAGTCGGATATTACCTATCATTTTGATCGAACACAAATGTATGATTGTGCTTTTGGACAAGTTATGGCCGATGACGTTGTGTTTGCTGTGGATTTTGGACCTGCCATGTCCACACAAATTTCATCGACTTCATCCAGTACTGGAAGAGTCACTCGTTTGGATTTTGCATTACAGCATTTAGCTAGAACTCTTTCTACTTTAAAGGAAACACAAAAATTTGATGTTGTTTGTTTTTGTGGAGATGCTCATCCCATTTTTGGTAAAACTGTATATGCCACTACAGCAAATATTCACACCGCTTTGGATTATCTCAGTTATTCCCAAGTTGTTTCTTCCTACACTTCTCAATGCAAGAATTCCAATATTGAAATGGGAATTAAGAAGTCAGTTTCTTCTCTCACTCCAATTCCAGAATTGATTAGAAAAACAAACTCGATTCATTTGATTTCGAGTGGAGTTGCAACCATTGGTGAAACGTACGGTGCCTCTTTGGGATCCATTGCGTTAGAACTCCTCAAAGGATACAAAGCTTCAGTGAATACTTTTGCTTTAACATTGGGTGGAAATGCTAAAACCTATTTGGAACTGAAAGCAAGAGATGGTGGAGCAGAGACATTGAATACCATTTCTTATTATACCAATGGTGTGTACAAGAGAATTCAATAAGTAATGAAATAAAATTCTTGTACTTTGGTTTCGAAACTTCATCGTGACGCTGGTTATTTGAAATTGAAGTATCGAAGCAAGATCAAATATTCATAAACCACAAAACAAATGGTTTGAATATGGTCACTTTGTTTGCGAAACAAGACGTGCCAGACAGCATGTTGTCTCACCAACCAGAACATCAAGAATCGTCCTGATTTCTTGTACCTCACTGTTCATACAACCAAAGGTTGTAGCGGGAGAGTCGTCATATTCCTGACAGGCATCCCGTCCAAAATTATAAAGAGAATGCAATTTAGCCAATTTATGACGTCTTTCTCGCAAAGAAGTGTGAAAGAACGCTTCTACTCTTTTCAAAATCAACAAAAACCATGATTAATAATAATTGCCACGAAACAAAGGAGAAAAAAGGCAACAGCTCGACGTTGCTTAACTTCTCAAATCGGACGGGATGAGGTGCATTCATCGTGATATGGCCGTAGCCATTCATTTATCTTAAACATGTTATTTTAGTCCATGGCAATAACGTAAGTATTTCTGATGTTTTTGCATTGGAAGTTTGGAAGTGCTCAGTTCATGTATTTTTCAGAGAATAACAAATTCTCTGAATTCCTGCAGTTTTTAACTTGAACTAGGCAACTCCCCAATGTTCATCCCCGCGTGGCTTGCTCTCCATTCAAGCAGCAGCCGCGGGGCGTTAAATAGCTAATTTCCAAACAGCTCAATAAAAAGTGTTGGAATGTGGACAATTTTTTTTAGTGCGCTGTGCGTATGAATTCAAGAGAGATCTCTCCAAAAGTCTGTTTGATTAATTCCCAAACAAGAAAAAAATTCATCAACCCAAAACTCAACAACAACCACAATCCTCGTATCAATCAATGATCTCCAAATCGGCCGCATCATCATCCTCTTCCTTAATGAAAAAGATTGTAATTTTAACTGGGGCTAGCGATGGCTTGGGAAAGGGTGCTGTCAAGCATTTACTTTCCGATTATTCCAATCCTTCGGTTCATGTAATAATGGCATGTCGTTCCGAAGAAAAGGCTTTGAATGCTATCAAAGATATTGAAAATGAATTGAGTACGATCAAGGGAAGTGCATCTTCTGAAAATCTCTGTAAGGGAAGTATGGAGTTTATGAAATTGGATTTATCGGATTTGGAAAGTGTGAAAGACTTTGCCAAGAAATTCCTTGAAAAAAACTTACCACTGCATGCATTGGTGTGTAATGCTGGGTGTTGGAGTTCAAATGAACGCAAAACAACCAAGCAAGGTTTTGAAATGAGCTATGGTAGGTGGTTTTTAAAATTTCAAAATTTCCAAGTGATTCATGAATGGTAATTGTTTACATGAAATGTCAATGAATAGGAACCAACCATTTAGGTCACTTTCTATTGGTTCATCTCCTCCTCGATAAGCTCAAAGAAAGTGCTCCTTCTCGAGTTGTCATTGTCGCATCTGGTCTCCATAAACGAGGCAAAATTCAAGACCTGTTACAAGATCCTAATTTTGAACACGTTTCCAAATTCTCTGGAAATCAAGCTTACAATAATTCGAAATTGGCCAATGTTCTTTTTGCCTATGGTTTAGTTCGAAGATTGACTCAACAAGCGTCCTCGTCGAACCACAATCTTCCCCAATGCGGAGTAAGTGTTTATGCATTGCATCCAGGAGTGGTCAGTACTTCATTATTGAGAGAGGCCTTCCCTTCATGGATCAAACCATTGACATCATTGCTTTTCCAAACGCCAGAATATGCAAGTGGATGTATTTCGTATCATGCTATGGATGAGAAGCAAGAAGGAGTCTATGGAATGAAGTTTTATGATCAATGGAAGGAAAAGAAGAGTTTGAATGACACTTATTCGGAAAAGTATCAGGATCGATTGTGGGAATTGACCATGTCTCAATTGGCACCTTATTTAAATTGAGCTGAATGTGATGACTTACGTGTGAAATAAACATGTACATATCAATCAATATCAAAGAATTCAATGATCTTGGACACTCGAAATTCCCTTATTTCACGCCCAATACCAATCAAAATCACGAAATCACCTCAATACTTACAAGGATAACTTGTGAATTGTTGAGCACAACAAACACAACCCAAAAAAATGTCTCAACATATTAGCCATTCCGCTCAATTTGAAGAAACAGTGAAAACCCAATCCTCGGAGAAGGTTGTCTTGGCCGATTTCTATGCCGATTGGTGCTCTCCATGTCGTAAAATTGCTCCGGTGGTAGAGGAATTGGCCACAACCTACCAACATTGTATGACAGTGGTGAAAGTAAATGTTGATTCTCATGAAGAACTCTCCGATAAATATGAAGTGAGACAAATGCCGACGTTTGTGTTTATCAAAGACAATGAAGAGGTGGATAGATTCATTGGAAGTAGTGAGGATGCACTTCGGGAGAGAGTGAAGAAGAATTGTTAAGTCAGGACTTATGAATAATTCAATTTGGAATTAATTTTAAATTGTGATGATGAAAATTTTCACAACAATTACTGAAATTAATCATTTCACTTACGCACTCAAAAGAGGATACTTCTTGCAAGGACTGACGTATCTATTTCATCATTGTTATTTCTTTTTCTTCTTTCTTCTTGATGATGACTCTAGCTCGGCATCTTTTGACCTCTTTTGCGGACTAGATGTTATTGTAAATAAATTCGAATAGTTATGTTCATTAGAACTATTAGAATAATACTGCTCCTCTCCTCCACTACTGCTACTGCCACTACCAACAGATCCAGCCACAGTTGTTGGATCGGTTGTCAATCTCGTAGTGGTTGGCATTCGATCATCTTCAAAAAATATTGAGCTCATGTCGATACTTATTTGAGAGGTATTGTTGCGAGAGGAGTTGGAATCAAAGCTGCAATTCAAGTCTATCCAATTATTGTCGTTCATGTTGTTGGCATTGTCGTCACTCGTACCATCATAAATGGATGAAATGTACAAATGACCTAATTGATCACACGATGCAAACAAATCGCCTTCATGACTACAGCATAGGGAACGAATGGCTGCTACATGAGCTTGTTTGATTCGTGTTGTGAAATTCGTTCTCTTATTTGTGTTTTGAGTGTGAATTGCTGTATTCCAAATGTATAAATGACCATCTTTGCAACCAGTCAGCAAGTGACCTGTTGGTGAATGAATAGCAGGTACAACATTACAGGATTGAACTGAAGTGTCATCATAATTTGAATAATATTTGTGTGAGAGAGTACACATGCCAGTGACCTTCATCTTGCTCTGCTCATCCTTTGTACGACCATCAACACCACACAATTCTTGAATGTTCCAAATCTTGGTGCAAAACGGTGAGGAGGACAACAAGTGTGACTCGTCCAAAAATTGAATGTCAAAAATCTTCTCTGAGGCTCGATGTGGCAGGAATGGCTCCACATACATTTGTGCTGTCGAATCATAGTACGATTCTGGTTCTGAAATGGATGTAGCTGCTCCAAAACTTGTTAAGGCAGCGCGTTGCCAAGATTTTCTCGAGGATGACGACGAGGATGAGGCAGACCAGAATCCAAAAAACGAAGATCCTCCAAAATTGTCTCCATCACTCTCACTTTCTGAATCGTCATCATTGAAAGTCGTTAAAGACGAGCGCAACTCATTGAATTTTCCATTCTCAATAATTTCACAAACATGACTCGATAATTTTCGTAAATCCCAAATTTTGATGCAACTCTCCGAACAAGGTGCAGTAATGACTTTTTGTGAGCATGTCAACAAGTAATGATTACTGTAAGGCATCCAGCAACACGAATGGACATATTCCTTAATATTGAGCGAAAACAACGGTTTGGAGAGTTGAGGAGACCATAATTTCACAGACTTGTCCATCGATGAGCTCATAAATAAATTTTCCCAAGTATTTTTCTTGACATCGGTCAAGTCATTGGTGTGTCCTTCGAATTTCACTGTTGGTTGACATCCTTCCACTGCTGGTCGACATAAATCATAAAAAAACAAGGTAGAATCATCACTTGCCACAAGACATCCTCCACTCTTTGTTGTACAAATTCTATTGACAAAAGATTTCATGGGTACTGAAATTTTCAAAGAAGGTTTCTCAATCATTGTTTTTGGAGAGCCATGGACGTGACCAATGGAGAATAATTGAATCGATCCCTCTGCATCTCCAGTGACAAGAATTGGAGGAGACATGCAAGCACTCGTTGTTGGAATAAATTGCATACTCGTAAAACCCATTCTTCCCTTGTAGTGGAATGACATACCTGCCGAGAATGTTGAATGTTCCTTCTTTTTAGAAGAGTTTTTTCTTGGTGACATACGGTTAATACTATGACTTGGTGTTGAAGAGTGTAAAGTGTTGTTCTTCATGGTTGGAAAGGAAGAAGAGGAAAATGGAGAATAAGGCTCTGATGAAGAAGAGAGAGGAGTTGAAATATTGGAATTCATTGCATGAGTCTCTCGAGAGGTCTCTTCCAAATTCTTTTCAAGTCGAGAATGAAACAAGGCTTTCATGCACACATTCCGATAATGATGATCATAATTCGAATGGAAATGTTTTTCAAGAGGAATGAATTTTCGGAACATGAGTTCATGATGAAGAGTGAATGAAGAGGGAGTGGAGCATGAAGATTCTTTGGATTGAGAAGAGCTTGATGATGAATGTCTTGTTAATCGGGATGAATAGGAAATGTATAAATCAAGACGATAAGGCTTTTTTGCTGCAACTGTTTCAGAATCGTTTTGAGATGGAAGAGGATCAAACAATGAAAGAGAGGTTGAAAATCGTTGACTGTGATGACGAAGTTGCTGTTTCACTACTGGTCTCTTCACAACAGGCTTCAACGGAGAGTTAAACATTTTTTTAAATTCATTTAATTTTCAAATTAACAATTGTAACGGTCATTTCAATTGAATTATCCATTCATTTCGGCGTCGTCATCGTCATCAACAACTTCATTGTTGGATTCGAGATAATCTTCCACAACATCTTCCCACTCATCATCGTCTTCATCGATCAAATCACTTCCAGGATTTTGCACGCCAGATTGTGACAATTTTTGTTTGACCAAATTCAATTCGTCTTTCACTTCTTTCAAAAACATGCCATCTTCTTGAATTTGTTTTCCAATTTTTAAGGCCTTTTCGAGATATTTGATTGCAACGTCACTTTGTCCTAACGAATCATAACAAATTCCCAGAAGGTACCACAAGTCAACAACTTGGTCGAATTGGTCCTTCAATTGTTCCAAAATTGTTTTTGCCTCTTGGTGCATTTGTAATTCAATGAGATTCTTTGCCGTCGAGAGTTTAAAATCATAGCCCATGACCAAATCGTTGAATGAGGAATCTGTTGACTCTTTCAGTCTGTTTCCTTCATCGATCACTTTTTGAGCAACAACTTGCATGAATTGCTTTCCTTCTTCTGGTTTACATTGACACATTCTTAAATGAGCTAAGGTTTGCAACAAACCAACATCCCAGTTTTGAATGGGTACATTTTGATAAAATTCTTGTGCCATTCCTACACATTTTTCACACTCCTGTTCTGCATTGGGTTCAAAACATAAATCTGTCATGTATAATTCACATACTGAGCAAAGACCTTGCACATACAACTGTTTAATTTCCTCAATATTTCCTGAATTAGATTTCAATGATTCTTGCATGACTGTGAGTCCTTGAGAAAAATATTGAGCACTTTCGTTAGCTTCCGAAACTTGTCCCAAATACATGAGTGATGGGTAATGCTTTGGATTTACTGTATTACAATAATAGTAATCGGTATTAATTAATTTTAACACAAGGTCAGGTTCAGTTCATGAATGATTTGATTTCGTTGTTGTAATTGTTGTCATTGAATCATCAATGATTGAATAAATTTGAAGCGATTGTTGATTATCAGTCGAATTTGATAGGGAATAATATTTTAAGCGTCATTATCATCACCTTGACAATTTAAATTTCTCTCTCACAAACCTACCTTGAACAGCCTGTTGTAAGAAATGTTTTGCGTTCAAAGAATCTCCATTCTGTAAATACACCTCCCCCATCAAGAAAAGCAAATCAACCACTCTCGGACTTGACGAGTATTGTTTTATCGTCTTGTTCAATAACTTGATGCAATCATCAAACATAAATTGTTCTTTCCACATCATGATTTTCTCAACCACAGCATCTATCGTGTTTGGTCCCGATGATGATGCCGACGATGATGAAGCCTTGTTGTTGCCATTTCTTGATGAGCTGCTTCCTGCTCGAAAGTTTGAAGTATGTTTACGACGTTGTGAATGTCCTGGCATTTTTTTCTTGCTAATTTTGAAATTCAACAATACATTTGAATGACTCAAATATAATAATATTTAATATTATATTTATAATTTTTAAATTAATAGGATCAAGGAATAAGTTGCTATGGATTAGTTTCGATGATGGGAGAGACCAAAGCCATTAAATACATAACCTCTATCTCGGTGTTGTCCATCCAGTAAACGAATGCCACAATTGTTGGGATTCATTTCCTTGTCAAACCATTCAGGACTAAGGTCAAGCCACTAATATTTTGAATGAACCATGATGAATAACTTCATGTCAAGAACAATGTATCATAAACATACCACTAAACAATTATGAATTCAATGGTTGTTTGTGTTAATCCTTTGACATTATCTCAGTATTACTTACTCTGTGTGAAAGAACGAACAGTTACACCATGTGATACTATTACAATATCATTGATGCATTCTTTTTCGCTGTCTTCAATAAATTTATCAAACAGCAATTGTACTCGTTTCGAAACATCAACTTCATGTTATATTAAGCCGTCACAATAATATGTGATTACCAAATATTTGTTACTTACATCTGGATTCTCCAAGAGGAGGACGAGCATAAAAACGACCTGTTGCACAAATATGCTTTTCAAAATGTCTGAATTCTTGAGGGAAACGATTGGCCAACTCTTCCAAAGGTACTCCTTCGAATAGGCCAAATTGCTGCTCCACAAGTAAAATGCTCTCCCTAATCACGTTAATTTCATGTCGATACGAGTGGTTACCACGTATTACGTCGCAATTTTTAAAATACGCCACGTCACCTACCTTTGGTCTTGAATGACGTTGGATGCTTCCTTCATGATATATTCAGCTGTCATTCTAGCTCTGTTATATGTGGAATTCCATAATCTTACTCTTAACGGATATGTCACAACTTTTCCATGATTGTTTCCATTGTGAGAAGCATGTTGAACGTCTTCCTCAGTATCACTATCGTTATCAAATTTAAATTCGGTTGTTTCGTTTGAAATGTGTTTCACAGTGTTGGAAAACTTTTTGTTTGAAATGTCAATATAATTTAAATTATGCTTATCGATTTGTTCTTTCAGTCTACGATTCATTTCTTCGTAGAATCTCCGAATATATACACCTGCTGCTTTTGCTTGTTCTTCTCCAATTTTGCTTAATGGTATTGAATGATCGGGTTTCTCTTGTAAAATGGTTTTTTGTACATTGGTGATACATTGACCATGTCGAACCTGGTTGAGGAAGGGTTATTTACATCATTCGAATGGTGTTTCCATAGTCGAATATTTGAATTTGACAATTAATTGCATTCATGTACATGGTCCATAATGCACACTTACAAGTAAAATTCTGATGTGATGACCCTTTTTGTTTAAATTCAAAACATTCAGCTTGATTTCTTTTGGTTCAATTTCTTTACAAATTAATGGTTTTGCCTCTACTGCTGCCGCAACACTTGTTGCTGAATAATTTACATTGTTCAACGTTTGTTGATCAACCATGTTGTCACTCGCATCTCGTTGAGATGATGGTGGCACTTGTACCTCTCCCTGTGAGTCTATTTGATGGTTTTCCGAAAATATTGAAGACCCTGAGGATAATGATGAGGACATAGCAGATTTTAGTTCCGTATCTCTATTATTAATATCACAAGCATCAAACAGGTCTTTCAACACAGGAAAAGCAGGTGATTGAGTAATATCATGTTCAAAATGATCAGGCGGAAGAGTTAAATTAGTTGGGAATAAACGTGAAGAATGATGCTGCGAGGAGTAATTGTTCAACGCCGTTTCATACAATCTCTTCTTTGGAGTTGAATCTGAATAATGATTTTGACTCGAATTGTTGCTTGTAAAATGATGAATCATTTGTTGTTGAGAGAAGGATGGAATTTGTGCAGCAGGAGAGGGCATTAACAGTTGATCGGATTCTGCATCATGATTGGAACCGCTTGTTATAATTTTCATTGTAGAATTGGTATGAGAGGAGGAACATGCTTCAGTGTCCTCTTCCGATGAGTTAGTGAGATGGTTGGGCATCGTTTTCAATAATTTTCTTGGAGGTGAAGAGGATGATGAATTCATTTTTTTTTATTTTTTCAGCCATCTTTGAAATCTCAACATTTCCCAACGCATTCAAGAAGTTCATCTGCTGTTGTACTGCAGGTGCATCATCCATTCTCAAATGGATGGTAAATATTCTTGTAGAATTTCTGAGAATACCTGCTCTTGAGGTTTCACAATAAAAAGGTTTTCTATTATCAGAATAATGTATATTTACATGCTCTATTACTTGTTCAATTTTCCCATCTTGGACAAGTTGTGAATTTGATTCTGCAATTGCTGTTGATTGAACTGCAATCGATTCACATAGGAAAAAACTCCAATCGATAAGCCGAGTCCAGAAAGTGTGGTGATGGGATGTGACCTCGAATGGTACAGGATTGGTTTGCAAACTCCATAATATGTCCAACTCAAAACATACTCAATCGCATTACAGGTTGTTTGATGAATTTGTTTGAGTGTTTTCTTTGTGAAATATTTGCACTTGTCAAGGAATGATAGTGAGGCGTTCCATGATTTCTTGCGAGGAGTGAACAATGATGGAGGTTTTGTTCGTTCCGTGTGAACATGAGGTACTTGAATCATGTCTGCCAATGATTTGAGTCCTGAAGCAAATAATAGACTCGAGCTTAATGAACATGCAATTAATTTCACAACCGGGTCTAGAGATGATTTGATGGAAAGAGCTTCCACGTTTGGAGACCAAAAATCATAACAAAGTCTGAATCCAAAATAAAAGCAAATGGATGAAATTAATAAACTATATCCCATACGATAGATCCAGTTTGCAAAGGACCTCGAGGTAATTCGTTCAATAATTAAAGAGATGCCCTTCAAGGCGCAGAGAGATGCAGCCAATGCACTCAATGAATCCTTATAGGTCGGTAAATTATCAAGAAAAGTTTTGAAAACAACTCCCTTGTCCACATTAAATTGGATCAACGAAGTCAAGTCCGTTCTGTAAATTGAAACATCATGCTTGGTAATACTTATTCCTGAAAAAAACAATGTCAATGCACCAATAAGTGATGTCGAAGACTCCAGTACTCCTTTAAAGCCCTCAACATCGAAAACATGTCCAAATAATGACACTCCACTGCTAATAGATAAAAGACCAAGTGAATTGATTGCTGTGGAAAGCAGCTCAGAAAAAACGTTACTATCTTGAATGCTATGAATAGGCAGTGATGGATATGAAAATTCAACAGCTTTGACACCATAGTATACAAGTCCTGTACTTATTAGAAATGATCCAAAATGTGTCGAGACAATATACTGGATCACACTTTGTGCCGTCCTCTCATTCATACCTGAATGTTTTTGAATGGACTCAATTCCAAAGAGTGTCACAAATGAGGATATCACTGTTTGAAAAGTGTTGGCAATGAGAGGATGATCATCACAAAACGGCTTGCTCAATACTGGAATGAGCTCATAAAAACGATTGGTTTCCATAGTTAAAAAACCAAATCCAGAAATAATTCCTAAAACTCCCAAAATCAATAAACAATAGTAATAGAGCTTGGAAAGAATATTTGAAAGGGCAGGATCGTTTAAATAATATCCAATACTTCTCAATCCAAGAATGAGTAAACTTGAAATGGGAATTAATTTTGCTCCGTTCTGCAAAAATATTTCAATAATGTGAGGATTACTAATCTCAATCTTGTTCATTAACAAAAAAGCACTAGTAAAGTAAAAGCATGCCTTAATGAGCTCCAAGTTATGAGCGAGTCCAAAGTTGCTAATTTCCACTTTCCACAGTTGCTTCTTGTGCAAAGCAATGTCGTCAATGAGTAACAACAAGACACAAAGTGCAGCATGACCTTTTACAAGTGACGAAATGGTTTCTAACTCTGTCAATGTACCAATATCAAAATTAACATTTCGCAACGATATATACAAATCCTCAATTAATAAATAAATAGTGGCTCCACCTAATGGAAATGCTGTATAAATGGCAGCATTGGATGTTAAATGGTAGAGTGCGCTCTGTGACAAGTTATATTTTTCAAAGATGGAAAATAATCCAATACTGGAAATAATTCCTGCAAATGCAGTAAGAATTTTGTGATCTCCAATGAACGTTCCTTTTCGCGTGCTGGCAAGGAATATTTCAATAAGCTGGTTTAATGTGGAATGACCATTGATTGTTAAATATTTTCGATCGACATCTATGGTGAGCGAAGATGCCGAACTTTGCACAGCCTTTCCTTTCAAAAGTTGCTGTAATGTGGTCTTATTAGGTACAGTATTTGGGTTGTCATTATTATTATGGAACAGTTCATCATGAGAAGGATTATTTACAATGATCGTATGATCATTAATATTTTCGGAATTCATGATTGATGCTTCTTGGTGACGTTGAGTTAGAAGAAAATTATTGAAAGTGTCTTGTCTTGTAAAATTGATATTTTCCTCCAATGTTTGTAAAGAATCATCATCTTTGGGTTCTTGTGAAGGAGGTGTGATAATGTCCGACACAAAAGAAGACGAATTGTAATGATGATGATTCGGATCGGAATGGGATGAAGGGTCATTCTTTATAGCTTGATGATGAGGTTGAAACATTTCATCATTAAATTCAACCTTGTGTTGTTGCTGTTGTTGGTTCACCATTGGAATGTCCTTCAAAGTTTGAAATGATGTTGAATTTGATTGAAAGGGCTGTTGTTCATTGTTATCATTTGCTTTCATTTTTTCATTGATTTGAATCATTCAATCATTTTCGATTTGCTGTGTTGATTGGATCTCACCATAGAGAGGATTTATTTTCTAACAAATACATTACTATTCATTCCTGGTCTTGGTCTCTACGAGCAATTGTTCAAACCAATGAAAAGAAATTCAAAAATTTGAATGAACAAAAAAATTTCACCACACTTCTCTCCATCAGCCATGCCAGCATCAACGACCGCATCATCAACACCCTCTCTCAAAGACAAACTCCGTGATTTGAAACAAAAACAACAAACACTCAATGTACAAGAACAAGAATATAAAGACAAGAAGGAACAAGAAGAAGTGGAGGAAATTAAAAAGGATGTCATGATGGCTTTTGATGATTCATCCGATGAGGAAGAAGAGGAATTGGAAGAAGAAGTGGTGCAAGATAGTACCAAAACAGAAGAAGAAGATACCATCGAGGAAGACAGAGTTCCTCACTTCCAAGCCAAGAAAGAAGAAGCAGTGAATAGAATTGCAACGATATTTGAAAACTTGAAACAAAGTCGTCTTTCATCTTCCGATTCCAATAAGCAATCATCAACTTCTAGCAGCAATGATATTGTTGATTTTTCAAATACCAATAGAACTTTTGTGATTAAGAGACTTCCTCATGGTTTTTATGAAGAGGAAATTACAAAATTCTTCTCCCAGGTCGGAACCGTTCTCAATGTCAGAATTCCAAAAAGTAAGAAAACAGGTCATCCTCTTTTTAAAGCCTACGTTCAAATGGAAGATCCAGAAATTGCTCAAATGATTGTTGAAACTTTTGATTATTATTTACTAAATGATCGAGTGATTCGTGTCTCCATGTTGGATGGTGATAATCCAGTGGCAAGACAAAAACAAATTTTCAAATTTAAAAAGGAGGATAGCACTAGTGAATTATTGGCTCACGGAGAAGCTGCCAAGTTGAAGAAGCAACAAAAATTGTTCAGTGGATTTGCTCGAAATGATGCTTCCAAGATTGTAAAGAAATCAAAGAAGAATAAGAAGGATTATTTGAGGAAAATACGAAACAAATTGCAAAAGAAGATTAATGAGAGTGTTTCATCGAAATAATAAATAGATATATAATTATTTTAAGATTGAGGTTTGGAGCTATTATGTTGCAAGAATGAGTGCGTGTTTCTGTACAGAGTCATGGTTTTGTGACAAGCCAAATGTGACAAGATCACCCAAAACGAGGTCAATATTGATGGATCACCTTAAACACACATGGTGGTTTGAGGCCTCTCGGAACGGAGGCTTCTCTAATTGCGAAATATGTGACGTCAAATGGTCACTACACATGGTCATCTTTTCTGTCCCATAAATCCTTTCCTGCACTGTTAGGAGAAATATTGCTGCTCTCGGATGATGATACTATTGTTGATGGATGCTGTTGTTGTTCTTGTTCGTCATGCACTTGTGGTTGAATTGATACCGTTTGCAAGGTGAGAGGAATGTTCGATGAGGCCTCCAAATCTTCCTCCGCTCCCAACTGATCATAATTATCGGAAGCAACAAATTCTTTCTGTCGTTGAGTTTCCAATCGTTGAACTTCTTCGTTCAACAAATAATTAGTGTCCTCTGTGACTTGTTTTGTTTTGAGAATTTCTTGAGCCTTCAACTCCAAACTCCTAATTCTTGCTTCGTATTCTTCCATTTTAGCTTTAATTTCTTGTTTCTTAGCAGCCATTGTTTCTTCCAAGAATTTCCGAGATACTTCATATTTCTTTTCATATTCCTCATCCTTTTTACCCTTTTGTAAATAATTTTCATAATCCTCTTGTAATTCACGTTCCGTATCAATTTGTAATAAAATCATTTCTTGTTCTCGTTGTTTGATGGACTCCAAATGTAGTTTCATATTTTTAATAGTTTCGGTTAATGTTTCATAGGTTTCTTCTTGAACATGAATTTGATCCTCCGTTAATTGTAACATTCTTCTTTTCTTTCGGAGATCTTTTTCAACATTTCCTGATGATGAGGTGTGATGGGCAGCACCCGAACCGAACAAACGATACAAAAAATTCATTTTTTTTTGTTTTTTTAAATTGAACGGAATTGGAATGAACTTGGCATCATGAATGAATTGCATTCCTTTACATGTCCCTTCATACAGCAATTAGGGATGATGTATCAAGTGTTTAAATTAATTAATTTTTGAAATATTGACATCTTGATGACAGCAACCAAAAAAAATATTCATCGAGTCACAGGAGCCATCATCCATTTTGCATAAACTCGTTACGACACACTCCTAACTCAAACACATGACAACCCGATTGATGACACGCGCATGAAAATTTCCATTCAACAATTATTCTTAGAATTATTAATTTTTTAATTTGTAAAATAATTTCAAAATTCCCTTCAAACACACACAAATGACTTTCCAAATTCCATTCCCTAATTTCCTCAAAAAACAACAATATTTATTTTCGCTGGGTCTCCTATCGATCACGCTTTCTGTAATTTTATACATTTCTTATCAACGTGGAATTCGAAAAATTTCACACGAAACATTGAACCATTTAATACAACGACGACATGAAATACTTCTTGAACACAGAATGGAACAACAATACAATGATCAGTCACCGTCGATGCATTTGCCATCGACCACTACAGATACATCATCATCGCCGTCGACTCGAAAAAACAAAGGAATTGTGTATCCCATTACTTTTATTAATCAACATTTGGAAAATGCATTGACATCGAATGTGTTACGATCGAATTGTCAAGTCTATTTGGCCTCATATTATAGTTTTAATGAAATTGGAAAAGTCATGCCAACTTATATTGGACAGGAACGAGTGAATATTTATGGTAGGTGATTGTAAAATTATTTTAACAACCTATGACATGTGTCTGATGGACCATTGAATGTGAAATCTAACGATGCGAAAATATATTACAAAAAAATTCATGACATTTTTGAAATTATTTAGGTCATTGGAAAAAGTACATCATTCTTCAAAAGTTTCTAAATAGTCAAGCAAGTTCTTACATTGATGAAGAAGATTATATTTTTTTCAGTGATGGATTAGACGTCATGTTCTATGACCATTTACAAAATGCCATTGAAATTTATTGGAAATATTTGAAAGATGAAGGCATTGATGTCGAACGAGATCGAGAGCTCAATTGGCCACTTTTATTTAATGCAGAAAAGAATCGAGCACCGTCTCCTAAATTATTCATTCCTCTCATTAAGGTACGTGCAAGCATCATTTGGTAATAATTATTATTATTGATACAACTGTACTATTTAAAAAAATTTATATGAATACTCTGGTCATTATACACGAAACACGAACCATTCCATTAAATTCACACAACAGAATATGAATGTCCAAACAGTCGTAACAAAATATGTCCGTAAAGAAAACTATCCAGTACGACCCTATTGCAATGCTCAATCCACTTTCAAATTTCTCAACTCGGGCATGTACATGGCAAGAAAACGCGATGTCAAGGCCTATCTTCAAAAAGCATTTGAAAATACCATTGATCCAAATAATATCCATAACGATGATCAAGCCATGACTCAATACATGTATGTGACTCAACAACTGTATCCAGTCATTGGAGATTGTAATGCTACTCTTGCCATTCCAACCATCATGTCATGTGAAAGTATTAAGGTTGACATGAAACAATCAAAATGTGAAATTTCCAATGGATTCAAAGAAGAGTCTAAAAACGATGACCAATCTTTCACGACAACCAATGGCTCAGAACGACGAGAACGACCTGTGGCCATTCACAGTATTGGAAAACAATGTCCAGAATTTTGTCCCTGTTTGCAAGCCATAATTCAATCTGGACGTTTACAAGAAAATTTGGAACGAGAAATGAAAAAGCACAAAATGAAGGACATGTATCAACTCGAAGAGAAATTTGGAGTCATTGTCTACAATAGCGATCATGATAGTGTGAGAATTCAACCCATTTTAGATTTTTGTGGAAGTAAGACGTTGTTTGATCCTCCCTCTTCACAGTGTGTCTATAAAACTTATTGATTTTTGGGTGATCCATTACTACAATTCGAAACCCATGCGCGATAACGGCTAGAGATTTAAAAAAATTTAAAAAAAAATTAAAACAACCAAAACGGTTGAGATGGATCTTCAAACACTTTGTTCGCACTTGGTGATGGTTGGGATGAATTTTCCTTTACCACCTCTACCACCACCTCCTCCATCAGGATTTGAAAATGAGAGTTGTTTGAGCCATTTCCAAATGATCGAACAACAATTGGAGTACATGACTCAACTGAAACAGCACAATTTACAATTATTGGCACAAACTACGAATATTCAAATTCTTCCTCAAATAATGATACCATTACTTCAAGAGGTTCAAACGGAGGCTCAATTTGATCCTAATGATCTTGTCTTTAATGATGAAGCGGATGATGATCATGCAATATATATCCGCATGTTACAAAAGTACTCAGATGTTACTGAAAAAATGATCTATCTTCAACGTCACCTTAAACACTATTTGGAATACGGACAACCTTTGATCAAGACTTTGATTGTTCAAGAAAACAATCTCAACACCAATTCTTTACAACGCAGAAAAAGAATTGTGGTAGAGTCATTTCAACAATTGGTCAACGAAGCCAGGTCAACATTTCGAATTAATGAAAATACGGCTCTCACCTTCACGGATGGTGATAATTGTGAAATCCATGAAGGAAATTTTGCGTCACTTGCTTTCGAAGAGAAAATATTTGTTACTGTGAATCATGGATCCCAGTTGTGTAATTAATTTTATAAACCAGCAGGTAAATTTTGAGATAGAGAAACAGATGTAAAGCAAAGTGGCGCAGGGGGAGCGCGGTGGGCTCATAACCCACAGGTCCTAGGATCGAAACCTAGCTTTGCTATCTCCTTTTACCTAGGATGGCCAAAGGGTTGACTGTTTGGTCTTGAATCTGTTGTGCTTTATTGTTGTTTTTTACTTTGTCTACATGAATTTTTTTTCAAAAAGGATGACGAATTCGTCGTTATTAACATCGAGACTCATTTCAATGCATTGCTTTCAAGCTAAAGTCAGCTGCATACAAGTTGTTGAGAGTATTTCTCCACAATATGAACCACTTAGAGGAATGTCTTGGGTGTTATCGAATTACCAAAACGATTTCGAACGATTCGAGATACAAAAAATATCCTCCACTTACTCAGACCTACCCTTTCATGAATACCAATAGTAGCAAACAAGTGGATCCACTTGTAGAATCAATGAATGGTTCTCAACAAGTGGCAACTAATTCCATAGAAGAAATCAATAATAGCAACAGTACAACGAGCAGTAGTAGTAGTGGAATTACGAAAAGGTACACTCCGATGGCGTCATTGTCGTCCTCGAATACAAGAGGATCTTCATCACCCATTGTATCGGGACTTGAACCACATGAAACGGAGGATGAGACACTCGAGTCGGATCATGTTCCTATCCTTCATTCTACAACAATATCATCAAGTGTTGCTTCTACAACAATTGGCTCCTCACCACATACGGAAACAAGACGCATTCTATTGTTTCAATTGAGCTCTCTGATAGGAACTCTTATTTTCTTTGTAATTTATGAAATTTTGTTTTTGACGATTTTTGAAAAATCAACATTTGATGACTCGGTCAAATCGAGTCTATGTTGGTTACTGTCCTATGCTCTTTCAATTTGGAGTCAATATGAATTGCATTGTAGAATTGTTTTTGGGAAACGAACAAATAGCTCAGAATATTGGCAAACTCTATCACGGACGTACATCATTTATGGAATTTCAATGTTTGCTTCTACAGTGCTGAATTATCTTTTGGTGGCACAATTAGCACTCGATCATAATTTGGTATGGTTTGTGACATTGATTGCAGTGGGTGTGCTCAATTATTTCTCAGTCTCTAGGTTTGCCTTTGGAAATGAATTGAATTTGAATGGTTTGGGAGCAGCTAGTGCTGGCACAACATCCTCTAATAACGTCTAGTATTATTAAAAACAGAGGTCTTGTGCAGAATAGAGTTGTTAAATTGGAACGAGAAAAATCTATGCCATTAATTGGGCTGGAACTGGAATTGAACAATTCTCATTTCGCTTGCCTTTGATGTTTTTGGCCAACGAGCGCAAAATATCAGATCGAAGAGGAACATGTTTCTGGAGCATTATTTGTGCTTACTCAATCATGTTTTCACTTCTTTCGATTTCACAAGGAAATCGTTCCATATCAAGTGTTTACCTCGTTTTCGAGTGGTTGTTTCCATTTAGAAAGAAGCAAAAAGTAGTCGTTTGCGGCAACCACTCACAGGAGTGCGAAGGCCTTCGGTCATGATTCACAAAGATTCGTCAAAATATTCACAACGACGAACGAAAACAAACAGCCACATTCATTAGTCCTTCACAAACGGCATCTTTCACAATCAAGCTTGAGAGAATTGATCTTGTTGTGTGATATTGACATTCGGAAGAACATTTTCAATATCATCCCGTTCATTCCTGCATGGAGAGACAATAAGTTGAGATAGTTCATCATCATCATCCTTTTTCTCTCAATATCATCACCTTGCTGAAGTTTTGAAACCCTCATCACCAGCTCCAATACTCGACCATCGCCATCCTCTCTCATCTTTGTGTTCCTCCCGACACAATATCACAACACCATCACGGTTTTTGAGCAAATCCTAAAGAAGGATAAACACATATTTCTAGTGCCTTCCTTTTTCCGCTTGTTATTTCAATTATATATTTTCTTACATTGATTATTGAAGAAAGTAGAAACACTACTCTCACAGTTTACTAGCCTCTCTCCCTCCATATACATCACCATGCCTGGAGGAATTCATTTTCTATTTGGCCTCATTCTCTTTTACATTCTCCAATGGATAGCCTATTTCCTGCGGAAACAACAACAACAAACCAAGTCATCAACATCTTCACGAAAACATCAAGACACCAATCATGATAATTGCACATTATCAACCCCTCATCATTCTACTATGGATACTAAAATTCAACTTTATGGCATGAAGCCTCATCCATCATCTTCCTTGTCGCCGTCTTCCGATTTGAAAATCAATGAAGATCATCATTCACAAACAACAACAATAACACCTCTAGCACCACTTCTTCATCGAATCTACCACCGAAGGATTGATCGAGAATGGTTTCAATTTGGTATTATTGTAGGCTCAGTCATGCCCGATGTGGATTTGTGTCTTGCCATTGTTTCCATTGTGTTTTGTTACCTCTTTCTAGGCTATGATGGTGAGGATAATAGACAAGTGGCTGAAGCCGTGCATCGGACGGCCACTCATTCTCTCATCCTTTGTGTTCCTTTACTGATTCTATTCATTTATATGTATAATAAGAGAGATTATCACATTCTCAACAAGAAGAAACAATCACCACTCAATTTATCCACAAAAAACCATTCGACGAGTATTAGTAGTGGCAGTAACAATACTAGTAGCATGATGACCGCTCATCTTCGAGTCACGGACACATCTGGCCATAATTCCGAAATTATGAATCATCATCAACAACATCAGCTGAATGAAGAGGGAGCTGCTCAAAGTTTGACAACGACCACTACTACTACCAATGACAACATTTCAACAACATCTGCAGAAACGACCAATGATGAAGACATGATTCAGGAAAGTACTCTCATATCGTCACGAGTGTTGAGTGATGAACATCCTCACTTGCACGAACACTCGCCGAGTATTGATGATGATGCTCCAAGTGGTTTAAAGGCAGCTGCTCCTCTCAATAACTTTTCAACAACATCTCAGGTAGGAGCAACAAGCGAGCACGTGACTCACTCACACATTACCAATCATCATCATCATGGCCATAAATCTCAGCCTTACAGCAAATTACCACTGTGGGGAAAATTTATGAGAGATTTCAAATGGTTGAATTTACCTTTTGCAATTGGATTCCTCGTTGGAGCTATCTTCCACATTTTCTTAGATGTGATTTACATGAAAGGTGTCAAATTATTTTGGCCAATTTATGGTGAGGAAATTTTCTGTGAAATTCCATGGCTCTACTTGTATGACAATTTCAAATATTCTCCAATGGTTCAAAAAGTGATTATGACTTGTGATCATACCAGTGAGATTTTATTTTATATTGCCATATTATATTATAGAAGAAAAATAGGAAAAGTGGGTTTATCCTTGAATGAGAATCATGAAATTGAGGAAGAAGCAAAACCTGCTCATCCAAATCAACACCACTCACTCTTTCATCACAAACGAAATGGCCATGTCGTTGTTTTTCAAAAACATAGAACCTTTATTAATTTATTGAAACACTTGAAAAATTTACCACATTCCTACACTGAATTTATAAGAGAACTTTGGAATGCATCTGAAGATGATTGGGACACAATTTTCAAATATTTCTGTGGGGTGCAAATATTTGCTGTTTGGTTTACATTTTCATTGATGTACTTTTTCTTTCCAGAGATGGGCTTTGTGCAATTTGTGATTTTCATCTACTTTCCAGGAACTGTTTGTGTTTTGATTTCGCTTTTAGCACCTTTTTGTTTCAGAGAGACGTTAAGTCGTTGGGATTGGTCTCATTTAATTCATGGAACACCAAAACATGTCGACCCTCTCTCTGCTCACCTCTATCATCAAGGGTCAATCGCAGGTGTGGTGCAGTAAAAGAATCACAAACGTTTACAAAATTGTCTTGCTAAAATTACAAGAAAAAAATTCAGAGATATCAAGTTGGAAGCCTTTGTTTTTTGGTTGACAAGAAATAATATTTGCATCATTCGATATTAGATTATTAGGATTGTTGATTACTTTTTCAAATATATTTGGATTCTGTTGTGAGTGTCGCATTGTCAAGACATTCCGAATTTACATTTTCCTATTATTTCAAAACCTATCTTGTCATCATGAATCTTGGCTGGAAATACTCATTAATTTCTAAAGATATTGAAAACGAACCAACATTCATGAAACCCATTCAAATGATTGAAAAGATTCAAAAGGACTACAAGACAAAGAATTTGATTCGTTCCATTCGACTCCAATCAGCACCCACCAACAAAGTGGCTCGGAAACAAACACCCGTTTCCGAATACAGAGAAAATGTGTTCAAAGTGGCTAAAACCCTTCTCTCCTATACTCCCATGTTTTCTACCTTTGTTGAATGTTCCAATTCATCAAAAACATCCATTCCTTCTTCATCACAAAATAATATTCAAGCCATGCAACATGTGTTGGCATTGTTGATGATTGTTAGAAAATTAGTCTCGTTAGAATTTAATCCACCACTCAATGACGTTGTAAATTGTGACTTGGTTCCATTTCTGTTCAAAATTTTACATTTTGGAATAGTTCAAGAATATCGAAGACTCTACGATCCAACAAGTTCATTCTCTTCTGTATTGGTAACGCTTTGGAGAGAATTAATTTTTGAAGCGTCATGGATTCTGACCAATGTTGCGTCAGGTGCACCTGCTCATACACAAACCGTGGTTGGAAATACTGAGCCAAGCATCACCTCAATGTCATCCATTCAGACCTTACTCATGCTGCTTCATATTGACTCTCAAGAAATTAAGCAACAAACATTGTGGAGTTTGGCCAACATTACTGGAGACAATGCAACATATAGAGATGCTGTCATTTATGCAATCATTCCAAGTTCATTGGAAGGTGCCAAATATCTGTACCGATCACTCAATACTGAAAATATTGAATTTTCACAGTCACCATGCCCAATTACGTCAGCCATTGACATTATTAACAACATTTATGTGGAAACCAAGAAATCACTTTCAATGAGTAGAATTATTGCTTGGACTTTTTCAAATTGCTTTCGTGGAAAACCAGTCAATGTTGATATCAAAAATGCTGCCACAGTAGCAACGGTTCTGCAAGAAATGGTACAAACGTCGACCGATTTTGACGTCTTATCTGACGCATTATGGGGCATTGCATATGGAACTGATACACCGGACATGAATCTCATCAATCTCTTCCTCAACGATACACTCATACCATTACTCGTTCGAAATATTTCCACTCAAACCCATCAATCCATTTTATTACCATCTCTACGAGTGATTGGAAATTTCATCAGACTCGACGATAGCACCATCACACAACGAATTTTGGATACTGAGGGATTTATGAATGGTTTGAAACTGTGTGCCCTATCTGGCATCTTTTCTGTGAAAAAAGAATCTCTGTACATTTTGAGTAATATTGCAGCTGGAACTTCAGAACAAGTCAAGACCCTCCTTGATCATCATGTCCTTACCGACGTCATTTCAGTCGTTTTCAGAACGAGTGATGCTTTGTTTGTGGGTCGAGAAATTTATTCCTTAAAGAAGGAAGCCACTTGGGTTGTGAGCAACATGACTGTATATACTGAACATTTAGCATCCATATTTGAGACTGGCATGCTACTCGAATTTTTGTTACAACTTTATTGTGACCCAACGACTGAAGTTTTATTGAAACGTGAGGCATTGAATCCAATATTTTCCATCATTAACCATTTGGAACCTTTGACTCTCAGAGAATCTGCTAGACAACGAGTTATCGAGTTTGCAAAACAAACAGAAACACCTGGTGCCTTAGTTGAGGTGATCGAATTGTGTTGTTGGCGAGAGAAATCACAAGAAGATACTTCACAGAGTAGCAAGAACAACAACAGTAAGGTCGAACAAGCCGGGGATACAGATGGTGGTGTAAATGAACAGCCCACCAATTAATTAATTACTTCCATTGTAATTGCTCATTGACGCTCGAGATGTGACGGTACACTTCTCTTTCCAAAAACACTCATATCTGCAAATATTCTTGTTTAAGTAGTTCCTTTCAGCTCACTTCTTCACATTTGGAATTATGACATGTTTTAGCAACACGAGAAACAAACCTAGTTCAGAATGTGTGTCCTTCAGCACAAAATTTTTTTTTGGAACAAGTAAAAATTAAGGTCGACAAGTGACAAGCCACCAACCAAACGCTCACTAATTTTGAGGAAATTCTTTATGAAAAAAGAGATTGGCCCAATGACCTCACCTGCTAGCTCCTCTTCTACATTTATTTGTGATGGTGGCCAAAACCCTCTCAATACCTTCATAACCACCCGAAAATGTATTCCCCTGACCGAATACAATCGACTCATTCGAAGCTTGCAAACGAATACTTACATTTCAAGCATTTCAATACTTGGAGTGACGAGGATTGTAGTGTTTGTTCTCCTTGTCCTATGCCTCATCAGCTTTATTGTGTTCCGCCGTTCAAAGTATTTAATGTACAATCGGTTGGGGTGTGCTTTTGGATTTGTATTGTTTCTCTTATTGGCAGCCATGAACGGACTGCTGTTGGTAGATTTAATTCCGAGTAGAATTATTGATTTTTCACCTGTCTCTAATTCCACTTCAAATTCAACAACGATTGGAAATAGTACAACGAAGAGTTTACATTACGTGACGTCACAGTATGACAATGATTGGAATTCTCCATTCACACATTCTCAACAAACTCAACAACAACTCAATTCTTACTTTTCAAACCATCTTTATAACATTCTGGATCAACATGTTGTGAATGGCTTATTATCACAACTAGCCACCAACACCTCAACAAAAACAAATACCACAACAACCGATTATTCCAAAGTGAATTTGAGAACCATTCCATTAGTGAAAAGAACTGCAGCCATGTGGAAAGCTCAACCCAATGAGCTTCTCTCAGAGTCTATTTGCTTTATACACTTGGGAACGACCTCCTTGTTGCATTGGCTCATGATCTTTTGCTTACCCGTATTTGGGTTCATGAATTTCATCATTCGTTCGTATCTTGAAAGAAAGAAATTGAGACTTGTGAAATATATTGAAAAGGAAAATCAAAAGGTTCATCAAAATTTCTTGTCACGCCTTCCCTTAGATTCTACAGATCGATCCAATCCAAGTATGTCTGGAGCGTATGGTGGTATTCGTCCTCATCATCAAATTTCAGATTTACAATCATTTATTGCAAGTAGTAGTGTGGCAAGTAGTGACACTTCTGGACCTCTGTATAGAAATGCAAGTCATCGTCAGCATGCAAACAATCATACCATGACAGGAACCACTTCACATCTTCCACAAACAGGTTCGAGATTATTTGGTGATTCATTTGCATCTGGAATTTCCTCTTCCAATGCAAGTCATTATAACCCAAACGTTTCACAACAGCACCACCACCACCATGGTCAACACCGTTTCCAAGTGCCGAGAGATTCGACTGTTTCAAGAAATAGTATTTTAGATACGTATTCGGAATCAGCTCAAAATTCTGATTCAGATAATCTCTCAAGTTTTGGAACTAGTTTTTTGAGACAACCACAACCTTCGACCTCGACTGCAGTGGATCATCGAGGAGGAGTCGATAAAGATGTAGCTCATAGAAGGAATCCTCACCGTTACAAAGATTTGACGTATCATTCTAATACGTCTCAACCATTGGAACGAGGTTCTCAAACATTTTCTGACAACATGTCAGGAGCTGCTGAGGAAGAAGATTTGACCAGTTCAAGTGTCATTTATAATGGGAATTTATCTCAAACGGTGTTGGGATTGACCAAGGCGAATAAGACCACTCATGACAGTGACTCACTTTCGAATACTGTTTCAAATTCCAATAACAAGACCACCACCAAATTTACAGCTTCCATGTCAAATGCCAGTGTTACTCATACCAATGAGCAACAATTAATCTCCAAATTTGAGAAGAGAAAGACCGTTCTCTTATTGAATTTTATTATCAGACATCCAGTTCTCTTTCAATTTCTCTTTTCTGGACTCACCACCTCAGCATGGCTTGGTATTAGTGGTGTCATTCTCGCAATTACTCTTCAAGTCCAACAAGTGACCAGTTGTGACTCGATCTGGTTCATTACTCAACGAGTTTGGTATGGAGCCATCTTGGTGATTGGAGCTCTGACCTTATTGCTATTAACACTCTTGGACATGATCATCAATGAAAGACATTCCAGTTTGAAACATTCAGAACATGGAGGAAAAAAGAAATCTGAAACTACTTTATCCAAAAAACGACTTTCCAGATTCGTTCGATTTTTCATGAATTATTGGTGGTATCATGATTTACAATTTTGTCGAAGAGAGGCCTTGTTGTATAGTTCCATGTTCATTATTGCATGTATTGGAATTGCAGTGACTGATGTGTTGGTGTTCACATTGAGAGCAGAAGATTTAGTGATGAAAATTTGTATTTTGAAGATTGTCATGTCTGTCTTGTTTGAATTGCCATTTGTGCTCATTTCACCAGTCATGACCAGTTGTTTCACAATGAAGAGACAATTTCACATTTCACGACTTCAAAGTCATTACATTAAGAATCATGATGAATATGTGAAAAAGAGTGTAAGACAGGACCAAATTAATGATAACTTGTCGTTTGCTCCTTCGTCATCGTCATTGAATGGTGCAGCGAATCGAGATGCATTGATTGAACAAATGTATGACTTTTCAGTGTATCATCCAACAGAGACCATCTTACGACAAGTATTGAAACACTCTAAATTGAATCGAATGTTTCAAGAATTTTTACAAAGGGAATGGTCGATTGGAAATTTACTCTTTTACAAGTGTGTCAATGAATATTTGAGTTTGAAAGAAATGGAAAAGACTCAACAAGCTCAACAAAAATTGTATCACATTTATTACAATTTCATTCAACCACGAGGTTTGAGAATGAAGAAGATTTCGCAAACCAACCAACAACAGCAAACCTCTTCAGAAATGTCACACAATGACTCACAGATAGAACCTCCTTTGAATTCAAGTGCATCCTCTTCGTTATTGAACATTTCTGAATGGTTGAGTCCAGAATTGAAATCTCGTTTCACACAATTAATGAATCAAATTGAAAAATCTGAAACCATTTCCAATCAACAATCGGCAGAGATTGGAAAAATCATGTTAGAATTGAGAGATGAAGTGTTATTCAATTTACTAGATGCCTATACTCGATTTTATTTGGAATGCAAAGAATTTAGACAAATTTATGTGGAACCCAATCTGAAAAGCTTGTCTACCTTATCCAAGAAGAAATAATGAAGATAGTAATAACTCTTTGAGTTATTGTAGTAGATCTATGTGTGTATAAAAACAGTGTACTCATCATTCAAATTGTTGTTGAGACCTCAACATGGTCATTTTCTTGTTTTTGTGTGAAGACGCACACAGACAGATCATTGTGAAATAGTGAATGATTTCACCATTGTCTGTCAAATGTACTCTTTTTGAAGGGGATGGCAAAAACCACCACTACGAATGCTGCAAAACAAAATATACTAAATAAACATGCAAATACAATTCCTGTAATTATGACGGCCCTATACGCAAGTTGTGAAGTTGTACTAATTCGAAAACTCATATAATCTGTTAAAGTAGTGATCATGATGTAAATTTCTCGAGTTTGAAACGAGTCATAATTATTCACAGACACTGTGGATGCAGTGGTGGCATTCAATCTTTGGAGCACTCCAAAATGAGTCAATGTTGGAAGCTGATCGAATTGAACCAGACACAAACCCTCTCCTGCAACACTATAAATGGAAATGGTCGCTAGAGTCAATGGAGGTAATAGGAGCTTGTAATACTTGCTCCCTGTATTGGAATAAACATATTCGGCTGAATCAAGTGTGAGGTTATCAATGATGAGGTCATTCGAAATTAATGGCTCTACCTTTAAATGTATGTTGTGGTTATCATTAGTTGATTCTGTTTCACCCAACTGCCTTGTCGGTACATGGTCACTTGCATGTAGGTATCTTGGTGTTGTCAATGAAAGGAGTACAACAACCAAAAGGACAAGTGAGAAATGCTCAAATATTCTGTTGTGAGATTGAGTTTGGACCATACTGTAGCAACAGGGAGATAAAAGTCAAGTTTTTTTTTTGAAATCGAGGCGAATTCAACTCATCATCATTTCCAGGTCAAGAAGGAGAATTTATCTCAATTTTGATTGTAGTATGATACCATCTCATCGGACGATACAAGCTTACAATGGTCAATTTTCACTTTTGGAAATGAAACTCATACTATCCTCACGACTCATGTTATTTCCTCGCAATTGTAATGTCCTCAACTTGTTCAAATTGATAATATTATTGGCGATAGCATGGACTCCTTCATCATCAATATTATTGTGTTCCAAATCTAATAACGTTAAATTGTTCAAAGTTCTACTCATGAAAATCGATTTCACTCCTTCAGAGCCAATATTGTTATAACCTAAATGCAATGATGTGAGATGTTGTAAATGTTCGCTATTGGAAATGAATGTGGTACCTGTGTAGCCAATATGATTATCACGTAAATTCAGTAACTGTAAACGTGTAAAATTGTTATTGGCGATCGAGTGAGCGCCTTTGTGGCCAATGTTGTTATAGCTCAAATCCAATGAGGTTAAATTCTTCAAGTATTCACTGGTGGAAATAGATGTGACATCTTCATAACCTATATTATTGTCAGCTAATGCTAATGAAGTCAAATTTTTCAGATTTTCGCTTGCGGCGATAGATTTAATGCCTTCAGAGCCAATATTGTTGTTACTCAACTCTAAAGAAATTAAATTCTTCAGATTCTTGCTGGTGGAAATGAATATCGCCCCTTCAGATCCAATATTGTTATCAAACAAATCCAATAAAGTCAAATTCGTTAAATTTTCACAGTCTGCCATAGTTTTAACACCGTTCGAGCCAATACTGCTTCTTTGTAAATTCAGGGAAGTTAAATTTTTTAAATTGCTACTATTGGCGATGAGTTGGACACCATCAGAGCCAATATTGTTAATACCTAAATCTAAAGACGTTAAATTTTTCATATATACACTAGAAGAGATGAGTTTGATTCCTTCATGACCAATACTAGTCCTCCGCAAGTTAAGCAAAGTCAAATTCTTTAAATTATTGCTATTGGCGATGAATTGTGCACCTTGGTCTTCAATTGGGTTATGACTTAAATTTAACGCCTTTAAGTTATTCAAAGTTTCACTATTCGCAATAAATTCAACTTCTTTAAACCCAATTCCATTTTCACTCAAATCCAGTGAAGTTAATTTCTTCAAATTTTCACTATTGGATATCAATCTCACCCCTTCTTCACCAATGCTGGTAAAACCTAAATTCAGTAATGTCAATCGCTTCAAATATTCGCTATTCACAATACATGCGACCTCTGTAGAATCAATCTCTAACCCAAACAAATTCAATGATGTCAAGTTTTGAAGGGTTGAACTCGTGGCAATACATTTTACAAATGTTGATGATCCATTGACATGGCGTGAGATTGTATGATCGAATGACGACAAGGTCAAAGGAATTTGTTCCGATACTTCTCTCCATTGCTTTGAAATTTTCATACAAATTTTGATGATGAACACGGAATCAAGAAATTGAACAATTTCCAAAATAATATCATCACAAAACGGTCCGTTCATGTTCAAAACATCGTACTGAATTTCATTGTTGGTTGGTGTTAATTTGTTTGTAATCATAATTGTCGATGAAAACGATGAGAAGGATAATTTTCTCTTTTTGGGTTTGACATAGTGGCTCAGGTGTCGTGTGGGCATTTTCTTTGATCAAGAAGCACCGAAATTTCGACAACATTCATGTTTTACTTCTTGTGTTGTTTTTCAATGGAGAGCAAGGCGCTTGCATGATCATTCTTTGCCATTTGATTTTGGAACTCTTGCAATAATTGGCGACGTTGATCCTCAATTATTCGATGAGTTTTCTTCTCTGATGCATCCAGCTGCTGAAGAATTTTCTTCTCTGATTGATCCAGTCGTTTTTGAAATTGCTCCATCAAGTGCTCAACCAATCCTGCCCAATGTTGTTCTCTCGTTTTTTGGTCTTGCTCTCTCATCTCACGGAAGCGTTGGTCCATCTTCTCTTCCATTTGTTGTTGCCATTTCGAATTTTGTTGTTGTTGAGCCTCAAACATAAGACGAATGTTCTTCTCTGATTCTTCCACCTGCCGTTGATATTGCTCTCTGATACCTTTCTCTTCCTCCAACAATACCTTAATCTGTTGATGTAAAGTCATTTTTCCATCTGAATCGGAATCGGAAATGGTGTCCTTAATTGCTTCCTTGATGGTGCTTTCTGGAGAAGGAAATTCTTCTTGGCTTGGAGCTTGAGTGATTAACTCATCGTAATAACTTGGATAGGAATAACTTGACAAAATTTCTGTGTCTTCAACATTCCTTGTCTTGTCTTTTTCATTCTTATTTTCCTTAGTTAATACTTCTCCTCCACAGTTACCGACATCAGAAGGAGATGGTCTTTGTTCTTCTTTTTGGATATGTATTTCTAACTCATTACTGGTTGGATCAACAAACTTCTTTTCGGCCTCTTTTAATTCCGAAGGAGGTTCCTCAACCTTTACAGATCCACTTCTCTCGAGCTCAGTTTCAGACGCGCACAATACGGTTGCTTCCTGTTTACCATTGTTCTTATTCTTGTTCTTGTTCTTTTTCTTCTTTCTTTTAGACTTTCCTGTTTTGTTTCCTTGAACATCCTCATGACCAATGTTTCCCACAACTTCTGAGAACATTGCAGAATAGATTTCCTCGATTACAGCTTGCTGAACTGTTTCCGAAAGTAAGAAAAAGAACATTGGGGTAGATCCTTGCATTTTCGACACTCTCTCTTGGCACAGAGCAATGAGCCTCTCTTTTCTTTCCAATATGAATGCCTCTCCATCGGCATTGCGTAAGGTAAGAACACAATAACACAAAAGACGGACCAGTACTTGTTCCTTCCTATCTGTGGTACACAATTCTGTAAGGAGCTTCATAAATTCGGGATACTTGTTCCTTAAATAATCTCGATCATGATGGGCTTCCAGCACTGTGATTGTGGATGGGACTGTAACCAAGGTGGAAAGCACCAACGCTAATACTTCAAAAGCTTTGGATGAATGACCACATGGAATAATTTTCTTTACGAGGATCAGAAGGACTGTGGTGTCTGTTCTCTTAAACTCTTCTATCTTCATTTTCTAACCCTAGTGTGGAGATATTTTTTTTAAGGGTTTTTTTTCAAACTCTTTCATAACTTGTTCCTTTTCTTGTTCCTTATCTGGTAGACTGTTTCTTACCTATTTACTCCCCTCATTGTTGGCTATAAAGAAGAATTTCGTTATCAGAACAATTGAAACAAACGATGAAAACTATCGGTTTTCTTACAAAAAAAAATGTCATCACCCAGAAACGATTTAATCCCTCTCGAACTTTTTACAGTCGACTCCTTTACTAAATCTCCATTCCGAGGTAATCCAGCAGCTGTGTGTTTTTTAACGGATGAAAATCTTGTTGCTCAACTCGATGAGAGATTTCCTTCCGATCTCGACAAGGAAAATCTCTATAAATTAATTGCAAGAGAAATGAATTTATCTGAGACTTGTTTTTTGAGAAGAAGTCTCTCATCATCATTGAATGATCAGGATGGACGATTTCAACTCCGATGGTTTACTCCGACAGTTGAAGTCAATTTATGTGGTCATGCCACTTTGGCAGCTGCTCATTTGATTTTCTCAAAATTCAATGAGAATTCTCCAAAAAGACTCGTGTTTGAAACTCGAAGTGGAGAATTGAGTGTTGAAAAAGATGAAAATGACTCTGAGTTGTTGAAATTGAATTTTCCTGCAGGAGATCCTCAGCGTGTTCAATTTCCAACAAGTGTCATGTTGAACTTATTGAAACATTTGAATTTATTGTCAACCAATGATCATGACATGAATACTGCTGAAGAGAAAATTGCTTCGATTGTGAAAGAGACTATTTTGTGTCGTAAAACCAAGAAATTATTACTGGTTGTGAAAGATTTGAGACAAGTCTTGCAAGTAGAGCCCAATGAATCTGCCTTGTTAGCTATGAATTTTGAATCAGAAGATTTACAGAATCATGTCAAGGGCGTAGCAGTGAACATGCCAGTGAATGAGATGGATGAAGAGAGTAAAATGGAGTTGAAGAAACTTGTTGGAAATGATGTTGAGGTGGATAAGATTGATTTTGTCACAAGATATTTCTCACCTTGGTAAGTGGATTGTTGTGTTACACGAGTTGGATTTTTATTTACACACGTGTGTATTGGACAGGAATGGAATTAAGGAAGATCCTGTAAATGGAAGCTCACAAACATCGTTGTGTCCTTATTATTCCAACAAGTTAGGAAAACAAAAATTAGTTTGTTTCCAAGCATCAAAGAGAAGTGGTATTCTCTTTGCGGAACCAATTTCAGGAGGAAGAGTGTCTATCGGAGGTTATGCTAAAACCATGATGACTGCAAAAATGTTTATTTAATGTATCTTGAATATGGAGTGACAAATAATGACGTGTGTAATATCACACGTCCAAATTTTAATTTATTATTAAACGTCATCATCATCTTCGTCATCATCCATGCGTTTGGAATTTTCAATACCCTTAATCTTGAACGGTTTTGCTAGCTTGTCTAACGTCTCAATATGACTTTCCAGCAAATCTTTGAGGTAGTGAAAGAATCTTCTCGTACGTCCTTCGGTTCTTCTATTTTCTTCCAAGTTGCACAGTGTAAATACATGCTGCAACAGTACACTATGTTCCTTCTTAAGGAGATAGACACTTGGTATGACCAGTTGATCTTCTTTCGGTGTGAAAATGACATGTTGTATCACAGAGTTCATGTACGACTCAAAGCATTGCTTTTTGAATTTAAATAGAATATTTTGCGTAGTAAGCGTCATATTCTCACCATTGTTTCTGATTATTGGGATCATGGACGGATCAATTATGCGTTCAATAATGATGGAAGAAGACACGTTATCATTGTTACTTTCACTTGATGGCCTTTGTATTGTTGTTGCATTGGATTGAAGTCGTTTGTTTGGAAGCAATGTATGAATGGATAAAATTTCCAGTGTCGAATAAATCTGTTGTTGTTGTTGACATTATTTGAAATCATAATAATATTCAATAACAGAAAATCATGAAAATGATAAAATCGAAAAACTGAATTAATCTTGGTTTCAACTTACATTGCAAGAGAGTTGGTCATGATAGTTTCGTACCGTGTCAGCATGTGACAAGAGAGAAATAAAATCTGCAGGAATTCTCTTTGAATCTGCATTTCCATTATATAAATAATTATTGAACGGCAGATCCAATTGATCCATTAATTCAAAATCGTCTTCAGCATGACGAAATGATGTAATAGTAGTACTATAATTTTCAAGTCGATTCAATCCTAAAATCACTTCCAATAGACTTGGTCTTTCATTCATTAATGTGTCATGATATTGAACGTGACAAAGCCAAAATTGAAGCATTAAAAGTATTTTCTTTAAGTCTCCTAAAAAGTATGCGGTGACTGGTAGAATGTCTCTCTCTAAATCTACAGAAAGTCCTTCACATAGACATATCGAATAGATGTAGCATGTCACATCCAGCAAGTATTTACAATGTTGATCGATCGTATCTTTGTCAATGCTATGATTCAAATAGGGTTTCTCGTTTAAAAAACAAATGGACTTCTTACAAAATGATTTCAGTGGGGAATCACTTTTCAAATGATCTGCAACGAGAATAATCGGTCGTTTGGATGTTTTTACCAATTTTTCAACACCATTCACAAACGATGAATAGGATTCTTCTTTAAAAGTGACATCTGCATCCTCAATGACGATAATTGTTTCGTGAGATTCTCGTAGGCCACGTGATTGCGTGGTTTCTTTCAACTCGGTGACACTCTTACTGGTTCGTTCCTTCGAGGCATCCAATCCTAACTCTGCAAATCCAAGTTCAGTGGCATTTGCACTCACAGAAGCAGTCTTTCCAGAATTGGGACCATAAATAATGAGACAATTTTCCAAATCATTTTCCTCTTCGTCATCCGTGAAGGCATCGAAAAATTCCTTTTCTTTTTTGCTTTTTCTTCTAGCTTCTTCTTCTTTTGGTTTTCTCTTTTTGGTGCGTTTGGATTGTTTCAAAGATGGTTTTGATGAGCTTAACATGTTCTTCCATGACTCGAGCCATTCATGAATTTGTTCATTGGCTTCTGAATTTCTACAAATGACCTGTTTGGAATGAGTAGGTCTGTATTTGACAAACCATAAATCTTCAGAGAGATTTTCACGTCGTGCCTCTCGTCTTTCAAAACCGCTATTGCTATTGGAGCTTTCCATTGAATTTTCAGCGTCAAGATCTATTGGTTGGAGTTTCTGTTGTTGTTCTTGGAGAGCTTTAGCTTTTCTCCATTTCTTTTCTTCAAGATTTTTGAATTCAGTTGTGAAACGATGTTTCTCTGTGTTCCACATTGATTTGGGATACAAAATCTCCACAGCTTTCTCAATCTGTGGTAGCTTGTTCTCCGTGGCTAAGGTGTTTTCTGTGCTCAAGTCATGGACTTTCTTTTCAAATGTTCTACTTGATTTAGGTTGCTCAATGGATGCTGATGTTAATTTGTTCAATAGTGGAATTATTTGAGTGTTTTCATAGGTAGTAGATATTTCATTGCTATCGTCTTCTGGAAGAAGGTCGTCAATATTAATCATTGTGTTGCTATTACTCGTCGTACACAAGCATTCCACGGAAATCTTATTTACGTAATTCACATGTTGACAATTTCCAAAATGTTTCAAAGCTTGTGTTGTCACATTACAGGTGATTGGTTTTACACCTTGCCAAAAGTCATGATCCTCAGCATGAGTCGTTTTTTTAGCTTCTTTTTGTACTTTTTTTTGTTCTCTCTGAAATGCCATTAAGGGATGTTCGCCTGAACCTTTACAAAATAATTCATTCAATTCCTTTCGTTTTTCTTGATTTTTTTGATGCTCACTTTGAACTTGTAGTTCCTTTTTCCTTTTCTTTTGTTCCTTTGTCAAAAATATGGAAGCGACACTGCCAACAATTTCATCTGTGTTTTTGTTCTTGGTCGAGACAAACTGTTGATTTTCTTCGCTGCTGTCTGAGCTGTTGATGCTTTCGACATGTGGTATTTCACTTCTCTTTCGTTTGGTGGACTCGTTTTTCTTCTTGCTTTTCGAGGAAGTAGTGTCATCTTTCATTTTTAATGTCTTGACAGGTTTTTTGGGTGTCACCATTGACGATGATGTGTCGTTTGTTGTGACTGCTGGCGATGTCAATGTAGAATGATTGTTTGGTGATGGTTTTTGTTTGAATGTGAGGGTTGTTGTTAATTTAGGAGGAGTATTTTGTTTAGACGATTGAGATAAGCTTGGAATGGAGAATGTATCCTCTTGTTGCATACCTTGAAAATCTGTTGAGTTTTGAGACAGCATTGTTGAATTTGCCAATAATTCAGTAGGAAAATATGCCTGAGAATTTAACAATTCTACATCATCCACACTTTTCTTTTGTACAGAAGAAGAAGAAGATGGTGATGAAAAGAAATTCGTGATTGTATGCTGCTGTTGTTGTTTGGTTGTCGAAGAATGATTTCGTTTCTTAGGAGATGAATGAAGAGGAGTGGAAATGGAATTATTACGACTCGTCGTCGATGAGGTATGACTATGATCATTATGAATTTCTGGTTGTTGTTGTTGATCAATATCAATCGTGTTTAATTTCTCACTAGATGATGGTTCGTGAATGATCATCACATCATCACTATTAAGCGCATCATCGTCATGACTGCTATTACTACTAGTAATCGGAATAGCTTCGGATGATACTACTCCTCCACCTTGAAATGGTGTATTATTCTTATTTTCATCATCGCTTCCTTTCATCACAAAATTTAAAGGCTGTTTTCGCACGCTGCCTGATTTGCTCTTTCTGGGTGTTTTCGTTTTGGCAGGAGATTTGGAATTTTTGGGCATTTTTTTGTAACGGTCAAATCGAGAGGGAGTGGTTGGATAAATGCACTCGAACAGTTTATTTCATGTTGAAGTAGAAAATATTAGTAATTATACACACCAAAGGTGGTGACACTGCAGAATAATGAGTGCTGGTTCGTTACAATTTGAATGAACGAGATTCAATATTGGTGTGAGTGAAAAATGCATGTCCAACAAAAGTGAGTTGCAAAAGATTCTCAATAAGAACTTACATTCATAAAGGTATGTGTGGCATACGAGTCACAATCTTCATCCCAAAAACAACGACAGCCCATTCTGAAAAATATGATTTTCAAATGTTGAAAAGTTATGGAGAAGTAGTGTCAGTTATTTTGACCTATCCACACGCAATGCACTTACTTGACTCCTTCTCCTCGTTGTTCTCCTATCATGACGTTGACTATAAATTTATATCGATCATATTTAAGTTCCATACACTTGTCTCGTATTTCGTTGCAAATATCTTTTATCCATTGTTGTACTTGTTCCATTTGATAGTCCTTTCCTTTTAATCGATTTGTTACCACTTCCTTAATAATTTCTTTCACTTCCGATGATTTAAATCTGTATCGTTCAGCACATGAAATTAATGATCGTAACCACAGTAATAAATTGTATCATTTTGTTGACAATGAGTTGTTTCATATCGGAACCGAGAGCAAGATGTTGAAAAGCATTTCCGAGGAGATCCGTCCAACTGAATATTCCACACCATACGATATTGATACATACTTGTGCCTAAAATTTGGTCTCAATTGAAATAGTGCCAACTCCGAGAGCGTTGTATTCGAGGGATCTGTGTCGTTCATGTTGTGCAATTTTTTTTATAATTCTAATTGTAGGAGCGTCCGGCGGGAGACAAAAGTTTTTGATATCGTTGTCGTCTTGTTGATAAGTTCATCTTGTCAGCTCATCTAAAAGAACCGTCTTCACTTTTATCGAATTTGCACATCTCTGAGTTAGAAAATGCATCAAGGGCTTGGCCCTTTTCACCAACAACAAAGTTTACAATAAATTGGTTTTTTCTCTGTCGAAAAAAATAGTTCAACACCTCCTTCTACACAATAACAATGGACATCAACGAATTCAAGGTACGTACAAGACCTCAACATGAGTTTTGGATCCTATCTTGCGGCTTAACAATGCTACTCACTATCATTTCCGTGTTATGATGAAAAATTATTGAACCAATGATGAAAACTTCTTCGTCCCATACCAACAACAACAGAGAAAGTACTCCAACGAAAGCGACACCAAGGCTGTCTGTGATTGGATGTTTGAAAAGATTTCTTCTGCTCCAGAAGCTTGGTCTTTCTGGCAAGCTGACTACAAGTACAATGATGAATGTATGTATTTATTGATGAATCATCATGATGAATTTAATTATTGAATGACTCGGTTTCTTTAATCACCACTCCTACATTGTTTTTTGACTCGTATCCTTGTTCATATTATATTGCCCACCAAATGAATATTGAAATTTCGTCTTCATCAAACAACAATGAATTTCTCAAAAACAAATTCAATCAATTCGATATTGTTCATGGTCTACCACATCATGTTCCGTGAAATTCAGTGAGCGGCCCAGCATGGATGCAAGCCAACTTGGTTGAAGGTTACTTCCGTAACTTGGAAGCTTTGCACAAGAATTGCTTTGCTTCTGCTTTGGTTCTTGCCAAGGACTCTGCTCAAAGAATCTCCATGATATGGTTGGTCCCAACTCAAACCTACCCAGCTGAATTCAACAGCCCAGAGATTGCTGGATCAAAGATCTGTGAAGGATTTGATTTGGTCAAGTTGGACCCAACCAACGAGGCTGACAAGCAAAAGATTATCGATTACTTTGTGTGGAATGAAACTCCAGGCACTTTTGACGGATTCTCCTATGCCTCTGGTAAGATTTTCAAATAAACCACGAAAGAGTACATGATTTCTTTGTGAAAAGAACGCTTCCACTCTTTTCAAAATCAACAAAAACTAGGCGATTATTTGCCCAGCATCATAAGCAAAAAGCATCATAAGCGAAAGAGAAAAAAGGCTACAGCACTGCAGGTTCCCAAGTTGTCTCCAACCTCAGTACTGATGCAGCTCGACGATGCTTAACTTCTCAAATCGGACGGGATGAGGTGCATTCATCGTGATATGGCCGTAGCCATTCATTTTTCGTAAATTTGTTACTTTAATCTAGTTCCATGACAATATGTCTTGCGTTGGAGGCGTACAACGTTGCATGTACGCTTCAGAGTTTGCAAATTTCCCTGAATTACAACCTATTTACTCTGCAGAAATTCGTTCATCTTATATTCATTCAGACCTGATATAGCATAGTGCAAAAGTAATCTCCAGATTGGCGTTGTTGTATCTTTAGTACCCTAAAAAACCAATATTATTTCTTTGTATTACAATTGCTTTTTGACCTTGTAGCGTTTGTGTTACCAAACAGCAACGGTTTAGGATAAAATTGTTTGTTGTCTCACACTGCATTTCCGAAAACGCATCTTGCAAAAGTTTACCAGTTCAACAAGCACCACAATGAATTTCACAGAACCACATGTCTTGTATTGAATTCCATCAAGATATTCCCAAAATAAAAGCACACGTTTGATCCGTCATTCAAATCTTCAACCACTTGTTTCACTAAACAAAAACAAAAGTGTTTAATCGCGCTTTTGAAACTCGCAGTTCATTCAGTCAAAGACTGTAGCGGAAATGTCGCCCTATTCCTGGCAGGCTTTCCGTCCATAACTCTATTAAAAGAGAAAGATTCGACTCTTACTTGTCGTCATACTTTTACGGCAGCCATTAAGGCCATTTTTTTGTTTAAACTTAACAGCGTTCACCAAACTCAACTCCGTCTTGTTCCTCGAAAGAAAAATGACCCAACCACAGCACGAAAACAATCCACACGACAATCAACACCAGCCCCTTGCCAAGAAAATCAAAAATCAGCATCCGAATGACCTGAACACGAATTGTTGTTTTGGAGTAGATATCTTTTCTCCTTCGGTTATATGTCATATTCTATCCCCATCCAAACTCTTAAGTGAGATGATATCCGACAACAATCTCCATACCAATGTACACATCTCACGATACACCGAGAAGTCTCTTCAAATCATGATTTATTTATTCTTGATCAAATTATTGAATACATGCCATAAGAAATTCAAACTCTTGATTCCAAAATCTGTTCGCACAATGACCATAATGGATCAACTCGGAGATTATGCTGAGCAAGTGGAAACAGCTCACAAGATACCTGGATTCGTAGGAGGAGGAGGAATGGGAGCTGCAGTTGGCTTTGGAGGAGGAGCTGCAGTCATGATGGCACCACAAAACGACGACGCCACATCGCCACCGAAAAATATCATTGAATTATTGCATCAACTCTCGCAACAGAGTTTAAAAGGAGAGCTAGGAAGATATCCAATTCGTTACTTTCTCACTTTGGAACAATTGGAAAAGGAAGAATGTCCACCTGAGTTTTTCGAACCCGTGTTAAAATTATTGAATGAGCATTTTACATGGAATGAGCAAGTATTGAATGAAAAGGTGAATCATGATGGCGACATGAAATTATTCATTATGGGGCTTTACTCGTTGACTAGATTTTGCCTGTCTGAAATTATTGAGCTCTCCATGAACTTCACCATCGATAGTTTTTCTGACATTATTGGACACTATTCGATATTTCTCGATAATGAATTACTCGAGAGTATTTCTAGAAAATTCATGCATTGGAATGGAATGACGTTTTTAGTGAAAATGAAAAGTTTATGTGTTGTGCACACGGAGGCCCATCAGACCATGACCATTCAAAACGAGGAGAGTTCACATCATGAAATTGGCGATTTTACAAAAATTTCATTGGATACTCATGTTCACATTTTAAAATATGTGGGCGATTACAGGGAATTATTGAAAATGAGACGAGTGTGTCGGTATTGGAATACCATGATTGTTGAAAATGATGAAATTTGGAAATATTGTACCTACCTGACTCTTTTATCAGATGATTTATTCAAAACATTCACTTCTCGAACTCGAGTACATGCTTTGAAAAAGCCATCATCTCAAGATGCCACATGGATGGAATACTTTTTCACATCAGTGCAACCTCTTTTAGAATTGAGAGATTCCATCATGGAAGAAAAGAAATGGAGCGTGAAAACAGATTGCATGATAGATCTTGATTTGCTAGAGAATGCTTCTACGGAGAGCATGTTAAGAAAGAGTATTACGAGTTCAGTAACCTCCTTTTATCAGTTCATGAATACGGATTCAGGTTGTGTTTCAAAAGTTGGAGCCCTTCCTTGGATACCAAAAGATTGCAACATTTTGGACATTTGGAAACCTAATTATCAATTTATTGCTCAATTGAATTGTAAGCAATTAAGCTCCAAATGTCTTCCTGGTTTTGAATTTATACCCGAGAAGGGTATGCTATACTTTTTTGTGGATGTGAAATTGGATGAATCAGATGAATCAGATGAATCGGATGAATTGATTGTGACGGACACACAATGTTATGTGAAATATGTTCCATGTGAAGAAGAATCGTTACATGTTGCACATGCTGGATTACTTCATGAAAATCACGAGTACATCATCTTTTCAAAAGATATCACATTGGAGAGTAATGTCACCTTAGATACTTGTCTCTTTTCTAAATTTGAAACCTCTGAAAAGTTGAATCTCATTGAAGAACGAGTCACAAGCTCACTATCATCCACTCGAACTCAATTACAACGAATGGAAGAACCATTCATGTTTGGAAAATATCAAGGACATTTTTCAAATTCAAATGACGGAATTGGTGAGAATGACATGGTCTTGCTCGAAACAAACATGTATTTGTTTGGAACATCCAGAATTTTTAGTTTTATATTTGTCATGGATATCCAAGACTTGATATCATGGAATTTTGAACGTGTGAGATTAATTGTTCAGTAATCACACTTGTTGGAGGTTCAATAATTATTAATTTTCACACAAGTGTCAATTTATAAACTGAACTTTTCGGAACTTGAAGTAAAAAAAATTATTAAATTGATCACAACGACGTCGATAATGGATTCGATAGGTATGGCATCGGACCAAGTGGATGATGAATATTCACGCATGGTCGATCCGAATCATGATATTGGCTCTTCATCGGAAATGAACAATATCAATGATCATAACGTGAATGAGGAAATGATGAAAAAAAGAGAAAACGCAAGAACGATCCAGAAACAACTTTTAGAACAAATCAAAGAAGAGCATGCTCGACAAGTGAAAAAGACTAATTGTTGTAAGTTTTACGTTTTATTTAATTTTAATATATTTTAATAAAATATTTTTCGATTTTGTAAAATGTAATTGGATCGATAATCATGACATGAAAATAACTTTGACCTGTTCGAACGTTTCATCAATTATTTTCAATGATTAACTTTTAGTTCGATTTGGAAATATTTATTCTCTTCCAAAATTAAATTTAACATTGCATCGAGAATTAACGAAACATCAAGGCAAGGTCTTTAATATTGCTTGGTCGAGAGATTCTTCAAAGTTAATTTCCATTTCAAAAGATCAACATCTTATTGTAAGTGATTGCAATGGGGTTGCTTAATTTTTTATTTTTAAAATTATTAAGGTATGGGATGTGAAAAAATCAACAATTGAAACCAACATTAATTTCATGTATTCTCCTTTCAAAATGGGATGTGATATTAGTCCATCCAGTAAATTGGTTGCGTGTGGAGGCTTAGATAACCTTTGGTTAGTTTGTAAGTTCTCTTTATTATTTACGAGTACTTATGACCTCCTTTGACAGATGACATTTCCTCAAAAATTGACAAAACACCACAAGATCACGTTCCCAAAATCATTCTCGAGGGCAGTCTCGGTTGGTCAAGCTCTTGTAAATTTTTGAGCGATCAAAATCTTGTAACAGCCAGTAGCGACTCATTAGCGAGGTTATGGGACATTCCAACAGGAAAAGTTATTTGTACATTTATTGGACATTCTGTTGAAGTGATGTGTGTGAGCATTCCCAAGAATGAAAATTGTATCATGGGTCAAGTGCTTGCAACTGGAAGTTGTGATCCCAATGCAAAATTGTGGGATTTGAAAAGTGGAACATGTATACAAACATTTCCACATCTGATGGATGTTGATGACGTGCAGTTCTTTCCAAATGATCAATTTATTGTGACTGCAAGTTCAGATGGTGTGTGTCGATTGTTTGACCTTCGATTTCCTTCACGAGAGTTGTTACAGTATCAAAATCCTGATGAAAACGCCGTCTGTGGAATCAGAAGTTTGAGTTTGAGTGCATCCGGGAGAGTGTTATTTTGTGCGTGTGAGGATCACTCTGTTTACGCATGGGATGTGTTGAAAGGAACTTTGTTGGAAGGTATGGAAAAGTTTGCCAAGAGAAAAAGAAAGGATATGATTTCTGCAGTGCGAGTGTCACCAAATGGAGAATATTTGGCATGTTCTTCATGGAACAAGAGTATTTATCTGTTAAAACATGAATGACATGATACTGTAGAGCTTCCATATGGACTTTAATAAGGAAATGGTAGGTTCACCAAGTAGGATGAATATCAACACACATATATACAGAAGAGGTCTAAGGTGAAGTTATAAAGTGAAATATTTATTAGACATGAGAGCTCGAAAATAAGGGGATGTATTTGAAATGGAATTTAAAAAGGTAGTCAAGTAAGAGGTGTGCATGTGTGATACACATATATGGAAGTGATGCACGAGTGAAGGTCAGATCCCAAGATTGGTAATCATGGAACATTTCCTACGAGTGTGTAAGTGATGAATTCATGGAAAATTTCAGTAAATACTTCCAATTAGATCACATTAATACCTTCCACTCACATTCTCACCATGTGAAGGCACAAAATCCAACTCGCTATCCAATTCCTTAATATTATATACAGGATAGCCATATTGAGGTGGTTCAGGAACCTCCTCAGGATTCATCATTTGTTGCTGTTGTTGAGCCATTAAATTATTCATCAAAACTCCCACTCCTTCAATAAGACCAAGGAAAATACCACCAAACAATGCACTTCTAAACATGGCTTTTCTTCCACCTCGGATAGCCAACACTAAACCAGTCAAAGCTCCTGATGTAATAGAATTGACGAAATCTTCCTTTCCTCTGTAATACATGAGAGCACATTCAAACGTTGAGAATAATCCACCCCAAACTCCAAAATTACCTCCGCTGATTGGACCTCTAGCTTTCATGGTCGTGATGGCTCCTGCAAGTCGTTCACCTCGGGCAGCATTACGAGCTCCTTTACCGAAATTCCATAATGAGCCCATTACTCCACCCATGGTAAAACCAATTCCCAAATCATCAAAGATACGGTCTGGACATGGTTGTCTATCTCCCATTTTGTTAATGTATGATGATGATAAGGATATTGAAGGATGATGAAGAAAATTAATGAATTCGGGTCAGGTGATATCAATGAGTGTGGATGCCAATGATTAATTTTGTTGTGGTTATTTGGCTGTTTTCAATACTATTATATCACTCTGTAATTCAATCCGATAATTCGAAGGGCCCTTGTCCAAGCTTCTAGATAAAGTTTGGCAATTATTTTTTAATTCACAACAATTTTTATTTTGATTGAATTCAAAAAAACGAGATGTTTGTTGAAAGTCTCCTTGCATAGTTGTCGAACATCGTTTTGTTCCACAATGAAAATATTCACCAAACAACAACACCAAACACAGACTTCCAAATGTTCGATAGTCATGATATTGGAAATAATATTTAAATGAATGTCTGCCCGTCTAGCTCAGTCGGTAGAGCGCAAGACTCTTAATCTTGTGGTCGTGGGTTCGAGCCCCACGGTGGGCGAAATAATTTTTACACTTTTTTGCTGGCCTGTTGTGTGAAGATACATCAGGACTGTGTTTTAGTGATGGTTTTTGAAAGAATTTGCTGTAATTGTTCTTTTGGCTTCAAGGGTCAACTGCACAAATAAAAATGCTTGGTGAGGAATCTTCTTTGGACCTTGTTGAGATACTTCTCATTGATTTTGCTCCATCTTCATCACGGAATGAATTAAATGGAACATCAACATCCTGTGATCATCGAATTTCAAAATTCAGAGAAAAGATGAGCCGAAGAGTGCTAAGAAATCCTTCCTTGCCATTCGAAATGAAATTTGAACGTGTGCACCCTTCAAAGAATGATATCCATCACACCTTTTCAAATTTATCATATCCACAAGATATTGATATCTCTTACAATCATTCGGTCATTTTGATTACTGATTGTTTTAATCAACGAATATCTGTTTATGATTTACAAACGAAACATTATAAATTCGAAATGAAACCACTTCCGATCACCTATCCAACGACATTGTGCATTGAAGAAAATTATGATGGACAGTACAATGATGCATTCATTGTTGTAATGATGAGTGATATTGAGAGAGTGCTTTTTAAATGTGATTTGAAAACATTGATCTCACTGAATGGAAAGCAATTTTCAAGTATTTTTCAAGTGAATCAATTCACTTTTCCAAGAGGAGTTAAAGTTTATAACAAGAAAATACATGTCGTTGATGAACGTTGTATTAAAATACTGAGCTCTGATACTGGACAATTGATGGAGGTGGTGGATTTAGATTGGAAAGCGTTTGATTTAGCAATTATTAATGATCACACAATAGCAGTACTATTCAGCGAAGGTACAGTGAACAGAATTGAAATACTCGATGCCGAGCTTAATTGGAGGACTATTCGTTCGTTTGAACAAGAACTCTTCCACTGGCCAAAATCAATAGTAATGGATTCTGCAGCAAAACGATTGATTGTGTGTGATCATAATAATGGCAAAATTTTTGTCTTCTCGTTAGAAGGACTAATCTATATCTCATCATTTGGACAGAGAGAAGAACGATCGAGGGACAATTTAGATTGTCCAACAGCCCTATGCTTGAATGAAATGACTGGAGAATTGTTTGTTGTGGATGATCTGACAAATCAAGTACTGATTTTCAAGTGAGGATCTAGATGTTTCATCCATGTTTGAGACATTATGTTTTACTTGTTACAGTAATAAATTTACACTTTTAGAAACTTTCACGAGTCGCTTCACAGCTGGAATGACGTCTTCAATTCTCTTCACGTTCAAGCCAATACATAATTCATTGATAAGTGTTTGGAATTTAGGGAACGTCTTGACATATTGTTTCAATTGTGAGACCATACTTTCACATTCGTTGACAATCTCGTGTGTGTACTGTACATTGAGAATTCGTTTCAATTTCAAAATGACTTCCTTGTCTTCATTCGATTCGTGTGAATTGCCAATGATTGTGGTTTGCTTTTTCAACTCTACAATGGCTCCCTTTAACTTGTAATAGAGACTCGTGTTTTGGTCACGATCTTCAGCGTTGGCAAGTTCCTTCTTGACTTTTTCATAGAGTCTTCGATACCAAATAATGTCTGCAAAAAGATTATCTAAATCAATAACCTTATCGACATCCAATAAAAAGTATCCAAATTTCTTATCCCCATTGTAGTTTCCAAGATTAATCAGAGAGAAAATAAATGAATACATTTGGGCGTTGTGTTCCATAACATTCTTGAGTTTTGGAATAATTTCACTAATACACTTCACTCGTAAAATATCGTCTCGAATAGCGGTCAGAATGGACTTGTAACGATGATCGAGTTTTCTCTTGAGTGGAGAGCTAATAAATTGTTCCTCCCTATCTCCAATATCAAGAGAAATTCTCTCTTCATTGTTCGAAACAAAGTAAAAGTTTGGATCATCCAATAATACATTATTTCGACCATTATTTCCTCTAGTTTTGGGTGGAGTCCATGAGTGGTCGTCCATGTCATTATTGGAGGCCTTAATAGGACTTGCAACTTCGACACCAGAACGATACTGAGAGTTCTTCTTTGGAGTTGTATTTCCTTCATTGTCACCATATTCAGAGTCTGAATCTCCGAGCCATCGTTGCACTGAGAGAGGTACTTGATCGTTGAGTTGAAGTTTGGCTCTTCTTCGATTGTCCACAAGAGTTGACTTGGTCACTTCCACAAGGTCTTTCAATTTTCGTAACATGTCATCGATGGAGGTGGGAAGATCGGTCGTATCCTGATTCAAAATGTGACATAGTTCATTCAGCCTCTTTCCAAGTTTTGATGTAATAGATTCTTCCTTCGAAGAAATCAAGTTTGAAATTCCTACGGACAATAATGTAAATTCGAGATCAAGGAATTTTGATACTTGGTCCTCTCGCAACAATATCAATTCCACAAGCTTGGCTGTATCCATGGATGAGTTAGATTCGCTCAAGACTTTGAACATCTTCTCTCGAATGGTAATTTTATCTTCTTTCTGAAGATTTTCAATTTGGTAGAGACATTGCTTGAGGACATTTCGTTCGTATTGTTGCATGGAGGACAGATTGATTTTCTTGATCACATCTCCGAGAGCTTGCAATTGCTTGTCTTGATCTTGGAGATATTCCTTAGTGGTTTCAAGGAGTACATCGTATTGAGTGAGAGCTCGAGTATTTCCATTGGTACCAATACTACTCTCAGAACTGCTAGAGGATGAATCTGAAATGGATCTAGCTCTTGCCACCTCGTTTTCATATAATCTCTCAACTTCCTTAAAGCTGACATCTCGTGGATCTTTGGCCATGGCAACAGTTGAAATGTGTGACATGAAAAAGACGTCAATTCGATCAATCGAGTTGGTAAAGGCTCGCTTAGCTCTTGGAATTTTAGATACAGAGCTGGCTGGTTTCAATCTGAGCTTTCGTAGTGCAGTCCAGTACTCCATTTGAATAATCTTCTTCATTTGAATGTGCTTCTTCTTGAGAGTGTCAATAATTGTGGCGTGTTTCTCTGACATGATAGTAATGTTATGAAGGAAGTTATGAATCTTTTGATCGCTTTCTTGAATAATATCTGAAGTTTGTTGGTTCAAGAGTTCCATTTGATCGTCAAACGATTGTTGATGAATCATGGATTGATCCAGACCCACTTCATCACTTGTGGTCGAGATACTATCATTAAATGCAACTTCTTTTTTGAGAGGAGGCTGCTTGGAAATGGATGCATCCTCTAACGAAATGGACTTGGTAATATTTCTCATCTTGCCATTGAGGATTCTATTTTGTTCATAGAGAGCTGCAATCTCATTCTCCAAATGTAAGCAATAATCCTTCATGCTCTTCATTTCCTCTGCAGTATGAACATAATTGGACTCTTCGATTTGTGCCAAGACACTCTTCAATCGCTCTAACTCCTTGAAAAACACCTCCTTGAGGAATTTGACATCGGAATCTGATCCGCCACAAAATCGTAAAGCACCTTTCAGATTTTCAACAGCGACTAAATGATCCTTATGGAGTTTGGTCAATTCCTTCTTGAAATTAACTTCAAGCTTATCTGAAAGCTTGCCTTGTTTGCTCTCAACCACAAGTTTCTTGGTCAATTGTTGATTTTCCTCCATGAGTTTTTCGTATTGTGTTTGTAATAAATCTTTTTGCTTTCTTTCCAGTGTCAAATGTTCGGTGAGTGTCTTCTTCTCTGATTCGTGTTGACTCTTCAATTGATTCTTTTCCTCTTCGCTTCTTTGGAGTGAATGTTTCTTTTCATCTTCATATTTTTCAATAAGGTTATTTTGAGTGAGATTGAATTGTTCTCTCAATCGTTCAATTTCATTCTCCAATCTAAGCTTTTCTAACTTGTGTGTAGATCTTTCCTGATCGAGAGTCTCTTTCGATTCTGTCAACAACTTTTCGTGAGCATGTTTCAATTCATTCATGGCAGACGAGTGATTTTCTAACATCTTTTGAATTTCATTTTCATAAAATACTCGTTGAGAATCAGCGTTGGACTTTTCCTTTTCACACGTGTCGAGTACCACTGACTTTTCATGATCCATTCTTTCTTTGAGAGATTTAATTTGAATTTCATAACTCTCTATGAGCCTCTTCTTTTCTTGTTCATATCTTTGAACAGTTGAGAGATTTTGTTCTTGGAATTCAATTTGTAATTGCTCCTTTTCATTAGCATGCTTGTCCAATAATTCATTTACTTCTGCCTCGAGCCTAGATCGAATGGTTGCCTTCTCCTTTTCGTGTTGAGCAATGAGCATGCTTCTTTCATTGTCATGTTGTTGAATGAGCTGCTTCTTCTCCCTTTCGCTTGATGACTGCAATGCCTCTACTTCCATTTTACACTTCTCAATAGTGCTATTGATCTCATTATTGTACTTGTAGACAAGTCGTTCCTTTTCCTTTACCATTTCTTCCTTCTCTTTGAGGACTGTTGTGAACTTTTCAACGAGAGCGTCCTTCTCTTTGGAGTGCTTCTCCATGAGAAGTGCTCGTTCCGTGTCAAACTTGTCCTTTTCTGATCTCAACTTTTCTTGAATTAGTTCCACTTCTTGCTTGTTCTTTTCAATCAAGGCATCGCGTTCTTTCTTACTTCGCTCCATCATTTCATTCTTTTCGTGAATGGCCTCTTGCATCAATTTGAGCTTTTCGTGATTGAATTGGTCAATAAGTTCGTGTTTTTCATTGACCAATTTTTCAATTTGTGATCTCTTTTCTTCATTGAGTTGTTCGATGAGCTGCTTCTTATCCAAACTCAATGTTTCAGAGAGGTTTAACTTGTCTTGAGTGAATTTTTCAGAGAGGTCTTTTTGTTGTTGTATTAGCTCTTGTTTTTCTTCTTCCATGAGCTTGATGGTCTTGTTGATCTCGGCCTTTTGTTGAGCAAGTTTTTTCTCAAAATCTGTAGTCAACTCGGACACTTCAGTTTCATGGTCTCTCATCAATTTGTTAATAGTATTTTCGAGATTGGATATTTTGTTTTCGAGGTCACTTTTTTGTAGTACGAGCTTGTCAATCTCTTTTTTGTGCAGAGTAGATCGCTCTCTAGCAGCTCTCTCTTCATTCAATTGATTCTCATCAATCCTATACAACAAATTTACATTTTCTCTAGTGAGTTCATCAATTTTGCGTTCATACTCTTTGACTTCATCTTTCATTTGATTATTTTCGAGTTTTAAATCTTGAATCTCTCGATCCATACTATGGATTTTAGAGGAAAATTGTTGATTGGATTGATCTTCTTCTCTTTCCGCTAATAATTTTCGCAATTCTTGTAATTCTTGCTCCATTTTCGCATTCTTTTCTTTGAGTGCAATGATTTGATTTTGTTGTTTAGCTGGCATGTTTTGCATTTGTGATGTGATGAATTGTAATTGATTTTGTATTGCACTGATACTATCCGTGCTCACCGTAGAGTCGGCCAGTGAGTTTGCCAAGCTGTCATTTAAAGTTCTTGTGGATCGGATGGGTGAAGGTCTTTGGGTGCAGATTGTTTTGAGACATTTTTTAAAACAATCAAAAAATGGTTGACGGTGATTAACGATTGAAGTTAATGACATACCTGCTGTCTAAATGTTGACTTTGGAGCTGTAAGATGGCATTTCTTGCTTCTCCGAGTAATTTGTTTGTTGCTTCCAATCGTTTTTCTCCTCTACTAAGATACAATTTCTGGATCAAATGATATTTCAATAAGATGAATTATTATTTTATCGATGGCAAAAGCTCACGTACCAATTGTTCCTTATCCATAGAGTCCTCAACTGAAGCATCTGAACTACTTGTAACATCAAATTCGTCCGAATAATTCATTGTTATTCGTTTACTAGGAGGTTATCGTCCGATGTATTGTATTAATACCACCTTTGATGAGGCTTTTTTCAAAGTTACAAGAAGAAGGATGGTGCTCCAACCGAAAATGTGGTTCAGGTTGTTGATTGGAGGATTTTTTTTAATGTAATGAAAATGCTCAAATTTTGGCGGGTAAACTTTGGCGCCTTTGTGAGAGAGTGATACTGTTTTTTTGAGGTTGTTTCCAATTTGACAACTCCACAGTGTCTATTGGAATAAATTGAGGTCGATGAACATTGGCTTTAAGTTGACGAACGGATCATTATTAATCAACACACTTCAAAAAGGAAATTCCCTGAAAGTCTAAACTTGGAAATACAACTTTGTAGATCTGGAAGGAAATTTGTGAAATCAAGTCATGATCCATCTTAACACATTTTCTCTCCATATTCCATTATCTTTTTAAACACAATAAATACGCTCCAACTTCTCCAATTTGAGGATGAAGTGTGTTCGTTTTCTTCTTCCATGTTCTCCAACGTGTATTATCATCATCGTAAAGATTGCCTTCACAAGAGTTACCACCAACATCACAAACATGACCACCCGAACGAGTTCGAAACCACTTTTCGAGACACAGAATTCAGCACTAATCTTCGTATTAGGATTCATTTTGCTTCTCCTTTCCTCCCATTCAACAATAACACCTTTATTCATTCATGGTCAGCAACAAACAATTTCCACGAGTGCTTCCCCTCTTCCTCTCTCTCGAGCCTATCAATACAATCAATCGTTGAGACAGGACGGAACCTATGATATTCTGTGGTCCATTGATGAGTCGACTCAAGAATTGTATATGGCCCTCTCAGTATCAACATTAGGTTGGATTGGTTTTGGTTTTCACAGTTTTCAGGAAATGTCATCGAGTCAAGCGCAACCTCAAGGTATGGCACGAGCAGACATTGTTATTGGATGGAAGGATGCCACGAGTGGAAATGCCTTTATCTTTGATACCTATGCAGTGGCTAACTCAAGACCATTACAAGATACTCAATTGTAAGTCTTATTTGATAATTCAAAAGCTGATGAGTTCAACGAATTATATGAATGTTTGTCATGATGACTGTAGAGGTGGAAAACTTAATGTTCAATTAGTTGCCTCGTTTGAAGGTAATGGAAGAACCATTTTGGAATTTAAGAGACAATTGAATACAGGAGATGCATTTGACGTGGCCATTCAGAGAAATAAGACCCTTATTGCCATGTATGCTTATTCTGCATCCGATCCCACCAACAATGATTACAATTCTCTTGCCTTTCATTCTGTGTATTCGTTTGCCATGATTCCAAATTTTTGGCCATTGATGGAATCCGTACAGAATCAATCGAACATGACAAATTCTACATCATGGAGCGTGAATAATGAAACAATGATTAATGGGAATAATACTTTGGGAAATAATACGTTGGCAAGTTCAAACTCATCCTCAACAGCTCAAGGATTGCCTCCTCCTGCGCAAACTAATTCCACAACTCTTCAAAATAATAACAGTACAACTCCTCCTGTTTCTCGTTCTCCACCAGCAAGCAACCCTTCGACCTCAGGCATGAGGGTACTCGCTTCACCATCGATGAATGTAGCAGCTCCATTGTTTTCAAAAATTGTGAGTAAGGTTCCACCACCCCCACTTGGAAATTCTCATCCAGAAAATAAGAATATGAATAGTGCTTTCGGATGGACGTTCTTGAATTTGAAATTTTGTCTCGTGTATGTGTTTGCGTTGTTAATTGTAAATTTTGCCTTTGAACAGTAAAGTTAGGCGATAAAAAAAGGTCGTTCAATGTGAGTTAAAAATGATGTCGAGGACTGGTTGATCAACCCGCTTTTTATATGACTATTCAACATTTCAAATAAGATGATTATCGCAGTAAACAGCACCATGGCAGAATTAGTTGTTCTTCCCATGTGTTTGTGAAATCATTTCTGGCTGCTGGGGAAAACCGAGCGGTGATGATTGCAACAATTATTTTAAAAATTACATTGTGTTGTAAAAAGTTACAACAAATTGGCCAATGATGGAATCTGTACAGAATCCATAATGGAGCATGAATTGATAGATGGAAGGAAATACAACTTTGGGAACCAAAACTAAGAGTAAACAATTTGATATTTACGACCAGTGCAAAAATGAGATCGAGGACTGGCTGGTTTTGATCCAGCGACCGTGAATTCAACCGTGGGCCGTCACTGCTCTCCCGCTGAGCTACAATCCTCAAAAGTTTTTGCCTAACGTCTTCAAAATTTTTGCTTTGTACTTTACACAAGCTTCAAAGATCCCACAGGCAAAAAATTTAAACATCAAAAAAATGTCAGGAAAACGAATAGTGATGAGTTTTAGGTGAGTCATCTGAGTGTACCACAAGAGAATTATTATTCATTCTCAAAACCACCTGTCTCTAATATTCGGAACATTTTTTTTGGCGCTTAAAAATTCAATTTGAATTTATTTAACATTTCGATGCAATTACAAATATTTTAAATTTATAATGAATTTCTGGTTCCGGTGTGGATTTCGAATTATTATTATTTTGGATGATGCCAATATTTCTCACCATTCAATAATTGTAATGAAATTATCAATGACCATGGTCAATACTCACGGGAATATTACCCTCACACATCAGTAAAATGGACACGTACCTTTCGTGTCCTCATCGATACTACCTCTCTTACAAGGATCCCAATGTCATTGCCAAAACAACACCTGCCATGATACGAGGTACGGCCATTCATGAAGCTCTCTCTCACGTCTCCACTCTCTACAATTTGGTATACCAACAAATTGATGCTCCTTCTCATCCTTTAGCTCAACGCACTCATTACCTTAATCCCATTGGAAACTTCTCTAAAGACTACTTGCCCGATAAGCCTCGATCAAGTAATCGTTATGAGCATGAAGAAAATTCAGCCTTCAACATGAAGGTGGCACGAACCATTGCCCAAGAAATTTTGAAGGAGAGAAATGTAGAGGATGGAATGATGAGTTGGAGTGGAATGTTGGTGGATCGTGCTGTCAAGACGTACAACAAGGTACTCGTCGGAAATTGTAAAGCCTCGGGTGTTTGGGTTCCAAAACCAATGACAGAAAGTGGAAAGCAAATGTTGCAAGATCATGTATTAAGGGAACTGACCACGATATTGGCTCCACCTCATTCCATGTTTCAGAAGCAGCTCTCTTCTTCTCAAGATCATTTGGAATATGTATCGACTATGGAATGGGGGAATATCGCAACGACGACGAGTCGTATGGAACATGAGTATACGAGTCGTGAAGTTCTTGAAACAAGTTTCAGAATTGATGAACCAAACACTCCTGAATCCTTCGGAATGGAAGGTTCACGGTTACCCCTTCTCATCGAAGAACCCTTTGTCTTGAAACATATCGGAGGACGAGAGGATATTGATATGGTCTTTATTTTTGATCGTGTGGATTTGGAACGGGAGAAAAATGTTGGCTTTTTCTCTCCGTTCAAGTCGGCACCTACGGATAAACATGTCTTGGTCGAATACAAGACGAGAATTAAGCCACACAATGTCGAGTTGTATAGAACTCAACTTGCCATGTATCATTATGCTTTTAAGGAGTTATTTGGAATTCCTGCAGATAAGAGTTATTTGACGTGTATTGAGAGTGGAACTGCCTATGAATTTGACGATTCTGAATTTGACTCGATGGATACTGAATTTATGATTATTGATTGTGCTGACCAGAGTAAGTTGTGTATAGAAAGGTGACAAAATTGTTATTGAACTTGGGCATGGCTCGACCTGATTTTTTGAAAATATTTATTGACTGTGCACAATTATTAATATTTGCCAATAATATTAATTTATCCATCATTCATAATTATTATAGTTTTGGAAGACACAGAATGGAAACCAAATCCTTCTAAATCGAAATGTCAGAATTGCACTGTGAGTCATGCATGTAAATACGCGTACGATCCGAATACGGCATTAGTACAAGAACAAATACAACGTGCAAAAGAGCGTAAGGAACAGCTCAGGGCTTCACAAGATATTGACATCGAGTAGCTCTATATCAATTTAACACGAAGAATGAATAATGCAAAAAAGCAAAACGAACGTGTGACACACAAATAATTGCTTTAAGGAACATTTGCCTTAACTTGGTTTTTTGGTTTTGATTGGAAAATTTTGAGGTGAAAGAGAGCGGTAGATTTGAAATTGGCTTTAATTAAATGAAAAAACCATAATTATCGAAACCCATTATTCAGAGTGACCTCAAGGACACAAGTTCCGCTTTAGAACTGTTCTTACTGCAATATCGGAGTCTCAAAAAATCCATAAACTGACATTTTATTACATCATCATGAAATTAAAATCAATGCATGAAACAATATTCTTGTTTTGGTCAGTAATAACAATAGTTCCTTGATAAGGACCACCTGAAGGAGCCATTGGAGTAATTTGTTGAGTAATTGAAAGTGTTTGTTGTCCTTTAGAGAGAGGACATTGATTAGAAGAGCCAGCCAAGAATTGACAAGGATCAAAAGGACCAGTATACATTGGAGTTCCAGCATAATTCACTGAGACCTGTCCGGTAGATCCAGCAGCCATAGGTTCAGTCAAATCACCTTGAATTGTAACTTGCAAATTATTTCCTGCTTGAGGTGGGTTCGGATTCAAAGAAACCGATGTAATTTGCAATGTTTGTTTTGGATATCGCTTACAAATACTCCATGTGAGTGGATCTTGAGCGAATACACTCTCCATCATTAAAGTAGCCATCAAAACTACCACCACAGCACACACAAATAATTTCATCATGATGATTGAAAATCGGAAAATTTCAAGTCTCACACAGCGTTTTGAAGACAATTTTTTTTTTGTTGTAACGCAAAGATCTTGCGGAGAGCGTTGGAAGTGAGCAGCTTGAACGGGTGTGACAAGGAATTAAAATGGAATTATGTTTGATAGGAAATCATCCATTCAAAATGGATTCAACGACTGAACTCGAGAATATTTCATCAGTTTGATAACAATGAGTGGTTGTTCAAATCACACTTGAAAGCGATTTTCCAATGAAGTTGTCAACGCAACAAAGAATTCTTATTGGTCATTCCCAATGACAATTGACGTCTTGCATTCAACTTTCATAAACAAAAAAAATATAATGCGTCAACCAACCACAGACCAACACCAATCCAGCACTTCCACCTCACCCCTCTCCATCATTGTCAAACCTTCTCCTCCTTCCTTCAACTATGTCGACCTCGATTCCATCAGTGATGAATTAATCTGTCCCATTTGTAGTCTTCCCTTCGTCGATCCGGTTGTTCACAATCCTCCATCCTCTGAGTGTGGGAACACCTTTTGTCGATCATGCATTCAATCCTGTCCATCGTGTCCATTCTGTCGTCGTGGCGATGAAACCAATGTTTTTCAACTCGAATGTTCTTCTGCTCCTAAAATTATTTCCAAACAATTGGAAAAACTCAAAGTCATTTGTTCGATGTGTAAAAATGTTGTGTGTCGAGGTGAGTATAAGGACCATCAGGAGAAGCATTGTCCTCTCCTTGAGGCCTATGCTCGAGTCGAAGCATTGAAAGTGGAATTGGCCAAGTTGA